TTCACTCGTGCTTGGCTAGGGTGCGCCACAGCGTCATCCTGCCGCATTGTCATTGCCGCGCTCCCCGTCTCATCACGATTTTCGTCTGACTTTGATCGCTGATAAGAGAAGGATCGCGTAATCAAAACGAAATAAAAAATATCTGGCGTCTTACTTCAGATGCTCAAGAATATATTCCGTCAAAAAATAAGCCGGTCCAATGAATACTTTTTACGCTAGAGCCGTCAGTAGAAATGTACTTCAATTGCCCTTTGACAGCTTTAGGACTTTTCAATTTCAGATTTTTTTTCTCGGAGAGTATAAAACTTGACCTGTTTTATTCACACGGCCAGTCAAAATTTGAAAATATTTAGAGAGAAAAGATTTTGTAATTTCGTTAAATTTATATTTTTTCCACCCATTCGAAATTGAATGTTTTCCAGGCTTGACAGATGCTGGAAAACCATTCCACAAAGCTCTTTGGAATCTAACGAATCCAATATTTTGTAGGAAAAATCAAGTATTACTCAATTCCATGGACGAAAATAATCATCGAAGCAGGGGTTACCGGGTTACGGCACTAACGAGCCGTGAAAAATTCTAAGTTGAGAGCTCATAAATTTCCTTCAAGAAAAAATAATTCACGAGGTTTCAATTGCTTTCTGCTTTTTAGAAAATACAGAGCGTTGTTTTACGAGCACTCGTCGGATAAACTAACGATGACAAGTTTATGGGAGCATTTTTCAAGTGCGCGTTTTTTCTTTTTTTGTTTTTTTCGTGATATTTGCAATTTTAAATGCGCATAAAAAACTCGTGGGCTTGACGTTCGACCTTACGAGTGGCTCTTTTTTCTGGTGGAATTTCCACCGTGGAAATTTAAATTAAACAGAATTAAAGCCGTTTGCTTGTCAATTTCTGCATCTGTGGATTAATGCGACTTAATAATTTACGGGCTATTTGAAGAGGAATTAACTCAACAGAATTCTTCAACAGCTAGTAAGCACCGAGCAGAATGAGAGCACTTAACCGCTATCGGTTATAAAATTTCGATGGCGTCTTTCATACACTCGCTTATCCTTTTTCATCGATTGAAATTTAATAGCGCCTATTTAATAGCTTGTTGAAAAATACTGTATATTTTTAGGAAGAAATCGGGGGTAGCATTTTCTGACTTTGCTACTAATCGCCGAAACTAATGTCTAAAGCTGTTTTTGGTCTTATTACAAGAAGCATTTATCGATCAGGGCTGAAGGGAAAAGCTCCTCTTAGAAGTAGGCATCCAAGTGCAAAGTGGGCCTGAGAGTAGGCTTGAGCCTTGAGCTATTGCTGAATAAAGCCCCGCTTCTTGTCCGCAGACCCCGAGTCAACCCCCGGATTGACAACATAAGTAGGGATCAGTCTATTGAACATGAAAACATAGAGGCTGAAAGAAGAAATCAAGGAAGACCTTTTTTTTCTTTTTGGAGAAAACAAAAACAAAAGCAATTATTTGTCAATGATTCTGGGCGGATCAGTGTCAATTGACAATTATTGACGCGTTAGTGATCCAAAGACAGATCAACTCAAATTTGCTTTGGACATGTAAATAAATGGTAGTGTCCATGATGCTCTGTCAGTTTCTCACGCCCTTTTAAACGTAATACCGTCTACTTTTAGTTAAAAGAGTTTCTGGGTCATTGAAGAATAATCGAATCACATGGTTATGTTCTATTTGAATAGTGGGATTCTCTATTCATCACTAATTCAAAAGCAAATATTATTGCTGATGACAATTATTTCCATCATCAGATGAGGAGAAATGGAGAGTGGAGAAATTCTCAATGTAAAATGTAATGTAATCTCAAGTTCAAGACTCGATCTGATTAAAATTTGATGAAAAGCTGTCCGAGGGAAAATTTTGATCCGCGAATATTTAACTTACACTACTGGGCTCTCTTTTCGAGTCTTTTTGAAAGTGATGTCTCTATAAAAAAGTAATTTCGAAGGATAGGCAGCGCGGAAAGGTCATCTCTCACTTGGAAATCGGGCCAATTTCGGAGGATTTCGCTGCGATGGGGCTGCTTTACAAGCCATTTTATTCTAAATGTGTCATTTACGTTTCCACGGAAATCTAAATAGAGCTTTGAAGCCCGCACTAAAGCCCACTGGAAACTGGCGAACTGTGGAAACGACTGTCGAATGCGAAGCCACCGGATGTGAAATTTATCTTCGGAAGCGTTTTCTCACATGTTCCGAATTGCTCCATGAATATTTTGAAAAAGGAGCCATAAAAAGTCTTGATTCATTGTTATGGGCTTATTTTGAATGAGAGCATTAGATTTATCAAGGCATCTTTTATGCCGAGAAGAAAGTGTATAAATAGAAAAAGACCAAAAGAAGCCTTTTAAGAAATTTAACTCAATTGACAGCTGGATTTCTAATTCTAAGGCGGCTTATCAATGTCTACGAATTGAGAAAAGAATATTAAAAATGAATTCCTAATTGACAGTTGAGAGCAACTAGGATCACTCTGCGCTAGCTTGGTATGAATACAGACAAAGACGGAATCATGTGGGCCACATGATGTGGCGGTAATAGACAGATTCAGCCTTCCCACTAAAATGTTCCCAAGGGCTTTTTTACGCATTTTAATGTTTTTTCGCCAGTAAGTTTGCATGCCGGGAATGAACTTTGATATTGATCCCCTTTTCTGGTCCCAGTTCACGCTCGAGAAAACTATCGCAAAAGATGAATAAGTGATAGAAGACCCTTACGCTAATGGCCGGTCTGGTACCTTATTTTCCACTGTATATGTTGCATATTTCATGCGTATTAATAAATCTCCCCATTGTTTATCAGATTTGATGATCTGAATAAATCTGCTGCTTGTTTTCGCGCTAATGTTTGAGCAGTCCTTTAAAAATGCCGATTTACGTAAATTTTTAAATATTGAGTACATTCAAAAAAGAGTCAACAAGATCTTGGGAGAGTAAAAGTGCGAACTGTAATGTGACAAACTATTTATGCTGACAGAGTCGAGCATAATGGACAAATGATACCTACTGTCTTTCATGACTGTCACTCTGAATTTAACGCAATTACCGAGGCCAATTTTGATTCATTACTGTCAAGGCAACACTGATTGCCCTTGTCAGTAGTAGGTTACCGCTGATTTCTGATCATCAAGGGCTTATGATTGAAGAACTGTGGAAAAGTACTCTCAAGATTGTTGAAATAAAGGAGAAAGGTGCTAACTTTTCCGTGATAAATGGGCTTCCCTAGCTGCTCAACTTTGAGGTTGATTTACGCGATAAGTATCTTGTTTTCAGAAGTTGTCTTAGACTCGCTTTTCTAGTTCTATTGACGTCAGTTCTTGTGCTGGTGCCGAAGGAATTTTCTCTTCTCTGTCTCTTTTTTGCGCAACTGGAAATGCATCGAGCAGGTCTCGCGCGGCTGCCGGGCTCGCTTGATAAGAAAAAGGATGCGCTGCGGGTGATTATCTATCCAGAGCTCCATCGGCTCGACCATAAATCGTCATCTACTCGCCTGCAGCGCATATGCACTTTTCTCTCCCCTTTAGGCAGCATTAGAGCGCCCTGTCTAAAAATCTCCCATCGGCAATTACGCTCCCCCATAAGAGCACTAGAACAATGCCAAAAAATGTGCTCGATACAATCATTCCCAAGTTACAAAAGAGCGTCAGCGTAGAGCGCTATTGAAAATGCGTGAAACGGAAGCGTACAGACCTTTTCTTTCTAGCTCTGTTGAAACGCGGTTAATTCCATCATCGAGGGCTAATCTTCCACTTACAGGTAGAGTTTAACAGGTCAGGAAAGGGTCATAATTTTAACTTCCCGAAAAAGACGCTTATAAATTTTAAATTGGAATATAAAATACGTGTGGGTGTATCAATAAATTCTCTGAGTAGATCTCTCTTTTCAATAACAAAAATGAAAGTGAAAACCGGTTGTACGCAGCACTCCGCTGAGAAGAAGAAAAACTCAGCGAGTACCATGTAGATCCTCTAAAATAATTTGCTATTGATAATATGCAAAAACGACGTCGGATTAATATTTCAAGCTACACTTGAAGCAAATAATTTCGCGCTCCATTGTTATCTCCTGCGCTGGGTGGCTCAAGAAGAGCTTCGTTTTCTGACACTGCGTTCTTCGTATTTATGGGTATTTCAAGATCCTCCCTAAACACTGTGTAATGAAATATTTTTATTCGTCTTTACACTGTAAAGTTTACAGTCCTTGGAATATGTTCAAACATTATCGATTTCATTTTAGAAGTGTTCCATGAACGTATCTGTCTTATTGATGCACAAGCAAAAAAAGAATCATTTTATAAAATGGTTGATTAGATGTCGAGCGAAATTTATGCGAAGATCTATCCAAAAGAGGGCGCCTCTTCCTCAAGAATCGCAGCGGGAAGCGTCAACACCTGGTTCGATTGTCGACGGATACTAAGCTTTCGTTAGTAATAATTTTGATAGCTGTAACGATTTCCCATTCTAATCCCTTGACCTCAACGAAGGTGTAAAGTACGATGCGATAAATCTTTAAATGCCCCCTTTCAAAGTCAACTGCTGATATACCACTTATTCCGGTACTGCACTTATTCCGCCCTAAATGTCTGCAGGAATTTTTACCGGTGCCTTGCCAAGGAAATTTAAGAAACATGGTCTTTTATAGAATGGAATTGTGTTCTATTTTGTTTAGCAGGAAAGTATGATTCTATATCTATTCAAATATAAATCAAAAAACGTATGATTGTAATTGTAAGCAGTCTTTTCAGTAACAGGATTTAAAATATAGAATATTGCACTTTAGGAAGTTGCACAGGTTTATTTTTTATCTAAAATCGAAGCATTAGAAAATCTAAAATTGCATCAAGGTCAATTTAGTTCGCTTGTACGCTCTCTTGAACTTTTTGAAGTGGTATGAGATAAAGATAACATAAATTGTTTCGACAAATTGTCTAAATTCAAACAGAAATAAGAAGATAGTAAGTTGTAACATGTCTATTAGGCTCGATAGTTACTCGATGGTTAGAGTGAATGATCCAGTGGACTTTGCGTTAGGTTTTCGAATGAATAAGGTCGTCCCCTTCACTTGACTCTCGAGTTGCCAGTTTGACCCTAAGGGGTTTTTTATTAAAGATTACTAAAAAGAGATCTTCCTACCATTTGAAGAGATTTGAATTGACTTAGGAGCAGATGAGCCAAAACCGTAAATGACAATTTGCTCGACGAAAGAATGCTCGCTCTGGAACACGCCAGTTTGAGCAGAATCGCTAGAAAATCCGGTTAGAACAGGCTGAATTTTGAATCCCAAAATACCTGTAATTCAAGCTCTTTCCATCAAAGCTAACTTCTTTGTAGGAAAATTCTCCCTTTTGATAGTCGTGCGTAATTTGATCATCAAAGTATAGCTTTCCGCTCGCTTTTCTTTCGCTATCCAGCGCAATGTTCAATGTAATCGGGTCGTTTTCCATGAGCGTTGATGATCTTCTGATTCGTTCTTTCGAGGCAAAGATTCGTCCTGCTTTTAGGAAAACTAAAAATCATCGTTAATATCATTCGGAACGCTGACCTTTTATGCTCACCTGGAATTTGCTCATCCTCTCCTGCTGAAACGACCGCATTTCCACTGTACGCTGGGGTCTCGTGATAATCAAGTCTGAAGTATTTATCTCCGCCGGGGAAATACACTTCCACATCTCGTTTTCCTTCTTCCATTACAGGGGCGACTAAGAGCGTATCGCCGAGCATGTATTCTTCTTCAACTCCGTACGATTCTGTTTCCTAAAAAGGGCGCTAGAATCTCTAGTTATAAGTAATTATCTGCACCTTTGGATAATTGTACCAAATCGGTCGCATAGGCGGAACGCCAGTTTTGTGGCTTTCGTAAAAGAGCTCGTTCCAAAGAGGAAGAAGTCTGTAACGATATCTGATCGCATTTCGCATTCTACCCGTCCATGGCTCCTCGAATACCCAGGGTTCACGACGCTTCGAGTCCAAATGAGCGTGCGCTCGGAAGAACGGTTGGAAAGCGCCGAGCTGATACCATCGCCAAAGAAGTTCCGGCTCTGGATTTCCAAAGAAACCTCCTACATCGGCACCTACAAAGGGCATGCCAGAGACACCTATAAAATCAATCAAAAACGGAAAAATGATTAAAAGATACCAAGAGCGAGCAGCATCGGAATCGAGCTCTTCAGATGGCTCCATTCTGCGCCATTATCGCCAGTCCAAATCGGACCCCATTGCTGGGTTCCGACGAAAAACGCTCTTGAGAGAACGAAAGGTCTGGAATTCGGGTCTCGCTTGAGTTGACCTTCGTAAGTTGCTCGCTGAACTCCAAGGCCATACATTTGATGCACGGCTCGATGTTCCCAGCCGCTGAAAGACAATTTTATGTGAATGAACTTTTTGGGCATAATTTTACTTGTGATGGATGATATCTCGTTGCATGGAGACCTCTGGCCCATTGAAGACAGATGGTTCGTTCATGTCATTCCAAGTGTAGAGCGATGGAGAGCTGTGCTTGTAGTTTTCGAAGAGAAACTGCTCTGCCCACCTAAAGAAAGAACATATTCTCGATGTTTTTGTCCATTTAAATACCATTCACGAGCTCGCGGATCTGTAAAATCGATGTAAGCGGAGTTTCCAGGCCAGCACCAGCCGTTGAATTCCGCTCCACCAGGCTTCTTGACATAAATGTCCGCTTCCTTCGCGCCGCTGTAGATGTAGTAATTGTTATCCACTTTTATATGGGGGTCGACAATCGTGACCATTTTTCGTCCCTTAGACGCGACATTCTCGATCATTTTATCCGGAGTTGGGAATTTGACAGGGTCCCAGGTGAAGTATCGCTTTCCGTCTGTATGCTCAATATCTAGCCAAATAACATCCGCGGGAATGTCGTGAACGTCAAAGTTTTCGTTTACTTCAGCAACATCGGGCTCGTCTCTGTAATTCCACTTGCACTGGTGATAAGCGGTCGCCCATTGTGGCGGAAGCTGCGGTCTTCCAGTCAGAACTGTGTACTGGTCGTTGACTTCTTGAATGCTCGGGCCGGGGAAGAGGAAGAGATCGATCTTGCCAGTTTCAGAAAGCCAGAATGTATGCGCTTCAGGAACTTTTCCGGATGTGAACCAGGAAGCAATAGAGGCTTCTGGATCGACGTATTTGATGTCGACCCATGTTTCGGCGGCGTTGAGCCAAAGAGCAGCGCTAGAACGTTCCGGAGAATGACTGGCGACGAAAGGAATGCCTCCATAGAGGGCCATTCGTTCGTCAATCTCGAACTGGAAAACATCGAGGTTGAAGAGACGGTAAGGCTCGCCTTCTTCCGTGTTTGCCAGGACAAATGAATCTGTGTGCTCTGGAAGGCCGTAAAGATTCCTACTGTTTGTAAAGACGACGTCCATCGAGACCGATTCAGGACCCCTCGGCCGGGAATCTTTGTGCGACTTGAACTTTTCTTCCCAACTCGGCTCATCGTCGTTTTTCTCTCGCAATTCTTCGACGAAAAGAAGGTTTCTGGAGTTGGCAACGGAAATGACTTCGTCTTTGTGAGAAAATTCTGTGATATAACTTTCTAGGGAGGTTTTGAGTCGCATATCGCCGGCTTGAATGGAAATAAAGCCGTTTGATTCATCGAGTTTGAGTTTCTGCGGCGCGTGGCCGTCGATGAGCAGTTCTTCTGGGCTAGGTCTAGGATCTGGGGTGACAGGAGGTGATCTGAAATGAGTCGCCAGAAATGAATCACCAAAAGATGTGATCGGGTTTCTCGGATCACCTCAAAAGGATCACCTCAAGTTTAGGTGATCCGCGGAGCTCTATCACATCTTTCGGTGATTCATTTTCGGCGACTCATTTCAGATCACCTCCGGTCACCCCAAATCCTAGACCTAGCTTCTGGGTCGTATCGTGGCTAGAATAGGGTTATTTGAATGGTCTACTCTGAAATGATAAACGCACATGAAGAGGTTCGCATTCTTCAATATTTATTCTAGCGCCAACTGGCAAGATTGAGTGGAGAGCCTTTAGACACGGCCTCCCATCGACTTCAAGCGTGAGTTGAAGGATACTGTCGTTTTCGATCAGTTCGGACTTTGTGACGGCGTAGGGAGAGACACCATCGCTGTTGAACACGCGTCTACGCTGGCAGAAGCTGGAATCGGCGCATTTCTTGAAGTTGTTTCGGTCGACAGCCTCGACGAGGACCGAACCGAGCAGAGCCGCCGAGAGCCTCATCCAATTTCTGAAATAGAGAAGTTGCTAAAGAGTCGCTTAATAATTCTCTGGTCAAACAAGTTCGATTTTCTTTGCGATTTTTCTTTCAGTCAGAAAGCCACGGAACTTTTCATTTCTGCTACGAAATATGCCCTCCAGTAATATTTCAGTGGACTCATCAAATCAATCGATATTTTACTACCGCGGTGAAACAGTAGGAAGTGGCTGTAATTCTCTTTAGAAGAAATCTTGAATTTTTAACAATTTCTCTCAGAGCAGACTGCGCTCATTGGTCTGGGAGATGCTTCGGGCGCGTTGCGCAATAATCACGATTTCTACTCGGAAAATCAGTTTTCGACTCAAAAGAATAAATGAAGTGTTAAATCGGCAGTGATATTTTATTGTCATAAGAATTAAAAAAGTCGTCTGAAAAATGTATAAAATTGCTTGTAAAACAGTATCTGACTGAGTACAGTCGCTCATCGACGGAAATCTTCGATAGCAGGGTCTTTTGAGGATCCAAAAGTGGGAAGCGAGGTCGTTGTTTTGACGGTTCGTTTTTCTGTCATCAAATTTTGGCCAGCTTCTGGAGGTTGCCTTTCTGACTTTCCGCGAGGGCCATCTTTATCAGAATTAACAAAAAGACGCTCTTTCAAAGAGGCGTGAAGTTATCAGTGAAAGTTCAAATTCTGTTCCTGCAGTATCTGGTCGAATCGTAGGACTCTTCCAGAACACGTGTCTGTTCCTCAACAACTTCGGGCTGTTGCCAATTGGCTTCGTTGAAATGTTCGATGATGATTTTTGCGAGATCGCCTGGAAAAACTTCTCCTCTGGAATTTCTGTCGATGGCGTTTGGTCCAAGATTGACGAATCTGTTAGACCAGAGCGCTTTTGGGTGATGGTTGGTTTCTCTTTTCTGGGTTTGATGGCGAATCCCATGGTTTTCAGGACATCCTCGCGGAGTAGGACGTAGAAGATGAAGATGAAAACGCCTAAGAAATCACTCAAAAATAAGAAAAGATGGAAAACTGACCTTGAAGTCCGTTCAAAATGATGAATATGAACGAAAGAGCGTTGTTGTTCGAGCTCGGATCGGCAAGCAAAAGCATCATTATTTGCGCACCACCAAGGATGGTCAGCAACCCAATCATTCCCTGAAGTCGTTTCTGATGATTCTTTGTTGCGTTGTTCGATAAGTTTCTGGACAGTTTTGGTGGTGCAGCGCGAGTGGTTTTCGTTTCTCATCTGGCTTCATGGAGAGAAAGTTCGATATCCTACAAAAGATGATGAAGATCTTTTGACAGTTGATGAGTGCGTACCTTTGAAAAGTCTTGACAACATTACTTTGGCTATTGATTAGCGCTGAAAGGACCATTCCGAACATCACCATGATAAAGTAAGGGATCAAAAACAAGTCAAAGAAATATCCGCTGAGCTTTTCTACATAGAAGTTTTGATCCCTAATTAAAGAGCCAAATGAGCACAAAAGGCGTCAGAATGAAAACATAATACATGGTGTCATCAAGAAATATCCAAAAATTCGTTTCTATAGCCTCATCTCTTGCGTACTCGAAGTTCAGCTTGTATCCTTTTCCAGTAGTGGCTTCGACAATCAGAACAATGACGGTAAAAAGCAGCGGCATTCCCCAGCCGACGACGGAGAGCTTCGTGATGTACTTGCTCCTTGGTTTGTTGAGCACGACGGCGACACTTGTTTTTGGTCGAAGAAATTAAGAAGAACAAAGCTTTTAACAAAGGATGTTCAATACTGCCCGTCCGAGTTTTGGGAATAAATTTATTCATTCTGATAAGAATGTAACACTCGAAGAGACGAACATTGGCAGTGAGATATTGAGTGTGTTCATCTGAGCTGTTTGAGCGACCATTCCTGTAGTACAAGTGTACCCCTTCACACGCCATCCAGAAAAATACGGCGGTGATGAAATATTGAGCAAAGGCGGCGGCAGTGACCAGTTGAGGACAATAGTTCATCTCATAGCGCAGTTTCATCCATTCTAGCGGAGAATATTTATAGCCACCCTTCTTTTTATTATTGGGATCTTAGATTCGTTAGACTCCCTCGTCCCCTAAGGTCACTTGCTTATCTAGATCGAGCTTTGCTCGGTCGCCGCCGTGTATTTCTCTCCATTCGGTAATTCACGCAGTTCGTGAATTAACCTCTATTTTACTCCAGCTCGAAATACAGACGTCAAAGATACTTTACTCGTTTTCTTCACTCGTCCAGATATAGAGAGCAGGCAAACTACGCTAGAAGTGGGAGATTCAGCAGAAGCTAGGATCCCTTCAGTGGTATCAGAGTAGTCCCGTTGGAGAAAAGGTAAATTTTCCGCCATCGACAACCGAAGTTTCGCAACTTGGACGCTGATTGGCCGTCAGCGGAGTCGAGGGGAACCGAATCACCAACCGCCACCGCGCCGCCGGAGAAACTCCACTCAGAGAATTTTCCGCGCCGCACCACACCAACACCACCCCGAGCGAGCGCCACCGCACGAGCGCCACCACGACCCACGCGCCGAAAGTCGCGCCCACGCAACCACGCACGCACGCCGGGGAAAACCTAAAATACTGAGAAAAACATAATTCTTTCGCCACTTTTCACCAAAAATCGAGAGAAGTTTACGAAGAATCGACCCTTGGACCAGACCTTGAAATTTCGACAATCGCTGGACAGAGAAATCGTCGGGCGTTTGCGCAAAAAGGCACCTCAGCTCATCATATTGCGACTTTTAGTCGCAGTATTTTCTGAGGGCCTGAAAGGTAATCCAAGGCCCATAAACCCTTACTGCCGATATATTTCGAGCTATGGCGGCGAACAAATCACTGCTAGAAACCGTCACCGAAATAAGAAGCATAAACGATCGAGTAAACTACCTCGAAGAACAAGTGCGAAATGACGAATCACTAAAGCCAAGCCTAGAGCCCTTGATCACAGAAAGCAGAGTAAAATTAGAACAGCTCAGTACAACGCTTCTTACCTGCGAGCTCGATCAAGGAAAAGACTCTACGAATGCGACAATGAGAGAAGAAGCATGGGTGGCCACTACCTGGTCTCGTCACGTCCAAGACTTGCCGAAGCTGGACGCCGCATGCAACACATCTTTCAACACCTTCTTGGGCAGAGCCGACATTTATCACCGCGCCTACGTCCGCGACAGACCTTCACGTGAACAGCCTTTCATCGCAGCAGTGTACAGCCACTTCGACTTGAACATCGAACGCTCACTTGGAACCGAATTTCTGAATTGTCAAGACTGGAAATCGGCCAAGGCGCTGCTAGAGAAATCATTCGCCGCGAAGAGTCACTACTTACTGAAGCTAAGCGAAGTTTTCGACGTCGAATACGACCATTCGAAGCCGTTTGCACACTACACCGCCAACGTCTTGCAAAAGATGAACGAGGCGAAGCAAGCGACTTTGAACTCTTACCGACAAGAGAAGTCAGCCGACGCCGGGGTCGATGAAATATTTGACATATTCTCGACGATGATGCTGTACTTGAATCTTAGGAAAGAAGAACCAGACGTTTTCAACGCAATCCTTCCAAGCCTATCAAAAGTTTACGATATCAACGAACTCTGCCGTCTCGCCCAATCCACAAGACAGAATCGAGTTGACAGCGCGACCGTCTCCCAGCACTTCAACAGAAATAAGAACAAAAGAAGAAGAATGCTAAGCGCGCCAGCAACGATTCTAAGGATGGGAAAGACGATAAACAACCAGAATCCAAGAAGATAAATACGACTAAGAACGTTGAAGATTTCCAACCATTCGACGTTCACTTTTACACAGTGAAGAAGAAGCGACCAGGAAAGGCTTATTTCGCTTCGGCTACCATCATTACGGGCTCTAAAAGTTTTGACGTATCGATGGAAGTCGACAGCGGAGCCGAGTCCTCCTGTCTGTCCGCTGCTTACGTTCCCGACGAATTTCTCCAGATGCTGAAGCCCTGTCCCTTCAAGGTCACCGGTTTCAGCCCAAATATTCCCGCCGAGCAGCCGATGGGTATCCTTCCCTGCCGCTTATCATTCAATGGTGGCCCTGCATTCTCCCTGAATCTCACCATTATGCCAGGCAGTAAATACCCAAGTCTACTGGGCCGCGATATACTAGAGAATGCGATGACGGACAGCTTCACAGTCGACAATAAGAATCGTACTCTCTCATTTTGCTACAACGAAGCCTTCACACAAACTGAGACTCAAGTGGTGAAGCTGGACGGAGTGAAGCGGACCAAAATCAAGAAATACTTGACTACTAGATCAGCGGTCAAGGATAGCGATCGATCCCGCACTCAACCGCCACCAAAAGTCCCAAAGCTGGACGCACCTAACAAGAACGCAGCCAGGTGCCCCATTCAGCTAGCGAAGCAAAAACTCGGAATTACCCTACCAGCAAACGCCGACCCGGGGCAAAAGAAGGTGGTCGCCGAGCTGTGTTTGGATTTCGACGACAGATTCGGCTGCGACGGTCAAAAAATGGGTGAATTCCCATTCGAGATCGAAATCCCGACTGATGGTACGAGTCGAAACATCAGTCAACACCCTATTCCGCAAGCTTTTCATGGCCAGGTCACTGATCACATCTCCGAACTGCTCGATACGAAAATAATAGAAGAGATCAAGGACCAGAAAGGGTTTAATAGCCCCGTTCTGCCAATCCCTAAGAAATCTGGGGAAATGCGCTTCTGCATCAACTACAAGAACAGCTTGAACAAATGCCTCTCCGACAAATCCGACCCATATCATCTTCCGAGCATGGAGGATACGATCGCGAACATTGGACCGGGCAACAAGTATTTCGCCACAGTTGATTTGCGGAGCGGATATTGGCAGTGCCCTATTAAGAAAAGCGATAGGTATAAGACTTCCTTCCAGTGGGGTGGGAAATCTTACGCCTTCTGCAGATTACCTTTCGGTTATCGATGCTCGGGGAATATATTCTCGCGCGTCGTAAACACGATTCTCGACTCAAGCCCCACCAGGAAGAAGATGCTTTCTTATATCGATGACATAGTATGTTTTGGGAAGTCTTTCAGCTGCTATTACAACACTCTCCGAAACCTATTCATCGCGCTCCGCAAGTTTAACGCTAAACTCAAGGGCGAAAAGTGCTCTTTCCTACAATCAGAAGCTCACTTTTTGGGCCGAATCATCAACGAAGAAGGAATCAAACCGGACCCTGCGCAAGTCTCCGCCCTTCGTCAGATGAAACCCCCACGCTCCCAAAAGGAGTTAGCTTCATTAATCGGGTCATTGAATTGGATCCGAGGTTTTCTAGAAACAAAAATGGGCGAAGCTATTTCATCCGGTTGCTTCTCGAGCAGAATGAAACCCATAAACGATGTTCGAAATTCGGCGAACGAAACAAATTGTTTCAAGTGGACCAAAGAAGCGGATTTGGCGCTCAAGGAAATTCAACGACGACTCTCCGAGACTCCTGTCATAAGCTTTCCTAACTTTGACGAGTCTTTTCACCTCTACACAGACGCGAGCCTGTACGCAGCGGGTGGTGTTCTGCTACAAGAGTATGGCGGGAGAGTGCACCTAGTAAGCGCGATTTCCCACACCTTCAACAAAGCTGAAAGAAAATGGAACACTTCAGAAAAGGAAATGTTTAGCATTGTCTGGTGCTGCGAGCGACTGGAAAAGCTCCTGAAAGGTAGATTCTTTCAGATTCACACAGACCACAGATCTTTGATCTTCCTACACAAAAAGAAGTTCAAGAATTCTAAAATAAGCCGATGGCAAAGCCGATTGGAAGAATTCGATTTTCACATTGTCTACATCAAGGGATCAGAAAATCAATTCGCCGATTTTATGAGCCGCAGACCTGGCGAGGACGACAAATCACTTGGATACGACTCTGAGTTTCCCGTTGGTCGCGAGTACGAAATCGACAAGAATTCACCAGTACGTGTCTTCGTCCCTTTCTGGAACGAAAATCAGTTTCCGGAGAAAATCACTTTATCAGAGGTGAAGATACATAAGGTAAACGTCAAGGCTATCGCGGCGCCAATGGAGATTCCGTTGGTGTCAGCGAATTATAATAACATTCTGGACTATCAAAGGGAGGACTCTGCTCTGAGTGCAATCATCACTTTTCTGGAATCTGGTAAGGAGCCACTGGACATAAAATCGCTGGTGAAGGACTCCGACCACCGACAATCGTCTCTACTCAAGATGGAAAAAGCTCTGTTCCTGGATAACACTACCGGGTGCTTGATGTGTCAATTCAAATCTGGCGCGCGGGCGGTGGTACCGGAAGCGGTAAAAAGTCACTTTCTCTTTCTAGCTCACGACTTGTCCGGTCATCTGGGCGAGCCGCGGACTTTAGAGCGATTAGAGGACGTTTGGTGGCCTTCATTTCAAGACGATGTTTCTAACTACGTCCACAGCTGCGTCCCTTGCCTACGCAGAAAAGGATCTGCTGGAACTCGTACCAAACCGCCACTTGGAACCCTTCGTCGTGGAAAAACAGCTGGCGAATCGATTCAGATCGATTTCGCTTGTATGCCTCCCGCTGGCGGATTCAAGTATTATTTGGTGGTGGCGGACACTTTCTCTCGCTACACTTGGTGCATTCCGACGCGGTCCGACACTGCTATCTGCGCTGCAAAAGCGCTCATCTACAAGGTCTTCCTTCCCATGGATTTCTTGCCGAAACATCTACACAGTGACAGAGGTACCCACTTCTGCGCAAGCGTGATTGACGAAATGTGTAAGCTTAACCAGATAAAACATACAATAAGTACCGCATTTCACCCTCAATCAAACGCTTTCGCAGAAAGAGCGAATCGGACTATCAAAAACAGTCTATTCTGCATGGTCAACTCATCTTCCGGTCGAAAAACTTGGGCCGACTGCGTTCCCCACGTGATGCGCGCGCTCAATAGTGTGAAAAACAAAAGCACGAAAATTTCACCGCGAGAAGTTTGGTTTGGCCGAAAAAGTACTTTCACCCACTCTACTGGCGCAGAAATGACAGCGGAAACACCTCAGGTGTTTGGTCTCAATGTTGGAGCTTTAGCGAAATCGGCGGAAGCCATTGTGAAAACTGCGATGGAAGCTGCTGACCGAGCCATGGAGCACAGGCTGAAAAACGAGCCTAAGCCGAGACCAATCCCCGCTGGCGCTGTCGTGTACATTAAGCGAGAAAACCTGACCGACGCTAAAAGCAAGAAGGAACGCTGGGTAGGTCCCCTGAAAGCCGTTTCGAGCAACGACTGGGTCGTCATGGTCGAAGATAAAAAAGGACAACGTGATTTCATCCATCGAGAACACGTGGTTCACGCCGCAGAACGAAATCACGACTTACGCTGGATTGATTACTACGAGGCCGAGTACGTATTCCCACATTTAACCGAAATCGTTAAGTCGAAAGTCCCACAAAAATCGCCTGTTCCTACTTCCAAACCGATGGAAAAGTCCGGGTCGAAGTCGCATGGGGGGAGGAAATCTTCTCAGGTCGCGTCGACTCCGATGGTTGCTATGGAAAAACCGCCAAGATCATCTCTATCACCTATTTTGGAAAGTAGACGCCGATTGGACATGGAAAATCTGGGAGATACAACCGCTACATCTATTTTGGACTCGTCGGTAGCTCCAGCCGAGCCGTCAGATCGCTGGTACTCTGGTGGTACTCTTTATGAAACTGCCGAGGACATGTCAGCTGATGCTACAGTGATTTCGGAGGTTGCTGCGCCCGACAATAGCCATATGTCAGTCGATAAACAAAATTCAACAGTAGTTGAGGGCTCAGCAACTGAAAACAGCAAGAAAAGAACCCGTCCAAAGTCTTCACCAGATCGTCAATACTCAGCCGGCGCCGATCCGAATGCGACTTTAACCGAAGTTGGAGCAGCTCATCTCCCGAAACATACAAAACGAGCACACCGTGAAACGAGGCCCGTCGAACCTCTAAACATCGGCACAAACTCGGGTCAGTCATACGACTAAGCGCAAGTACTGCCCCACTCAGGTCCCCTATTCATCGACCGGGGCCTGAAAAGGTACGGAAATTATCACAGTTTACCGTCGCCGACGTATTTTGAGTTCTTCTACATGTGCAGCTACTCCTTCATGTCATCACCGCTCGGACATCACGAAAACTTCGCATCTGATTCAAGCTTTTTCCCAAAAAAGGGTTTTTTAACGCGAATCAGACTGCCTCGACGTTTCGAACCTGCCATGTTACTCATCTTACGCTTATACTCCTGCAAAAATCACACACTTTGGCCTTAGAGGACGTTTCAGTCTCATGGGGGGTATTGGGATCTTAGATTCGTTAGACTCCCTCGTCCCCTAAGGTCACTTGCTTATCTAGATCGAGCTTTGCTCGGTCGCCGCCGTGTATTTCTCTCCATTCGGTAATTCACGCAGTTCGTGAATTAACCTCTATTTTACTCCAGCTCGAAATACAGACGTCAAAGATACTTTACTCGTTTTCTTCACTCGTCCAGATATAGAGAGCAGGCAAACTACGCTAGAAGTGGGAGATTCAGCAGAAGCTAGGATCCCTTCATTATTCTTACCGTCGTCACCAATTCTATAAGCTTCAACAACATCTCCGATGGAGTCTCCAATCGTATCATTTCTTTTTTCGATCAATCCGCATGAGCTCTCTGTATCATTCCCCGCGTATGCTTTGAAATATGCATCTTTGCACTCGCAGCTGGCTAGGCCAGTTCCTTGAAATTTAATGTAAACAAACTTTCACATAAAGAATTTCTCTTGCCTGAGAATCCTATGGCTAGAATACAAGCATCACGACCAAGAAGTGCGAAACAGAGACTGATCAAAATTCTCTTTTGCGCGTTTGATCTCAACTTTTCAAACCACAGGTGAATTCCTAAAGTAGCCAAAAGACAAGCGATAGACAAGGCGGAAACGATGTAAGTAGTCATATTCAGATTATGAGCCTCTGGAATTGAGTCTTCATCGCGGAATGGTGTGTACAGAGCAGCAAAATTGGTGAAGTGGTTACATTTGCAAACGGTTTTGTCTTTTCATGGTCAATTTTTGATGAAAGTTTTATTGATAAAACTATCGATTTTGACCCTTCCTTTAGTTGATTGTCTCACATCCTTGATGCATCCGCTATCAGTCCATTCTTGCGCTTCTATGTCCCAGTAATTGCAGGTGTCCCAATTTCGGTTAGCTCCCCTTCTTGTGGAATCTCTAGAGAACACAAGCTGAATTCTGTCGTCTCGGTTCAAGTCTTCAATCTTGTAATCGCCAATTGAGAAAGAAATGGCTTCTCCTGTTGTCGTTTGACTGGCATTTGTAGCAAAAATTGAAGCATTTGCAAAAATAGCGCATTTGACTCTGTTTTCTGCAATAGAATTAAGCTGTGGGATAAGTGATTTTGATCCTAAATCAAGCCTTGCTTCCTCTGCAAGACCGCATTTGAAAGTAGAGTCTGGTAAAGTCGATCTTGTTACGATCGATGTATCACCAAAAGTCACGTATCTAGACATCAGATCAACGGAAATCAGCAAGTTCGGTAGAACGAGATCGAATTTTTCCTCAGAGACATCGATTTTATCCATGATGTCTTCAACTTCGTCAATAAGTTGTTGCGCATCTTCAGGTTTTAGATTGTCAAGAGATCCGAATCGCTCTGCAATGGCATTGAGTAACTGCGTCGCTTGTTTTGAGCTAACACTGGTCATATTTCCGAGGTCGCCAACAAGGCACTCATCAAAATAAGGTTCCGTCCAAACTGCCCTGCCATTCGGATCAATCGCGCAGGCCCGGACGACGCTCGAATTGCCAGAGTATTGACGGAAGTCGGTGCATTTTTAAACTGCAAGTTGATGTACGATCGATTGTGCATGTCTTTTGGCTCCCAGGGTCCATCTTTTGGACAGGTCTTACTTGGCGTTTCTTGTTCTTCCTGCTGTTCGGAAGACCAGGCCCAGTAGCCCTTTCTTTCCCCAACCATATTTGATGACTTCTGCAAGCTTCCGAGAAATAGCGTCGCCTTGTGATCTGCATTCTCTGTCTGGTTGATGTCGAAGCTAAACCAAGATTTTGTGAACTCGCCTCCTGCAACGCCAACAACAAGGACCTCCGCGTTGATTTCTGAGAGGTTTTCATAATGATTGATGATGAGCGTATAATCCGTAGATGAAACGATAATTGATGAGAAGTCATCGTGAATTGTGCTTTTTACGGCTTGAAAATCTCCATTTCAAAACACTGATAAATTAAAATTCATTACTTTTTTATTAGATGAATAAGCCCGTTCCTATCTTCGCGTACACAAGTTTTCCAGATAACTTCGAAATATGTTTTGCATTCTTCTTCATCAAAGTATTCGTCGATAATTTCCTGAACTTCTTGAGCTTCGTGTCGGCAATCGTCTGATAAGGTCCAATAAAACTCGTACTCAATTATCTCTATCATTTCATCACTGAAGCACTTGAAGTAAGGGAGGTTTACATAAGGAAATCCACGTGATCCATAAGATCTCATAGTAGCTTGACCGAATGATGATTTTGTTCCGAAGTCGATCTCTTCGTCTCCGAATGTCGTGTGCCCATTTGCATGGACAAAGACCTTATTTGTATTGAACTCATGTCCGTAGAACCAGACTCGTTCTTTGTTGATCTCACTTTTGCAGTTTGAAGAAGTGCAACTGTCTTTTAATGAAATTTGTTCTTTCGTTCGGTTTTACCTTTTTCTTCGTCAAAACATAATCAAAAATAAAACTGCCAAAAACCTTTCCTAAAAAGTCGCATTGCTTGTCGTTATCAATACAACTGTCGCCCCCAGTAAATTTATAAGCATTCCCAAAATCCAATAAACTCGTTAATAATATTAAAATCAGTATTTTTCTCTTCATCTTCATACAATTATCTCTTTTCTGTTTGCGGCATCGGGGTGTAAAAGAGACAACAACTTCCTTATAATCAAGAATTTTTACTTCACTGCTGTAGGGCTTAGTGAGCTAAGCCATGCCAGAGTCGTTAAAAAGACTTCATTGTATGACGACATAAGCGTAATTATGTTTCTAACACTCAAATATATGTCTATTCATCATCGGAAGCACACGCCAAAATAAAGACATCACAATAGTGTCACCACAATAAAACATATTATAGCTTTCATTTCAGAGAAAAATCTTAATAAAAGAAAGGATTTAGTTTCAAAAAGCAAACTCTCTAAGAATTAATTTGATTGATTACTATTGTTATTCGGCAATTTTATGATTTTTTTAAGAATAAATCTTCATTAAATCTTCAAATAAGAGACCCTTCAGTAAATTTTAAAAGACGAAGAATGAAAACCATTTGAGGGAAAGAAATATTGTATTACTCTTCAGAAAGTCAGAGAGCTTGAATTTAGGGCACAAACTAAAATCAGGAAGTATAAAGATAGGAAGCGACAAAAAAGGAAATGCATTTTCTGAAGACCAATAAGATCGCTGCATTTGGCCTACCGGCCAATGAAAACCCATTCCAAAAGTATCACTTCCTTTTTTGTCACTTCCCATCTTTATACTTCCTGATTTTGGTTTGGCCCGAATTTAGTGAACAATGATGGTTCCCTTGTGAGATCGGTTTGTGAACGCGTTGTTTCTTTTCGAGGTCTGACGATTTATAGTTCAATATTACTGAGATACATATAATTTTCAGATCCGTTCCTGGTACACATGTACTGGTGGATTCCCTTGTTCATTCGGACGACGTTTCCTTTGAAGTAGGCAGGGGCGTTGTTCAAGAGGTTGTTCATCGGTTCGACTGGATTCTCCGCTGGGTTGGAGCATCGGCCTTCATGGTGGCATCCGTAGAAACCGCCGGTTGCCATTTGAATCTTGAGGTCGTCCATGTGAGTAAGATCGCTGACATCACCAGACGTCCAAAGCCATTCAGAGAACATCTCCGGATCGGGGAGCTTAACGTCGTAGACCTCTTTGACGCATGGGAACCAGCCGTAGTCCCACTCATGCCGGGCGTTATACCATTTTCCGTTTTCTTTCATGACAGCAAGCGTGTAAATGGTATTATAGAAATCCATCTTAGGATTAGTTCCGTCAAAGTGATTGTAGACAATTCCTTCTTCGGTTTCACTCTCGATCCATTTTGCTATTGAATATTCATTTTGTGGAAAATTTTTTGATATAATTTCTTACCATTGATGCCAAGAGGGAAATCGCCTTTCCAAACTCCTTCTGGATTAAACCAGTACTTATTGAGTGCCTCATTGTATGCATCGCTAGTCGGCATTGGAAGTTCCATATCGAAAGAATTGCAGGCGTTTTTAACCTCAAGCATGTTGTAGCCATAGGTTGGTCGGACGTAGAATGTTCGTCGCACGCCATTTTCTTCAAAAGAAAAGTGATCAACTGGAAGATCATCATTCTGATTCTGATCTTCGATCCATCCGGCGGGAATGTTGGTGTTCGGTTTGACCAGAGGGACGATGTTGCTTCGATCGGTATTTTCCTGACCTTGACCAGCGCCAGTGGGAGAGGTGTTTGAGCCTTCCCATTGGAAGTGCACAAGATCATAACTGTTGATTTCGAGATCTGTGGGGCTGAAGTCGTATTCAATGGCTGGGTAAGTTTGAGCGGCATTTCCTCGTCGACCTCGAACTCCGACGTTGAAAATTTTATGATCATCTGGGATACTTGCCGGTCGGGGAACAATCTTGATTTTGAATAAGCTGAGGGAAGGTGGTAAAATTTTACCTGGAAAAGATGAGTTCGATCCTGGAAGACACGTCCGAATTGAGCAGTATTGATCGCAAGAGCGAGGTCAATTCCTTTGTATGAGATCACAGGGTTCGCCCAAATTTCGGGGGAAGAATAATAAGTTTCGGTTTGATCAGTGGAGAAGTCATCTGGGTAATCGTTGGTCGTAATGTTGTATCGAATTCGGAGAGCGCACTCTTTGGTGAACTCGGGAGCCTCGTAATGTGGAAGTGTCCATTTGAAGTTGGGAAGAGTACCTTCGTCAGTGTTGCCGTTGTGGTTGGTGCGCATGTTGGGAGCGGTGATGCATTCTGGTTCAGGATGGAGAACAAGACATTTTTCCTTCGGAGCTTGGTATCGACCGGGACCAGTCAAGTATGGAACAGCCCATCGAACATCTTTGTTCTTGATCATTTGCTTCTCGCATTCAAGCTATTCAAGTTTCAGGTTTGCCATATTTCTTATTTCATACCTGATCCTCTCCGATGATGTCTTTGTAAGATTGAAAGCCAATCCAAGTTCCTTCAGCCATGTCACAAGCTTCTTTGTGGTTTGCTTCGGACCAGCCTTGAACGGTGTTTTCGTCGATGAAATGAACACATTCATGCTTGACAACTCGGTTACCAGAGTTTGCTACCATGTTTTCACATTTTGTCGGTTCGGAGGTGAGAACAGCAATGTCAGTCCACTCAGATGGATGCCAGTAGGGGTAGTAGTCTCTCTCTTCTGGACACTCAAGACCTCGTTTGTTACCGTTCGCATTTTGGCGAGTTCGCGTGGCTCCTTTCGATCGACCTGGGTTCTTATCAGCCATAAAAAGGCCTCGATTGCGCTCTCGTCGGTAGCATGCATCGTATGATTCCCAAGATTCGTGGAAGCCCGTATCCGGGACCTCCTCAAAATCCGTGTCCTTTCGAGCGAGGGTGGCGTCGTGATCTTCGTCGGCAGCTGGCTCAGTGTACTGCGATGACGTAGTAACAAAACCATTGGACATTCGAGTAGAACCAGAGTCTTGGCACATGTATTGAATGACGATCTGGCAGTTGATCCAGTTGGCATCATTCTTGTTAGCCAAACCGCACCCGTGCTGGCTGAACCACTCAATGGCGAGTTCGGTCGGGGCTTCCTCGCCTGATTGGAAGTAAGTAGCTTTGCTTTGACCCTCAACGGTCGTGGCAGCTTCCGAAGTCAAATCGCCGACATTGTAGCCTCCTCCTCCGCCATTTTGGGAGTCGAAAAGTCGATTACCGTTTTCGCGGTTTCCTCCCTATTTCTTGGTCAATTTTTTAAAATTGATTGACACTTACCTGTTCGTTGAGACGATTGTTACTTCCTCGCGGAAAGTGGAGATAAATGTCAGCCAGGGAGCTGGCGAGAAGACTCGAAAGCACTAGAATAGCAAGGATAGACTTGAAACCTTTTTTCTCGATCTTACCTTTCATGATTTCGAATCTAAGTGAAATTGAATTGAAATTACGATTTTTAAATACTGACTTTTATTGACACTCGTTAAATATTTTTGAGAATCACTGCAATAAATCGTCGTGCAGAATACAGTTATCAACCAATTTCGCACTTGAGTTCAAGCATTGGTAGTCGTCACTTGAGTTTCCGCGGGATTTTCCGCATAAACCAACAGCATGACCCTTATGATACGGCGATTCGCATCATTAGCCTCGTGACTTTCCTCAGGCGAGATTTTAATGCATGCAGATTTGATCGCCGTTCAAGGCTACTCCTTCAGAACTGATCGATCATTTAGCACCTATCTGTATGCAATTATACAGTTACCCTCAGGCGCGTGCGGCGACCAGCATGTACAGCGCCCCCAGGTGATTTAGAGTCTATGCATGCTAATTAACCCTGATCGAACAGCTCAATTTCAGCTTGTTGAAGGAACACGAGGAAATTTGATAATTAACGTGTAATGACGAGGACCTGCAAAAATTGCGAGACAGAGATTAAAGGTCCGTATAATTAACCTTGCCGAGAGCTTTAATGACTATTTAAGGGGTTGTTCTATGCATAGATCACGATTTCTTCCACGAGACCTGTTTGACGGTAAGAGATATAAAGTTTATATTATAAAGTTTATAATATAAACGAAAGAGGGTTGTCTATTTCGTCAAACTTGAAGACAACGAAGAGAATACTCAGCCTTATTTAGTGCTATGATTGCAACACTGAATTGAAAACGCCATCAGCATGGAAAACGAAGAACTCTGATAATATTCTGTGCCACGATTGCTATTGCAAAAGATGCAAGACTGGGAAAAGATGTTTGGGATGCCAGGTAAGCCGCATCTCAGAACTCGTGTCTTGAAATTTCTTAGGGCGAGATAACAGTAAACGACTGGATACAAGCTTTTCCAACTGGCATCTTTCATCATCGATGCATCGTTTACAAATGCTGCGACTGTGCAGTTCCAAAGGGAGCACCATTTCACTTTGTAAACGGCGAAATCATTTGCCCGACTCACATGAAAATCAGCAGCCCTCAAGATCAAGGAACATCAGAAGGAGACCCAGAAAGCTCACCTGAGTCCAACGATCCCCAGGATGAAAACTCTAACGACAAAACTGAAATCAGCCCTAGTAAAACAAAGCGTCGTGGCCCAAGGTAAAGAATAACCACTTTCCTTTTCAAAATTTCGAATAAGGACGACGATCAAAGCCAAGCAGCTGGAGATTCTGAAAAATGCATTTCTCGCAGCGCCGAAGCCGACTAGACACATGAGAGAGAAACTATCATCGGAGACTGGACTGTCTATGCGAGTCATTCAAGGTAACTATAATACCTCTTTTATGTCTGCTTTTACAATCCGACTAGTCTGGTTCCAAAATCGAAGAAGCAAAGAACGCCGACTAAAGCAGATGAAACAGTGCGACTTGTCAAAACGAATGTACCCATCCGAAGCTGACTACCACTATCAAGGTGAGATACTAGCTTCGAAGTTTTCTCGAGCATATTTTATATTTTAGCAATGATGAATTCGCAAGATCAATTTGGAGCTGAAATGGCTTATGCAAATATGAACATGCCGATCGAAGAAAATCCAGGTGGGGACCTGACATCCTGGTTCAAAAATATCTAAAGGAATATTGTATACTTCCTCTTCACTTTCTCTCTGTTGTATATTTAAATAAATGCAGAAGCGGTACACTCAAAGGACAATGCTTTTTTGATGAGTTGTAAATCACGTCAATGCTAATTACCCTGCATCGATCTTCAATTTGAGAGGTGTGCCCAGCGTCCGGAATACAGATGTGTAGTGATCCCTCCAGCTCGTGATCCAATTTTACGGCAATTTAGCTTCGAGCCTACATCTTTCAATCATGGACAATTTTTTTTGCATAATTTCGGAGAAATTTACTATCCACGTGGATAATTTTTCTTGCGAATGAAATGGAGTGCAGATGCTTCAATTGGAGTGCATGGTAACAGTTATTCCTGCACTGATTTATAGGCTTAAAAATAAGGCAGAACCTGCAAATAAAGTTCATTCTTGCAATGATGAAATTATGACAGTAAGATCATCAAATGACAAAACATAAGCATCATTTTTATGAACAATTTAAAATTATAAATTTTTTAGAAAAATCTATTCTTGAAAATAAAAAAGTAGAATTAAAGGCACTTGAAAGCATATAAGGGGAAGACAAGAGGATAGGGGAAGTAAGAAAGCGGGTAAGTAAGCAGTAATAAGTGAAACTCCAACTGAGAGCGAGAGAGAAAGGTCAATAATTTTTAGGAATAGATTTTTTTTAATTTTTGCGTAACTGGTCCTCAAGCATTATCAATTCTTCAACAATCATACAGTGGTTAGCTAAAGGGCCGACAATTTCTCCTAGCTCTGAGATGATATCTTCAGGGAACTCTTTCAACTCGTACATTCGACGAAAGAAACTAGAAACCGTTACGAGAAAGCTTATCATTCGCCACTTACTTATAAGCATTCGTAAAATTGACTTTTCCCAGCATATCGATGCATTGCTTTTTTAATCTTTCGTATTTACTCGTTAAAACTCCGGAAGCAAGATCAGTGCTTGGATCGATTCTTTCAAATTTCTCTTCTTGGTATAAACTTCCATTTATTTTATCAGTCAGAGTAAGTCGAGCTTCTCGAATAATTTCATCGTCCTCAGAATCGTCTTCATCACTTTAGAAACATATTTATTTTTGATAACAAGGAAGATTTCTAACCTTGTTGACTCCTCATCAGATGAGTCTGATTCGGAGTCCGAATATTCAGTGGCTTCTAAGTGAGAAGCATATTCGTCGATTTCTTCTGGTAGAGCGAAATCTATCGACGCTGTCGGAGTTTTATCAGAACTTATACTTGATTGTTTATCACTTGTTTGAGACCAGTGGCGAGCAAAAGTTTTTGCTAAACATTTCTTTATAAAAAGCGCAGTTTGAAAACCAACCTTTGATTGTATCGAGTTGCTTCACAGTTTCTGTAAAATCAGGCTTCGAGGTCATAGAAATCATCTCTTTTCCCGAGCCAGGGCGTGAACCACGAGAGCCCGTCGAACTTCGTGATGTGGCGGAGGATGCTCTTGATTCTGAGAATATTGAGTCTTGGAGAATTTGCGCAGCACTCGGTCTCGACTGAGCCGATTTATCCAACATTTTTGCAAGAATATCGACAACTGGCCAAAGTTTGAGATCGGCAACTTCATCTGAAATAGAGTGTAATAAACCGTTTTTCAATTTTTTCAATTTACTTTTTGATATTCGTGGCGCCGGATCCTCGACAATTTTATACATGAGACGCATAAGAGAATCACTGGTATATGCTCGTTTTAGAAGAATAAGCTCGTGGATGATACAACCCAGCGACCAAATATCAGCTTTTGTGTCATATTTGGCGTCTTTGATCATCTCCGGAGCCATGTAATAAGGCGTACCAAGGAAGGACTAAGATCAATTAGTATTTATTGTATTTATTGATATTTCTTGTGACTTTATCCTGAAAGACCTTAGCGTATTATCTTCTGCATGCTTGTTTTATGATAAGAAAAAGAAATTGCGTTCTTTAGGTTGAATTTTTTTTCAGAAGGTTTTATTTATCAGAATTTAATTTGGATCGATATTATTGACACAGCATATTTATTTCAGAAGAGTTCCAAGTTTTTGGCTAAGCATGACGTTTCCTTTGATTTTCATCTGACCACCGAAGAAGGCTTTCTGAGCATCGAGCTTTCCGGCAGCGATATCGGCAAAGTCAGAATCAGAAACAATGATGGTGCAATCGGCCTTGCCGTCGGATTCTGAGACTGATCCATCCCCATTTTTCAAGTCAACAACCCAGCTTTTCGCCAGTTTACCACCATCCAAGATTTCAAATTTGAAAATGCCCTTGACTTTGTTGACCGCGCTGGCGTCAACCTTATCGCTCATCTCCGCGAAAAGTTTGTCAGTAAGCAACGCCGTGGCAGAAGCAGATGATCCAGAGGATGATTCTGACTCTTCGAAGCCGAATTCAACAAAGCCGCCTGAAATCGCTTTCTTGTTAGATTCCTTGATCCAGACTTCGAAAAGAACTTTTTCGCCATCTTTCCACATTTTCGTGACGAGAGTATCGCCCGGAAGAACTGGAGATGAAAAGCGTCCCTTAATCGCTGAGATGGGGGTGTCTGGGAATTGATTTTGAATATGTCTGACCGCGTATCCGTATGTGCACATTCCGTGAAGAATGGGGACCTTGAAGCCAGCCATCTGAGCAAAGTCAGGATCCAAGTGAAGAGGATTGGGATCACCACTCAATCGGTACAAAGCGGCTTGTCCTTCTGGAACGAATTCTTCAAAAGTATGATCGGGTTCTCGATCAGGGGCATCGATTGGCTCGACAATATTTTCTGGATTGTTGGTTCCGCCAAAACCTCCTTGGTTACGAACAAAAGTAACAAATTGATTGGTACAGACGAGCTCTCCATCTTCATCGCGGGATTCATAATCAGTTGAGAAAACAAGATGCTTTCCCTTATCCAATACGTCCCCAACGGACGCGGTAGTAGTGAGTTTGGCACCATCAGCGTCGAAGGGTTTGTGAAGCTTGATGTATTGTTCGCCGTGGAGAATGTTGGCAAGGTTGACTTTCAGTCCAGGAGTTTCGCCAAGCTCAGTCAGGGCTTTGAAAGCAGGGACGATGGCGAAAGAAGGAAGAGGCTGGAAATCATCATGATTTTCGTAGATAAATCGCAGCTCGCAATTATCCTTCATTGGTCCAGCACCGACACCCAGGTTGTACAGAATTACGTCTTTGTTGGTGTATTCCCAGTCAACTGGTTCTGATTTCCATGCTTTTGCCTTGTTTGGTTGGATATCAGCATCTGGATCATCTCCTGCGGCTTCTGGAGCGTCAGGCATGTCAGAAATGGCATTCATGATACGCATGGTAGCTTCCTGAATTGACTCGACAGCCTCTGGCTCATCATCGAAATTGCAGATTTCGTCGAATTTCGCTGCAACGTCCTCGACAGTAGGATAGGCAGCTTTTGTTGCGAAAAGAGCTCCCTTGGTGCTCTGGAATCGGAGCTTGCTAGAGTAACCACCACCGGTCTCGAAGACGCCACCAGTTTCGTCGCAGTCTTCGTGGCAGAGGTAGAGGGTGAGAGGGGCGACAAACTGAGGTCCGAGCATTTCGTGAAGATCAGCTGGGAAGATGTTTTCAGTCATTCGGGAAAGAGCTTGAGGAGCGACAGCGTTGCAGAGGACGTTGTTTTTTCGCCCTTCGATTGCAAGGGTGTTGGTTAGACCAACAAGACCCATCTTGGCCGCGGCATAATTTGCTTGCCCAAAGTTTCCATAGATTCCAGAGCTTGAGGAGGTGTTGATGATACGTCCATACTTTTGCGCCTTCATAACTTCGAAGGCCTTTTGGGAGAGCTTGAAAGAAGCAGTAAGATGGACATCCATGATCGCTTGCCAGTCGTCATCGGAAATTCTCAAGAAGGATCGATCTCTCAAGATTCCAGCGTTGTTGATCAGAATGTCCAGCTTTCCATACTCCTCGAGGACTGGTCCCAAAACTTCGTCCGTATTGCAGACGTTTGCATAGTTCGCCATCGCATTTCCTCCCGCAGCTTTGATCTGAGCAACGACTTCATCAGCAGCGACACTAGAAGCTCCTTCGCCGTGCATTCCGCCGCCAAAATCGTTGACGACGACAGTTGCTCCTCGAGCACCAAGTGCTAAAGCATACTCTCGACCAAGACCGTTTCCAGCGCCGGTGACAACGGCTACACGACCATCATAACGGAGAGTAGAGTTGCTTCGTTTTGCGACTCTCGGCGCAGTCCTTGTCAGGAATCTGTTCATTCTCGTTTCTCTGGCGAGTAAGGAACTCTTAGCAGTACCAAAAAAGCAGGGAGAAATGAAATATCTGCCAAATGCAAATATACCGCCTCTCTTTAGCAAATATTTTCTGGGCGGGTTGTTTGCATTTATGCCAAAGATTCAAAAGTTAGAGCTTTGATTATTTTATGAAGTCAGTGTCAAGAATGACTAAATAAAATGTTTTTGAATGCTATTCTGATTTTTCAAAATCGTAAATTCTGATCTTATGCGTTTGATGCTGACATTATCTCAAGTCTATCGAGTCACAGCGTAAACATACGATAGATTCTTTACCTTTGCGAAGCTTTCTTGAAGAACTCTTGACACTCCAAGGTCACCGATTTTGACATCTTGGCCAGCAAGAAAGACATTTCGCGACTTTAAATCTCGATGCAGAATTGGCGGTCGGGACGTATGCATGTATTTGATCGCCTCTGTCATTTGTTTCATCCATTTTATGACAAGACAAGATGAGATCTTCTCGTTCACGTCTCTCCTCCGGACAATGTAGTGCTCCAAATCGCCACCATTGCAGTATTCTGTCACGATGCAGAAAGACTCTCGTTCAATAAACGAGTCATGAAACTGAATGATGTATTTGTGGTTCAGTTTACGGAGCAGTTTCGCTTCGCGTTTCGCATCATCACAAGGATCTTTCCCATCTGAAGATTTGCTTCCAGGGCCGATGTTGATAATTTTTATAACAAGGCATTCGTCCTCATAGTACTCTTAAAATTTCAATTGATATCTTGAAATCAACGAGGAGTACCTGCTCGTTTATTGTGCCAGCAAGTGTAGACTTCACCAAAACTCCCAGCTCCAAGTCGTTTCTCCAGAACATAATTTCCCTTTTGGCGATCTCTGACAGCCATTTTCTAGCTCAGTCTCATTCTACAAAAGCAAACAAAATTGAGTAGCGAATTTCTCTGAGATTTCCGTGAAAAGGAAAAAATATTTTTATTTGAGTCCATATTTGCCCAGAAAGTGCTTCTCAAAGGGGCTTCCGCGCGCCGTCACGATGAGATTTGGGCAGCCGCCATAGACGACCACGTTTTTCATGCGGAGTACGCTATTGAGCGGAGCTCCCAAGTCGACTTTCATGAGCTTTTCTAGCGTTCGGTTTTCAATCCAGACATTCACTCCGTCCACATTGTATTTGCCCTCCTTATCCCAAGTCGCAGGTTCGGCAAACATGTGCGAGATCATTTCGTACGTCGTCACGTTTTCAGCAAACGATTCAATGAAATCCGACGTCGTATGCTCGGGATAAACGAATGTCACTGGCAGGGGTGGATAATTTGAAATCATTTCATTATTCCATTTTTTCCAGAGCAAAACTGGCTTGATGAATCAGTCTGAAATTTTCAGGACTGATTCGAACATATAAAAGATGATAACATCCGAAATTTCAAGCCGATTCATCAAGCCAAATTTGCTCTAGAATAAAATGGAATAATGGCTGATTTCAAAATATCCACCCCTGGTCACTGGCCAGTTGAGGACTCCGTCAGCGATATGCACTCTGCAGCCAGAGGGATGATTTGTTTCTGAATTCAATTGTCGATTCTTATCACGAGAAATAAAAATTACCTATCGCTTTTATGACATTGGCAGATTCCTCGTTGTAATCATCTTGCTTCTTGTCCTCTTCTGGAATATCAAAGGTAACTCCAGAGGCGATAATACAGTCAACGAGCTTCTTTTCTTTTGCCTTTTTGATCGCATCTTCTCTTCTCTGCGAATTCCTTTTATAAAGCGAGAAATATAAGGAGGCTTACCTGTTTTCTTTCAAGCTTCTCGATCTCCTTCGATTTCTTTGTGAATTTTTCTCTAAACTGGATGAACTTTTCATTCATCTCTTTGCTCCGATCAGATGTTAGTTCAAAAGCCTTATTCACCATTTCGAGTCCCTTCAATGAGCGTAAATATTTCATCAAAAAAAGTAAAACATACTTCTTTGAAACGGCCGAGTTTCTCGCACGACTGAAAAATCCTCAACCATGCTTTGAAGTAATTTCTGTCTATTTTAATGGCCATTCCACTATCCTGAATTGCTTGTCTCAAATTTCCACGGAAGAAATGCGCCGCTGCCCTATTGTTATAACATTGTCCAAGAAGTTGCTTGTCTGGTGGATTTATCGTTATAGCCTTGTCTCAGATTATCCAGATTCTCTTCCATCGCAAATATTTTTCCAAAATTCTGGTGCAATCTTTCCTTAGAGTACGCGACGCATGCCTTCTTGTACAATTTGCACTTGAAATGAAAAGTTCCATCTGATTTATACGCTTCCGCTTGTTCATCAAGCGTGTCACCATCCGAGTATTTCATTGCTTGCATTTGTTGGAGGAATTCATTGTCGTCGATTTCGTCTTGTGTGTACAGATGATTAGGATCCATGAATAAAGGGTGGTTTTCGAATTCCTCCATTGTCATTTCTTTGTAGGTTGAGCCCTCATTATGCTCCCTGAAAGTGATCAAAAGAGAAATATTCAATTGATTCTTACATGTTCCTAAAGTTCTGAAGGTCCTCAAGCTCCGCAAGTTTTTCATTTCTAATAGCTTCTCTTTCTTCCGCGGACAGATGCTTCATTTGCTCTTGAAGCTCTGCCACGCGTTTTGGATCATATCCACCTTCCATTCTGAAGAAAAGTTACTGACATTTGAGTTTGGGAAATATTAAACATCAATGATATCTGTAGGAGGCAGAAGAAAGGCGGAAAGGGGCGAGTTAAAACTCTTCATATTCAACAGAGACCCCACATTCGCAAGTTTTTCGGTAAAGATCGCCCTTGATGTGCTCGACTTTGGAATAATCATGCTCGTGCTGACTTGATGCTGCGACTTTGTAGTTGCGTGCTCGAACCTCTTGCTTTAGCTTTTGAAGCTTTTTGTCGAATAGTTTTTGTTGGCGTTGGACACGTTTACTTTCGCGCTCCTCTGAAAAGAATGATGAAAAATTGCAATTGCATTTGAAGAATAATTTACTTTTAATAAATATATAAAGTTCTATAAGTACTTTTTAACTCTTCAAGCTTTTCCCAGCTTTCATGAATCTGCAAGGCACGCGCTTCAACTGAATTTGGGTGAATAATGATTTTCATCTTTGATTTCAAAATAACACAACTGGAAATCAACCCAACCTTGTGGAAGAAGAAACAACTTCATCTCACCCCACGAGGGATTGTGTGGATTTTTCTTGAGAATAAATCGCAGAGGGGGATCTCTCTTGAGCATATTATCATTCAACAGGTACTCTGTTTTTACTTCGGACAACGTCATCAAGGGATACTTCTCGTCATCTTTGCAATCGTCGCAAACAAGCGCGCCATAATGTTTCCGAAGATAACTGTTCTCAAATGGAAGTCCGCAGTCATCGCACAGGTCCGTGTCCAGTATTTCTTCAGGCGCGGCCTCCTTTGGTTTGTATCTTTTCTGATTGGCACTCAAAAGGAAACCAGCCCCAGTGTCAATATATTTTTCGCCGTATTGTTCCAAATTTTCTGCGTTGTCATTAATTAACATAATTTCACTCGAAGTTGCGGGGCGCTTTGATGCACCGCCACGCTTAAAATTTTATTCCAATCTTTTTTTCTCTTGAAAATAAACCTTTTTATCAATCGAACTTTTCAAACTCTCCTTCTCAAGCCTCTGATTAGCCTTCGTACGTTTTCTATCCAATGCATCGAGCCGTTTATTTTCAATTTCCGCTTTTTGCGCTGCTGTCAGTTTAACACTCATTTTGTTGTATTATTTTTCTATCTGAAAACAGATAATATTTATTTCAGGAAAAAATTGCAGAATGGGAACTGAAGTGGGCATTGGGCAATTGCAGTATGGTTTAACTTTAGAATAATAGGTTTTTTATATAGGGAGGAGTAAGTTGATAAGTATTGAATTGTTCAGGAAAAGGTTTGAGGTACTACACGTCCGTGAAGGTGTGCTGGTCATCTTTGTAGAGATTCCAAATGCTCTCAACTTGTTTGTAGACTGTAAGAGCATCTTCTGGCGTTTTACAAACCAGCTTTTCCCTAAATTTTCTTTAGAAATAAATCCAAAAGGTAGGCTCACCTCGTGTTTTTCAGATCAAAAACGACCCTATTCTCACGGGAAATAATATCAACAAGTTGATCAAAAGTAAATTTGAAGATTTCCATGAAATCATTCGACGTTTCTCCAAAAAGATACACCCTCGATTCTGTAACGCATAAAATATGACATTCGTTAAACGCCTCGATCTTCCATGTAAAGAACAGCTTCTCCAACAAGTTTGGATAGATACCGAGCAGGAAGTCTTGAGCTTTGGCCATCCCTTCGTCGTAAATTGGTAAGCCACCATTGACATCAGAAATTAATCTCGGATAGCGAGTAGCCAAGCCTTTTTTCTTTCTGTCTGCACTGTCTCGAATAACAGTAGCGGTACTGGTAGCGAAGTCAAGGACACCGGTCATCGGCTAAAAAAACTGTTGAGCAAGTACTAAAGAAAAAGTAACAAACCTTTATGAATGTTCCCATGACACCCTTGCCCAATCCACTGAAGAAACCAGCCACTCCGTCCGTTTGAACAGCCTTGTACGTCTGATCGGGAATGCTTGTCATTCCACCCAGCACTCCATAAGCAAGCCCATCCACTGCGTTCCCGAAGTCGACTCTCTGAAGTCTTCTGCGTCTTCGATCGTTTTCATATTCTCGATCTCCTGCAAGCGATGAAACAGCATCAGCCACACTACCGACAAATTTCGACGCGGAATTCGCGAGACCTCTCGTTGTGCCTAAGAATATTTATTGTAAGATTAATGCTACAGGATGATGAGAACAACCTTGAATCACAGAAGAGAAGTTTCCTTCTAAGACTCCTTCTAGGCCATCTTTGATATCGTGCGCAAGGCCGAGTGGATTTCCGAGGAAATCAACAGCACCCAAAACTTTGTAAGCTTGATTCTTCACGCTTGCATTGATGAACGTCACCAGGTCGTTTTGATAAGCACCCATGTCTTTGTAGCTGTATTTTACGTAGTAAGGATCGATGTTTATCCTAAAAAGTGTCATAAAAGATAAATCAGATTCGGATTACCTGGCATCTTCGAACTGTATGAGAGTAAGCCTAGCCTTTGTCTTGTATCGCTTCAGTTCTCTCGGTAGATCTGTATCTCTATAAAGAGAAACCGTCAGCTCGTCGAGTTTGATAAACAACTCTTCGCAGTAGAAGCGATTCTTGGGCTTCGTCGCATTAGCTCGCAATTCATTTAAGAAAAGCGACTGCGGGTCTTTGGTAAACACGCTGGCAGGAGTTACTTTCTTTACTTTGAGACTGTCCACGAGCATCATCATTCGCAGAATTAGTCCTTCGTTGATCTTGAACACGAGGGGACAAGTTTCTATCTTCAGAAGTCTTAAAATTATCTTTATTAGATCGGAAATACGATGAAAAAATTACCTAAAGAGACCAGGCGCGTTTTCAGTGTTCGGAAGAGTTGCCATCGACACAGACAAAACATTTCTGACCAATCGCTTGTCCACTTTCTGCATATTCTTTTCGATAAGAACCCTCGGATAAGCGCCGCGAACTTGGTTGTCACATTGAATAAAATGCGCAGAAAACTGAAAGTGTATTTCCGAGTTTCTTTTTATTTCCGCTTGAATGTTGATTCCTCTCACTTGCAAGAAGAACAGCTCTTCTTTTTGGTGATTTACAAGTTGCGCGATTACAGAAACTCCGATTCCAGCAGGCATATCCACACCAAAAGAATATCTTGTTCCGCATTTGACAGCTTTAGTCGAGGAAATGAACTTGTCAACCTTTTCTTTGCATTCTACGTTCAAATTTCCACTGTCGACAGATGTTCCATGGCTTTTCAAAATGTCGTAGATTTGGAGAACACGTCTTGGTCCGTCTCTTACAACACGAAGGTGGAGCTGGCCTGAGCCCTTGTTTTGACGGACTTTTTTGAAAGGAGTCAGATCTTCGGAATCAATGTGCTCAGTTTTGTCGTCCTTCAAAAACACAGGACACTCAAGGTTATTCAAGTAAAGACGATTCGATCCAGAACATATCACATGCTTCTTGAAAGACCACTTTTTATAATGTTTTTTCTTCTGTGTTGGATCAACAAGCTTCAGAGTAGTCGGGTCAAGTATCAGATTTTCATGCTTTGCATTGATCAGGGAGGAAGATGGATCGGTTCGCCAAAGCTGACTTCTTCTGGACTGATCTTTCTGTCGGACAAACAGTAGTTTTGATGCATCAACGTCCAGCACCATATTTTCTCGCGATTCGATGTAGAACAAGTTTTCGTAGTAAAGAGTAGTGGTGGTATTCAACTCTTCAAGATTGACCAGCTCGCTTTTCTTCCCAGATTTTACCGAGCAAGTGATGATCTCAGGAAGCATCGGTTCATCGCAGATGTAGGGCATTGAACAATCAGGTGGTATTTCAGCTCGTAATGAGTTGTCCCGGCACTTTTCTTGAATGATGCTGACGGGAACGGCAGAGAGATTGTCAATTCTTATCAATGGCGCAGTTTTCATTTCGCGAACTTCGACGAAGAACATCGCCGCATGATATGAAACTGATACCTCGAGAAAGATCATGTCAAGAGAACTGAATTTGACATTCAAGTAGCTTGTCTTCACGACATTGATAGGAAAGCCACCCGACCAGCGGGTGTCGACCGGATCAGTGATTCGAATACATAGGACTTTATCTTTCTTGATATCTGGCCAGTCAAAGTTGCACGAAGCTCCTGGAGAAGCAGACTCGAACTTGCCGACTTCAGGATCTTGATGCCATTTGCCGAAAACGAGGTATTGTTGTGCAAAGTTGAGGTTGAATGGAGTTGAGTTGTGAATAGTAAAACGAGGAGTGACAGTTACAATTTTAGTATCGCGATAATCTTCGGTGCCATTTCTCACTGAAATTCCAAGCTGGTAAGTTTGATATTCTGCTTGAATTTCCCGATGACAGTCGTCTTCCAAAGAAAACTCATTCGTCCAATGACTCGTTGCTCTTGCGAACTTTTTCGAGCCAAGACGAAGCTGACAGTAGGAAGGACATTCCCGATCTGTATATGAAAATAGAAGTGGAGTGCGGCAACGGGCGCTTTCATGCTCATCGAACTGACCAGCAGCGTCAAAAGCAGATTGGCTTTGGCGGAGAACGAGCGGCAAGCTAGTGTGGTTGATAAGCCAGTAGCGTGAACTGATGTGAATTTGGATGGTGGGTTCAATCGTCAGCCTGACGTTGAGGATAAGAAGTCGTCGATTTTGGTCAATTATCCTCATCTCAGTTAGCACATCTCGATTGTGAGAGAGATTTACTTCAGAGCTCGATTCAAATCCTTCAAGACGGATTCGGAATTTAATTTCATTCGGCGAAAAATAGATTGTTTGTTCTTGATGTGGCTGAATTGTACCTTCAAATCCGCTGAGTTGAAATTGAATTTCACAGGGCAGCAAATTTTTCATCTTGATTCCAGGATAAATGATAATATTATTGCCAGGCATTTGAAAGTTCAAGTGATCGTAGGACGAATCTAGCGTTATAATTCTTTGCTTTTTGTAAATCTTTCGGATTTCTTCTGTCAGCTCTTGGCCTTGAGGAAGATCGAACGACCGGATTTCAACTTGGAACGATGTTTTACGGTCGGAAACTCTGTGAGGATCGCAGTCGATAGTAAACATTCCTCTTGGGTAGTCTCTCCAATTTATTGTCGATTCAGATATTTTGTAAAGATCGCCGACCGGGCGAACTACGAACTGACCGTCAGCGTGCTGCAGTGGAATATATAATTCTTCCTGAGGCTGAACAGTACCAAGAGGCGTTATTTCATAGATATCATCGATCGTATAATCTGAGCGCTTGTAAATCTCAAGGGGTTCAGAATGTTTCGAAGAAATCTTAACAGCTGAACGAATCGTCACCATTTTTCTTGCTGAATCGGTAAGTCGGACTTCAATAAGGATTCGAATTGGCATTTTTCCTCCAGGATGTACTGCGTGTCGGAAGTACAGACCAACTTTGTTCACGGCAATAGGTTGAAGACTAGTGTAGTCGCCAACTTTAATCCAGATGCGATGTGATTGCTGTCGGTACTCTCGAATCTTTTGATGGCCCCTGGCGAATGTGAAGTCATCTTGAGTGTCCGTCGGTACCTTCCGCCATGGCTTACCCAAAGACTCTGCACTGGTGCAGTAGGTCACTGTATAGCCGGTTACATTGTTTAGTGTGTAAGGGCGGAATTTCTTTCGAACATCAAATTGCCGAACGGATGACCCAGAAATAAGATCAGACAGATGAGGAATCTGGTGGGCTAAAAGATAGTAGAGGTCCATAGTTAAATTCAAATCCAATCGAGTAAAAGTAAGCAAGTTAATGTTATAGCCTCCGTGATCTTCAGAGCGATCCCCTCGAATCATCAATTTGTAAGGTTCAATAAGGGGTTCCCAGAGTGAAAGCTGCTGGTTGAACTTTTGGACGAAGAAGGTGTTGTGCATTCGGACAAATTTGTTGTTTGCAACAAGACCAATCTCTTTCAATTCGAACTCTATCAAAGGAATGTCTCGTTCTCCGGAGTCGTCGATGAAAGTCATGGAAACGCTTTCACCATTGAGGTTCGCGTCGATTTCCTGAAGCTCTTGAAGCTTTGGGGGAACTGGCGCCTTGTCGTCATCTGATCGCAGCAATAGCTCGTACGGCCGCCAGATAGTGATCTCTTTTCCTCGTTCTTTTCGAACAATTGATCCATCTGGAAAGCTTGGCTTCGCAGTCTCGGTTGCTCCGTCTGGCTCTCCTCGTAGGGTGAGTTGTAAACTCTGACCGATAGATCGAATGAGCAGAAAGTCGGTGTACGATAGACGCATGTTGATTTCGTCAAAATTAATTTCGAGTTTTGGCTTTTCGTCTTGAGGAGTTGAAAATTCAAGATTCAGACTTGTCGGATCAAGAATTGACAGCGATGTTTGTTCTTCATTCGACAGCTCACAGCTAAAAAGCTCCAGACATTGCAACTGCAAAACAGTAGAGAACTCATTCTTGTGCAGAACAGCGGTCGAGCGGAGGGTAATCGCTGCAGATTTCGAAGATGTAAGATCATTAATGATCAGAAACTCTGTCCCGTGAACGTTCGTAGTGATATCCAAGTTCATCTTACCCTTTTCGCCAGTGTTCTTTGGATCGCTCGGTTCTTGTTTCCACTTTTTAATCAGGTCGTAGTTGATCTTCCGCAAATCATCTCCGTAGCCATCGATCGGATGCTCCAGAAGATAGTTCAATGTTTGCTTCGACCATTCTGGCAGAACAATTATTCTAGTTTTTTCCGTTACAAGCTTGAAGGAAGCGCCGTCGGGCGTTGCTTTGAAAACGATTTCAATTTGGCAGATATCTTCGTCTTCTAAATCAGCTGCAATGACCTTCTGGAATGAGGGATGGATGTTGTAGAGTTCGCGGCAGTCCCAAGCATTGTAGGCTTTGCAGACAAGATTCGTGTGCTTGTGATTATTCGAGAGGGCTTCAAAATTCAGGGTAGAATCGACAAATTCCATTTTCACGAGTTTATCGCCGTTGACCTCTCCAAGCTCGACTGTGACATTCTTGAGCCCAAGATTGAACTTTAGATTTCTGAAGACTTCCCCAGTCATGACTGTTTCTGTCATCGCTTCTTCAATATTCACTGGAACGGATGGTCGTTCGTATATTGGCTGCATCTCACCGAGATTGTGCTCGAGGAAGTCGCGAACGACCCAGAATTGGCTTCTATTCAATCCGAAGTATGCCTCGCTGAGAGTACCATTGATGTGCATGTCGGGAACTGACCGGTCGACATTCTGCTGAAGATTTCTTTCGATAGCAAGGGACAGTTCTACCCGTTTCTTGAGGAGAGATTGCTGATGCCTGACAAATTTGAATCCGTTGAATTTGAGGTCGCTCTCTCCAGCGTCGCTCAACTCCATTCGATCAGCAATCCAAATATCCATTTCTTTCAAGCCAACTGTGATGCAATCGAGCAAGACTTTCTTCTCCGGAAATCCATTCTGAGCATATTCTTCGAAGTGTAGCGTTCCTTCCTCGTCACTGAGCTTGAAAGTATTGGAGATCGACAATTTACCGAGGTCAGCAATGATCACTTTCGGACTATAACTAGATTCAGGTAAAATCAGAGTTGGATTATCAGCAGTGATGTCCAACATGACTCGTGATCCACGGCCGAGATTAGTTACTTCTGCTCCGACCATGGCAGCGCGATAATGATTGACGAGCTCGAGGAGCTGGTGGAAGTGAAGAAAATACGCGGTTAATTCTGATTGAAAACGGTGAGTGTGAATATACATGATCTGATTCATCCTTATCTTCACCTTCAAATCGAATTCCCGCTTGCACTCGTGGTCGGGCTTGTTGTATCGAAATATTTGAAAGTTGAGAATTTCTTTTGAATCCTTATCGGTGACAAATCGCTCTCTGTAAAGAAACCCGGCAGGAGACAGATCGTAGAGAGTCAGCTCCCCGATCGACCCTTCATACCGGTGGGTAGTCTGATAAAGATGTAGTTCCATCGAGAGTTTTTGAAGCGACGCCTTCGAAAATTGATATTCTGGCTTGTTGAAGATAATCGTGAATTTTTCAACCTCGAAGTAAATTTTCGTGTCTATCGGCGCTCCCTGATTTTCAATGACTTTTTTTCGGAATTTCCTGGCTTCAGCCGTGAGACCATCTGGCTGGGATGATGTTGTTGACGTGACACGATCTTCAGATGGTTTATTTTTCTACGAGAGTAACGAATGCTAACAGGAAAATTAATTGGCTTCGTGATAATTATATATTACGCTAAAGTCCCGTAATTGATTATCTACTAATAAGCAAAAGTTATCACGTATTTTCGTAACAATAATGATGATAAGACAACTTATGTAACGAGTCGTGACTTAAAATAATTTTCGTGGAATGAGTAAAACTGCTATCACAAAATTTGCCGATCAAAAAAACCACAAGCCTAGAGGTGCGGACGACGGGGTGAAGAAATCTATGAGCGTAACCCAACTCTGCAGGTTGATTCCGGCATCAAGTCTTGATATGAGGATCTTCACCTTGCGCTTGCCAGACAATCCAATGGGATTCTTCTGGTTGATGTTAATCTTGACGAGTGGCTCACAGGAATCGCGGAAGAACTCGAGATATTTAGCACGGAGAGACTGAGACGTTCGAACACCGAAATCGGCTAGGCAAATTGATCGGACTCGTTTCCTCGGTCTCGGAACAAGTTCAGCGATAGGAAGTGTACAGCTCTTCCAGCGTCTTCGACTAGATAAAACATTAGCTTTCAATTAGTATAAAAAGGCTTACCCAAACGATTTGTCAGTCCTCCTTGATCGCAGCATATACTGGTCAGGACTTTCAGCATCGATCGCCTCTACTGAACCAAGCGCCAAGTCAACATTGAATTCAGTCGGTTCAAGTTTTTCAAAATTACACCAAAAATCATAGAAGATAAATTGCACGGAGTTTCGCTCTGCTTCATCTGTCATGTTGATTGTCGCCGATGGAATGTGCATCATGAAGAAAATCGGCTTGAATTCAGGTTTTTCAGCCTCCGACTCTTTATTTTCTTCCGAACTCGGTTCCTTCGCCTTGTCAGGAATGGCAACATTGTCGAGTGTTTTCAGAATCTGTTCGTAATTCATTTTCGTCAGAGTGAGAATTGGTTTCGCTGGTAAAGCCACCGAGACGGATATTTTGTCGTCGTTCAAGTCGAACTTCAAATTCACGTCGGTTTTCTCAAGAATTAGCCCACAGAATTCAAGATTGCATCCGTGGTTGTTGTTCACGGAGCTAACTGACCCATCTTTAATTTCCATGGAGAAGTTTTTCAGTCCTTGATTTTCAAAGCTTATTGACCCAATTTTCGCAAGGAGCATTTCCGAGCTTCCAAACTGCTTTGGAAGAACGACGTAAGGTGATTTGAAGTTCATCTTCATTCGGAAATCAGCCATGGCTGGTGCTGGACCGATCGCAACGTCAGCTACTTTTTCGTATAGATTTGACAGGGCTTCTTGAAATCTTTTCTGCGCATGAACGGAGAGCTTCGCATCAAAATGCTTCTTGAATTCATTCATACAGTGAACGACTTGGCCCAAAAATTGCGGTGAATGGATGTAGCACAAGGATGCGGTTTCAATTCCAAGGTCGATTCTGTAATTTTCATTGTCGACGTTGCACCGTTGCAAGTCAAATGTGAAGGCATCGTTTTGAACATTATCAAAGATTTTGTCAAACTCAAGATCCTTGATCTTCGGCGTTCCTAGAGCGAAAATTCTATATTATGGTCATCGCATGAATATCATAAAATTAACCGGATAAGACTGGTTACAAGTAATAAAAACTTGAACTTCACAATAGGTTCGGCTAAGTTTATGTACGTAAATAAGATCTCCGGTGGAGAGTTATGAGGCCACCTATAGATTTTCTAGCAAAATCTTTACTTTTAGCGCCCTCTTGAACCCATATATAATCAGCGTTCGACAGCACTAGTTTCATAACAAAAAAGTTATCCAAAAAATCGATAAAGTTTTTGATAAAAGATGACCAAGCAGCTAAGAAGAGTTTCTATCGACTACTGCAAGCAGCTTTTTCTTGAAAGCAAAGACTTGGGGAAGAAATCGAAAAAGGCAGTGAAGAAAGCCCTGACTACGGAGACTTCTCAACGAATCTACATGAACATGACATTTTAAAATTTTAGTTCCCTGCTTTACTTATGATTGATAATATACTTATGACCTTTCCTGCTAGAGTAAGACCTCTTATATGCATTCTCGTGAGCAATTGCCAAGTCGGACCCAAAGATCGATCCAATTTTTCCAGATATTGTGACATTTCCTGGATTTTGAATTTCAACGACAGACCGAAATTCTTCTATCCCTGCAGTGGCAATTTTCCTGCCCATACGACTTTCGCCGATGCCCTCAGCGACTCCGACCATCAAGTTGATAGTTTTCATTTCAAAGTGGATAACTGTAAGGCGCTCTTTATTGTTATTATCGGTCTTTTCGTCCTCGTCAGTAGGGTTTTTCGTTTTTCCAGGAGGTTTGAGACGATGAAGCACAGACAGAAGAACGGATAAAGTGTCAGGAGTGATGACAATGTCGAGAGATGAAAAATTTACGTGGATGTCATCTCCAATATCTGCAGATTGGGATTCATCGTAGTGCGTCCATTCAAAAACTGCGAGCTCCTCGTTTGATTCATCGGCATTGGACCAGTTTGTCTGAGTGTCTTCATCTTTTTGTTCTGTGCTCCAAAATTTGTTCAGATTTTCTTGGAGCTGGGAGACAAAGTTTGGAGGAGTAGGAGCCAGCTGCTCTTCTATGGTCGGCGACGTGCACCCCGAATCGATGATGGTTCCTAAGGAGATATTTTATCGCCTTGTTGTAAAATTATTTATAGGCGACCTCCCGGCGAAGTTCTTGAGAGTTCAAGAAGAGTCTTTTCAGTGTCAATTACGACTAAAGGTTCAAATGAGTTCATACCTGATGGAATGTCAAGCGTTGCATTTCTGTTTGACACCAAAATTGACTGGAAATCGGCTCCAAGGTTATGGTCGTGATTGTTTGTCACAACAACGGATCCAACAGAAAGCTTCAGGTTACTCTTATCCGGCTGCAGTTTAACATTCGCCTTGATTCGCGTGACTTCGAGGCCAGCGACCATATGATCATGTAGAATAGAGTAGAGTCCACAGGAGACACGGTCAATTTGAAACATGATTACAATCAATTTTCCATAACTGACACTTTGCGATTGCTCAATATCAGAAACAGTTACGTCCAAGTTAGGAGCTGAAGGCTTGTTCGTTGAGCCGGAAGGTATGCATGCCTCCAGACAAGAGAATATCATTGATGACTTTGTCTCGTTGATTTGAAGCATAAGAGAAGGAAGGCTTCCGGAGACAATTATGAGTGGATATTTCGATTCATCGGTAACATCGCAGGCGCGCTTTTCAATTCCGACAGAAACGTTAAAGGGCTCGACAACATGTAGCTCTGAGTTTTTCTGCGACGTTGCTCTATTCCAAATTGTTTCATCATCGCTTTTCGTCCCCACCAAAATCTGTAGATTCTGTAGCTGCACAGAATATTTGTCGTAGAAGTGAGAGACAAGAAGGTGTTCTTGAAGCTCTTCAGGGATTTCCACAGTTCTCGTTTGTTCGTTGAGAGCTACAGTACTTTCTTCTTCTACAGGTGGGGATTGATCTGCAGGGCTACCATTATATTCGGGAGTATAAAATTCATCTTCGTCTTTTTGAGCTTCGGACGAACCCTCGACGACGGGAGTAAACTCTGCCAGGGGTTCTTTCTCGTTCTCATCGACGTTTGAAAATTTGATCTTTCCAAGATCTACCATGATCTGCGGCGTTTTCGGATCGTTGAAGCTCTTTGGGAAGATGATTTTCGGAGCAGCCAAATCTAGTGTTATACGGATGCCGCCTTTCTTAAAAGACTTCTCTTCCATGACTTTCTCGAAGCCTTTTTGTAATGTCTGTTTTGCTTTTTCTTTCAAGCTGCGATATCGCTCCCTCTGTCGCCAATTATGAAGTGAGTCCTCTCCACCGGTTCTTAAATTTAAGAATCCTTTGCCAATCTCCATCAGCTTTTTGTTGAAGATCATCTTCAACGGCGCAGTTTCGCAATAGACCGTTTGACTTAGATGGCTTATCTTTTCGTACGAAAAGTGGAACATAACTGGTGGAGGTTTGTCTTTTTCATCCTTGTCTTTTTTGATCGTCGATACTAAGACGGGATAAATAGAGTCGTCAGTGAAGTCATCGACAATCTTGAAATCGCCAAGCTCCGTTATATAAGTCAGGGTATCTGAACGAAATTGACAGCCGAGAGAGGAATGGAGTCGGTCGAATTGAATCGTTGATAGGCCAGAGATCTCCTCTCCATTGTCAATCGTTAGTTTCAGCGTTCCAGTCGTTAACATGAAACTGAAATCGGCAAAGACCCTGTCTCTCGTGAGAAAGGTGTCGTTTGTGACAGAATGATCTGGTAGACACTGATTGTTCATGCTACTTGCTGTTCGAAGAGTTAGTTTGGGCATTTTCGCTGCAGAGGGATCGACAATCACGGGTGAATCGGAATCACTTGCTGAGGCTTCGCTGTCTATTGAACTCGAACGCTCGGTCTTTGGTGAGCCAGTAGAGGCAGCTCGCCCTCGAAAGAGCCCACCGCCTCGCATGATCCAACCGCCCCAGCCTTCTTGTTCTTCTCCTACTTCAGGTTTCTTGGAGTAGTCTTTGTCCAAGACCGCGTAGATGACACCTCGGCATTCTTCGTAGGTCCAGGTGGTCTCGATATCGATTCTCGTTGCTTTCTCCTCTTCCGTCAGTTTTTCCTTTTTTAGAAGCTTCCTGATGATTCTGGCGTACTCGTTGATCTGGGAACAACGCTTCAGAAGAAATGGCTTTGTCTCTGATCGACGATATTCTTGAATCGGATGAGCTGTATGATGAAGAAGCCACTTCCACCACAATTTGACAATTTTGTTTCTTTCTTGGGCATCTTCAGTCGAAGAGATGCTTTCACTAGGTCGAAACTCGGAATATCTTTGTCGTCGATAAAACCATTCTAGCTTCTCCCACGTTGAATAGATGATTGAATGCTGCTTATCAGACAGTTGGAAGTTGACCGCATCTATGTTCAGGTCGACTTTGAATCGCGGAAGATCGCCGTTAAGGGGCGTCACACTTTTATTCTTGACAATGTCAATGTTTGCCTCGACTTTCTCCATGAGATGGGTTGAAGAGTTATCGTTCTTGTGCCAGATAATCTCCAGATCTTGCAATAGCAGTTTCTTGTGGGCAAAGCCAGGCATAGCGGGATTGTTTGCGACAAGGATATTCGAAACGTTGTAAGCAACATGCCCATCTCCCAACAAATCTGGATCGCGGTAGTTGATGCTAACGTTCGAAACAGTCACTTTGATATTTTGAACAATATCGGAAATGATTTGGCTTGAGTAAGACGCCCAGATGCCTTGCTGCTGGCCGACTGCGAGCCATCTTCAAATATTTCATTCTAGGACAGGGAAAAGAAAAATTACCTGGAAATGAGATTTTGAATTCGCCGAAATTTTACATCTTCTTTGCTGCTAGTTTCTTTTGTTTTGCCTTCGGAGGGTTGCAGCTCGACATGAAGGTCTAAAAAAAATTATTGAAGCCGAACGAAATTTTCGCCTAACCTGTGATTTTAATTTCGAAAGCCTCTGTTAGTACTCTTGTCCAGTTTGGTCGCGTAATTTTGATGTTTCCGACATTGCCACCAGAAATATGAATTGGCAAGCCGAAGCGTTCACTTGCACCACGTCGAATTGGAACATTTGAAAGGTTAATTTCGCCGGAAATCAGTTGAACTGAAGATTAACTCGTTGAAGAAAAGATATCACTTTGAAGATCACCTGAAAGCTGGTCATTGTTTATGTCTTCAAGGAATTCTCCGAGGTAGTAATTGATAAGGTAAGCACCAACGCCCTCGAACATCTTTTAGTTAGTTTGATCTCTTTATGTACAGGGTTTCACGATTTCCATTTCTTAAACCAGGGGTGATTAGTTCATCCTTTATCAAAAATATAGGTTCTGTTCTAGAAAAGAATAAAAGAGGCAGATACTGTGAATTAATTTGTAAAAACTAGCAGGCCCTTGAGCGATTCATCTTCGATTTCCGAAAGATTCGAGTCTTTGCCGAGCTGCTTGATGATTTTCAACGTACTGGCGAGCTGCTCTTTGTTCAAATCGGTGATGAACTGAGGAGTCTCGGCGAAAATGTGAGATTCGGGCTTGAGGCAATTCTGGATGATCGAGTGCGAGAGTTTTTGGCAATGAGAAACGGAGAGCGAAATTACATCGAATTTCGCCTTGAAATCGGCGGATTCGGAAATGTCATCAAAGCTCGTTGGACTGAGAAATTTAACGGAGCAGTTTTCGAATCCAGCGGAAGAGTAGATTTCTCGCTTTTTAACCAGCTTCGTTTCGATTTCATCTTCATTTGATGAACCGTGGATTTTTGTGAGCAACTCGTTGATGTTGAATTTCGCGATCATCTCCGAAGAGTTGCTCGGCCGGCCGTTGACGAGTTTGGTCAGCTCTTTATTTTCAGTCTCAACGCCGTGAGTTATGTAAGGGCCCACAACGACGTCGCCCTAAAAGTTTCATAACCTCTTCGTCGTCGTAATTATCTATTTAAGCCGACTACTAGGACACTAATGTAAACACCGGAAGGTCACCGGATGTTATTCTCTTCCGGTAAACTTCCGGAAAAGAATAACATCCGGTGACCTTCCGGTGCGTATGGTTAAACTTCCTGTTATGAAAATAAAATGAAAACATAAACAAAAAAAGCATTCGTCTTCATCGTCTTCTTCTTCCATCGTCTATGAACTTTTTCCACGTGACCATATAGTTTCTAGAATAATTAAAAGCATATATTTTTTATTTTATAAACAGCATTCTTATTAATTTATCGTCATGACTAACTTCCCGATTCCTTGTCCGATTTGTAACGAGCAGGTAACCAACAACCGAATAAAGGGGGATCACATGGAAAAGGTTCATAGGCAGGGTCTCCGCGAAAAACCTTAACCCTAGCCGGCCAAAAATGATTTTTCTCGGGTACCAGTCAAGATACTCCATATTTGGCGTCAGGGATTTACCTGCAAATAAGAATATACAAATGATAAAGGTCAAATTATATGGTCTTGGGGAATTAGAGTAAAGCCTGTCTATCAAGATGTAATAGAAAAAAAACCGCTCCAGAATGATTTTCTAAGAAAATTTACGTTTAATATTGTGAGGTACTTCCGCGTAGACCCTAATCAAAGACGATGGCGAAGATACCAAATTTGGGTGCGAGAAGACGATGAAAGCGACGAAATAGAATGCAGGATAGATTAAAATTTTACTTTTACCTTAGTGGGTCAGGGAGCACCATCTATGGATCACTGGTCAAAAAATCAGCACTTAGGACGAAGTGATTTTTAACTTAAAAAAAAGAAAGAAACTGTCGGGTATTTATCGATTAGCTACCCTTTTGCCACTTAGCAACTATTCTCACTTAGGGTTAGGCTTAGGAAACAGCCTTACTTGGAGAATTACTCCATGCATAATCTTCGATCTCTCAGTCCTGACTCGTGGTTCCAACCTGGGCTCGGCAACCTGTGTGGAAAACCTGAGTCAGGTCCGAAAGCTCTCTCCAAAGTTCAGAATAGATAAGATAGGTAATTATACGTCGACTAGTATAATAGTCTAGTCCTCTTCTAGTTGGATGACTTTATCCGATGCTGAAACCAAAACCCAAATCCAAACCAAATTTTAATCTCAGACAGATGGAACTGGGACAAGGATACCCAAGCGTTCCGCGAACGAAGGCGAGGACGTCGAACTGAGCTCGACATGAGCGAAAGGAACGGTGATAGAGATTAACTCTGCGTGGAAAGGAAAATTGTATGTGTAGTATATTAACCTTTTCCCGCCAGGGTGCATCTTGACAAAAATTACTTTTTCCGAGAAGTACTTTGACTTTTGCAAAAGTTAAAATTTGTAGAGCTACGTTTTGTTTCCAAATTTCCTGAGTCCGAATTTCCGGACATTTTTTGGATTTTGCGGTTTTTTAAGTGGGACACTGCAAAATCGACCATGGTCAGAATTTCTGGGCAGATTCAAATTATTTTTATCCGTATACCATCATTTTTAGAATAAAAATTTTAGAGGCTCATATTTCAAGCGATGCGCCTCCTGTCGTGCATTTGGCAGATTGACTTTAGAAATTTTTGTTATAATGATCAAACGCTTTTCTTGAATTTCTGAAAAACTCTTAAAACGACGCTTTAAATAGCTTTGAGGTATACATAAAAATAATCAGCTAAGTCTCATTTTTTTTAAAATGAAAACAATCTTGATCAAAAGTCTATCGAATATCTAGCAACTCTTAAATCTTCAATCTAGAATATCGATTTCTCACTCTTCCTTAGAAATTTCGTTTATGTCGCTGGAATCAAACATTTGTGCGTTGAACAAGAATTGTATTTGGAAATTTTACTTCCGACGGAAGGCGCGGCGCATGGCAACTCATGCGTCGCAAGTTGTAAGCGCACTGATCTCGCCGATAAAACTCGACAAAGATAAGGAAACTTCATCAGATATCAAATTGAAAATGTTCGATCTACCTTCTAATCCTGACGGCATCGCCCAAGCTTACAACCTAACAAACCAATTTATACTTTTACTGGGAGCACTCTGGACTACTATCAGAGACCAATACATTTTGGCGGTCGATAAAGAGACCTATCTTCGTCGAATTCGTAAGTTATTCTTGTTCCACTACTATCAATCATCTCATTTTTAAGGTGGTCTTCTCGACCATTTGGACTTTGACATGCCCCTTGTGGCAAGACTCGAAGACATGATTGAGAACTCAGACGGAGAAATTGACATTGACGATTCCAGCGACGCATCCTCCTCCTCCGAAGATGACTCTGATGATGATGAAACCTACTATCCTAGCTCTCCTCCAAAAACAAGATGTAAGAGTCAACGTTCAAGCAAATTCTTGATTGTTTTTTTAGCTGCCAAACGAAGATTGTTCGAATCTGATGAGCCGGAACAAAAGCGACCAAAAATTGACCAGCTCGATCAGCTTGAAAATGATGAAGTTGACAATGGAAGCGATAATGGGGAAGACATCGACGCTGAGGCTGAAGAGGACGACGCTGCTGGAGATTCTGACGTTTTTGAAGCTGACGACGCAGCTGAAGAAAACGACGCAGCTGAAAGCAACGATGATAGCGGCGCTGATACTGGTCCTGATAGCGAGGAAGAATGGGCGACTCGTCCAAAGTCGCAAAAGAATCAACTTTGGACTCAAACGACCTGGGACATGTGCCAACCTTCCACGAGTCGAGCATCAATGTTCACACCGCCGCCGACGCCTCCTCCATTTGACTCTCCCCGTCCTCAACCATTTGAGTTTCCTTCTCCGGCTGGACGACCATCTGTTATTCAATCTCCTCGGGTTCCCGAATTCCGACCGATTTCCATTCAACAAATGATGGCTTCAGCAATCCCAACAAGTAAATATTTTTATTTAAGCTTCTATTAATTTTCATCAAGTTGATTTGACTGGAGATTCGTCTTCCGACGATGACGATCAAGTTGTCCCAGGTAATTTGAACTTTCGAATCCCTCTCTAACAATTATCTAGCGATAGACATTGCCTACGCTGATAGTACTTTCGACTCCTTGGACGGCGAACAATTCCAGCAGATCGTCGATGAGAACGACGCTCAAGCAAGAGCAGAAGAAATCCGTCAGCTGCAATCGGAGCTGGAGAATCCGTCAAGAGGAGGTACTCCTGATACGATTATCGATGCTTGCTTATCGCCGTATCTTTTAGGGGAGACTCTGGACACAGCACTCAGCATGGGACTCATCACACGAGAAACTACCGAGTTCATCGACGAAGTTGCTGAGATGATGGAAGACGAAGAAGATCCTCCCGCCACCGTGACGCCAGAAAAAACCTTTACTGAGCTTTGAATTCCTTCCTCTTTGCAAACTCTTCTGTTTCCTTACTTCCGGTGATTTAGTTTCTTTCAATAAACATGCTTTGGTGAACTTCCGTTGTTTTTTTAGCACTGATTTGAGGCATTGATTTAGGGCATAAAAATGAGCTTGATAGCTCAAAAATTATCATTAAAAAAAAAATGAATCGCAGCGCACCAGTCTCAGAAGAATTTCCTTTTCTCGACTTGATTTGCAAAATCAACGAAGAAATCATCAGCCAGAACAAAGCTGCTACAACCCTTGTTGCACTCGCGATCGCTGGTTACTGCTGGATGGCAATCAAGATTTGCAAGATGAAGCCAAAGAAGAAGTCGACTGCGAAAAGAGCCTCGATCGTCGTTACTGATTCTGATCCTGCTTTGTCTCCTCAAGATTCTTGGGTATGATATGCTTTCTATCCTGCTCGAACTCCTGCTTGTTAAACACGTTGGATTCTTTTTTTTAGTTTTTATTGTGTCTGTGATTTGATAAATATGATTTGGAACTGTTAAGAAATATATATTTCAATAAATTTGAACATGATTAGGCACTTGAAGTTAAATATTTATGGCAAAAAAATATCAGTTTTTGGCTAGTTTTGAAGTGGCAGGTTGTTATTCGCTTGCAAAAAAGATTAGCTGTTTTACATAAGGTTTTATCGTTGACGTTTCAATTATGTTTTATCAATAAAATATCAGTTATGGCTAGTTATGAAGTGGCAGGTTACAATACGCTTGAATTAGCTAGTTTCAATAAGGTTAACGTTTCAATTATGTTTTCCGTGAAAAGTAAAATGATCTTGCAATATTCTACTCTTCCATCATGTCGATCTGGTCACCATCACATTCCATCTCTTCATCCACGCTGTCGACTTCCATTTCCTTGTTCACGCTGTCGATTTCCATTTCCTCGTTCTCGGTATCTACATCCATTTTCGCGGTCATTTCCCATTCCATTCCTTCGTTGTTTATTTTCATCTTGGCCATCATTTGTGTTGCTAGCTCGACATCCTTGTTGAATTCTACTTCAGCTTTAATTTGATTAACTTTTGAATTTCGGCTGTTAAAATACCTTTGATAAGGATGAATAGGTCGGAAACTGAGCGAAGATTTTCGTTTTTGATTGCGTCTATGATCTTTCGCTCCCACGGGGTCAAGGGGCGCTCGGAATCGAGTTCTCTCATCTTGCTTCGCTCTGCGCTTTTTTTTGGCGCCAGTTTGGCTGGTCCTGCGGTGCGCGCGCCTGCCGCAGGCTAGGTTCACGCGTGCGGGGGTTGAAAAGGCGAATCAGCGGAGCGCCCGCTCAAGGGCGGGCCAATTTCAAGCACGCACTTTGCCCTGCACTTGCATCTTCGAAAGAGAATCATTCTGCAGAGAAACAAAAAGAGAAATATCGAAATTTCCTTTCTGCCTTTCAATTTAAATTCTTAGGCTGACTATAAATAATAAATAGAGATAAACTGTCATATATCAGCAGCCGCAAGCGGCTTGTTGATTAAGCAAGTCTTTCTGATTCTTATATACGCAGTCGCGAGCGACTTCTTGATTTTTTTTTAGCTCATCTGATTTTTTCTTTACGCAGCCGCAAGCGGCTTCTCGATTTTAAATTATCTTCTCTTCAACTCTTTACTTTTAATAAGAGCTAAACAAGTTTTGGGTTCAGAGATGAGACGATTCGTTGTTCATCTCCCAGGTGGAGACGATGATGTCTCGACGACTGACTTTCCCTCGACGTCCAAGACTGGCTTACCCTGGGAGTCCACCACCAGCACAGCCGAGGAAATGACAAGGACTTTGTTAGACAATCCAAAGTCGGACAACTCAAGCTTGCTCAAAGCAGCCTGCTTGCAAGGTAACCGCGAGTGTATGAGCGATAGTTTCAATTATCTTACTTAGCCGCAATCGGGTCAACGATCTGGCTCATACTCATTCTGATGTACAGATATCGAGTGCGTATAAGAACCTGGATCTGGGACTGCAAGAGAATTCTCACCCAGGGAAGTCCTCACCCGAAAGGTAAATTTCAATTCTTTAGTCTCGAACTCATACAAGAATAATAGATAACAGAAAAGACGAAACAATCAAAGAAGACGAAGGTTCAAGAAAGGACGAGGGCAAAAGGAACGATGAAGACATCCAGGAAGTTGACGAGAGCAAGCCAAAGAAGAAGAAAAAGTATGAAGAATGGGGTCCAAACGAGAAGCACGAGTTCGTGATGCCCGAGTGGCTCAAGTGGAACGGTACCTGGCGAAAGAAAAAAGAAGATGGAAAGCCAAAAATTCAGGAAGTCTGAAAAGAACTGTTGACATGAAAGTTTTTGAATGATGATAGCGAGTTTAATGCAATACTTTTTCATTTAAAAGACTGAATCTCGGGTGATTATGTGCGACTCGTGGACTGACTACAGATTCGATTACATCGCCCAAGACGAGCTTGAAGAATTTTGCTCCTGCCAAGGTAAAGCCTTTCAATAAAGAATTTTTGCTATTTACGACTCAAGCCACATTTACTAAAAGCTTTCATACAGTCATTAAATTTGAGAGATATATTTCTACAGAGCTCCATTTATACGATTCTTAGAGCCGGCGATGAAAGCAAAGATCGAGGAGATTATGAACATCTCAATTCTCGCTGCCGTTGGCGTCTCGATCCTGATGATGATCATCCTCGTCTGCCTCATCGTCAAGAAGCAAAAGAATGAACCTCCACGAAGAAGTAAGCAAATATCAAAAAAACTTTATCTCAATTCAACTTAGACTTGCTGATCTCACGACCTGTTCATCTTCCAGAAGACATCTAAACTCCTTGAAAACAAAGTAAGTTTTTTGAAATTATTTTCTCTCATTTCTAATTCACTTGAAGGCTCTCACATCTTTGTTGCCGCTCTTCTTCTCATTCCTGTGTGCGAAACGACAATCCTCCTTCTTCCATCTCTCAACCTTTGTGTGCTTCTCCCGTGTGCCGATTCAATACCTTCTTTCTTCCCAATCTACAGGACATTCACTCTCTTCCTCCGTGTGCCATCCTTTCAATATCCCGTGTGCCGCCATCAATTTCTTCATCTAAAAGGACACTCTCTTAAACATTTATTTCTATTTAATTTCAGAGAGTAAAAAAGAATGATGGGTCGAAGACCAATACCAACGATTTCTCCTACGACAGCTACAACAGAAACAGGCCTGGAAACAACAACTTCTCCTGAGACAGACAGCGGCAAGACAGACGTGATTTTTTGTATCTCATACGCAGAACAAGGGTTCAGACAATCTTAAAGAGTTTTCTTTTTCACGAATTTTCGAACCCAGTTCAGACTGCTTAGTTAAGTTTTTCTCAAAAGAGGTTGCTCTCATCGTAGTGATTTTGGTCTGGCTTTACTTCGTTTTTCGTCTTGTAATTCAAGGTGAATTGATTTCCTGCTCCGTAAAAACTAAAATTGAGTTTCAGCCATTGTCCATGTTATTACCATCCGACACGCTCGTCAGCCAGAAAATCAGCCACCAGCAACAGAACCGCCAGCAAGTCGACAATCAGAAGCTCATCAGCCACAAGGCAGCCTACCAGGTTTGAGATGTCCTGAAAAACAGCTTATTATATGATATTTAGTACAATCTCCTTCTCCTGAACTCGAGTGGGACGGTTCATTTGACGCCTTGCCCCTTGACCTGTCCTCGACCGCTCCAAGATCGAATACCAATCTCCTCACTCCGTCTTCTGCTTCCCCTGCTGCCAACAATCCGACTACTGCGACACGCGATCCGACGGTCAACTCTGCTGCTTCCGCTCTCAATCTAACTCCTGCCCGTCAAACTGACAATTCCGCCGCTCGCCTTTCTGCTCGCAAACCAAGTGCCGCTTCTTCAATTGCTACGCCTTCAGTTTCGCCAGCAAACCCTGCCACTTCCGGCCTCCGAAAAGCTCCAAAGAAAACTTCCACCCGCCTTGCCGAGCCAAAAAAATCACAAACAGTCAACCGACCTCCATGGAATGGATCAGTTCGCACGACTTCCGCCGCGACAACAAAGACTCAAACCAAGCGAGACGTTGAGCAACCAGGTTAAAGACACCAAAAGAAAATTGAACTAACAAACATTCTAGCTCGAGCAGTTCGCCAGCGTAAACAGACGTCCTCCCTGTCGATCAACCATTCCCGGAAAAAATATTAGCTGCCTTTTCAAATGCCTTCCTTTTCTTTGACTGATAATATAGAACATAAGCTATCTACCGAAAGTCCAGATAAAGAATCTCAGAGGTTTGCAGGAATATATACAAATATTTTATGCATAAATACTATAGAAACATCAAAAATGAAAAGTTAAGGGAGTTTAAACGCAAATCTTTATATTATTGGCCGGAAGGTAGCCAAATTTGGAAATATGTATATTGATATACATGTTTTCTTTTCCTCAGAGAAAATTTTTGAAACGAGATATGATATTTTTCTTTCTTGATTTTTGAAGCTTAAGAACTACTCTTTAAAAGCCATCATTATAAAAATCTCTGGCATGAATGGTTCCACCAGAAAATTTGCGTCAAAATTGACCGAAAACCGAGAATTTTCGGAAAAATTCTGAAATTTCGATTTTTCGAAAACCATCAAAATATTCGCTTAAATTGTCTCTTATGGATGTTTTTTCACCAGAAATGGCAAAAAAAAGGCTAGAAACAACAAACCGTGAAAAAATCATCCAAATTTGGAAATATGTATATTGATATACATGTTTTCTTTTTCCTCAGAGAAAATTTTTGAAACGAGATATGATATTTTTCTTTCTTGATTTTTGAAGCTTAAGAACTGCTCATTAAAACCCATTATTATTAAAATCTGTGGAATGAATGGTTCTTCCAGAAAATTCGCGTCGAAATTGGCCAAAAATCGAGAATTTTCGGAAAAATTCTGAAATTTCGATTTTTCAAAAAACCGTCGTAATATTCGCTTAAATTGATCCTTATGGTTGTTTGGTCACTAAAAATGGTAAAAAACATCTAGAAACAACAAACTGAGAAAAAAATATTTGATTTTGGAGAAAAAATCATCCAAATTTGAAAATATGTATATTGATATACATGTTTTCTTTTTCGTCAGAAAGAAATTTTGAATAGAGATATGATATTTTTCTTTCTTGTTTTTTGAAGCTTGAGAGCTACTCTTCAAAAGCCATCATTACACAAATCTGTGGAATGAATGGTTCCACCAGAAAATTTGCGTCAAAATTGACCAAAAATCGAGAATTTCCGGAAAAATGCTGAAATTTCGATTTTTCAAAAACCGTCGTAATATTCGCTTAAATTGATCTTTATGGTTGTTTGGTCACTAAAAATGGTAAAAACAGCTAGAAACAACAAACTGAGAAAAAAATATTTGATTTTGGAGAAAAAATCATCCAAATTTGAAAATATGTATATTGATATACATGTTTTCTTTTTCGTCAGAAAAAAATTTTGAACAGAGATATGATATTTTTCTTTCTTGTTTTTTGAAGCTTGAGAACTACTCTTTAAAAGTCATCATTACACAAATCTCTGGCATGAATGGTTCCACCGGAAAATTCGCGTCAAAATTCACCAAAAATCAAGAATTTTCGGAAAACCGAAAACTTTCATTTTTGGGAAAGAAAGTTCCACTTTCATTTTTCTTCATCAAAGAAAATGTTTATAAACAATATGCAGGGTCGATTGCTCTGTCTTTGCCTCAACGATAAATAAATTACTTTTGAAATTTTATTTCTTTGTTTATTTGGAGACTGGCAGAAAGTGATGTACTAAAGAAACATGTGGAAAGTTATTGAGAATGATAAAGCAGTGCCATACATCCGAGACGAGGGAAAAAATGCAAAGAAAAAGAAAGATAGTGAGAAAGGCGCAGAAAAGGGGAGAAAAGCAGGACATGGATACTCGTCAATCGAGTAAGGGAGTCTTCGTTGTTTCATTCCAGCTGGTAAGTGTAGATTTGCAAGGTTCCAATGGTCAAATCAGGCTTGATCTCCAGGGCGACATCGAATTTGGGATTCTTGATTTTGTATTTTTTTCCCTCGTCTCGAATGTATGGCACGTCTGTATCAATCACTTGCCGAAAGTCACCGCTGCCGCGGAAGATTACGGAGACGTGGCGACTTCTTGTCATCGAGCGTTCCCGAACTTTGACGGTTCTTCCTTCGTAATTTTTTGATCGGCATGACGCGAGGTTGATTTTGTAGAAGCATGGATGGTCCTGCATTCCAAGTGGATACGTGATGACCTGAAGAAGGTCCGTCTTGAATCCGCGCATGACGACCGGACCTCTCCAGTCAAGAAGGCCAGGGAGAGATTTCGAGCGTTTTATCCATCTCTCAAGGTATTTCGTCGATCCGCTCACTTCACGCTCCATGGACCTCGCTATGTCCATGTGATTGTATTCAGCTTTATTCTCTTTTTCGACGTCGCTGTCAGCAAGATTCATGGAGGAGAACTTGTCATTCATTTTCTGCTTGCAAAAAGAGTGTTTCGATTTTGATACTTCTGCCCAAAACTCTCTGCTTTTATCAGTATCTTCATTTCTAGCGCCTCCATTAGGCCATATGGCACCTGCAAGATTTAACGCAGCTTAAATTTCATGCACTGGATTTTATTGAGAACAGCTTGCCTAGGTGCACAGGGAAAGACAGATTGCAGCGTTTAAAAAGTTTTACTCGATTCCAGTTTCATGAACGATGTCCATAAAGTTGGTGTACTCAAACGGCAAATTGCAGAAGGAGCATCTTTTGAATTCACGTCGGATTTTCTCGTAGCATTTCGTGCAGTAGAAGTGTTTGCAGGGGCTGTGTGTCTAATAAAAGCGTCCGTTAAAAATGTGAAGAAAAAGTTTAAGTTACCATTGGTTCTTCTTCTCCATGGCAAATCATGCAGTTTTTCATCTCTTCATCGTCGATCTGTCTCGCAGCCATTCTTCTTTGTCGAAGTTTCGTAACCAGTGATCCAAAGCAGTCTGCAATCGAAAAAGTTTTGCAGAAATCCGAAACTGTAAGTGGGTACGAAAAATACTCGTCGTCGCATTTGATAGCCTGTTTCTCGAAAGCTCTCCATTCTTCGGGCGTCAAAGGGACATACGCTTGTCCTTTGCACAATTCACAATGTGAATATCTTGTAGCTTTCGTTCCCTCTTCGTTCTTTGCATACTTCACGTCGGGATGAAAAACACCGAAATTCCGAGTAATTTTCTTATTGCATTGCAGGCAGAAAATTACAATCTCATCTTCGGTGAAGTCTTCATTTATAAGGTAGTATTTCCGTGGCATTTTAGATGAAAAGTTTGCGAGCACGAGTTTTTTTATAATTCGAGGTTGAGCCCAAACTCTTGATGGCGCCGAGTTTCGCGGCGTGCTTTCAGATTTGTGGCGTTCTTTCCGGTTACGCAGTGTGCGTTCAGAGCTCAATTGCGACGCTAGAAATTCAAAATAAAAAGTCTGGGTAGAGAAGAAAAAGAATGAAAAAGTACTATTTGAATTTTTCCGAGATGGAATCGTCTGACAGCGAGGTCGAAGAGGTCGAACAGACAAACACCGGACTGGAATTTCTGCTCAGGAACGCCCGATCTCACCCACTCCCTCAATTACGTCCTTTCTTGGAAGAAATCTATCACTTCTCAGAGCGCGAACCGTGGATACTCAAGTTCAAGGGATTTTTCCTGGTTAAAAGCGACTCAGGGATCTTTCAACTGGTCAAGTTTCCCCTTGGACCTCGTCATTGCTGGACCTTGGAAACGACCATTGGATCGGACCACCTCACCGATCTGGACAACCGTCTCTGTGCGCGAATCGCGGAGCAAGAAAACAAAGTCCTTGTCGTTGTTGATTCAGCCGTACTTATGGTCAACTCAGTTCCTCGACGACGATCCCGACTTGAAAACGACGGCTACGAGCTTGCCCTCTCGATTGAAAACGGCTTAGCTGTATTTTACTCTGTTGGAACCTACTCACTTGTTGTCTAATACAGTTTTTCTCCATACCTTTTTGTTGATTTTTATTTATAAGCAGGAAGTTGACCTTGTTGTATTGGTTGAGCCGGTGGCGCAGGTGAACTCGAGTGGAAAACGATAATAAAAAGAGCAATCGTTTTGATTGAGCATGAAGAGATATAATTTGTATTTTCCTGGATTAAATCCATGGATAACTTTGGGAGAGATCCAGAGATTTGGCGGCGATTTCAAAACCTTATTCAAGGACGGAAAACTCGCAGAGTCTCGATTTATTTCTCATATTCATAATCTTTCATTAGTGCATTCGGCGTTTAGCAAGGAAGAGATCATAGCATTTTACAACCTTGACATTGTCAACGTAAAATCTAAGTTCAAACATACGATAAAACTCGTTCTTCTTGAGGAAAGTGTTCTGAGAAGAACAAGCGTTATAATCGAAGAGGGTGAATGCTATTTTTATCTTTACCCATTTGACACATTTCTCGCAAAATTATACAGAAAGAAATCCAATATCAATAGCATAAATGATTTCTCATTCAAAATAGATGGTCTGAGTCTTTTTGAAGGACCAAATGATGTTTTTTCGAAAGATCTATCAAAAATTGCGAAAAAACTTGCAGCAGAGGTAAATTTTTTCCAATTAATCACTAATCACATGAATCTTTACAAACTTGAGCTACTACAAACTTTTTCAAGCGATAAAAACTCGAGGATCCTCAATTTTATTGTTGATAAAGACGAACTTCTTTCCACAAATAAGCTTAATCTAAGATATATTTTTGATATGAACAGTTTGGGCAATGTGTACAAATGTTCGAACTCCCTCTGTGGATTTGAAACCTTTTTCGAATCATACTTGCAGAATCATGAAAAGGGATGTCAAAGGCGAGTAAAAAAGATCACTCCTAATCAACGAGTCTACGGTACATCAATTAATCCGATTGAAGAGGCGATTCAAGCTGGGTTTCTTTCACCTGAGATGAGAAAATACAGAAAAACCAGATTTAGTAAGTTTCATCTATGATGACAAAAAATAAAAGGTTTAAGTCACTTTTGATATCGAGACCATGGAGCGTCAGATTGAAGAAACCAACAAGTCAACAACAGTTCACTCTGAACTTCGACTTCTTTCAATCGGAATAGGAAGCAACTTCGGATACCAGCGATTCTTGATCCGACGGAATGACGAGAATGACGGGGCAAAAGAGCTTGTTCAAAGATTTGTTGACGAAATTGAATCTCTTGCAGTCGCTGAAGAAAATTATCTCCCATCTGAGCTAAGAGACTCGATTCAAAACCTCCAAAACATCGATATGAATTCAGGTAGTATTTTTCTCCCAATAGTTGCTGACAATTTTGAAGTGCATGCTGAGCAAAAGATGAAAATCCGATATTTACGTCGAGAACTCACAAATTATGCAAAAATGGACATCTTTGGTTTCAATAGTGCTAAGTTTGATTTGAAAGTCTTAAGTCCGTATCTTATCCCAATTTTGATGAAAAAACACGGGTCCAAATTTACAAGTATTAAAAAAGGCAGTCATTACTTCTCTATGTCAACCCCGAAATATCAATTCAAAGATGCAAAACTTTTTAGCACTCCAACTGATCTTGCTGGATATCTTAAACAAGGAGGAGTCGACGAAGGAAAGGCGATTTGGCCTTATGAAAAATATCATAGCGTTTTTGATATCATGAATGACAAGAATTTTCCTCCTCGAGAGGATTTCTTCTCGAGTCTTAAAAATAAAGCTATTTCAGAAGAAGATTATGAAATTTTCAAAGATGAATTTAACAAAAATCAAAGAAGAGACCCCCATTATTCCATGGCTCATTGGCTTCAGCACTACAATTTGGCAGATGTCACTCCTTTTGCGAAAGCCATCGACAATCAATTCAAATTATTCTTTGAGACTTTCAAAATTGACCCTTCTTTTTGCATGAGTCTACCAAAATTTGCGATGGCGTGCGTTTTTGAAGGGTATTCGAAAGATTCACCGCTCACATGTAAGTTATTTTTTGTGAAATTGATTTTAATAATATTTTTCAAGTTTCCTTCCACCGTACTTGTCACAAAGAACATAAACTTCTCCGCGATAATATCATCGGTGGTCTGGTAAACGTCTATTCTCGCTACACTGAGCTTCGACCCGAGGTGGACGCTCCGAGAAATGCCAAGTTCGCGCCAAATGGGGATCCTTTTACAAAGATAGTCTTTTTTGACTTCAATGCTTTGTACTTGTACGCACAGAAGATGCTATTACCGTCCACTCCAGGTAATTTTTTTACTGTTTCTGAGCTCACTCTTATGATAAGGTATCAGATGGCAGAAAATCGACAATACCGTCTTTCGAAAATCCATAATGACGTCGGACAACTCTCTTGCTGCGCTTCAATGGCTTACATACATTGACGAGTTCAGCCCCTTGTTGGTTCAGACTAATGGAGAGCGGGTCCGACTTGAGCATCAGTATTTCAGGGGAGAGCACCAGGTCCTTAATTATAAAATTGACGGGTACGCTTGTGTTGATGGACAGCATCATTATTTCGAGTTTTTAGGATGTTATTTTCATCAATATTGTGTTGATTGCAACCCCGGTCAGATTGACCATGGGTTTGAGAAGAAACGTCGAATTTTGTCCAGAAAAGGGACTGTTCACATCATGCGAGAATGTGAATGGGTTCACCGACGAAATAAATATTATGTTGACCGAGTTTCTAAATATTGGGGACATATTTTCAAGCTGAAAGAATCAGAAAAAAGCATTCTTGAAGGAATAAAAAATGATGAGATATACGGATTTATCGAGGCCGATGTTTCTTGTCCGAAAGAAGTTTTTGATCAGATTTCGTACATAAATTTTCCTCCGGTCATTCAGCGTATGAAAATCACTGACGAGCATTTGAGTTCATATATGAAAGCTCAGTTTGAGAAAACTGGAAGCAAGTGCGACCAGGAAACTGTTGTTCAGACTTACAATGGTAAGAAAATGTTTCTCTTGACAACATTAGTGAAATTTTATCTTGAACTTGGTTTGGAAATAACAAATATTCGATCTTTTACTCAATTTCGAGCGACCAAAAGTCTAAGCGATTATGCCAATAATATAACCAATGGTCGCGTAAACGCCCTTGATGCCAATAACTCTGCTCTCGCTTTGGCTTTTAAGACCATCGGAAATTGCGGAGGATTTGGGAAGGCGATCGAGCAAGTTGATCGTCCAAATACAAAATTCAACGACGATAAACAGCTCAAGAAATCTATTGTTAAACCAACTTATAAATCATCGGAGGCTCTCTGTCAAGAAAACGGAGAGTATGAAATTTCAGAGGTCATTTTTGACAAGTTGCGGATCAAAGATGATAAGCCAACTGTTCTCGGTGTGGCTATTCTTCAAAATTCAAAACTCCATTTTCTCTCCTTTGTTTACAATTTTCTTCACAAATACCTGAGACCTGGGTCCTACAAGCTAAACTACTGTGATACTGACAGCTTAGCAATATGTAAGTTTGTATTTTCTGCCACTTATAAAAATATTTCAGCGTTTACTCGAAGCGGAACGGATGGACAAACAACAAGGTCACAGATGGAAGCCGCTCTGCTACCATGTGTTCGAGAGGAGCTTATGGAAGAGTTTCTTCAAGTTTGGCACAAATGGATTGTTCTTGAAGACACCACTCTTAATCATAAAACTCCTGGTCTTCTCAAAGGTTTGATCATTTTGCATCTGGATTTTAAACTCTAATAGCTGAGTGGCAAACAAATAACGGCGCCCTTGTCTGCCTCGGAAACAAGATGTACTTTGGCTTTGATGAAGAAAAGAAAGAGAGCAAGCGATCGACGAAAGGAGTTCCTCATAATCACGAGCTCAAACTTCAAGAATTTCTCGACTGTTTAAAAGGGACCATTGCCACAAATAATACTTGTCAAGTTCGCATGTTACGCTCGACCAACGACAATATTGTTAAGCGGATTTCGATTGAAAAAAAAAAGTTCTTTCGAATATTTTTGTTAAACTTCGAGTCATGTCGGACGGCGTGACATGTAAACCACTGACCCTTGACGGTAAAATCCTTTAATCTGTTCCATTTCAATAAATCTTGGTGCATATATATCAACTGGCTTCACTCTTTTTTGCAAAATGCCTTTTTATCCATCAGAGCGAGCTGATCTTGAAGCGCTTCGAAAAGAATATGGAGGAACTTACCTTCCTCTCGCCGAAGAGGAGCTCGATTTTTTCCGACAAACCGAGAGAGTTGGTCAGCTTCACAACAGGCTAATCATACCTCCTCCGAAACCTGGGCGAATCGTTGAAACTGCTCATTTGAGATTACTCTTAAATAAAAATTTTGATTTGAACAGCCTCATCGAAGACATCTTCGATGTGATTTCTCCAGTATTTCGAATCAAAATTGATTTCGGTTTTCTCATGGAAAATATTTTGACTGAAGATCCAGATTCCCGCTACCGATTTCACTGGCCTCAAATATCAACTGGACTTCCGATCGAGCCACACTTGATTAAAGACAAATTTTCCAAGAAAGCCTTTCTTGAAAATATTCCAAGCTGGTCCGAAATTCCTCAAATGGTCGAGATCGAGCACGAGAATCAATCAAGCTTCAGAAAGAGCGGGTTCAATCTGACTAAACTTCTCACCTGCAGCGTCTACGTTACAAAGATGAAATGAAACCAAGACGCAGCGGGACTCTCAGTGTGACCTTGTTTCTACTCTGCGCGCCCTCTTTTGGATACTCTACTCGATTTAACATCTCAAATTTCTTAATTCTCATCAAATCCAAAAAATGAAACTCAAATTTTTATATCTATCATTATGATCGCTTCTGCAAAAATGGAAATTGAATTCTAAAATGAAACACTATCATTAAAAACATTGTTGTTATCACTTCGGGATATAATTCTTATCAAATGAAAACTGTTTTGACAACTTCGTCTTCTGTATCAACCGCTTTCTTAAAATGAAACAGTATATTTTTTAATCGTTATTGTCATTGGCTTACCGAATACATTCCAAATTTCTGAAATCTCTTTGCTTTGATTGCATAAAAAAAAACGCTTAATACAATTTATATTTTCACCAAATTTTATTTTCACCAGATAGAAATTGAGTAGAAAAAACAAAGAAGTATGAAAGATCAGAAATTTTTAGGAGCAGAAATTTTGAGAAGCAGAAACAGAAAAGAGCCGAAATTGAAAAAGCTTGCATTTGATTATTCAGAGGCTCCGAGACTTTTTTGGTGGTGGAACAGCTTGGTAGTCCTCGTTGATGTAAATCGTTCCTGTTTGCTCGGGCTGCGTTAGAACATCATCGTCGGGAGTTGTACGCAAGTTCCATCCAAGAACGGACGGAGATTGGAAGACATTTTCTTGACCGCAGATGGGACAGTCATGAGATGGCTCTTCTTCAGGTTGGAATGGCATAGTGTACCTGAAAATGTACGCTTTTGGCTCATTTCTCATCTGTTCAGAGAGTGTTTGAAGAGCCTCGCGTTCGATCTCGATCAGTAGCTGCTTCTTGGTGTGGCGAAACTCGAGCAGGTGAAGGAACTCGACTTCGAGCTGATGTTTAGTTGAAACAGGCAGACGGAGCTCAATTTCTTCTCCTGAGAATCCATCAGGAAAAAATTTATCGTCATTCGAGATCACTGAAGCGTCGATGTAGAAAACTCCTCCTTTATTGGCGGTGTGAAAATCAAAGTCTTTGATTGTAACGATCATTTTTGCGAATGAGAGAAGAATCGATTTTGCTCCTGAAGTTCAAATGCACTGGTTAACCAGTGCTCTTTTCCTAGCCTTGACACCGCTTCTACGCTTCCTTTGTTTATAAATAAAAGATCCTGCTTCAAAAAACTACAAAAAGATTTATCACCGACATTTATTTTCACCGAAAAATATTTACAAAGGAAAGCACGACAAAATAAAAGTAAAGTAGAGCAAGCACCACAGTTTATCTAAGAAAGTATAGAAAAGCAAAGCACCACAAGAAAAGACAGTTTCATTTGAAGATTCAATGATTATACTTTGTCACCTTCCATTCTTCAAGCTTGAATATTGGTGATCCACAGTTTGAACAATCCTCTGGAGGAGTCTGCTCGAGTTGCATCGGGAAGTTGTATTGAAACGTCCAGCAACCAAAAATTGCTTCCCCTTTTTTTCCCTCGGAAGTGAGCACTTTTTCAAGAAGAATTATTGGTACGGGCTTTTTTGAGTGACAAAATTCCAAAAGCTGAAGGAATTCCGTCTCAACCTCTTGTTTTGTCGAGACTGTTATCCGGAGATCAAGCTCTGCTGCTGGGAATCCACCAGGAAAGTGAACGTCGATAAGCGGCATGCACATGGCATCAATGTGAAAAACTCCTCCACAACCTTTATGCTCAAAGTCGAAGGCTTCAATTTGAACCATAAAATCAGCTGAGGAGACTTCGGAACATCGGAACATTTTTTTTGTTGAGAATGAGATCAACTAAGAATTCTTCTATGAGGTTCAAAAGCGCTGGATACTCAGTGCCTGCTTTTGACCACTGATTCTACTCGAGCGGAACTTCGCGTCTTGAATGTTTATAAATAAAGGAACCTGCTTGAAAGAACGACAAGGAAATAAAAAAAACACCAAATTTTATTACTCGAGTAAAGAAGCAGAAAACGATCAGAAAAGGAAAAGATTAGATGTCCATTTGTTGCTCGGAAGCTGGCTGAATCGGAGTTGGTTGTTCGTAAGCTGGCTGAATCGGCTGAATCGGAGTTGGCTGGATTGGAGTTGGCTGAATGGGAGTTGGCTGGATGAGAGTTGGCTTGATAGGAGTTGGCTGAATCAGAGTTGGCTGAATCGGAGTTGGCTGGATCGGAGTTGGCTGGATCGGAGTTGGCTTGATCGGAGTTGGCTGAATGGGAGAAAGCGGAGCCGGAGTTGGCTGAATGGGAGAAAGCTGGGTCGGAGTTGACTGAGTCGGAAGTCGACTGAATCGGAAAGTGTAGGAAGCGGGGATATTGTGCTCTCTTTCCCAGTCGGATTGCTTTGACTCGGAAGTAAGGTTGACGGACGCAGGTTGATGAGATTCTGTGAAGGAAAGAAGAGTAGCGAACGTTTCAGAAATTTCAGCTGCAGTCCTTTCATACATTCTCAAGTTGATTTCTGAAGCAGGTTGGGTATAGTCAAAATGACTCTCAAAGCCTGGGATAAAAGTTCCCTTGACTTTGAAAAATCCGCCTCCGTTGTGTGATCGAAAAGTGAAAGATTTAATCGTGACAAACATCTTTTTGAGAATGACGAAAATGACAAAATCAAGTCCAGAAGTGCTAAAGCACTGGTTAGTCAGTGCATCTTTTACTACCAGTGATTCTTTTATGTTTACCTTTACAATAACGTTTTTTCGACTTGTTTATGTTCGTCAATCGTAAGTTTGACAGACACAATTGACCATATAACAATGTGATAGTCATCGTCGTCATCTAGTGGTTTGTTGAAATCGAATGTGAAGGAGAGCCATCCTTGTGATATTTCCTCGCCCTCAAATTCATGAGCGAAAATTGCATTGCTCTTGTACGCATCCATGGATGTCACATAAGACAAGTTGCTTTGAGAGATTCTTCCAAGAGCATTTTGAAATTTCCAATAAGGGAGAATTGGATACTGATTCGTGATTTTCTAGAAACATGATAAATTTTTTTATTCTTCTATGTTATCTTACCTGAGGATATCCATGGAGCGACTGCCCATTTAATGTGACGTTTATTTGAGTAAGATCCTGATGAAAACTGAAATTTGTGGACTCAAAAGCATCCGATCCAAACAAGGCATCTGTTTTGATGAGTCCAAAGAACATGTACGCGGGAGTATTTCCACCAGTAACATTGAGAAGCTGAACTTGCTTACGACCTTTTGGTAAAGCCATTGTCTTTATCATAGTGTCATTGAATTTGTAGGAGATCGGTTTTGATTTGATTCTCGCAAAATGATTTCTCAAGCTTGTAGAGGACACATATTCAACCATTGCATAGGCATCTGTTATTTTGAGAGCTTCTCCAGCCGGCAACTTATCATTTGGGTCGCTTCCAATAAAAATTGTAGAGAACTCATGCTTTAGACGGTAGAGCGTCAGTGATAGATCAGTGTTGAGAGGAAGAGGTTTATTTTCAAGGAAGAATCCGTGAGTAGGTAAGAAGATGAGTTCGTAAACATAATTCCCATCGGAGTTGACAAAGCAGCCTGGTCTCCTACCGTCTCTGATTTCTTCCTTAGCCGCATCTGTCGCAAGTGTCTCAAAATTGTACTCGTCATAGTACCCTTCGATCTGGAAAGCAGTCATCACATATTGAGGATCGTAGTTTGTCAGCTTTGTCAAATAATCAGCTAGCATATAATGCGCGCTAAGAGAAAAAGTAAGGCTAATCTATGAACAAAAACTCTTACTTTGAATTGGAGTTATCAATTATCTGAGAATTCACGGCAACTTCTGTTTTTCCAAACTGTTTGCTTGCGAATCCATTGCAGGGGATGTAGTTCTTGTCAAGTTCGATCGTGAAATGAATCGCAATGTTGTTTTTGACGAGAAAAAGGTTTGGATCAGCATCGAAGTGGAAATGAAGACGTCCGGTTAAACTATCTACCTCTCTGGGATAGTGACGCTTTACGACTTTCTGGTCGTAGTACTCAACTTCTATCATAGTTTCAGTCTAAACAAGTAAAGATTGAAGATCGTTTTTCACCAATTTTAATCACCAAATTTGAGAGAGTTTGTCAAAAAGAAGTTGATCGTTCTCAGTAAGATTTTTAGAAAAAATAGAGGAAAGTTTTTTCATAGAATAAAGAGAGCGAAAGATAACATAGAAACAGACGTAGAAACCACAGTAAAATGACGCATCTGATTGAATTTTTTTATAAAAATATTTTTTACGATCACCGAAAAAGTCGGTTAATTCTTTTGGATATTTTCCTAATTTCAAACTATCAAAAATCTCGATTTTTGACTTTTCAATACGAAGTGCTATCCAGTGAGAACCTTTTGACTTTTCCGGTGAAAGATTAACAACGAGAAAAGCAGGATATTCATTAAGAGTGGAAAGAGTATCAATAGAGAAAACACCAAGGAAATTTTGTACACGTTCTAAACGTTTAGCAATATAGTAAGAGTTCATGCTCTTTTCTTTTTGGACGACTTCTTTGACTTTTTCAAGTCTTTTGTTGTAAAATTTCTTTTTTTCTTTGGTTTTGAGGAAGGTTTTTTTCTTGCTGGAGTAAGTTTTAATTTGGTTGGAGCTTTTTTTGATTTTCTTTTTCCTGCGCCCGACTGAGATTTGGGAAACCATTTTTTTGGTCGACTTTCGAGCGCGGAAATAATGGTTTTCATTCTCTTGTTGTAATCTGGATCTGCAGAGAAAATTGTTGGACAACGTGTTCACTTTCTAAGTCGATTGAAAATGTCGTATCCCGCCAGTTATATACGTTTAAAGGGAAGAAAAGGGAGCGTTGGTCGGAAAAATGGCACCACCTATCGTTTGGACGGATTTGACCCATCATGAGCGTATTCGGTTCTCCATAGCAAGAAGCAATTGAGTTACACGTTATGAAAGCAATGCCAACGTCACGTGGAGTGGTCATAAGATTACAGACAGCGCTTACAATTTGAACACAGTATTCTTCGTTGTTATCAAATAAAATTTCAGGGACTTTTAGTTCCTTGCTTCTTGTTCCGAAAAGATTCAATATCATTGGCGACAAGATTGAGTTCGAAATAATACTTGATTCGAGGTTGACGATTTCCTTCTTCGTCAGCAATTTTATACCAAACTATACCAGCTCTTTGACGGATGTCCGTGATGATGTAAACTTCGTCTGACCAATTTTGCGTGTATCCTTTTTCGAAAAGTTCTTTTTTCTTTTTTACTCTCACAACGTTGCCAACTTTTAGTCTGGGCTTGACTTTTAAGTCAATGTCGGGATATAGTCGAGTGAAAACCTGTGCTCTATTTTTTGATGAGACTTGGTTTGGAGCCATGCCAATTGAACGATGAGGAGTTGAATTATATCCTTTTGTTATAGCCGGAAGAACATCGATCCAAGTTTTAGTCCTGTTTCTTTTCATGAAAAGATGTATACGTTTTCTGAAAGTTTGAATCGCACGTTCTGCTATCGCTGCCTTCATTTTACTTTTGATACTATAGTGATGCAGTCCATATCGATCCAGAATTTTGCGCACATTTGAGTTGTAGAATTCCAGACCTTCATCTGTAATCAAAGAATTCGGCCACTCAATAAAATCTTGAAATATGTCGTTGAGAGCGTTTGCCACATCCTTCCCAGATTTGGTTTTGAGAGGTCTTGTCCAAACATAACGTGAAAAACAGTCGATAATGAGAAGAATAAAAACGTGATGTCGATTAGAGTATTTGAATTTTTGGTAGTCAATAAGATCACCCTGGAATATTTTGAATGCAGTGTCAACAATAAATCGTCGACGAGGAAATCGCTTTTTGGATATGCGACGATGAGTACTAGACACTTTATTCTTCCGGAGAAATTCCGCTACTTTCGCTGAGAATGCTGGAGCGCTTGCCACGTTTTCGTACAGGGCTTGAATCTGATCCTCCAGAGCTGACTTCTTCGGAGGTTGGACTTTCGGATGAGCTTGAATTTCTTCTTCGCTTCGATTTTTTTGATTTTGAATCGACTTCGTCTGAGCTGATGTTTTCGCTATCTGATTCGCTTGAGGTTGAAGGACGTCTTCGCTTACTCTTTTTTGATTTTGATTTCTCTTCCTCGTCGGTTTCCGAAGACGCTTCGCTTGAGGTTGAATGTCGTCTTCGCTTCTTTGCTTTCCTTTTTGATTTCTTGTCGTTACTCGACTTCTTGTTTCGCTTTCTGGATCTTGACCTTTCAACCTCCGACTCTGACGAGTCTTCGGTAAAACTGTCGCATCTGATCTTTGATTTGACTCTTGTTGACTCAATAGTTTTGCACTCCGGGTATTTCTTCTCATGTTTCTTTTCGACTGCTTCGAAAGTATTGTCTCTGGCGATAATATCGAAATTCTGCTTGAAATCGTTGTATGGTACGATGCAGGCCTTCATTCCGCTAACTGAGAAAACAACCGGATAATCGGTGAATATATCTGTATAGAGACGATAGCTCGAGGCATGGCCTCGGGGTGATTGATCCAGAAACATGTACGGATATTGTTTGTTCTTGTTTTCTTCCGTTGCTCTTTTGTAAGCTTTTAGAAGTCCAGCTTGACTACATGCACGTTTATTAACTGTCCCATCAAGACAGTTTCTGCATAGAAAGGTAGCGTTGCAGTTGAGCTTGATGTTTCTCCCGAATTTTCCTTGAGCATAGTTATTTTGCGTCATTATCATCACATTTAAATTCCGCTTCCCACTTGTCACTCGAAACAGATGATCGATCGCTTGACTTTGAATCGCTTCTTCATATAAATCATCGAGTACAATTGTTGAATGTGACGGAATCTCGTCAATTTCCTCTTGAGAAGGAAGTCCAACCCTGTAGCTTACAGGGACACAAAGATCATCCCACTTCACTGGTTTTTCTTCCAAAAAACAAGGATAATAATAGAAAACTCGTTTAGTCTTCTTTTGAAATAGATGTCTGTTCAAAAGAACTTGTTTTGCGATATAAGTTTTTCCTGCTCCAGAAGATCCACTGAGCAAAATACGAAAAGGATATGTGAAGGTTGCGTCTGGTAGAAGTTCTCCATTGATAACGGTGCTCATTTCTCTTTTGCTTCAATTTTCTTTTGCTCATCCTTTTTATTTATCAAAAGAAAGCATTGGATCGGAACTGAAAATAATCAAATCTTAAATTTTATTCTCATATCGTAACGGATACACAACGGAAGTTGTTGATGACATATTAATAAACACTGAACTTCCGAGTTTATATTTATAAATACCGGAAATAAGTATTTATTCACCATCGAAGACTCGATGGCGAGAACATGGAGGTGGACCCCGGTCATGAGTCCGACGGCGAGCTTCCTGACGAGGGGCCAATTGAGGACCCTCTTGTTCCTCCTGAGGACGAAGATGACGAGGCCGAGGACGACGATGTTCGTGAGGTCATCGACGATCGTGAGGACGACGACGTTCATGAGGTCGTCGAGGAACCCATCGAAGTCGCCCCCTGGGATCTAGTTGACCCCGACTTTTTGTCAAACAAGCACCTTGCGGATCGAGGATTCATAAATAAGGGAGAGAAAGCCGGCGAAGCGGAGCATCTTGCTTACTCTACGTGTTGGTTGTCTGCAGCCGGTATGTGTATCTTTGTTCGAAATTTGCGAACGCCGTTCGTAATCTTGTGAACGCCGTTCGCAACGGAGAAAATCTTACCATGAGTGTTCGTTTCAAGCATTTTCTGGTATAAAACTCATTTGGTTGACAGGAGCAGTGTTTCTCTAGCGCTCGGACACGTGATGAAAAAAGTTGTGAACGATTATTGGTCAAAATTTTCTCCTTGTGAACGGTGTTTACAAGATAACGAACGGCGTTCGCAAGTTGTGAACGAAGCCGCTTGCTCCCTTAAAAATAACTGAACTCGTATTTAAGTGAATCTTCTTCTCATTGCAGGCTGTATTCGAAAGCTGAAGCCGGCCAACTGTCTCATCGCAGAGATGCAAAAACTGACATTTGTCAACAGTAAGTCTTTTTTTTTTATTCCGCGACGCATATTTAACAACCTGCTAAGCGGTTCAAGCACTCGATGATGTCGTCAAGGAAACAAAAAGGTTACTCTGGGAGAGCGGTTTTAGATGGACTAAAACTGGACTCGGAGTAACCGAAGGTCTACGAGGGTTATTGAAAAATTTTTCCGAAAGGTGTGGTTCATTAATAAAAATATCTTAATCAAATTCTCAATATGAAATCTTTTATCGTTAGAAGAAAGATTCTTAATCAAATGAACAATGAGTATTTTTTCAAATAAGAACCCCAAATAAGTGACGGTGAAAATAAGCAGAAGATCTTGGAAGATTTTCGTTGTTGCGAGTCTTGCATGGTAATTCGCCCTTTTTTTTTTCTTGTTCTAAGATTTTTAGGAGCCCTTCTTCTGTGAAATTTTCATTGAAGACGCCTTGGACAGCAAAGATATAAATTTGCAAGAAATAGTCGCGAAGGGAGAATGCCTCCTGTGTGGCAATGAGGAAATACGACCGGCAGAATATTTATTCCTTGTCGTGAACGGAAGGAAACGCATGAGATATATATATATATTTTTTTTTTTTGCAAATATGAACGCTTATATAATATGCCAAAAAGATATTTTGAGGAGAATGGACGATGGGTGCAGCGAAAAGATGTGGTGAAGGGCGATTCAATTCGCCTGATGGGTCATGATTACAAAATGATTGGTAAGAGAGATTATATATTCGGAACATTTTTATTGATTTAGCAAAAAGCACGTATAAAATGCAAAAAAATCAGGAAGCTCACACTTATGTTGACTTCCAGGTGGGCTTAAAATAATATCGCACGAGTTTTATCTTCATAGCCTTCTTTATTATTTTTACGTGAAATTATTCAAGCCAACATAAGAAAAAAAAGAAAAAAAGAGCGCGAAAACTTCTGGCTCGAAGACTGGATGACTATCTCCGCTCGACGGACGTCACGTGGGAGCCATCTTCTGAGGATCACGTCCTACTACTCTCCCGAGCGCGAATTCAAGATTGAGAGATTTATTTTTATATTTACTTATTTGGTGACTGAAGTTTTTATCTAAATATTTATTTATTTGGTGACTGAAGTTTTTATCTAAATATTTATTTGTTTATAATAAATTATATATTTTCACTTATAATAAAACAAGACTGATTTAAACCGGAAGTGCACCGGAAGGTCACCGGATGTTATTCTTTTCCGGAAGTTTACCGGAAGAGAATAACATCCGGTGACCTTCCGGTGTTTATATTAGTGTCCTAGTAGTCGGCTTAAATAGATAATTACGACGCCTCTTGCTACACCTTTTTTCCTACCCAGTATCCTCTGTAAGCGTTTTTATCGCCACGGCCATCTCCCATTACTTTGCTCGAAGAAAGAGATCTGTTTGGAGCTTCGTGGTTTTCATTTTCTTCGGGTGAAAAAGCAACGCCAGTGGCCCGGAAATTCTTGTACTCGTGTTTCATAATCGTCTTAACTTTTCTTTTATTTTCAGATTTCAGAGACAAAAACAACCTTTGCTCCTCGGTCATGAAGACCCATCTGCAGATCCCAGTCAAACGCTCCTTCCCTCGCGTCGTATCTCGAGCCCATGTACTGTCTTTGCCTGATATCCCATTGCTGGCTAACCTAAAACCGGTTTTTTACACAAATTTCAGGGTGAATTACCATGAATTTGTCCTTCGCCGATCTCCAAAATACAAACTGGTCATCAAGTCGGTCGCGATCCTTGAACTTTAGCCGATCGAGCTCAAGAAACGAGGCTCTCTTCTTGCAGTAAGAAGAGTCGGTAACCATATCTGATAAAACCCGTGATTTTTGAAACAGGTAGCTTTGACTGGCGGGACGAAGAAGGGTGTTTCCGAAGATGTCCAGATAGAGAGCAGTTTTATTCTGAAGTGAATAAGCGCCGTTCGGTTCTGAAGCGACTTTAAGGGGGTCAATTTTGAAGATATCGTAATTTTAATTTTGGAAAATTGAACCCTTAGCTAGTAGAAGCAGCAAATGCCGAGCAATACATTCGACATGCGATTCATAGATATAAAAATTTATTTTTCGTCCAGGATTCTCAGCTACTGTCCGTAAAACATGTCGGACATCGCCAGGCCCAACAAGCAAAACATTCAACTCTTCATCTTTATTAGCCGCATATTGAGCGAGATCTGTCGCAGGAGAAAAGCCCCACCATTGAATTGAACCTAAGCCCGCCTTTTGATTCCCACTTTCCATTAATTTCTTTTTCTGAAACTCAAAGAATCATTTCAGAATCGTTTTTTCCGAACGTTGATTTTCAGTTTTATTCTCAAAGGAAACAAGTACAGGGTAGTGAGTCAGGTCAGTGAAGAAATGAAGAAAATATGTCTCGTTTTAAGTTTTGCATGTGGAGGCCAGTTTGAACTTCCTGAAAGATCTTTTCTGCGTCAACAATGACTTTGTTTAGTTTGTTCATTCCAGCAGCTGGATTCACTCCGGCTGCGCTGCCATAACCTTGCTTACTGACCTAATTTCAGACTTTAGATTTCAGCAAATTACCCAAATTTTTACTTTTTCAGCGATGAGCTCGATTTTCGCGCCAACATCGTTGATCGAGTTTGTCAAATATTTTCGGTTACTAAAAATTTTTGTCTCATAAGCAAGTTAGTTAATTCTTACTCATGAAGAGAAGACATAGAAAGCGTTGATGGCCAGTACTTATTCCAAAGCGACTTTAGCATATTCTGATCCGTTTGTGTCTAAAAATAGAGTTCAGAAAGCGTCTAATTATGTCCCTTTTTACCGTGAATACTTCAATATCAAGCTGATAATACTGATTCGCGTGGACGCCAAAGTCCTCAATCTTCTCTATTGGAATAGATTGATATTCAGCTGCTTCTTCGTGTGAGGGAAGATAACCCTTTGGAAATGTTCTGAATGCGCCGATGTTCACTTTTCCGGTCGATTTTGTCCTCACTGGATCGACTACAATTGCGACGTATGGCTCTAAAATGCCGTAAATAAATATTTCAGGGATTGAAAAACACCTTCAAATTGTTGATGAAGACTTTGTGTGCCCACATCGATTCCGGATAGCCAGCAGCCATAGCCAGGATGAGAGTGGTACCAACCTTGGAATTCAAAAATGGAACGGGTCGGAAAATTTTTTCAACTAACCAATGGCATTTTCTAGTCGCTGGACATGTTGCTTATCATTCACATATTTCGACATGTACTCATAAGCTTGCGTGTGTGCATTGACTCTAGTCTCCGTCCCCTCAACTGGCAGTGCGAAAACGTCGTGGATTATCATTGTCGTCTCGTCAATCTTTCCAAGCATCAGACCCATCACCTGGAAGAAGAATAATCATAATGACACTTTATAGCAGAGAACGCGCTTTTCTAGCGCACCAGATGCTAGATAACAACTTGATCCGGGTTTTCTGCCCTTGCGAAGATAAAAACTTCTAAAGGATTCATATGCTCGGTAAATCGAAATTGCAAAAACTGATCCTCGGGGTAGACTTTTCTGTTTCGACTACGTTTTTGGAACATTCTCCGTATCTACCACTTCAAAACTTCCATGAAATCTCACCTCAATATTTCCTCCAGAGTTAGCATGAATAAGCATTTTCAACAGAGCAACGGCTGATATCTTACAAAGCTTGAAATAGTGCGGATCTTTGGTCCACGGACTAGCACCAAGAAGCTCTCGATGTTCCTTCTCACTGTATCTCAAAATCATTTCGCTCTCTGGAATCGTCGCGATTTCATTTTTTCTCATCCAGTTTTTCAGCTCCTCGGAGACGTTGGTAGAACTATCGGTATTTATTCGCTTTTCTTTCGGCTGATCACATTCCATTCTCAGAAAGAAAACACTGTTGATTTTCATTGTTTTTTTATCATAACTGGGTTTATTTATCCTTTGAGTTTGTGTCACAGGTTGAAGAAAAAGAAAAATGTGTTGAAAATAAAAACTGTGCTGAAGATTGTTTAGTAGTATTTATCAGTGTACTGCCACGAGTCGTTTGAATAGCCTTCGAATACATGTTCTATCAATCGCTAGAAAACTCATGAGCGCGGTTTAGAGAAAGAAGATCTCTTACTTTTGATCGCTCATGACAATATCTCGCTTTATCTTGCACGCGTCGCTTGACTTCTCCGATTTCTTCCGACGAAGAGGGCAAGCGCCGCTCGAGAAAGCCCGAAAGATCTTCTGTCGCCCCTTCCAGATCACCCTTCCAAAGCATTAAAAAGCAGAAAACAAGGAAGACTTTACCTGATTGTCCTCAAAAATTTCAGCCGAGTTGGTCTTCTTCAGGTAAAAAGCAAAAACATAACTGAACATCAAACACCTTCTCGAGGAGCGTAAAATATCCACTGCCGTGTTCAAGAATTCTACTTCCACCCAGGACATGTCTCTCGTCATCAGTTCCTTGACAAAATCTTTAGCTTTCACTACTATAGGAACTACTCACGTGGATCTTTTCGTTGACCGTTGCTTTGAGTTTGTGCTCGAGGTTGATCGACTCTTCGTGGTTTTTCTGTCTGTTGTAATAGTGAACATATCTGTTGAGATTCTGCCTCGAGCGCTCTTGGCTTTCCTTCATCGTATCTTTCTCTTCATTGTAGCGGTTACAATTATAGAAAGAGGAGCCATGCTTGTCCCAGTTTCCCAGGCATACCCAGCAGAACTCGTATTTACAGGACTAGAAATGATAGTTTGAATAAAAAACAATCAGAAAGGGCTCTAACTCACAGGGCTTTTACAAACAACATGATTGCATCCACCGTCTTTTTCGATTGTTGTGTGACATTTTGGACAGTCCTTGAAGTAACATTAGTTTCTAGTTAAGAAACTCGATAAATTTTAAAACAGAAGGTATAAATGGATAAGGATTTGATAATTGAAAAAGTCTGATAAGTGGAATTTGTCACCTTTAGTGAGCGAAAATATTTACTTATTTTATAGTATTCTTGGATTCCTTTGACTTCAATCTTTTAATAGAAAAGTAACGAAAAACAGCTCATTTGAGTTCACAACCTTTGTATTTGCATGTATCCAGTTGAATGTTTCCGAGTCATCTTCGCACTTTCTCCGCCATTTTTTCAAAAGACTGCATTTCACTGGACTGTGCCAGGTCTCCCCGCATCGGGAACAGAGTGCTTCGCCGCAAGAACAGTTTATTTCGCTGCCGATATCTTTGTTCGCATCGGCTTGATTTGCCTTGAAGATCATTTCGCAGTCTGGCTGGGCGCAGAATGTCGTCCTCGGGTGGCTCGTAACAAATGCATTAACGAGATTTCTTTTGAATCTTTTGGAAGTTGCGGGATCACTGGACAGGAGTTCGAGTATTTGGGAGTCTTCGATGCATGCGAGGCACTGTAATTACCGTCAGTAGCTATTTTTATGGACAGCAAACCTTGTGAGCTGGGCATCTGAGTAATGAGGTTCCGTTGTTGATTTTTTCTTTTATATAATACACAAAGCAGCTTTTACAAAAGCGGTGTTGACAATTGGAAGTTCCTAAAATAAAAATATGGGAAATTTAATGAGAGACTTCATACCAGTTGACTCTTCTGTTTCAAATTCCATGATACAGATATCACAATCAAATGTCTGGCAATCTTGGCATTTCTGAGAATTTTGCGATTGATTACTTTGAGAGGAGGTGATTCCTTTGAGCAAACGAGTAGGATTTTCGTAGAATTTTTCGAGGAAATCGCTCTTGTCCCATTTGTAATCGTTTAGTAGAAGGCGCAGTACGGTCTAAAAGACGATCAGATACGGAAATTGATCAAGTATTCGTACTTTGGGCAGGTCGGTTATCTGGGCGAGCTCTTTTAAGATTTCTTGTAAATAGCGGAAGACATCTTCTGTGTTGAACAATTCAACAAGTTTAGGTTCTTTTTTCGGCTCTGCTTCGATTGTCGCGACGACAACATCCTCTTCAAAATCTTCTTCCTCGTCCTCTTCGTCGTCCTCGAAGTCGTACTCGTCATCGTCGAATTCATCATCATCAAAGTCCATTCTAGATAAATTATTTTTAACAGACTTGCTAATCATCACTGGCTGCTTTTTTGAGAATAAACTTTTGCAGCTTGTGGAATTTGCGTTTTTCAACTTCCGTCCAATTAAAATTTTCCTTTCCATCGAGCACCAAGTCGACATAAACGTCCTTGAGTTTGACGATACTCGCTTGGCCTTCATACAGCCGTGCCTTTTCGTTTTCGTACAGAAAGACTCTTTGAAAAATTTCCATCAAGTACTGAACCGATTCGTAGTTTGAGAATTCGTCGAAGCAGTCCAGGTGCAGAATGTGGCGAGCCATGGCTTCTAGCGTCATGGGATCGATGATTTGCATGAAAGTCAACTCAGCAGAATACAGAATGCGGCGGTAGACGTACGGATCGTAAGGGAGATTCACTACTCTTTTCCAATCTGGCCTAAAATCAAGATAAATCAGGTGATGTCAAATTTTTACGAAACAAATAATGATTTGTTTTCTTTTGGGCTCTGCAACCTGTGTACAAAACTTCAGTCAGGTTTTGAATTTCTTAAAAAGCGGAGACTCAGGTTTGTTCACAGGTTGTCGAGTCCAGGTCAGCATCGTCCTGTTTATTATTTACCTGTATCCAACAGTAGCGAAAATCTCCGCAGCCATAAACGCGATAATATAATGATTATCAAAAATCTCGATTAAACTGTCTCTATCTTCTTTATCCGGCGGTTGAAATTTCTTCCTATCATAAATAGTCTCATAGTTTCCATTTAAAACTGTCATATGATACGAGTCACAGTTTTCATTTTTCCTCAATGAAACAGAGCAGAACCTCGAAAGCTCTAAAAACGCGTAAAATCGACAATCGATTTTTTCATTTCAGAAATTTCAAAAATTATCGCACCTTTACTGTGCTTCTCGATAAGCTGCTCGCGCGCTGACATTGCCTGCCAGTACGCATCCACATAATCCCTTTCCAAATCGATCGACAACGCTTCCGGCTCAATTTCTATGTTCTCTTCGAAATAATCAAACAGCGTCCTCGAACGCGTCTTGTTTTTCACGAGGCAGAAAGCAGACTTGTTTGCGTAGATTGAGTCGCGTATAGGGTGACGTATAAAGGTCTTTCTGTGCAGTATGTGATTGAAGGCATTTAGGCCTGCTTTCGAGGTGAAAATTATTACGTCTTCAATAACCAGTGATTCAAATATTTGCAAGCCGAAATGATAAAGGGATGCTTTTTCATGTTGAGTATATTTAACCTTGATTGGATAACTCTGATTTTAGGAAGATTCCTATCATAAAAATCAAAGCTTATTTGTTGGTCCTGCTAGCGACAGACGATTTTCAATAAGGATTTCTGAGTGAAATCCTTACCCCCCTCTTTTATTTGCTTGTTAGAAAGAGCGTAAAAAGTTACACTAGAAACACTGAAAAAATCAAGAGATTTTCAAAATATTGACCTCGTGCCACGTGACTGAAGTTCCAAAAGTACCATTTCTTTCGGACATCGGCATTTCCAAGTCCTCTTAGCTGAGCAGGCATGCGATACATGAAAATGATCGTCTTGTCGAGCTCTACATCGGCATCTTGGTTTCAATCCTTGTAATTTAGTTTTCCATCCCTTTCTAAAATCAGCTGTTTGCTGAAAATATTGATTTCGAGAAAAAAGGGATGAAAAGGTTTGAGACTGACACGCCGATGTAGAGCTCGACGAGACGATCATTTTCATGTATCGCATGCCTGCGTACCTAAGAGTAGTCGGAAATGCCGATGTCCGGAAGAAAAGGTACTTTTGGAACTTCAATCACGTGCTATGACGTAATAACTTCAAAAATTTCATCCTTTTTGGTGGAATCTGGCATAACTTTTTACGCTCTTTTAAATGAGCTAATAAAAAAGGGGGGTAAGGATTTCACTCAGAATTCCTTATTGAAAATCGTCACACCTCGAAGAGGTCTTAATTTCTATATTTAAGAAAATCTCATATAGGATTTATAAATGATTATCAAAAAATTGAATGATGAAATGAGTCAGTATCTAAATCAGTATCCGCATCGTTGTTATCCAGCAAAAATGATTATCGAAAAAGAGAAGATGGAATCATGAAATGAGTCAACATGCAACAGAAGTGGGTCATCAGGATCATTTTTTGTCTACGTGAATCTTGATAGAAACAACTGCAGAATAAAATTTACACCTTCCCAGTATGTTCGGAATGTTTCAATTCATTTTTATATATCAGCCTCGAAGGATCCGCCAGCGTTGTTTGGAACTCTTTGTTGAGCGTCTTGTTGAATAACTTGTACTGCGCAATTCTGTTCGGGTCCTTTTTCATCGCAGATCTCATCGACTGCCAAGTAAGCCCTAGAAACGCTTGCTTGTGTCGCACCATTCTAAAATTTTTGAAGGAAAAAGTTGATTTTTTCAGTTCAATTTTCAAGCTGAACTTGGGCAATGGATTTTTCTTCTCCTTCTTCAGGAGATTCGTAGGCTTTATAAACTCGTTTCTCGGCGAGATTCACTAAACTTCCAGGGTCGATTCCATACCATATCTGCCGCGGACTTTTCTCCATTTTCATTATGTCACAATTTGAAATATCTACACTTTCATAACCAAGTTCCTGAAGAAAAATAATGATTCAAGCCTTCCCAATTTGAAAAAATACCTTTGCAAGTTTCTGTCTATCGAAATTGACCAAATCTTTGTCGGCCAAGTAACCCCTCATCTCCGGAGAAACATAGTATTTGAGAAGATATGGCGGTGGAAGTTGCCGCTTCAAAACTGGCTTTCCTTTGAGGAAAAAATCGACAGGGTTGACGGCGAGCTCGATGGATTTTCTGTCGTAAAACGCAGCGGTGAATTTTCCACCGCACTTTTCTACCGCGGCGATTGCCTCTAAATCCTTGTTTACCAATCATTAAAATGTGCAATTAAAATCACCTCTGTCTGCCATTTGAAACTCAATATTCAACTTTGAGCAAAACTCATTCTTTCCGTCAGCAACTAGTCTTAATCCCATGATATCTTCGCTCCAGAAAAAGCTGAAAATATATGTTCATTATTGAAATATTCCGTCATTGATCATACTCGGCGGGAGCCATGGCTCTAGCATTGATGATAGCGGTGATGTCGATGATTTTTGTTGGATCAAGTCGACCGAGCTCGACTAGTCGTTGAATGTCCCAGAGAGTTATTGGTTCGTAGATTTTATTTGTGCGCTCGTCACTTGAAATAAAGACAATTACTGCAGTTATGGGGAGTCTTGGCTAAGCAATCTGTGTAGAGTACCTGACTCAAGGTATGAAAGATCTTTCGCGGACCCTGACTCAGTTTTTTCAAACAGGTTGCCGAGCTCATTTTTTAATTGATTCACTCACAAGTCGAATTGATGCCTGGGCAAAAGCTGCATGGAATTGGTCCATTTCGTTCCGTATTGTCGATTCTGCCCGACAAAATGAGCACCCCGCTTCTTTCCATGCTGACCCCGGAAGTAGCCATAAATAAACTTGTGGTCAGCTCCAATAGATGGCTTCGCGCCGGTGTGAATTGGCGTTCCGTCCCAAAGAAAAATCGGCTGGTTCTTTCGGTAGAGGTTTTTCATGTTGTCTTGGACGTAGGAATGGTACTGGTCATTGCTGGGAGGAGCGTAGTTTTCGCGAATGTGGTGTTCTTTGATCCTGGGCAGGGCCCGGATCACTTCTTTCATCCGATTCTGCATTTCTAGAAAAGGAACTGTATGAGATTCTCCCTTACAAGGATCACTAATGTAATGAATCATTAGTAATGATCAAATGAGACAAAAAGGACGAAAATTTCAAATGATTGTTGACATTTCTCGGCTAGAAATTCTAGCTTTTATAAAATCATTTCTACTCAAAGAAAATAAAAATAACACAAGTGAACCAGCTAAATTTGCTCTTGAACACACATTCCAATCCAACTACCGACGTCAATCACTACGACTAAGATTCTGCTCTGCTCTGATTGGCTGGCGCGAAGTGAAACCGTCCAATGGACCCATTGACTTGCGCCGTGGGATACTAATCGAGCGCCCCATTTTCGGTCCTTCAGAAAGAAAAATCAGATTGCCGCCGATTCCGCCCTCTTCTTGATGTTCTTGGGGTCACCTCAGCTCGTGGCGAACTTTTGACAATTTCCCACGAGCGAAGTTGGGAAATCTCGAAAAAATGGAGGGAAATCCTGGGACTTTTCGAGCTCCGTTGGCGGGAACAGAAGTGACTGTAAGTGAATTTTTAAAGAACACGAAGACGCTGCTGAGGATTGTGCTTATTTTCTACAATTTTATTATGTTTTCTGCTCAAGGATTGGTTCATTTTTTGGAGAGAAAATTGACAAGAAAGAGAGAAATCAAGAACCAAATAAATAGTATCCATTGCTCATGACAGTAGGGATCATTGCGTTTTCTTCGAACAGTCAAAGTGCAACTTTCACATGCTCGTCAGCACACTGGGCTTGTTTACCAGCGTTTTCTTCCTGGTCGTGGACTGGCAGTTCGTGAAGATCTCGTCCGCCCAGAAGCGAAAACTCTTGACTCAATGTGAACTCGTGATTAACGCTGCTGTTGGCTTTTTTACTTTCGTTGCTTTTTGGTAAGTTTTGATCGAAAGCTTCTCTTTGTTAAAATCTTTCAGTTCTTCAATTTCCGGTTTCCATTCTTTCCCCGCCGACGAAATTCCCGAGGTTGAATTCGTGCTGGAATCCTCTGCAAAAGCTATTCTATCGTTCACCTTCTTCTCGATCCCTGCCTGGGCCTGGATTACGTTCATTTCTTTTAGAAATTATCAAAAAGGTTTTTACTACTTATATGATAGAGTAGAAGAAGGTAAATGAATTTTTATTCCGGTGTCTGTTTCTGTTTGACAGGTGTTTAGCTTGGTGATTATTAGAAAATAGAAGTTAGATATTGTCTTGAAAAATGGCTAAATATGCGTTTTACAAAATGGATGCGCTCGCAAATTTGTTATTTTATTGACGATAAGGTCAACTCGGTGAAATGTTTCTTCCCCTTTTTCGTCTTCCAAGCTATTTTTCAGGAGTTCTGTCGGCCTTTGCAGACCCCAACGACGCTCAAGAAGCAACTCCTTACGAATCCATCCCCAACGCTCATCAGCTAAACCTCAATTGGGATGAGCAGTCGTTCCGTCCCGTTCCGTTCTCCGACGAGTTCAACAAGTCCACGCCAAATCAGCCGAAAAATACTTATTGAGATGTTTACCTCGTGTTTTCCTCGCTCATCAATACTTAAACATCTCGTTACCTACCTTTAGAGACTTTGAAATTTGTCTATTTCATGAAAAAAAACAAGAGATCTTCGTTCATTGTGAAATTATTCTTTATTTTGTTATTCGTTTCCTATTTATGCCAATAATTGCCTTCACCTGAAATTCAATCAAAAACCGTAGTTCAAACGACGTTCGTTCATTCATCCTTCCCCAGTTAAGAAATAATGGAAAGATATTTGGACAGAGTGCAAGCTACGCCCGAGCGAAATAGCAGCGAGAACAACCCACAGAATGCCCCTGTGATAAAAGAGATCAAAATCAGCGGGAAGCCGATTCCAGAGACGATCATGGACGACCTGTGCGCACGCTTTCTTCTGAACATTCCGGACAGCGAGCGGCTGGACATGATCCGGCTCATGTTCCAAATCGAGCAGGCGCACTGGTTCTACATCGACTTTTATCGCGCTGAGGACAAGAATCTACCCGAAATGCGTCTACCTCAATTCGCCGCGCGCATGTTTCATGCTTATCCATTTTTAATGCACGGGGAAGAAACGAGTGTGTCGGTGCTGATCTCCAATTGGAAGGAGTACAAAAAGAAGTGCCGACTTTTGGAGCGATCATAATGGACAAAAAGATGACGCACTGCATTTTAGTCCAAGGAAACTCGGAAAGAGCAAGCTGGGGCTTCCCAAAAGGAAAAGTCAACATCGACGAGAGCCCTGAAAAGTGCGCCCAGCGAGAGGTACTCGAAGAAGTCGGCTACGATGTCTCCCCGCTGCTGGATAAAAGAAACTTTATTGAAGTCGATTTGGCCGGGCAGATAAACCGACTTTACCTTTGCCCCGGTTGCCCGCTGAAAACAGAGTTTGTGACTCAAACGCGAAACGAAATCAGCTCCATCAAATGGTTTCCCATTGATGCTCTGCCGTTGCACAAAAAGGACACTTCGTCAAAAGAGAAGCTCGGCATGGGATCGCAGAATTTTTACATGGTGACTCCGTTTGTTAGCCAACTGAAACATTGGATCCAGCGGCAGCAGTTCACCATGGGCGGGAAGAAAACGCCGCGGAGGAACAAGCGAAACCAGGGCGAGGGATCAGATGAAGACATCAAGGACATTCCTCCACAGCATTCGTCGTACATTCAGAAGCCAAAGCAAGTCAAGAAGATCATGCAACGAGCAAGAGCGGACCAGAGAGCGTCGGAAGCGATCGACTCCTCTGACGAGGAAAACGTAAGTCTTTCGATGATTCATTTCGTTACTTTTATATGCGTAGGATATGAGTAGGTCCGACGGACTGAAAGTAAGCCCCGGTGCGGCCAAGCGAATCCTCAAAAAGCACTGGCCGAGAGAGGACGGCAAAGACCTCGCTCAAAGCTACCAGCGGTCGAATTTAATGCCCGACCGAGCACTTCACTCGCGCAAAAATGCCAAATCCACCCAGGCCAAACAAAAACAACTCGAAACAAACTCCGAGTAAGCCGTTTACAATCGGGCAATTTGAACAGAAACTTTTAGGGGCGGTTTTATTCCAGAGGCTTGGAGGAATTTTTCATTCGACATGGACAAGATACGCGCTGCCATGTTTCAATGAAAACGATCAATGATGTCGTTGTTTTCACCGTTCAGTTCTTGCTCTTCACCCTGCCAACTAACCGTTCACATTATGATTCGTGCAACAAAGTTTCTTGAGCTCCTTTCAGAGAATTCTGCTTCTAAGAACTGGCTTGGGTCTAGAAAAAAGACCGCTGACGCTTCTTTTCACCAGATAGAATCTCTAGAATACGTGAGCCTGTTCTCAATTCCATTCGCTTCAAACATAAATTCAAGGAATATCATTTAGAGTTTCGTTTCTGAATTGTTGCAGAAAGGACTGTTACGTTTCGCATTGGTTTTTACTTTTTCTGAGCGTGATTTGAAGATGGCAAATAGCGTTTCTTGATATGGCCAGCCCGTCCAGGTCTGGAAAGGCTCCTTCCAAGGAACGATCCCCTCTCAAGCTTCAAGTGATCAAACCACGAAATTTCAAAGACTATCGACCCGGATTCGACGGCCCTCTTAAATGGACCACACCTAAAAACGTGAATTTCAAAGGTAAGCGATCTCGCCTCTTGCACAGATGTTAGGCGGTCTTCAGAAATCAAAGAAATCGCCGCAGTCAGTAGTACATTATTATCACATTGGGATGAGCGAATACGAGCTCCAAATCCATGGCCTGACAAGCCGCTTATTAACGGTTTCAAAGTCAAGGCAGAAGCAAGAAATACGAAGCAGGACGTTTTCTCGTTATCGGTTTGTCTTATCACTACATATGCGCTTATAATGAGCAATTATCGTAGCTTGACGAGCAAGAGCGTTTCGTATGGAACCGCTCCATCGTAGTCCTGCGCCAGTTGAAGGACGGAAACGACCAAGACCTCTCGAGTCTCTTGGGAAGCCTCAAGCTTCTGACGGCACCTGATACCGTCACGTTTTCGTTGTTTACTGGAAGTTCTGAGAAGGACCGCGACCTTCTCAATTCAGTTTTAAAAGTTCCCAGTTGGAGACGATCGTTCCTTATTCTTCATCAAAGTCTTCAGTGCCTAAAAAACTTTATTTTCTTGGTAAGAGCCTTTTCCTTTCGGCCTTTAGGGAGTATTTTCTTTCAGCATATGTATTCGCCTTGTTTTGATTTCCGTTTCTGTGAGCTTCGTTACGAGTTCGAGCCTTGTAACAGTTGGAATCCACTGCCATTCGACAAGCAGAGACAAATGTCCTTACACCAAGATAAACATCAGTTCCAAAAGATTTCCGATTTTCTTCTTGTTGCGGATCAAATAAAAGCCTTGGTAAAAATATCTCCCTCGGAGTTGTTTCTTATTCGGCTTTAGGTAACCGTGTTGACCATGGAAACATCCAGATGGCTGAACAAGATCACTTCTTCACACTGTATGCTACACGAAAAATCGTCTGGAATCAATCCCAACTTTCTCAAGCTCGACTCAAAATCACGCCCGAAATATTACCTACTAGGATATGGTAAGCTCTCCCTCGTACTCCTCTATGTCTTCAATGCCCCTTTTAGACCATCAAAAATTGAACAACTCGTCTTTTGGCGTACTTCGGATGATGACTCTATCATCCGAAAAAGCCTTCATGCTTACGTTAATAACGGACGAGGAACAGCAAATCAAGTCGCTTCTATGTCGCAGCGAGGTGCCTCTGAACGAAGTTGACCATCATTACAACTTCGAGCAGCACTGCAGAAGAGTAATTATTGTTGACAAGTATATTGTGCTACTCTCGCCGCGCAAAATTCAATTTCAAACAGAACAAGGAGTAAAGTAAGTTTTACCCCGTTCTCTTACATCTTTTCTAACAGCGTTTTTAGATCTGTAGCGGGTCCATCGTTGACAGTTTGGAACAAAGATGGAAGGTTTAAAGAGCGTATTTATGGAAAGAACGAATTGCCGCCTGCTTCTACCGGCATTCAGATGTCTCTCAGAAGAATGCCTGGAAAACGATTTGGTCTTCTTGAACGACAGAATTTATGGTAACATTGTTGCATCTTCATTTTGATAATTTTTTGAACAAGTGAACCGAAAACAGCTGTTTTTATCCTCGGAGATAAAGACCCGATTATTCTGTACGGAGAGTTGGAAGACTCAAGCTCGAATTGCTTCTGCATACGGAATGGAGATAGAATGCAGTTTTACAAATACACGGATAACGTTCAATTGAATCCGCAGTATCTGTTCTCGATACGCTCGTTGCTTGATGAGCGTATTAAGCTCTGCAGTGGGGGTCAGGAGCGTTTCCTGACCTCAAGACTGGGACTTCCGTATCATATACAAGCGTACGACTTTCCAAAGATGGATAAGAAAGGTAGTGTTTGTCGATTGATTCCTCCGAGTTAATTTTGCTGAAGCTATTCCCGAACAAGGACAAGATGAAGACCGAGGGATGGGCATCGAAAAGATCGTCTATCTCAAGCCGTTTAAAACATTCACAAGACCTTTTAAACAGTCGAAAGAAACAAATTACAAGTCAAGCGCTGACATCAGACTGCGGATACTCGCCATGGCGTCTGGTAAGCCGTTCTCTTCCTTGATTTCGAGTGTCGATTTTTGAATTTAGGAAGCTGGCAAATTGATGAAACTGATCAACCTGTTATTAATCCTGGGGCGAATGTGAGCTTATTACCTGATGCAATTATAATTCATGATGTTCTACACGACCTTATTCTTTATGAACCCTTACACGACGAGTCAAGCAGTGGCCGGCTTCTGCCACGGTTCAAAATCAATTCGAAAAACACAATTTTTTCTCAATACTCAAAATTTGAACCATGTCAAAGTTATCACTTGCACACATCACATCCGAGCGCGAGAGCCACTTCTTCATGCCTCTCGGTGGCCCCTGGGGTCGTCTCACAGACAACACACTTCACTTCTTCTCCCAAAATTTGAAAGACGGCATCCTGACTGAGCACAAATTCAGCTTCATCTCCAACTCCGCGTTTTCGAAAGAGAGAATGGACGCTAATACGGCAAGGCCGCCACTTCCAAGGCGTCAGTCAAGACAAGAGCTCAAAAGTTAGAGAGGCTTCGTATTGTTATCACACATATTGTGAGCTCAATGTTAGTGTTCGCTTCTCGGACGTAGAGGATATCAAGGAGATCGTCAATGATTTGGACGCGCTCGATCTTGAGGATGGCCCGGACTAAACCCTTATTGTTTCTTTGCTATTTATTACATTCGAAAATGCACTTTTTTCTTATCTTTTTTTTTAATTCTTATTTATCCTCACAAGGACTATTTTTCGAAGTGACTGGCCTTCTGGCTTGGCCAGCAGTTCGACAAATATCCTTCTTCAAATACCCTTCTGAATAGGTCTTTTTTCGATTCTCTAAAAACCTTTTCTGTAAATCAGAAAAAAACAAAGCAAAAAAACTCCCGCCAGTAAATGCAATCTGCTCTAGTTTCCGTCTGTTATCGTCGCGATCCAATTTTTATTTCCAAATAGCTATTCCTGAAAATGCTTCTAAAATAACGAAAACAAAAATATAGAAATATGTGCTAATTTTTTTTTGTAATTCCAAGACACTCCTTTGCCTAGGTACTAATTTAGTTTTCCTTATTATAAGCCCTTTGTCTGACAGTTCTCCTAGAAGTTTCTGAAATGAAACTCGACTCCTAGTTTTTATTATTTTATTCAACCCTGTTTTCCAGCCCGACAAGCGTATACCTAGAAGAGTCATAATTTAGCATTTCTTCGCAAAAAAAAAACGTAATTAGCTGCCAGGCGATGCCGCCCGGGGCTGATGATCAGCTGATGCTCCTCCCCGTTACTTTTAATAATTATTATTCTACCTCGTTAGCTTCTTAAGCGAGGCTCTGTTCAAGTTTCCTCGAATATGTAGGGTTAATTCTATTATTGGAATTATGTCTATCCGAGCGTATCTTTTGATTGGCCAAAAGCCGCTCCCAAATGTGTGTCCCCCAGAAGTTACTTTCGAAAGTTCACAAAGTGAAAACAACAAAACAAAAAAGCAAAACCGACTTGCTCCCCGACTGTTACTGTTAATCGCCTCCCATTATGATCCAAACATAATGTAACGTAAGAACTCCACTTCATGCCGCCTGCAAGATTTCTTTCCCTTTTCAAGAATTTCACCGTTTTTCGCGAGCATTCTTTGCTGTGCGTTTTCTTTTCCAATTCTTCCAAGGTTTATTTACTTTTCGTAGATTCGTATTATTACCTACAATTTGAAATTTCCTATAAGAATTCCTAAAAAGACGAAATCTTTACTTTTCTTTATATTATTTATAAAAAATAAGCAGCGAGGCTTTGCGATGACCCCTGAACGTGCGAACGAGTGCCTCATCCTACCTTCTTCTTTAATATTTTTGATGGTGATGGGTACTAATTGTTTAACTGAATGATTGTTCTGCTGATGATATAGATATTCTGACTATTTCGCGTTTCTTTCGCTTTCAAAACGAGGGAAAACGAGATTTAGTTCTTTCTACGGTTGGTGTTATCGATAACGAGAACGAAACAAAAAACATGTGACTGACTCTCTTCGTGCTTTTAGAAATTGAGAATGGCCGGTTCCGACGACTTCTACATTCGATACTACGTCGGCCACAAGGGCAAGTTTGGCCACGAGTTCCTTGAGTTCGAGTTCCGACCTGATGGAAAGATGCGATACGCCAACAACTCCAACTACAAGAACGATACTATGATCAGAAAGGAGGCCTTTGTCAACCGATGCGTCCTTCAAGGTAACTTAGAAACAGAGTCACTGATCAAATCGTACATTCCCAGAGCTGAAGAGAATTATCGAAGACTCTGAAATCCTCAAGGAAGACGATCAAATGTGGCCCCGACCTGATCGAGTTGGACGACAGGAACTTGAGGTAGAAACGACAACTTTTCTATGATCAAGTTATTCAACAACAACTTAGGTCGTCCTCGGTGATGATCACATCAGTTTCACCACCTCGAAAATCGGCTCTCTCATCGATGTGAACCAGTGCAAAGACCCAGAAGGTCTCAGAACGTTCTACTACCTCGTTCAGGTCTGTATTCATCAATCAACAGAGCACTAAGAATTTTTCAGGACTTGAAATGTCTTGTCTTCTCGCTCATTGGTCTCCACTTCAAAATCAAGCCAATCTAAAAATCGTAGAAAAGCACCAACCCGGCCAGAAACTACCCCTCGTCGATCTCTTAATTCCTCCTTCTACCGCCCCATTTACCCCTTTAGGAAATCACTCCCTACTTTTCCCGACGAAAGCTTCTTTCTGCCGGCTTACATGTGTCTTTTTTGACTGTCATTTTGAAATTCTAGCGTCAAAGAGTGAACGCCACTATTGTTGTTGCTGTGCACTCTTGATTTAGAACGAATTTTATCCTGCCACCTCTCCAAACATGAAAAAAAAAAGTGAAATAAAATTGATGTTAGAACTCAACTCAATAATCCAAGTCTGCAAAGTCTGTATATTTTTCATTCTTTGTGTCTCTTGTTTTTCGTTGTTTTATTGCTGCATTGAGCTAAAGTAAAATTGATTGTTTAAAAGATTATCGCAAAATCGTAACGCACGGAGCATGGAATTTGCCAATTATGACGACTATGAGGACTATCAGAATCCCTTTGATGGAATGGATTATGATGGTGTCATGGAATGGCTTGATGCGCATATGGACGAGTTGGAAAGTAACGGGATTGATCCAGAACACTTTTTGAGGTTATTATCTTTACATAAATCGGTGAATATACAGTACTTCGCTCAGATTGACGGACTTTTACATGATTTTGATGAAGTTTCCGCCGAGAATGATGGAGACAACAAGGACTACGCAGACTCCAAAAATGATGCGTTTCGAGTAAACTCCCATGTCCGCTGTTTCTCCAAGCGCGGCATATTTTCCGGAGCGTCTCTAAAGACTCGGATTAGAGAATACTTTTCGAATGAACTTGCCTTTTGAAAGTAATTCGCGGCAAACTTGAAGTCCTCCACAAGTTGAGCAGGTCCGCAGTTACAGTTGTCGCACTGAGTCTCATCTTTTTTGAGATTTTCAACCACAAATAGATTAGAAACTCCTTCATTCAAAACTCTTTCCTGTAATGTCGCCTCTTGAGTTGAGCCTCGGCATTTCGGATACGTCTTCAATCTTGCAAAATCGTCAAAAATCACAAAACAACATAGAAAAATCTGGTCTAGAAGTGAAGTGCTGTAATAATTAGTCATCCTCGTCGTTTTTCCCACGCCTATGTTTACCTACGCATTTCATTTAGGGCGATCAAGGAGGAGTTCTCCATGCCAAATGGTGCTGGTGGAGCCGGCGCTAGTGCTACCCCTGCTCCCCTTTCGACGGAGGAGATTCTCCACAAACTGCCCATCTTCTTGGGCCAATGTTCTGGCCAAGTTCTTTCACAGGCGTTTGATAATTTCATCTTCCCGGCTGTTCTTGCTGTCATGCTTCAGGTTTCAACTTTGAGTTCTTCAACAAGTCCTAATTCTCTTTCGAAAGATCTTCGCACACGGAGGAATGGACATTCCAATCAGACACACAATGTCCTTCATTTCCGGCTTCATGCTCCTCGTCAAATTCCACACAGTTGCTCTTGGCGTCTTCGCCCTTTCTTTTGTCATGTTTTGGATCAATATCGCCTCGGCAATAAGCAAGAAATATCTCGTCATTCTTCTCCCTGCATCTGCTCTCGTTGCAGAGCTTTTTACAGGGGAAAGTTGGGGAGGGCTGAGAGGACCGATGTTGGTTTTCTTGCTCAAGTTCTTGTCGGTCGTGCTAACGGAAGATTTGACAGTGGACTTGAATGACATGAGTCAAGTGATGAGTTTGATGGGTTATTATTTTCATCCAGCTACGATGTTACTTGGGCCTTGGATTCCCTTCAGGTAAAGCTAGAATTTGAAAAACAGAATAACAAAATTCATTTTTAGTTTGTACAAGAAAAGTATCGAGACGCCATCATTTCGAATCACCTCGCTTATTTTGATCATCCCTGGCGCTCTATTTCTCATTTTCTCCACTTGCGTTTCGTCATTATTCGAAAAGAGCACCGGTTGGATTGGAGAAGTTAACGATACAATTTCTTTTCACTGCAGCAACTACTACATTCTTTATTTCACACAAGTTCTTGTTCTTCTTGCAGGAGCGCAAACGGCTAATAATTTCTGCAGTCCGATGAAGGTGTTCTTTCCATTTGAACTTTACGAGGTACGCTCACTAAAATTTTCTCTTTCTACCTCGATTTCTAGGTCTGCCGAGCATGGAATTACCCAGTTCACGAGTTCCTTCGAAAGCATGTTTTCCTCCCTCTCAAAGCATCTTCCTCCACCTTCCGAGCGATTATGATGACTTTCTTTATAAGGTAAAACTTCCATCCTCCCACCTTTATTTCATACCTTCTAGTGCGATCCTACATGGCTTGAATTTCCCGATTTTCGCTACGCTCATGATTCTGGGACTTGGATCCTTTTCCGAATTCGAGTTTCGTCGAAAAGTTGGTACGAATTTCAACCTTCCACGAATTCTCCCATCGTCCATTCAAGCAAAAAGAGCCGCGAAACTTGCGAAAGATCCTCCTATCAAGAAACCTGGCGATTCTGACACCTCTGAAGCTTCGGACGAATCATTCCTGAGAGCGTTTATTCAGGCCTTTATCAATTTTTCTTTTCTTTTGCTGAATTATTACCACTTGTTCTTCGTCGGAAGCGTTTTGGAAGCCATGATCTCCCGATGATCGATACCCTGATTATTTTTTCGATGAAGAACTGGACATCTCCTATCATTATCTTCGGAATGCTTTTCTACTCTTATTTCATCTGATTGAAGTCTTTTTCTAGCAAGCCCAAATAGATTACTGACATGTTTGCTTCTTGCTCATTTCACAAAATATTGAAATGATTTAGGTTATTTTCTTTCTAGCACCGAATTGCCTCTTTATATCCTTTCCTAACACTTGCTCTTTCTGCCAATCCACGATCTGCATTTTCTGTATCCTTTTCTGTATAATCTTCAGTACTTTAATCGCAATAGTTATTTTATCAATTGATTAAGGCGAATGGACCAAGAATTTGTCTGGTCTATCTTCGAAAATGCTGCAAAATCGGGCCATGCAGATAAGCTGATCAGACCGTTTCCAAAGAATTATTTACGGAGTGATGGTGTACGGGACTTTGAAGCTCTATCAAAAGGTACTAATTTTTACTTTTTATCTGTTATCGCATCAGTAGAAACCAGAAATTTCGGACGAAGGTTTTTTCTTATCAGATAACTAAAGATAGATTTTATCTCATGATTGTCCCCAGCTGTTCGCGAGGACACAATGGCGTCCTCTTTTGGTACTACTTTTATTCCGTATATAACTCATTTTGCAGCTAGAATTTCACAAATATCATGATGACGCTATCAAATGATGATCTAATTCTTCTTCTTTAAAGTCAATGACCGCATGAAGAAATACTGAAAAATAACAACTGTATCATAAAATGAAAATCTTTTGATTTGATCTTTGAGTTAATCTCTGAGCGACTCTATTTTTGTAATGAATCAGCTGAAACGAATAAATGATAATAAAACTTAAAAGATATTATTGGAAGAAGAACACATCTGAAAACCTTTCTTTCCGCAAATCTGCCTAAGATATCAGTTTGCAAGAAAAACGAGTTCCTCCGAAACTACTTTTCAAAACGCAAATTCCATCGTCCGAATTTGGTTCTTTCGGTGAGTGATTCTGGTGCGCAAGAAGATAAATTTTATGCACTTGGATCGAGTTCTTCCATTTATGCCTTTCATGGGACGAAAAGCGAGAATATGTATTCAATCCTCCAGCATGGTCTGATAAACAATCTGAACGAACGCGCTGCCTTTGGAGAAGGAACGTATCTTTCCACTGAAATTGATGTGGCGTTGGGCTTTGCTACTCCGCAGCGTGTTCACCTTCCTGTAAGACTTTAAATTCGTATAAATTCTAAATGATTCTAGTTCGGCGACAAAACCGTAACATCCATCAGAACTATCGCTCTTTGTGAAGTCGCCGAAGGTGTCAAAGGCGTCAAATTCGAGTCAAAGTCCTCAGCAGCTTCGAAAACTCCTCAAACCTACGTCATTGTTCAAAACGACGACGCTGTTATACTGCGACATGTTCTTGTCTTTTTCGATTCATTTAAAAACAGTTCATTTTCTGTATTTGCTTCGCTCTTCTGGGCCAGTATTTTCCTTTTTCTTGCGATTATACTCTATTCGTACTCTTTCAGGTGGTTCAAGGGGGTTATTAGTGGCAATTTTCATTTCAACTATACCTAAATTCTCTTGGAAACTTTCTTCAATTTAGTATGGATATGGAAGAGCTCCCAAAACCGGAGCTAGTTGAGTCTCCGGAGTTAAAAGAAGAAGCTCCAGCTGCTCCGGTACCGGAAGAAACCGGAAGAGATGTTGAAGAAATCGGATTCGAGCCTGCACAAGCGGAAGAGTTCAGTAGAAAAGAACCTAAAAATGCACAAGAAAAGCGTGAAATCGCATCCATCATGAAACTACTTGGAGATCACGGGCTTACTTTTGCTCTGGGCGCGCTTGAGCGAGAAACTGGAATCAACAAGGACGATATAAAAGATTTGACGATCGAGACGGATGTGAGACAAGTTCTTGGACAATATGAATCAAAAACCGATAAAGACTCGTATAAAGAAGCTTATGTTGCGCTGCAGAGATTCGTTGATCAATCATTAGGAAAGGGTTTTTCTTCTCGATTTCTGATCATTTGGAAGATCTCGTTTTCAAACTCTTGAAAAGATTCGAGTCGCGCTGAGCTTTCACAACTGCTGTTTCCTTGCTTTGCTCACATTTACATAAAACTGCTAGTAAACAACTACGAAATTGAAGGTCGCAATTTCTACAACGAATTCGCCAAGGGCTTTGGCGAAGACTCTCCATATATTGAAGATATCAGACGCCTTGCTACAGTTACAAATAAGAAGCAACTGGCGCAAAACGATGTGATAACTACTTTCAAAGTCCGTCATTTTATTATTCGAATGACTCGTGATTCTCTGCTGAGTTTGAAGAGACATATCAACGATAGAAATATTCAAGTGCTAATCGATATTCTCGAAGATCATCTCTTCATTGATCAATTTGACGGGCTTCCGAGAACGCGAGAGCAGATTGATGCTGTTTCCGGAGGCTTGTTAGGCGAAGCAAAAGAGATGCCAACAAGGTAAGAACGGTGGCTCTACTCTGCGGTTGAAATTCATCTTTTTAGTCAAAAATCCAACTTGGTTTACTTCGTCAACCAGAAGTTGCCGACATAGAAGAAGATGATCTGATGGAAGACGAGCCCAAAAAGAAGAAAAAAGCTCGAGCTCCAACCTTGAGAAAGACAAAAAATGATGCCAATGCACCCAACCCAACTCGGGTTCCGCTTCTTGGACTTCAGGAACATCTACTGACCGCTGGGGATAAAGCAGATTGGCTTTCGTACTACAAAGACCTTGAATATCGCGTTAAACTAACCGGTAAGAGTTCTGTATATGAAAATTGTGAATCACATTTGAAGGGGATCAAAAATTGAGCTGCGTATTCTACTCTGTTTTAAACTCTGATCCCGATTGCCTTCCAGCTTCGATCACAATTTCTGACGACTCAACTGTGCTCGCCGCTGGCTTCGAAGACGGCTGTATCAGAGTCAACGCAATCGGCAACGACAACCTGCGCGAAATCAAAAGTCTTCCTCAACTAGAAATGCTTGACAAAGATCGCCTTGAGCTCGATAATATTCTTCAAGTATCTGAAGCTGCCACGCGAAAACTCCTCGGCCATACGGGCGCTGTCTATGGCGTTTCTATTTCTCCGAGAAAGGACTTTTTGGTCAGTGGCGGAGAAGATGGCACAGTCAGGCTATGGTCACTTCTAGTGTATACTTGTGTGATTGTTCATAGAGGACATATGTGGCCCATTTGGGATGTTCACTTTAGTCCCTATGGACACTACTTTTGCTCGGCTGGTATGGATAGATCGCTTCGGTATTATCTTACTCAAGTTGGATTGAAAACTTGTAATTCCTAGCGTTTGGGTGACTGACAAAGAAAGCCCAGTCCGCATGATGGCAGGTCATTATTCCGACGTTACCGTTTGCCGATTCCACCCGAATGGAAATTACATCGCTACTGGCGGCGAAGACCGCTGTATCCGAATCTGGGACCTTCTCGATGGAAAATGCGTTCGTCAACTGACTGGCCATCGTTCCAGCCTTTCTACAGTTTCCTGGTCCGGTGCTTGTAAGAGTCTTTCTTCTCTAGAATGAATTTTAATTTTATTCTCAAAGGCGGAAAATACTTGGCCACAGCGGATATTGGAGGCCACGTTCTTTTCTGGGACTTGTCAAAGTCAACCAAATCTGATGAGATTCTCGTTGCGCGATTTTCAATCGATGAACAAAAGGTTAAAGTCGTCAAATTAAGTACTGAAAGCTAATCTCATTAGGGAACTGTTAAACTTCCCGTGCAACATCAACATATCACCGCCCTGACATTTTCGCGCTGCGGATCCGTACTCACTGCCGGCACTATCAAAGGAGAAATCATCAGCTGGGATGTTGCCCGAGTTCTTGTTGATAGTGAAAATGAAGAAGGTAGAAATGCGATCTCAGATCAACGTTCATCCCATTTTTTAGTTTCGACAACTGCCACTGGTTTCGCGAAAAACTACCGATACCACCAACCCTACCGAACGAAGCGTTCACCAATCTGTCAATTGCAATATTCTCGCCGCAATGTACTTTTAGCTGCCGGACCGTTTTCGAGATGAAAGAGTTACTCAAAGTTCCGTTCAAAACTCAAGATTTTACTTGCTTCTTATTTAGAATGGCCGAGGATCAAGTAAAAGTTGTCCTGAATATAAAGCAGGAGACATTTGATGCGTACGTGAAAGAAAATATTGACGATTTGGGATTAGATGCTGATGAAGCTGTTCAAGATGCCATAGGAAGGGGTTGAATTGAGAAAGAGTTTATCTTTTGCTTGAAAGTATTTAAACCCATCAAAAGATACGTGCAAAGTGCAAGGAGGAAATCTCTACTTTGTCATCAAGAAAAACGTCGAAGAAGACGGCCGTCACTTGATCCTACATTTAATCGACAACTTTCTTGCTTCACCATCAAAAGAAGCTCTTGAAGATCTTCAAAAAGAATGCAAGGACTTTGAGCCCAGACACTACGCTACTGATTTTTACAAAGCGCATCAGAAAATTATGGATAGAATAAAAACTGCCGAAGGTGGAGAAAAGACTATTCTCATTCGTGGATTGTCTGTCATCATTCGTGGACAACCCGATTGGATTAACTCGTTTATGATGTTCGAAATAAGCAAAATGGCCGAAAATTGGGGAAAGCTTGAAGATAAAGCGAGCACCTGGGAGTTCATCGCTGCTCTGGCTAGACTTGTAAAACGCGTTTCTGAAAATCACGAAGAAAATAGATGCGCGATGATGACAGAAGGTATTCAAGGCCAACTTTGTAAAATACTGCGTCCAGATCACGAGATCACTGATGAGTTTGAAAGCGCTGTTTTGAGCGCTTGTGCCATGTTCCAGGCTCAGCTTGTTGATGATGATCATCGAAGTCAAGGATCCCAAGGTAATTGAGAGGGTTGAATATGAATATTAAAAATTTCTAGCGCATCAAAGAGCGAAAGCATATGTTGTCGATCACAATTTACTAGAAAACTCGATTCGTCTTGCTGAACAACTTCTTGAAAAGAGCAAAGGAAGCTGCTCGAATAAACTTTTGACTCTCATTTCTTCTTTGTTGGTCTCGAACGATTTCTGTAAGGACGCGGCTAGTATGAACTGTGGGGAACTTGCAATAAACCTGATCCGTGCTGCTCCAGAAGAATCTGATAGAGTCAAGGCGTGTCTGAATCTGATCAAAGCTCTGATCGGAAATGACGAGGTCAAGCACAAAATGGTCACTCAGCTCAAAGTTCATGAAGATGTCATTGGCGCTCTTATGAGGCACTTTTCCCAGCCAGGCGTTGCCCTAGCTGCTCTTCGGTTAGATTTTGATTTTAACAAATTATGACATGAATCTTTCTAGCTCCGTTACTGCCTTGACATTGAGAAACCCAGAGTGCGCCAAGGAAATCATCAAAATGAATGGCGCTGAAGCTGTAGTTAGTGCTATCAACGCGCATAGTAAATCAAAATCTATCACAAGAGCAGGTACATCCTTCGGAAAAAGCAGTAACTTGACTCCTTTCAGGACTGATGGCAGTTCGAAACTGCGTTGTCCGCGCTCCAGAATTGCGAAAACCATTCCTCGAACTTCACATTGAAAGCATCGCAAACGCCGCCCTTCAAGCCCACAAACTGGACGAAGCGAAAGCCTGCCTCCGAGATCTTGGCTGCGAAGTCGCCCTCAAGTGCATTTGGACTGGGAGCGGGAAGAAACTCGAGCATGGAACAACTGACAGACTCAAAGCCATGGACATTTCTTAAAATTTTCACTTCACGGATAACTTAGATTTCTGTTTGAACCAGTTCACTGTATTTCACTTCACAATTTATTGATATATATTTTTCTATTCTAATCATTCCTGTCTTTTTGAGACTAATAAAGCGTATTAATTGTTCTTATAATTAAAAGTGGAAGATTGGATTTTGTTTCTCTCTTCCTGTTTCAGAAAAAAAAACGAATTACTTTAGCAGCAGTGATATTTTACTTTCGAGCAAAATGAAAAAAACTGTTTTGCACGCGCAAAGCCTCGATATATTCGATCATCTAATTTGGCTTTTCTTCTATTTTCATAATTTGTCTGATAAAAAAAACTGAGAAGAAATATTTTTGAAGATTTTATTATAAAAACAAGTAAAAATCGGTGCAAGAAGAAATTTACAGAGAGCGAAAATGAGAGGAAAATAAATTAGAAGGTTAAATTAGAGCATAAAGTATTGCTGGAAGCTGTCTTCGGGGCTGAAAGAAACGGATGGTGGATTGATTGGAACGCTGTAGATTTGCTCTTGGGCTGCTTCGGGAACGGGAGCGGAAGCTAGTGGAGAGTAGCAGCCAGATTCATTGGGGCTGTTTCCGCCGGAAGAGTTGGCTTGCTGGTGGATTTCCTGGACGTCAAAATATTGTTGAGGACCGATGTTCTGGTAAATCTGGGCTTGTTGAGTGGCGTCGGATTCTTGCATGAACTGAGCGTCGTGAGCAGTCATTCCAGCGTTGAATTCTTGAGGGCAAGAAGTTGGTGGAGAATCGGTGGGAGAAGGAGAAGGCACCATTGTTGGAACCGTTGGAGCATTTGAAGGGCAGAGTGCAGTTTGAATCGGCTGGTTCGAGACTTGCTGCGCGGGGCATTCATTTCGGTAGCGACGTCGTCGGTTGGAGAACCACTGCCGAATGCGAAACATATCTATGCCGGTGAGGACGGAGAGTTCTTCGCGGACGCAGACATCGGGATGGTGGGTTTTGAGGAAGGCGCCTTCGAGAGCGTCGACTTGAGCTTGAGTGAATTTGGATCGAGTTCGACGAGGCTTGGTTGGTGGAGAATCGGCCATTGGAGAAGGAGAAAGCACCGTTGTTTGAACCGCTGGAGCATTTGAAGGGCAGGGTGCAGTTTGAATCGGCTGATTTGAGAGTTGCTGCGCGTCTCGGTACTGTCTTCGGTAGCGAGCTCGTCGGTTGGAGAACCACTCTCGAATGTGAGTCGTATTTATGCCGGTGAGTACGGAGAGTTCTTCTCGTACGCAGACATCGGGATGGTGGGTTTTGAGGAAGGCGCCTTCGAGAGTGTCGACTTGAGCTTGAGTGAATTTGGTTCGAGCTTGACGAGCCTTTGGTCGGAAAAGATCGAGATCGGAAGCGGGGTCGGGGGTGTCGCCTTCTTCTGGGCAGCCTTTTTGGCGGAGCACTCGTTTGATTTGATAGACGGAAGGGGCTTTTTGGAAGCCTTCTTTGACCATTTCTTCTCGTATTTCCCAGGCGTAGGCAAATTGCTTGCGGTACTCGACGATCAGGTATTCGTGCTCCTTGCTGATATTGGATCTTCTCTTCGAGCCGCCGGAAACGTTTCTTGAAGCCTTGATTTGGCCAGTTTTGTTGAAGCAGGAGAGAATATTGGAGACGGTGCCGTTAGAAACGCGCAGATCACGAGAAATGACGCAGGGGCGTATTCCCATTTGAGACATTTGGACGATCTTCTCGCGAGTTTCCAGGGGGAGGGGGCTACCATTGACGAAGGCACCGCCGAGTTGGTTGAAAACAACTTGGTTTTGCATTTTGATGTTTTGATAAAGAGACGTTTCCCAGGCCAAGCCCAGAGCGAGTTCGAAAAGGGCGCGCGAGAGGTTCGAGGGGCGAACAGTCATCGCCAAAAGAGGGCGTTTCTTGGGCGCATGTCCCACTGAGACTGAGCTCCTGTGGAGTTTTTACGCAAGAAGATGATCAGATGATAATCAGTAAGATTCGTTTTCCAAGAAGTTCCACACTTTTGTAAGAGAGAAGAGATTTTGTCCATTTTATTATGATAATTCTGGTTCGAGACTCATTTGAAAAATAAGTTATTTTTCCAAAAAATAGCATCTTCTTAAAGTTTAATCTTATTTTTGTAAGCAGATTTAAAATCTACAGTCCAGAATTAGAATTGACTGAAATTTTCAAGTCGATCCGACCAGTATTTTTCTTAAATGCAGTGGAATACACCTTCTGTAACAGCGCCTCTATCCCACGATCTCTCCCATGCGGTTAACCAGAAGTAGCCGACATTGAAGAAGATCATCTGATGGAAGCCTGGGATGTTGCCCGCGTTCTTGTTTATAGTGAAAATGAAGAAGGTAGAAATGCGAGCTCAGGTCAACCTTCATCCCACTGATCCTAAATACGCTGATTAAGAACATCCTTGAAAACATTTTTAATAGTGAAGATACGGCGAGTATTCGATTGTCCATGTTTGAAGTGAAACTGACGAGACCCTTCCCGCTCGCCAGGATCCTAGAGCCAGCTCTTCCGATTGGAATTTGCTTTTTGAGACAACGAAGAAACAGATGTAATTGCGCCGACAGAGTCTGAAGATCAGCTGGGAAAAGATGAAAAATAATTAGAGATCAGCTGGATGATGAGAAAAGACTTTTCAAACGGAAGAGAAGATCATAACTAGGGTGGCGCGCAAAAAAATCAGCTTTTGATGTAAAAGATCTAGATATCTCATTTTTGGATATGTTCGAGATATCAGAGTGTCTGAACGAGCCTAAAATTTTTTTTTCAAAATTTTGAAAAAAAGTACTATTTTCTAGCCTCCAAAAGTACTAAAAAATCAATATTTTGAGCAACCGAAGATAGAGAAAAACGAAGCTCACCATTGAAAAGAGCGCACTCGATTTAGTCAGAATCAAAAAGAAAATGTTTTGGTCATCACAGTTGTCGAGTACTAATCGACCGATAACTATAAAATATAAATATAAAAAAAGTACTTTCTGAGGTCACAAAAAATTTTTTCTTTCAGATTTGGAATTTTCGGCGGCAAGATTATATTATATCCGAAAATGATCCCTATACGATATTTAATGCAAAAGTTGATTTTTTTTGCGTGCCACCCTAATCATAACACAGCTGGACTAAAATTAGATTAGAACAGCGTGAACTTTGATGGAGATTTTATTGGAGAAATTCCCGCTTTTAGAAGTTTTAAGTATGATAACTAAACGAGCACCTGGGAGTTCCTCGCTGCTCTGAATAGATTTGTAAAACGCGTTTCTGAAAATCACGAAGAAAACAGATGCGCGATGATGACTGAAGGTATTCAAGGCCAACTTTGTAAAATACTGCGTCCGGATCACGAGATCACTGATGAGTTTGAAAACGCTGTTTTGAGCGCTTGTGCCATGTTCCAGGCTCAGCTTGTTGATGATGATCATCGAAGTCAGGGATCCCATTGGGATCATCCCAAGGTGACTAAGCGGGTTGAATATGAAAAAACCGACCACGGCGGCTTTGGCCCTCAGTTACTTCAAATGAGGCAATCCATTTGACCTTATTTTTGCAATGTGCACTTATCATATAAGTTATATGAACAAACCGAACCACTCTGCGAAGTTTCGTGAAATTTTTCAAGAGGGATGGCGCTTTGCACCAGATCTCTTTCGAGCTCATTATCGAAAAATTTGCAGGTTTTTTCTCCTTAATAATAATATGAGTAAATAGCTGAGTGTTCAAGCTTTCTAACAGTATTATTTTGAACTTATTACCTGGACGGAAATATGAATGAGGGATCAAAATAGTGGGCGCTATTTTTCACACTCCGGATTTAGCGCGCCGCGCAGGGCTGAATAATGCTTGGTGGTCGGTTTTCCCGACCCCGTGTTTTGAGCGCTTACTCGCGCGCCCGTGTATAGAGAAGTTAAAGATTTCTAGCGCATCAAAGAGCAAAAACTTATGTTGTCGATCACAATTTATTGGAAAACTCGATTCGTCTTGCTGAAAAACTTCTTGAAAAGAGCAAAGGAAGCTGCTCGAACAAACTTTTAAGTTAAAAGTTTTGACTCTCATTTCTTCTCTTTTGGTCTCGAAAGATTTCTGTAAAGACGCGGCTAGTATGAACTGCGGAGAACTTGCAATAAATCTGATCCGTGCTGCTCCCGAAGAATCCGACGAATCCAAAGTTGTTCCAAACAGTATTTTTTCTTCGTTTCTCCACGGTCTCATTCGGATGCACTGATAACCCTGCCAACTTGAGTAAACAGTCTCTTTCTTCCTCTCGGAGCTTTTTCTGTAGAACTTCTCGTGTTCTCGTGAGATCTTGACCTGTTTAAGACTTTGACATAGTGATTACTAATCACTGATTAGGAACGAAAGACTGGCCTGTTTTTTCATTTGTTTTCTTTTATTGAGTACTCATCTGTACAATTTCAGGAGGATTACAAGCAAAGCGTTTTTTTATTCTCAAAGTGTCAGTTATTTTTGGCATTTCAGATCAAAAGAATTTTAAAACGAGATTTATTATTTGTGTTAGAATTTGTCTGATAAAAAAAAAGCTGAGAAGAAATATTTTTGAAGATTTTATTATAAAAACAAGTAAGAATTGGTGCAAGAAAAAATTAAGAAGAAAAAAAAATTTACAAAGAGCGAAAATGAATGTAATTGAAAATAAAATTATAGCGTAAAGTATTGCTGGAAGGTGTCTTCGGGGCTGAAAAAATCGAATGGTGGATTGATTGGAGCGCTGTAGATTTGCTCTTGGGCTGCTTCGGGAACGGGAGCGGAAGCTGGTGGATAGTAGCAGCCAGATTCATTGGGGCTGTTTCCGCCGGAAGAGTTGCCTTGCTGGTGGACTTCCTGGACGTCAAAATATTGTTGAGGACCGATCGTTTCAGCGATAAATTCTTGAAGCCAAGAGGTTGGTGGAGAATCGGCCATTGGAGGAGGAGAAGGCACCATTGTTGGAACCGCTGGAGCATTTGAAGGGCAGGGTGCAGTTTGAATCGGCTGATTTGAGACTTGCTGTGCGGGGCATTCTTTTCGGTAGCGACGTCGTCGGTGTTTGAACCAGTTTAGAATGCGACTCATATCTATGCCGGTGAGGACCGAGAGTTCTTCGCGGACGCAGGCATCAGGATAGTGGGTTTTGAGAAAGGCGCCTTCGAAAGCGTCGACTTGAGCTTGAGTGAATTTGGTTGGAGCTCGACGAGGCTTGGTTGGTGGGGAAAGATCGAGATCGGAAGCGGGGTCGGTGGTGTCGCCTTCTTCTGGGCAGCCTTTTTTGCGGAGCACTCGTTTGATTTGATCGACGGAAGGGACTTTCTGGAAGCCTTCTTTGAACATTTCTTCTCGTATTTCCCAGGCACAGGCAAATTGCTTGCGGTACTCGACGATCAGGTATTCGTGCTCCTTGCTGACATTGGATCTTCTCTTCTCGCCAGGCTTGATTTGGCCAGTTTTGTTGAAGCGGGAGAGAATATTTCTAACGGAGCCGATAGAAACGCGCAGATCACGAGAAATAACGCAGCGGCGGATTCCCATTTGAGACATTTGGACGATCTTCTCGCGTGTTTCCAGATCGAGGGGGCGACCATGGACGAAGGCACCGCCGAGTTGGTTGAAAACAACTTGGTTTTGCATTTTTGATGTTTTGATTAAGAGACGTTTTCCAGAGCGAGTTCGAAAAGGGCGCGCGAGAGGTTCGAGGGGCGAACAGTCATCGCCAAAAGAGGGCGTTTCCTGGGCCCATGTCCTACTGAGACTGAGCTCCCGCTGACGTCTTACGCAGGAAGATGATCAGATGATAATCAGTAAGATTAGTTGTCCAAGAAGTTCCACACTTTGGTAAGAGAGAAGAGATTTTGTCCATTTTATAATGATAACTCTGGTTCGAACTTTTTTTCCAAAAAAGCATTTTCTTAAAGTTTAATCATATTTTTGTAACCCATTTAAAATCTACGGCCCTGAATTAGTATTGACTGAAATTTTCAAGTCAATCCGACCAGTTTTTCTTCTGTCCCAGCGCCTCTATCCCACGATCTCTCCCATACGATTAACCAGAAGTAGCAGACAGAGAAGAAGATGGTCTGATGGAAGCCTGGGATGTTGCCCGCGTTCTTGTTGATAGTGAAAATGAAGAAGGTAGAAATGCGAGCTCAGGTCAACCTTCATCCCACTGATCCAAATACGCTGATTAAGAACATCCTTGTAAACATTTTTAATAGTGAAGATACGGCGAGTATTCGATTGTCCATGTTTGAAGTGAAACTGACGAGACCTTTCCCGCTCGCCAGGCGTAATAGCATAGATATGCGGAAGGATCCTAGAGCCAGCTCTTCCGATTGGAATTTGCTTTTGCGACAACAAAGAAACAGATGTAATGGCGCCGACAGAGTCTGAAGATCAGCTGGGAAAAGATGAAAGATAATTAGAGATCAGCTGGATGATGAGAAAAGACTTTTCAAACGGAAGAGAAGATCATAGCACAGCTGGATTAAAATTAGATTAGAACAGCGTGAACTTTGATGGAGAGAGACTCGCTGTTTTCCGCGGAGTCGGGCAGTTCGGCCGTGTTGGGCTTGTCATCCGCTTGGTCCGGCCATTTTTTGTCACCCGCCGGAGTGGGGGGGGGGAAGACGAGTTGGTCCTACCCCCTGAACGAAGCGTTCACCAATTTGTCAATTGAAATATTCTCGTCGGAATGTACTTTTAGCTGTCGGACCGTTTTCGAGATGAAAGAGGTACTCAAAGTTCCATTCAAAAGTAGAGATAATACTCGATCGTTTGAGAATGGCTGATGATCAAGTAAAAGTTGTCCTGAATATAAAACAGGAGACATTTGAAGCGTACGTATAAGAAAACATTGACGATTTGGGATTAGATGCTGATGAAGCTGTCCAGAATGCGATAGGAAGGGGTTGAATTTGAGAGGAATTTATCTTTCGTCTGAAAAGACCTCGACCTTTCCAAAGATGCATGCAAATTGCAAGGAGGAAATCTCTTCTTTGTCATCAAAAGACGTCAAAGAAGACGGCCGTCACCAGTGTTTGAAAAAATGGTCGAAACTAAGATGAGCGAGTGAGTGCGAGCAGAGCACCCCGATTTTTTTTCCTGAGTGAGCGAGCGCGATTTTAACGTGAGTTAGGGAGCGCGAGCAGAAGCTTTTCTCTATCATTCTTGGTTGATGATCAAGCGAGAAAAAAGAAGCCCAGCTTCAAAATGCATCAAGTCTTGCAAACTTTATTTTTTTTTCTTCATGAAACTAGCACCATTGAAAAGCGCGTTAAATTCTGAACAGATTCCACCCAATCAGCTAAACTAAATCGGTACTCATTGGTGTGTAAGGCCACATAAACAAGATAACTTAGCGCCCGCCCAGCGGGAATCATGTCCAGGAAGCCCAAACTAGTTAAATCGGAGCGTCCAGCCGTGCCGCGACCAGCTGCGCGCTTAGTAGTTATCTTTATCTGGCCTTACACGCCAATGAGTACCGATTTAGTTTAGCTGATTGGGTGGAATCTAATAAAGCGTATTACTTGTTCTTATAGTTGAGAAGTTGAAGATAGAATTATCTTTCTCTATCAGAAAAAAGCGTTCATATTCAATAAGCAACAGTTGTATTTCACAGTAATTCATTTTCGAGCAAGGCAGCGGTAGATGATGCTCTCCATTTGTTGAATGAGCTTTCGATTTTCCTCGTATTTCCGTTTTGCACGCGCGAGTCCTCGATTGATTCGATCATCTAATTTCGCTCTCTTTCCTGGGACAAAGTTGTTCCAAACTGTATTTTTTCTTCGTTTTTTCACAGGCTCATTTGGCTCTACTGGCAATCCCGCCAACTTGAGTAAACAGTTTCTTTCTTCCTCTTGGAGCTTTTTCTGTAGAACTTCTCGTCTTCTCCTGAGATCTTCAAGCTCTTCAAAATATTCTTCGAGGTTTTTCAGAACTTTTTTTCCCGCGGTCCATTTATCTGGTTGCGGTCGGCCTTCCACGCTTGCTTTTACTCTTTTCAATTCATAAGTAACGAGCATTTTTCAACAGCTTTTACGCAGAAAATTGGATAAAATTGTATTCAATCAATAGTACTGATTCAGTGTGGCCGATCGTAAAAACGATTTGTGTGTGGGAAGGGATGAGCTTCCGGTTTTTCGTCATGCTCTCGCACACCTCTCGCGGACTCATCCCTCAAATCAAGGATAATCAATAACGGCGACGATCGTTTTTATAATCCAAAGTAAACTTTGACCGGGCATTCAATCCCCCTGAAGCTTATTTATCGTTTTTATCGTTCAAATTTCCCGTCCGAAAAAAGAATTGACATTCTCCAACAATTTTGAGCTTTATCGTCTCTTAACCTGCTCAAGACTTGGACAAATAGCGAAAAGCTGGCCTCGTAGTTTTCTTTGTTTTTATTTATTGAGTACTCATCTGTACAGTTTCAGGAGGATTACAAGCAAAGCGTTTTTTTTTATTCTCAAATTGTCAGTTATTTTTGGCATTTCAGAACAAAAGAATTTTAAACCAACAAATATTAAATATTATTTGTTTTAAAAGTTGCGGAAATGTCAAAATTATAAGCTCCTGAACTTTTGAGAAAGAATTCGTTTGGTGGAAAACATTGACTAGAGATTGACTAATTTGATAGCTTCAGCGAGAGTTTCTTGCGATTCTTGCGTTTGAGAAAGGAGCAGTTGCCGGTTTGGGGCGCTGCCGAGGAAGTAGAGGCGGACTGAGACGAAGGCTGAGGTGATAAGGAAAAGGGCAGCCCAGAACCAGCGGGTGCGAAGTCGGGGCTTGTCGGACTCGTCATTTCGGAAGACGACGATGAGGAATACGAAGAGCTCTGGGAGTCAGTGGAGCTCTGAGAGTCGGTAGAGCTCTGTGAGTCGGTAGAGCAGGAAGATCCGGTTCGTCGGGGTTGGCTAAAATCAGAATGTCAGATACTTGGAAACGGGAAGTGGATTTCACCCTGAACGAAAATGCCTTTCTTTTCAGGCGCAAATATACGTCAAACGCGCCCGACCTTGGTCGATAAACACTCAATTTCCATGAAATTATAGCCGAGCACGTTCTGGTTTGACTTTGAAAGACTGTTGCAAAACGGCATGTTTTGGCCTTGAAAAGCTTGCCCAGTAAAACGCTTCGATGCTTTCAAAATCAATGAAGATAAAAGTTTATGACGTGTTGAGCCACTTTTGAGGAACTGAGTCACTTTCGAGCAAAATTGACGAAAGTGGCACTTTTGAAATTTATGCGTTTGTGGGAGCAATTAACGATGACTACATTGACTGAGCTCGGCAGGCTGTGTAGAAAACCTGAGTCAAGCTTTGAAGAGCTTAAATGAAAAGCCGCGAAGCGGCTTCGCTAAAATATTAATATAGATTGATTGTGTTGCGAAGCAGCTTTGCGGCTTCGTTTTCAAAAAGCCGCTACGCGGCTTTTCATTTAAGATCTTTCAGACCCTAACTACGGTTTTCTACGCAGCTTGGCAAACCTACCCACTAGACCAGGGAATTCGTAACTATCTTTATCCAATTCATTTGTATCTGAAAGTGCTTACCAGTGAAAGAACTCATTTCTGGCAGGATCTTCTTGAACAGGACTCTCCGCGAAGCTCCTGGACAGGATGCACCTCTTTATCGCGGCAGTGAGTCTCTTGCGTTTTCGTCGTTTTTCTTCTTCATTTTCATTTGGTTTCATCACTAGAGTAAATTTGTGAAAAGTCTGAATTTGCGAGTTGTAGATTGAGGGGTCGTAGTAAAACGTTGAAATTTACTTTGCCTCAGCGCGGATCAAACATCACGAGAGCGACCACGCGCAGATGAACTCAATGATGATCAATTCTTATTTTCTTTAAAGATTACTCATTGATTACTCGTGACCCGCAACTTCTTTTCCCTACCGCCGGAGACAATGGGTGATTATTTGATGGATTTTATGATGAAAATTTATGACTAGAAATTGACCCAATTACGCTTCTTCATTGGAAGTTGTTGAGCATGAAAAACGATGAAAATGCTGGAAAAGGGGTTGTTATATAACGAGTCCATTTACCGCCAGTTAATCCAGCTTTCAATGGAAGTTGTTGCATAACGATGTCGATTGGAATCATGGAAAATTACAACGAAAATTCAACAAATTCAATGATAATAAGCAAACGTTATGTCGGTACCCGTTATTTTCTCTATCAAACCTTCTTCTTTTGGTTGAAAAATTTTTTTCTCGTATGAAAAGTTTTTCACGAATCTCTCACTTTTATGGATAAAAAGAGGGTAAAAAGGAAAAAGGGAAATTTACCTTGAAAAACCGCCTTTTGCCGAGCTTTATGAATGTCTTGAAAAACTCAGTCGCTGATTCCGCTTGAGGCCAGCTTTGTCCAGATCGAGATGGCAAGTGAGTAATCAATCGTAGTAGTCAGACTTGCGGCTGGAATGATCTGGTTTCTCTCTCTCTCTGACTCACGGTTAGCCAGTGGCTCTATCCGGTTATTCACTTTTCTGTGAATTTTCTAGTGTGACTCGAATGGTGTAATGTCGCCCTGATACTTGAAAATGACTTTTGCGGAGCAAAATTCTAGCCCCTATATTTCTTGTGCTCATTCGAAAGAACAACGCCTAAGGATTCGAATGGTATAATTTTGAGGGTCTGAGTCATCACGTATGACGTCATAAAGGCCCCCTTTTGAAAAATGGTCATGAAGCCCTGTATCTCCGAAAATTTTCAGAATTATATGGAGATTTTGATATCGTTGAAAAGCTCAGCTCAAACTGTGTATGGGCACCTACTGCGCAAGAGAAAATTCCAAGCGAAAAAATATTTTTTGAGACAAAAAATTTTCAATCAAAATTTTTTTTCAGAATCATAACTTGCGCACCAGGTGCCCATACACAGTTTCAGCTGGGCTTTCGAATGATACCCATATGTCCATACTTTTTTCGAAAATTTTTGGAGATACAGGGCTTCATGACCTGTCATTTTCAGGTACTTTAGGCGCTAGAATTTGACATTCTTCGTGGCTTGGACACATAAAAATTGTACCATTCGACTCCTTAGATTCTGCGCTACAAACTAAGCACTAAAAATATTGGGGTCAGGATTTTGCTCCGCAGAAGTCATTTTCATCTATCCCCTGTTCTAGAGCTCGAACGGAAGGGCGAACTCTTTTCGAAAGACCTCGCCTGGCAATTAACACGTGGACGATCTCTCGATGACGACTGCTGCAGTCACACTTTATTCGTCATCTCGTTGACTACAACTGGAAAAATACCGTGCTTAGACGTGTGAAAACCAGACGGGCTGTCCCACGCTGTGAATAACACAAATGTGGATGAAGTATTCGAATAATATTTTCGAATTTTTATATCACTCAGCATATGCGTTGATAATAGACAGACGTTTTCAGCTTTGAAGGGAGCTTCAGTTGCTTCTTTTTCTTTGAATGACAACTCTTTTACGTGGTCGACCGTCGAAGTCATGTTTTGATCAAGTCATTTCCTGAGATTCAGGAGCTTCGAGTCTGATAAACTCATCTCCGTATCCATAGACATAAGTGGGGAGTTTGTCTTCGGTGAGTAACCAGACAATCCAGAATACCAGGATCTGATGCAAAGGTCTGCAAAATTGGTGTTTACTACGCTCTTGCTATTAATCCACGCTCGGCAACCTGTGTAGAAAACCTGAGTCAGGGTCTGAAAAGCTAAAATGAAAAGCCGCATTGGGGCTTTTTTTTAAACGAAGGGAAAGACGCAGGCCCTGACTCAGGTTTTCTGCACAGGTTGCCGAGCCCAGTTAGGAAGACCCTTGCCAATGCGAGAGTAACTGCCCCCAACGAGATCCAAATCAATCTATCCATTCCTTCCCAAAAGCCTGGAACATTGTGTTGGGCGAAGAACTCGTTACTCTTCCCAAAATCTTTCATTTTAGCTTTCTCAATAATTTGGTATGGAGTGATGATTTATTGAAAGTGTGGCAGTTCAAATGACCCATTTTAAATCGCTTTTCATCACTTTATCAAAACTTCTTGTTTGATTTTAGTGCTTTTTGTAAACCTGGGAGTTAGGTTTTTGATTGAATAAAACCAGACTTGGATACATTCCTTGGCACGAGAAAAAGGTACGGAATGCATTCGGATTAGTTGTAATTGAGTAATCAGAAAAAGTAATTAGAAATAAATCGAGTTAGAAGGAGTAGGGACGTCAGGACCCGTCTCCGACACTTATCACTAGATTCGATATAAAAAGGGATATCTTGGATAATTCTGAGACTCTCTTCCGTATGTCTAAATAACTAAGACAATAAATCAAAAAATGAAAACAGAGAAAATTATTGCGGATAAAATGGAGGAAAAACAGTCCCCAAAGGAACATGACGATGAAATTGGCTTCAAGAGTTTCGTTTTCCTATGTTTTTTATTTGAATAATTATTTGACTAATTTCATCATGAAAAAAAGATTCAAATAAGCGTAAATACACATTGCTCAACTCAGACAAATGCAAGCCCAGCATCAAACAGGTGAAAATTTACATCAAATTGTTCGTTTATGAATCCTCAATTTCTAGCTCCAGCAAAATTGGACCATCAAACAGCGGAGCAACAGTCAACTGCCAATTTTATCAGGAGCAATATGAAGAACTGAGGCAAAACTGCGCGTCAGGACTTGGGGGACTGGCTTTGGTCGTTGCATTGATGCTGATTTCGGGAATCTTGATGTTCATTTTCTGTCGTCGAAAATCAAGGAAGAAAATTCGCGACGAAGAGGTTTGCGAAGGGTCTATTCTGTGTAATCTATTCTGTCATAGATTTATCTTTCTAAGAATGGAAATACGCAAAAGGAAAGTATGAAGAAACTTCGACTTGGGAGGAAATTTTTGATGACCGGCAAGCCACATCGAAAAAAGAAGCTGAATTCAACGCATGTCATAAAAAATCGAAAACAAAGAAGTTCGAAAATTTCTCACTCGAACACGTACTCTCTTGACTCCTCACAAGCGGATCAGACTTTTGTTTAGAATTATATGAAATATATGCCTTCAAAAATATTGGATTGAAAGATTTATTTCAAAAAACAAATAAGCTGCAGAGAAAGTTACTTGGACTCAAGAGCCTTGGATCGAGCCTTGTTGACAGCAGATTCGGCCATCTCAGCTCGCTCGTTTGCTTCGTCGAGTTCGTGCTGAACCTTTCGGTATCGAGACATGGCGGAGGAAGCGGACTCAGTGGCGTCTTCAGCAGACTTTTTGTAAGACTTGGCCTTGGAGTTGAGCTTGTCGATGCTGTCAGAGAGTCGCTGGAGGTTCTTCTTGTCTTCATCGTTAGCGTAGAGGGCTTCTTTGTACTTTCGCTCGAGCTTTCGGATGACCTTAAAAATGACTTTGTAAAAGACAATTTTCTAAGCTGCTGCTTACCTTGGTGTTATCGGAAGTTCGTCTCTGTTCGGCTTCGAGTTCCATCTCAACTTCTCGGCACTTGTTCTCCAATCGCTGGACGGCCTTCTTACCGCCCTTGAGAGCGACCTGCTCGGCTTCGTCAAGTCGCATCTGAAGATCCTTGAGGGAGTTCTCCTGATTCTTCTTCATTCGGTCAAGATGCTGGGACTGATCCTGCTCCTTCTTCAAATCCTCGGACAGGAGAGCAGCGGTAGTAAGAGCCTTTTTGGCGGCATCTTCAGCAGATCGAGCTTCACCGATAGCTTCTTCGACTTCATTCTTGACGCCGTGAAGTTCGGATTCGATCTTTCGCTTCTGGTTGATGAAAGCGCCGTTCTGGGTGTGGAGCATGTTGGATCGCTCGTTGGCTTCCATCAAATCGTTCTCAGCCTGCTTTCGCGTTCGCTCAGCCTGTTCAAGTCCGTTTCGGAGCTCTTCAATTTCAGTTGTCATGAGACCAACTCGTCGTTCGCAAACAGCAGACTGCTCTCGCATATCCTCGGTGCTTCGCTGGCTGTCATCAAGTCGCTGATTCAAGTCCTTGAGCTGCAACATAAGATCCTTGGTGTTCTTCTGGGCATCGTTAGCCTGTCGAGTGGAAGTAGCAAGGGAAACTTCGAGGTCGTTAAGATCGGATTCCATCTTCTTTCGAGCTCGGATAGCTTCTCCTCGGGCTCGCATCTCATTATCAAGGGAGGCTTGAATCTGCTCAACAGCTCGGGCGGCGTTTCGTCGGGAACTGTCGATTTCCTCATCCTTCTCGCTGATTCGTCGGTCGATCTCTTGCTTGAGCTGCTGGAGCTCAACAGAAACTCGGAGGGTCTTGGCTTCTTCGGTTTCGATAGCAGCTTCAGCTTCCTCAAGAGTACCCTGGATATCAGATCGTTCTTGGTCAGCGATTCGCTTGCTCTTTTCGAGTTCGTGGATGGTCTTGGATCCTTCCTGGAGCTGGTCAACGAGCTCTTGAACTTCCTCGGCAAGGTTCTTGTTCTCTCGTCGGATAGATTCGAGGTGATCAACGGCCTCTTCAGTAGAGTTCTTGAGCTTGAAGAGCTCACTCTGCTGAGATCGAACTTCCTTTTGCGCAATTTCGAGTTCAACGGCGGCTTCTTCCTGCTTTTGTTTAGCTTCGGACAGGAGCTTGTCGAAGTTTCGCTGTTTCTTGTCGAGTTGAGCGGCGGCGGCGTTAGATCGCTCCAAATCAGCAGAAAGATCTTCAACTTCGCCCTGAAGTCGGGTCTTGGTCTTTTCGAGGGAACCGCATCGTCCTTGAGCTGCCTCAACCTGTTCTTCGGACTCCTGGAGTCGCGCGACTAGCTTCTTCTTAGCCTCTTCGAGCTCTTCAGTTCGCTGAATAGCATCAGTCTCATACTTGTTTCGCCACTGGACGCACTCGTTGTTGGATTTAGTCAAGTTACGCTGGAGTTCTTGCTTAGACTCCTGCTCCTCTTCCATGTGTTCGCGGAGCATATCAGTATCGTGTCGCTGAGCCTGGAGCTGATGAGCAAGAGCGTTCTTAGTCTTGCCCTCTTCATCGCATTGTCGCTTGAGCTCGTCGTGAGTCTGAGAAAGAGAGTTTTTGTTTCGGACGAGTTGAGAGTTGACGGTGTCTTTTTCTTCAATGTGTCGACGAATTTCATTGATCTCCATAGTCATCTTTCCGCAGTCGCCCTGAGACTCAGAAAGCTGAGCAGCGCCTTCTTCGAGCTTCATCTTGAGATCGGCGATGCTATCTTCGAGGTTTCGGGTCTGTTTTTCGTAATTGAGCTTAGACTTGGTCAATGATTCAACGTTGACGTGGAGCTCATCGACTTCAAGTTTAGCCTCGGATTTTTCCTTCTCGAGCTTTTGCTTGACTCGGTTGAGGTTTTCGATCTGCTCATTGAGGCTGCTAGATTGGTCACCTTGCTTCTTACGAATGTTGGAGATAGTCGATTCGTGGTTGAGAGTTGCTTCTTCCAGTTCTCGTCGGACCTTTGCAGCTTCGGCATCTCGTCGCTTGGCGACCTCAATCTGAGCCTGAGTATTGGAACCAGCCTCTTCAAGTCGCTCAGCGAGTTCTTCGAGCTCTCGGGAGAGATCAGCTCGAGTCTTTTCAGATCGAGCACGAGAACCTCGCTCAGACTCAAGCTCTTCTTCGACTTCTTCTGATCGGCCTTGAAGTTCCTTAATTTTCTTCTGGAGCTGACCAACAAGGGCGCTTTCATCTTCAAGTTTGGCATTGAGCTGGGTGAAGTCAAACTCAGACTTCTTCAGTTTTTCTTCCTGGCCAGCCTTATCGTTTTCGAGATCCATGATCTGCTCCTGAGAAAGTCGGATGTCTCCTTCGAGCTTTCGTTTACCTCGCTCGAGATCCATTCGAGCCTTCTTTTCAGATTCAAGGCCAATTTCGAGATCATCGACTTGCTGTTCGAGTTTGCCCTTAGACTTGGTGAGGGTAACGACCTTTTCTTCTTCACTTTGGAGATCTCCAAGGGTTTGCTTGTGGGCTTCCTGAAGAGCCTTCTTCTCCTTCTCAAGTTTGTGGATATTTTCGTTGATGGTAGCAAGCTCTTCGGTGACGTTCTTCACTTTGTTTTCAGTGGCGTGTTTTTCTTTCTCGATCTTGGCAAGAGTAAGTTCAAGATCATCAATGTCCTTCTTGAGCTCGGAGGACTCATCTTCGAGCTTTCGCTTCTTAGCGACGAGCTCGTTGTTCATTTCTTCTTCGTCTTCAAGTCGCTCCTGAAGATCTCGAATCTTACCATCGAGTTCGATCTTGGCGGCGATAAGTTCTTCGCATCGACCTTCAGCATCATCAAGCAATGCGTTCTGAGCTTCAGACTTTTGCATAAGCTCGTTTCTTTCTTGTTCGAATGAAACGGCCTGCTCTTCGAGCTCGATTCGTCGCTTTTTCTCCTTTTCGAGCTTGGTTTTGACCTCTTCGTAATTCTTCTCAAGCTCCTGCATCTTCTTGCCCTCCTCGGCCTGAGAGATGAGAGGCTTGATCTTGAAGATGATCTTCATCCATTCCCAATCTTTCAAATACTGGAAGGCTCGGATGTTGCCCTGAATGAGTTCGATACAGTCTCGTCGCTTGACCATCTCAGCGTAAGTTCGCTCGGCGAGTCGATATCTCATGTAAGACTGGAGAGAAGTAAGGATCTTAGCAATCTTTTCGTCTCGCTCATCTTCCAAGTCACCAATAACACCGGCTTTGAAGAAGAGTTTAGTGTGACCGAACTTGTGCTTGGCTTCATCAAGGGCGATACCGGCGCAGATTTCCTTAGACATCGCTTTCCAGTCGCAGAATTCTTGGTCTTTCTTGGCTTCGGCATGAAGAATGACGTATCGCTTGGCGAATTCTTCGTACTGGACTCGGGAAGGGAAACCCTTTCGACAAATTCGAATACCTTCCAAGACACCGTTACATCGAAGCTGATGGAGAACAAGGTTCCAGTCCATGAAACCGGGCTTCTTCTTCTCGTTGGGAATGATGCAACGGACGAAATGAGGCTGAGTAGATCGAAGGTTGGCCATCAAGCGACCGAGAGATTCTCGATGGAGACCAGAGACAGTCTGGAAAGAACCACCCTTCTGTCGCTTGCCACCTTTTCCTCCGCCACCCTTCTTGGCGGCTTCGGCGGCGTCTTCAGCGGACATGTAAGACTCCCACTGCATGACAATACATTTATTGTTGGACTTCTTAAGAAGACCGACAACAGAGGGGTTGAGAGGATCCTTGTTCTTGAGGAGCCAATCGGTGACGTTGTAACCGACAGTGCCAGCGTAGTGGTACAATTCAAAGTGAGGAGCAGGCACATCAGCGTTCTTATGGTTCTTCGGGTTGGGCTTGCCAATCTTGTCGTTCTTACCCAAATGTTGCTGGAAGAGCTTGTCTCGGAAGGTCATGTCAGTAGCTTTAGGGAACATGCACTCTTCTTCGAGGGTGGACATAATACCAAGAGGCTTCTCGATCAAGTCAATGGTAGCGGCCAAATCCATACCGAAATCGATCATCTCCCACTCGATGCCTTCCTTCTTGTATTCTTCCTGTTCAAGAACGAACATGTGATGGTTGAAGAACTGCTGGAGCTTTTCGTTGGTGTAGTTGATGCAAAGCTGTTCGAAAGTGTTGAACTCGAAAATTTCGAAGCCGGCGATATCGAGGATACCGATGAAGAAAGATCGAGGGAGATCGGTGGAGAGAGCTCGGTTGACGACTTCGACAAGCCATTTGAAGAGTCGATCGAAGACAGCCTTGCAGATGGCTTTGAGGGCGAAGTTGACCTGGTCAACGGTCTGACCCTTGGTGACGTACTCAGTACCGACCTTGATTCGTGGGGTACAGAGGGCCTTAGTGTACTCAGCTCCAGAAATACCGAACATATATCCGGCAAGTTCGGCAGCTTCGTGACCGTCGGGCTCGGCCTGTTCTTCTCGGGGCTTTTGCTTGAATTCCATGTTTCCGGAGTGCATAAGACCAGCAGTAATCATGTAGATACCGTTCTTTTCTTCCTGGTTGAAACCGAGAATATCAAAGGACTCGTCAGTGGCAGCGAGTTCTTCCTTATCGTCGATGGACTTGACCTTGATCTCACCCATGGAGCAGAACTTGTAGTCGTAAGGATTGTGAGAAATCTGGGTCATCTCGTTGATTTCGACCATATGCTCGCAGCAAATTTGGTAGAAGATGTGGAAGCATCGCTCGGCCTTGAGCTGGAAGACGACTCGAGATTTTTCGAGAAGATAGGTATCGATATCACCAGAAGCGAGTTTACCAGTCAAACCGAAGTGAATTCGGATGAATTTACCGAATCGAGAAGAGTTATCGTTACGAGTAGTCTTGGCATTACCGAAAGCCTCCATAGCGGGGTTGGCAGCGACAATCTGATCTTCAAGAGTTCCACCACCCTTGAGCGATGGTCCCTCATCAGCAGCATCACCGACTTTACCAGAGGCACCGAGGGCAGCAACGACGGCGAAGTACTGGATGACTCGCTTGGTGTTGACAGTTTTACCAGCTCCGGACTCACCAGTGATCAACATGGACTGGTTGTGTCGCTCTCGCAACATATCGTTGTAGGCGTTATCGGAGATAGAGAAAATGTGAGGAGGCATTTCAGACTTTCTCTTGCCCTTGTAGCAGCCGACAACGTGGTTGTCATAAACGGGAAGCCATTTGTAGGGGTTGACAGTGACACAGAAGAGACCGGAGTAGGTGTAGATCAAGAATCGTCGGTATCGCTCGTCCAAGTTGTAGACAACGGAAGCTTCGGAAAGGTAAGTCATGTTGGCCAAATCTTCAAGAAGCTCGTATTTTGGAGGGTTCTGCTTCTCAATCTATGAAAAATATAAAAATCAAATAAGACAAATTTGTGACTTACAAGTTCTTGCTTGAGATCCTTCTCTTTTCGGTCAGCAGCTCGGAGGACCTTTTAGTTCCGGGCTTGTCACCATCACCGATCAATTCGCCTTTGCAGTAGCCAGTATCAGCGAATGGAACCCAGACGGCTTTAGCACCCTCGAATGGCTGGTTTCGGATCTCCAGCATTTCCTTGTCAGGAAGTCGAAGATAGTTGGCGGCATTGCCAGCTGCCTCGGGATCCCAAAGCGACATCTACAATTTGGAAAAGAAGGATGATTCTCTTTTGCCTTACCTTCTCAAGTTTTCTTTCGAGTCTTGAGTAGAATGTTGAATTTGAGGTATTCCATTCATTTTTATACCCAAACTGCCTCCTTCACATAACAAACTGACAAAACCAAGCCGGTCTTACAGATTGTCACCCTGAACTCACAGTGGGGAGCCTTCCAGCACTATCCGCCGGAAATGGCCTTTTTATGAGATTTAAGAGTGACACATTCGCACCATCAGAGGGCGAGTAAGCGAGTAAAAGAAAGTTCGCGTTGCTAAAACCTGATAATAAGGCGTTATTTATGAGGTTTCTTTTTCTACGTCCAAATCTCTTTTTATTTGACACAGGTGCCACTTAGTAAGAAGTAAGAAAATAGTGTAATAATTTGGCTCTACGCACTTTCGTAGAATTATTATTCGTCAGTGTCATTTGTGATCGCTCCCTTGTCTTGTTCACGTATTATCTTAAAAAAGCGGTGTAAGGATTATTTTGCCATAAACCCGCTTTGATGACTGTATTTACTTTCAAAGCTTTTACTAGGTAGAATCTTCCTTGATTTCAAAATATGTATTTTTGAGCGTTCAATCAATCGAGCGATCATTACAGTTTCTCAGTATGTCTAAATACCTTGTTAGTTACCAAGTATCTGGCGGATGCGTGCCATTCTGCGAAATCTGGCTGGCCTCCCACAAGCTGCGCTTGAAATCTGTTCTTGCCGGAAAATCGTGGTGGTGAGGGAAGGAGTCAGCATCGCCGCCCAAAATGAAACACTACAGTTTGTGCTCAATTCAAATTGCCGTGGACAAACAGGCCATCTTCACGTTGGCCGCGGCTAAATCATCCTTGAAATCGTTCGACGAAAACGCCAGTCTGGGTGGAGCGCAAGCGACTAATGATGTTTCTTGGAGCATTTACGGTTGAATCTAAATGATATCTAAGGAAGTTTACCGCCCATAAGACTGCCAAAGTTATCAATGGATCTATTTTTTCATTGCTCCTATGGCTAACGAAAATTCTTTGAACGAAATTTCAGCGAATATAAAAAATTGTTGTTTTGAAAATAATCTGCTCGCAGATCGCCAACCAGCTCATCCAGCCGTTCGTTCTGCGAAAATCCACGTAGATTAGATTTATTAATGCGAAAACATAACTTTAACCCGATAAGGCGACGATTCAATGTCACATGGCTTCCTATTTTGGCAAAACAAGAATTACGTTATTGAAAGAAGAAGATTGTCCCCTCATCACTTTTCCCCTTTCAGTAGTTAAATTACTGTATTTCAGTAGCTGAAAGAAAAAGATAGCAAGATAAACAGTTCACGGAGTCGGGTCATCCGGTTTCCTGGAGCGGCAACGCAGAAAACATAACACAAGATGCAACAAATATAAACAGCGTCAAGCAACTTCAATTCCGAAAATTGAATCGATTCAATTTATCGTCACTCCAGCAGAACTTCCAAATTCGATTTGAAAATTTTCAACTCAAGCATTGCTCAAAATCCTTATTCATGTCATTTACTCACGATTCTTTTCAAGCAGTCACGTTATGCGAAGAAGCGTATTCAGTGCATGATGCATCTTCCCGTGATTGGCACTTCCTGCACGTCTTGATCTGCCCTCTTGGATGAGATTTGTCAAGTTGGCTGTCAATGGCTTGAAGGCCCCTTTTTCAACTTCATGGAACGGCAACATGCTCAAGGACTCTTCCCCAGCAAGTCCCTTGCCTCGCCACACGTATCTTATCATTGAGTGGCGACATAATTAGTTCATATCTCCCTTCCCAGCTGCATTCACTGACGAAAGATACCAGCCCGATAAACATAAAAACGCTTCCTTCTTGGAAAATATCAATCACAGCATTACAAGTACACACATTTACAGACATTCCGGGCTCGACAGCCTGTGTAGAAAACCTGAGTCAGGGTCTGAAAGATTTCAAATGAGAAGCTGCGTCGCGGCTTTTTCAAAAGCGAAGCCGCAAAGCGGCTTTTCATTGAAGATCTTTGAGACCCTGACTCAGGTTTTTTACACAGGTTGCCGAGACAGGAAGCAAGGAAATTGACCTATCAATCAAGAAATTTACCTTCAGGTTCAACTCAAAACAGCGCTGGGAAAATCTAAGATGAGATGAGAACGGTATTGCATAATATGCTAATTTCTGGGCATGTTTAACGCGATTGCGGTCGAATTCGATTACATCCCCGGTCTAAGCGGCTGCACAGCTTTCGTTGCTTCTGAAAACTTGCTCCAACAAGTAAACGTGAGTTCAATTTCAAGAGAAACAAAATGTTCCATCTGCTCCTAACAAATGGTTTTCTACAATATACAAAAGTTACCGCAATTTCTTCTCGATGTTAAGCAATTTGTAGAAGGTCGAGATTGAACCAGTTTTTATAAGAAAAGTATTTGTGCTACAAAGTACGATGTAATAACTAACGAGAGCTTGGAATTTCTCGTAATTTAGATTTTACGTGATGACTTCTGACTCAAGCTGGAAGGAATCCCAAAGTCAGGGCTCGGCCACCTGTCTGGAAAACCTGAGTCAGGGTCTGAAAGATCTCTACAGAAAAGCCGCGAAGCGGCTTTTTTAAAAACGAAGCCGCATAGCGGCTTCGCAAAGTTACCCTTCCAAAGTTTTTTTCAAATTATAGCGAAGCCGTTTTTTTTTTAAAAAGCCGCTTTGCGGCTTTTCAGTAGAAATCTTTCAGACCCTGACTCAGGTTTTCAACACAGGTTTCCAATATCGGTCATTTTTCTTAACATTTTTTGTAAAAAAATCAAGCAACAAACAGATTGGTCGTCTTATGAATCCTTTCAAAAGACTTTTAAAATTAAAAAAATTCTTGAAAAATGTCCGAAATCATAAATTTTACGTGAAGGACATTCCAAGAAGCGCGTTTGGCTTCTAAGTAGCGCAACGTGCGCTTCGCGAAGCTGAAAAAGCGCCACAGGCGGCTCCGGCGACCGCGCGTCTCCCGCTGCGCGAGCGATCCAGGGCGCTCCTAATCACCAAGGGCTTGCTTTGAGCAGCAGCGAACTAGCAAAGTGAGCATAATTATGATGCCCCACTTGATTATGTGGTTTCTACGAAACACCAAGGATCCACTGAGCAGCAATCGTTATTCAATGCTGGATTATTTTATGTTCCATCGGGGGATTACATTTGATACCATAAATATGTGGTCAGACGCGAATTGTAGTAAGCCAAAGAGCTCCTTTTAGCCAAGAGAAACTCGTGATTTGGATTTAGGCGCGGGACTTGTGTAGAAAACCTAAGTCAGGTTCTAAAGAGCTAAAATCAAAAGCCGCATAGCGGCTTTTAATAAGGAAGCCGCAAAGCGGCTTCGCTAGGATTTATTAAGGACCCCCGTCAACAATTTTTGAAAAATCTATTTTCGGAATCTCATAATTTTGACCCCGGAAATGGATTCTACAGGTCAAAAAACGATTTTGAGGCTTCATTTTTTGGGGTATATCTCGACTCTAACACCCTCAAAATCGCGTTTGAAAATTGGACTTTTTGACAAAACATGACGAAAAAGTCCCAATTTTGCTGAAATTTCAGATTTTCGTTGGTCAAAAAGTGGTCCGAAAAAGTTTTTATGACGTATTGAACTTCTGGGCACACTAAGAAGCCAAAATATGGCTGTTTTGAAATTTTCGATTTTTTGAAGAAATTTGTTGACGGGGGTCCTTAATTGATAAAAATGATTTTTGCGAAGCCGCTTTTTGGCTTCGTTTCTAAAAAGCCGATATGCGGCTTTTCAATTTAGCTCTTTGGAGCCTGACTCAGGTTTTCTTCACAGGATTGCAATTTTCAAGTACAATGCCTATTTGAACAGAAAAATTTTGACTATACATTCATCCAGATAATCGGGTACCGATGTCGTGAAATAAAACAAACCAATCTTGAAAATCTTAGGTAAAGCTGCCCGTTGACTTGCGCAAACGTGGATCATCTTATGCAGAAGGATTAGCCCGAATCTCAGTCGTCATTTGACCGAGCAAATCGGCCGGATCAAGCCATTGACCCTTTCTTGTTGTACGCCCACTTTTGTTCTTTTTTGGACTCAAAGTCAAGCATTCGCCGAAAGAAGGGATTTGAGTCACTTACAAACATCGACGAACTTGGCGATCTTTCTCGAGTTGCTCAAATGATAAGTCAATCGCGCGTTGCGTGTGAATCCGCTGCTGCTTATAACGCTGACATTTATTTCGTTTTATTATTTGGCGCTGGAGTTGAATGACGTCAGGCCACAACGTTGTTTCCGAAAACTAATCAGCGCAAAGTGGCGCTGATATCCCGCCGAGACTCCAAGAAGAAAATAGCATTTTTTATTGCCGTGATTTTCAACGTTGCTATTTTTACTAGACACTTCCTTATTTCGTCACGAGTTTCGAGGTGTTCTTCGCGAAAGACAACGAAATCCGATGCCCCATAATTAAGGGTGCCCCAATATTTGTTTGTTAAACAAGTCTAAGAACCATCAATTCCTCCTTGTTATCATTTTTGGGCGTTTTCGCGATAGAGTATCGAAAGAAGAGCTTGAAAATTATCTGCTGTTTTCTGAAACTGTGAAAGGCCAGTTTGAAACTGAAGGCCAAACAGAAGGCGGAAGATAAGAAATTTGGAAAGAAAAGGGGATGAAGGAAGGAGGGCCAAGCTCCTGATAGCATTTAAATTGAATGTTGAGGGGACGCTTGGGATTATGAAATAACATAGAGCGAGAGCCGGTTGGGCGCAAATTCTAAACCGGCAAGAAATTGGGGATAATAAACCTTAAAATATTTTGGTTTAAAGAAATTCAGAACAACATAATTTTTACGTTACGCAACAACCGGTTTCAGTAACTGTAAGTGATTGTAATTAGAAAAGACTGAAATATAAATAGACCGCGTAATTTGGTTGAATCTAAATTTTGAGAGCTATTAAAGTAAGGTCGTGTCAGATAATGAGCAACTTGTTGTCGTGTCAATTGCTCAATCTGGGGAAGTGAATCAAGGAGCCGATTTGACCTATTCACTCCACCTTGTCCGCCGCCAAAGCCCGCTGCCACGTCATTTTATGCAGCTAGTTCCGAAAATAAAACGAAATCCGACTTTTTTCCTCGACAAATAAAAGTACCAAATCATCATCTTTTCACCTCCGTAGAAATCGCTCTAACCTATCCGTCAGAAATCTAAAACTTGACCCTTCCCCCGTCCATTTTTGTCTCTCTTCCAAATTTCACGTTACGTGAACCCTTGTATAAAACCGACTCTTTTGCTAAAAGAAAAGCGTACGCTAATAGGCTTTCCATCTTCTGACAGGTGCTCTAGAAATCTTTGCAGGTGCAGGGGTCTTTTTCAATTTGCTAAAGCTCTCCGCTCACATTTTTTTCTAAATTCTAGCCGCTTCCGCTCCCCAGGAGATTTCTTATCAAATACTTTCTTTCTTATCAATATAAAAATTATGGCCTTTGAGTTTTAGATAATTCTTCTTGTGGACTTGTGACTTTTCCTTGCTAAATTAACATCTTCTTCCTTACGTGTAAACTTGTCTAATTTTCATCAAAAATAAGTCGTTATTTTCAACTACTGGTATTGGCAACGCATGTTCCCATTCAAGCGATTCGTTCGGCGAAAGAAACGGCTCAAAGTATTTATAGTCAAATCGCTAGGGTAGAAATAACGCATCAATTTAACATGCAACGCCAGCGAAAAATAGCAAGCTAAATTTATTATCAACGTAAGCTTAACGCATTTTATAGGAATTATCATGAAGGTAGAAATATCAATGACGTCTTCATAAGCACCAGCTGTACTAAAAATTAAGATACTATGAGAAACCAGTCAATTCGCCGGTATTTCCGTCAACCGACGAGTTTTTCATGTAACGGTAGCGGAATCCGTAGAATTTATTCACTACCATTTTACGCTGTAAAAAGCTCTCTCTTTGGTTACGAAGCTTTTTCTAGCGCTGACATAACAGATAAAAGAAAAAGAGTTTTTCTTGAGTATTTTTCTTGTCCAGCCAGAATTAAGGGCGTCAACAGTGTAAGTCGCAATTTAAATTTTGATTTACAAAGGTTTAAACTTTCTTTTGGTTGTTAAAATAAGGGTGTCACTATGTATAATTATAAATTATGCAAACTGTCTTGTGGTTATTCGTGTAATGATTTAGATGATCTATTGTGGACGGGGGCTCTCACGTTCAGGTGAAATCGAAGCCGGAAATTTGACGTCTCTCCTGTCAGAAGGTATGAAAGCGTTCACAGAAAGTGACTTCACTTCGCCGAAGCGCTCCATTAGCGAGGACGAAAATATTGCGTGAATCTAGCCAAGATCGATTAATAGCGATGGCCTTTTTCATCCCTAACTCGGTTAGCGACGCTGGAACTCTCGGCAAAATAAATCTCTTCCCGTTAACTGTTTGGACGCGCGCACCCTCGAGATCTTCTCAGGGCCTTGTTAATTCACACATTTCAAATATACGCACAAGAATCTAATGTCAAATCTAAGCAAAAGTACGAAAACAACCAACCTGGCATAAATTGAAGTTCAGTTCTAGAGCAGTTTTGAAGGGATGGATTGTTTAGACAAGTTTTCAATAAATGTAAAAAGAAGGTTAATTCTTCTAGATACACTGTTGTTGTCAGGGCTAAAAACCAAAGTCCACTAGTCTTCGGATTTCAACTGTCCGAATAGCCGCTTTTGTCAGGTAAGTTCTATATTAAAACGAGTCAGAACATGAAATATATTATGAGAACTAATATGACTTATTCAGAAAAAAACAAAATGGCAAGCCGAAAAACTCCTGAAAAGGGAGTTTTCAAGGTTAGAAGAAAGTACTTTCCGAGCTGAAAAAATCGAAAGTACAGATTCCGATGACACAAAGTCATCTATCTTCTGAGCCTTTTCCTGAATAAAATCAATTTTCACTGAAAGTGTGTATATCTTTGTTTTTCTGTATTTGTTGTGGTTTCGTTGTGGTTAGTTGGTTTTGAGGTTGTTTTAGGTTGTCGAAGTTAACATGAGAATTTGGTGTTTTATTGGAAAATTTGTCTTACTAGTAGTTTGAGCCACTTTTCTACTATTTTCTTTAAATTTAACGAGTTTCGTTATTATGAAATAGTTTGATGTTTGATCGCGTTGCATTTGCTATAAACAACGTTGTTTTTATCTCGATTGAGCTTGGGGAAGGTTGGGTCGGTTGGTTTGGTGGAGCGCGGCGGTGGTGCTTGGTGGAGCAGCAGTGGCGCTCCTCAGCGCGCCGCTTAAAGGATCCTTCTGAGTTACGTGAACAACATTCACCAGTCTCAAGCGAATCTCAAGTAGCTACGAGCCTTTCGAACACTTTTATTACCGGAAAGGGATTCAATTTCTCATATTTTCCGACGAAAGATTGCCATCAGCTGATCCAAAAGTAAGTTTTTTTTTCTCCTTTTCAACTTGATGGATAGAGACTTCAATCATCGAATCTACTGCAGAAACAGGATTGGAGACGAAAAAAACGGTTGATTTTCCTAACTTTTTGAAAATAACGGAATAAATTTTGGAACTTAGGGTTCAAGGGAATTCACGCTCGATCAATTTCGCGTTCAAGGAAATCTTTATGGCTCATTGGCTTCAAGCCCTTGATCATTTTGCTGGTCACGTGGCGCTACCCATGTCCCATAAACATTTCCCCTTATCAAATATTTAAGAGAAAGTTATTTTGGTGCCAATTAATATTTTTTTGTTATTTCAAATGAGGTAAATTTTCATTGTTGGCTTCATTTTTTTGAACTTCGATTTCAATTTTTATTAAATTCATTATTTCTATTAAAAATTCTCATGAATAAATTTCATTTAAAATTTTCGATTCTCAAATTGAAATCAACAATGAATTGGCTTATTTATACAATCAAGGAAAAGCCATGTATTTGATGGGTCGTCTAAGTATCAAACTGTATGGTTTCCTTTGGTAATAAGATCAGAGAGAGAGTAAAAATCAGCGGCGTAATTACATTCTGGGCGGTTGGGCGCGCGGTTTACGCAGGTGCCACTTGCTTCATTTGCAACCGGTCCTTTCGAGAGCCGTGAAATTTTACTAATGCGATGATCATGTTATCTAGGATTCATTATCTTTATTTCTATGGCAAAATTATCATTGAATAAAACTTTAGAATTTTAATGTTTTTCAGTTTTATCAAAAATTTTTAACAGAATTCGCGAAAATATAGGTTATTGTTTATCTAATTATAAAGCATTTATGATGATTCGTTCAGTTTTAGAAGAAAAAAACTAGTGAGTAAAATGCAAATTCTAGCATTTTCCGAGAAGGACCACTTATTCGCGAAAATGTTTTGTATTTTGGGCAAAACAAACGCGTATGTTTCCCGGAAATCTGCCCATCGGCGGCAGTTGAGCTGGCCTTGGCTTCGAGCCAACGGTCTCAAGGTTGGCCCTGCTCCAGCACCTCCACCATCATGCTGCTTGCACCGTTTCTATTGGCGCAAAATGGTTCGGTCTGGTGCCGGTGCTGGATCATCCAAGTCCAGCTCACCTTGAGCATATTTCCTAAAACTAGGATTCTCAGTAAATTACTTTTTTTCCGCCGAGAAAAAGAGCGATCCCGATTCAAAAACATGGCTCTTCCCAATTTTAACAAGAACAGTCTAGGGCTTCAGAGACTAAGCGAGATAAAAAGTGTCGATGACATTGAGAAAAAGTGTACGGGTTGTTCATTACTTCATGTTTTTTTCCATAATAAAACGAGTTCCCCGGTAAATTTAGCTGTGAAAATCGTTGTTTTTGACTAGTTATTGAATATTTTGTAATTTTTCAAAGAATTAGCGTTGCGATTTTCGTTACGAATTTTCCAAGAATTTTATGACGTTTGATTTTTTCTTGGCAACGTGCAGTTGATCGATATTTTGGGTGCAACACCGATTCGTGAATGTTCCTAGCGCGCGGAGACCGGCGCTATCAACGCGCGCGTTACTGCTCACGAGCGCCACCAAAACCGCGCGGTATTCGTGAAGGTGCGCGGAGGGGTAAAGGGTACCACACTGGAGCGCTCTCTTTGGGTTCCGTTATGTGATCAGGGCACTAGACCCGCCGAGCTTAGCTAATAGACGTGTCTTTTCGACCAATTTGGTCCCTTTCATATAATCATACAACAGTACTAGACAGCGCGCTCTATCTTTGAGAAGCACCACACCCGGCTTTACCAGCGCCACCACAATGCTCCACCAAACTCCACATTGCATAAGCTTAGGGTGCCGATCCCAACCACAAACTGGTTATGACAGCTTTTCGCAGAAAGACATTTACAGTGATTAAACTGAAAATCAACCGCTTTTTTTGAAAAACCCAATTCTTATTCAATAATTTTTTTACTAATGCCGACTCCTAGGTTGTAACATCTCCGCACTGCGAAAGTATATCAACCCAAGCGACAACCTTGTGCCTAACTGAATAATTTCACGTCAACACTGCTTGACCCAACTTTGTGAAAACTTTGCCTCACGCACATTTGAACCGTCAAATTCAACTTGATATCGGAGAACGACTTTGTCAGCTCTTCCATTTCTTCAATTTTCTAATCCTTAATTTTTAAATTTTCTTCAGTCAATCTTTGTCAATCCTTTCTTAAAACCTTAAACGTTCTTAAATTTCCTTAAACGTACAAACTCTACTACGTGCAAAATGAACAACCTTGCTATGATGCAGCAGCTCCTCCAGTCCCAGAAGAACTCTCCTGACATGGCTCAGATGATGAACCCTGCTATGTTGAACCCAGCTATGCTTTACCAGAACCAGATCAACCTCTACCAGGCGCTCCAGGACCCATCTACTGTCGCCATGTTGATCCAGCAACAGCAGGCGCTTCACCAACAGCTTCAGGTAAAAATCAACAATGAATATTCAAAACCTAACTTTTCTCTCCAAGGCTCAGGCGATGCAAAACCAGAACCTTGGACGAGAAGCTCTCGGTCTCTGGGGCCAGCGCTCTCAGCAACTCTTTGGAAACAAGAACAAGGCCGTCGGTTCCGGCCGAACCAGCGCCAAGAAGACCACCAAGGCCCCAAAACTCCGACCTGATGAAGGTCAAATGATCCTCCCAGACCACGAAACCCAGCGAGCCATCATTGAAGCCGCCGAATTCTACTTCTCCAACGAGAACTTGGCCAAGGACCACTACCTCCTTCGACAGATCTGCCAAAAGAGCGAGGGATTCCTCTCCATCAAGCTTCTTACTGCTTTGAAGAACGTCAAAAAGCTCACTAAGGACTGGCGAGTGACCGCTCACTGCTTGAAAAAATCCCAGAAGCTCCAGCTCAACGAGGAGAACACCAAGGTCCGACGAATCGACGCTCTCCCCGAGTACGTCCTCAAGGCACGAACCATCACAAACGTTCTTTGCATCAAGATGCCAAAGACTCTTGGTTCCGTCGGTGCTGTCACCGCCATGTTCGCTGAATTCGGCGCCATCTCCCTCGTCCGCGTCCTTCTCGAAGGCAAGCCAGTCCCATGCGATCTCCGAAACTACGCCACGCAAGTTCCAGACATGGGCCAGTCCCTCTGCGCCGTCGTTGAATTCGAAACAGAAGAAGAAGCCACTCGATGCGTCAAAGAACTGAACGCTCGACAGAACGAGAATGGCATGCGCGCCGCTCTCCTCGGTCCTCGACTCCGACGAAACCTCTACAAGGTCCCAACCGAAGAGGAGAAGGAAGCCGAGCTACTCAAGCTCGCCGGTGCTTCTAAGATCGAGGGTGGCGATTCCGGATGCGACTCTGCCAGCATGGGCGATGATGCTGATGTCTCTGGTGCTACCAGTGATAACAGCAGCAGCAACCAGTTTGACATGAGCGGACGAAACAAGCGACTCAGCAAGCGAAAGGTAAAGTTGTATTTTCTTCTTCGAGTTTTAAAACTTACATTCAGGAGCGCGGAACTGATGACCTCCAGTCAGTCACTTCCTCCGAGGACTACTGTGACCCCCGACCATGGGGCAAGAGTGTCACCGACTCCTCCGTCCAGCTGACCACCACATCCGAGTCCGACTCGACCGACGAGAAGACCAACTACCGATACCGACAACTCTCCGTGATCCGAGAGCCTTGGTTCAACTCCGAAATCACCGCGAATAGTAATTAACTTTTGTGATTTTAGTGGACCAGATGGAACTCGAGGATTCCACGGTGGCGCCCAGCGATGGAAGCGATCTGCTCAGCAATAATTTGCTGATCATTGAACTTGCTCGACGATTTGAGGAAAAGGTTGACGAGTTATTAGCGTTAAAATTGATTCTTTTTGAGTTTTTTTTTTCTTGAAAAAAATCATGAACAACTCGTCATCCTCGTTCTAGCAAGTCAATATCATCTTTTTCTCTCCAGAAAAGACCTGCTGTAAAAATTCTTTAAGGGTACACCCCCGTGTGCCCAAAAACTGCCGCATCTCCTTATGAACGATGTTTCTTAAATTGGTGCCAATTTTCACATAGAAATGTATATTTAATTTAAACCATAGTCAGCCCTCGGATTTTCAATTTTCCAACATGAATTTTTCCTTCCCAAATCGGCCCTAAGAAATAGAACCGGATCTCGTGAAATCGCGTGGTCGGCTTCCCGCTTAAATGTCGAGTAGACCTTCACAACAAAACGTAATCAAGTAGAGTCTAACTATCTACACTAAGGATTTCTTTCCAATAATAGTGTACAATGATGATAAATGTGCTGGCAAGTACTGCGACAGCGGGCCCAGCCACGCGACCTCAACTTCCTTATTTTGCCTTTTCGAAAACTGATAAACTTTTAAATAATTTCAACGAAACTTCAACCAATGATAAAACGACAACAAGTGGCCAGACCTTTTTCGATTTCGGGGACACAATTTTTCGCGTTATCAAAATGTGTCGCCCAAAATGGCCATTTAACTTTTTTTTGTGAAAAATAATTTCAAAAGGGGATACCCTTATTTCGGCGTGCCCCAATATTTTGGCTTTGCTTCTAAATAAATGCACCAAAACTTTATTTCTTTCTTATTTTGTCTTTCTTAGCAGGAAAACAAAGAATCGTATATTTTCAGGAGCAAATGTGCATTCAAGGAAAATGACAAGAAAACACCCGGTTAACGGAACCTGCCGAAAAGTTGATATGGCTGCCAAGTAGCCGAATTACCGGTCTGTTCTGCGACCAGGAGGAACTTCTCGGATGAGCTAACGTGTCGGACTGCCAGACTGTATATTGCGAGTGTTTTTAGTAAAGACGTGGATAAAGGACGGGCCTTGTAACAACTGATAACAGTTTTGTCAAACAATTTACTGCGAAAAAGATCGCTTTCGAAAAAAAAATTATCAGATCACTGGAATATCCGCCCGAGGATTTTCAAGACATCACTTTTCATAAAAAGATAAACTTAAAAAACGACGACTTTTTGAGGAAAAATTTTCTTGCTTTTCTCAAAAGAGGCCTGTTTTCCTGCTAAAAATCCCTTGATCGAAGCTTCCAAAGAAAGCCATTTGAAAGCTCCGAGTCTAATTGAAAGATCAGTAACGTTTTATATTCTATTTTGAATGGATGCATCTTTTTGTTCATAGGGATGGAATCGTGAGGCAGCAAAAAGGTTTTTAAAGATTTTTTTGTTGAACTTATTTTTTCAGAAACGTTGAAGTTTTCTGCCAGAAGAGGAGGAGGAGGAACTCGAGCTCGAGCGGAGTAGTTTTTTTTGCAATAAGTTAAATTTATATCATTTCTTGCTGAAAATAGACGGATAAGCTTCAAAGAAACACGTATCTGGGACAGTTACCTCACTGCGAAGGCGCTATAAAAAGTAAGGAGTTGTGACGGTATTCGGATGCACCCGGTTTGAGTCGCTCACGGCTTCGAAGTTGATTGCAGATTTCTTTTTCGCGGTTAATTTTGAAATAATGCTGCATGGTTGTTTTATCTGGCGATTTGTCTTCCGAGAAGTTTTTGACTCGACATAACACGTACCGGGGGGTTTAGCGACATTACAAGGATAGGGCGTAAAGATAAAGCAGACAAGCGAATTACGGTGTCGACGTTTGAGCCACGGGGTTACTGATAAATGCGGTAATACCGAACGTATCGGTATTTATTCCCAAAAAAAAAAATCTTTTTTTTTTCATCGATAATATAACGTTGATTAACCGTTAATTAACGCGATAATAGTGTCAGATTCAAGATTTTAAAATAAATTCTTATCTAAATCTTGGTTGGCATTTTTCTGACCAATATTTCTTCCTTTTTCGCGATGATTATAATTTTTTTCTCAGCATTTTAACGTTAAGAAGCGGCCGATGAAGGCTATATTAGTGGCGAAAATATAAAAATAATAGTTAATTTTTTTAATCCTGGTCAGTTCGTCCTCAGCACTGAGAAATCTCTCCAAAAAGCATTTTGTACGGGAAAGTGAAAATTTCTTATCAGATCAGGGCAAATTGGAACTTCTTGGAAATCAAATTAGAACGATCACCCTGATTAGAATCGGCCTCCTTCCGATTCTCCTTCTGGACCATCTGTGGGTAGCTATCGCATCCAGCTGATGGCGCTATGAGCATCGGAGCCAATAAAAAGAAAAGGGGAATTCAGAAAGCCAAGAAAAAATCGAAAAAAATGAGCGACGGAAAAGAATTCGAAAACATTTTGAAAAGCGTCCTAAAAGCCTCTCGCTCAAGGAAGAATGTGCAAATCACGCCTGTTCAAGTGAAAGTGAAAAAGCGAGTCTTAGAGGAGAAAATTGAAACCAACGACTTTGATTCACTTTCTGCCTTTTTCACCACTCTCTTGAAAAAATAAAGTTCTATAATCAAAATATTAACCGTTCCTTTGATCCGTCGATTTTCAATATCGAGGCGATATTACCGCATCTGTAGCAGTAATTTGGCGCCGACCAGACCGTAACAAGTTTCTCGTTAAACATGTACTTGTGGCCCTCTTGCACGACCTAAGGAACAGGGTTAACGTAACTAATTAGCAGCTTCACGGTTCGTTTTTGTACCTGATGGGCGCGGCAAATCAAATCCAAATTGTTGATTTCCATAAATTCTTCGGTGACGCTCTTTCCGAAAAGATATCCGGCTCCTCGCGGAGATATCTCCCAAGTAGCTAGAATGCAAAATAAGCAGACTGTTCCTAATCGTCCGTACTAACCGACTTCCTCTGGATCTGACCAAACAATATCGCAAAGAGCACCTTTGTGGGGAATTTCTTGGTCTCTCTTCAACGCGCGGATTTGATCTGTTATTAATGATTAATTTACTCGTGGAATTGTTTTGATCATTTGTTACCGATGGAATTTATGTCTGGACTCAATCCTCCATGAACGCACAACACTTTATTGTCGATTAGAGCGGCCACTGTTAGTAAATCAAACACTCTGGTGCAATATTTCCAGGCGTTGTTCGAGCCGTATTTTGTCATGCATTCGTCGTAAAAGCCGTAAACCTAGAATTATGTAAGAATTTCTCAGATCTAGCTACTGAGAAAAAACGAGTCGATCTAGATCTGATCCACGAAAAAATTTCGAATTGGGTGATCGATCAAATTTGAAGCTGGACTAGCTACGACTAGCAAGATAGCTGGTAGGAATCTACCTGAGTGATTTGACGGGACTCGTGGTTTCCACGCAGCAGAACAATTCTATCTGGATATCGAGCTTTCAAGACAAGGAGAAAAGTGAACGTTTCTAGCGAGTAGTATCCTCTATCGACTGTGAAATAATATATTAGTTAGTGCGGTTGGTAAGAACTAACCAAAATCGCCAAGAAAAACATAAGAGGTCTCTGGCAGCTCCCCGCCAACGTTGAAGAGCTCCAAAAGATCATAAAATTGACCATGAATATCGCCACAAATCGACACTGGAGAAGGTACTGGAATAACATTTGGCTCGCACACTAGAATATCACACACGTAGTCGCACAACTGCTTTAGATCGTTTTCTGGCAAGTATTTGCACTTTTTGATCCAAGCGAGCATTTTATCGAGATTCATTTTCGCCGATTTCTTAACAAAATAAAGCTCAAAGAAAGGAAATAGAAATGCATTTATTTAGTTTTTGGGTACAGAACTTTGAAGAGCAGAAAGAGGAGTAGAATGTCTATCAGGAAATCTCGTATCTGCTGGCTGTGTCATGTGAGTGTAGAGAAACTGCTGCGCGCAGCCGGCCACAACGACGGCCAAGAACAATAAGAAGATTACGATTCTTCTGTTTCGTGGAGAATCATTTGTTTCCCCGAGCTCCGTCCCTTGGAACATTCCACACCTTTGTTGGTATTCGGACAGCATTTTCTGACTTTTTCGGTGCTACTCAAAGTTTCTCAATAAAATTGTTACGAGAATTATTCGAATAGATATGTTTACGTTTTATGTATCATTTCAAAAAGTCATTATTTTTCAACTAAAGTGTAAGTGAACTTTTCAAGGAGCGCCGTTCCTAGAAAAGATCTTGTGCGCCTTTTCGATCGTGGCGTAGTGATCTTTTGAGCCTCCTTTATCGGGGTGGTACTCTTTCAACAAGCGTAGTCGCGCAGCCGATAACTCCTTTGGAGTGAAATCTAAGAACGCTTGTTACTCGCCTGAAGTTGATTTAGGGGAAACATTACTCAGGTCCAGATCGAAAAGTTCGTAGTACGTTCCGCCGAGATTAACTTTTGGGTCGACTTTCGACCATTTGATAGATTTCATTGGCCGCGCGGGATTACTGGAGACACCTGCAGCTCCACGTAAAATGGTGACTGACAGTCGACGGATCGGTAACCGACTTAACTGCATGTCTAGGATCAAATGCAATTAGCGATCTGCGGGTTACGATTTCAATTTATTAAAAGAGGGAGTAAATCAGTGGGTAAAATGAAATTATCAGTGAATAAGTTAAGAGGAACAAGATGAAATATCAGATTTCAGGCTCGCATATATTCCGGAAACTGGTTGGAGGTTTGCTCGTTCAGAAGATGTAGAACATAACCGCCGAGCAAGATGCACTTGACCTTACTGGCAAGCCAGATATTGGACCACTGTCCTGGGGTGAGCGAGCGCATGGGCGTAGCCGTGATCGTGGCGGATTTGGCAAGAATCCCCTTGGAAAGCTGACGACCGATCATTTCCTCGAAAAACTAAAAAGACGAACGATGAGAAACGAGTTGAACTTCGGACAATTTTTTATTGGAAATTTAATACTCTGGCAGTGCTGTGGTCAGTGGAACGTTTGCTTTTACTTTTGTACAAAAAATTACATCACAGTGAGGTCATTTGAAGAATAATTTAGAATAAATAATCAGTTTTCGGAATCACTTTCATTTTCTTCGGGTTCAGAGTTCAGTGGGTCATTCGAAGATGGTCGAACTTCCAGGAGAGCGTCTTCTTCTTCTTGAACGATGGTTTGGAGATTAGGAACGGCGCATTCGGCGGAGAAACTCTGACGGGTGATTGAACCGATTGTCAAAAAAGAACCTCGACGAGTGGAACCAATGTTGATCGATCCGGGAATTTCGGTCACTTGAGTGACACAGGAACCGGATGGAACGCGAGGAATATGAAATCTAAGTCATTCTTTATCACGAAAAGGGGAAATCCTTACCCGTGCGAGATAGACCCTTGTCTGGAGCTACCAATCGTCGCCAAAGAAAGCTTTCTCCCATTTTCATCCACGGGCTCTAAAAATACCAACAGTTAACCTGTGAGATTCCGCTCGCATATCTTACTAATAACGCGGAATGGTCTCTTGCCCGTCTTATCGGCTTTGTAGTACTCGACCAAGCAGTCGTCCAACTGCCAGTGAACTTTGCTCTCGCGGCGAGAACCATGGCTTGAGTTGACTTTTGGACGCTTTTTAAATTATATTTCATATTAAAATTGTGTTAAAAAGATAATGTTTTGGTAAAAACGAGCCTTGAACTGGACGACACATTCTGGGAAGCGACTCTCGAAATATAGAGATGAAGACTTCATCTTGATAAAAGTGCATGAAGAGGTTGATCATGCCGTTCAAGTGGGTGAGATAGAAGGAGAGGAAAAACGGCAGCGGTAGCGATGAGCAGTTGAGGATGCCCTTCAACGAGGTTATAAAACGAGAATTTATTTTATCCTAACGCGCTCTGTCGAAACGAGTTAGATTAAATCAATAGGGGGTATTTTACGAGGAATCAGAATTGTGCAGAAATCAAGGAGGACTAACCAGATTTCAGCATGCAATTTCAATTCAGCAATACAATTCAGAATTCAAGATTACTTTGATCTAGCTGCTAGATTCTAGCATAATAAGAAGAAAAATATCATGACCGTCCATTCGGACAGCCGCGGAGTCGCAATTCTGACGAAATTTTTACAATAAAAATGCTTTTACGGAACATAAAATTTCTTTTTGCGACGAGACCGGATGAGTTGTATCACGCTATCAAGCAGATGTGACCTTTTCGAAAATATTGAATTAACCTCGACCTCGTACATAAGAACCGTTACTGTAATGAAAGGGATGATGCAAATGGAGTAGCAGAAATTCCAGAGTAGAGTCATCTTGAAAACAGCAGTTGCGTCAGAGTTCTCTTTCTTGACCTTATCTTTCATAAAGTCAAAGATCATCGGGCCATTAGCGCTGTTGAGAATCTTCAGAACTTCTTTTCCAGTTCGAACTAAATATTTCGTTTATTTCGCAAAAAAAAAAGATTCTTTAGGCACCAGCAAACGCGACTGAAAGAAGAAACGGGAGGACAAAAACGGTTCCATGAACAGTCATTTTCTTCCAAGTCCGAACCTCTCTGACGGCTTCATCTGGATAGGCAATATACACAAGAAGTGTTGGAGAAAGCACGAAGTGCACTGAATTCGACATGACTGTAAAACGAGCTCATATCTCTGTAAACGGAAGTAAACAGTAACTGCGACGAGTCGTTATCGCGCGCAGTAGTTGTCAGTCGAGTACCTTGGGGCGTAAATTTATGAGCTCGCGCCTGGTATCACTGATAACACGCCAGAGACCAACCAAGTTATGACCAGACAGTAAATAATATGCCGAGAGGAGTACATGCTCTTTTGTGAATAGATAAAAGGGTGACAAATGGCGATGTATCGGTCAACTTGCATCCAAAGGATGTGCTTCGAAAAGGGTCAAAAATGAAACGGTAGTAGTAGCATCATATGATTCAGCGTCAAACAGACATGCATTCAATGCAAAATTTCGACCCTTCGCCATACTGAGCAAATAATAAGCGTGAGAGTGACTGTTCCACATACAACCGCCACCCAGCTGTCGGACATTGAGCAAACGTCCGCGTAATAATTGTAATTTTCGTAATCCAGTTCTTTTAGGAGATAAATAACTGCCATTGGAAGCTCAACAAGAGCTGATGTTAGGTCGATGAAAGAATAAGAAGTTCTTGAAGCGGATTAAAACGAGCTAGAAGGTGAGGTTTTACCTAATGAGGTAGTGTCGTTTTTTGCGAAGCTTTTTGTGTTTCAAATAAGTTATCAGATAAATGAGATTTCCTGCTATTTGAAGGATCATAAAGGCGGCGAAAATTACCAGCGAGATGATGAGCTGCAGTTGGCTGCAGTCGTTCTCCGACTTGCAGAACGGAGACAGACCACATATTGTCAGAGACAGGGTCTCGAAAAATTGGATGTGGGGCGGTTGTTAGGGCGCCCCCTCTCGCTCTCAACATCGGCGCGCTCGTTGTTCACTTTCAAAAACAATTTGGGCTGGATGTTTGAAATATAGGCTCGCGCCAAAGGGAAAGTTACGCTGTAAAAATATGCAAAAATGTTCAAATTCAGTGAAACTTAGACTCCTGATACAACTTTTTCCGCTGATTCCGATTCGGAATTTCCGAATATGTAAAAATTAATTTGAGATTCGGGGCATTTAGCTATTTAAGATTGACAGATCACCAAATACACTTTCAAGTAACTAGCACATTTTGGACGTAATACTTGCCTATGAATTCGATTTTTTCGCAAACAGGTAGCTTACCACTTCCGAGAACTGTTTTGTATAGATCACCCGGTGATTTTTGTTTCAGTAGGTCAGAGTGTGCACCCACTGAGATTATGGGCCTTTTGGGTGCCCCGGGGAGCGCGCAAAGCACTAGCGCACTGCCACTTACACTCAGTCATCTAAACACCTGATAAAATCCCTAACTAGGCAGCTGGGGCAATCTGAAATATTTTCTTCTGAGTGTTTCTTGGATTTTTCATGAAAATACCGATTAAAAACTAAGATTATAAAGATATCTCAAAATTATTTGGATAAAAACATCTATTTTGATAAATCACATATGATTTTTTTAAAATAAATTTGATTAATTTAATCATTTACTTGGAATGGCGACGTAGGGTACTAATTTGTTTATTTCTATGACGCGAGGACCGCGTACTTGTTGGTGACAACCGAGCGCCCGTTGTTAACAATCGGCTCCCGTTGCGCACAACTGTCCGCGGAGGGTGGCGCAACATCCAGCCCACCGTTGTTTTCTCGCGCAAACATCTAGGGCGCGGGGGTTGAAAGCGAGAGGGGGCGCCAAAACAACCGCCGCGCATCCAATTTTTCGAGACCCTGGTCAGAGACGGTGATCCCTGTCGAATGATTTTTAAAAGAAAGAAGCTTTTTAAGTTAAAAATTTTAACTTTAATAAGAAAATATTCAAAAATCATTTCCTGATAAGGATCGTCCGGATAAAAGCAGGTCAGGGATCCATCTTCTGTGGCATTATATTCAAATATCTCTTTCATAAAAAGCCCCTTTTTTCATTGTTCACTTGTTTTCCAAATGAAAATCTTCATCTTTTCCGAAGCAAAAAAAATATTAAAAAATTCGGATGCAGGGTCCGATGGCGCACTAAGTCCGCCTCCTATTTGCAGTATTTTATAAAAATGGTTTTTATAATCTCGCCATGCGGAAAACGAGCACAGAGCAAATAGATAGATAAGTTTACGGGCTATCTGGACGGAAAAGAACCCAAGGATCTTTGTTGAAAAGAATATTTATTTTCATAATTTTAATTATCTCATCTGATGCATTTTAAGGAGAATGGCATGATATTACTCGGGATCGAATTCAATCAGCAACTTTATTGGAGCAAAAAAATAAATACAGAAATCATAGATGAGAATACAAATTGTCGAAATCAACAAGAGTAATACAGAAATAAAAAAATGGAAATCTACAAGAGCAATAAAATATTTACAATTAAAAATTGGAACTAAGAAGAGCTTACGTTTTTTTTTAAATCAGAAGTTTGACAGTGCATAGACAGAAATTTTTTGAAGAAAAGGCAAGGAAAAAATTGGTTGAATTGGGGAATAAAAGATTCTAAGAATTGGAACAGGCGTCGATAACTTCGCGATCTCGGAGGACTTTTTCAAGGCACTGCAGCGCGAAGTCGTCGTAATTGGGGTCGAATTTGTTGGCGAAGAAGTGCTTTTGTTGGAGCAACTGAAAGAGAGTGAGTTGTTTTCTAGGAATTTGGCGAGTGAACTTACCCATCCGACGTCACCCGTGCCATAGACGCACACAGTTCGTTTATGGTAGCCGTGACATTTGGGATAAACGCGGTCCTCTTCCGGCACCTGGTCGATCTCCTCTAGCGAGTGCCATTTCACCATGCGCGAATAAGTCTAAAGCCTCATTCGGAAATATTTCTTTCGAAACTCTACCTGTAATTCATTGAGATCCCATTTCGCATGAGGATGGCGGTATCCAGGAGCACCAGGCATTCGCGATATTGAAGCCCAAATCATTTCGTCGGGAGAATACGTGTCACGTGACCATTCAAAGATGCTTCGGATCGTTTCGTTGTGAAGAGACCAATAGATGAATTCTCGAGTAGCGACAAGATACGCAGATCCGCCATAGAATTTTAAATTTGCTACAATAAAAATATTTTTTGGATAAAATGAATATTCGTACCTGGAGGATTATCTTTTTCGTCTTGGTCATTTTGGGAATCTTGTCGTACTCTCCATCGCTAGCCTGAATCTCCCAATGCATCGAGTAGCGGCTTTGCTTCGTTGGCGGTAGAATGAAGCTTTCAATCTCGTTGTATGGATAGTTGTAGCGAAGGTAGGTGACCATTTGCCGGTTTGTTTTCAGCGGAAAGTCTTGGCCGCAGACATTGACTAGATATTTCCACTTGACTCGATGCTGAAAAGGTTTATTTCTGTCGATAAATGGTTGTTTGTACCTCTAAGAGCTCTTCCATACAGTTGAGATCGGCCTGTAGCCTCGAGTAGGAGGCATACACGACGTCTTCCCTTTTCTTCGCTAGAAATACATTCGGTAGACAACTCGCAATATCCTTCAGCGCGTTGTAAAACGCCGATGGTGACTTTTTATCGACATGGAGACAGTAGACATTTTGCGGGCGATAGACGGCGCGGAGAATCCTTTCTACTTGCCCTGCATCTTTGTGGACGACGAAAGAATACGCTAGAGGAAAGTCTTCTTCTTCCTTCGAAACAGAGTGCATGACGTAGTTTCGCTCGTTGATGAATTTCGGGCATTTGTTGTGGCTGATAAAGTGCGTGAAGGCTTCGTCGTGCCAGCTGCTCGAAAGAACTCTTTTTTCTTTTCTAGCGCGAAGGAGCTTCAGCTCGAGCATTTTGTGCATAAATTGGTCGTTCTAAAGATGATTCTAGCCCTTTGATGAAGGATTTTTTACCTTGGCGATGGCATCACAGCTTACGTGGAAATCTCGTTCAACGGGTAAGTTCTCGTGTGGCTTTGTGAATCTACAATAAGAAGAGGTACTGGCTTGTCTTCTGTCGAGGGAGAGGCTGGCGAAATCATAGATAGATACAGACTTTATGTACACGATGACTGCGAGGCAGAGGGCGTAGAATAGGTATTTGTCCACCATCTAAAATCATTTTTAGAGTTGAATCCATAGAATTCTCTCATTGGGTACTTCTTTGATAAAAATAAAAATCGGCTTCATAATTAGTCCTAAATTTCTCTAAAAAGCCACGTTCTATTTCAGCCCAAGTCTGTCTCAAATAAAAAAGATCAATGAATTCAGTTTCTTTGATTAAAAAAAATTAGCGTAAAATTCTCCGGCCTTAAAAAATGCTTACCAAAATGTCAAGTTGATGAACAAGTTTGCAATTTCGAAAGGAATATTATTCGCAAGCTCACCTCAAAAATTCTTGGAGGAAACGATCATCGACTAGGAAATGATAGGAACGAATCCGCCATCTAAAAATGGAAGATCGAAGCGATGAGATAATTAAGTAAATACTAGTAATAAAATATCGGCAGGTGGACATTGTAAGCTCCAGAACTTCACTCTGGAAGTCGGTACTAATCAACAGTAAATCAACGAGCGATATGTTAAAAAATAAATTAAATAAGATAAAATTTATAAAAGTTCAAACAGCAATAAATTACGAATGGCGGCATTTTGGAAGACAAGACCTGTTTTATCAGTCGATTGTTCTGTTTTCTTTCATAAAATCATTCAATGAGAGCTTTCTTGCTAAATCAAGTCAATTTCCTATCGTTTAATTTTTCTGTCAAACACGAAAACAGGCCTTTCTTCAATAAATAAAGCGAAAAAGCAATGATACAAAGTTTAACACCGTAAAAAGTCTTGAGACGCTAGGATTTTTTTCTGGCTATAACGCAACTTTCAACATTTTGCAACTTGCGAACAGAGAAATGTGATCAATTTTTAAAGGAAATAACAGGTGAGCGAAACTGGTCGTAGATTTTTTTCATAAAGAACAGAAGAGAGTGTAGTGAACTTAGACGGGGACGCTCGATTCGTGTACCAAAATTTTTTGGTATTCGAATACCAAAAATTGGTATTCGAATACCATATTTTTTTTTACCAGATCATATTTTTTCCTTCAAAAAACTACTAAACTACTCCCAAAGGTTCCTACAAGACAGGCGCGGAGCGCATAGGGTCTCTTTTGCTACATCAAATTTGGACTTTTGAGGAAATTGGTACACGAACCGAGCGTCTCCCAACTTAGAACTACAGTAATAAGTGTGTGAAAAAAGTGTAAGTTGAACTTAGAAAGAAGAAGAGAAAAAAAAGGAAATTGCGCTTTTTCTGGCTGATTTCCGTGAAAGAGGTAAATACTGCTCGATTAGTTATAATTATAAGTGAGAGAAATTGAGAAGATTCTATTTCGGCATTCTATCTTTTAATAAATAAATGGATAACGAGAGTTAAAGGTCAGTTTCTGGGCCCGAGTCATCAGCCGAATGAGTGAGCGGGTGGAGTTCCTGATCCGGAACTTCGAGATTATTGTTTGACTTGTTTTTTCCCAGATTCGTGACAGCAGATTTGTTGCAGCTCAAAATTTGGACTGTCAGGCTCATTTGATTCTAAAAAGAAAATGAATTCTGGAAAAGAAAAATGCGGGAAAACCTGTCCGAATGCTTCTCCTTCATTTATTGAATCTGGCGATGTGTGACCGTTGGTTTCTGGCAAACCAAACATCAGAAAACATCCAATTATCGTTAGGATGCAATAAGTAAAGTATGGGATCTTATCACAACTGATCCAATCGTCTTCTTTCTGAACCCCACAAAGAGCTGGAATCATCTCGATTCCTTGAGCGGCTAGAAAATAATATTAGATTTTACGAAAGACGATATATTGTCTGATTCTTAAAAAGTTTACATACCGACTCCAGCGACTCTCGCTGTGGCCGAGCACATTCCAATGCCGAAATTCTTAATCGAAGTTGGAAAGATCTCCGCGGAATAGATGTAGATTCCTCCATAAGCTGCTGAAAGCGCGAACTTTCCAATTTGTGGAAGAGTATTGGCGATAGAAGAACCAGGTTCCGCAAAAATCAGGAAAAGGAGAGAAAGACCACCGATAACTTCCATGTAAAACGTCGATGGTCGACGACCTAGATATTTTTTAGACTTTGAAAGCAAAAAGAGATACAAACCAATGAATTGATACATAATAAGAGTTCCAAAACAAGCAGGAGCTTCGAGAAGACCAGAGATGGAGAAACTTAGATGCGGCTTGCCTTTGGCAAACTCAGTTGCTTTGATCGCCAGCGTGTAGTAAAGACCCGAGAGCATAAACCACTAAAGTTTTTATTAGACGCTGTAACATACTATTCTGGGGCAAGTAAATAGTAAGAACTAAAGAGTCTGATTGAATTACTCTGATTGTAAATAGCGCCAGAGAGATCGTGAATCGTATAAATAAGATCGAAAGTAGGGGATGGCATAATACGAACAGAAAATGAAACAAAACCCGGAATGATGTTTATAGTTAGTTTGCATAGGCTAGACTCTAGCCGCTAGAGAATAAAATGAATTCCTAATTTCGAATATTTTTTGGTGGCACTTTTTACTACAGAAGACCCTTCTGGTACTATACATTTGTATACCATCGAATAAGTTTATATTGCAATAAAATATCCAACCTGATAACACAGATTCAAAATCGTCTTTCTAAGTCTCGGCTTCTTCATTGCAAGCAGGAAGCTTTCTTGTTGCACTTCTCCATCCTCTTCCTCTTCGTTTAACTTTTCTTGCGAACCAAAATAATTTTTTTCAACGTCTTTGCCGTTCACTCTCGCAATTTTCTTGCAAAGCTCGTTTGCTTCATGGGTGAAGCCTTTTCCGAGTAGCCATCGAGCAGATTCATCGTTGAAGACTTGGATGAAAATGACGAGGAGGCATGGGGCGGCGATGTAGGTCGACAAGGGGCTCCAGTCAGCCAATCCCTTCGCTAGAATAGACAATAAAATGCAGCTGGAGAAGGGACAATACCTAGATAAGCAAGGCCAACTTGGGAAATGCCAAAGCAAGCCTGGGCCACTTGAAGCACCATGATTTTGTGATAACCCACACTTTCAAAAACTTCAGAAATTAGGACAAAAGCAGCAGCAATCGCTCCAATAGCGCCAGCGCCGTCAAACATTCGCAGAGCAAGCAAAGCCCACCAACTGTGTCTTTTAGTCGGCTTTTCATAAAATTAAAAAGAAGTGAGTAAAAACTGGAATTTAACGATCTTTGATTGAAAAATGCTCGCTTATTGAAACGAGTAATTAAAAAAGTGATGGATTATTAACGTAAAGCCGGGCCTAGCGAAGCGAATCATCGACATGGAAATCAGACAGAGAGAAAGACACGCAACAATCGTGGGTTTTCGACCATATTTATCAGAAGTGTAGCCAAAGAGAGGAGAACCCCAGAAGACACCGATCATCACAGCAATCTAAAACACCCATCATTCCCATCTCCTTCCAAAAGAAAATTCACCTGTAGATTTTGTTGAGCAGAGCCAGGACAAGCCCAGTTATTCTCAGTCAAACCAGTCACGCCAAAAGTATCGTCGTAATACCAAGCATCGCACTTGATATAATTCGTTTCGTCCTCGTACCAAGATTCAGTAAAACCATGGTCGTTGGCGAGTTTTTCGAAGCTCGCTAAAACGACGGGGTCGCGGAAGTTCGTTCCGTTTTCAGCCGTTTTGTACAAAGTTTTTTCGGGAAAACTAGAATCAAGTGATCAGATATGGGATCTCACACGAAGAAATGAGAAGATTATCAAGATCTTTGGAGAATCCCGCTGTGACATTCGATTTCTAGCGCCCTCTTTTGGTGAATAATTAAATAAAAGAATGTTTCCGGACTGCCTTTGTATCCAAGAGTTATAAAATGAAATCAGAACTATAACCAAGTGATGGGTAATTCAGGTATCTAAGGAAAAAATCTATAATATATAATATTTACCTCTGTAAATCATTGCATATGCTCTGAAAATTATCTTCATTAAAATCCGGAAACTTTCTGTATTTGCAATTTCCATTCTTTGCATCGTCAGATTTCACAATGAATAGATGCCGCAGGAGATCATCATTTTCCCCAAGCGAGTAATTTCCCATCCCTAAATCGAATTCAAAAAGAAGAAATAAACTGGAGGTGCACCATTGGGGAGGGAGAGTTGATTCGAGCAAGCATCAGGCACAATTTTATCCATTTGGCAGCGTTTTTCCGGAATGGCAAAAAGAAAAGCGTTTCCAAGCAAATGCCAGGACATGAGCGGCAGTACCAACACCAGTGGCATGCACTGAAATCAATCTTAGCGGCCCGAATACAACTCTTCTTTTCATTTTCAATCAAGAAGATCAAATGTTGGGTTTCTCATTTTAAATCAGCGAGGTTTGGTTAAATTAACAGCATTCACATCGCAAAATCAATCGTTGCGCAAATAATAAATTTACTACCTGTCCATTTCTGTTTTTCCTTCTGGGTTTTATGTGTTAGTTTTTGTGCTACAGGGCTCGAGCAGCATTCATACTGTTAAAAAATCTCACCTGTCGGTACTGGTACTTGCCAGACCCACCAATTTTCTCCAAAATCGTGTCGAAACCGATCATCGAGCAGTGAATTTCTGAACAATTTTTCTTTTTAAAAAATGATGCCTTCCTCAACCCGCGGAGCAATTATATAGCCACGCTATCAAACTCTTCCACTGATGTCGTTGATAACCCGACACATGAGAGGTTTCAAGTTTCGCACACTACGTAAGCCGAAAAATATCGAAGTTATCATAAAAGTTGTTTTTCTCTTGGCGAAAATCGAGGTGAAAGCAGAAGACATCGCAAAACATGATCAACTCTATCGGTCTCGAAATGAATATCGATGGAAATTCCCACCAAATCAAGTTGACCTACTTTCCTATTGACCTTCTTTCAAAAAGTTTTTCTTGAATTTTCGGATTTCTAGCGCTGAAAAAAGAATATATGATCACTTCGCATGGAAAATATTCAAGAAATTTTTATTTTAACAAGTTTCAAACTAGTATTTATCTTCAGTAGAATTCTTTTTCGTCTAATTCTAGCCCTAAATACAGTCAACTTGATGCTAAACCGTACGAATTGTGTAGAAACCTGAGTCAGTGCCCTAATAGAGCGTTAATTTTCTACCCGCGTCTTGGAAACCTCTGTCAATCCTCATTTATTTATCTCTCCGCGACTCAAGAAAAAGACTCTAGAGCTGCGCATTGAATATGCAAAAAATAGTCACGGGGCCTGGCAAGTGCCCTGTTCTGATTCTGCACTTGGTGCCTTCCCAGAAGAATCGATTGTTCTTCTCAAAGAAAAAAGAAGCTCTTTTCAAAATTGAGCGACGCACAAAAACCCGAGCGGATCAAATATACTAGCGAAATATCGCGCTTTTCAGATAATGCCTTTACTAAGAAAGTGGAAGTTCAAACAACAAAGATTTTTCAAAGAAATTTTATTTCAAGACCGATCAAATTATTAAAAAAAACATACATGCACCTATGAAACTGATGTTGAATATTTTAAACTTGATAGATCAATTTTTCGTGGGCAGATTAATATTATTGGGTTTTTTGTAAGAAAGAGTTTTTTTGTTCAGCTAAGAAAATAGTAGTTTGATTAGTTTTATTATTAATTGGGAGAAGCGTGGTTTGGTTTTTTAAATAAAGGCGAGCTATAGTTTTTTTTCATGAAATCAGTAGCAAGTAAAATGGAGCTAATAATAATAATGGGGATTGGATTTTGGGCATTTCAGAACTGCGAAATGCGTAAATTAAAAAATCAAAAAGAAATACAAATTAAATATCCTCGATGTCGACATCTTCGCCATCGTCGGATTCTTCTTCAACAGCCGCTGCGGGCGCGGGGGCCTTTTCTTCCTCGACTTCGTGAATTCCAGCGACCTAGTAGGCAGAAATTAGAGAGGATTAGAAAGCATCAATGTTTACCTTTTTATCCGTCATTTCAATATCATCGTCGTCGGACTCTTCCTCGGACTCCGACTCGGCAGTCTTGAGCCAGTCGATCAATTTGCGCGAGGTTTCCTTCAGCTTCGCGCTCAGCTCCTTCGAAATATATTTCTTCGATGGCTTCGAGTCGCCCCATTCGATAATTGCCTCCTCGTCCAAAATGTCTTGGTCGTACATGATCTACAAGCAGCGTCAATTATGCGCTCCCAATCAAGTTGTTCTTTACCTTGAGGAAGATGGCAATCTTTTCCGTCAAGTTGTGCTCGTTGACGAAAACTTCCAAGGCGGAAATGCAGTATTTCATCGCTTTCAAATCGGGAGTCTCGTCCATGTTTCGATTGATGAAAACAAAAAGCGGTCGGTACTTCTTCATGGCCGGGACGAATTCGCCGTTTGGCATGAGCTTTTCAAACAAACCGAAGCAAGCTATAAGATTGAGGATCAATTTTTGTCAGTAAGGGAGGGATTTACCTTTTTGCTTGAGCCCGTAATACTCGGCCTTGAGCACGATCTGCATGATCTTTTCTTTTGCCTTCATCATCTCCGGAAGGGAACCATCATCAATCAACTGCTGCAGATACAGCTCGAACGCTTCGCCCTTCTGCTCGCTTGACATCGTCGACGGCTTCATTTCCAACAAAGACAGCTTGCTCGCAAGAGCATCTTCGTCCTCGGAATCAGATTCCGCCCATTCTTCGCCTTCCCACTCGTCCTTGGCAGCTTTTCCGTTCACTTTCGCCTTGGCAATATCTTCCGTTCCTTCGCCGGCGTAGATGTCCTTGGTAGTCGACTTCTGCTCCTTCTCGCCTTTCTTTCCCTTGGCGCCCTTGTCAGCGATCTTCTTGTTCTTGTGTTGGCGAACGATGAAGTTGGAGAGCGAGTGAGCCATGCTGCGGATCAGGCCCTTGTGACCACAAGCTTTGCAGCACTGGAAAGAAAAGATAAGGGAAGGTCTTATCAAAAGACGATGAGACATACCTCGATGATGTCGTCTCGTTTGACAGTCAGAGTCGTCTCTGGGTTCTCGCACTTGGAGCAAAGTACGAATTTCTTGATGTACCCATCTAAAAATCAATGAAAGGGGCAAATTAAAAGTGTTCTTTACCAAGAATGTCCTGGAGCTTTGCTTCGTCGTGAGATCCGTTGACGATGAATCGATCGTTCTTCTCGTCGATTTGAGTCTGAGCTCCCAATTCCATTCCAAAGTATTTTGTTGGAACTAAAGAAGTTATTGAAAAGGAAGGGAAGGAGGGGATGACTTACAGATTGGCTCTCGGTTTAGCGCTCTGGCGATGTCGACCATGTTGACGATGACGGTTTTGATACCATTTCCCTGGCCTTCGACTTTCGCCACTATTCCGGGCATTTTGTATCGGTAGAAGGGATCATTAACCTCTCGGTTAACATTATATTGTTTCTGAAAACGCGCTGTTAGAATTGATTTAACTGAACTATTGAATATCGCCACTTACAGCCGATCCTCTCATTTTTATGGGTAATTATTTTGCGCGAGAGAATAATAATTGGTTACATAATCATTACTGCTCTAGAAAAAATAAACTACCTTGGACATCGCGGCGAGTTGGGTTCACTGAAGTCGATACTACTGGTCGATGTTTTCTTTTTCCGTCTTCTATACGTTCGGTTCGTCAATTCAGCTATATAGTCATACAATTCCTCGACGTATTGTTTCTAAAAACGAGCTGGTTAGGGAATCGAATGGATGGAATTTTGCCCTACCTGATCCTGATGATTTGAACTGGTGTCAGAAAAATGTACTGGACATTCACTCGCAGCAAAGGCCGCCTGTAATGAGCTTATTTTCTCGTCATTTCAAAATTGATGTACTGTATTGTACTGTATGTACGCATACGCGTGGCGACTAATGAGAATATAAAAAGCCTTTCCTGTTGATTGGATTCACTCAAGCTAACAATGATTGCCAATTCTGAAGGAAAAAAGTCAAGATCATAAATGACTGCCATTTCAAATTCTAAGTTATGCAAATATCGTCCTATTTGCGCCGGAAGCGCCTACACAAGAATACACCGCTCTAGATTCTTTTGCAAAACTTGGCAATTTATCAATAATTTTAATAAAATTATCCTGACTAACTAAATTGGTCAGAAATTTGAATCTTCGTACCAATAAAAGACAATTTTGACTGATTGAACAATAAAGTGCCCAATAAAGCCCAAAGACACTAATGCTTGAAATTCCAGAATAATTACTAAATTGTAAAATTACCTTGTGTATTCAGAAAAGTCATAAACAACTCGACCCAGCTGTGGTTGGTTGTTTTTCACTCGCTGGAGGATGAATTTGTCCCTTCGATCGAAAAACTCTTTTTCCTTCTTTGGAGCGACAAAATGAGAATTGGTTTTGTCGGGAAATTAACCCCAGTACCGACTTTCCAGTCTAAGGAGAAAATTCGTTAGCGTAAGAAATTAACGTCATTGCTACGAAAAATGCTCTGTTTTGTGTGTCTGATGGTCGCAATAATGACGGTTTTCCATAAGAAAAAGAAACGGATGAATAAATTATAAAGGTGGATCAAGGGTGGATTCTGGGGAGAGTATAAATGATCGATTTGACTGATAAAATCATCAGAATTCAAAAGAGAGAAATCTATAAATAAAATTATGCTGAGTTTTCTATTAGAAAAAAGGTTTTCAAATTATAAGATATTGTCAAGAAATACTTGTGACGTCAATAATAAAATTGTATATTATTACGTTAATTGTATTATTGGATATAATTTCTAACTGGAACTGAATATTAAAATTGTGACGAAGATAATTTTATTATAATATAGGCCAATAAAGATGACTCTATATTGATCTTGACGAATTTCAAAAAGCTCTGTGATGTCTTCTCCGAGTCGATAAATATCTAGAAATGTAGAAAAGGGTTTATTTATGAGATTTGAAATTTGCTGCATTCTCTCTTTTCTAATCGGCAGCTTGTGAAGATGCCTTTCGCATTTGGAAATCGCCATTGTCGCCCACGCCTTCCCATCGCACTGGCCAATGGAGTTACGTCATTTCCGCGTAGGCCACAAAGCCATTAGTCATTCTGCTGAGAGGGACATTTTTGGCCGAGTGTCCCCACGGATTATCCGAATCTCCACAAAAAATAATAAAATTATAATTGACTTCGATGAAGATTTAGATGTAACTGCCCATCGCATTTACTGATAAGAGGGATCGAAGAAGAATCTTTGGAATTTGGAAAAAAAAAAACTGAAATTGGGGAAAATGGTGAAGTTAGAAAATCATGATCAGCAGCTGCCAAATGCGACTTATTTGGATCTCAAAAGATGGCCATGAAAGGGAAGATATTCTTTAGATACCACTAGAATTAATAAGCAAAGTTAATTGCTTTTTTATTATGATATGGCCTCAGCACCAAAGTAAAAAACCTGAGTCAGGATTTGAAAAAGCTTTAGCAAAAAGCCCAGAAGAGGAGTTTTCGAATCCTGACTCAGGTTTTTTACGCAGGTTGCTGAGACCAGAATGATTTGTTTCGATTGAAGCTTAGGTGTCAGTAACTTTCTCTTGAAAACACTGTTTCTATAATTTATATCTTTGAACAGGAAAAATGCACACTGTACGATGTAGAACGCGTACTGTACAAACACGGTACCGTTGCGAAACCCTTGTGCAGGAAATGGTCCCCAGTCTAACTTATTTAGGCAGACTTTAAATAAAAAGGGATGATAAACGTATCATGCGCTACGCATGAATTAGGTTGAAGAATATTGTCGAATTCTTCTTATCTAAAACGTCTCCATGTTTGCATGTCTTTTTTTCGCGATAAGGAATTCGTCCTGAGCTTTCCTGGCAATAGAGGGAACCTAAAAGAAAGACTTTTATATTGTCGCTTTTGCAATGACCTGCGGTACTACAACTCCAATCTTATTCAAGTCGAAGTCGACTCGCATTACTGTATGCACGCGCTGGACAATGTTCCGACTACAGAGGCGATTATGAAGAAGAACAGATCTAGGTTAGTAAGGATTTATTTATCGATTTTCCTCCAAAGGAAAAGAACATTCATTCTATCGTCAGATTCTTCCCATCTTGACTCAAGATGCGCCCAAGATTCTTGGGCAGACTCTGGTGCGACGGAAATCTAATGATGATCATTTCTCCCAGCGCACTGTTGACGTTTCTTACTGAATAGAATCAATATGGAATGTTATTTTCAGATCGTTTTGGCAATGCCCTGCGTGTCCATCTGTCCTCACTCAGAAACAGTCGTGGGTGATTGAAGAAAATCCAGAGAAGCCGGAAGAACCGTTTCAGCGAAAAACGCATTTTATGCAGTGCCCATTTTGTCACTGGTCGACCCGAGATGTTGGTATTCCAGATGCTCCCACGGCCGGTTCTTGGCCGGAGAAAGAAAATCTCAATCAGGTGAGTCTTCCATGATATCATTTTTTTAAACTAAGAGGTTTGAAAGAATGTTTTTAACCCATCTACCCTTTGCATAAAATTCGGGACAGATAATTACTTTGAACATAATTTGAGACCCTACTTTCAAATATATTTTTATACAAGTACTCGTGCTAATATATAATCAGTCGCGCATAAACGAGCTCTATGAATACACGAAGCAAGTGTCGCTCCAGCAGGCATCTATTTCCAGAAGTAAATCAGCTCGCAAGATCACAAAAGTCGCTGGGAAAATCGGGGTCTTTCTCCGATGCTGTTGAATATTTCCTTGAGAGGTAGGTTTTCTTCGTTCGCTGACTTTGAATCAATTGTTGAAAGACGATGGGCAGAAAAAGAAGCAAGTGGAATTGGAGAATCCAGAGACAAGAACGCTGGAAGAAATGGAAGGTCTTCCGGAAGAATATTTGTCCGAAGACGGTCTCGATTTCTGGAAAACTACGTCGCTCAAACAACGATTCGATCAGCCAGAGCATCAACCGGAGTTGACGAAGGATCTCTACCCTCGGTTCGTAAATTTTAATATAACAGACTTTCCAAAAGAAAAATGTGTCAAGTGTGTTTACCGATATGTTCAGCCGGCTGACAATGGGCGTCAAGAGATCCCTCCGCTGCCGCAAATGCGATCACAATTTGCTCAAGCCAGAGTTTTCCCCCAGCTCGATCAAATTTAAAATGCACTTGATAGCCACCAGGTTCGTCATAATGTAAATTTTCGATTGAAATGAAAAAAATGGTTAGCTTCATTCCTGAAATTCGATTGTTCAAGCCGTCTGAATTTTCTGCAGATGGTTTATCTGCACAAGTGTACTTGACCGTGACGAATCCAACACACAGTCCGATGAATATCATTCTATTGGTATGTCTCCACAACTCTTACATCAAAGCTTAATAGTTGTTATTTATCATACGTTTTTTGATAAGAGCTTTCCAAACAAACAAGCCTGGCTTTGTTCCAAGAACAACAATTTATAATAACGTAAATGTGCGTCGTTTCATATTTTGTTTGCATTTTGAGATTCTCCAGCGGAAAGAGAATCTCTCAGAATAGATAATGAAGAGAACAAATACGAGCGCAGTTCTATTTAAAAAATGAGATTTTACTTCCTTTATCTTTTTTTTTCCGCCAGAGAAGAGACCTTTTATCCTAGCCCTTCTGCGATGAACTACCAGAAGATGAAAGAACGAAGCGGAATTTTCCAGTAATAACCGGAAAGATTATGCTGCCGACGGATAGCTACGAAATTCCAGCAAAAGATACTCTTTTGGACTATTCTTGTCTTACGAAAACGACGGAAAATCTACCGCAGTCGGAGGATGGGAAAATAGTACTTCCCCAGCCGAATAAAGTCGCGTTTAATTGTGTAGGGTTGCTGAATTTTATGAAAGAAGTACTTACTTAGTTTCGTAATTGATATTCTTCAAGATTTCATAAGTCGTGTCCTTCATGACTTATCATAAAGAAGCATGTAATTTCTTTTCGAAGATTATCAAAGATGATTGTATAAATCGCTAGTAGCGATATCTTACGACTCGTAAGGCGCTACTATTGATTGAATTCCTTTCGCAAGAATTTAAACCACAAGTCCGTGAAAGTCGCCCAGATGGAGTTTTGATCTTGCTTCAAAGATTGACGTCAAAGTCTACATATAACGCCCTCCGATAAAATTGGAACGGTACTTATGACTTCCAAGTTAACCGCATGGGACAGAAGGTGTATTCCACTGCACTTAAGGACTTTTCAGCTAAATAACTTCCGAACGAATAGTCCAAATTAGATAAAAATTAAAATGGTGGTTCCTTCACTTTATTGAAGCATGTCTGCCAAGTTTCAAGGAATTATCGGTTACCGACCGCCCTCTGCACCGGATTATATGCGGCCTAATTGCCCTCCCGCTGAGTGTTTGCACATTGAAACCGAACCAATATCAAGAATTTTGTCTACTAAAAGGGGTTTTATATGTTTTCGATACTGCTGATTTCAAATATTGAATTTACTTTTTCGAGAAATCTTAATAAGAGATAATTTTTCAAACCCTCCATAGAAAAATGGCATTTTTTCTGCAATAAGAAAAAGCGCTATGCAAATTTTGATAGCGGATTTGAAATCTACACCCCAAAATTAGTATTGGGTATAATTTTCAAGTTTATCCGACCAGTAGTTTTCTTAAGTGCAGTGGAATACACCTTCTGTCCGAGCGCCTCTATCCCCCGATCTGTCCCATGCGGTTAACTGGAAAATATTTTTGCGGATAGAAAATTATATATGATAAATCGTACGCTTGGTCGCGCAATATAACAACTATAGTTCGTGGATCGTAGAACATGTTCTTAATTTTGAATTTTTGAGCAACCCTATCAGTACCTATCAAGCTGAGGACGTGGAAGAGCGAGGCGAAGAAAAGTGGGTAGCGCTGCGTATCAAGCACGACACACTCGATCAGAAGCAACAGAGCATTTGGATAAGTCACGTCGTTTTTATTAAAATTTCTTCATAACAACTATTTTATTTTTACCTTTGCGTTATTCCTTCATCATCATCTTACATGTAACATGTGACAATTTCGTGTTCAAAAAAAAGTTCAAAGTCGACATCAGAAAAATTAAGATTTTTCACAAAGAGATTTTTTAAGATGGGAGAGGAAAGATCGGGGACGAGCGAAGTGGAAGTAGAAGACACCGATGATGATAATGTTTTCAACTCTTCAACGTAAGTACTTACTTCTTGTATTTTTCTTATCCTTTGATAAGGCAATCGGAAGCTATCTCTGCTAAATCGCTGATAATTGCCTCAACGACTCCCGAAGCCGCCAAATCAAGCTCCTCTTCTTCAAACGCCTCCTCATCTGGTTCCGCCGCAATTTCAAAATCGGACTCCATTTCCCATCAAAAACCGCCCACTTCAGTTCGCGTCGTTACATCGCCTCTTGTCACTCACCTCTCGACCCCCTCTTCTTCGCTTCCTTCTTCGACACTTCCTGCTTCATCGCGCAAAGCTTCACTTGACTCAGTATCCCGTTATGCTCGTACGCCAAAGGCATGGATTCGGAATCTCGACCTCATTTACAAACTTTATTTAAATTTTCCTAGAGATTTTCTCTTTTCAAATAGCGAATCCCGTTTTCAGTACCGGACAATCGTACCCAATCCCGGCCACCGACCCCTGACCCCTTATCAGATCGCGCTCGGACACAGCTTCAACCGCCACCCTTGGCACCCGATGGGCATGGTCCCTGCAAGCCCGCCAGCAGTCGCGCGCTACGAAGAAGAACGCATCGACTCTCTAATCGAAGATGCAAAAATACAAACCCGCTTCAAGTCTACTGGTAATTACTCATCCGTTTCTTTATATGTTCTAACAATTTCTATCAGTAACGCTCCTGGAGGCGCAAAGATCTGCGGAAAGCTCTACAAAGAAAAGCTCGCAAATGGAACAAAGGGAAAATGCATCGAGTATGAAAACAAAATGCTGACTCCCTGCGAGTTCGAGAAAGCCTGCAATCTCGGAAACTCGAGGGACTGGCGAAGAAGTATTCATTTCGCCGGCGATCACATAAAAGTGCTTATCAAGTGTAAGATCTTGAATGTTCACGCTCAGGTAGCTTATCGTCTTATTGCACAAGACCCTCTAATTCGACCATTAAGTCATGTAACTGTTCGATTTGTTCTCCTGAGACGGGAACATCAAAACCAAAGTACGAAATGGAGATTCGACGAAAACGGCCAAAAGAAGGAAATTTATCTTCGATAGAAAACACGCCCAAGAGGGCGCACATTCATCCTCATATGGATCCTCGACTGACTCGTCACTTCTTTCCGGATCCGACGCCTCGGGTGCATACTTATTCCATGATATTGGTCGTCAATCAAATTTTGTCAAAAACTTACCTTTGCAAATCAATATCATTGTCGAGTACCCAACAGATCCGTCCCGATTACCGTCCGGCGACGAGCTCGAGCTGATCGAAGCGGCACTAGAACAGAATCGCCTAGATCGCGAGCGATTGCAAGGGGACTACATTTCGTCCATCGGCGCGTTTGAAAATAAAATTCAACAAATGCAGGAAGAGCTGAAATCGATGAAGGCAAGTTTTGCCGAAGGATTCAAGGTAAATCAAAATCGACTCATTACCTTTTCCATTACAAGTTGTCGTTTAGGCAATAAGCACGGAGACAGATCGGCTAAACCTGAGCTTATTGACGTATTGTCGCAACAGAAAAGCACGCCAGAGCGACTCGCCGGGCGAAATCAACGGCCAGCAAGAGATTGAGCCGAGATCAGCCCCAGCAGAATATCAAGCGAGGAGGAAACAAAACTATCTTGACAAGAGACGCACCAATTCAGATACATCTATGATGGAATCTGCTCAGGAAAGGGACTTTCTTTCTCTAGTTTAGCGACTTTTCTTCGAAGATTTTTCCATCCCATGCAAAAGAAAAAATGCTCGAATCGTTCGTGCTTCAAAAAAGCAGAATGGCGCTGCAGGGGTTGCTCTAAAGCCTACTACTGTTCCAAAACGTGCCAGGAACATCACTGGGCGTACGGCCACGACAGCGAGTGCGACAGCGACGATTGAACATTACTCAATTTTACCTCTTCATTACTCCCCTGTTCTATTCTCAGAAATTAATTTCCAGTATTTTTCCGAAAGCGCAGTATTTCAAAAGCTTCTACTACAGATATTTGAAGATTGACAGCTCCATCAAGGTTCTCAAGTTCATCCCCATTTTAAGTTTATGTATGTGCGTATTTGCTTCTGAAAATCAAGAAAAGAGAATCAGGCAAAAACAAGTTAAAACTATCTGTTTCTCATTCATTTGAGCATTTTCTATCTCTTTCAAACGAATATTCTTCCTTCAGTCTGAAGAAGAGCTGTACAAAATAAAACACAATATAAATCAAAATTGCGTTTATTTCGAGAAAAATTATTTTCTACAAAAAGGAGTTAATTATTCAAAACAATAAAAAGAAAACTCGTGAGTCAATATTTGTCAAAGTCTTGAAGAAATAAAACTGTTACTTTGATGAATTAGAAATTGAAGTCGGAAAATCAGATGCGACGGCGAAAATGAGACGCGACTTGTTTGTCGCTTTGGCACTTGTTTCTCTAACATATGTGCAGGGACAGTCCTCGGATGAGCAAGATGTCAGCAGTGAGGTTGACCCCATTTCAAGATGCCTCAATGAGGTACAGAAAGCGCCAAACGATTATGACTTGAACGAATGCCACAAGTTGGAGAAATTCAAAGGTTGACTGATTCGACTCTTTCTTTTATAAACCGCGATTTCTAGGGCCAGTATGTCGAGGATTCATGTACATTTACCTAAGACCGACGTTGCCGCTCCCATATCTGACGTTGTGCCATCTTCGAGCGCTGGAGCATTGCACCATTTTCGACGGAACAATTGTCATCGATCTCCATCGTTATAATTCGTTGGAAGAGGGAGGAAAATCTACCAGCGATGACTATGAACAATGCTTGTATGACCATTTGGATGAGTCGTTTGAAACTCCCGCGCGGCTCCAGTCGCATATCGACAACGGCGGGATAAATGTGAACCATCCTGGATTCAAAAAAGAATTGGCTAAGCATAGGATTTTGAAATACACGAAGAACCTGGTCGAAATAACAGGAGCACTTTATGTCAATCATGTTCAACAGCTGAAATACAGCGACATCGAAGTCGAATCACTCGGTCAACTCTTCCCGAGTCTCCGAATTATCCGCGGAAATTCGTATGGGTACAAACAGAGTCTGTATGTGAAGAAAAGCTATTTCCGCAAAATTCGTCTTGAGAATCTCGTCGCCATCGTTCGCAACGGTGTTAAGCTGGAAGGCGGCGGAATTGGCGAAGCCAATCAGTTGAGAACTTTCAATACTGGTCCATCTGGCACATTCAAGAAACTGCTCCTCGACAAAGACGCGGAAGTTATAACTACGACGGCAATAAGTGAAACCGCCAATTGTCAGAATCCAAAAGACTTGTCTGAAGTTAAGAACAGCAAAGACTATCGTTTTTGCTACGAAAAAACAGGCCGTGATAACAAAGATTCTTGCTGGGACGAAGGCCCTGTCTTTCCCGATTCCAACGCAACTCTACAGTCCTACTACTGTCAGATTGACGTAGAGCGTGTGATTGTAGAAGCTGAATGCAACTCGCTCTGTCTAGGCGGATGCAAGTACAATTTCGTGAAGCCAGTCCCCATTGATCGCTTTCGATTTGAGTCTTCGAATAACGCGTTGCCTTCTCTAACTCCTCTTCAAAGATTTATCGATAATGCATTGACAACTGCCCCAGAAGATGCGCCCTTGGCTCTCGATTGCGCCGGTTGTAATTGGGCGAATTCCGTCTCGTTCATTCATGAGAGCTGGCGTGACGAATTCGCCTCTGTCTGCTTTTCAAGAAAGCTCCACGGAAAGTATTGCGATGCTGATTTGGAGAAGCCGAATTTGGAAAAATGCGTAAAGAACGGAGAAGAGCCTGTGACGTTCTATCATGGTTGTCCGGCAGAGTTTCCATGGCGAGCGGGAGAACTTGTGTCAGATTTAGACGAGTTGTATCCAGAAGGAATTCATGGGTGGAGATGCGTCACAAAGCAGGAGTGCTACGATTTATACACAGACAAAGTCGACGAAAACTCAAAGACAATTTTTCATTGTGACGATGAAAGCTGCGTCTCTGGCTCCTGTCAAGGCCCTTCAATCACTTCTCTCGGAACTTATCGAGTTTATCGATGCAATGAGCTTGAAACCGATGTCCAGAATATGATTAGTGATAGTGTCATGCCAAGCCAAGGCGATGAAACGCCAGATTTAGAAACCTACAGATGCAACAAAGGATTCAGCAAGAAATTGAGCAACGCAACCGACTTTATTTGTACGAAATGCTACGACAAGTGCGAAACCTACGTTTGTGACTTTTGTGGTAAATGGGACGTGGATCTCGGATATCAAGTTCAGTCGGCGACTCAGAGTCTCGGACTCGAGATATTTGACGATGTTGGGTTGAAAGCGATCGTTGGCTGCGAAAAGATTCGAACGAATGGAGGAATGGTGATTTCGATAAAGGATGAAAAGCTGATTGAGTCGGTAGATGGCGGAATGAGCAAGGTGGACAAAGCTTTCAAATCTTTACGAGAAATTGATTGTTTGACCATCAAGGGCTCTGATGCGCTGACTTCGCTGTCCTTCTTAAACCTGACATCAGTTGCTGGAACGACGTGGAATATTGAGATACAGCAGGATGCAAATGAAAGTAAAGCTATTTTTTCTTTTACACCTTGCCATTTTTCGAGCACGAAGAAAAGGCCTCAAGAAAACGGCGGAAGTAAAATTCAAAAGCCGTCCTACCCTGTTAAAATTCAGCAGAACCAGTCTCTTCAAACTCTTTTTGCGAAAAACATGGAATTCACACGGAGCGCCAGGGTTTACATTCGCATCAAAGAAGACAATAATGGACAGACGATCAAATTCTCGCTTGGCATCAAGTCCAGTAATTTGTACATGTTGAATCGGACGACTGGAGAGGAGACGGATATCTCCACCCGTGTGTCTGGAATAAGCGAAAATGACTTCCTGTGTCCGAACGAATATCTTGATCTGCACATGACTAAGAAGATTCCCAACGGCAAGCATATTTCTGAGTGGAACAATCTTATTCGCGAGTACGAGCGAAAACCAGAGGCGAACAAGACCCTCGTTTTATTTCTTATCACGGAGAGCGATTTGAAGAAGCTTTATCTCGATGATATGCGAACTAGACATCCGCAAATGACGGCGACGACATTTGAAGAGTTGTATGAAAGTCAGCCGCCGGCTGTAAAGAAAAGATATGGAAACAAGTCACAACTTTTGCACAAGATTTTTCTGAGAACTCGATACTGGCTTCACGAAACTTTCAAATCAAGACACGACAATGGTCATCAAGCAATTTGTGATGTCTTCCCTCTTTTGGATGTCGCAGTCGTTTCAACGCGAAACAAGACATCTGATGATTCGACGCAGGCAGTAACTGATTCAAACAAGCAAACCTTTTATGCAAAATATATCCATCCGATGAACAATCCTGTTTTAACCAGCTCAATGGGAATGACAATAAACGAAGTAGTCAAGTTCCTGAAACCAGAACCGTTTAATAAGCTCTGCTGGGACAATTCAACCGGAAGTATGGATTCAAATGACACTCCCATGTGCAGTAAGAACCCTCCAGCGTCGTGTCCTGATGAGCCAAACAGTCCTGAAGAGCCTTGGAAATATAAATTCAATGATGTTGTGATGGATGACGGGCCGAATTTGTATTTTACAAAAGACAAGGATAAGCGCAACTATCGAGCTGAAACTCGACTTTCAGCATCTAGCTGCATTTCCTCCAATACTTACAATAGAATTGGCAATGGAAATATCCCTTTATCGCCATGTTATAGCGGCAAAAACTGGGACCCATTTTCAGCGGAGTACCACTGCAACGACGAGTTCACTACTCGACTGTTAACAGCTTCTGGCAAGGAAGATAAGTCTGAGGGAACACCTTATGAAAAGTGTGGCCATGCAGTGATGAAAGGTCTCGATGATCTCCATCTTGAAGCGAATACTCATTACACTGCCTACTTGGAGGCAGTCATCAACTTTGGTGAAGACGATCGACTAGATACAAATAAAAAGATCATCCTCCGCAGCGACCACAAAAACTTCAAGACAGATGTCGATATTGCAAACTCTGTTACTTTTCCGACACGGCTTATTTCGAGCGAACGCACTCCTGATAGAAATACAACTTCGTTGTCAGTCAATTATAAAATGGAGGTAGTGACCGGGAAGCTCAAAGAATTCGTGATTGCTTACACGCGTTGGACTAACAACGTCGGCTATTGCGAAGACTTTGAAGACCTTGACTTCTTATTGAAAAAATACGAGAAGGGAACTATCGACGAACAATTCAAAATGAACTTTCTGAAAGAAGTGCATCAGAAATGTGCGCGACCACCTCAGAAAAAGAAAGACTACTCGACTTTTGACCAGAAGAGCAACGACGGGGAGTTTGAAAAGACCGTGCCCAAAACGAAGAAATCTTTTACCGAGGCTGGATTTTTCTGTCGACTGAATGAAAAAGATATCAGTATGAACTTTGAAGGAAACTCGGACGGATGGTGCGATCCTAAATCAGTTCCTGAAAAATTCGACCATGTAGAAATGTTGAATACTAATTTAATGCCGAATGATACTGTTAAACCTGAAGAAGTTGAGGAAGTTGAAGAAAGAGATGACGTTGTCAAAGACTATGACTCAAGTGAAGAGTTCGATGCTCTCTGGGAAGACATGATGGGAACATCAGACGAATCCCTCTCTGAGAAGCAAGAAAAATGTAACGAGACGTGCATTTTCAAACGTCTTTCCGATTTTATTTGCGATGATCTGACAAGAGAGTCTCTGGAGTCAAGAGTCAAGAGAAACAATCTTGACCCTCTTAAAAGGGACAACGAACTTAGCTGTGGAAAGTTTTTCCCATATTACGCAGTGGAAAACACAACCTCTTTCTCAAACGTTTCAATTCTGGATCGTATCGATCAAATAGTCAATTATACTAGAAGTCTCTACCCAAACTCAAAAATCGAAGAAAATCAAGATCAACCGAAGGGGTCAATCGAAAAAGTATCTGAGACAACATCGAAAAATTATGAGTTTCGGTTGAATTTACAAAAGCGTCTTTTCCTGATCGGATGCGCGGAATGCTTCTTAAAAATTGAACAGGCGATGTTAGATGTCGGGCTGACACAAAATATCACGACAAGAGTGAAACCAACAGAGGCGACAACAACGACAAGTGTTGAAACGCCAACAACAGAAACATCAGGACAACCTATTGATGCATCCAGTCAGTCTTCAGAGGGTGTATCTGTCTCGTCTGGCGAGAATTCTTCCTCGCGTGATAGCGATGATAGTAGTTTCTACTCGCTAAAAGATCAGAGGACGCGAAGGAAAAGGCAAGCAGATTACTCAAGTTCAAGCCTTTCGGAATCATATTCCGATGATCCCTCCTTTGCCTCAGTAGATTATGATCAGGAAAAAGTTCACAATATGATGTAGCATGATTAGCAAAAGATCGTTCGATTCAAAAATATAATTTATTTGAACTCCTTTGAAGGTCGAAGCTCCGCGTCTTCTCAACCGTACGCTTGATCTAAATATATTGAGAGATATCTTCGATAATGTGAAGATCGAAAAAGTTCTGGAGGAAAGCGAACGTGCCTGGACAACGCCTCTCGATGATCTGTCAACTGGAAAAACTGTTCTACTAAAAGTGTACGCTTGTAACGAAGGCACTGATTGTGGAGCGAGCGACTTTCTCAAAGCTCTCGATAAATGCTCAGAAAACGATCCTGCTGTGAGAGCCAGCTGTGAGGACAAGCGTGAAGATGTCACACTGAACTTGTTGAACGAAACTTTCGCCAAGGAATCCTTCAACTGGGTTGATCTAAACGACCAATCCGAAATAAACCGCGCCTCTGCAAAGACAAAGTTCAACACGAAGCCATTCAAGATCAATGATTGTCCTCGTGCCGGCTGCCAGGAAAATAAATCATGGGTTCCTGGCTGTTTGACGGAGAAAAGCGAGTGGGAGTGCAACAACGTCGTCGACAAAAAAACTCGAGCTGGTCTTTCAAGCCCCAGATTGGCGAAAGCAAAACGGTTACGTGATTCTTTACGAGTTCGAATTTACGAAGGAAGGCGGAGAACCCAAAGCACTAACGATTCAAGATCATGCCGCGAGAAAAAACTTTGCGGAGAAAATCAACGAAACGAAGTTTTGGGATTTATTCTACGCCGCGTCTAAAAAGAACGACATGGAAACCATCTTGAATTTCGAGTGCTTGAATGATCCATCTAAACCGCCTAAAAAGTGGTACACTTTGAATCGGACAGATGAGTTGCTTGATTTCGCCTTCCAAGTGATTCGTGGTGAATCACGCTGCTATCTATGCCAAGAACCTAGAGAAGAGTGGCCCTGGTGCGACCCTGACCTTTGTGGTTTCCGTTTATTGAATCTGGGAGGCGAAGAAAAAAGTAGCATCCTCGATCGGGGCGAGTTCGAGTTCCAAATTCGCATTTACACAACTTCAACCCTCTTCCAGCGCAACGAAGATTTTTACACAAAAGGCATCGATGAGAAAAATTTCAATTCGCATTTTCAAATAACGACCTTTTCGGATTCTAACAAGATTATCGTGAATATGGCAGATAAAAGTGTGGAGATAGTCTTGGTCTCTTCCTTGCTTACCTTATGCTTTATTGGCGGTGTGGCTCTCTACAGATCAAGGCACAAGAAACCGTACATGACGATGGAGTGGACCGTCAATCCGGACTGTTTCGAGCCTGATCTAGCCCAGAGAGTAAGTTAACTTTGAAAGTTATCAAATATTAAAATCGAATTCAGGATGCATACTATGCCGCAGGTGGTGCCGCTCAAACAAAGGCAGAATTTTACATCAATGTCGACTTCCTTACACCAGCTGAAGACATGACTTACATCGGAACTGGCAACTACGGTGACATCTATTTAGCTGAGTATAAAGAGCCTGAAGAAGAAGGACGCATCCATAAAGTTGCTGTCAAGGTTGTCTTTACACGTGATTCGCGGTTGTTGATTCGTTTTAGTTCTTCAAAGACGTTCAAGATACGAAAAAGATCCACAAAGAGCGGGAAGCATTCCAGACGCTCGGGAGAACTGGCGGCTTCTTTCATATCACTTATTACTTCGGATGGAGCTACATCTCTCATCCTTCGATCCCGATGATGTCCACTTGCTTGGTGATGGAATATATGGACTGCAAAAGTTTGAAGTAACTCTATTATTTCATTTCCCTTTTAATTATGTATCAAAGCCACTACCTGCGAACTTACAATCCAGAGAAAAACACTTCTGGCAGGAGAGCGGATGAATCAATTACGGTCAAGCGTCTTTTGAAGATGTGCGCCGATGTGGCTGATGGAATGTTCTTCCTAAACGAGGAACTCAAATGTAGATAATTCATTTGTATATTTTCTTATGAACTTATAGTTATTCATCGTGACTTGGCAGCGCGAAATTGTCTTGTGGCCCGTCACGAGACTGTGAATGGAGAAGTGTACGAAACGGTTAAAATCTCTGATTTCGGCCTGACGCGTTCGATGATCAACGACGAGAACAAGGATTACTACTGCCTGGACATCAACGACATTCCTATTCGCTGGTGGCCACCGGAGTCCATTGAGGGTCAGTCTTTCAACTTACTAATTGAAATTAATAATCATCCTTTTCTAGGAGGAAAATTTATGTCCCTGGGTGACATTTGGAGCTACGGAGTGCTCCTTTTCGAAGTTGTCACTCTCGGATGCATGCCGTATGTTGACATTTCGAATGCAGAAGTCAAAGCGGAAATCATGAGAGATATCGAGCTCAAAACACACGAATTCAACGTTTTGAGCAAAAAGTGCTGGCGCGATATGGTTCGTACTCTTCCTTGATTTCAGAAAATATTTGGTCTTTAGATTTCGAAGAGCCTACTGGCTGTAGGCATTCCTGCGAAAGAAGCTGACGACGCTTACAATAACATAACCAAAATGATAAAAATTTGTTGTCATTACGAACCGACGAAACGTCCGACCTTCCGTGACTTGCTGGAGATGATCGCGCAGTTCGATCAACTGAATGGCCTGCAGGACTTCCAAGAAGAGTAAGTTTCGAATTGTTTCCAGTTTGATTTAAGCTCTCCTAGATACTTTTTCTACAAAGGCCGTCAAGATGAGTCCTACAGCGTTGACAGCGATTGCGAAACCGAGTCCACCACCGTCACCGAAACCCAAGACGTCATCAAACCCCTTTTAAACCCAAACAGTTAACCCGACGCTTATAATTTGCTTTTGCCGAAACTAAAAAAGAAGCTCAATTACTCTATTTCTTCGCATTTCTTCCAGTTCCTATGTTTTCCGATTTTTGTTTGTTTTCATTTTTCTCGGAGCATTTTCAGTGTGCTCAATGCTTTCTTGTGTTTAAATGATCGGTGGTGTATCTCAAAGCTAAGCTTCATCAACCTTTATCCCGTCTACTGTATATCGATTTTTGATTCAAATTCAGCTTTCAATTTTAATGTCTTCAAGTTCAAGTTACCGTGCCGATAATATTCTGTAACGAATGCATATATTATACAGATAAATAAATCCACTTCAAATTAATTTTTAAGCTTGATATTAATAAATGGGCATTAACGAGGTTAAAATCGCTATTGCCGCGATCAAAGCTGCACCTGACAATAAAAAGGCAATCGACACGCTGGAAAAGATCTTGAAGAACATCCTCACTCATCCTTCGGAGGCGAAATATAGAAAGTTAAAGGTAGCTGGGAAGGTCTTTACAGAAACTCTTTTACCTGTTGATGGAGCGTGTGATTTCTTGTACTCGTTGGGCTTCACCGAGTCGGAAGATGGAGCTTGGCTGCAAGTTGACGAGCTGAATTCGGACACGAAAACGATGTTTGTTCATGCCGTGTTTCTGCTGAAAACTAACCAATCTGGCCCATCCAGCGCTCCTCTTCAAGGTAAGTTCAAGCGATCAACAAAAAATCAGCGTTTTACTAGGTACAGCGGAATCCCCCACACCGCCAACGCCTACTCCTGTTCAACCTTCGCCAACTTCTCAAAATCGAAATAGAAATCTTCATAAGTTCAATGGATCCTTTCTCGACGTCCAAGAGCGGATTCTCCGTCTTCGCAGCAGCGCCATGAGTCACGTGCGACAGTGGGAAGATCCAGAAACTCAGAAGAAAGTTCGCGAGACCATCCCCGTCACTGATTTGTTCAAAAGAGCTTCGGAACTGCTCGAGCAAAATGCAGACACGGAAGGTTTCGAACGGGGGGAACTCCTGAAGCACTCGCTGCTGGTTACTCTGACGGATTGGTTCAAAAATGAGTTTTTCAAGTGGACGGATGGGAATATCGTTAGATATAATAACCCGGAGAAACTACTGGAAACGAGAGAAGGAAAGTTACAAAACATTGACTTTCAGAATTCTCTAATAAGAACTATTCTGTAACTGGTAAAAAGGACGCTGTGGCGAGTGGGCAAATTGTTTTGGTGCAATTCTTCGGAGCTTTGCCTTTCATGTTCGAGAGACCTACAACGTTCTGGAAGACCACGTGTGGGTAGAAGTCCGGACTCCCGGTCGATGGACTCACGTGGATCCTTGCGAGGACGCGATCGACAAGCCTTTGATGTACAAATACGGCTGGAAGAGGAACTGTCATCTATGTCTTTCTTTTTCCGTGGCGGAGGGAGTTAGGTATGGAATCGGCAGATATTTTATATTTATATTCGTTCTTTAGGGATACCACGTGGAGGTATAATAATAAACTCGACGAAGTTCGCGAAGCTCGAAAGCAACTTGTTATTGAGTCTTGGATGACGTCGTTTATCAAAGAATATGAAGAGAAAAAGGCAAAGGTGGTCAATTGGGAGAAAAAGATGCAGGAAGAAGATTGGATAAAAGAAGCTGTCGAATTCCTTTCCCCAAAGCCGGTGACGGATCAAAAGTTCTCGGGAAGAACTACTGGTAGTTTGCAGTGGAGAACCTCTAGGGGTGAGACGCTCAAAAATGTCGAAGCAACGGTATACTATGCTTTTATAATTCCATTTTACATGGATTTTCTAGGTAATTGAAGTGAAGGAAGACTCGCCCGAATTCGTCGTTCGTTATAATTGCGCGAAAGACAACTACTCAATTGACGGAGAGACTTTTACCAATTGGGCTTCTTTCGCGCATCACAACGGGAAAATCTTCAGGAAAGAAGAAAAGGACTGGAAGATGTGCTACCTTGCTATGTTGGAGGATTCTACGGGCGACGCAGAGGTTGAGTTCAAATTCAAACTCCCAAAGAAGCGAATTTCTTCGATTTCTGTCACAGCTCACTCGGCGACTTATGAAAATGGAAAAGTCTTTTGGGTAAGTACCTTATTTGATGATGGGTGCTAAACAAACATTACATAGAAGTTTTGCTCTGGCGATTCTTGTACAAAATTCAACCCTTCTGAGCAGTTCGTTTTTAATGACCCCTCTCCGGACTCGATTTTGAGCATCAAAGCGTCCTTGACTGCTCCAAACTTCTGGCAACACGCTCAGCTCTTCCGACAGGCGCTGGACGACGATTCTTTCATGTTCGAAGTCCGATTCAAATTCTAATTCAACCTACTTCTCAACTTATTCTGATGATTTCTTTCTGACACGGTTATTAGTTTAATAATAAAGGTTAATGCAATTCGACAAGTAGAAAATTGACTCATCAGTTTCAAAGTTGATGATCACTTAGTTTCGCGTTCGGGAAAAATCCCATCACGCCCAAAATGGGTGTGCTTTCACTGCAGAATATACTGAAAGGAAATCAAATCTCCCCTAGTGCAAATCTCTTACCGCAAGGCATCACTATAAACGCGGTTCGCTGCTGACTGAATTTCATTCTTTTCGATAAAAAGAACGAGACGGATTTTAACATGAGCTTGAACGGAAACTGGAAAAAGACTTCTACCGAAGGAGAAGTTGAGTTTGGCAAGGCTATCGGATGGGGCGGCGCGTCTGAGGAGGAATGGAAGGCTCAGTGTGCCGTCGCTGTCGAAGTCAGGTACTTTGTGCAGGATTAATTTTTCTAAATATCCTTTTATAAGAAATTTATAAAGGCTTAATTCATGAAGTAATAGTTTATCATGATGATAAAATTTCTAAAATGAGATAACGTTTAATTTTTCTAAGTATCTATTTTTGTTTGCTTGATAAAATCTTATCACAAATAACATGTAAAATTTATGTAAACTTATGAAGAACAATAAAACATAAGTTACCCCTTGGAAGATTGTTTAAATATTTATTTCTAGCTACAAAGTCGAAGGCGACAACATCGAATCTACTCGAACCTACGGCGGCGCAAAGTCCATTACCAACAAGGGCGTTTTCAATGTTGAGAGCGACTACAACTTCCTCGGACACGACATGAAAGTGAAAATTACCGGAAAGGATGGCGACGTTGTCTTGGAATCTGTTTCCGGCTGGGCTACCGTCACTGTTAAGGTCGACGGCGACAAGATGGTCGAGAACGTCAAGCACAACGAATCTGGTGCTACTCTTGTCAACACCTGGGCCCGAGCTTAGATAAATTGAAAGCAATATAATTAAAGCCAAATCAGTGTTTTGTTTATTTCATTAGACATTAGAGCAGGAGCAAAGATAAGAAAGCAAAAGTGAAGCCAATGAGAGTTGCATTACTCGTGGAAGTTGTAGTAGTCGTGGTGGTCGTCACAACTGGAGATTCTTCCGGAACATCATCGTATCCTTAAAAGATGAATTATCTGCAGTTGAATGACTTTTACCTTCGGGCTTCCATTTTCCATCCTTATTCCATCCAACTTGGTAGCCGTAAAGAGCCTTCTGCTGATCAAGCCAATCTTCCAATGGCTTGAAGTAAGTAAGGAAGGCCTCCGCGTTAAGGGAGCCATCACAATTTTGTGGCACGTGATCCCCAGTGCAAAGGAACTCCTCTTTTTGTGGGTTGATTGATTTTATTATCTGACGCACTTCAAACGCTTGAACTCAAACTTACCCATTCGAAGATGAAAGGGCACAGATATTGTCAGGGGAAGAACCTCCTACTTTTATTATACAAAATTTCATAATAGAATCATAAATATTCTTCATCAAACAGGCTCAAACTAGAATGATCAAGAAGCAAAGCCATAAAACCCGATCCTAAGACATCTTCCCAGTGCTCAGCACCACCAGGAGAAAGGAGCTTTTCAAGTGCTTCTCCAGCAGCTTTGTTTCCAGCAAAGTCGCATTGATTATCCCCTGGTTGTCCAGCTAGGACGCAGAGCCTCTCGTAGAACTGGAACTGAACGACAAACGAGACGAAATATCGGACATATGGGACATTGTTGGAGGTGTGGAACTTTGCGGCAGGGTCGAAATCAGCAGATGTTCTCTTCACAGGAGAAACAACTCCTTGGTAATTTAGTCGGTACTCGTCCCAGAGAGCTTGGTATTCATCAGGAGTGATATCATTGTCCGCAGACTTTTCGAAGACTTCCCATCGGAATAAATCCATGATGAGACCAAACGGAAGGAAGGCGATTTTAGAGAGGGCTTTTTCGGAGAGTTTTTAATTCGAGTATTTTTGTAGACAGCCCAGCTGCTCCTTAGTAAACTTTTTGTCAGCTAGACTCGACTGTGCCTCCCAGTATGATGGAACTTTCCACTCGATGTGAAAGTAGACTTTTTTCAAATAAAACTCTCTCCTGTCATCATCAAGTAGTTGATTTCCGCCGCGTCTGTCTGGTCCTCTGGTTTCCAGTCTGGGAGAAGGTCGACTTTCGCCAGATGAGCTGGAGTACTGACTGAAAGAGCGATGGTATCGCCGACAGCCTCGTGGAATCCAGGATTTGCTCCGGCGCGGAAAACGATCGGTTGATGAGCGTAAAGTTGGAAATACTCAATATGTCCCATTTCGTGATGCAAAGTGACGAAGTTTGATTGAGTTTTCTTGGTACATTGCTTTATTCGGAAATCACCAGTTGTTCCGTCAGTGGAGATTCCAGGCGCACTTTGGAAATCCCAGGCTGATGCATGGCAAACCATCTCAGTATCGGTCGTCTTCTCAAGAACAGATTTATCCCAAAACTGATCAGTCATTGGCATGAGACCCAAACCGGTGAAAAAATCATCAGCCATTTCATACATCTCCTAAAAATAGTCGAATTTACGATAGGACGCATACTTTGAAAACACCTGAATGGACAAATCTTGAAGAGCCGGAGTCGCATCTGGAGTAGCGCCAGCGTAAGGAAAGGGCTCAACAAGATCGTAGAGATTGCCCCAGGACTGAGCCCACATATTTCCGAGAATATGTGCAGGAATGGGCTCTCCGTCTTTCACGAATTCGGAACCGTATTTCTGGCTGAGAACATATCGAATATGACCATGAAGTTTTTCGTAAAGTTCCTATTTTCAGGACATCATTTTTTAACAAAGGATCGTATTATCCAGATTCATTTATGCGTATCTTTCGATCAATTCCCTAATGAAAAAATGTCCCTTTCCTTCAGTCCTCGATTATGAGCGTCTCCTTCCCAAATAGACTTTACAAGAACATCAATGTCCATGTCGTACCATCCTCTCCAGCTTGCGCCTGTGTCATGATAACCATTTTTGTCCGCGGCCTCGTTGCTAACGTCGACGAACTTAGCATAATCATCACGAGTAGCCTGGCCGACTTTGCTATGCCAAATGGTCCAGTAATATTTAAGTTCATCATAGGACTCCTGAGACGGGTTCGCAGCTGAGTGAGCCATGATCTCGTCAAGATCAGGATCAAGCTCGAGATCGCTAAGTCCGTCCATCGATCGAACTTTCATGGTTGAGTATTGAGTGACCATCGATCCCATAAGAGCCTTGATGACGGAATGGAAATCGTTACATAAATTTGTAGAAAGTAGGTGTATTTATATATCCATTCCTGATACTCATCTAGTCGACTGTCATCGAGTGCCGATGCATCCATGTCCTTTTCATGGTAGACTTTAAAAGTCTGGATCCTCATGATAGCTCGCTGCTGGCGATCAATCGTCCACGGTTGTTGATCATGAAGTCCTGGAGTAGTGTCAAACTTCTCCTCAACAAGGCATTTTTCTAACTCTGTCCTATCCATGTCATATGGTGGAAGCTCAGTTTTTGATCTGTCAGACCACTCCTTCACAAAGTTTTTGAACCGCTTGTCAGCGGCTTGGTAAGCTTCTTCATTTTGGCTTGTGATGTTGATGTTATACTGCCATTCGGTTTCAATGGCATCCAAATAGAAAGGCTGCGCGGCTTCATGCCAGTCGTTGAGCCAGTTAATGGCCTCTAAGAACAATTGTTTATTTATCTTCAGCATTATTTTATATTCGTTATTTAAGAGGCATCAAAGATGCCGCACCTTTCATTGGTATTAAATAGAGCATAATTTCTTTTCAATTAGAGCTTCTTCAAGTAAAATTGTCGTCAATTGAAAATGAATAAAATGTGGCGATAAGGGGAATAAATTTTTCTAAAAGAACCCCTATTAACACATTGCCATAATGGCGTTCCATACCTTGGCCACAACTCCAAGGTCCATCCCGAACAAGGGATCCAAGCCCGACCGAAGCCAAGGAACTTGCGAGAAGCTTCATCTCTGTTTTACGATGTGTTGGATGGCCCGGTCCCCTATTCCAATTTATTGACAAGTATTTATTGCATGCAAATATTTGAAAGATCTGACAGGAAGCACGACTTCGTTAGTCCTGCACTTTTTAGGGCGCTTCATTCTCCGGAAAAATATTTATAAATGATATTTATTGCAGCATATCGAAAATCTTGGCAATGATTTCTTCATCAGTTACTTTATTCTTCGCAATTTGCGACGTAAACGCTGTCTCGTCTTTAACCATGACTGAGATTGTTCCACTTCCTGTTTTTTTGTTCATGAAGTTCCACCAAGGGCGCCATGCGCTTCCTTGTTCGTCCAAGTAAAGCATTGCAAAGGAGAAATCGAGGTCTTCCATCCTTTCTCGGGTTTTACGGCCATAATAGCTTAACAATCGATAAATTTCTATAATAGATGCACAATACTATATTGATAATACATCTATCTGCGTCAATGCGCGATTAGATAACATTCAAATTATCTTTCAAATATGTTCGAAGTTAGCTTACCATCCTGAAAATCCAGAAACAAGAATATCGTGCTCGGCGAAAATTTCATCTAAAATTGCCTGCGAAGGCTCACCATCAAAAGTAAGCTCAGTCGTTGTTCTTGCTATCGCAGCTTGGGAGAGGAGACACAAAAAAGTTGAGTATTTCATTTTGCTTTCTTCGAAGCAGGGGATAATTTAAGCGTCATCCGATCGAGATTTTATGCTGCAAAAAGAGAAGCACTGACTTGCCTGAAGCTTAGCGAGAAGTTTCGCGGGAGTAATTTCAGATCATTTCGTAATTTGCAATGAGAATCGCGTAATGCGTTAATTTGATGATATTTGAATTATGATTTTTTTTTAATTAGGAAGACTTAATTACTATCTTTTATTTCGATACGAGTCGATGCTCTCGCCCTTTACGGTTACAGTCTTTCGAGTAAGGATGCTTCGAACTGATGGCGTAGCAGGGCTCGCGTGCGCTATAAATTCATGCCTCCGAGTCTAGAGTTCAAACAATCTTCAAAATGAATCTGGTCAAGTTCTTTCTCATGGTAAGCTGCTGCACTGCTTTTGGATCATGGCGCCAACGAAGGTCAGAAAAAAGGAATCAAATGCGTGTCAATTCCATCAGGAAAATGGCAATTTCTGGCAAGAAAACCTCTTCAATCGCAAAACTCAACACGGAAGATGCTCAAAGGTTCAATCAAAGACGCCGAGTCACGCGACACTTCTCTCTACTGCAATAATATTTCATTCACTGGCTATTTTACTTGTTGTCTGTATATCTACCGTATAATTTATTACTCACAGTTAAAAAAATAAACCATGATATAATCAATAGTATCTTCGCAAGTTTTTCAAACAAGGAATGATCGACAATTGGGATCTGTGCACATTTTGAATGGACGAGAGTCGGGAGTGATCATAACTTCGGATGTAACAGTGAAGTCGCTTCTGTTGTCGGGGCCGGGAAACGAGACTGAATTTTAAACAGGCAGGCAATGAAGTAATTAATTCGTCTGCTAGTAATTTTCTTGCGCAATCTACGTGACAATGCCTATAACGAGGAGAAGCCATTCTCAATATTATCTATTCCGCATCTGCTGGTTCCTAATACGGAGATGTCTTAGTACCTTGAATCATTGCAGCTCTGTATCCTTCAGAAGCTCGCGGAATTTCCAGAATGTACTCGTTGTTACCCGCGTGTCGCACCATTGATGTTTTCCATTTGGCACCTGAGAACATGAACGGGTAAATCGGGTTCGATTCGTCTTTGAGAAGGCTCTCATGAATCAGTTTTTGCTTTTCCTGAGAGTCGTTTTGCTGTTCCCAGTCCACAAAATCAGGGTCCAAAGATATCATTCGGAAATCCCGTCTTTAAGGACTTCAGAAATCTTTATTCTTTATCATATATTCGAACTTTTTATGGTGAAATTTTCCTTGTAGCATTTTTTGATTCTGCGTAGAATCCAACAACAGAAGTTGGAGTCACATCCGTGGTGAGTTTGACAACGGAATTTCCATTTTCTCGTACAAAGCGTTCCCAGGTCACCTTCGGCTGTCTGTAATTCTTCATTGTTTGAAGATAAAGGGCTCTTATCGCTTGTGTACTGAAAATAATTGTTAGTAATTCAACTGCTTATAATTTGATAAATAATTACAATTTACAAGGATAATTTAAAATCTAACATGTTTCATAACATAACAAAGCAATTTGCTTTTCTTTCAACCTGTCCGAGCTATATACAGTAAAATTCATCTCAAGCCGTTACTTACCTATCCGGGCTTGACATAACTTGAAGAAGACCCTGGCGTGTGGTATGTTCTGTATTTGGTAAAAGGCGCAGATATTTATTGTCACCCTAAGAGAATATTAACGATATCAAATCGTCAATAAATTAACTTACCACCAGCTTGTCAAAGTATTCGTAAGAATCGTCTGGTGCAAAAAATTCATCTCCGGTCGCAGTAATGACCAAAATCGGCATCGTAAGACGGTCAGCGTAGGAGATAGGGTCGATGTCATCTTGTAGCATTGCGAAGGCAGGATCGTATATATAATCTTAAAGAAAGAAGTTTGATGATCAGATAAAAAATAAACGATGGATTATAGATAGACTTCGAAATAGTACCTGTTAGATTCTCAGACCAATAAGGCTCGAGTGCGAAACTCCACGCCCCAAGATTCTTATACCAATTAATAAACTGCTGCTGCATATTTAAGCAATCGAGCACCGCCGGAGTCGCACATTTAACTCGCTTGTCGACGGATGCAATCAACCAAGTCGTCCATCCTCGCTTAGAACCGCCACCAACGCAGAATTTATCAATTTTTCCAACACTCTCGCCGTGTGCGAAATCAGCCTTGACTTCTTCATAAATTTCATCGACAGCATCCATCGCCAATCGAGCTGCTTTGGTCATCGGAATGTGAACCAGCCATTCTGGATTATGTTCTGGCTCTTCAACGAATTTCCGCCAGCCGAATGCAATTATATCATCTTCAGTTCGTCCCTTGGGGAATTCTTCGCTTCGTGGATCATCTTCAAAAAACAGTGGCTGGTTCGGAACTTGTCGGACGCATGCGACGATCGTCTTCGTTGTTCGCGCTCGGTGCATCATTTGATCAGCCATTTTGTACGCCTCTGAAGTGATTGCGCCGTTTTTCTTGTTTGAGGCCCAGTGAACGTACAGAAATCCAGAGCCATGAAGGTCTGGGTCGTATTCGTCTTTCTTTAGAGTTAGATTCTTCGTTTTCGTAAAAGATTATGCAAGATTTGATAATAGTTGTAGATAGATTCTTGGCCGGATCCGGACAATTTTTCCCTGCCGTCTAGTCTGTTTTTAGGAGGAATATTTCTAACTCTTGTCTGGAATCGCCACGACCAGTTCATGCCACCAGAGATTCCGATTTACTTCAGCCTCCGTTAGCCAGTACTGGCTAGTCATGTTGACGATATAAGTAGTTCCACCAAGGGCGGATTTGTTCGTTTCCAAAATCTCCCAAGAGTATCCTTCGTTGTGCGCCCATACGTAATCATCCAAGTTTGAGCATTTGTGCGAATCACAATCATATCTATAGGGCGATTCTAGACCTCGCTGAAGCTTTTCCATAGAGATAACTGTTTCCACTGCTTCCTGGACGTCGGTAGAAGGGGCATCATTTTCAGTCTGAAAGACGCGGTTATAAAACCAATTGAAAAATTTGAAAACCAAACCTTGTTCGGAACGAAAATGGAAACGCTGATGAGAGTACTTATTGCGACAACAGCAGAACCAGCAGCGATAAGTCGCGTCCATTTTGAACGAAAGGGAACTGCTCTCTCAGAATTCTCTTCCATTTTGGTACTTGTTTTTGTTGGCAAACGGGGCCGCCGCCATAGCAAATACAAATATCTTATGGCCAGATTTGATCATTATTATGAAAACTGCTCTGCAAAAGTTTTTAATCATAAGTTTTTTTTAAGAAAGACGTGGTTCTTTTGACAAAGTTTGTTCTATCCGAAACCTCGGTGGAATCGCGCCAGACAGTTCAGAACGATTCGAACTTCGGCAAAAGCAGACCGGAGCCAGATAAAAATAAAATGACTATTATTACTTTGACCTTATTAAAGAGTCGATGGCGTTATTTATGTGGTAAATTAGGCTTCAAATCTTGCCTAAGCACTTTCTTTCTGCTTTTACGGTTTGAGAGTGATCGCCTGTTCTGATGCGGGGGCTTTCAATGCCATAAAGTAGCTGTGTTGAAAATAAAATGTACCCTATATTTGCCCTATCGTCGAGTTCAAAAAAAAAGGAAATAGGAGAAAGTCATCTCGTAGCGGCGGCAAAAGGAATGTGCCCGCGAGCAATGTTTAGTCTGGCTTGGGGGGCGCGGGAATTATCGTAAGTTTTGAAAAGACGCTGACCATTGTCTAAACAATTTGAAATTGAAAGGAATGCGAGTCTAGGCGAGCTTGGAGTCCTCAAGGATCGATTCCTTGCCTACTAAAGTCAACTGCGTGTGAATAACCATCGACAATATCGAAACAAATCATCTTGTCTTTTATTTCCCTATGAGTCGGACTCAGCTGACCATGACTTTTTGGACCAACATCTTGAGTACACAGAACTCTCGTAAAATTCCCAAGCCATTAATTATTAACCCGTAAGCACACGTAAAAATGGGAGCGTATCTGTAAATTATCATAAAATTTGAATTTGACAAAAAGAGACAAAATGTGCCTGGGAGACTGCATCAAAAAGCATATCTGGAGAATTCTAGCGATCATCTTCATGTGCAGCACCATCGCCTTGTCCATCGGATGGGGGGTCTCTGACCCCTGCACAACAACAACCCAAGCTCCTCCCCAAGGCGGAGGAAGAGCTCAAAGATCCGTCGCACAGATTGAAAATCTCGAAGACTACGTCGTAAATCCCAAAATCATCCCTCCAAGCGAACAAATGAACTAAAAATCGACAAAAGAGGATATTTCTGTAAGCTTTGATTTCTTACTAGTAGTATGACGATGATTATTCTGATAATATACTGTAACCAACTCAAATGATCCGACCTCAGTTATTTATTCTTAGCAAGTTCGAGCATGAGCAGGAGTAGCATGCAAGTGTTAGTGGTAGTGGTAGTGTCGATCATTTTCTCATTGGAAAAGTGATAGAAAAAAAGAGTGAAAATGTGTCTCCGTGATGTGATCAAAAAGCATTTTTGGCGAATCGCTGCAATTTTCTTCCTAGTGACGACGATTGGCCTTGGAATCGGTTGGTTGCTGGATAGTAGGAACTGCAATCCTACTGATCCTCTTACTAGCCAGTTCATGCTGCCCGAGCAGGAGCAAATTGAAAAAGAATTGGTAGAGATCAACCCAAAATTTGCTGCATTGAAATAAATAAAAAAATTGAAAACGTAAAAAAGTGATTTTAGAAAAAAGTTTAATGAAATAAAATCTTGCTGGGTGGTCGACAAAGGGGCTGTAAAGTAATTAGGATGATGAGTGTTTTATTTTTTTTGGTGAACAGCCGGGGTGCGGCGGCGGTGCGGCGGTGATTGCGTGGATGGATCGGACGCTGGACAGAAAGAGGAAATCGGATGTTGACATCGTGAGCTTGATGACTGGCGCTGTTTGAAGATTTTTTTACGATTCGTGATTGTGAAAGGTTCGTTGATTCAAGCCCATCGAAAGGCCAGCGTCATCAAACCAGCTCTGTTCCCAGCAGAGAGAGAGAGACCGCGGGCCAGGAGATATCCGCCGCATTTATTCGCCTCTTCAATTCTGAATTCTTCAAAAGCGCCCAGATTCAATCTGGCAATGAGAGAGTTGAAATAAAAGCTCGACAGAGATATTATTGAATTCTTTATTAGCGACAATCTTGAATGGCGACTCTTGAAATTCAATAACATTTTGGCTTTTGTTAGAGAGAGCGTTTTTAATTGAGTGTTTTACAAAAAAATCAAATTTCTTAAAATAAAATCGAGAATTTTGAAAAGTCTAACAAACAAATGAAATTTGTGATTTACAACATTCAACATTCAAATTGTCCTCCTCTTTGTTTTCTTTTGATTTTATTTCCAGAGATGCACAGTTGAACGAGCACGAGCGTGTTCCTTTGTTGTCCCCAAGTAGGAGACGTGCCGATTTCCGGCAACAAGCGCCATCTTGTGGTGCTCCAACTCGTCAATGCCTTTGTCGAGCTCAAAGACAACGAGTTGAGACACGCTTTGTTCCTTTATTTCAACCACTACTTTACCAAAATCGAGAGAAACCAGCTACCATTTCGCCACACAACTACACTTTCAAGAGGAGTGTACCCTCAATTCACTATTTTTTCTTTTTCAAAAGAGCTTGTATCTTGATTTTATCACGTGTTTGTGACTATCTGAATGCTGTGTTAGTGATTTTTGACTCTAACGTGTGATATTCCCCGCCGTGTGCCAGAGATAAAACCCGGTCCAGAGTTTCAGAAAGTCCAAAATTGAAATTGAACAGAAAAAAAGGATCTTATATTCAGAGCTGAAGTAAAAAATGGAAGTTATCAAGAGAAAAATCACAGCGCTGAAAGACGAACTCGAAATCAAGGAGGATGAAATCGTTACTCTCAGAGCACAACTAGACAAGGCGAATATTGAGACAGAAAAGGCAGAAAACGAAGCTGCCAGCCAAAACAGACGGGTAAGATCTGAGCTCGGTAACCTGTGTGAAAAACCTGAGTCAGGTTCTAAAGAGCCTGACCAAAGCGGCTTTGCTAGTATAAAAAAATTGATTAAAATGGCTTCGTTTATAAAAAGCCGCAACGCGGCTTTTCATTTTGGCTCTTTAGAACCTGACTCAGGTTTTCTATTCAGGTTGCCGAGCCTAGGGTAAGATTCTTCCTTTGAAAAAAGTGATTTATTCGCCGCACTTTGTAAAGATTTAACGAGGATGGATTTAAAATGCCAGCCAGGCATCGCTATTTATCGGTTGTATTAGCGAGTTTATTCTGACAAGCAAATTAAGGTTCAACTCCTCGAGGACAATCTTGATCGACTTGAGGAGAACTGCGCTCGGCTAACTGCCGACTTGGAGAGAACCGAAACTGAGAGGGATGAAGCTACACGAAGACTTACATCGCTCGAGAACGCAGAAGCCCTTACTGCTGAAAAATGCGACGATCAGGTGAATCATCCATTTTTTATTACTTTCCTTATTAAATTTCCCAGGAAATCTCGCTGAAAAGAGCAGTCTTGGAGGCAGAAAACGCGGTCCGTGAACGAGAAGATCTCGAAAGACGCGTCAAAGTCCTGGAAGCCGAGCTTGAGCAAGCTGAAGATCGAGCTGATACCTTCTGCCAGCAGTTTAAAAACGCCGAATCGGAAAATACGCAACTCACTTCTTGTAAGTTTCGGGTGCTCTGAATGATGATTGATTGCCGTTTTCAGCTTTGAAAGCGTTCCAGGCGGCTGATGATCAAGCTGCTGAAAAAGAAGCTCAATTGGAAGACCAAGTCGCGAAATTCTCCTCTGTGAATAAAGAAAACGAGCGTACAATTGAAGAGCTTGTCGCCAAAGTAAACGGACTTCAGGTGCGAATTCCTTTTTCAAAATTTTTTTTTTCAACAACGACTTTTTTCTAGCGACAACTTGATGACTCCGAAGACACAATTGAAAAGCTCAAAGCTGAACGAGACGAAGCCGAGCGTAATCTTGAACAAACGATGAAGGAGCTCGGAGAGATTGCATGAATAACCTTTTTAAATAGTCAAATAAACTTTACCACTTTCCCAGTTTTAGCTTTTCTTTCCTGTTTGATGCGAATGCTTTGTTTGGACAATTGTGAATTGGAAAAATGAGACTTGTTGATTTTAAATTCCGAATTTTTTATTCGATTCAAAATGGTTCAAAAGTTGGGTTGCAGTTGAATAATTTGAACAGAAGAAAGTACAGCACAATTTGAAGCACACAGAATTGAAGTCAAGGAAGAGTAAAAGGAAAAAGTATGATCGTGAAAGAGTATTTTTTTTTCTTAATTGTGGGAGTGCTGTCCCGGTGATAATTAATCAAAGCAAGGCTCGAGCACCTCAATTTTATTAACCCTCAGCGCTTGAAGCAGCTAGAACGGGTTTAATCAAGAGCATCGAATTTGTTACCTTGCTGTGAAAATTATCAATGATTTGATAAATTGGACCTTTTCCCGGCCAAGGGATTGGTCTTTTCGTGATATTTTTTTTTTTGTTTTTCGAAGTTTTTTTTGGCTTTCACGATCAATTAAATAGGTAAAAGAAAACACAGTTAATAAACTGCACAGCTAAAAAAGGTATTTTTTTAAACAATGCTTACGACAGCGGTGGATCCTTCATCACCGACAGTAAGTCTGTATCGTCCAGCGTCATCAGTAGAGACGGCCAAGACAGTAAGGGTGGTAGAAGAAAGAGTGGTTTCTACAGTAACTCGTCCACCTTCGTCTCCATCGGCAAGAGGCTGTCCGTTTCGGGTCCATTCGATTTTACCGGGAGAGCCAGTGAAAGTGGTAGAAAGACTGAGAACGGTATCAGCGGCGACTTCGAGCTGAGCAGGGAGGGATTCCAAAGTGACTTCGTTGGCAATCTTCACGGGGGAGGTAACTCGCTGGACCTTGGCAGCGTTGGCGGCGTAGTCGGCGATTCGGTCCTCGAGAAGCTCATAGGAAGTTGTAGTAGATCCGGAAAGTCCAACCAAGTGGCAGGCGTAGTGTCCAGCATCAGCAGCAGTGACTCCATCGATGGTGTAAGTGTACTGTCCAGCAGAGGCGGTAGCGTTTGCAGAAGAAAGTTGCCGGTCGTTCTTGTACCAGACAACAGACTTGACAGCGTGTTCATCCATGACAGAGCAGTCGAGTTTGACGGAGCCGTTCAGCTGAATCTGTCCGTGCAGTTCGGAGATGACCATTGGCTTGCCTTTTCGGCTCGATCGGCTAGTTCGGGAACCAGTAGAAGGAGTTGGGGAAGCAACAGCAGCTCGGGATCGGGCTCGGCCTTGGACGTTCAACTGGAAGTAGGCGGTTTCTTCTCCCTTGAGGGATTGGATGGTGACGGCGTATTCTCCGGCATCGATGACCGAAGCATTTCGGATCTCAAGGACTTGCTGGTTTCTGATAGATCGGATGTTGAACTTGTCAGAATCTCGAAGATTGGCGCCCATTCGCTGCCACATTGTTCTTGGCATTGGGCTGCCATCAACGTTGGCGGTGAATCGAGCAGTCTCTCCATCAGCAACAGTCTGGTCTCGTGGAGCAGAGAGGAAATATGGCTCACCAGGGAGTTTTCGAGCACCGGCGACGGCCTGAGTGGACTTTCGGTAAGGCTCTCGCATTGACCATTCGTCCATCTTCATCGAGCTCATTTTGGTGCCATCGCTCAATCCTCGCTGGCTCTTGGTAGATCCGTATTCTCCGATCTCAAGGGTGGCGTAGTCAGAAGACTCGCCAGCAGTGTTGAAAGCTCGGGCTTGGTAAGTTCCGGCATCATCAGCATTGCAGTTGTGGATGGTGAGGGTGAGAACACCGGCGAGATCTTCGATCTGGTACTTGCCACCGTTGGTGAGAGTAGTTCCGTTGTGAGACCAGGTGATCTGAGGTCGGGGCTTGCCAACAACGGAGCACATGAATTTGGTCTTAGATCCAGCGGGAACGACGTGGCTCTTCAATCGGATTTGGAAAGTAGGAGCAGTCTCGATTGTGGGAACATCAAAAGAGGAAGCGGCGGATGATTTTGCTTGCTTCTTGTACTTTGAAGATGTGAATTCGAGGGTTTCTTCTCCAACGTCTTCTTCGAAGTGACCATGTCGGCCAGGAGCAGTGAAGATGGAGGAGCCAGAGTCTCGTCGGCGTCGTCGTCGAACTGGTCTAGCTTCTTCTTCATCAGAATCTTCATAATCCTGGTAAAGTCGTCGCTGTGGCTGGAGAAGCTCGTGAGTCTCGAAATCCGCTTGACCAAGAGGTTTCTTGTTGATCAAGTATTCAGCAGCTCGGGTCTTTCTTGCTGGGGGTCGAAGAGTCTCGAGATAAGCTTCATCAGCATCAGCAGTTGGAACGTATCTTGGTCGAGGGGCGACTTCAGCAGGTTGAGCTCGGCCGCGACCCTTCTTAGCGTCGAATTCCATCTGTTCTCGCATTCCAGCGTATTTCCAGGAGCCAGATTTGATGTTAGCGAGGGCTTCATCCTCAGAATCAGATCCAATGTGAATCTTCTTTCGCTCAGCTCGATCTGGAATAAGAACCTTTCGTCGTGCTTCGAGTTCAGAGAGAGGAGTTCCCATATCCATCTGTTTCTTAGGAACCTTGACAGATTTGAGCTCAAACTCTTCATCATCTTCGCCGTAGAGTTCCTTTCGGATCTGAGATCGGTTCTTGAACTTCTTGCGTCGGAGTTCTTCTCGCTCAACTTCTTCGTCGTGGAGGATCTCCTTGGCTCTGACTTCGTTCATGTACTCGTCGCATGGCTTGAGAACGAGCTCGTCATCAAGTTCTGGTCGGTAGTAGGTGATGTAAGTCTGGTTTGGATCAATCTTAGCATCCTTGATGGCCTTGCTATCAGAGTCGCCAAGAATAGTCTCAAGAGTTCGGTATCGATCAGAAGATGTGTTCAAGTCAGCCTTGACTCGCTTGACGGGAACAAGTCCCTCAGTGTCGGGCAGAAGAACTTGCTTGATGTGTTTCTGTCGTCGTGGCTCGACCTTGGTGCCCTGGAGAGCGGGATCGATGAGCTCGTTAGCCTTCTTAGAAGATCTGTACCATTTCATGTCAGAAAGTGGCTCGTACTGAGTGATGTTCTTGTCAATTCGAGCGACAGTAGGATCGACTTCTCGAGATTCTGGAATCTTGTATGGCATCTTCATTGGTGGAGCTCGGACCTTCTGGAGTTTGACATCTTCAAGTGGATCAACTTCCTCATCGACACCTTCCATCTTCAAAGATCGGGCGGCAGCCTCAGCATCAGCAAGAGCAAGCTTAGCTCGTTCGTTCATTGGAACTGGAGTAGCATCGCCAGCAATGAGTCGAGCAAGTTTAGCTCGCTTGGACTCAGCAATGAGGTCAGCGTTCTCTCGTGGAGCCTTTTTTCGCTCGTATTTGATAGGCTTGACAGTGAGCTGAGCCTGGCAAGAAGAGGTACCAGCAGAGTTGGTAGCAGTGACCTTGTAGAGACCGGTATCATCGCTGAAGGTGTTGTAGCAGATGAGGTAGCAGTCGTGGTTGCTTTCCCAGACGATCTGGTGGTGTTGAGTAGGAGTGATTTCCTTGCCGTCCTTCTCCCAGACAAGAGTTGGTCGAGGGAATCCAGTGACTCGAACGTCGAATCGAGCAGATTGGTTCTCTTCGACTTCCATGTTGGAAAGAAGTCGTCGGAACATAGGTCGGACGGTGATGTCTGCCTTGGCAGCCTTAGGTTTGACGGTCAAAGTAGCCTTAGACCAATCTTCGCCATATGGATTGACAGCTTGAACGCTGTACTCGCCAGTAAAGTCGGCATCGCATCGCTTGAGAGTCATCGAGTAGAGACCCTTATCAGAAGTGCAATCGTATTGAGTATCATCCTCGCCGAAGCTGAGTTTCTGGCCATCCTTGAACCAAGTAATGGCTGGATCGGGGTGGACGGTGCAAGTGACAGAGAAAGTGACATTTTCTCCCTCGGTAATCGTCCTGTTGTAGAGAGGAAGAGTGAACTCTGGGGGTCGTCGGAGAGCCTTGACTTCTCGGCCACCGAGTCCCTTGCTCTTCTTGTGCTTCATGTACAAGGATCGACGAGTTCGAGTCCAAGTGCGGTCAGATCGTCGCTCAACGCAGACTTCAAGCTGATTGAAGGTAGCACCAAAGCCGTTCTCAACACGGACCTTGTACGTTCCCTCATCTCGCTCCTTGACGCCGATAATGTAAAGAGAAGCACCCTTAGCAGCAGAGAATTCCGCCTCGTACTTGTCGTTGTTCTTGATCTCGTTGCCTTCATCGTCGACGGTGAAGCCAGTATCGAGGGCGATGTTGTTGTGGTACCAGGTGATCTTCTCGTTGCCAGTTGCGTTTTCGATTCGGCAGATAAGCTTGGGAGTGGAACCTTCCTTGGCCATGACATGGTGCATAGCTCTGAGTTTTGGAGACATTTCCCATGGTGCGATTCGGACCTTGGAAATGGTGTGGCCTCGGTGTGACTTGAGAGCACCTCCATTTGCCCATCGAGCAATGCCGATAAGAGACTCGGTCTCGTCACCCTTTCGCGTAGCACCGTAAACAGCTCGATGAGGAATGGTGTTGATTGGCTTCTGTCGCTGGATGATAAGATCTCGGCTCAACTCGCGGTGAAGTGGCTGCAAGAATGGATGCTGAATAGCATCGACTGCGGTCATTCGAGCCTTTCGGTCTCGCTGAAGACATCGGTCGATGAAGTCGAGGCAGTCATCGGTGATCTGAGTGAACTCGTTGCAGTTCAAGTCGAAAGAACCTTCAATGACGTTGTTTCGAACAACTTCACCGTTTTCACCGCCGAATGGAAGCTTGCCAGAAACCATGAAGTAAACAATAGCACCAAGGGACCAGATATCAGTTCCAAAGTGGACAGTTTCGTTGGTGACAACTTCAGGGGCGACAAAGTCGGGGGTCTTGTAAGCAAGTCGAACGGTCTCGCCTGGCTGGCAGATTCGAGACTGACCAAAGTCCATCAATTTGAGCTGGTTGACCTTTCGAGTGCAGAAGATAACATTAGTTGGCTTCAAGTCGAGGTAAGCGATCTTGAGAGAGTGGATGAAGGCCAATGCTTCGCACATCTGTTTGACGATACCAATGCACTTCTGTTCGTTGAGATCGAATCGAGTATCAGAAAGCTTCTCGAAGAGGTTTGGTCCAGAAAGGAACTCGGTAAGCATGACGATTTCGTTTCGCATGTCGCAGACTTGGTGAAGCTGGAGGATCTTGGGATGCTGAAGTTTTCGCATGATATCAATTTCACGTCGGACGTGAACTCGGTCAGCACCATCGACCTTCATGAACTTAGCGACGAAAGCCTTATCGGTGAGAATCTCCTTGGCTCGGTGGCAGACACCGAAAGTACCTCGGCCGATCTCTTCGCAAATGTGGAAGCTATCATGGATGCTATCAGAAGTGATGCTGGCAACGTATGGCTTGAACTTGTCGAGAGGATCAACCCAGTCGTCGTAGTTGCTGGCGATGATTCGGTCTTCTTTAGTTGTGATCGTCTCAGACTGCTCAGAAGGCTTGGAAGCGCCAATTTCGTTGAGAGCAATAACTCGGAAGGTGTATCGAGTTCGGCCAGAAAGGTTGATGACGGTGTAATGCTGAGCTCGAGTAGAAGAGACCTGAGTCCATCTGTTGGAAGAAGCAGGGCACATCTCGATCGAGTATTTCTGAAGCATAAGGCCGCCATTGTCTCGTGGTTCGTCCCAGCTGAGGTAGCAAGAATCTCGAGTGATCTCAGAAACCTTCATGTTAGTTGGTGGCTGAGGAACATCGACAACAAGGAGTTCGACGGAAACGGAGTCGTTGGCGAATCGGTTCTTGGCCTGGACAACGTAGAATCCAGAGTCCTTTCGATCAGCATCGTTGATGGTCAAAGTGGTGAAAGAAGGAGTAGTGTGGATGTTGTGTCGAGTGTCGTTGAAGATGAGGTTGCCCTGGATAGACCATGTGATGTCTGGAAGAGGGAAGCCTTCGACAGGGATCTTGATCTGCACAACTTCGTGTCGTCGACATCGAGTAGCTTCGTACATCATGTGTCGTGGGACCTTGAGCTTGGCAGGAACCTGGACAGAAACCTTGGCGTGCATGTGAACAGCGCCGTGTGGGTTAACACCTCGGACAGAGTATTCAGTCTCGTCGTCGTTATCACAGTCCATGATAGTCAAGCTGAAGTAGTTGCCTCGTCCTTCTCGAATGTCGTACTTGTAAGAAGGAGTGATTTCCTTGCCACTTCTGTACCACTTGATGATTGGCTTTGGAGTACCAGAAATCTTAGTCTGGATGGTCAAGTTCTGACCAGGCTTGGCAACGTAGTCACGGAGAGGCTCGACGATCTTTGGTGCCATTGGAGTAACGGCAGAGTCGACCTTGACTGGCTGAGATGGCTCAGAAGGTTTAGAGAAGCCAGCTTCGTTTTCAGCCAAAACTCGGAATTCGTAGAACTGTCCTTCAACGAGGCCGCTGACCTTGTGAGTTGTGTATTTGATGAAGTCAGTTTCGTTGGAGCATCGGACCCACTGTCCTCGTCGTCGTTCTCGTCGCTCAATGTGGTAGTATTTGACCTTGTTACCGCCATCGTTCTTGGGCGCCTTCCAGCTGATCATGGCAACTTCGCCCTTGGCATTGCTGCAGACGACAGAAGTTGGTGGATCAGGCTTATTGAATGGTGGAGAAGCAATGACTGGTTCTTCAATCTCAGTGTAACCAGAAACACCAATCAAGTTGCGAGCACAAACTCGGAATCGGTAAGCGTGTCCTTCAGTAAGACCTTCAACAATGTACTCAGTGTTGAGAGTGGAGGAAGTGACAAGCTGCCAGACTCCCTGTGGTTCAGCTGGCTTGGCTGGTTCGACTGGCTCAGCAGCTTCTTCGCCTTCAACTGGCTCTGGAGCCGCAACTGGTTCAGGTTTCTTAGCTTCAGCTTCGGCCTTAGCGGCAGTGATGTCCTTCTTCTCAAGGATGTAGTTGGTAATGGCGCTTCCACCATTGTCAGCGGGAGCTTCCCAACCAACCTTGATAGTGGTGTAATTGGAAGAAACAAATTCGAGCTTCTTGGGTGCAGTTGGGCCCTTCTGGATTTCAACATTGACAGCGTATTTGTTCTTGCCGTGCTTGTTGCTGAGCTCAACAGTGTATCGTCCCTGATGAGCCTGTCGATCACAGTCGGGGATCAACAAGTAAGTGTACTTGTCAGTGGACTCAACAGCCATGTTCTTGAAGTTGAATCGCTCACCATTTCGCATCCAGAGAACCTGAGGTTCAGGTCGACCAACATATGGAAGAGTAATGTTGATTGATGTACCCTGTCGGAACTGAACGTTCTCTCGGAACTTGTAGGTAGGATCGATCTTTGGCTCAGACTCGACAGAAAGTTTGGCGCAGATTTCTTCTCGGCCAAACTGGTTTCGAGCGGCGCAGTAGAAGTTTCCTTCATCCTCGTACTGGGCGTTCTTGACGATCATAATCTGTTTCTCGCCATCAGTATCGAACTTGTACTTCTTGCCGGAAGCAAGCTTTTCATTGAACTTGTACCATTCAATGTCAGCAGCAGGCTTTGCGGAAATCTTGCACTCGAAGACAGCATCGTTGCCAAAGACAACAGCCTGGTCAGCCATTGCTTCAAGGACTTCTGGAGGATCACCAACAGCCTTCTTAGTCGAGGCAATACCCTCCATGATCTTTGGTCGAGATTTGCCGACAGAGTTGACAGCGCAGACTCGGAATTCGTAGTCAGTACCTTCATCAAGACCGCCAACTTGGACGATCTTGTCGGGCTGAGGCTCTTCGCAAGTCTGTTTCCAGGTGTGGTAGCCATACATTCGGTACTCAACAGTGTATCCTTCAATTGGCTTGCCACCATCACTTTCGGGCTTGTTGAAGGCGATAGTGATGGAGTCCTTAGTTCGGTGCTGGACTTCAATCTCTTCAGGAGAAGAAGGAACTTCGAATGGAAGCTTGCAGCAGATCTCTTCGGTTGGCTCAGAAACGTCAGACTCGCCGACGGCGTTGACAGCGCAGATTCTGAACTGGTAGCTGGCATTCTCAACCAAACCGCTGACGACAAAGTTGAGGTTTGGAGTGTGCACCTTGTTGCATCTGAACCAGTGATCGGATCCAGCTTCTCGTCGCTCAACGTGATAACCAAGGATTCGGCTTCCACCGTCGTCCATTGACTTAGCCCAGCTAAGACCAATAGAGTGTCGAGTAACCTCATTAATTTCAATATGATGAGGCTCAGTTGGTGGGAAGAGAGGATTCTTTGGAATAACTGGGTCTTCAGATTCAAGAGGAAGAGAAAGTCCGAAAAAGTTCTCGGCGTAGACCTTGAAGGAATATTCAACTCCTTCTTGGAGACCAGTGACGGTGTGGCTGGTTGATCGGAGCTTCTTATCACAAGTGATAGTTCGCTGTCGACCAATGCATCTGTATTCGATGACGTAGTTGCTGATTGGGCTTCCTCCATCGTTGAGAGTTGGCTTCCAGATAAGCTTGACAGAGTTCTGAGTCTTGTCACCAAACTGGAGTGGACCTTCAGGAGCATCGGGTCGGCCAATAACATTGACTGGGATGACAACATCGTCTTCGCCGTAGTTGTTGGAAAGAGTACACTTGTAAGTGCCACTGTCAGCAAGTCGTTCAACGTCTCGGATAACGAGTTCAGTATGATCGCTGTGCTTAGCAATCATAGCTCGCTTCTCAATATCCTTGCATCCTTCCTTGCTCCATTGAATGTTAGGAAGAGGCTTAGACTTGAACCAGACGCAGAGGGAGATCATACCGCCCTTCTTGGTGACATAGGTCTCGTCGAAGTGGTCGTGGTTGAGAATGATTGGTGGACCAGTAAGATCCATGATCTTGATTGGAACTTCAATCTCAAGAGGTTCACCTTCACCGCCAGCGTTGACTGGAACGATTCGAGCACGGAACTCATCACCTTCTGGCAAGTTCATGCAAACATATTCGCAGATTCGAATAGGTCGGCTGTTGACCTTTCGCCACCAATCATCACCAGTTCGGAATTCGATGAAGTATCCAGTGACCTTGGCACCGCCGTGGAAGGATGGTTCAACCCAGGCAAAGCTGCAAGAAGTGGAGGTCATGTCAGTGACAGAGAAGTCGAGGCAAGGTCCAGGTGGGCTGATTGGATCCTGGCACTTGATAGCATCGGTCTGCTTACCAGGCTTAGATTCGCCCTTGCTGTTGACGGCTCGGACTCGGTGGAAGTATTCCATACCTTCGATCAAGTTGGTGGAGACAAACTTGGTGGCCTGGATCATCTGAGGAGTAGCTCGGATCCATCGCTGTCCCTGAGCTTGCTTTCGTTCAACAATGTAACCGATGATGTCAGTTCCACCGTCATTGATGGGCTGGTTCCAGGTAAGAGTGATGGAGTCCTTGTTGACAGACAAAACTTCTGGAGTAGATGGTGGACCAGGTAGCTGGAATCGAGATTTGATAAGAACTTCCTCCGACATGACACCCTTGCCAACGCCGAATCTGTTCTGAGCGCAAACTCGGAACATGTATTCAGTGTTTTCAGTCAAGTTGTTGACCTTGATGGTATTTCGGGTCTGAGTGCCAGAAACAAGTCCCCAAATTGGCCGGTGAACTTCTCGTCGCTCGACAACATAGTTGCTAAGGGCAGCGCCACCATCGTAAGCGGGCAGTTGCCAAGTGAGGACGCAAGAAGTGGCTTCAACATCGGAAACAACAAGGTCAGTTGGCTCAGTTGGTGGAGCAAGAACAAGAAGCTGAAGCTTGGTAGTGCAAGTTCCAGACTCGTTTTCGAGTAAAAGCTTGTAAACACCGACATCGCCATAGTTAGAATCTCGGATCTCAAGAACAGCATGAGTCTTGGTGTTCTGCACGAGTCGCTTGTCGGCGATTTCCATGATCTTCTGGTCCATCTCGTTCATCCAGGTGATCTTTGGCAAAGGTTTACCGAAGATTGGAATAGCGATCTCAATTGGTCGGCCCTGGACAACGTGGAGAATCTTCTGTGGGCATTCAGAAAGATCGACGGATGGTTCTTCTCGTGGTTCCTTGATGCAAACAGAGGAGACAAGGTCTCGAGGATCAGAGAAGCCGCAGTCGTTAAGAGCTCGAACTCGGAAGTAGTAGTCGCTGCCAGTGTTGAGACCGACAACTTGTCCCTTGCAGTGCTTTGTCTTGCACATGACAGAGTATTCACGTCGCTCAGTTCCCTTTTCTTGGGCTTCAACAACGTAACCCTTGACTCGAGATCCACCAGATTGCTCTGGAGCTTGCCATTTGAGAGAAATGGAATCGTCGGTGACTTGGACAACCTGGATGTTCATTGGTGGAGTTGGCACTTCAGCAGCAAGAACAGTTTCTTCGGATTCTCGTCCTTCGCCATTGCCGAATTCGTTGACAGCAACAACTCGGAACTGGTAAAGAGTTCCCTCTTCAAGGCCAGTAACTCGGGCATAAAGTCGCTCGCACTTAGAAATAGCAGTTTGCCAGGATCTTCGGCCAGCTTCTCGCTTTTCGATGATGTAGTTTCGGATCTTTGAGCATCCATCAAGCTGTGGAGGTTCCCAGCTGATAACGCAGGAGTCTCGGTTCACATCCTTAATCACAAGTGGTCCAACTGGACCAGGAGTATCTTGGACCTTGACGTTGATGTTGTACTCACGAGTAGCAGCAGGATTCTCAGCAATGACAGTGTATCGACCAGAATCGTATCGATCAGCTCGTTCGATTTCAAGGTAAGCCTTTCCATCGTTGCAGTCGATGTAAGCTCGAGTGGCCAAGTTCTCACCAGCAGGTTCCTTCTTCCACATCATAAATGGAGTAGGTCGGCCCTTGGCAAGAACCTTGAGGACGATTGGTCGACCAGCTCGGATGAGCATGTTCTTCTGAATAGAAGCATCAACTTCGAACTCGGGCGCTTCGATGATATCTCGGCATCGGATTGGAGAGCTGAGCTGAGCAAACTTGTCGGAGACACCAACAGCGTTGACAGCAAAAACTCGGATTTGATGTTCCTTATTTGCTTCAAGACCAGTGATGTTATGGGAATTTCCAACAATGTACTTGGAAATGTGAGTTCGGTCCCATTCGAGTTCGACTTCATCCTCAGACTCATCAGGAAGTCGGTCATCGCCTTCAGCAATGATAGCCTTCTCTTTATCAGGCATCTGAGCAACTTCAACGACGTAGCCAAGGATCGGGCTTCCGCCATCGTAAAGTGGAGTGTTCCATCGGCACATAAGAGAGGTCTTGGTCATATCGACGACTCGTGGGTTGGATGGAGCAGCTGGAGAGAAAGTTGGGTCCAAAACCTTGGCGAACTGAGACTCATCAGAGAAGTATGAAAGACCGGCAGAGTTTTCAGCGGAAATTCGGAACTGGTGCTCAGATCCCTTTGAGAGACCAGTGACTCGATAGTGAAGTTCAGTAATCTGAACTCGCTTGTTCACTCGAATCCACTTTTGTCCACCCTTTTCTCGTCGCTCGACAGCGTAGTTGAAGATATCAGATCCACCATCTTCTTCTGGTCGAGTCCACTGAATAGTGACGGAATCCTTCGTCGTGGTGAGAACAGCAGGCTTTCCAGGCATACCAGGAACAGTGAAAGTATCCTTGGTAACAATTGGAGAAGACTCCAATGGTGGAGAGATGCCGTACTCGTTGACAGCAAAGACTCGGACAATGTACTCTGAGCCCTTGATGAGCTTCTTAACTGTAGTAGTCATGAGCTCGCAGTGATCATCGGTAGGAACCCAGCTGATTCGAGAAGTTTCACGTCGCTCGACGATGTAGTGAGTGACCTTGGAGCCACCATCGTTGGCAGGGAGACCCCAGTTGATGACGAACTTGGTACCCATAACTCGGCTGAAGTTGATTGGGCCCTTTGGCTTGTCTGGTCGATCGAGGCACTTGAGATTGACATATTCTCGGACTTCGCCGCACTGGTTTCGGCAAACGATCTCGTACTTGGCGGTGTCTTCCTTGGAGCAGTCCTTGATATTGAGAGTAGCGTTCTTGTGATCTCGTTCCATAACAGCTCGGTCACCAGCTTCGATTTCTTGGCCGTTTCTGTACCAGAAGACCTTTGGTCGTGGTCGACCAAGGACTTGGCATTCGAGGCTGACGTTGTTGCCAGCTCGGACGGTGAAGCAATCAGTGAGAAGAGCAGCATCGAGCTGAATGGTTGGTGGTTCCATCTTTTCTTCGCACTTGACAGGCTCAGTTGGCTCAGTTGGATGGCCAACAGTGCCCATTGTGTTCTTCGCAATAACTCGGAAGACGTAAGTATCAGAAGGAGTAAGACCAGAAACGGTGTACTCGCAGGTGGTGATGTTGTTGTAGTTACATCGGAGCCATCGGCCATCTGGAATATGTCGTCGCTCAACAACGTACTGGGAGATCTTTGAGCCGCCATCCATAGTTGGTGGTTGCCAAGCAAGGATAACAGAGTTGCTCATCATGTCAACAATGCTGAGATTGTTAGGAGCGCTAACTTCAGCTCGAACAGTGCATGCGCGAGAAGGCTCAGATGGTCGACCAATACCGGCATCGTTTTCAGCTCGAACTCGGAACTGGTACTCAAGACCTTCGATAAGGTTGTGGCACCAAGCTTCAGTTGCCTTGATGGAAGACTGGGTGTTTTCCTTCTGCCAGACGATAGAGTTGATTTCTTTCTTTTCAACCCAGTAGCCAGTGATTTTCTTTCCGCCATCGTTGACCGGCTGGTTCCACTCGATCTTGACGGAATCCTTGGTGATCTGGAGGACCTCAGGAGTAGATGGGTTGTGAGGAGCAACGAATGCGTATTCGGCTCGGCATGGATCAGAAACAATAGCGTCACCAAAGCCGAATCGGTTTTCAGCTCGAACTCGGAACTGGTACTCAGTGTATCGGACAAGCTTTCGGACCTTGAAGTAGCTTCGGGTTGTGCAGCTTGTAAGTTGAGTCCAAGTAGTTCGGCCGTACTCGCGGTATTCAATCGAGTAACCGTTGATTTCAGCACCGCCCTTCTCTTCAGGAAGTCCCCAGTTGACGGTCATACCATCAGCAGAGACATCAGTGAAAGTGATTGGTCCAGAAACTGGTCCAGGAACGTCGAAGATGTTAACGTAGAACTTGTTCTCAACGATTCCATTGCAATTTTCAAGTCGGATGTAATAAGTGTCAGAATCCTTCTTCTCAGTAGAGCTGATTCGAAGAGTAGCAACCTTATCAGTGATAGTAATAAGATATTTGCCTTCAGAGAAGAGCTTTCGCTCCTTATTCTCGCCCTTGAAGAAGGTGATCTTTGGCTTAGGAGAGCCAATGAATGGAATTTCGATGATTGCGTTCTGTTCAGCTCGGATTGTGAGAGTCTTGTTGTACAGTCGCTTGAGATCAGCTTCGGGAGCAATGGCTTCATCTTCACAGACAACCGATGGGAAAGCGTCTCGCTCTGGACCAACACCAGATTCGTTGATAGCTCGAACTCGAACAAGGTACTCGCAGCCCTTAGTGAGACCAGAGACAGTGTACTCGTAGATGGATCCTCGGACCTTGGCGACTTCAACCCAGAAGTCAAGGCCGTCAGGCTTCTTTTCACCCTTCTTGTGCGATTCGATGAGGTAATAAGAGATTCGAGAACCTCCGTTGGACATTGGAGCAGTCCATCGAATGCTGATAGAGCTGGAAGTGACGTTGGTAACAGACGCTTTGTCTGGAGAAGATGGAAGTTCGGTCATAATGACAGATCGAGAAAGCTCGTGTGGCTCACCAATACCGAATTCGTTTTCGGCGAGAACTCGGAAGCACCAGTTGCTTCCTGGCTCGAGGTCACTGACGGTGTAAGCAGGTCGCTGGCAGTTTCTAGTAACAGTCTGCCAAGATCGTCGAGAAACTTCTCGCTTCTGGACAACATAAGACTTGACGAAAGCACCGCCGTCGATGGTTGGTGGAAGCCACTGAAGAGAGCAGGATTCTCGAGTGACCTTGGTCACCTGAATCTCTGAGCAAGCGCCTGGGGTGTCGAGAATCTTGATGTTCAAGTTGAGCTCCTTCATACCAGCACCAGATTCGAGAGTGATGGTGTATTTTCCAGAGTCGTTTCGCTCAGTTGATGGAATAGTCAATTCAGAGTTCCAGTCAGTAGTTCGGATCTCAGCTCGGTCTTCAAGATCACAGTTAGGCTTGGACCAAGTGACTGTAGGAAGAGGTCGACCGTAGTACTGGAGAGAAACATGAAGAGGCTTGCCAGCTCGAACGATGTAGTTGGATCTGAAGTCGGCGCCAATGACGAAATCGGGCTTCTCTAGTCGATCAACAGCAGTAACGCGGCCGGTCATTTGGACATGGTGGCCTTCGCCAGCGACGTTGACAGCAGCAACACGGACAAGGTACTCCTGACCAGGAGTGAGACCAGGAATGATCCAGTTGCAAGCCTTGACGGCTTCAATGTTCATTCGGGCAAATTCAACTTCTTCTTCTGCTTCTTCAGCCTCAGCCTGCTGCTCCTTGTCAATTGATGGTGGCTGGAGCTGCTTGGTGTAGACATTGTATCCAGTAACAGCAGAACCGCCATCGAAAGTTGGTGGGGACCAGGCAATAGCGACGGTTGTTCGAGTAGTATCGATGACTCGGACAACGCCAGGAACGCCAGGAGTGTTGACTGGCTCTCGGCACTCGATCAATGGACCGGCATCAGAAGACTCACCAGGACCAGCGTTGTTTTCAGCAGTAACTCGGAACTCATACCAGTTACCTTCAGTGAGGTTGGTGATTTTGTATCTGAGCTCAGAAACAAGGTCTTTAGAGCATCGGACCCATCGGAGAGATCGCTTTTCTCGTCGTTCAACGTGGTAACCCTTGATGTCATTGCCACCATCAGACTGAGGTCGAGCCCACATAATGGTGATTGAGTCCTTAGACGAGTTAGCTCGAGTAGGAGCACCAGATTTGCCAGGAACGTTGAACTGGTAGCGGGCGATGATTGGATCGGAGTGAAGTGGAGTACCAATGCCAAACTTGTTGATACCGAAGACTCGGAACTGATATTCGTGGTTCTTGAGCAATCGAATGACGGTCAAATTGCAGCAGCTAACATTGGCATCAACGATGTTCCAGGTAGTTCGAGAAGTCTCACGTCGTTCAACAAGGAACTTCTCAACTGCTGCTCCTCCATCATCCTGTGGCATTTCCCACCAGAGAGTCATCTTTTCGCCAGAGACGGAAGTGAATTTAATGGGGCCCTTTGGTGCACCAGGTCGATCCTGAACTCGGACATCGATATCATAAGATCGAAGAGCGCAAGGATTCTTGGCGAAGAGCTCATATTTGCCGCTGTCCTGTCGTCGAGCTTCCTTGATGGTCAAGGTATGGTTACCCTTGTTGTCGGATTCAATATCCATGTTGGGCGAAGGAATGAGCTCGGCATCGTCTCTAGTCCACCAGACTCGTGGAGTAGGCTTACCAACAACCTGAGCCTTGAGAACAATGGTCTTGCCTGATCGAGTGAAAACACCATCCAAAAGTTCTCGATCGAAGAGAATCTGAGGCTGGATGAATTCATCGTGGGGAACAACCTTGTTAGTTGGCTGAGATGGTCGAGACATGGTTCCAAGAGCGTTTCGAGCAGTGATTCGGAACTCGTACTCTTCTCCAGGAGTAAGAGCAGTAACAGTGTATTCGCACTCGGTGATAGAGGCGAAGTTAGCTCTGTACCATCGGTTGTCAAGACCAGATCGCTTCTCAACGTTGTAGGAGGTAATGTTGGCACCGCCGTTGAATTTTGGTTCCTTCCATCGAAGAGAGACCGAGTCTCGGTTGATGTCGACAACTTCGAGATCCTGAGGCTCAGAAACCTGATCAAAGGCTCGCTGGAATTTGGATGGATCGGAGACAGCAGAGAAGCCGACCTTGTTCTCGGCGTAGACTCGGAACTGGTACTCAAGACCTTCAAGAAGACCGGTGACCTTGTGTTCAGGATCCTTGATTGGTCGAGTGTTAACCTTAGTCCAGAGAATCGCGTTTCGTTCTCGCTTCTCAAGGTAGTAGCCAAGGAGTTCAGTTCCACCGTTAGACTGAGGTGCATTCCAGATCATAGTCATGGTAGTAGCAGCAACATCGTAGAACTCGGGAGTGCTTGGTGGAGTGGGTCGTCGGTACTTCGATCGTGGAGTGACTGGAACGGATTCGAGCCATGGACCAACACCGTACTTGTTCTCGGCGGCGATTCGGAAAACGTATTCCTGCTTTTCTTCGAGTTTCTTGACTCGGAACTGAGATCGAGAGCAAGAAGCAGTAACCATCTTGAACTTGTCCATGGTAGAGATCTTCTGCTCAATGACGTAGCCAGTGATTTCGGATCCACCAGTATCTTCTGGGATTTCCCAATCAAGATGAACCTCAGTAGCATCAACGTCGATGAATTCAATTGGACCGTGAACCTTGCCAGGAACACCAAAGACGTTCAAAATGAAGGAAGATTCAACCATGCCAGCCTTTGAGTCAAGCTTGCAGTAGTACTGACCAGCGTGTGCTTTGGTTACTTCGCCCCACATAAGGGTAACCTGGTCCTTGCCATATTCGATGTTGATTCCGTCATCGCGCTTGATGGGGATTCGGTCCTTGGTCCACGCCATGGTTGGTCTGGGTTTACCAGTGACTGGCAAGTCAAGTCGAATCTGAGCACCGACTCGGCAGTTGACCTGTCGGCCAATGATAGCAGAAAGATCAAGTGCTGGTGGAATAAGAAGTTCCTGGCAGACAACTGGACCGATCTTTCTCGGAGACCGAGACCGGCTTCGTTTCGAGCCCAGACGAGGATTTCATATGGTCGACCCTTGTCGAGATCCTTGATCTCAGCCTCAGCATGTCGAACATCAAAGTCGTAGTAAGTTTCTTTACCAGCGACGATCTCGGCGTAGCTGACCTTGTAGCTCATGACTGGGGTACCGCCATCGTCTTCTGGGCGCTCCCATCGGACCTTGATTGCGCTGTCGGTAGTGTCGACAACCTGAAGGTTTCGAACAGCGCCGGGAGTTTCAGTAATTGTGACAAGCTCAGTATCAGTAGAAATACCGATACCTTCAGCGTTGTTGGCAGAAACTCGGAAGTAGTAAGACGATCCAGTTCGGAGATTCTTGTAATTGTAGTTCAAGTCGAGGCAGTCAGCAATGACAGTAGTAAAGGCTCGGTGAGTAGATTCTCGCTTCTCAAGAGTGTATGAGATGACTTCGGTGCCACCCTCGTTCTTTGGAATGTCCCAAGAGATCATGCAGTTCTCCTTGGTGACTCGTCGGACCTGGAGGTTTCCGATGGGGCCGGGAGTGTCAAGAACCTTGAGATTGACGAAAGTAGCGGCCTTGCCAGCAGCATTTTCAAGGTGAAGGTGCCACTTGCCAGTATCGTCTCGGTTAACATCGGAGATTGTGAGCTTGGTGTAGCTGTTCATCTCGCCCTCAACGACCTCAACGAGGCATCGATCGTAAGCGTTAGCGTCAACGCCATTGTATTCCCATCGCACGTTGGGCAATGGTCGGCCCTTGATTGGAATGTTGAGTCCAACGTGAGAGCCAGCCTTGACAATGACAGTCTTTCGGAGAGCAGCGTCAAGATCGTATTCTGGCTTCTCAAGCTTTTCCATTGGTCGAACAATGTTGGGAAGCTGAACGGGCTTGGAGAGACCACCGTCGTTTTCAGCGTAAACTCGGATCATGTAAGCAGTGTCTCGCTTGACCTCGAATTTAGCCTTGGTTTCGGCGGTTTCGGCAATGACAACCCAATCGTCAGTGCATTCTTCGAGCGCTTCAACAACGTATCCGGTGATTTCTGATCCAGAATCGTAGTTTGGCTTGTTCCAGCCAACAGTGATGGTAGAAGCAGTAGTGTCTCGAACCTTGGGGTTCATGACTGGTCCTGGTGGGTTGACGGCATCAACGGCGGTGATGATTTCAGAAAGAGCAGAATACTCAGAGAAACCGGCAGCGTTTTCAGCAAGGACTCGGAACTCGTATTGTTTGCCCTTGATCAAGTTCTTGACAGCAAATCGCATATCTCGGCAGATTCGCTTGTGGCACTTGAACCAGTGAGTGGATCGGTAATCCTTCTTCTCAACCCAGTAGCCGGAGATTTCAGATCCTCCATCATATTCTGGTCGCGCCCAAGCAAGAGAGCACGAGGTTGCAGTGACATTTTGAATGCCAGGTCGGCCGGGCTTCATTGGAACAGTAAATTTGTTCTCGGCAACGCATGGAATTGAATCAAGTCCTTCACCGACGCCAAACTTGTTCACGGCCTGAACTCGGAACTGGTACTCATTTCCAGGGAGAAGCTTGTCAGCAGTCCAAGTAAGAGTCTCAGAGCACTGAGTAAGTGGAGTCCAGCAAACTCGAGTAGTTTCTCGCTTGAAGACAGCGTAACCCATAAGTCGAGCACCGCCGTCATTCTTTGGTCCAGCCCATCGGAACTGAATCTTGGAAGCCGAAATCTTCAAGAATTTAATTGGACCAGTTGGCTTGTCGGGTCGATCCATAATGTGAACTCGGAAATCGTGATGTCGTTCACCGAGCGCATTTCGAGCGCTGAATCGGTATCGACCAGTGTGAAGTCGAGAAGTGTCCTTGATGACAATGGTAGTTCCAGTTGCGTTTCGCTCAATAATTCGATCTGGCTCAGAAACGATGTCTTTTTCGTTAACTTCCCAGTCCATGCTTGGCTCGGGCTTGCCGCTCACGCCAATGTGAAGTCGAAGTTCAGTGCCAGCAGCGACGCGGACTTCCTTGAAGAGATGCTGGTCTGGAGTAAGAAGAGGAGGAGTGTAAAGATCCTGAGTCTTGACTTCTTCACATGGGATGGAAGCGTCAGAGAAAACACCAGCGGAGTTCTTAGCGATGATTCGGAATCGATAAAGAGTGTCCTCTTCAAGACCCTGGATAGTGTAGTTGTTCTCGGCAATGAGAGTGAAGCAAGCCTTTGTCCATCGGCCTTCAACGCCGTCAGCGGAGATTTCCTGCTTTTCAGCGAGGTAACCAATGATTCGAGCGCCACCATCGTATCGTGGAGGAGCCCACATAAGGCTGACAGTAGATTTGGTGATATCAGTGACGAGAACCTTCTCTGGTGGATCAACGGGATCAAGAGCAGCAACTGGATCAGAAGCAGCAGATGGTCGAGATTTGCCAGCAGGGTTGATAGCAATAACTCGGAACTCATATTCCAAGGCAGCAGTAAGATTAGCACATCGGAATTCACGCTTTCGGATGACAGTCATGTTTTGCTTTCGCCACATGATCGAGTTCTTGTCCTTGACTTCGACGTCGTAACCGTCAACAGTGTGTCCACCGTCCTTGGTTGGGTAAGCCCACTTGATTGTGATGCATTCTTTGGAAACGCTGACAACTTCTGGAGCAGCTGGTGCGCCAGGAGCAACGAAGCCAAGTCGGCAAGTCACAGGAGTGGTCATAACAGATGGACCAGGACCGAATCGATTGGCAGCCTTGATTCGGAAAGTGTACTCTTCGCCGTTCTTGAGACCACCAATCTTGAGAACAGTTCGGACAACAGTTGTTGAGAACTCGATCCATTCAGATGAGCCAGTTGTTCGGTAGTGAACATGGTAGCCGGCGATGGAAGAGCCACCGTCGAAAGCTGGTGGAGTCCAAGCAAGAACAACGTAGTTGCTGCTGACTTCTCGGGTCTTGAGATCTCGGATCATGGCTGGAACGTCCAAAACGTTGATGTTAACGTTGACCTTAGTCTCACCGGCAGCAGATTTCATATGAAGAACGTAAGTATCAGCGTCTTCTTGGTAGACATTGTTGATTCCAAGGTAAGCGATCTTGTTATCGTCGTGGTTGACGGTAACTCGCTGAGATGGCTTCATGATGTTGGTGGCATCTCGTCCCTTGTACCAGGTGTATTTGGGAACTGGTCGGCCAGACATCGGAACAGAAAGTTTAAGGTTGTTTCCGGCCTTGATGCTGACTGTGTTTCCAGCCAAGTTTCGGAGATCAGCAGAAGGAGCTTCCTGGGTATCCTTGACCAAAATCATCTGGTAATATTCTCGTGGAGCAGATCGACCAGCGTGGTTTAGAGCGACGACACGAACGGCGACTTGGACGTTTTCAGTAAGACCTGGAACTCGAGCTTCGAGCTCTCGAGTGTGAACTCGCTTAACCCAAGCGGACTTATCCTTGTCTCGAGTTTCAACATCATATCCAGTGATTTTGCTTCCACCGTCGCAAAGAGGTCGAGCCCATCGGATAGTGATAGAATCTCGAGTGACATCGAGAAGGTGAATTGGCTCGGGCTGCTGAGGAACTTCAGTGGCAAGGATAGCCTTGGGCGTTTCGACCATAACACCGCGACCCTGATCGTTTTCAGCACAGATTCGGAAATTGTATCGAACGCCAGCAAAAGTATCGATCTTGATGGTGCATCGACCTTGGTTGTCGGTAACAGTTGTCCAGGCCTTTCGATCAGTCTCTCGCTTTTCAACGACGTAGTTGGTGATGTGAGAAGAGCCATCATTAGTGGGCTTCTCCCAAGCAAGAGTGATCGCGTCTTTGGTGACTTCAGTCACCTTGAGATCTTGAATAGGGCCGGGAGTATCCATGACTCGAATCTGGAATGGAATCTTCACAGATTTGACCTGGTTCTCAAGATGGAGAGTGTAGTTTCCAGAGTGCCATCGAGTAGCCTCAGCAGTCAACATAGTAAGTCGATCATCCTTTTCTTCAATACTGATTCCTTCGGGAACAGACTCTTCTCCACGAGTAACTCTCATGTATGGAGTTGGTCGACCTTTAGCCTTAGCGAAAAGGACAAATCGCTGACCAGCCTTGACAATCAAGGAGTTCTTCCAGTCAGAGTCAGGGTGAAGTTCAGGAGCACTGTGTCGGTCAGTTGGCTGGCAAGAAGCTGGAAGCTCCTTCCAATCAGAGCAGCCGTTGATGTTTGCAGCACAAACTCGAATTTTGTACTTTTTGGTAGATTCGAGCTCGGTGATGACAGTAGCTTGTTCAGTAATACCCTTTGGTGGAGTAGCTGGCATCCAAACCTCTTCAGCTCCTTCATCTTCGGGAACTTCGCAGTACTCAACGTGGTAAGCACTGACCTGAGCGCCGCCATCGTAGCTGACCTTCTGCCAGTTGATGGAGATGCTGTTCTTGGTGGTATCGGTAACCTTGGGCAATGTGACAATTCCAGGTGGGTAAGTAGGATCGCAGATCAAAGCAGCCTGTGAGCCTTCAGAAGCCTGACCAAGACCAGCAGGGTTCTCAGCAATGACTCGGAACTCGTACTCTCGGCCTTCGATGAGATTTTGGACTCGGTAGCCCTTGGTCTGGCAAAGTTTTCGAGTAACTCGGAACCATTTGGTGGATTCTCGGAATTTCTTCTCGACGTGGTAGCCCTTGATTTCTCGGCCACCGTCACTCTTTGGACCATTCCAGGTGAGCATACATCCAGACTTTGTGATGTTGGAGACGGTTGGTCGACCAGATTGGCCAGGAACAGTGAAGGGGTTCTTAGGCTCAACTGCAGCAGACTCGAGAGGCTGACCAATACCGAATCGGTTTTCAGCTCGGACTCGGAAGATGTACTCAGCTTCGCTGCTCAAACCAGTAGCTCGGAAAGCAAGAGTCTTGACAGCAGGGCCAATAACAGTCCAGCTGATCTTGGAAGTTTCTCGTCGTTCAACGATGTAGTTGTTGACCAAGGAGTTACCATCATTTGATGGCTGGTTCCATGTAAGAGTGACTCGATCAGCGTAGACAGAGCTAATGTTGAGAGGACCAACAGGAGGGCCGGGAGTGTCCTGAACTCGAAGCTTGATCGAAGCGTACTTGTTGCCGACACAATTTCCAAGTTCAAGCTCGTAGAGACCAGTATCGTCTCGGTCAAGGTCTTTGACGATGAGGATAGTTCGGTTGTTGACATTTTCAATGGCGTATTTCTTTCCAGATTCAATAACCTGGCCTTCATATTTCCAGTCAATGGATGGCCAAGGCTTACCCTGGATATCAGCACCAATCTTGATAGTGTCACCCTGTCGGACGACCATGGTGTCCTTCAAAGATCGATCAAGATCGATAGAAGGAGCAACAAGGGATTCGACAACGAGGATACCCACAGATGGCTCAGATGGTTCAGAAATTGATCCAGCTGCGTTTCGAGCAATAACTCGGAATTCGTAAGCCAAATCTTCAGTGAGTCCAGTGATGGTGTAAACGAAATCGGTGACGTTGGCAAAGTTGCACTTCATCCATCGGCCTTCTGGGAGCTCTCTTCGCTCGACAGTGTATCCAGCAATCTTAGAACCACCATCGTACTCGGGTCGGTCCCACTGAATGGTGACTGAAGATCGGTCAGTTCGAAGAGGTCGAATGTTGAGTGGTGGAGTGCATTGATCTCGGGCGACCTTAGGCTCGCATTCCTTCGACATTGGTGATCGACCAGCCAAGTTTTCGGCAGCGACGCGGAAAGTGTACTCAAGTCCGGCCTGGAGACCAGTGACCTTGAGCTTTCGCTCTCTGCAGATGCCACGGTTGGCAACGCGGTATTGGAGCGAGTTTCGGTCCTTGACCTCAACATGATATCCCAAAATTGGGCTTCCGCCATCAGTAGAAGGAGCATCCCACTCAACAAAAGCAGTGTCGATGTTGATTTGTCGAATTCGAACATCCTCTGGTGGTCGTGGAACTCGGAACTGGAACTTGACGGTAACAAGCTCAGAGTTCAACCATTCGGAGAGACCCATTCGGTTTTCAGCAGCAACTCGGAATCGGTAGTCCTTGTTGAGTTTGAGTTTCTTGACCTTGTAGTGAGGTCGGACAATTGTTGAAGCGCACTCAACGTAACCATCCGCATCAGGCTCGAGCATCTGAAGAACATAGTTGTTCACAGTTGCTCCGCCATCGTCTTCTGGAACAGTCCACTTGAGTGAAACACTGGACTCATTGACGTCGACGACTTCGATCTTCTCAATTTTGGTTGGCTTAGTAACCACGTTGAGTCGAACGTGACCAGTAGCGCTTCCACCGTCGTTAGTTGCGACGATCGAGTATTTGGCGGTATCAGCCCGCTTGGACTCTTCGATTTTCAAAGTAGCAACACCTCCCTCAAGAGTTGGCTGAACTCGGCTAGTGATTTCGACTGGCTCGTCGTCCTTCATCCACTTGACTTTTGGGAATGGCTTTCCAGCGACTGGAACCTTGATGGTGATGATTTCACCTTCTCGTCGCATAAGTCCACCGGCAGAGAAAGACTTCATATCAACAGTTGGCTCAATGACAATGTCATTAGCTTCAACTGGGAATCGAGTCTGAACTGGGTCGGAGTTACCCTTTTCATTTCGGGCAGAGACTCGGATAAGGTACTTTCGTCCAGTTTCGAGTTTCTTCAAAGTAACCTGGCATTGAGTAACATTCTGATCGTGTTTGACCCATTTGTCAAAACCGGCAAGAGAGTACTCAATGTTGTATCCGAGAATGTCGGCGCCACCGTTGAAGTCTGGTTTGGGCCAGCTAATGGAGATGGAATCCTTGGTAGTGTCAGTAACTTCGATTCGGCCAACTGGACCAGGTCGTTCGGAAAGTCGAACAATGCCATTGTACTCTCGAGCAACACCGTCACCGTAGCAGTTGACGGGAATAACTCGGAAAGAGTAGGTCTCGCCTTGAACAAGGTTGGTGATCTTGCAAGAGGTTCGGTCGCCTTCACTTGGAACAGTGGTCCAAGATTTTCGGGAAACTTCCTTCTTCTGGACAATGTATTCAGTGACGAAAGAGCCACCTTCATTTTTGGGAGCTTCCCAATCGAGGAGGACGAATTCCTTGGTGCATTCAAGAACGATAAGATCTTCAACAGGGCCGGGAGTGTCCATAACTCGAATTTTGAAGCCTTGGATAGTTTTGCCAGAACCATTGGTAGCGACGAGCTCATATCGGCCAGAATCGTCACGAGTAGCATCTTCAATCAGAAGAGAAGTTTTCTTGCCTTGGATGGTCAAAAGACCTCGATCCTTGCAGTGAGTGTTGGAAGTCTGCTCGGCAAAGTTCCACTCAATATCAGGAGAAGGTCGGCCAGTGAATGTTGCGGAAAGAGTAAAAGAACCTCCCTTTCGGACATTGATTGTCTTGCAAAGCTCATCAGCAACTTCGATGGTTGGCTTTTCGAGTCGCTCAAGAGCTTGGTAAGCCTCTTCGCCTTCCTTGAAATCACCAGTGCCGATTCGATTGACGGCAGCGACTCGGAATTTGTACATGGCATTGGCTTCAAGACCACCGACGGTGTAAGTGGTTTCCTGAACGAGAGAAGAGCCAGAGCATTTCACCCAGACTGGATCTTCTTCCTTGCAGATGAGATATTCAATGACGTAGCCTTCAATCAAAGCGCCGCCATCAAAGATAGGCTCGCTCCACTTCAAAGTGATAGACGACTCAGAAGAATCGATGCACTTGAGCTTCTTGGAAGCTTCAGGCGCATATCGAGGATCTTCAATCAGAACTGGAGCGCAAGCGTCACCGGGCTCAGACATACCAGCGGCGTTGATTGCAACAATTCGGAACTCATACTGCTGACCTTCAGTCAGATTAGCAGCCTTGTCGCAAAGATCGTTGGATGGCTTCTTGGTTGCCTTGACCCATCGGACCGACTGGCGCTGTTTCTTTTCGATCCAGAAGCCAGTGATTGGGGAACCACCATCGCTAACTGGTCGAGCCCAGCCAAGAGAAACGGACTGTTTGGTAACAGCTCGGATTTCTGGTCGACCTGGTTTTTCGGGCTTAACGAATGGGTTGACAGCGAGGACTTCTTCGGATTCGCAAGCATCACCTAGGCCTGACTTGTTTTCAGCTCGAACTCGGAAGACATATTCGTTGCCTTCGAGGAGATGAGTAGCCTTGTACGAAAGGCAGTCGATTCCAGAAGCAACCATAACCCAGGAAAGATGGCTAGTTTCGCGCTTCTCAAGAGTGTAAGAAGTTACGTTTTGGTTGCCATCCTGTTCTGGTTTCTCCCAAGAGACAAGAGCTCGGTCGGCGTAGACGTTGCTGACGGAGACTTTCTTGCAAGGACCAGGAGTATCAAGGACTCGAACCTTAACATCGACAATTCTCTGGCCGACGAAGTTCTGGCATTTGACGCTGAAGGTACCAGTGTCGAACTTGTTAGCGCCGAGAATTTTGATCGAAGTCTTCAAGTCATCAGTAGTAATGGTGATTCGCTGGTTGCTGGTGATTCGCTCCTTATTGAACATCCATTCGATGACTGGAGCAGGCGATCCTCTGATGATACCTTCGACGTAAAGATCATCACCAGCACGGATGATTTGCTCGGCAGCGAATTTAGCGTCCATGTCGACGTTTGGAGGAACAGAGCTGTCTTCGCAGGTGACGAAGTCTCGGATCTCGCAATGAGCCGAGACAGAGTTAGCAGCATTCTTGACGTAGACTCGGAAGAGATATTCGTGTGATTCAATCAAACCGGAAACGGTGTAGAAACACTCACTAACGTTGCTAAAATTGCATCGGAGCCAGGCAGATCCCTTTTCGCGGTCCTTTCGCTCGACAATGTAGCCAGTAATCTTGGCACCACCGTCGTATTCTGGCTTGTTCCACTTGAGGGTAGCGTAGTCTCGGCCAACAGAAGTGACTTCAAGATTGGTTGGAGGATCGATGATATCTCGAGCGTATTCGGAATCGGAAGGCTTTGATGGTCGACCGACGCCGGCTTTGTTCAAAGCAGTAACTCGGAACTGATACTGAAGTCCTCGTTCAAGACCACCACACTTGTACTCGTGAGCATTGGCGGAAAGGTTGCCGTAGTTGCATCGCTGCCAGAGGAGCGAGTTTCGATCTTTTCGTTCGACGAAGTAGCCAGTGATTGGCGATCCTCCGTCGGAAGCGGGAGCGGTCCATCGAAGAGTCATGAATTCACCAGCGCAGGCAGCAATAGTGGGCTGACCGGGAGTACCAGGAACTCGGAAGTCGTATTCAGCAACGACAGCTGCGGAAATGACGGGTTCAGATCGTCCGAATCTGTTTTCAGCAGTAACTCGGAATTGGTATTCAGCACCTCGCTTGAGCTTGTTCACCTTGAACATGCATCGAGCATTGTTCTGAGAAAGAGTGACCCACTCAGCTTTCTCCTCAAGTTCGCGCATGTCAACGATGTAGTTGTTGACAGCAGAGCCACCATCGTACTCTGGGACTTCCCACTTCATAGCAAGAGAATCGTGGGTAATATCGAGGAACTGAATTGGGCCTCGGATTGGTGAAGGTCGGTCCTGAACTCGCACAAGGACAGGAACGTGGATAGTTCCGACCTTATTTTGAAGAGTCATCTTGTAATCGCCAGAGTCAGCGAGGACAGCATCTCGAATTGTGATCGTAGCGACGCCGTTGTGGTATTCAGTGTTGCATCGAGAAGTTTCAGCGAATTTCTCGCCATCCTTCTGCCAGGAAATGACTGGAAGAGGCATACCAGCAATTGGAATGTTACCAACAATGGTAGATTCGGCCTTTCCGACGAGGAGTTTGGATCGCATACCGTCAAGCTGAGCAGTTGGAGCCATAGTCTGATCAGCAGCGACAATACCCTTAGACTCGGCGTAGTCACCAGGTCCAACATCGTTGGTGGCGTGAACGCGGAATCGGTAGCTGTGGCCTTCACTGACTTCTTTGTAGGTGAACTCGAGCTGGTTGCCCTTGGTCTTGCCACATTCCACGTATTTGTCGCTTCCTTTCTTCTGGACAGAGATGACATAGCTGGTAATGTCAGAACCTCCGTTAAAGTCGGGCTTGCCCCAGGTGATCTGGACAGAAGCAGCAGTAACTTTGCCAGTAGAAATGTAGGCTGGAGCAGTAGGGCCTTCAGCAGTGATGACTGGTGCATCGGTAGCAGCGGGTCGACCATTTCCGTATTCGTTTTCTGCCAAGACTCGGAAGAAGTATCGAGAGCCTTCAACAAGATTCTCGAATTTGTAGTCGTTCTTCTGGAGCTTGGTAGCCATGGTAGTCCAGGCTTTCTTTGTGGCATCTCGCTTTTCAACAGTGTAGCCGAGGATTCGGGATCCACCTTCGTTGAGAGGAGATTTCCAGGCAATCTTGACCCAGTCGCGGCCAACGCCAGCGACCATAAGATCAGCTGGCTCGGAAGGAGCGTCAAGAACCTTGATCATGAAACCAGCAGATGCAGTGCCGCTGCTGTTTTCAATGACAGCTTGATATCGGCCGGTCATATCGAGGTCGAGTTTTTCAATGACGATGGTGGAGGTGGTTTCAGTGCTGTCGACCATGATTCGAGAGTCTTCCAATGGAGAAAATTCTTCATCAGAGACACCCTTGACTTGCCATTTAACAGAAGGAGCGGGTCGACCGAAAAATGGAAGTCGAACTCGGACAGGCATCATTGATCGGAGAATCAGAGTTCGTCCGACTTCAGCGCATTCGCCGAAAGATGGCTCTTCGGGAATATCAGTAGGAGTGACGATAAGAGTGTTCATAATATCATCAGTAACCATGGTAGGCTTGCTCAAACCGACAATGTTGGAAGCTCGGATTCGGAATTTGTAAGGAACTCGCTCAAGACCAGTGACAGTAGCTTCGGTGTTTCGAAGTCGTTTAGCATCAATGGCGGTCTTCCAAAGTTCCTCTTCGTCGTAGCCTTCAGCTGCGGCATCGTCGGCGTCGTATTCCATGAATTCAACAGCATAGCCGTTAACATCAGCGCCGCCATCGTGAAGTGGCTTGGTCCATTTGAGAGTGACGGACGTAGCAGTTTGGTCGATCATGCGGGCCTGGCCACAAGCATCTGGAACGTAAAGGGGATCCTGGAATCGAATCAAGCCAGTAGTGCTAGAAGGTTCAGAAACACCAGCCTTGTTGACAGCGTAAACTCGGAATTCTTGCTCGGAGTCAGCCTCAACGGTGACTCGAAGTCGAAGATCTTCGATGATAGAATCATCAGCAAGAGAGACTCGAGATTGTTTTCGATCACGTCGGTTAGATCTTCGAACTCGCATCCATCGAGTAGCACCCTTCTTTCTTCGCTCAAGAATGTAGCCCTGAATGTCAGCGCCACCACTCTGAACGGGTCGGCACCAGCTCAAAGTGCAAGAGTCGGAAAGAATGTTGTCGACGGATGGAATTCCAGGCTCGGAAGGCTTGGTGAATGGATCCTTGGCAATCACGGTCTCAGACTCAACATAAGGACCAATTCCGTGCTGGTTGCAAGCGGCGACTCGGAACATGTATTCGTTGCCCTTAGAAAGGGATGCAATCTTGACGCAGGTCTCAGGAGCGCAGTCATGAACAACGAGCCAGCTGAGTCGAGAAGTTTCTCGCTTTTCAACTCGGAATCCAGTGATTTTAGCGCCACCAGTGTTCTTGGGAGGGGTGTAGCTCAAAAGACACTTGGTGGAGGTAACACCAGAGACTGCGATATTTCCCTCGACGGGGCCAGGAGAGTCCTTGATGTGAACACTGACGTATTGAGATCGGTGACCAGCAATAGAAGTAGCCTTGACTTCGTAATCAGCAGTGTCGTATCGGTTTGCATCAGAAATGATGAGAGTGGAGCCATAATCGTCAGTTTTAATCTCAGTCTTGAGAGTAGAAACCATTTCTTCTCCATTCTTGAACCACTGGACGGATGGTCTTGGCTTGCCAGTGATTCCAGCGTAAATTTTGATTGTGTCGTTGGCTTTGCCCTTGACACCAGCGAGAGCCAAAGGATCGATTTCGATTTCTGGTGCTTCCATTTCATCGTGAGCAAGAACAGGGCCGAGAACTTGGGACCAGCCAGAAACTGAACCGGCAGCATTGAGAGCGCAAACTCGGTATTCGTAGCTGTCACCGGGGTTCAAAGTATCGATGACAAAGTCGGTTTCGATAACTTTGTTGAAATTGGCCTTGGTGAATCGAGATCCTTCTTCATTGCAGTTTCTGTACTCAACAGTGTAGCCAGTAATTTTAGAACCACCGTCGTATTCGGGTCGTTTCCATGCGAGTTTGATGAATTTCGCTCGAGTTCGGATGGCTTCAAGATTTCTTGGCGCTTCAACTGGATCTCGGCAGATGACTTCAGCGGTTTCTTTGGACCATTTAGAGGAACCAGCAGCGTTGACAGCGCAAACTCGGAACTGGTAAGAAAGTCCAGCAGTGAGATTGCCGCTCTTGAAGTTAGTCTCCTTGATGATTGTGTTGTTGGCCTTAGACCACTGGAGAGCATTTCGGTCCTTCTTTTCGACATGATAACCGAGAAGAGGAGATCCGCCATCCTTCGGCTTAGTCCACTTGATAGTGCAGGTCTCGTTGGTGACATTGACAACAGTGGGCTGCTCTGGTTTCATTGGCTTAGAGAAAGGATGCTCGGCAACGATGTCAGGAGTGATCATAGGATCAGAAACACCGTACTTGTTGACAGCTTGGATCTTGAATCTGTATTCGTGACCAGCTTGGAGCCGAGTGACCTTAATTCCCGATCGGATCACGAAAGAAGAGACTTCGGACCAGACACCCATAGTCTTGTCAAGCTTGTTGACGACGTAGTGAGTGACTTGAGCGCCGCCATCTTCCTTTGGTGGGGACCAATCAAGAGTGAGAGATTCAGCCTCGACATCCATAAAGCAATCGTCACGGCCAAGAGGCTCAGATGGCCGATCCATGACAACAAGGCTCATTCGAGCAGATTTGGTGCCGGCGCTGTTAGTAGCCTTGAGCGTGTAGTTGCCAGCGTAAGCTCGTTGGGCTTCGAGAATGGTCAGGACAGAAGTGATCTGGCCATCTTTCTTCTCGACGACAGAGTTGATCTTGGTAGATTCAGCAAGTGGCTTGCCTTCATCATCGAACCATTGGAGTTCTGGGTCTGGAACACCAAAGACTGGAATACGGATGACAACATCTTCCTCGAGTTTGACGTATACTTGGTTTCGGTAGTATTTTCGAGTATCTAGGTCTGGTTCTTTGGTGACGAGCTTGATGAGGACGGAGTTAGTCTCTCGTGGATCACCAACACCAACGTCGTTTTTGGCTCGGATTCGGAAGAAGAAAGTTTGATTGTGGTTCATGTCAGTCAAGTTGTAGCTCAAAACGTTGCCCTTGACTTCCTTGCTCAAACTCCAAGTGTCGAAGCCCTTCTTCTTTTCTTCAATGATGTAAGCTGTGATGTTTGAGCCGCCATCGTACATTGGCTTGGTCCAGCTGAGTCGGACAGAATTGTCGGTGACATCTGTAATATTGATGTAGTCAATCATACCGGGAACTTCAGATGCCTTGACAGCAGATTTAGTCTCGCAACCGAGACCAGGGCCGAATTCGTTGATAGCTCGAACGTTGAAGAAATAGCTGACACCTTCTCGGAGACCGGTCACCTTGATATTGGTTCCTTCGTAGTTGTCAGCAACGGTGTGCCAAGCTTTTTGAGTGGCTTCTCGCTTTTCGATTAAATAGCCAGAAATCGCGGAGCCTCCATCGACAAGAGGAAGATCCCAGCTCAAGCTTGCGTATTCTTTTCGGACTTCGTTGACCTTCAATTCAGCGGGAGCACCGGGAGTATCCTGAACTCGGACAGTGATGGAAAGAGTTTTCTCGCCGCCAGCATTTTCAGCGGTAAGAATGTATCGGCCACTGTCTTCTCGAGCGGAGTTGGCGATGGAAAGAGAAGCAACGTTCTTGATGAAGTCCTGAGAAGCGAGCTCATTGATTTCTGGAACAGCGCCTTCTTTAGTCCACTTGATAGTTGGTTCAGGTCGTCCTTTGACGGAGGCCTTGAGGTTGATTGCGTATCCCGCCTTGACAGTAACGTACTGTCCAATTTCAGGGTCGACGTTGATCTCTGGAACAATCAACACCTCATGAGGCTGTACCCAGTCAGAGAGCAAGCATGGCTCACCAGGTCCAGTAGAGTTAATCGCTCGCACGCGGACTTTGTACTCTTTGGCACCATCGAGGCCAGTGATTTGGTAAGTAGTAGCCTGAACGCCGTTAGCGGGAGTGCAAGTAAGCCAGACATCGTCTTCAGCCCCAACGGGGAGAATGTCAACGTGATAGCCGCTGATGTCATCGCCGCCGTCGTAGATTGGAGAAGTCCAGCCAACAGTGACCGAGGCTTTAGTGAAATCGATAGCCTTGAGCGATCGAACTTCACCAGGAGGATAGACAGGATCTCGAATCGTAGTCATATCAGAGGATGGACCAGCTGGACCAAAACCTTCAAGATTGGCAGCTGAAACTCGGAATTCGTACTGGTTGCCCTCAATAAGCCCAGTGATCTTGAGTCGGGTTTCGCTGCAGCTCTTGGTGTGAGCTTTGTACCATCGAGTAGATTGCTTCTCTCGCTTTTCAACCTGGTAGTTGGAGATGGCATTTCCACCGTCAGATTGAGGTCGACCCCAAACGAGAACAGCGGAGTTCTTTGTGATTTGGGTAACTTCAGCCTTGGTGCATGGGCCGGGAATAGTGTAGGGATTTTTCATGACAATGGGAACAGTTTCTTGAGGATCGCCAAGACCGAATCGGTTTTCAGCTCGAACTCGGAAGACGTACTCGTTGCCCTTGATCAAGTGATCGCACTTGATGTAGTAAGAAGTAACACCGCTGGCGACCTGAGACCAAGTGACTCGAGAAGTTTCTCGCTTTTCGATGAGGTAGCCGTTAATGTCACCGTTTCCGTCTTCAGAAGGCTTCTGCCAGCTCAATTCAAGTCGAGTGGCATCCTTGATCTTGTGTTCAAGGTTTCGAACTGGTCCGGGCTTGTCGAGAACTTTGTATTCGACGTTGAGGACTCGCTGGCCAGCATCGTTGGTGGCGAGAAGAGTGTAGATTCCAGAGTCGGATCGGGTGGTGTTTTCAACCTTGAGCATGCACATGGTGTTCTCGTGAGTCATTGACATGCGGTTGGAAGCAAAGATGTCGCTCTTGTTGCATTTCCACTGGATCTTTGGTGGGGGCTTGCCATAAGCGTCGGCCTTGATGACAATTGGCTCGCCAGCTCGAATGACCTGAATGTCTCGAAGGCTGTCATCGTGCTCAATATCAGGCGATTCGAGAAGATCCTTGCAGACTACAGGAGCAGAAGGATCTGATGGTCGCGAGAGTGTGTTGATCGCGTTTTTGGCAACAACTCGGAAGACAACTTCGTCACCTTCCTTGAGGCCGTCGATCTTGTAGTAGCACTCGGAGATGTTGCCAAAGTTGCATCGCACAAATCGACCATTAGCGGAGTCAGATTTTTCAACATTGTATCCAGTGAGTTTGGATCCACCATCGTAAGCGGGCTTCTTCCATCGGATGGAGACGGAAGACTTGGTCACAGAGGTAACTTCGACTTGAGTTGGTGGATCAACTGGATCTCGGCAGCAGACGTTTTCGAGAGGTCGAGACATTCGGGACTTTCCAGCTTTATTTTGAGCGCAGACTCGGAATTCGTAGATGATTCCCTGGTCAAGACCAGTGATTCGGAACTCCTTGTCGACGCAGGTAACTTTGTTCGCCTTCGACCACAAGAGAGCGTTTCGGGACTTGAATTCGACGTGATAGCCGGTGATTTTGCTACCACCATCGTTGGCGGGCTCGCTCCAGCCGATGACGACGGATTCTTTGGAGATGTATTTGGTGAAAACATCTGCTGGTGGATAAGGAGCCTTGAAATCAGTTAGTTTTGGAAATTTGGGCAATTATTTTTACCTTGAATGGGTATCGGATGATGATGGCTTCGCCGTTGCACCAGCCAGATTTACCGAATTTGTTCTCAGCGCGAACGCGGAAAACATATTCAGTATTGGTTGAGAGCTTGGTGACATTGACGGATGGTCGAGCAAGAGTCGAGGAGACAGTCGACCAAACGGTAGAAGTAGCATCTCGCTTTTCGACAATGAAGTTGGAGATGGCAACACCGCCAGTGTATGCTGGAGGGTCCCATTTCAAGGTAACTGAGGAGTGGGTGACGTTGTCGTAAGTCAAGTTTTTGACGTCGCCGGGCTTGTCGAAAACAACAACGCTGACAGGAACGTTCTTTTCGCCAGCTTTGTTGGTAAGTTTGAGGGTGTAGGAGCCGGCATCTTCGACGATGGATTCTCGGAGAGAAAGGACAGCAACGCCGTTCTGGACTTCTGAGTTGACTCGGCTGGTTTCCCTGAGTGGCTCATCATCCTTGAACCACTTGATGTTGGGGAAGGGCTTGCCAGTGACGGAGCATTTGCAGACAATGTCGGTATCTTTTTCGCCGTAGAAGACCAAAGAACTAACGCCACGCTTATCAACATCGGGAGCGATGAGGACAGCCTTGGCATTGACTGGTTCGGAAATTTCTCGAGGAATACCCTCGCCGTTCTGGTTGATAGCCCGGACTCGGATCATGTAGTCTTTACCGACATTGAGGTTGTCGACGGTGCATTTGGTTTCTTTGATGACCTTGTCGACGACTTTCCATGAGGTCTCGCTCGAGGCTCCGGCTTTCTTGGCCTTAGCCTTTTCTGCGAGGGTGTTGGTCTTGGCCTCTGGAACAGGGGCTGGGACCTTAGCGGCTTCCGGCGCTTTAGCGTCTTCGGAATCCTTAGAAAAACTTTCAGAAATGAACAGATTAGGATTTATATTACCTCATTATTGTTGTTGTTAGAGTTGGCAGATCGCGCGCTCATCTCGTACCCAGTGGAGAAAGCAGCAGCAGAATCGGCTTCAACAAAAACAGTGTTGGTAGCTTCGACAAGCGCAACTTGCTGCTCGTCAGAAGCGTAGCATTTTCCCTCCTTGGATGGGGAGTTATGCATTTGGTTTTTTACCGTTGTGGGGCAGTGTCGATATCGTATTGTCTAAAAAACAGTCTTTTAGCGTCTTTCTCTAAGCTAATCAGTCAGTAGAAAAAAATCTCTAAGAAACTAAAAATCGATAAAAAAAGCGCAATGCGATCTGTAAAAAAGAGTACTTCATTGTGTGCAGATAGATGTACTAAGACGCGGGTAGCAAGTTAACACTTAGCACCTTTAGCGGGACCAGAAATTTCTATTTCTGATACCTCCTTGCATAACGCACAGTCCTGACTCACCTAACAGCTATTCTTGAGCCGGCGCAGGGTTGTTACTTGTTCTTCGAAGCTTCTGTGCTAATCTCTTGCCACTAGCTCTTCGAAGACGAGTTTTATCTTGGATAGAAAGAATAAGGTATTGTAACGGTATGACTCTCTCTCTTTGTCATAAATCTAAGCTGAAGTACAAACTGTCAGCTGATGGTGGAAACTCGCTCGCGACAGCAACTTCATCAGCTGTTGCCTCGATAGAAGTCACCGCGGTACCTGGAAGTTAGATCCCGGTTATCATGTCCGGGATCACAGATGGATTAGATCTTGATTAAGGATTGCATTCACGGATATGCAAACATTTTCATTAGCAGGAAATTAAACGAGAAAGCAGCTTTCTCCAAATTTCATGAAAAATGACATTTGTTTGTGAAAATATATAAATAATTTTATTAAATAAAATATGGCTAAATACAGATAATAAAATAATAATGCAGAAAACGGGCTACTGCCAAATGATGAACAATTATATTGACTTACGCTCGTTTTAAACATTTGCAGCTCAAAAAAAGATACAGTTCAAAGGTTCCATTTCTGTCTTTGAAGAATTTGATGGTGGTATTTTGTCCATCATGGTCATATCTAAAAAGTATTTATACGGGAAGGTTCAGAAGACTTACTTGACTTATTTGAGGCTGTTTCCTGTTTTGCCGACTCCTTGTGCTGACTTTTTGACTATTAATATGACTGAATTTTCTTGGAAGTAAATTGTTTCTGAGTCGACTTCCTCTTCGGGTTTTCTGATAAGTGCAGGCGCGTCGATGTATTCGCCGCCAACTGTGATTAAGCCATTCAAAAGGATCACTTCGCTGATGTCTTTGGTCACTTCGAATGTGCTTCGCGCGCTGAAGTTGGTGATGTAAGACGAAGCGAGCGCGCGGCGCAAATCCTCCGCCGTCGAGCCTTGGTATCGCGGCTCCTTGAGCATCAGCGGCATCGCCACCTTCATGCCCACGACGCTCCAAAGAGTGTCCAACAGCTTTGGAAACTTTTCATAGGCTTCGTGGATGATGTCCACGGGGATTTGGTACGTCTCCACCGCTGTCTCGCAGACAACCGATGTGCGCGAGTTCTCGCCGAGGAGGACGCCCATTTCTCCAACCACAATTCCCGTTGAAGCGTAGTCGATGTCGACGTCCAGATCATCACCGCCTTCGTCTTCAGATTCCGAGTCGTCAGTTATTTTATGATGTCTTTTGAAAATTTGAAAAAAAGGTTGGAAAAATGACAATTCCAATCTGGTATCAAACTGTTCCTGTAGCGGCCATGGACAATCTTAACCAATCCTTTGGTAATTAAATAAATCGAGTCGGGCTCCTCATCATCCTGTATAATAATCTCATTCAAGTCAAAGTGGCAGATATTCGAGTGCTCCATCAACCACGCTGCCAGTTTCTTATCATCGCCGACCCAGTGAATGTTTCGGAACAGATTCTCAGGATCTGGCGTCTCCATCTCGATCGGTAAAAGCCACAGTTGCTTGATGAGGTTGTTGACTTGATCGTGGAGAATTCGCACTTCGAAGTCGTCGAGAATTCCAGAGTCTTGCAAGCGTCGGATACTATCGTCCATAACGTTGATGAGATTTCGAATCGCGGCTAAACATGATTGATATCAAGGAAGAAAAAGGGACGTCTGCTTACTTTTTGTTTTAACAGCAACGGCGATCTCTGGATAATCTCGTTGAAGCAGACCAAGATCTCGAATAATCGTCGATTTCGTCTTGTTCAAAATACGTCTCATTTGCTCCTTGCTTTCTCCTTTTTCGCCTGCGATAAGATCCAGCGAAAGTTCCAATTCTTCTGATGCCCGAACAAAGCCCTGGCCAATGTCGTAGCCAGATCTGATTTTGAACGAGAGCCGGTTGTTGAGATATTGCAGCACAACTGGGACGAGCGTCTTTGCGAATCGGAGAAGTCGCGCCAGTCGGAAGATTCGAACGGATTTGATCATTTTCGCGAATTTGATGGCCTTCAAAATTGATCCAGCGTTTCCTTGATTTTCTGAGGCGTTCGAATCTGTTGCAGTTGCTTCCAAAACAGCAACAGCAATGGTCTCGACGACAGAAATGATTACAATGATCAAATCAAAAATATGCCATGCATATTTCAGATAGAGCTTGACACCTAAATTTCAATAAAAAAAGAGTCGAATGAAAAACAGTTGAAATACCTTGGACGGACACTTTCAGGAGAACTTCAAAGATGTAAATAATGATGAAAGTGTAGTTCAATCCCTCCATGATCGTTCTCAGACAAAAGATATTGGCATTACACTGATTGTTGTACTCAGTGTAGATTTCGAACTGATCGCTCATTGTCATTGATGTTCCTGCCACGCTGTCTTCAGACGGCATGTTGATGATGTGCTCGGTTACAGCAATATCAGAAGCATTCGTTATTTGGTCACCTAAAAATCAAATTTTTCCTTGTTTCTAAAAGAAGAACTTTTACCTAAGTTCTGGTAGTATTGTTCAACAACCATTTGGATGACGTTCAAAAGAATGACGACTTGCATGATCGTTTCAAACGTAGGAGAAAACGAGAATCTGAACAATTTTCGCATGATCTTTCGGTTGTGAGGATTTCGGACGTCTTTCTTCTTGTCGCCGTATAATTGTCGCTCGATGAGGCTCTTTAGCTTTGGCCAGATTCCGTAGAGTTTCCAGTTTCGCTTGAGCATGGTGGTGGAGACGAGTTGACTGGATTTATGATCGCTCTGGACTGAGTCGATAGCTTGTTTCAGGACGATGACGGCTTCGTCAGTCAAATGACCTTTATTACGCTAGAAATATTTAGAAAAAATCATCGTCTTAAAACTTCGTACCTGTTTTACGAAGCCTGTTTTCAGCGCATTCATTGCCCTTTGTCTCGCTTCGTGATAGTCGAATTTTTCTTCTTCGAGCATCATCGTGTACTCAGGATTGACAATTCTCAAATCTTGAGTAAGCTCTAAACTAAAAAGGGTTTAAAAATCGATCGAGAAATCTCAAATTTTACCTGAGTTTTCGACTCCTGAAGCGATCCCTGTTCATCGTATGAGCATGTTCCAAGGGAACTTCGTATTCTGTGTATGGGTTCGAAAGGTGCGCCTCAAAATAACTAAAACAGTGGATAAAAATGAATGAGTACGTTTTTCATGACGGCTTCCCAATCAGCATCGGCGAGAAAAGAGTCGTAGCGCATCGTTTTAAGAGCTTCATGCACATCTTCACGAATTCTGCCCATGGCTTTGTTCATCGTGGATCGCTGGACAGAGGAGATTCTGTAAATGCCAAGTTTGGTCACGACACGGTCGAGTGAAAGAGCGTTGATGAACTGGCAAAGGATCAGAACGCCAATGCCGTAGAAAAGGTCTTTTGCTGCGCAATATGGTACAGGTGGCTCAGGTCTTCTTGTATTACAGGAGACCAGAGATAATTTACTGTAATCTGGGGTTGACATGTGGGCCACTCATTAGTCGTAGTCGGAGTCGTTGTCGTAGTTGTAGTAGAAGTCGTGGTAGTAGGTCGGGTCAACGACGACGTCGACTACAACTACGACCCTGACTAAGAAAACGGCTCTGACTAGGACTCATGCGTGGCCCAGATGCCGACCCCAGACTGTAATGTTAACCACGTCTCCTTCGCAGCTTCCAATATCTCGGCCACTGTGAAAGGGATCTGTAGGCTGGTATCGAGCAGAAGAGCCGCATGTGACCCAGTTTAGGTTAGGATCGAGCAGGGCGATTAAAGCGAAGATCATGTTGATTGAGCTTGGCAACTCTCCCCATGACATGAACATTGCTTGCTTCATCTGTAAACTCAGAATCAGCTAATGATGATTTAAGAATTGTAATTACCTCAATATGCTTGTTATTTAAAACCCTGGAGGTGAAATAAATGACCAGGCATCGGAACAAAATGAAGCAGATGTAAAGGACGAAGATCCAGAAAAAATCCTTGGCGATATATTTCCACGTGAAAGGAACATCATCGTAGTCTCTGTTGATGAATTCAATTTCGTCGATAAGTTCTTCCATCCAAATGAAGCCGCAAGTTCCGCCGAGATAAACAGCGGCAAAGAAGGCGGCAGAGTCGAGAAATTGTTTCAGCACTTCTTCGCCCTCTAAAATTTACGTGAGAAAAAAGTGACAAAAAAGAATTGTACCTTTTGAAATGGCGGAATGGTCCATGACGAAGTTGAGCAAGAAAACTGCGAGTGGTCCACATAAACCGAGAAACTCTGCGATTCCAACAGTGAAGTAGATGCAGGACATGACAAGGAGAACTTCAGCCAGAACATCGTTGATGATTCGGTTCATTATTGCGGACATCATTTTTCCCATAATGAGGCCGATGAAGGGAGAAAGAACGATTTTGTAGGTGAGAGCGCTGAGCCACTGATTGTGGTCCCAGTTTTCGTTTGCTTGGACTTAATCGGAGTTTATGCAAAACTTAGATTAAAAATCCATTACCGCAAATTCTGAAGACTTCGAAGAGAATCGTAGCCATGACAGAAGCGACCCAGCTTCCGTTGTCGATATGTTGCGAAAGCGCTTGTTTTCCAGCGCCGACTTCGTTGAGGAGATTCAAAACGAACTTGCTGTCTACATTGACGATGATGACAGCTAGCAAGCCGGAGAAGGCGAAGGATTTGAATTCGCCATAAGAGGGGAAGCCAGTCGAATCTTGTGCGATTTCGAAGAACGGGTTGATGAAGAGCGTGATTACCAGAGTCATGAGTCCGGTCATCGCGAATAGAGAGAAGATGCCTTGAAGGAGGATTGTGTCTACGTTTCGGATGAAGAAGGTCCCGTCGATTTCTAACGAGGGTTTGAATAGCAGCAGAGGCAACAAACCAAAGTAGAGGTAAGAAATATCCATGCCTAGGAAGAAAAATTTTAAGAAAAAAAATGCTGATTAGAACTTACCAGTTTCAGTAGCTCCGTTAGATGAGATCATCCAGACGCCGCGGAGACAGTCCTGCGTCGACCAGTAACGGAAAAGCTCCACTATCGCACTGAGAATCATGCCGACGATCAAAAGGACGAGCACGTGACTTGAACTCGTCAATTTTCCGCCGTGAAGCATGGATGTTCGCTTGAAAATCGCTCGAGAAAGAGCGGCCAGGATGAAGAGAATTGAGAAATATAAACTTTTTGTCGATAAAATTTTTTTTTTATAAAATATAATTTATTCATTAATATAAAATTAAATGCCTTTTCGTCCAAATATCATATTTAAATCGGTTCCTATGACGTGCTTTTTTTAAGGTTCCTGTATTTAAAAAACCCACTTCGACCTTATAATACCCGGAGCATCGTACATATTTGGAATCAGCAGAAAAAATCTAGAAACTTGACCCTTTTAGTTTTTCGAAATTCACTTCCGGTTACGATTCTAGAGCCGGAAGTAGGCGAAATTTTGGAGTCATGGTAAAGTGTGACCTATCAAATTGATGCGCAGAAAATTCTCAGTCATCTCATCATCAAATATTTTGAAGAAAAAGTCCCAAACGCGGTTAAACTTACCGGTAAATCTATGAAAAAAGTGAAAAATTATTAAATTTTTACCGGTCGTTTAGCGGCGGTTTTTGACCGTGGTTGGACTCGGTTCCGATAATTTATGACTGGATTTGTAGTAAGCTTAAATTTGATAGTTCATATGTATGTAATTCTTAGAAATTTCGCGAACTTCCGGCTCTAGAATCGTAACCGGAAGTGAATTTCGAAAAACTAAAAGGGTCAAGTTTATAGATTTTTTCTGCTGATTCCAAATATGTATGATGTTCCGGGTATTAAAAGGTCGAAGTGGGTTTTTTAAATACAGGAACCTTAAAAAAAGCACGTCTATGCATAACTCCCTCTCCCGAAAAAGCGATTCCATTATAGAGCCAGCTCACCATCGATTTGTGCGGATTAGTGGCATTTTTTGACTCCGCAAACGCACAGGCCTCCCATGGGTCCTTGATACTCATCGTTGTTGGATACTTCTACTCACTTATTTTCACGCGTTTTTGGTACGCGGCGCGCGTTCGTAACTGAAGATCTGCTATTTTAAAATTCTGAGGTTCAAAACAATTTTCGCGTTCTAGAGACGACCATCGTTTCTTGGAACAAATTTGAAGTTATTGAAGATGGTTGAAAGGAAGAGCTGGATAAAGCGGTTACTCGTCGTAATCCTTGTTCCGTTGGACTAATCCCATCGATCACCAGCGACGCTTTTGGGCACAGGTGAGCACTTTCATCTGTCTCATTTTCAGATCCCAATCTTTTTTGCCCCAGAAATGGCGGATGAATCAAAAGTAGACTTATTTCAACTCTTCAATACAATTTTTATTTATTTTTAGAAGCCAACGATGAGAGTGAACCCGATTTTGAAGGATGGAGAGGTTGAGGTCAAAACGCAAGCAAATCCGTTTGTCTGGATCTTTGGCCTAATGAAATTGCTGAAGAGATCGAAGCAGCAAAAAGAAAAGAAAGAGAAAGAGCTGAAAAAGTCGGACAGCTTTCTTGCCGGAATCGGAGGCGATAGAGCTGAGGAGAAGAAGAAATTCGTCTGGTCAGAATTTTATTTAGACCCGTCGGGTGATCTTTACTACTACTGGGTTTGCCTCATCGCTGCTTCGGTAATGTACAACATGTTGTTCATCATTTGTCGACTGGCTTTCGACCAGCTTGGTGACTACAAAATGATCTTCCTCGGAGTGGACGTCTTCAACGACTTTATGTACTGGATGGACATTCTCACCAAGTTCTACACCGGGTACTTGGACAAGGGATTGATGATAACAGGTAAAAATCATTATCAATTCCCTCTTTTGTAGCATTTTTAGACCACAAGAGCATACGAGAAAACTACAAGAAATCAGCGCAGTTCAAAACTGACATGATGTCCATGTGCCCAATCGACTACCTCCAGTACTGCTTCGACAACAAATGGCTGGTCTCCTTGAGATTTATCAAATGCCAGCGCAAGTACCGAGTCAGCGAATTCATCAACAAAACTGAGACGCGCACCAATTTTCCGAATTTCTTCCGCATCTCTATCATGTGCACCTCTATTCTTGTGATAATTCATTGGAACGGATGCCTTTGGTACTTGATTTCCGGAATTATCGGCTTCGGAGAAGATCGGTGGGTATTTCCAAATGTGACGACGGCTGGACAAGAATTCGCGTATCTCGGAAGAAGGGTACTTTTTTCTGCTCATTTTTCTCATCAAATTTGTTCTAGTATATCTACTCAATGTACTGGTCAACCTTAACCCTCGCGACAATCGGCGAAACTCCAAAATGTTGGCTCCCAAATGGTTCCTACGCGCTAACCATATTTTCCCCTTTTTTGAGCATTTGTTGAGCCATGAAAAGCCAGAGACCAACTTTGAGTACATTTTCCAAATATCAAACTTCCTCATCGGAATCTTCATTTTTGCCACGATTGTTGGAGAAGTCGGAACTATGATTTCGAACATGAAAGCGACGAAAACCGAGTTTCAGGGACGAATGGATGCGCTCAAACAGGTTTGAAAGTTGTTGATTTTGAGTTTGGTTTTCACCGTTTGCTTAGTACATGGAACTGAGATCTGTTGATAGCGACTTGCAATCGAAAATCGTGAACTGGTTCAGCTATCTTTGGGGCTCAAAGAAAGGAGTAGATGAAGTTGGCGTGCTGAGCCACCTGCCGGACAAGCTCAGGGCCGAGATCGCTATCAATGTTCATCTCGGTAAGCCGCAAATAAACGATCATCTGGGAGGCTAATCCGTCTTTCAGAAACACTCAGAAGAGTAGCTCTCTTTCGCGATTGCGAAAAGGGATTTCTCGTTGAGCTGGTCCTCCGTCTCAAGCCGCAAATTTTCTCGCCCGGAGATTACATTTGCCGAAAGGGAGATATTTAGGGATATCGCACAAATTTTCAGGTACCCGAAAAAAGGGTCCAGATCAATTTTCAAATTGATGAACTAGTAGAACTTTGGACGGCGATTCTAGAGGTGCAAAAATCTTTTCATAATTATTAGTCATTATCGTAAAAATGACGTGTCAAAGTGTGATTTTTTCGATCTTGGTGAAGCTTTCAAGATCTTTGATTTTTTAAATGCTAGACTAACATTAATTTGAACCAGAATTCCAAATCTGCAAAAATTTTCACTGACGCATCTTCCAATCGCTAGAAATGAACTTCCGGGAGTTGTTTTTTTCTCTCTCGACGCTTGTGGCGCTTTTCTGTTTTCAGCTGCGCGCTGATTGGTTGACGCTCCTGAAAGCCTTGTTCACAAAAAGGGTCGGTGAGCATTACTAAAATGATGATTTCTCGGGACTGGAGCGTTAAAATTCCATGATTCTTGGACCAAAATAATCCTTGAAGACCACTCTATTTACCATTTATTCAAAAATTATGGAAGATGACGCTGTAGAGAGTTTCTGAAGGTTGTATGTAAAGTCAACTCTGGCCATTACGAGCCTTTTTCGTCGGGAAGCATCTGTCCAAGAGGTGAAAGAAGCGTAACTTTTGCTTGCTATTTCTCGAAAACTGTTCTCTCAAGGAATCAGCAAGAGATAAAAGCGCATCTTTGAAGTTCTTTTCTGTTGTGGAATCGGCGAGGCAAAAACTGCGCGCAGAAACGAGAAATTGCGCCAAAGATTCTTTCCGAATTCTTTTTGCGGTCGAGGACGATGAAGGAACTCGTTGTGTCGAAATGTGATCGACTCTCAGTCGAAGATTGACACGCTGGAAGACCTCCGTGCGTTCTTACGAAAACAAATGTCAATGCTCAAACAGCTGAAAATGAAGATGGGCTCGGTTACCAAGGAAAAACAATCGGTCCAGTCTGAACTCTCGCCGAATCTGTATCTCTTCAAAAATGCCAAGAAGAAATTGAATGTCTGAAGCATATGTCGGCAACTAACGAGGAGATTCTTAGGGGAAGCAGCTCGAACAAGCAATTTGAACAGATGGAGTTCGAATATGAAGAGCTCAAGCTCAAATTCGAAGATCAAAACGAAAAGATGGACAAGTTCCGCGACATGTTCGCGCATCGCCGAACGTGAATCAAACCTGTTCAACAAAAAGAAAGAGAAGAAAAGAAAATCAGTTTCACGCAGAGTTGCAGATTTTTGAAAATTTTTTCTGAGCTGAGCCAGCAGAGCTGAGGTCAAGATTGAGCTGAGATGAGCTGAGATGGCCCTTTTCGAAAACAACTGAGCAGAGCTAGACTTTTCAAAAAATTGAGCTGAGCTGAGGTGAGCTGAACCTCACCTCAAAATTGCTGAACTGAGCTGAGCCTTCGCTTCTATTCGGAATGCAACCTTCCAAAGTCGAAGTTAAATGGTCGCTCATTTTGCTCCGAAGGAGCGCAAAATTATGCATAAATCCTTCTAGATCGGCGGGTAAATCAAAACCATAAAAGAGGAAAAAACTAATATAATATGAATTTTTAAAACCATGGGTGTGGGCGGAGTTGGGAACAAATTGATCAACTCAATTTGATCAAATGTTGATCAAAAACAACAAATTGATCTACTCAGAGTTCCCGGCCTTTGTCAAGCCCCTTAAATTTAAAAATCAAGGAGCGGGGCTGAAACGGCCCGAAGGGCCGTCAAGCCCCTTAAATTTAAAAATCAAGGAGCGGGGCTGAAACGGCCCGAAGGGCCGTCAAGCCCCTTAAATTTAAAAATCAAGGAGCGGGGCTGAAACGGCCCGAAGGGCCGTCAAGCCCCTTAAATTTAAAAATCAAGGAGCGGGGCTGAAACGGCCCGAAGGGCCGTCAAGCCCTTAAATTTAAAAATCAAGGAGCGGGGCTGAAACGGCCCGAAGGGCCGTCAAGCCCTTAAATTTAAAAATCAAGGAGCGGGGCTGAAACGGCCCGAAGGGCCGTCAAGCCCATTAAATTTAAAAATCAAGGAGCGGGGCTGAAACGGCCCGAAGGGCCGTCAAGCCCTTAAATTTAAAAATCAAGGAGCGGGGCTGAAACGGCCCGAAGGGCCGTCAAGCCCCTTTAATTTAAAAATCAAGGAGCGGGGCTGAAACGGCCCGAAGGGCCGTCAAGCCCCTTAAATTTAAAAATCAAGGAGCGGGGCTGAAACGGCCCGAAGGGCCGTCAAGCCCCTTAAATTTAAAAATCAAGGAGCGGGGCTGAAACGGCCCGAAGGGCCGTCAAGCCCTTAAATTTAAAAATCAAGGAGCGGGGCTGAAACGGCCCGAAGGGCCGTCAAGCCCCTTAAATTTAAAAATCAAGGAGCGGGGCTGAAACGGCCCGAAGGGCCGTCAAGCCCCTTAAATTTAAAAATCAAGGAGCGGGGCTGAAACGGCCCGAAGGGCCGTCAAGCCCCTTAAATTTAAAAATCAAGGAGCGGGGCTGAAACGGCCCGAAGGGCCGTCAAGCCCCTTAAATTTAAAAATCAAGGAGCGGGGCTGAAACGGCCCGAAGGGCCGTCAAGCCCATTAAATTTAAAAATCAAGGAGCGGGGCTGAAATGGCCCAAAGGGCCGTCAAGCCCCTTAAATTTAAAAATCAAGGAGCGGGGCAACGGGATGTCTCAGCCACGTCCCCTTTATTTCTGAATTTGAGGGGCTCGCCGGCTCTTCGGGCCGTCTCAGCCCCGTTCCTTTATTTTTGAATTTAAGGGGCTTGCCGGCCTTTCGGGCCGTCTCAGCCCCGTTCCTCTATTTTAGAATTTAAGGGGCTTGCCGGCCTTTCGGGCCGTCTCAGCTCCGTTCCTCTTTTTTTGAATTTAAGGGGCTTGCCGGCCTTTCGGGCCGTCTCAGCCTCGTTCTTTAATTTTTTAATTGAAGGGGCTTGTTTGCCCTTCGGGCCATCTCAGCCCCGATATTTTACTTTTGAATTTTAGGGGCTTGCCGGCCTTACGGGCCGTCTCAGCCCCGTTCCTTCATTTTAGAATTTGAGGGGCTTTCCGGCCCTTCGGGCCGTCTCATCCCCGTTTCTTAATTTTTTTATTTTTGAACAATTTTTTACGGAAAAGTGCGCGAATCTTAAAGGAACGGTCTCATACGCAGTTTTATTATTTGTACTCAATTATACAGTATAATTTATACTGGATCAGTTGTCATAGCGGACTTTTGCCAAGAAGTCTGTTGCTGAAGTCTGATAAAAGCTCCAAAAATATGCAATTTTATGGAAAATAGCATAAAATAGTAAAGAGAAAAGAATGTGAGTCGGGCTAGCTTGGCCATGCAGCGCGCGCGCCCCCGTGCGGCCGCCTCCAAAATGACGCAACGCCGCTCAGAATTCACCTCGGAAAACTTTAAAAAATCATATTTTCAAAATGCGAGGTGCGTCAGTGAATTTTTTTTCAGATTTGGATTTCTCAGCGCAATATCTATAAGGAAAAAATATAAAATCATTAACGACAAAACAGTCCTCGTACTGATCCGAAAAATGAGCTTTTTGAAGGCAATTTTTACGAAAATGACTCATTATTATGAAATGATTTTGGTAGCATTGAAATCCTCGTCCAAAGTTCTACTAGATCATCTGTCTAAAATTTGGTCTGGACCCTTTTTTCGGGTACCTGAAAATTTGTGCGATATCCCTAGAGATATTGGAAAGGAAATGTATATTATTCTACAGGGAGATCTGGAAGTAGTCGCCGACGATGGAAAGACTCGATTTTGCGTGTTGAGCAGCGGAAAGTACTTTGGTGAAATTTCGATCATGGAAATTCCCGGCTCCAAGGCGGGAAATCGAAGAACAGCGAATGTCAGATCGATCGGATTTTCTGACCTGTTTTGCTTGGCCAAAGAAGATTTAACGGAAGTACTCGTGGAATACCCAGATGCGAAGAAAATCTTGGAAGAAAAGGGCCGAGCAATGCTGATGAAGGATAACCTGATCGACCTTGACTGGATTGACGAGGCGACGCGGCATAAGCAGTTCATGGACTCGCTCAAAAGCGACGTCGAATTGATCAAAAATCAAATGGCTTTGCTCATGGAAAATTTTGACAGAATCAGCCGCGAGCGCGCTTCTCCTCGAAAACGTCTTCAGACGCATCCGATTGTCTATGAAGATCCTGACGATGATCTATTGACGACGATTTTAGAAGAGCCAAATCAGAATGCTATTGACCCGGAAGAAGAGAAGGCGGATCAGAGTTCTGTGAAAAAGGCGGAAAGCAAGGAAGAAGATGTCTTTTCCGACGCTTCAAACAGGTAAATTCAGACTAATGATTAAAACTAATCGAGTTCTAGTGATAACGAATCTGTCTTGTCCAACAGCTCAACGATCCCAACTCTTCCGCCAACACCAACTCCACCAGTAAAACAGCCAACCAAGTCTGTGAGCTTGAGCATGAATAACAAGAACAACTCTCACTCAATTGTTGACAGCGATACAGACTCAGATGATGGCGCCGAGCAGGCTTTTTGCAGCGTGTAAGATCTGCTCTAGCATTTTTATGTGTTTTGTAAATTGATTCTACCATAATTTGTATAAAAGATTTTGATGTTTTGTTTTTATTTTCCAGCTTCTTCGAATATGCCCCAAAAAGGTCTTACGTCACCTCGGCAAAAGTCGACAATGATGCGTGGGAAGGATCGTGGAAGAACAACCATGCTAATTTTACTCATATAAACCTGTTTATTTTCACCCAAAATAGGCCTTGCCAGTAATTTGCTGGATATCGTTCACAAAAACTTTGCCGCAAGATCGACTGAAGAGCAAGTTCTGGAGCGGCAAAGAGTAAGTTCCATTCGTTCTATTCGATTCTCCATGCTCTTCTTAGAAACAAGTGGCTCGCCTTTCAACAGAAGCTACTCCTGCTGGAAGAAATTTCAGAAAGGCGATTAATATTTTTCTGGAAAGATTGGGTCGGTCAAAATTTGACCTGTAAATCGAGTGTGTTTGTAAATAAATTATTTAACAAAAACTCTTCTAACTCAAAAAATGTCTTATTTGACCAATGTTTGAGAGTCTTTTTCGTGATGAATTTATCTTTTTTATTCCAGTTTGAATAAGTGTGAGAAAAAATGAGAAGTGAACTTTGTTTTTGGCAGCAAAAGTCGAATAATAAGTGAAGAAAATAAACTGATGAATTTTATACTTTTGAGTCTTTGCTATCCTCTTGCGCCTGTTTGAGAAGAATAGTGGAAAATTCCATGGATGCAAGTTGTTGCTGGGACGATTCTTCGGCTTCCTCAGCTTCGAGATCTTCCTTTGAGATGACGACGTGGTCCTTCTTTTTCTCGTCTGAAGCTAGAGCCGCTCGGCGTTCTCGAAGATATTCTTCTGATTGCTTCATGTCATACATAATGCCGTTGACCTGGACGAGCCCTAGAATGAGACAATTAGTTAATTGAATTAATTTTAGAAAAAACACCGCCTCTAAGGCCTTAGAGAGACACCAATTTGGCAGATAATGTCACCGAAAATGACAAAAAATCAATCAAACCTTTCCGAAATAAGTCTAAAAATAATGTCAGATAGTAGTTCAGAGATACGTACACTTGTTACCCATTTGGATTTGCTTAAAATCGTCCTTGATGAACTTTTGTTTCCGCGCTTGTTTCTCTCTTTCTTCCTGCGTCATCGTGTCCACCTCAGTAATCGTCTGGTTTTCCGTGTTTGAAGGGTCAGATTTTCGATCAATGTGTTGAGAATTGATGTTTCCCTTTCTTCTGTTTCGGTAATTGAAACCAGCATTCGCGTTGTAAGCTTTTCGGTAGGTGAGTCTGATGTTTCTTCTGCCAACTGTTCTCTCCCCGTTTCTTCCGTGATTGTAGAATATCGAGTTGTCGAGAATTTTAAGTCCGTTTAGCATGTTCATCAAGATCGTCGGATAAAAGTTTTTCTTGTCTTCATCCTTTTCTCTCTTCAGATCGAACGCTCGTATGGCAGTTACTGTGTTTCCAAGAAGATCGCAGGGCATGGGAAAGTCGTTGGAGAGCGCGCGATTTATGGATAAAAATTCCATCAATTCCGATTTTGTGACTTTTGGAAATCGCTCCGGATAATCGCTGTTCTGTTTTGAACCGCTCGCAGCTTCTACTTGCTTCAAACTCATTACTTCCATGAACATGGCTTGGTAGTCCCTTGTTTTCTCATTTTCGTTCAAATACTTTAGCAGAATGCGCATCACTCTCCGATAGCTTGGATATTTGTTCACCGCTCGCCAGATCATTTGCGCTTCTCTCGTCAATCTCTCTCCCCGGTATTCCTTTTCTTTCGCTTCTTTGTACTCCTCGCACAAGTCGTACTGCTTCAGCGTGTTAACAACGGGCCTGTGGCAGATAGCCGAGTCTCTGTGAAGCATGACGCTGTTGGAAAACGCGCAAAGGAGGCGCTTTCTTTTGGAATTATTCGTGGCGCTTTCGTGATGGGCTCCAGGATTTCTCACGACAGCATGTTTTTGCTGAATTTCGCTCCACCAAGTCGCCATTGTTACTTGTTTCTCGCCATGCGGATCTCGGACAATTATATCGCCAAAGTTGAACATTGCTCGTTCGATGGGGCACTTTGATCTCCGAGAATGGAGGACTTTTATTTCGTAGTTGCCGCGGAAGTTCATGTGTTTCTCGATGAAGGTATTGATTTGATTCTTGGTTGAAGAGGCGTGCCAGCTTTCCAGGCTTTTTTGGAGGTATTCCTCGACTCTGCAGCTGTATTTCAGCTCAGAACTCAAGTCGGATCTCGGAACAGAAGTGTACCAGACATGATGGGCTTGGAAAGGAATCACTGTTGGGCCACAATGCGCTGGAAGCTTGTACACTGTAGGAACTTTCTTGACCCAGAAGATATTTTGCTTGTCCAGGTCCAGACACCACATGAGAATTTTCTTCTCCGAGGATGCTCTGCTCAGGACGCCGGCAGAAGCATCTTCCGATTTGAACAGCTTCACCGCAACTCGGTAGTAAGTCGTTGCCATTTTCATCTGCACATTGCGAGTGTTGAATCCGACCATCGCGATTCCCAGCTGCCAATCTTTCGTCAACTCGAGCTTCTTCATCGGATGGCCACTTTGGGTGATTGTGTAATCGAGCATGTTCGAAATAGATTCCCGAACAAAGCCAGCGGTGGTTCCCCCTTCGCGAACGGGAAAAGAAACGACGGGTAAAAGCCACTCTCGATTTTTCAAAGTGCCGGATTTCACATGAAAGCTCTTTTTCTCCAACTCTTCGGCAGACAAGATCGTGGTTTTGATCTTGAATTTTGCATCCATTCGGTCCAAATCGACGGTATTTTTAGTCCACACACGCGCGACTTGTTCTTTGAAACTGGATTTGAGATCTGCCAGAGAAACTTTTCGCCAAGGCTTGACATGGGTTCGTTTCATGTAGCCGCTGTCGAAGTGAAAGGGGACATGGATTTTCTCGCAGCTTTTGTCGCGGTGCATTAGTCGGGCTTCGTCAAACAGCTCGTGTTTTGTTTTGAGGTAGTGTTTTGAAGCAGTTTCTGGCTCTTTCGAAAGAACTAAAGATGATCCGTTACCTAACCAGATTCGAGAGATTTCTTACCAGAAAAGTAGCGGTTTCTTTTGCCGATCCACCTGTCCACAGCTTTGTCCCAATCTCGTATCTTATCCGTGCACTTTTGGAGCGCCAGTTCCATGATGAGTTCCATCTCGCTTTTGAAAAAGAAGTACGCAAACGCCCCTGGGGAAAGAGGGATTGTTTCCATCCCTTTTTTCGCGACAAGCATTTGAGAAATCTGGATAAACTCCTCGTCCTCGTCGATTATCGGCCTTCCTCTGAGCATTTCTATCATTTCCCGATCCTCCTTCGCTCTCCTCGGGTATTGGTGAAAACGAAATGTCGCATCCGTGTATTTTTGAAGCCCCGCGCGGTCGTTTTTGTAGTCCTGCAAGTTGAACGGCAACGGGATGTGATTTTTGACGAACTGCTCCAAATTGTTGACGTAGGTTTCGCGCGACGAAATGATAAGCGAGTACTGGGCCATGTAATGCTGCTTGCGTCGGAGCATTTCGGCGATTGTCGCTGTAAATTGCAGCCAAAGTCTGTAATTCTCGCAGGGCTCTTCGTCTCGAACGCGCTCGCTGACAAAGTCGTGATCGCTTTCTTTTATGCTAGAATTTTTCGTAAAGAGGGAATCATCAATCTTGCCTTACCTCGGATCCCGCAGAAGTTTGACAACAGCACAGTCACTACAGTAGTACTTGTAGTGCTCTGGGACCAAGATCTGCTCGTAATGAAAGTTGCAGTCTCTCTCATCGCCCGACTTCTTGATCTTCACAAATGCCGTCTTCACGGGCGGAATTTCTTCTGACTGCTCAAAAGTGGCGCTGGAATCTCGCTCTGACTCGATCTTCCGCACCTTCTCTGCGCAAACGCAGCAAAGATGCATTTTTTCTCAGCTCACCGAAAATCGAAATGCTTTCTGAAGATTTTTTAATTGAAAATCATTGGAAAACTTCCATTTTGAAAAATACATGTTGTTTCTATCAAAAAGGGGAATCTGTCAGTAAGGGGCAGTGAGGAATGATTCAATTTGGTCTAAGTCGACTTGTAGTGGTCTTCGTCGATGGTGCTGTAGATATGTCCTGAAAACAAATAATAAAAGATCGTAGGGGAAGGAAAACTGACCATCATCAGCAAGCTGGTCGAGAATTTCGCGGAGTTTCTCCTCCTTGATTCCAAGCATTGAAAAGTCCTTTGGACACTGGGCGCCCTGCTCTGTCTCGTTCTTGATCACGATGCCGAGGACTTTGCTCTGCTGGGAGTCCATTCCTTCGCGCACGAAATCGTTCGTCGAAGCAACTGCGTTTGGCGCCTCAATTAAAAAAGACTGACCCTTGAATTCGTATTAGAATGCTACCTTGTCGATTGGAACGTTTTCCTTGTTGGTGCCATTGCCCATTACCTGAGCGACGGTGTAAATCGCCTCGAGCATGAAGCAGCTCAGCACGGAGCCGGGATTCTTCTCGATCTTTCGGATCACGTGGACGATTACTGAAGCCTTGTTCTTGTCTAAAGAATGGTTTTATGGCAGAGATAGATTGATGAAAGGTCACCATCTTTGGAAGGCTTGATAGCGCCGAAAATCTTGATGTAGTCTCCCTTCTTGACCGGGACAGCTCGAATGACATCGTTGAAAAGATGCACTCCGGTTCCATCGTCCAAGCAGATTCCGAGAGCATTTGCGTTGCCACTCTCGACTTCCTGAAAAGCGTCAAAAACTGCAAAGAAAAAAGAGCGAACCTGTGTTCCAAGAACTTTTCCGCAGAAGACGGCGGATCCCATCGAGACTTTGACTCCATTAATGTGGAATCCGTTTCCTTCGTCGTCGGCAAAAAAGGATCCCTTCGCGTTGAGAGTGGCAATGGTCACGTGGACGTAGTTCTGAGCCTTCTTGACCGACATTCTAAAATGGTAATCTTTAACAAATGATGATATTTCAAGAAGCTTGGCAAACGTAAACTTGTTGTAATTTGTGATAATAGTCAGTCAGTTTCAGTAATCATTAATACAGAAATGAATAAGTCGTTATGCCTTTTCTGGAAGTGTATCCAAAGCTAAGACATCCAGTTTCATTTTTACTATAAAAAATTTTATACATAAAAAAGGTCTTCGTCGAAATTTGCAAAATCGGCACTCTACTAGAAATCCTCGCTGCGTAAAACGGGTGAGTAACTCTTACCCACCGCGCGTGGCCAATCAGCGCGCTCTATTTTTTCAAAGACGTCTTCGCTCGCACAAAACGCCTTTAGCGAAAAGAATTCACTCAAAAATCACAATTTCCATCGCTTCATTTCATTTTTACGATCTTCTGACTATTTTTCATAATTCCCGCTTTTTGAGAGAAAAATCTGAAAATTTCAAAGTCAATATTTATTTCCCGAATTCCCGAATTTTATTTGTTTTGAGTTTTATTTACAAAAAGAAAAAAGTGATTGTTTGAGTGTTTAATTAAACCATGGGTCGCGAAAAGTGTGATTTTTCGCACTCAGAATTACGAAAAAAATGGGAGTTTCTCGCTTTTTTCCTCAAAAAAAGAAAGTTTCAAAATCGATTTTTTCGAAAATTAAGTTGTCAATAACAATGATCTACTGATTCGAAGCTCCTGTGCACTCTGTGTGAGATAATAACTATCGAGGCCAAAAGGCGTATCGAAGGACAGACGGCTACAGTCGAGAATTTAGATTTGGGATGGCGAAAGGCCGCGAATCGATAGATGGAGAATTAGTAGACCAGTTGAAGAAATAAAACAAAAAACAGGAGAATACTAACTACACAACTTGAAGAAGAGAGTTTTATGGAAGGCGATCAAAATTCGGGTAAATTTTTCGTCAAAATTTTGAGCTTACGAATTTTCATATTTGTTCTCTAGATCTCCCGTCAGGAGAGGAAATCGTCAGCTCGCACGAACTAGCCGCAATCATCGACGAAGTCGACGCCCTTGTTTCCGAAAGCGACAATGAAGCCCCTGAAAGCGCTGATGTTCCATATTCTGAAGCAAAGGAGCCAGGAAATGATCCAGCCCATGACTCTTCTGAAGTAGCAGTGGTAGAGAAGGCAAGAGATGACGAAACGAAGCTAATCCCTGACACTGAATCGATTCCCCCGCCTCAAACTGAATCCGAAGAAATTAAGAGGATACCAGAAGAGAAGCTTTCCGACCCAATCGTTGCCGATTCTGAAAAAGTCACTGTAAATCACGATGAAGCAGAAGATGTTGTCGATCATCCACTGTCTCCCACTCCTCTAAGACCAGATTCGCAAGCGAAAAAAGAGCCGGAAAAGAACGCCGCTATTTCCGATCAATCCAAATCCAGCTCTCCAGAACCATCCCTTGCCGAACCCGTCAAATCCACCGAATCAAAGCCGCCTCTCGCCGATCCTCTTTCCATGGACAACGAAGACCTTCAGCACGCAGGAATCATGGCCGAGCTATCTCAGCTCAAATCGGAACTGGCGAACGCGCACGCGAACATCTTCCGCCTCAAAACGCAAGTTGAAAATTTAAACGAACTGAAACCCATCGCCGAGCAGTTCGTCAAAGTCTCTGGCGGCAGCAAGGATCCCCTTTCCTGGTTTCAAGCGTTGAAAAAGACGACGCTGAGCGAGCGCAAGCCGCTACTGTCAAATCAAACGAACTAGTGCGTAAAATCCAAAACCTGGAAAAAGAACGCAACGATTCCGTGATGAAATATGCAATGGTCGAAAAACGAGTGCTGGACTCTTCGAGGGCCGCCGAAAACGCCACGAAAGAGGCGGCAAAAGCAAAGGCTAATGAAGATAAGATGAAAATCGAAGCTGAAAAGTGTCGGAAAACGGCGGCGCAGGCGACAAAGGACTGTAACGCGATGAAGGAGCAGTTCGTTGCCAACTCGAATGTACTCAAGTGGACGCAGGAAAAGCTGAAGAAAGAGACGCAATCTTTGGAAGAGGAAAAGGCAAAGAATTCGAAGCTGATGCGGGACATCAAAGAGTCCAAAGAGGAAACTGAACAAATTCGAAACAACACCCAACAAATCATCGCTACCTATCAGGTCTGAAATAAAAAATACGAGCAGAGACGCAATTAAATGTCCTAGAATTCGGAAGAAGTTCGCTCAAACTCGCTCGATGGCGAGTTAAAATCACTCAAGTTCAAATACGAAGAGCTCCTTGAAGACAATAAACAAAAAACCGAGAAGCTCTCCGAAATCACGGAAACGCTAGCTAGGGTTCGCACGCAAATAAATTTCTTGATTTTCAAGTTGCTTTAAACTCGTTTATATGAAAATTTACAATAGTAATATTGCCATTTTGAAGAAGTTAAAATTCTTTAAAATATATAAAAAGGGTTTTTCAACCCTTTTTGCTAAGAAAAAATATTAAATTCGTCTTTAGGCACATTTCTAGTGAAGCGGCACTAACGAGTACTCGATATATTGTAGTAAATGCCGTAACGAACAATCTATGAAAGTTTGGTTAAAATCGGTTGGTACTCCTAGGCGCCGTGGCTCTTGAAAATATGAAGCCTGCAAGTCTTTGATATTGTCTTGGAGGACCCCCTTGGAGGACTTCATCTGCTGGAAGACCAATATTATGAATATTCAATATATGGCCGTGCTCGGCCGGTATATGGCCACCCATGGTCAACTTTGGTCAAGTTCGGCCGGAGGACCCCGGAGGACCTCCTTGGTGGAAGACCATCAGCTTGAAGACCAATATTCAAAATTTTCAATATACGGCTGTTATATATAGCCCCGTTCCTTGATTTTTTAATTTAAGGGGCTTGACGGCCCTTCGGGCCGTCTCAGCCCCGTTCCTTGATTTTTTAATTTAAGGGGCTTGACGGCCCTTCGGGCCGTCTCAGCCCCGTTCCTTGATTTTTAATTTAAGGGGCTTGACGGCCCTTCGGGCCGTCTCAGCCCCGTTCCTTGATTTTTAATTTAAGGGCTTGACGGCCCTTCGGGCCGTCTCAGCCCCGTTCCTTGATTTTTAATTTAAGGGGCTTGACGGCCCTTCGGGCCGTCTCAGCCCCGTTCCTTGATTTTTAATTTAAGGGCTTGACGGCCCTTCGGGCCGTCTCAGCCCCGTTCCTTGATTTTTAATTTAAGGGGCTTGACGGCCCTTCGGGCCGTCTCAGCCCCGTTCCTTGATTTTTAATTTAAGGGCTTGACGGCCCTTCGGGCCGTCTCAGCCCCGTTCCTTGATTTTTAATTTAAGGGGCTTGACGGCCCTTCGGGCCGTCTCAGCCCCGTTCCTTGATTTTTAATTTAAGGGCTTGACGGCCCTTCGGGCCGTCTCAGCCCCGTTCCTTGATTTTTAATTTAAGGGGCTTGACGGCCCTTCGGGCCGTCTCAGCCCCGTTCCTTGATTTTAATTTAAGGGCTTGACGGCCCTTCGGGCCGTCTCAGCCCCGTTCCTTGATTTTTTAATTTAAGGGGCTTGACGGCCCTTCGGGCCGTCTCAGCCCCGTTCCTTGATTTTTAATTTAAGGGCTTGACGGCCCTTCGGGCCGTCTCAGCCCCGTTCCTTGATTTTTAATTTAAGGGGCTTGACGGCCCTTCGGGCCGTCTCAGCCCCGTTCCTTGATTTTAATTTAAGGGCTTGACGGCCCTTCGGGCCGTCTCAGCCCCGTTCCTTGATTTTTAATTTAAGGGCTTGACGGCCCTTCGGGCCGTCTCAGCCCCGTTCCTTGATTTTTAATTTAAGGGCTTGACGGCCCTTCGGGCCGTCTCAGCCCCGTTCCTTGATTTTTAATTTAAGGGGCTTGACGGCCCTTCGGGCCGTCTCAGCCCCGTTCCTTGATTTTAATTTAAGGGCTTGACGGCCCTTCGGGCCGTCTCAGCCCCGTTCCTTGATTTTTAATTTAAGGGCTTGACGGCCCTTCGGGCCGTCTCAGCCCCGTTCCTTGATTTTTTAATTTAAGGGGCTTGACGGCCCTTCGGGCCGTCTCAGCCCCGTTCCTTGATTTTTTAATTTAAGGGGCTTGACGGCCCTTCGGGCCGTCTCAGCCCCGTTCCTTGATTTTTTAATTTAAGGGGCTTGACGGCCCTTCGGGCCGTCTCAGCCCCGTTCCTTGATTTTTTAATTTAAGGGGCTTGACGGCCCTTCGGGCCGTCTCAGCCCCGTTCCTTGATTTTTTAATTTAAGGGGCTTGACGGCCCTTCGGGCCGTCTCAGCCCCGTTCCTTGATTTTTTAATTTAAGGGGCTTGACGGCCCTTCGGGCCGTCTCAGCCCCGTTCCTTGATTTTTTAATTTAAGGGGCTTGACGGCCCTTCGGGCCGTCTCAGCCCCGTTCCTTGATTTTTAATTTAAGGGGCTTGACGGCCCTTCGGGCCGTCTCAGCCCCGTTCCTTGATTTTTAATTTAAGGGGCTTGACGGCCCTTCGGGCCGTCTCAGCCCCGTTCCTTGATTTTTAATTTAAGGGCTTGACGGCCCTTCGGGCCGTCTCAGCCCCGTTCCTTGATTTTTAATTTAAGGGGCTTGACGGCCCTTCGGGCCGTCTCAGCCCCGTTCCTTGATTTTTAATTTAAGGGCTTGACGGCCCTTCGGGCCGTCTCAGCCCCGTTCCTTGATTTTTAATTTAAGGGCTTGACGGCCCTTCGGGCCGTCTCAGCCCCGTTCCTTGATTTTTAATTTAAGGGCTTGACGGCCCTTCGGGCCGTCTCAGCCCCGTTCCTTGATTTTTAATTTAAGGGGCTTGACGGCCCTTCGGGCCGTCTCAGCCCCGTTCCTTGATTTTTTAATTTAAGGGGCTTGACGGCCCTTCGGGCCGTCTCAGCCCCGTTCCTTGATTTTTAATTTAAGGGCTTGACGGCCCTTCGGGCCGTCTCAGCCCCGTTCCTTGATTTTTAATTTAAGGGGCTTGACGGCCCTTCGGGCCGTCTCAGCCCCGTTCCTTGATTTTTTAATTTAAGGGGCTTGAGATCGGCGTTGGACTCTGAGGTGATCAATCTCAGTTATGTCCCCAACCCCACCCACACCCATTCGAGGTTTAAATACAAATTATTCAAGTTTTTTCTTTTATTATGGTTTTTATTTAGTTTTTAGAGTTTTAATTTCTTTATTTGCGGATTTATCATCTTGCTTCGACTTTTTCGACTCGAAAAAATCATTTTTGATTTTTTAAAATGATATTCTTGGTTTTCTCAGGCTTAATTTTGCAAAAATGAAAAAATCGATTTTTCGACCCCTATACCCTTAATTTTTCGAAATTTTTTTGATTTTTCTTGATTAGGACCTCAGAAATATGTCCACAAAATTTCATCCCTCCAGATCAAGTGCAAAAAGTCCATTTTTCCACTGGCGCAACCCCAGTGATAAGACTTTCAGGAGTGATAAAGAAGGGTTCCTGCGTTTCGATTAAGTTAATTTTTTAAGAATGACCCATTCACGGTGATTTGATTTATCTGCGAAAATTTCAAAATCAGGGTCGAAAAAAAAATTTTTCGAAAAAAGTTACTTGAGCCAAGATCTCGGCGAGCGGCGGCACTTCAGCACACGAGCGCCACCCATCCATCGCGGCGCGGCGCGCACACCGGCGATTTTTCGCCATTTTCTCGACTCTAGAACTCGGGTTCTAGTGGAGATTTTAAATTCTGATTTCAGATTTGAAATCAGTGGAATGAATAAGGGGGGGACACTAAAAATGGTTATTTGTTAAGCATTTTAAAATTTTAAAATTATTTGGGTGCGAACCCTAACGCTAGCCAAAGTACAGTCAGATTATGACGACGCTGCGGCGAAGGTAATTGGTTGTAAAATGCACGTCGTTCATTACCACCGTTCGTATTCATTTTTTATTGAAAAAAGCATGAAAAAGAAAAAGATAGAATCATCATTTGCATGAGTCATTTTGTCTGTCAGGATTCTTAAATAAACTTTGAGAATCGGCTCGTTCGGAATCTCAATTTTGATTATTTTTGAACGACAAAAAGGCGTCAGCTTTTCTCTCCCAGGTTACCTGTCTCGAAGAGGAAAACGCAACTGTGTGCGGAACGAAATGCTATGGCTAGAACGCTCAACGGGCAAAAGAGGATTTGACCGAGCTTGGAGCTAAGGTAATTTTGAAAATAGGTTGAAATCAAGGAAGAGAACGACTCTTTTGTCTTGTCTCCGACTTGTTTATTGATCGACCAGATTGTTGTTTATTCACGTTTTTATTTGCAGTATGCGCAAGAGCAGCAGTTGTTAAAAGAAGTCACGGCCGAGCGCGACAATTTGCTGGAAGAAGTAAACGGGGCAAAAGAATGCGCCGCAGATCGCCAGCAACAAGCTGAAACGCTCAAAACCCGCGAGGCCGAACTCCTTGCTTCAGTCCGCTCATTGACAGAAAACAACGGTACCTTTCGACAGGAGCTTGAAGAGAAATCAAAGCGGCTAGAGACGCTGGAAAAGTCAAACGCTGAATACGAAGAGCTCAAGGGGATTCATGAAAAAGTCACGACTTCGCTGAAAGAGTTACGGGCTCAGTACGAGACCGAGAAAGTCGGATCTGTTGATGAGCTTGCAGCGGCGAAAAAAGCTGCTGAAGATGCTAACAGCAGAGTCAAAGCACTAGAAAAGCAGAACCAAGGTAAGCTCCTGCTTAAGCTCGATGTTTACCCATTTTTAGCCATCAAAAAAGAACTCCGACAAGCGCTGAAGAAAAACGAATCCTCCGACGGGGAACTCACCAGAAGCTCAAGTCGTCTAAGTCTGGATTCAATGGGCGAGCAGCAGGGGCGTCCTGTGGTCGAGCCACAAAGCCCAGCAATGAGCCGGACGCAGAGCAGAACGCAAAGTCCCCGCCCGAGGCTCGACACTGCCACTAATGGCTTCGACGATTACGGACTCTCGAATATCGACAAAAAAGAGCTGATACATCGACTTGTTGAAAATCAAAAAGTCAATGTCAAGGAATGGATTAACTTTTGCTCAAGTTTACAATGATGTCGTATTGCGAAAAGCCCAAAGGTGCACTATTTATTGATGCCACCTCCACGGCTGAAATTAATCGATTTATCTGGCGCCTCTGGATCCCTTTTCCTCTCAGCATTCTATCAGAAATTAGTCATGTTTTACTTAATTTATTCTAATCCAAATATAAGAGAAACGAAAAGATCGACTTCCTGAATGACCACGTGAGTCAGCTGACGGAAGAGCTGAAAAAGAAGACAAAACTGTTGCAAAGCTTCATGCTCAGGGAACAGCATGGAAGGATGAAGCCTCCTGGGGCGGAGCAAGAACTTGCGCAGAGGGTCAATAGACTTCTCGCTGGAGCACATGTCGTTGCACCAGGTCAGTAGAATAGAGCTTGGAGAAGATGTTTTGGAGCTTCAAAAGTTGACATTTTGTTTCAGATAACTTGGACGTGGTCCTGGAAGTTAACCGTAAACTTCAATTAGTTCTGGAAGACACTTTATTAAAGAATATGATGCAGCAGGACAATATAAAGATGTTGGGCGAGGAAATCGATCGCCAGGTAGGTTATTCTATCGATTTGGGTGTGACTTATTCGCCCGCGTGTTTTAGCACAGCTCCTGCCGCTGCAAGCCTAATAGGATGCATCGCTGACTCCCTTCTTCGAAGTTCTTCTCCAGCCAAAACGCCCAAAGCACAACTACTGTTTCGTACCTAGAGAAATTTGACCGACCTGCTCTTGCCTCGCCCTTTTAAGTTTCTATGCTTTAGTTTCTCTTTTTTCAGCACGATTTTCATCGACCTCAAGCAACTTTTGACAACCTCAAAGTATTACTTTCTTCTTTACTATTTCTACTATCAGTAATTCACCAATTCCGAATCGCTAGTTCAGTCCTTCTGGTGTTATTCCTTTCAAAGACCGGTATTCAACTTATTTATTTTATTCTGTAAATTCGAGACGCATCTTCATTCAACTACCTATGTTCACGCAATCTTCCTTTAGAATGAGTGTTTCCCCCGAAAGACCGATCTACTCCCCCTTCTTCTCCGTTATGGGAGCCACCAGCGCTATGGTCTTCAGGTAACAACTCAACCTTCTTTTGTTCCCTTATCAAGCATTTTCTTCAGTTCCATGGGCGCCGCCTACGGTACCGCGAAGTCGGGTGTTGGTATTGCCGCCATGGCCATCATGAAACCAGAATTGATCATGAAATCGGTCGTTCCCGTCGTCATGGCTGGTATCCTCGCCATCTACGGTGTCGTCGTTGCCGTCCTCATCGCCAACACAATCAACAAAGATGGAACCACCATGGCCAAGGTAAGAAATCTCTAGAGCTCGCTACTTCTCTAGATGCAAAATAAAAGAGCTGCTCCTGAGAAAGAGAAGTCAATAGAGATTGATAGAGATAAAGATATATAAATATTATGTGAGGACTTGACGAATATGGGAGCTGGTCTTTCGGTCGGCCTTTCCGCCATGGCGGCCGGTTTCGCCATTGGTATCGTCGGTGACGCCGGTGTCAGAGGGACAGCCCAGCAGCCAAAACTCTTTGTCGGTATGGTCTTGATGCTTATCTTTGCTGAAGTCTTGGGTCTGTACGGTCTTATCACTGCTCTCGTCATGATGTACGCATAAACTTATCTACCAAGGTAGTCGCTACTCTTCCTTGACTTCGAAATTTGAGCCAAATTTAGACTTCATCACTCCCAAAACTCGGGATGTAAAACGCAAAATTCATCGAACCAAATCACCATGCGACGATCTCCAAAGGTGGTTCATTTGTTCTGGCTCATACCTCCTAGAAACTTTCCATCTGCCATCTGAGCACATCGTCCTCTCCATTCAACTCTAGTTTTCATCTCTTGCTTGTAAAATATATATATTCCTCTTCTTGTTACTGCAAAATTCTATTTTATTCTGAATTACGTTCAATAACAGTCTTTTAATAGCCCCTAGTAAAACACACACATGTCACTACTGAATAACTGTACTTTCAAAAACGAAAAAAAATCAAATTAAAGTTAAAGCCGTCAACTCTAGTTTTGTTGGCAGTCAAAGTCGAATAGGGCAAGTCTTTACTTTTATCAAGAAAACCATTTATCGATTTATTATGACAGTATTACAGTATACTAATTATAATTATTGTGAGACTCTTTTTTCACTTTTCATAACCCTTCATCGTGCAATTTAAATTCGAGTAAAAGCTAAAACGATCGTTTTTCTTTTTTTTCAGATCGCTTAGAATTTTGATTTCATCACCAAGATGAGCAAGGCACATCCTCCAGAGCTCAAGAAATTCATGGACCGAAAGATGTCCATCAAGGTCAATGGAGGTACGAGACAGCCTCTCTTTTTTGTTACGTGGCGAATTTCAATTTTAGGTCGAAAAGTGGAGGGCGTTCTTCGCGGCTTCGATCCCTTCATGAATCTGGTTATCGACGACGCCATCGAGTACAGAAAAGGTTCGCGCTTTGTTTATCGATTATCTGTCCAATTCTGACAAATACAATTTCAGATAACTCCTCCCACACCATGGGCATGTGTGTCATCCGGGGCAACTCCGTCCTCATGATCGAAGCCATGGAGCGAATCTAACCGCATCCGAATAATAAAAACCGCCTCTTGTTGACATTTTATTTTTGCACTGTACTCAAGTGACCGGGTAAGCCACTCGCGATGCTTGAGATCAAAAACCAGTTCATTTCAATAAACAAGTCCTCCAAGAGAGAAAAAATAGTAAAAGCTAGAGAAATCCCCGAAGATTTTGCTGGGTGAAGATTCTTTGTTGACTTCTTGTTTGTTTGTCCCTTTAATTTGCAAGTACAGTTACAATTTTGATGCAGGCTTGGAATTCAGAATGGAGAGAGAACCACCAGTGGGTTGCTCAGACTCAGAAAATGAAAAAACTAGGCTTGAGATGCTTGAGTCGGAGCGAAATGACTTGCAAAAATCGATGATAACTTTGACTTCCCGTCTTGCTCAAGTAAATAGAGTCTTAGTTGGAAGAGCAAGGAGTATAGATAATTTTAAGGTCGAGTTTCGTCTGAGCCAAGCTCTCAACAACCCTGAAGCAGATCGCGACTGTATTTTAAAAGATTTGTCTGATTTTGTCTCTTCCTCGACCTCTTCTCTTCCGCTCAACTCCACTAACGACAGTGGAGAGGACTCGTTAACGAAGCTATCAATAGCGCTGAAGGACCAACTCGATGAAGTAGAACGATTAGCCGCTGGAAAAGGACTCAACAATCATATAACCAAAGATATCATCCAAGGACAGCAGGAGTCTCTTCGAATTTTAAGCGAAAAGCTCGGTTTGAAGGGCGAAATCGCCACCACCGAGCAAGCAAAACAAGCAGCCGATGAGGCGATGAAAAATCTTCTGATGCCGCAGATCGAAAAAGAACAACTCGTCGACCAGTTGCAGACGAAGGTCAAGGATCTGGAACGATTCATCGAATTCATGCAGCAAAACAAAGAAGAGAAAGATCTCGACTTGCCGGATCCAGCGAGGCAGAAGGCCAACTCGGGCATCATTACAAAGGGCGTCCATGCGTTGATAAAAATCGGTACATTGCTACCCTACCTCCTCGTCAAAAACCTCACTTGCGGAAAGGCGAAAATCGCGTCCAAGTACCACGACCCTCCAGATACGCCTGAGGAAGATCAGGATACCGTCATGACGAGTGCGCCCAAACCGCTTGATCCAAAAGAAATAAAGCCGAAAGAAATTGAAGATTTAATTCATACTGTCAATTTGGTCAAGCTCGCTTATCAACGACACAATATTGCGAAGGGTAAACGATCAAGGGGATCTGAGTGTGAGCATATTGCGACAATGGGTAAGATTCTTGCTGCGTTTCTTGATTATCGCTAATCTAAACCTAGATCGACTGGTATCAGTTGTTCGCAAGCAGCTCTCAAACTCGATCGCGGCAATATTTGCTCACCATTTCGACTTTGGCTCCTCGTATTTGTCCTCCGCGCTTTCAACAATTACTTATCCAGTTTACGGCTGCTTCAGAGACAAAGACTCCAACTCGCACGCTGAAGACGACTCCTGGCAAATTTTACTAAAAGTATAAATTTCCATGTCATCATTATTTTATCAAATACGTAGTTTTTCGAAGTTCGGGGAGGAAATATCATGACAAAAGCGCCTAATTCAGCATTGCGACATGCATTTGGAATGAAAGATCCGCTTCTAGGCCGAAACGAACACGAAAGATCGCTTCTTGAGACCATTCATAACGTCAAAACTTCCCATGAAAAGGTAGCCCAGCAGCTCTTACTCCCTTCCTCTACTCCGCTATTTTAGTTTAAAGCGTACAACTCTTCGATGTTTCGCGCAGTAATCTGCCACGGGCTCAATGAGCGTTGTCTAACTGCTTGGCTCTACTGCGTTTTCAAAGCACTAAATGAAGAGTATCAACCGGACGCTTTTCTTAGGTAACTTTCTTCCTTTCGAAAGAAGATTTTCTTATCATAAATCTCAGGCAACATGGATACGATCAATTCCTCTCTGTTCTTCTACCCCTAGAAAAGCTCCAAAACGGCTTCGATTTGCCGGCCAATCTGGCGATCAAAAATTTGAACGATATCAAAGACGCTTACTGACAATTGAAGCTACTTTACCTCCTGTCTTCAACAACATTTCATTCTCTCAACTTCATCCGAATTCTTCATCGGGCAACTAGCAATTCCGAATGTTTACCTACCTATTTTTATCACTGTACACTGCATCTTGTCTGACTTTTTCTTCACTTCTTCGCCAAAAACGTTCCTACTTATCCTCTTCAAACGATCATTCTTCCTTCACGCGAATCCATTCAGATTTTCTTTTGCAAAAAATGGTCTTGGGTCTTCTGACAAATGTCCGATTCATCGCCGGCGTCGGACTTGGAATTTTCATCAACCAAGAGCTCGGAACCGAAAAAGTGCGCTTCTATGTCAACAACCCCCAAGTCGCCATCGACGATGCTACTGAACATCTGAAGAGCTTCAGGAAAAATGAATAAAATTACTCTCCTTTTCATGCACCAATTCATGTTTTTTTTATCTAAAATGAAACTTCCTCACTCTTCAGTTCTTTTCAGTTTTAGAATTCAACTAAAACTGTGTTGATTTATAATTGATAATGATTATTGATATTTTATGATTTTGCTGATATAACAAATAAATAAACAGAGCACAAAGTAAATCTTTTCTCCCTTTGAGATGTTGAAATCGGCATTTTCGCGGCTTCCAAAGAGATATTCCTCCGCAAGAGCTGTTGATTTGTCAGACTGGCGGTCGTTAATTTCTGTTAGGGGCAAGGATGCCAAGGCCTTGCTTCAAGGAGTCATCACAAATGATATTTCAAACTTGCAGCATGCCGGTGAGTCAGCAGTTAATCTTGAGAGACGCATTAATTTTGAAAAATTGACAAATTAACATGCCAAATTAGGTTCAATGTATTCCATGTTCTTAAACGCAAAAGGAAGAGTCTATTTCGACGCGATTTTATATCACTTGAACGACGATGAAATTTTAATCGACTGCGACAAGACTCTTTCCACGAAGCTAAAGAAGCACTTGTCGATGTACAAAATCAGACGAAAAGTGAAAATCGATTTTGTCGAAAGCGAATCTATTTGTCATATTCTCCCCGGAAGCGAAGACCTTGATTTTGGATTTGTCGACCCGAGGCTGGAAAAAATGGGAGCAAGGGTGCTTTCCAATCCGAATTTACCGACGATGTCATTGGAAGAATACCACTCGCACAGATATAGACTCGGTAAGCGACTTTTGACATGATATTTTGACTTTTAATACGTCAAAATAGCTTATCTACCGAATAAATATTCAATAAGAAAGGGTTGTTTTGGGGGTGAACAAGGAAATAATTTAAATATTTGATCAGTTAGGCTCAGAATGAGCCTTTTTCTTTTTTGAGTTAATGATTTAACAACGACTGTATTTATTCAATTAACCAGATTATTCAAGTTGAAACCATGGTAGTTCCAAAATTCATGAACTTTTAGTGGAAGTGGTACGCTGCGCAAATATTAGCTGGGCGTTTCCAAGCTATTTTTTGCTCTTCTTGATTCATTCAATTCAGGAATTCCAGAGGGCGGAGAAGAGATTCCATTCAACAAAGGCTTCCCGCTCGAGTGCAACTGCGATTTAATGAGCGGCGTCTCCTTCCACAAAGGATGTTACCTCGGCCAAGAACTGACCGCGCGCACTTTCCACACTGGCGTCACTAGAAAACGAATCGTTCCATTAAAACTCTCTCCTGGAAACGAAGCAAAAGATATTAAAGCAAAAAGAAGCGCAGGAAAAATTTTAACAGTCGATTCTGATGGGAATGGATTGGCCATGTTCAGAACTGATAATTTTGACAAAACGGTGAAAGTTGGAGACGAAGAAATCGTCGTTTCAAAGCCGAGTTGGTGGGAGAGAGAAGGAGACTCGCTGGAATTCGGAATTTCAAACCATTTAAAGCATCTTGACTATTATTCATTTGCTGAAAATTTCTAGCCTTGAAGAATCTTCAATACTGATAAAACCTGATCTTCAAAAATTAAAGCTCATATTTTTTCAGAAAAAAAATGGCTCTCCGAAGAATCGCACTTCACTACGACTGTATCAGTCCCTACAGTTGGATCGGCTTCGAACTTATGATGCGCCACAGTCGAATTTGGAACGATCCTTCTGTTCAAATCGAACTCAAGCCGACTTTTCTCGGTGGAATCATGCAGGGATCGGGTAATAAGCCTCCTGGTGTCGTTCCTGGAAAAATGGTCTACATGGGAAGAGATTTGATGAGATTGAATGAGTTCACAGGAAGTAAGTAATTTTTCATTCTGGGGAAGCAAATTTTGTATCTACTAAATTTTTATTCAAATAGATAGGAATCTATTTACCAGCTGGTATACCCAGGTGACCTCTTTTCAACCAAAATGGTGCGTTCCGAGGCGCCCTCTTTCGGAAAATTTCCGGATAAAATCCAGCTCTCCTTTTTAAATTTCAATCACTCAAAAATTTATGATGATAAAAATGATGCAAAAGACTGTGGATTAAAATGAATGTCTTGGATCTCAATCTTCGATCTGAGAATTTTTTAAAATTGTAAAATAAATGCCTTTTCTTGTACTGTCAAGATAATTGTGTCCAATAAAAATGATAGAAAAATTTGAAGAATATTTTTTGTATTGCAGCTAATTGTGATTGTAGTGGAGTTGAACATGCTTTCCGACCCATTCACGACCCTCTTCAAAAAGGGCTCCATCAAAGCCATGCGAGCCATCACAGCCATGGACATGAACAGCCCCGAAATCGTCGAGCGAGTTTCGACCGAGGTCTGGAAGAAAATCTGGATCCACGACCTCGACATCACCGATGAGGCCGTCTTGATGGATGCATTCGCCAAGGCTGGCCTTTCGGAGGAACAAGGAAGAGAGTTCTTGGGACTGGCGAGTACGAAAGCGGTGAAAAACAAGCTCAAGGAAAATACGGAAGAAGCGCTTGATGCTGGTTGTTTCGGAGCGCCATCCTTTATCGTCCGACAGGAAGGGGAGGAGGATAAGATGTTCTTTGGACAAGGTAGCTTTCTTGCTTTCAAAGAGGGGGTAAATGCTTTTCAGATCGAATTGAACTGCTCTGCCATGAGTTAAATCTGCCATACCACGGCGCAGCGAAAGAAGGCAAAATATTCTGAGCGTCGTTTTGCTGGCGCTAGAAGTTCCTTTTAGTCCTCACTGTGTCTTTTTGAATTATTTATCGTTATTCTTTTTCGGGAGGAGATTCACCCGCTGATTCAAATAAAAAATAATGCTTCTATCTTCTCTTTTCTTTCTTTTTCGTTTTGAACTTGCAGCAGGCTTATCTACAGGGATAGTCCGAAAACACACAGAGAAAAACGAAAACGATTTTCCATTGACCAATTTCGAGACTTTGAAAAAAGTACCTCCTTTGATAAAATTTAACTCATCTGCAGGGGAAACGTCATGTATGAGAGCAGAAATGAGGATTGCCCTTTTTCTTGGGCAATCTCAGTTTTTAATAAGCGCAGAAAACGTCTCCGGAAACTGCTCGGAGTTGACCATTGGCTGGCCTTCTCATCCCTTTCCGGATATTGGGGAGATTAAACTTTTGTTCAAACTTGACGAAAGAAAAGATGCCCTAAGATTTGGTTCTTTTTTTCCTAGAATTTTTTTTTCTGAAACAGGCAATTTTCAAAACCAACCTGAGCCACGCTGGATTGCGCTACATCGAAGTGAGAATCGGCTCCGACACATTTTCCTCCGCGATCAACGATCAAGAACTCGGCGCGCCACTTGGTTCAAGTTTTGTTTGCCGAACTGGCTTTGAATTTAGTTAGGGCTGCTAACCTACCAAGAACAAACCAGAACAAAGGAGGAGCATTAAACTTTGATAGACCTAACTTGTCGCGATTAATATTTACTCCTCTATGTTCGATGTATTCGCAGCCCGTGTAGACTGTGTCCTAAAGACAGGCAAATGTGCGGCCTCATGTCCGAAGCTGTTTTTATTCAATTCAGCGACGTTCACTTCCAGGTTCGAGAAATTATTCATCGCTACTACTCGTAGTGCCGTATCCCTTCATGTGCTTCTTTTTGCTAATTTCTTGTCTACTTTTCAAAATGGAAGAAGTATGATTGGTGCGTAAAGACTCGTAAACTTGTGTCGAAGCTTATCTTGTAATTCTCATCGGTTTGAAACGTTTCAGAATACAGATATTTATTGTTTTTGCTGCGTCATTCTCCTCAGAAAATTTTAGCCTTTTGAAATCGAAAGCAAGTCCGGCTTCGACCCCAACACTTACTGCCTTGGCGACATGAAGCTTATTTTTCCTGGTTTGCTGATTTTTCCTTCCGAAATGATAATGCGTTTTAGTTGTCATAATCTGCGTTGCAATTGGATTCAGTGTGCTGACAGCGCTGGCCTTGTACAATCACAGTCAGAAGCAAAAACTGACGACGGAAGTTTTTCACGAACTGTAAATTTATTCTGTTGCCAAAGAAAAATATATTCATAAAGAATTTATTCTAAACTTAAGTTCCGTATTGTTGTTCATATCATTTTATTGAAAGGTTGGAGAAATAACGAATTCAAAATTCCCTCTGTTTCATTTTATCCCATTTTTCATCATTTTTGTCACTTTTCCTCTTCTTTTATTTGAACAGTCCTCATAATTTTAAAATTCAAGATTCTCGACGCCACACGCTTTTCTCAAGAGATCATCCTATCACGCCCCACTAGTTTTTAAATAACCTCAATTATTTTTTCTAAAGACACGTTGCTTTACTCATTCAAGGAGTTTATTATTTACAATTTTAGGACCCCAATTTGACTATAAAAACGTTTTACAAGTCCTGCGCGTATTTGACAATCAAACACTTCAGAATGACGGAAAACGACAGCGGGACGGGATGGTCGATTTTAGGCTCGGATTCAGAAGAAGAAATGGAATACAAGCCCGACTACGTGACCCACCTCTACGCTCTCCAGCAGAACAATGGATACGTAGACCTTCAATGCTCAGATCGTCGAACAATAAAGGAACGCCACATTCAAGGCGTTCACATTGCTACTGTCCAAGCGACAACTTCCAGATGCGTTTTTAGCCCAAAAGTGCAGCAAGCAAAGCCGGTTACGAATATCCTCAGACCTGTCAAGTAAATTGCCATCGTTTTTTGCTCAATTCTAACTCATATTAGGTTCAGTCGTATTCCTGTAAACTCGTCAAAAACTCCGACTCCAAAGTCAAAACGCGGGCGCGCTACTCTCCTCAATCCTGGCGACAAAGTCCGATTAATGTTCGACTCCTTCCAGAAAAACCACTCGTAAGCAGCATCAATCGGCCATTTCACCCGATATTTTCAGCCCCGTTCAAAGCCCGAATCAGATAAAAGTCAGCACTGCCGAAAAGACAGCCAAGATCTCCAACGAAAAGACTTCTTCATCCGAAAGCCCCCTTTTTTAAAACTCTTTCATCCCATTTTCTTCACTCTACTCCTTTGTTGCTACACCGAAACTGTTCAATTTTGTCGTATTTTACTATTAATTTTTGAATTATTAATGTTATCATTCACAAAATCGATCAAAAGCAAACCATTCAGAGACAACATCTGCTCGGGTCTCACTCGTGGTGACCATGGGTAGCTCTTTTCGGAGCTATGTGTGGGATCCGCCGCTCATTCTCGGCCAAATGGCCACTGTACAGGAACGCTTTCACAGATAAAAGAAGAATCAGAAATAGGGCAAGTTTGTGAAAGCTGAATAAAGTGCATTTACTACGTCTCGCTCGGTTTTATGCTGACCCTCGCTTCTTGGCTCTTCGGCCTTCCGCCCAGCTTGAGCTACATGTTCGATTCAAACATTCTTCATTTATCTAACTACACCAATACTCTTGTTGTTTGTTGTCATGCTATTTCTGGTAGGCCAGTTTGAGTAGCTCAGAAAAAAAATTGGTTTTCTTTAGCGCTTGGTGGTTCTGTTGCTCTGTGGTACTTTGTCAAACGCGCCAAGCAATGTCTAGGTAACAAAATGACCTCTATTTCTTCCCTCAACCTTTTCAAGACTTTACCTGTACAATGCACCTATTTCACCTTATCGGCTGCTTCATCTACCGCGGCTTTCCTACCACTGTTTCTTGGTGGCTAATTCAACTCGTTTGCATCACTATCATGGTCGTCATGGGCGAGTATCTGGTAAGAAACCAACCTTCCAACGCTTCTTATTCCGTCTTTCTAGTGCATGAGAACGGAAATGCGAGAAATCCCGCTGCTAGGAGGTACTAGGCACAATGTATGACCTCATTTTTTATATTCTACTTTGTTCAATTACAATATTTCTTCTTTTCTGTGAAAAAATAACCTTATAAACATGCCACATACTGAAAAATTGAAAAATTTGCCAAATAAAAGAGCTCCCAAAAAAAATATCAGAAACTTAGAATGTCAAGTTCAAACTTGAAGGACTTTCTAAAAGAGTTTGATACTTCCGAGCAATTGCTCCCTGGAAATATCGACACGGAAAAGGATGAATCGGAAACGGCGGCGATCGTAACCGAGAATGAAAAATCGCATTATCTCAGTGTTGGACGCTCGAAATTGAGACCTGTGGCGGAGCCGACAGATAAAAAATACGCGGGAAAGAAAGTGACAAGAGAAGAACTCGAACAAGATTCGGAAAGCGACGATGATGAGGAAGAGGAGTACGACGATGATTTCAGCGACGAAGAAGAGGAGGCAGCCATGCTCGCGAAAATGAACAGTGGAGCGGCAAAAGAAATGGAAAAGGAACAAGAAGAAGAGGAAGAAGAAGATATGTCCAAGTACTTTTTAGGGAAGGGTTTTTAACAATTCAGTTTGAAGAAAGTAGGTTCCCTAAAAAACCGTTTCTTAGTCCAGGGAGAGCCAGGAGAAGATGAAGAAGACTACGACGAAGAGGAGGAAGAAGACGACGAGAATGAAGATGAATCAGACTCTGGTGTTCCGAAAGAAATCGAAGGAATGAGCCTTGAAGACCTACAGAATCGACATGATGCTGACGACGAGAGTATTGCTTCGTCGGATGCTGGTGATATTGGCGCGCTAGAGGATTTGGATATTTTTAAAAGAAGGGAAGAAGAAAAGGAAGCCTCGTCGACGCAACTTTCAGAAGCAGAAATCGGAAGGGGGCTAATTTCACAGGTATTTTTTTTTTTTGTTTGTTGTGCTCGTAATAACTGAACGCATCATTGAATTTAAATTTTATTCCTTCTAGACCTTACACAGTTAAAACAGGAACTTTAGATTGCGTTAGAGCATTTTGTCAGGGTTGCATATTTTTCCGAATTCAGATATTTAAAGACATTTTTTTTCAATCTCTGGCGCCTCCAAATATCACAGATAGATCTTATCTAAGCCCTTATTTTTCCAGGTCAATGCATAATTTTCAGGATTCGGATGAAAACAAATTTATTCCAAAAGAGAAACTGTTCGGTAACGTTTTAAAGCGTATTCAAGCATTCAATTTTCGTTTCTAACTCGCGGCTGCGTTCGTGCTCACTACTTTCCCTTGAGATCAGAGACTCTCGAATCGCCTGAAAATTCGTTGATTTTTGGCCTTTATTATTGATAAATTTACCTTTTTGCCGCTGTGCCACATGTAAGCAAAGAGCGTTTCCAAGATGCTGATAACGCTTGCTGCCGATAAGCCTAGCATCAGCCCCACTGTTCCTCCAATGTCCGAGAAAAACTCAAAGCTGGAAGATTTTCTTTTCATTTTCTTCATTTTTAAGTTTACCTGGTGTACTCAGGAAATTCAGTTTCCAGTTCGGTTTCGAGATCGGTTTGATAAAGCAAGAACGAGGTGACCTTTTTTCGAGCTGAGTCTGTGTTATTTCCTCTTGATAAATTATTCTCGCTCAAGGAGAGCGGCTCAACCCTAACTTGATTTCTGGAGGATCGACAGCGAGCCGATTATGCTCCGGTGTGTCAAGCCGCAAGTTCGCATACTGCATATTCGTCTGATAGAAAACCTCTTGAAGCATTTGTTGGTTTCATAAGATTGACGAGAACGTACCGTAGTCGCATTCTTCAGTGCAGTTGCATCGCATGTGATTGAAAGCTGTAAAATGAGTGGAAACGCAAAATGCGTGTTCAGTAAAAGTGCACATTTTCACTGTTTGCTGGAGATTTTTCCAGCCCCAGATTTCATCGGCTCCGAAGGGGCCTGTGAAATTTTTCGCCATTTCTATCACGTTTTTCGGGAAGTAAGGGGCTTACGATGGGTTGAAAGACAATCCCAGTTTTCGCAATTTTTAGGCCGTATTTTGAACCCATATTCTACGCACTTGCAGCTCTTGATCACGAGGTCGATCAAGCACTCGTAGATGCAGTGTTTCTTTGTGTAAAGGTTGAAATACTTGAGAACATCCGATTCCCTTTTCATGCAAGTGCTGAATGGGTACGGAAGCTTCTTGTGCTTCCTTTGTCTGATGGAGACGATTGGAACTGAGCCAGGGTTGAGGATGACGCTGTCATCCGGGTCGAGCGTCTCCTCGTGACGAGGACTGATGTAGACAGTGCAGCCATCTATAAAGTGTGCCCAGCCTGAGTCCAGATTTCACCACTTGAATTTTAAATGCCAACTTGCCTGACCCCCAGTCGCTGGAGTTATACTGCGCGACAATTGACAGTGAGCTCTGTCTGCCAAATGCTGCTGTTTGCTTGTTCGGGTCCTTGAACATTTCGGCCGTTGTTTCCATCTGTTTGCAGACGCCATAGACTGTCTATCTTGAGTTCCTCTCAGTTTGTGCTTATCGATCAGTTTCTAATTTAGAAACTTTCCTGGACGTCTTTCCATTGCTTTTTGCACGGCTCGTTCATGAAACGGCAGGACTAATTTTAAAAAGTAGCTTTGCTTAATAATTTATTAAAAAAGCACTCACTAGGATCTCTAATTCTGGCCGAGTTACTTGCATAAACTTCTCGAGGTCGATGGAGTCCAGAATGTTGTCATTAGAGTCTGTTATTTCGTTCCAAAACGATGAAAAGTCTTCGCCGTGATTGTCTCCGTAGAAACCGTACAGAAAAGTTGTTACGTTGTGGACATGCTCGCTGTAGACATTAATTAAAGCCCTTAACAAAAAAAAACAGTGTGTGCTTGGAAGTACTGAATGTACTTCCGTGAGTGCATGGAGTTGAGGCAAATGGTAATCTTCGGAAACTGATTTATCCGATTGTCATGTGCGACGCTAGATTCGAAGGTTTCTTTCGTTATTGTTGGGTAGTTGTAATACTGAATTCATTGAATAATCTTTTTTCCTAAGTGAGGCCTTACTTTCGTGGAACACATTACTACATTATAGACAGTAACAACGATTCCAGCGAGCAAAAGAATGCTCCACCATGTCTTTCCAAGTGGCGCTCCTTTTCCGCTGAAAATCTTAAACCGATTATAAAGGAAGTATCAATGATTCGAGTTTACCCAGATTATTTTGGTCTCCGCAGTTTCCAGTATTTGCTTGTCGCACTTGCACGGCTCTCGAATGAACTGTTCTCTCTTGATGTACTTGTAAATGCTCGCTGATCCCCTCCGAAGCCTGGACCGAACGGGCTTCATTTTTCCCTCGTTGAAAGTCGAGTACTTTTGGTAAAGGATTCAAATTTCAAGTGAGATTCTTTCAGCTCATTTTGAAGCATTTACGTTCCTCGTCTAGGTCGCTTCCCTCCTTATACGGATTCTCTGTTATCATAATTAAGTTTCCAGCTAATTTGCTCAGAAAAAAATGAGTTCAGTTGTTCTTTTATAATCAAGTTTAAATGCATACTTGGGATCCATTTATTCTGATCAATTATTGACGCTTCCAGCCTGCGTAAAAGGCTAAGATCTTTTACTCTGGGATCAATTTACTTCGATTTTCTTGATCATCTTGAATTTCAGATCGAACTTCACGACCAACTCGTCCAACTTCGCATCCGCCTTCAAAAACTGCTCGCTCTTTCAGCTCAACTGCCACCACCAGAGCAGATGGAACAGTTTAATCTCGAGTCCAGCGCAGCCATCAAAGCCAAATATGCTCAAGTCCAAGAAAAAATCCTCGAAACATTCGTCAGCATGGCCAAAGTAACGAAGAAACTAAACGAAAGTAGTGCGGAAGTCAAATGTGAGCGATTTAACTCGGATTCAACATTTTCTAACAAGGTAATTTCGTTGAGGAAATTTCTGAAGCAATTTTCATAATAAGGGGACTACAACCTCCTATTTTACAATATTCATCATTGATTTTTCAGTTCTGGGGGGTAATTACGAATCAACGACAAACTGTCTTCGCAAAAACTTGGGAATCAGTCCAGCACAGTGGCGGGAACGATCCGAACAAGGCGGTAAATGCGATTATGGCTGACCCAGATCGACTTCTTCGCCGTTCACGGCTGCGAAAGTCCTTTACAGCTAGGCGACTTGGAGTTGAAGAAAACGATGCAGAGCAAGACGAGGAGCATTACGACGACACGGGGCTTTATCAAAGCATTCTGAGGAACCTGATAAACTCAAAGGCGAATTCGACGGATCCAAACAACACGACAGAGTTGAATAAACATTGGTTGAAGCTTCAGAGGCTTGAGAAAAAGGTTCTGTTGATCTTTTTCAGCTTTGAAATGACTGAAATTTTAGACGAAAAAAGTAAACGTAGACACGAAAGCTTCGAAAGGCCGGAAAATCCGCTACAATGTTCACCAAAAACTCGTTGGCTTCTTCCCCAAAGCTGACAAGGCCGAGTGGACACACGAAAGACGAAATCAGCTGTTCCGCGGCGTTTTCCAGTTTTAATTCTGTTTCATCGTTTCTAGAACTGTTGACAAGAAATGGTCGAAATTTGAAAAGTTGCTCAGTTAGTTTTTTTCAGCGCTTCAAATATGTCGCAGGTCGAGCCCGATGTGATCTGTCATTCCATGCTCAAGCGAGCAGTACATGATCAGGTAAGCTCTTTTCAGGAAAATCGAGAGACTCACTGAAAATTTAGGGGCCGCGCGGCGAGGCTGGCAAAATTGCCGAAGAAGAGGGGATCCCCTTCGCTTCAGTCAAAGTCCTCCGTCTCGACTTCCAAAATATCATCAGAATCGAGAATCTATGGCAATTTACCAGTCTAACGAAGCTGCAGATAGACAATAATAAGATAGAGGTAATTTCATCAATCTAACGCCAAACTAACGCCATCAATTAGCGAATTCAAGGGTTGGAAAAATTAGTGAACCTCGTTTGGTTGGATCTGTCTTTCAACAAAATCAGCAAGATCGAGGGACTCGAGCACAATACGAAAATCGTCGACTTGTCCCTCGCAAATAATCAAATTGAGCGAATTGAAAACTTGGACGGGCTCACGGAGCTCCAGACTCTTTCTCTTTCAAATAACAACCTCACGGTTATTAATGATGTATTTTATCTCAGGTACGCTCTAATCCGTTTGTTAAATCACCAAACGTTCTAGGCCTATTCGTTTCCCTGCGCTCCGATCCTTGGCATTGTGGGGCAATCCTATCGAACAAGACGAAGAAAACTACCCGCTAATGTCACTGGCGATTTTGAGCAACATTTCCTTCCTCGACTTCAAGATGGTCGACGACGCTCTCAGAGAAAAGGGCCTCGAAAAATACGAAATCAAGGTTCTGGAGACGAAAGACAACGAAATCAAAGAAATAAAAATGCGCGAAAAAGCGGAGCAAGAAGCGAAAGAGATTCAAGACAGAGTCAATGCGTTCGTCAATCACGTGCCGCAGCTCTTCGACCAAATGTACGAAGAAGACGTGGACGGAAACATCATCAATCAGATTCCAGAAATCATGGAGGTCGTCGAAAATTTCAAAGAATCAATCAACAAAGTCTGCGACACGATCGTTCAAGAGGGACTCGTCAGGCTCAAGACCAGAACTGCGGAAATCGACGACTTGTTGGAATCGAGAAAGGCCGCCATCGATAATGCTAACAAAAAGGCTACACTTCTTGTCGACGAATTCCTTGCACTTCAGGTTTTCCCCCCTCTTATATCGTTTTAACTCGTATTCAGGAGGCTAATGCAACATCAGACGACCCAGGGTGGCTATTTTGGATTTGGGGGTTAGTTGGAATTGGATTGGATCCAATCCAATAAGGTTTGGATGGAATTTGGATGGCCAGGGTACCGGATTTGGTTGGGGAAAATTGGGCAATTGGGTGAAATTGGGGGAATCGGATCCAATAAAAAATATATCTCTAAACTATGCAAAGTAGGGTCATTTTCATGATAAAAATGAACATTCTCAGATAAAAAATCATTGTTTTGGCTCTGTTGATCCTCCTTTCGGATAAAAACTTACTGTTATCTTTCTTTTCAAAGTACTAGAAGCCTTGGAAAAATTGGAAACCCAATTAGATCCAATTGGAATTGGGGATTATTGGGAAATTGGGTAAAATTGGATTGGATTGGATTTTGGATGGATAGCTTCCACTCAAAATTTATTGGATGGAAATTGGATGGCCAGACCCCGAAATTTTGTCCAAAATAGCCACCCTGAGACGACCTGTCGAAAAAGATCGACGAGCTGGACTGGGAATTGATGGAGATCGAAGTGACACTCAACGAAAAAATAGACGAAACCATCAAAGAGTTCGAGCGATATTTCAGCGACATGTGCGCCAGTTTTTTGGAGTACACATCCGGCCAGTACACCAAGATCAGAGAGATCCAGGCGCTGCACAACGAGCGAATGCAGGAAGACTCACAAGTTCAGCTCGAGCGGTTTATCAAAAACGATGTTCCTGACGATGTAAGTTTTCTTTTCCTGGCCCAGTTGTTAAATGCATCTTTAGTTCTCCGAAGAAGTTCGAATGCGATTCGTTGACAAAGAGACAGTAACAAATGCTCTTGCCTCCTCTCATGATGCTCACATGCTCGCGATTGATACCTCAGAAGATACGCTCAACGCGCAAGTTAATGCTAAACGTGAATCTGTAAGTACTGGCTCAAGATTAAGGATTCAACTTCCATCCATTGAAGACATAGAAGAGAACCGTTTTTTTAGTTTATGAAATGGATCCAAGACACCGAGCTGACCAGATCTCGCTGCCGTTACAAAGAGATTGCGAACTTGCTGGACCACTTCAGAGAGGAACTATTCAATTTGGAAGACTGAAAACCGTCTGTCTTCCGAAAATTCAACCCTTGAAAAAACCTGCATATTATATTTTTTCTTACGACTCCTTCGGAATATATTTTATTTTTATAATTTACCTGTTGTCTTAACCACATGTTTCTAGAGCTAGATAATGACTGTGAGAAGTTCGAGCTTTGGGGAGGTCAATAATTTCAAGTCGATTCTCAAAAATCTTGATTTCGGTAAAAAATGGTTGAGAAATGGTTGAGTTAATGATTATTCAGATAAGCAGCGTCTGAAAAAAGAGCTGATAAAAGACCACGACGAGAACTCGCTGAAGATTCTTGAAGCGTACAAAGCTGCCAGACAAAAATTGCGCGATCAATTCAAAAGACTTCAGCGAGAAAATAGAAACCGGGCGAAAAAGCGACACAAAATGATTTGCTCACTTGAGAAGGCAAAGAGAGCAATGAAGAGATCTTACGCCGAGGCGACAGAGACCTGCGACGCTGAGGCTGAAAAAATGGAGGATCTATTTGGCGAGAATTGGGCGAATTACTGCGAAGAAATCCTGGCGCCTGATGGAAGAACATTTGTGGCAGAGGAATGTTCTCCTACTCTTGGGTTTTTCGAAAGAACAAGCGCTATGAAAGACCTTTGGACTACGGAAGATTCAGAGGAGATGGAGAATGTTTATATGGTACGAGAAAAGGGAAACGAGAAAACTTGATGCCTTCAAGAAAGCGTAATAGAAAAGCTCCTCCTGGGTTCGCCAAGAAAATCAACGAAGAAGAGCAGGTATCGGTTGATGAATCCTCTACTTGCGATACGAAAGATGAAATTACTCGATCCCCTCTTCGATCCATCGACACAAATGAAAAGCTGACGGTCAGCTTGACCCGCAAGACTCCATCCTTGCCACCTGGTTTTGAAAATAGCTCATTGGAGAACCACAGTGAAGAAGAACCGGATGAAAACACACCCTCTACGAATCCAGAAGATATCATCAGAAAGATAATCATCGAGAAGACTACGACTCCATCTCGCTCAACGCTCAAGGCTCCTCCTGGACTCAGCAAGCCCTTCTACAACCGTGGCTCTCTTCCAAGCACTCCCAAGTTTCTGAAGGAAGTTTCAAAGCGAACCCCTCCCGGTTTATCAGTAGACGCAACAGAGAAAGATGAAGAGGATACAGCGCCATCAACATTTACTCCTCCATCGTTTCTTCAGCCAATAGCATCAGCAGTGCCAATGTTTGGCCAACAGATGAACCCTCTTTTTGGCACTTTCGGTAGCTTCACAAATTTTGCTTCAACGCCAATGCTTCCTTCATATGTCGATCCTTCGACTGCCTTCAACTTATACAATCAACTTGGAGCCAAGAGCTCTGAAAAGGACTCTGAGCCAGATCCGATAACATGTCAGTGGAACGCTTTAGCCACCGACCAGGGTATGAGCGAAAACGCTTCAAATGCCCCAGAAAGTGGAATAGAGACTTTACCAGCAAGCAATCTTGAGACTTCCGCATCACTGACTGTAACTCCTGAAACGAAAGAAGAAAGAACCGCTTCCAGACTGACGAACAACTCGATTGAGACAGACCTCAATCCCAACGCACCAGAATTCAAGCTCTAAAAACGTAAGGTTTTCATTAAAAATCATTGGTTTTAAATAACTCTCCTTCAGAAATCCCACATCCTGCCAGCGTGGCCGCCAATTATCTAACGCAACATCGAAATAAACGTCACTTTCCTCACTTTTACATACTTTGAATTTTCACAACAATTAACTGCCTGAATTATTATTGCCAATATTTTCGATGCTCTGATGTACATACTGTAAAGTTGTGAACCAGATCTACTTCAAATAAAGTTTCCTTATCGATCGCCAATAAAATTATACCACCGATGAACCTATTTTCATGATCATCGATTCAGCTGTTTTTCTTGTTTGCATGAAGCATGAAAATGAGCATTTCAAGGGCAGATAAGGACGATAGACGGACTTAGATAAAAATCGCTGTTGATTGACTTGAATTCGAGGGTAAATCCCGGATCCGGAAGGTTCAATTGAAGTATGGATCAGGCCACTAGAAACGAACTACTCCGGTAGGATTTTGCAACGTTAATCAAGGCATTATTTAGTAAATTTCGAAGATAAGAGCCGATTTTTCAATAATTTCTAGTCAAAAAATCTATTTTGAAGCAAATTAATGGAAATAAATTCTTGAATTTCGCTCAAAAAGCAATAAAATTACACCAGAAGCGTAACTGTAGGAAGACAAAGACAGTATTCATGCTAAACATATCGCATTTTAATGAAAATAAGCATTTTTTAGGGGAAAAATTGAAAAAAATAAATCCAGAAATTTGAAAGAATTAACGCTAGAATCACGTGAGAAACCGAACTTCCATCGATATTTTTCTAGATTGGTCCTGTTTTCCCACTCGCGATCGAACCAAATTTGCAAACTCGTCACTTTCTAAATAGAGCGCCCACGACCATTCCGCCCACGCGTCCCTCCGCCTCGCCAACTCAAGCTCCAACTCAGCTCAGATCTCGATTTCTCCTTTTCGAGTCGACACAAAACGCGAATTTCTACGAATTTCCGACAGCAAGAAACCTGATAAAGCAAAACCGACCCTTCCAAAGTCACTGGGATATGCTATGACAGTGGTAAGTGATTTTCCCTTATAGCTGAAAAGAAGAAAAGCTTCAAAACCAGAGATATCGTTTTTTTCCCCGCGTTTTCTAGCTCGAATTTTATAGTGCACATTACAAGTGAACAGAGAGACCGAACACGTGATGAGTGTTTCGAAAGTTTTCGACGATTTGGACCCGATTTTGGACCAACAAGGCGGCCTAAAGAATCCTGATTCTGCTGTTGAAGAGCTGATAAGGTACAGAACGCTGAATATTACAGTCACTACTTTTTACAAAATAAAACATACAGTCCCCTTACAGTCAATCCCTCCCCATTTTGAAATTGAACAGAAAAGAGCAAAATTATCGACCGAAAAGTGGAAAAAATAGACAACTGCGCCGCGAGTCTGGTAAAAATGTACTACACCGCATTTGAAAAACACCACACTTCCTCGTGAGCTGATCCTGCTATTCGTTGGTGTGGTAGCATTTGCTTTCTTTCCCAGAGAAAAACTGAAAAGATGGTTGTTTTTGAGCGCTTGTTACTGTATTTACTTCGGCAGGAACTTGTTAATTTATGCCCAGCAGGAGTAAAAAGACAGATGACTTTTAGACCTTGTGTTTTCAATATTCCTTTCAAATTGTTACAGTACAAGGTGAATACAGTTGGCAGATTTCCCGACGAGCTAAGCGCCCCTGGCACGTGACTGTACCTCGTCGCCGCCCTGTATCTTAGCCGGGGCACAAAGAGATGCATTTGTAAATTATTTATTCGACTTTCGCATCGTCTTTATCTGTTAAACGAATTAGAGGTTTTCCGAAAGTTATCATTTCAAAATCCATGCTAAGGTCGACCCCCTTGTAAATTTAAGAAGTCCTGTACTTTTAGTAAACCTTATACATAAATAAAGGCCTTAATTTTTAGGAAAACTTTCGCCAATTCAGTAGAAATCAATAGATCAGTTTCTAGTGCTCGAATTTTACGCTCATCAATTTCAAAACGATGATAGTAATTGACAAATCTAATGAAAACAACCCCAGAACCCAACATCTCTCCCTTCTTTGGAACCCAAATTTGACCCAATGAATTAATAATTTATTCAGACTGATGGACGCTGTGCAAAACGAAGACTTTGATATTCAACTGTGTTATCTGTTAGTGCTCGCTGAGACTAAGACTGCCCAAATTTTGACTGCGTTTCTCAATAAAGGCGGTTGGCCGACGCTAGCTCGTTGGTTGAACGGCTATATTGAACAAAAACACTTTGTTGGAATTCGGCAGATGGTCAAAACGTACCGTAGTCTGCCAGTGACGCACTCCCTCCTCAAAAAGCCCATCGAGACGGGCAAGATGCCCGGCAAAATGATCCGCTCGCTCAGAAAGCATGACGACGAGGTCATAAAAGGAAACGGTTCACTTCGCGCTCCAGAACCTTATCATCCCTTTTCCACTGTTGAAAATGACTGTTACGCATTTGACACTTTGACTCTTAGCATGTTGCCAAAAACTAGAATTTTAGTTGATCCCCGCCAGACTGGAATCTTGTTGGACAATGGAATCTCCTTCATGTACTCCTTGATCCTTTTTTTACTATTTTCTTGATTGTCGATCGAAGCAGAGCTGCTAGAAATTGCCAAACGAGCATAGTTGCCATCAAAAACTAAAGAATTTGACGATGATGTCTTTGTAAATTCAAGCTTCGGTCGACAACTAGAAAATCCTCCACGGTTGATTATTCCTATCCCGAAAGGAAAGTTGCATTGATCCTTTTTTTGTGTGAATTGCTACTTGCAAGAGATTAATATTCAGCTAAAGAGATTCGCGAGAATAAGACAGGCCTCAGAAAATAAAGGCGTGATGAAGAATTGTTTCCCAGTTCGGAGCGCATATATTTGTTTAATTGATAATTTGACGTAAGCATTTCCTCAACGACATATCTACTGCTTCAAGCATAACAATGAAAATTTCATCCTTGAGGCAAATCAATTTTCCTCTAAAAATTCAGGGTCACTGCTGACCTTATCGCAGTGGAAATCTTATCAACCGTCAATGTTTTAACTCCCCTTAAAGCGTTTAATTATTTACTCATCGACATTAGCTGCATAATCAAATTGAAACGATCAAGCAGACATAAATGCCCCAATACTAATAAAGGCGTAGAAATATTCTTCCTTCAAGAAAGCGGTCTCTCAGGGGCATTACTGGCATACTGTGACTCTAGTAAGTCAGCTGACAGTTGAGACATGAACTGTGCTCATGTCATTTGAATGTCACTTTCAAGGAGTCATCTCTGCCCCAAAAAGCCCTATAAAATTCTCTATCAGTCGCATTTTTAATTATCATCAGTCCCCAAAATAACCTTCGAGCAAAAAGTGAACCTTCTATCAGCCGTTTCGAGTGAAGTCTTTGAACTATGGAACCAAATAATCAACGAGGAAATGGCACGCAAAGAAAAGAAAGCCAAGATCAAGAAAGAAAAGAAGGAAAAAGAAGCTAAAGAAAAAGGACAAGTTAAACGTGAGTAAAATTGTTGAAATAATTAGCGCTTTTAACTGGAGGGTTGTTAGGATTTCTGCTAAAATACAGAGTAGTTTTTGATTGTTGCGTTTGTAGTTGTGGATAACATGATTGGAAACATGTTTGATGCTGCGCAAGATGAAAAGAAAAAGGCAAAAATTGACGAAAAGAAGCGCAAAGAAGCCAAGAAACGCCGTCGAGAAGAAGAAGAGAAGAAAAACTCGCTCCTGAACAACATTATGAACGCGATGCCTGGCAAGAGTGACAACCCAACAACCTCGGAGACAGCTGCCGCGGTGCCCAAGACGAGTAGCAGCCCCGAACCTGTGCTGGAAAAACGACCGCGAAAGCCTGGTGCAAAGACTGTCCGATGGACCGATCAAGCATCAGCTCGACCGCTCGAAATGGTCCGAGAGATTGAAATTGACCCACAAGAAAGAGGTAAGTGTGAATGCAAAAATATGACCCTAGATAAGAAAAAGTAAATAAACCATTTCGCTTACAATTTATTTAGCCAATGTGAACTCCGAGGCATTCAAACGTCAACTGAATCTCGAAGCTTTCCGGGAAGGAGAACATCTCCACTCGGATGCTCCTGTGAATGTCTTCCACGGCGTGAACCAGGGCGACACAAAGCCCAAACGTCAATGGCGCTCTCCTCGAAAAATCTCCTCGTTGATTCCCGATCAAGCGCTGAAAAACATGGACCGCTTCTCCGCGAACTCCGACGAAAAGCTCAAAGCTGAAGAACGTACTAAAATGCAACTGGCCCGATTGTACGTCGCCTCCGCTATTCCTGACTCTCCAAGTGAACCGGACATTCGCGCCCCAGTGCCTTCTCGAGACAAAGTCAAGATCATCCCTCAGCTGACCGAGGAGCAAGAGATGAAGCCAGATATCAAACCACAGCTCGATCTCGAGGACTTGAATAAACCAGTCATGGATTTGTCCAGCGTCAATCTTAACTTTGACATCAACACGATTCGTGCTGCAGTTTCCACCGCTAATTCTTCCAATCATCAGAGCTACCCGTAAGTTTTTACCTTCTGCCCTCCTCCTTGATTTCACTTTTATATTTCCATTAACTAAAAAACTCTTCAGGCCCCGAGTCTCTCCCCCAAGCCAGAATCGCTACTCAACCTCTCCGCCGATCGAGTCCAACCGTTTCGGCGGCCGAGGACCACACGAGCCAACTCCGCCTCGTCGCCACTCTCCTGCTAACAATCGCTACGAGCCGTATCCAGATCGTCGTGGTTCCCCCGGTCGAGGTGATCATCGGTCTGGCTTTGTCGATCACCGAAACCAGGGCGGCTTCAATGGCAACCACCGTCAGTATGATGATCGCCGGGATTTCGATAATCACCGCCGAGGAGGACCGTACAATGACAATCATCACAATCGTCATCAGCAACATGGCGGTGGACATCGTGGCTACCGAAACAGCCCCCCTCCTCGAGACAACTGGGGAGGCCCTCGGCGATCGCGATCTCCTCCACGGACCTACATTCGCGACTACCGCCGCTAAAGTATTTACAAGGCTCTGTATTTAAAACAAAATGTGCCCAGAACCGAGATTCTTCTGTTCAACTTTTTTATACGTCTTAACGACCACTCTATTTTTTCAAACTTTCAAACTCGCGTCTGCTTCAATCCTTCTTCAAATGAATCTTGTGCAAACAAACTCACTTCTTACAAGAAAAAAAACTCGAACGGTGCCCTAACTTATTATTTGGAATGAATAAAATTTATTCCATAACCAAAAATGACACAAAAATGAATATGTTTCCCGGGACATATTTTTTTATTGATATCAGGATAAATTTAGTTGCATGGTTTATCAAGTTCAAGTTTTTTATTATTATTTAATAGTTTTCAAACAACAGTAGTCTTTCAACACTCAAAATCGCAGACCTTTCTCAACAACCCACTGAAAACAACATCACAAACTTCTGTGCAAATGCCCTCCTCAAGATTTTTTTCACATAACAAACTTTGACCTGAAAACATAGCGTTTAATTCATATCCCATCGATCTTTAACTGTGGATAGATATATTTAGATGACTAACTAATAAGTAATTAATACTGAGCTAGTCTTTCCCATCGTTACCAAAATATTCAACTACAATGCAAAATTCATAGTAACAAACTTCACCATTTTTGTCTATTTACAAGAGAGGCGTTTTTTTATCTCCCCAAGACTGTACATTGCTCCTTCTTACAAAAGAAAAACTTGCAAATAAACAAGCTACTATATAATAATCCAAACGCAGCGCAAGTGTCTAAAAACGCTTGTTCTGATAGTCTTCACTTTTCCTTTGAATTCTGCTTCTAAAGCAAAACCAAGAGTGCTATATCTTGAGCGCGCTAAGATGACAGAACGGGTCAATTTATTAATAACTTATGCATTTGTCTTCAGTAGAAGCTCGCTCAACTAAGAATAATTTGGGCATTAGCCTGTGACTTCTAAACACATTTTCTCATTCTTCTGTAAAGCATATACATTTTATGACACAGTATCGCGTTAACAATTCATCTAATTCTCTCGTGGCTATACTACAAACATCTGTTAAAAGGGTACTGAAAATGTACAGTAAAAACTCTTTCATAAGCCCAACAATAGGGGCAATAAAACGAGTATATTCCTTTAGGGATTGGATAATCATCTAGAGCTCTATTCACTACTCTAATCTTCCTCAGATTTTACTCAGAACTTTTAAGTCTAAAGATTATTTCAATCTTTTTGGGGCTAATTTATTCATTTTCTCATTCAACTTTGCTCCTTTCTCACTTATTTATGAACGAAACAAGGGCAGAACATGACTTTGATTGATAGAAGACCGCAGATACCAATGTATCTTTGTACAGTATGTATTGTTAATTAAAGCAAGAAGTGAGATTTGAAGGGATCCCTGGAGGATTAGGCCTAGTGCAGGCTCCAATGAGGAGGGCGCGGGAGACTGGGCTTGCTGGCAGCAGTCTGAGATCTGGTACAGATCAAGACACGAATCATAAAGATAATCGCGACGAAGAGCATTCAATCTTGTGCAGCCAATCTTTCCAAAGAGAGAGAAAGAGAAAGCTAAAGACTCAGCTTGAAGCAAATTGCTTTGGCAAAAGGGTTTATGACTAGGGATATCGCACAAATTTTCAGGTACCCGAAAAAAGGGTCCAGATCAATTTTCAAATTGATGAACTAGTAGAACTTTGGACGGCGATTCTAGAGGTGCAAAAATCTTTTCATAATTATTAGTCATTATCGTAAAAATGACGTGTCAAAGTGTGATTTTTTCGATCTTGGTGAAGCTTTCAAGATCTTTGATTTTTTAAATGCTAGACTAACATTAATTTGAACCAGAATTCCAAATCTGCAAAAATTTTCACTGACGCATCTTCCAATCGCTAGAAATGAACTTCCGGGAGTTGTTTTTTTCTCTCTCGACGCTTGTGGCGCTTTTCTGTTTTCAGCTGCGCGCTGATTGGTTGACGCTCCTGAAAGCCTTGTTCACAAAAAGGGTCGGTGAGCATTACTAAAATGATGATTTCTCGGGACTGGAGCGTTAAAATTCCATGATTCTTGGACCAAAATAATCCTTGAAGACCACTCTATTTACCATTTATTCAAAAATTATGGAAGATGACGCTGTAGAGAGTTTCTGAAGGTTGTATGTAAAGTCAACTCTGGCCATTACGAGCCTTTTTCGTCGGGAAGCATCTGTCCAAGAGGTGAAAGAAGCGTAACTTTTGCTTGCTATTTCTCGAAAACTGTTCTCTCAAGGAATCAGCAAGAGATAAAAGCGCATCTTTGAAGTTCTTTTCTGTTGTGGAATCGGCGAGGCAAAAACTGCGCGCAGAAACGAGAAATTGCGCCAAAGATTCTTTCCGAATTCTTTTTGCGGTCGAGGACGATGAAGGAACTCGTTGTGTCGAAATGTGATCGACTCTCAGTCGAAGATTGACACGCTGGAAGACCTCCGTGCGTTCTTACGAAAACAAATGTCAATGCTCAAACAGCTGAAAATGAAGATGGGCTCGGTTACCAAGGAAAAACAATCGGTCCAGTCTGAACTCTCGCCGAATCTGTATCTCTTCAAAAATGCCAAGAAGAAATTGAATGTCTGAAGCATATGTCGGCAACTAACGAGGAGATTCTTAGGGAAGCAGCTCGAACAAGCAATTTGAACAGATGGAGTTCGAATATGAAGAGCTCAAGCTCAAATTCGAAGATCAAAACGAAAAGATGGACAAGTTCCGCGACATGTTCGCGCATCGCCGAACGTGAATCAAACCTGTTCAACAAAAAGAAAGAGAAGAAAAGAAAATCAGTTTCACGCAGAGTTGCAGATTTTTGAAAATTTTTTCTGAGCTGAGCCAGCAGAGCTGAGGTCAAGATTGAGCTGAGATGAGCTGAGATGGCCCTTTTCGAAAACAACTGAGCAGAGCTAGACTTTTTCAAAAAAATTGAGCTGAGCTGAGGTGAGCTGAACCTCACCTCAAAATTGCTGAACTGAGCTGAGCCTTCGCTTCTATTCGGAATGCAACCTTCCAAAGTCGAAGTTAAATGGTCGCTCATTTTGCTCCGAAGGAGCGCAAAATTATGCATAAATCCTTCTAGATCGGCGGGTAAATCAAAACCATAAAAGAGGAAAAAACTAATATAATATGAATTTTTAAAACCATGGGTGTGGGCGGAGTTGGGAACAAATTGATCAACTCAATTTGATCAAATGTTGATCAAAAACAACAAATTGATCTACTCAGAGTTCCCGGCCTTTGTCAAGCCCCTTAAATTTAAAAATCAAGGAGCGGGCTGAAACGGCCCGAAGGGCCGTCAAGCCCCTTAAATTTAAAAATCAAGGAGCGGGGCTGAAACGGCCCGAAGGGCCGTCAAGCCCTTAAATTTAAAAATCAAGGAGCGGGGCTGAAACGGCCCGAAGGGCCGTCAAGCCCCTTAAATTTAAAAATCAAGGAGCGGGGCTGAAACGGCCCGAAGGGCCGTCAAGCCCTTAAATTTAAAAATCAAGGAGCGGGCTGAAACGGCCCGAAGGGCCGTCAAGCCCTTAAATTTAAAAATCAAGGAGCGGGGCTGAAACGGCCCGAAGGGCCGTCAAGCCCATTAAATTTAAAAATCAAGGAGCGGGGCTGAAACGGCCCGAAGGGCCGTCAAGCCCCTTAAATTTAAAAATCAAGGAGCGGGGCTGAAACGGCCCGAAGGGCCGTCAAGCCCCTTTAATTTAAAATCAAGGAGCGGGGCTGAAACGGCCCGAAGGGCCGTCAAGCCCCTTAAATTTAAAATCAAGGAGCGGGGCTGAAACGGCCCGAAGGGCCGTCAAGCCCCTTAAATTTAAAAATCAAGGAGCGGGGCTGAAACGGCCCGAAGGGCCGTCAAGCCCCTTAAATTTAAAATCAAGGAGCGGGGCTGAAACGGCCCGAAGGGCCGTCAAGCCCCTTAAATTTAAAAATCAAGGAGCGGGGCTGAAACGGCCCGAAGGGCCGTCAAGCCCCTTAAATTTAAAAATCAAGGAGCGGGGCTGAAACGGCCCGAAGGGCCGTCAAGCCCTTAAATTTAAAAATCAAGGAGCGGGGCTGAAACGGCCCGAAGGGCCGTCAAGCCCCTTAAATTTAAAAATCAGGAGCGGGGCTGAAACGGCCCGAAGGGCCGTCAAGCCCATTAAATTTAAAAATCAAGGAGCGGGGCTGAAATGGCCCAAAGGGCCGTCAAGCCCCTTAAATTTAAAAATCAAGGAGCGGGGCAACGGGATGTCTCAGCCACGTCCCCTTTATTTCTGAATTTGAGGGCTCGCCGGCTCTTCGGGCCGTCTCAGCCCCGTTCCTTTATTTTTTGAATTTAAGGGGCTTGCCGGCCTTTCGGGCCGTCTCAGCCCCGTTCCTCTATTTTAGAATTTAAGGGGCTTGCCGGCCTTTCGGGCCGTCTCAGCTCCGTTCCTCTTTTTTTGAATTTAAGGGGCTTGCCGGCCTTTCGGGCCGTCTCAGCCTCGTTCTTTAATTTTTTAATTGAAGGGGCTTGTTTGCCCTTCGGGCCATCTCAGCCCCGATATTTTACTTTTGAATTTTAGGGGCTTGCCGGCCTTACGGGCCGTCTCAGCCCCGTTCCTTCATTTTAGAATTTGAGGGGCTTTCCGGCCCTTCGGGCCGTCTCATCCCCGTTTCTTAATTTTTTTATTTTTGAACAATTTTTTACGGAAAAGTGCGCGAATCTTAAAGGAACGGTCTCATACGCAGTTTTATTATTTGTACTCAATTATACAGTATAATTTATACTGGATCAGTTGTCATAGCGGACTTTTGCCAAGAAGTCTGTTGCTGAAGTCTGATAAAAGCTCCAAAAATATGCAATTTTATGGAAAATAGCATAAAATAGTAAAGAGAAAAGAATGTGAGTCGGGCTAGCTTGGCCATGCAGCGCGCGCGCCCCCGTGCGGCCGCCTCCAAAATGACGCAACGCCGCTCAGAATTCACCTCGGAAAACTTTAAAAAATCATATTTTCAAAATGCGAGGTGCGTCAGTGAATTTTTTTTCAGATTTGGATTTCTCAGCGCAATATCTATAAGGAAAAAATATAAAATCATTAACGACAAAACAGTCCTCGTACTGATCCGAAAAATGAGCTTTTTGAAGGCAATTTTTACGAAAATGACTCATTATTATGAAATGATTTTGGTAGCATTGAAATCCTCGTCCAAAGTTCTACTAGATCATCTGTCTAAAATTTGGTCTGGACCCTTTTTTCGGGTACCTGAAAATTTGTGCGATATCCCTATTTATGACCGACGGCCGAGCATTGTTTACTACGCTCCGACTACTACCCAAGTTCATGGCCACATACTACTAAAAAGGTGAGAATACGACAAAGAAGACTTTTTACTTAGAAATTTTTTTCCTCAAGAGAGTCAGTCGATTAAAAAGGTAAAATAATTTTCATAAAAAATTGGATCAATTACAGCTCTTTTTAAAATATACAGTAGCTCTCTAAGGAATACAACTTACTGTAGTCCAAAAGGATGTACTAACCCTAACCCTCTTTTTTCGCCATTTTTATCACCCGCACTAGATTATTACTTTCTAGCGTTTTAACCTTTCCTACCGACAGCACGCTAGTCAGGTGATCTTTAAAAATTCTTCCCATTTCACTCATTCGTTTTCCTTTTTTACTGCTGCTAAAATTACAGCGTTGCAAAAATTATTATTCACTAGCCAAACGATCCCTGCGAAGCACCAGAGTGCAAACACCTCCAGAGACTAAAATTTGCTTTGGCCAAGCAGTCAGAAAAAGAAAGGAACTGGAAAAAGAGAGAGAATTCCAAGAAGAAAGCGATAAAAACTATCAGTCAAAATGACGCCTGACAAGTCTCTTCGGGGACTTAGGTACACTACTTTTGCCATCTTAGGTAAGAAAAAAGCGAGCTTCTACATCCTTGGCTCGCAACCTGAGTAGAAAACCTGAGTCAGGGTCTGAAAGATCAAAAATGAAAAGCCGCGTAGCGGCTTCGCCAGAAGTTTAAAATAAGATTGAATGATAATTTTTCGCGGCTTTTAATTTTTGATCTTTCAGACCCTGACTCAGGTTTTCTACTCAGGTTACCCAGCCCAGTCTACGTCACAGCTTTGAAATTAGCGATAACTTCAATTAACGATCTTTGTTAAAAAAACACGGGGAAGAGTAAAACCTGTGCCATAAAAAGCCATCGATCAAGGTTGATTCAAATTTTACGAATTTCATTAATTGGCAATAAAACTGCTGGATTAGCGCCAAAAACAAGAAGTGAATGTCATTCTTTTAGGAATGAAACAAATCAGGGTCCAATAAAAGCATGTCGAGTTCTTCTTCATTGGATTTATTTCTTACTCCTTCGCCCCTGATTTGACATTTAGTTAGTAGCATCATGAGTTCATCTGGTTCATGTAATCACGGTCATATTTAATGCGCATTATGATGAGTAGTATCGATCGCTTCATTTTTATCCGTCGGGCTATATTAGTAATTCAGAATAAAAAGAAGAACGCTCGCGCAGAATTGATAAAGGGTTAATGACTGATGAGTTCTCATCAATTAAGTTTTTTATTTTTAAAAGACCAGTTTTACTCCCCAAAAATTCTTTCCTAGCCAAATTTTAAAACGCCCCTTTTGAAAATTCAAGCGTCACTTTTCCTTATCACGTGGCAATAAACGTCTTGTTAAGCAATTACAGTCACGAGCATCGTTTCACGCCTGTGCGTGCAGTTCACCTCGGCAGATGTGGTTATCACACCGGGAGTTTCGAGCTCCTCCTGTCATGGGCCGCTTACTCCGTATTTTTACTGGACGGGACTGCTCTTTCTTCAGCTGATTTTGTCGACTACGAGCATGGTGGCTTTGGATAGAAAGGAGATTTCTTTGTTCACGCTTACTTCTTATTTAAGGCTTCTGAATTTAATAATCAAGAAAATACTGATATTTCCCTGTATTTGTCGAAAAAAGTAGAAGTGTAAATTTGCTCCGGTCAAATTTGACCTTTATTGTCAAATTTGAGTTTCAGCCAAATAAAAAATTTGAAATTCTGAAGCTTTTGAAAGTCCGCTACTGGCTTGGCCGTCGTCTATTTTGTCATTTCCGCGTATTTCGGATTCTTGCTTGTTTCGCTGAACAAATTGGACGAAGATTACATCAGCTTTGAAGACTATGCTTACGAAGACTTCGATTTTCCCAAAATCCCAATTCAGGAATTGGTTTCTTTCTTCACTTCTACAGATTTGGTTGTTTGTTGTTGAAACCACGAAACAGTGTTTCCAGTACTCGTTCATGCTGACGCTTAGCTGGACAATGATGATGACGAGTCTGTGCGGCGTGATGGGCATTTACGCTTGCAACTGCGCCAAGAATGCGATTTTAATGAACCGCCGAGTGTTCTCACTTACACGTGATCTGCGGGCTCACGCGGAAAAGCCCGACGACTTGAAGATTGATATTCCACCGACATACGATGGTAAATATTTAACGCCTCGATTCCATCAAATCATCAATTATTTCAGAACTGTTCCCGGACAAACCAGCTCAGAATGATCAGAACCCACAAGATCCGCCGCCCTTTAGCGCCACCTGAGAATTCACCATGAAAACGGCCATGTCTTCATCCTTATCTTTGATAAAGAAAATTTCAAGTTCAATAAAAAAATTTATCTGTAACATTATTCTAAGAATAAATTGATACGAAAAATCTTCAAAAATGTTAAATCAAAAATTGCAAAATCTTTTCGAAATACAGTCACTGAGTACTGCATGGCATGAGTAATTCAGAAGGTCAACCACTAGCTTCGCCCTCCGGGTAGGAAAATTAACAACTGGTTAAAAACAGATCCGAGGAGATCCGAAATTCTGATTTTTTGAAAAGCGGAAATTTTTACTTTTGTTGAAAACATTTCGAGAGCCGCTCTCAAGTGAAAAAGATCCGGCTTTATTTAGCAGCAGAAAATCAAGGAGGAAAATAGAGGAAAAAGAGGATTTTCGAAGAAAGAAAACAATGGTACTTTGGATAAGGCTTTTTGTGCTTGTAATTGGAATAAGCGGAAAGAGAGCAGCAGATTCAGAAGGTACTGTAGTTGGTCTGTACTCAATTAAAACCGAACTAGAACTCATTTAAAATTAACACCCTTCCAGTCTGGATATCTTATTCATAGGAGAAACAAAACGCTCTCTCCCTTAATCATTTCTGGACAAAAAGAGATAGCTCAATTTCAGACATGGCAGCCAACCGATTATCAACCGAAGAAAAAACTTCTATTAACCAGGCGCAGGAGGAACTGACCACAGAAGCTGGCAATGATGATGAACCGACGATGATGCCAGGCGTTCCTCAAGCACCGCAGAATCGCGATTATGCGGACTATGAGGAAGAGAAACGTCAAGATCAGGAAAGGGTCTTATGAAAAGAAATCGGAAGATTCAAAGAATTTTCAAATGACCTTCGAAGGAAATAGATTCAAAGGAACCATCATTCAACGAGCCGGACGAGTTCAAAAACGTCATCTCGCCCGATTCAGGAGATTTGAGCTCTCTTCAGTACTTTGGCGCGATCATTCTCGCCTTCACTCTAGCCAGCGTGGTTATTTTCTATGTTTGGAGATGGAGGGCGCAGAGGTAAGATTCTTGTCCAAGCGCTTTCTGGCAAATTGATTTGTCAAGAGATGAACTGTATCTTCCGTTAGTATCGCAGAACCTCGACAATTGAAAAAGAGTGCATAGCAGAATAGGTTGAATCAAGCGCTGCTCTAGGGATTAGATCTTGCAAGGCTGGGTACTAATTGTTTTCCTGCGAAACTAGAGCTAGAAAGGGCATCATCAACAACATTTATTCCGGTTTTCAGAACGAACAACCGTCTCTACGAACCGACCGCTTCCTCCTTCAACAACCCAATCAGCTTTCCTGGCACCCGTTATTCTGATGACTCGACGCAACTTTAGAACAAATGTTTTCTTTGTTATTTATACACAAAAACGCAAATCTTCAACATTTTAAAGTTAACAAATAAATCGATAAATCACAAGAGCACTTTTTCAAATGAATAGTCACTATCATATTTTAGTAATTTATTAGTAAACAGGTCAGTTTAAATAGTGAGTGAATATAATAGTGAAATTTTTAAAGTGTGCAAAAGAGAGAGATCAACATTTTAACGGGTGTAGGGCGGCGACGGTACAAATTTGCGACGCCGGTACAAAAATTTTTGTACCGCCGGTACAAGCCAAAAGTAAAATTAAAGAAAAACTGTGCGCTTCGCGCTCGAATTGAAGGGAACTCCTTACTGGTATTATACCTATAATAGGCTTTTGATATTTCTTGCTAAAACAATGGGAACATAGTAAATTAGTACCCCAGAGTTCGAATCTGAAGTCAAAAGTTCGGATGACCCTCGGTTCGCCGGGATTTTCCCCTCATCCTCGGTTCGCCGGGACTTTTTGGCCCAAATCCCGGCGAACCGAGGATGAACATTTCGATGTCTCTTGAACGCTAATTTTTTTGTTGATTTTGCTGGGAATATTGTGATCGTTCATGCCCAGTCCTTCAAAAAGTACAAGGCAGACATAAAAAAAGAAAAAAAAAGAAATTATCAAATCCAAATGTCCCTTACCTTCAGTAACCCTAACTAACCCTAGCCTATCCCACTCGGGTGATGTTGTTCTGTCATTTTGCCCAGTGCCCCTAACCCTTACGTATATCTATATAAAGTGAGCGACAACAGGTTCATCCTAGACCCATCTTGATAAATTTTCTAGAACGTTTTTCTTCATCCTCGGTTCGCCGGGACTTTTTGGCCCGAATCCCGGCGAACCGAGGATATCCCGGCGAACCGAGGGTATCCGAAAAGTTCATAAAAAGTTCATTTTCGGGGTCAAATAGGGTCATTTTTGAGTGATGACTCATCATTTTTGTGATTTTCAACCCCTAAAATCTGGGGAACCCCCCTAGGAACCCCTATTTTTTGATGTATCTGACTCAGTTTTTTGTGCTCTTTCGAATGAGCATGCTTACAACCCCGTAGCTTGGATGGCACGAAAAATCAATTTTTGAAAACTTTGGGGTACTTAAAAAGTACTAAATTTAAAATTTTTGAAATTTATTTTTGTTGAAATGTTGTCAGAGCACAAAAATCTATACGATAGGTGAAAATTAGCTTCCTACGACTTTCAGATAAAAAGTTGATTTTTTGTGCGTTATGCCTAGCTATACCGTATAGCTGAGGTGGAGTTCTGTCCAAAAATGAGCGTTATAATGGGTGGAAATAGGTTTTTATTGTCAAAAATATGATTATTTGTACCGGCGGAGAGCTTCATCTCCCCAGCCTGGGGAAATGAAGCTCTTAGGCTAATGAAGCTCAAATTCTACTTTTAAATATTTCAGAAAAAACTGCTTCTTTAACCGTGAGTTACGATCCGTGACCCTATAATGAAAACAAGAAAACGGTCAAAAAGGCTGAGAGTGGCAGTAAAAAACCTATTTTCTGGTAGACAGAACAAGCATATTGGATACAAAAAAAATCCTCGAGTAAAATCGGACAATTCCGGAGATTTGGTGCGTTTCAGCGAAAAAAAAACTTCCGGAATTGTCCGCTAAGTCTGTATTTCGTTTATTCTCTGAGTCTTGGTTTAGCGAAAGTGAGTGAGTGAGTGAAGAGCAGTTCTGAGCGTTCCTTTATATAGGAAACTAAACTCAAATGGTTGAAAAGTAAAGTTACACGAAATAGACGTTAATCGCAACAGATAAGAGTAGAACAGTATGATAGTAAATAAGTGAGATTGAATTTCATCAATGTTGTATCCATTGTGATGAGAAAAGATAATATGAATGGAGCATGAAATAATTTGGTTTTATAGAGATAACTGGAGTAGATTAAGATTGGTAGTATTTATACAGTTAGATATTGAGATAAAGATGACATGAGCTGAGCGGGCTGATTTCAATTCCCTCGTTTGAATATAGTCGTATGATTTTGAGCCAGCGGCGCGCGCTGAACAAAGCGGCGCTGGAGACCATTAAAATCCGTCATATGAATTACGAACCATATTTTGTTTCGTACCAGACTTTTGTCTATTTAACCATGCCAGCGCTCTTTTTTCATCACCATCGTCGCGTCTAGCAGCTTTTATAACTTGTTCTTCTTCAAACCCCATCTAAATCGCAAAATTAAAGAATAATTACTCATTTTTGCTGATATTAAAATTTACCGCTTTTAATTTTTGGATTAGAGTTGCTATCGCAGGCTTGTAACTCAAAGTGATTGAATAAGCTTGAGGAAGAAGATACCATGTTTCACTCTTCATGTTGAAGTTTTCATTTACATATCTTGCTAGGACCATGCCGTTATCATCACAAATAACATAATCGTTGTTCAAACGATGGAGAATTTCCATCATTTCGAAAGAAGCGTAGTATGGCCGGTCGAGTGGAATTTCGATTTGATTTTTGAAATTTTTATATCCAGATTTTAGATCCTTGATGAGAGTATTTTGGAGAACGTACTTATAGTGTTCAACTCGGTCAAGCAGCATTTGGTGTATCAAGACAGTTCCGTCGGATCTCATAAAAGCGCCGGTAACAGTCAGTGGACGGGTGAATTCCAAGTCGAACCGATTGTGAAGGAACACTTATCAATCATAAGTTTTGGAAAACGAGTGATAATGTGACCTTACCTTCTTCAAAATCGAAATCAGCTTTTGATTCCGATTGATTTTTGTCGACCGAGTGGTCTCCGTTGTCGATCATGTGCCACCCAGTTGGATGAAAATAAGTTTTGAACTTGATTCTTTTGAGAAGCGTTTCGATTTCAGTGTGTTGAAAAGACTGTTCTTCTTTTTTGGGGTTGAGAGTTAATCCGGCCAAGCTGCGGGGATAAACAATCATTGTGATTGCTGTCAAAACTCTTTCCATCGAAAAAGATATTTTCATTGTATAATCGTCAATACCCAAGTCATTTTTGAGTGCCCATCTGATAAGATTACTGACTGAAATTGGCACACAAAGATTCGTGTCTTTTTGGTCGACAATTCTCTGCGTCAGATTCTTAAAGTCTTGGTTCATTTGCTTCGTGTATTGACCCTTCCAATTCGCGAGGACTTTCGATTTCGTTAGATTCGAATCGAGAGCGAAATCAAATGAAGTGTTTTTCAGGGAAATGATTTTTGAAACGCTTTTGATTTGTTCGATTGACGGTTTTCTTGACAAGAACCATTCCGCCTTGCAAAACTAAAATAATAAGATTAAAAATATTTTACAAGTCAATTCTTCGTTTTTTTATCAAAAAATAGTACCTTCAGCTCGTTTTCGATTTCTAATCTAATATCATCCGTTTCAATTGGCATAAACAAAAGACTCCAAGCGGTTTTCCAGTCACAAAGGGTCCAAATGTGCACTGGAAACTCAGGTGTTCCGCCTTTGCCACTGGCTCTACTGTCCAACTGCTGAATTTGCGTAAAAGCCGCTGTACCTGCCCCTAAAAAAAATCGGAAGGTTATAATGTTTTCATGTTCAGAAAAATAAACTAACCAATCTTGAAGGGCGCATTAAATTTGTGGCCTCTCCTTGTATAACCCATCTGTCGAAATCTCTCGCTTTTTGAATATACTACGATGATGCCGAAATCTGTCCACACGGGTACAATACCAGAGTCTTCCTTTTTTAGGAGAACGTTCTCCGGTTTTGCATCAAGATGTCGGATCCCTACGTCTTGCAAATATTTTAATCCCTCCATGACTCCTATTGCTATTTCTTTTCTCTCTTCTAATTTCAAACTGTTTTCTCTTAGCCGTCTTCTCAAATCACCATCACATTTCTCCATGACTGTGATCCAGCCAATACAATCCCGTTTCTCTTTATCTTCTTTCAAAAAAATCTCAATATTTGAGAAAATTTTTATAACATTTTTGTGAAACGGGATCGCACTGTTATTATTCTCGTCTCGATCGCCCGGATATCTTTTTTCTGCAACTTCGCACTCTGAATTTTTATTTTTCTAGCTTCGAAGTTCAATTTAATAAATTACCTCCAGAAAGATGAATTTCAAATTGGAGCTCATCCGAATTCTTAATTGATCGCCCAGTATTCGAAGCTGCTGGAAACTTCTCCGTAAAAAGGGCCGAGTCGAAACATTGGACTCGAACGGCGACATCCAACTTCCCAAAAGTTTCGTTTAAGATAATTGCTTCTCCGCCAGCATTTATTTGTTTCTTCTTCAAAGTTGGATCAAGAGGGGCTGACCGGACTGACAAGAGTGTAATATGGGCAATGTGAGGTGCGAAGTCCGAAAGAATGAGGCAAGTGCAGGTGGGTAGGATTAGACACAAATGTAGGACATGCGAGGAATATTGACATTGATTCTTCTGCTTTAGTCCGAATGTTTTGAAGAGAGGCTTATTTATCCGTCTTATTTAACCCTGCCCCGCCAAATGCACCTCAGGAGGTGCATTTTTCGATTTTTCAAATTTTCAATCGTCCATAATTTCTTCTACATAATATCATTTTCTTTAAATAACCATCTATTCAAGAGAACCCTTCAGTATCCTAGACATACTATGAGAGTCAAAGTTCAACCCTAGTTAAAGACCACAAAAAACGGTGTCGAAAATTGCATTTGGCGGGGCAGGGTTAAAAGGCCAAAACTAATGCTACCTAAGTTATTATATTAATACGGAAATACATTTTAAACGTATAAGCATTATATAAGGACATATAATATCTCATATTTAAGCATATTAAACAACAAGAGGTAACTGAGTTGGTAGGAAATTTCTTATTACTTCGGTAGACATTCTCGTAATTGCGATTTTCTCCGAGATTTCGAAAAAAATGAGAGCTCTGGGAGCTTGACATAAAAAGCATTTCTTTTCCCACTGCCTTTGACCCACTGTGGCCCGGTCGTTAAATGAAAAGGCTACAAAGCATGAGGCCTCGAGTTCGAATCCGAGGCCTTTATGCTCTCTTGTGCTCGATGGGATTGGCTCGGATGAGAATTCACAGCTGTGACACAGCTCACTTCACACGGTGCCTGAAAACCTGCCTCAGAAAAAAGCTTAAAATTTAAAAATCTAGGAGCCATCAAATCTCCATATTTGCAGGTTATCCGGGGGTTGAGCTTGATCGGATTTAGCAGCTCAAATCACTCATTATGTTTGCAGATCAGCCAAGCCATCAAGTCACCGTCAAGTTGAGCCGAGGTGCTACCTCTGCGGGAGTTAGCACATGGCGGTTGGCCCTCTGCATCTCCGTGCATTCATCTGTCTAATCCTCCTTCCTTGAAGCTTGTTCACCTTTATTCTCCCCTACTTAGCACCTTACATTGAACATATTACACTCTGGTCAGTACGGTCCACCCCGATCAAGAATCCATTCTCCCTCTTCTCTTTTTAACTTCGATTTCTCAAGTGTTTTTCCTTTTAAATCTGGATTTCGCTTGAGAATTTTCTCATGAAACTTAGTGACAATCCACTTTTCTCGAGTTTCCCAGAAGTTTTCTCGGTAATGAGTTGTGCCTTCTCCATCGTCAAAAGTAACCTCGTCCCATTGAGAACTTTTATCATCTTGAAACTCCATTCTCTCGACGGACAAGATTAGTCTGTCCAAATCGTCCCTCGTTGTTGTTCTCTTCAAACGCTTATGAAAACCGTCAATCCACTTCTTAATGACCTCTCTCGTCAATTCTTTTGGATGCCCCGTTACTTTCGTCATTTTCGAAAAGTTATATTTTCTTACAAATTTTTCTGAAAGCTAACTCTACTGAATAATGTGTTGCCGAGTTATAGCCGTTTTGCCGAGTCAGATGAGAATCTATACGCTGCATCGTTAAAAAAAAGTAGTTAAAAAGTCATGGGAAACCTATTCATCTGCGAAACACCTGCTGATTTACGTCTGCTTCCTGCCATAAATTCGGATTAGCGTAAAAATGAAAATCCTCAATAATAAAACCACATTCCACAAGAGCATTTTTTCGTGCTCTTGGTCAAATTCGCAACTGGAGCGAATTGTGTTTATTCTAATCGTTCGTTTCGTTCAGTAAAATTCTAGTTCTCAGTTTTCAGGCACTCAGTCAGTAAGATGGTTGTAAGTTGTGTTGCTTAGCATAAATACGGTGTTTTCATAATTTTTATGAATTGATAGAATTTGAACTTTTTTGAGAAAAACCTTCTTTCACAGTCAAATATTTAATCGTGTCGGTCGACGCCGGAAAACATGAGGCTCATACTTTCTCCGTGATGAATTCTTCGCATTGCTTCGGACAAAAGCAAGGACATGTCCACGACCGTGATCTAAGAAAGCTTTCAAAAAGAGAGAATGAGAAGACTGACCTTTCCAGACTCCTCCATCGGAATGGAGTTGGAAACAATGATCCTGTCGATTTTGGAATTGTTGATTTTCATCAAGGCTTCGTCGTTTTGAGATTGTCCCAAAACAGCGTGCGTCGCAATTACAATCACCATCTTCGCTCCGTTTTCCTTCAACAATTCAGCGCAGTTGATAAATCCTTGCGGCTCATCCAGGATATCTTAGCTTCAAATAGAACTCTTCAAAGTTGGAAGAAAGTACCTTCAACAATCAAACAGGTCTTGCCACAAACATCTCCGACAACATACATGCTCGGTTTTACCTTCTCACTGGGCATCGGCGAGTCCACGTAATCATTAACGACCAAGTTCATGCTCTCCGTTCGCGTTCGTCTGGAAGCCGTGCCCGAAATCGTTCGACTTCGGGTTCTGCTTTGCTGGGAAAATGAACGCTGTCGTCCGTTCTTCAAGTCCTTTTCGTCGAAAGACTCTTCTTCGTACTCGTTTTCCAGCGAGCCGAGCTCTGGCGGAGGAGAACCTCGTCCGTCCATCTAAAAAAGACAGTTCATTCTAGCTTCATTGAAATTGTTCTTACATCTCGATCATGCTCTTCGTGAAAGTCTTTTCCGTGAATAACAGCAATGTCCACTCGTAGTCGCTCCGCAAAGCTAATAAAAACAGTAAGCTTCAAAGCCCGTGAAAATGATGACTATCTTGAGACGATTGTTACGAAGTTTCTAGAACAGAATTTTTGAATTTTTTCTTTTTATAATCCCGTTTTATTTTATCAGTAAAAAGAAAATCCATCCCTTTTTAAAGTAAACAAATCTGTTCTAGAAACAGTAATTACTCCCAAAATTCTACCTTTGCGCCCGTTTGGCATAAGCAGGAGTTCTAGCAACAACACAAGCATCAGGCATTTGTCGCATCTGCCTATCCAGTTGGCAGGGAAGCCCGATGTCGATTTCCAAGAGTCGCTGGATCAGGTACGGCGACGCTCTGAAAATATTCATTATTTCTTCTTCAGGTGAAATCTTTGTTTCGTGGAAGTCACGTTTAAATTCGTGGAGACACGGATAAAACGCTATCTTTCTAAAATTATGTTGTGATATGTGTCTTGGCGAAAAGAACATGTCGCAGGGGCAGAAAGACGCATTCTTATCGGGAAAATGGAATGACTACTCAAGCAATTCTAAATTTGTCATTTGCGAAATGAAATTGGCGACTTTCTTGGACTTTCAAAAATAAAAAATGCAATAAAATTCGAATGGGCCGCTATTCAGCTTCTGATTGGGCGTTTCAGCATATAACGGTTTCTGATTGGTTTTAGATTTCAACTTTCAAGTTTTGTTGCATTTTTACTGATTTGCTCCGATATTTTAAATTCTATGCGCAATGAGAATTTCTAGAACCGAATTGTTTACACAAAAATTATTTTTCAATTTCTTTTTACTGATAAAATAAAAGGTGACAATCGATGTACCGCATCTGCGGATGTACCGCATCGACGGATGTACCGCATCGGCGGATGTACCGCGCTTGCGGTAGGTCGGCCGATGCGGTACATCGGCCAATGCGGTACATCGATCGTTTTTTTGCAAAAATGCGGTACGTCGATCGTTTTTTTGCCGAAATATTTCTAGAACGCGTTTTTTAGCTAGTGAGGATGCGGTACGTCGATCGTTTTCACTCATAATGCGGTACATCGATCGTTTTTTTGTGAAAATGCGGTACATCGGTCGCTTTTCGCATTCAAAAAGTGATAAAAGCTTTCGACTCTTACTTATGAATTTCTGGTCGACCCCCTGTCAGCCGAAGATTACGGCCAAAAATTTTAAAGGTGTAAAGAAATTTTTGAAGACTGAAATTTTCGACTACAAAAATGATCATCGTCGGTCATTTCTTCTTCAGAAATACCTTTGGTAGTACCGATAAAAAAAGCGTAAAGCGTGCGGGCGAAGGGTTGTTTGTTGCGGACCCAACGCCGCGATCACACAGGGTGCACTACCTGCGCAACCCACTGTACTTATTTGCCAAGACGCTTTTTTATAAAATATTAGACAGAATCTACTTATATTATTATTGGCAATAATAATTTATTGCTCATATACTCGGTTTCCTGAACGTCGTTTTTCATTTTTTTCGAGCTTTCCTCAAGATTCGTCAATTAGTCAACAGATAGAATTTATCTTAGAGAGATCCTCAAGAACGATAAATTGAATATTAAGTACTAATAATAGAAATACTTTCACTTATGATTACCTCTACTGTCACTACCATAGCTTTTTCTGAACAAGAAATGACCATTATTTTGCTCCAGTCTTCAAAAATTTCTTTACACCTTTAAAATTTTTGCCCGTAATCTTCGGCTGACAGGGGGGTCGACCAGGAATTCATAAGTAAGAGTCGAAAGCTTTTATCACTTTTTGAAGGCGAAAAGCGACCGATGTACCGCATTTTCACAAAAAAAACGATCGATGTACCGCATTATGAGCGAAAACGATCGACGTACCGCATCCTCACTAGCTAAAAACGCGTTCTAGAAATATTTCGGCAAAAACGATCGACGTACCGCATTTTTGCAAAAACGATCGATGTACCGCATTGGCCGATGTACCGCATCGGCCGACCTACCGCAAGCGCGGTACATCCGCCGATGCGGTACATCCGTCGATGCGGTACATCCGCAGATGCGGTACATCGAGTGCCATCAAAATAAAAGGGGATTGTAAAAAGAAAATTTTTAATTTTTTCAAATAAACAATTCTGTTCTAGAAATCAAGTCCAAGAATGGTTGGTAAATTAGCTTCTTATTCGCCGAAAGGTCGAAAATAGCTTTCTGATTGGTTTAAATAATCCTCAAGAAACGACGAATATCTTATTCTTTCCCAAGAAAAACCACAAAAACGCTGCTCTTATCAATATTTGGGCGCACTCGTCTAAACTCTAGTTTTAAAAGCTCAATTTCTATTCAAAAATGAAATTCCACTTGACAAATGTCACAAAATCGCCAGAATTTCAAGCGATAAGCCCAATCCCACAACAACTTGTTATCACAGAAGCGCCAGGTGTCCGACGATAAGAAAGCCATATAAAAACTAACTCGAAATGGTTGAAAATCGACGTAACGGATAACGATACGACGCAAGAAAAGACGAAGCAATAATGAAATTGACATTTTTCGCACTCACAGGATTCGCCAGCGTTTTCGCCCAAGAGAATAGCACCGATACTAGCGTTTTGGACGAGCGGGCGAAGCTGTCGAAGTTTAAGTGCAATGGAGAGCCGCTTCCACAGCTCGCCTGCGACGGAGAATGTCAAAAGGGATTTCCAAAGTGGGAGACGCGATCTGGCCCGCCCTGTGTTTATGAACGGATCAAAATGATACACGATAATGAGCTACTTTGGGTGTCAAGGTCCTGGAAGAGCTGATTAATAAACGAAAAGCCGCTATGCGGCTTCGTTTCTGAAAAGCCGTTAGAACCCTTTTTGATCCACAAAAGAACGCTGAAAACCCCGAAAACTTCAAATGCCGAGTGGTCTGCGGGCCGGGCTACATGCCCATGCAGCGAAGAATGAAGTGCCACGGCAAAAATGGATGGAAGCGAAACCCTGGAAATTGTAAGAATTCAACCCTTAGCGCTCCTTCATCTTTTAGTCATTAAATGTCGAGTCAAGAACCAACGAGTGATTGGAACTTCGAATGGATTCTTGGATGCCCTTTCCGACTCACAATAATTGACGAAGAAAGTGTCTTACAATCATAACTGTACATAATACTCAAAAGTTATTTCATACTCAAATACTGAGCGCGAATAAAACCCAACTCTTACCTTAAATTTTCGACGGGGCAATCGAAGTATCCTTGAATTTCTTTCTGATGCAAGTCCAGCGTTAAAATATGATCGAAGCCGGCTTTTGACAAAGATTGGGCGATGAGTTTCATCACGATCGAGCCTCGTTTTCGCATTCTGCACTAGAAACTCGTCAAATATCAAGTCGCAAGAGAGCTAGGGTTGAGAAAAATGCTCGATAACTTGCGGCTATTCATTGAAAAAGACAGTTTCGGATAGGAAAAGACCGAGAAGCCGCTTGCGGCTTCGAGTTAAAAGAATATTAGCCGCGCGTCTTTTATACCCGAAGGCGCAAGCGGCTTCTCGCTCATTCTTTCTTCTCCAAAACTGTCTTTTTTCAATCAAAAGCCATTTATCCACCAGAGTAAGTTACCTGTTTCGAATAGGGCAGGTAGGGAAGCACTCCAATAACGGTCTTTGCGCAGGCAGACTTGCAAGCGTACGCCATCAGCATCATTTCCATCAAAGCATCGTTGACGTTGTGTGAAACGGTCTGGATGATGTAGGCATCCGCCCCTCGCACAGATTTCTATTTTGAAAACAGGTTAAAAGACGGTCTTTTTCGCGGCTTTTTTGTACCTCGATGTCGACATTGGTCTCTCCATTGGCAAAAGAGAACGTTTGCGAAGGCGCAATTTCAATTTGAAGCCTGAAAAGTCGAGTTTAACGCCTATTCTTCACGAAAAACGAACCTGGTAGCGATCTTGGAGGCAAGTTCTCTGTTGGTATTGCCCGACAAGAGGATCATATTTTTCTTTCCCGCCCGACGACGATTCATTTTCTCGTCTAAATTTCCAACTCAAATATTTATTCTTCAATTCCCAAAAGAATTACCCGAAAGCGGAACAGACTGGGCACAGACTACTGTAGCAATCTGCTTGTTACTGTTACTGTTAGTCATTTTTACAATTTCTGAAGAAAAATTCAAGCATTTTTTCAGCGAGAACTTCACAAATAAGAAAGAAGGGCAGACATTAGGAATTTTCCACTTTTCAAAAAATTCTCTCTTTTGGGAATTCGTTACTCACGGCGGTGGGTGGAGCTTCAGAAATTATGACTCATCGAAAGAAGAAATTCATTTCAAGAAACTAGAAAAACTCGATTCCGGAATAATTTTTATATTTTTTCATAAAATAAAAATTGACTTGATTATTTGAATCTCGCTTGTCATGTTTGTTAAGACTTCTTCCTGCAGAAAAACTAGAATTTTACAGTTCGCGTAATTTTATTAAATGACCTGGCTTCAGATAATTTTTGAGGACGAAAGGTAGATTTCACTATAATAAGGTATATTTGACAGTATTGCCCGGGTACATACAGTAGGGGCGGGAATTCTAGAGCAGTAGAGAGGGAAGGTAATCTTTTGTCGCAAATTTAATTGTTGAAATTTTGAATTTTCGAATTTTGAGAATTTAAATTTTGATAAAAATAAAATGGAACGCATGGTCTATTTGTCACGTGTTTGTTTGAGGCGAACTTGATGAAGACAGGCGCTTTTTTCGTTATTCAAAAAGCCTAGAAAAATAAAAAAGACGGGTAGGGAATGTTAGCAACGCGCAAAAAGTATAAATTAGTACGATTTTGAGGATCGAGCAAAAATAAAAATTTCTCTTCACTTTCTTTCGTTTTTGATGTTGTTAAAAACAAAATTGTTGAATTAAAAATTGTGCCAGCGAAAAAAAAATGAATGTACAGAATGTTTGGCGATGGTTTTTGATGATGATGAAGAAACAGTTAAATTTTAAACTTTAAACAAGCTATTTATTATTAATAAACAAGCATGAAAATTTTTTATCAATAAAAATTTCTTTCAAAGAGTTTTGATAAGAAAACACAGCTGATTTTTCCCGGGAAATTTTTAGGACTGAAGATTTTGAGATTTATAGAAGTATTTTTTAACCCGGGAAAAAGCCTGCTGGAAACTGTATTTTCTTTAAAACTCTAGAATTCGAAAGAATTGAAAATTGGCGTACCCGAAACTTTGTAAATTTGTTCAAATTTTGGGCTACTAAATTGGAACTTTTCAAAGTTTCGACTGCCCGCGGCTATTCTCGCGTTCTGCCCTCAGGCGAGTGAAAACTAGAGTTTAGTCGAATGCAGTCAGAAGTTAGATACCCTCAACAAAGTTTCTGTGTAATGAAAAATAGTAGATTGATAGGTCGACTACAGTCCGTTGTACAGTAGTTTAGCCAAATATTTATACTTAGAAAAAAGGGCGGAATATGTTCATTTTTTGGAATTTTGAATAGCTTGAGTTTTGAAAGTTCAGATTTAGGAGTTTTTTTGGTCTAGAATGGGATGAGTTGACAGCTTAAAAAATGGCACGATAGAAAATAATAAAATAGATAAAAAGTTAATTAATTATAATTGTTGGTCTTTTGCTTTTGTGAAGGAAAAGTTGTGGTTGTGGAGTCGAACTAGAACTAGAACTGGCAGTGTAGAACTGGTCTTTTCCTCTTTTGACAGAGGCTGCACTGTTAGATCTATCGCGTTTTGGGATTTTGTACTTTTGGGAAATTGGAATTTATCCGGGTTTGCGTGTGAGCGTTTTTTGCGGTTTTTAAAATAAGGGGAGGGAGCGGGGAAATGTTGATTTTTATACAGGGGAGGATAGATAGTAATAGTCGTTCTCGTTTTTGAAAACAAGGAAGAGATTTTTTACGAGACTCAAGCGGCGAGTTTGAGGGAAGATCGTTTGAACTTGCCTGGACGACGATTCGGATTCATGGAAGGCGAATCTGAAGGCGAACAGTCAGCTACAGTTCTAGGAAAGTTGATTTACCATTTATTCGGCAACGGGGGCGGGAGTCGTGACTTCCTCCGTCGATTCTGTCTTTTCTTCTTTTTCCTGAGCGGGAATTTCGCCTTGAAATTTTAGTTTTAGTTTTAGTTGTTGAAAAATATGGCCTAAGCAAGTTTTTCCAGTGCGGTATTTTTACTGTGAGAAAGCTCTGGTAGTTATAAGTATCATTTTTAGAGAAGAAAAAGCGTGTGTCAATGAATGCGTGTTCCTTCGCGCGTGCCCAAAATGGTGAAAAAGAGACAAACTGGCAGCGTGCCCAAAGAATATACGCCGGCGGTCTTTACCGTCAATATACAATATACTCGGACGCGGGTGGAGTCTCAACGGCCGCCCAGCTATAAAAGTAATAATAAGCGACGAAAAAAAGGAGGAAAAATAATCGATCGGCGCGACAGCAGGAGTGCTTGTAAATAATGCACTAACGCTACCAGGCGGCTTTACGATGCGTCTGGGGGTATTTACAGTCAACTGTGGTCGAAGTTTTGGAGCAGATCGATTCCACCGTCGAGCAGGAGTCAGCGGAGCAGCAAATCTGAGCCGACTGAGTAGCCTCAGATGACAGCCCGCTGATCGCGTTTTCAATGCTTAATCCAGGATCAGCCAGCGCTAGCCGCAGAATCAAATGGACATGATTATCAACCTCACTAATGAGCTACTTTCCCACTTTTTTACTGTAATTTTCAAGCAATCCCCTTTTCAAAACCATTCAAAATTCAAAATATAAAATACGAAAGCCAATATTTTTATTGAAGAAAAATATCGAAACCGCGATAACTAAATTAACCCTTCGTCTTTGACAGTTGAAGAGCACTGGCCCTTTTGAAGTGTGTATGAAATATCTACCATGAAAAAAATGGCGAGCCCCTTGAAATTTTCACATCAAACACAAACAGGATTAAAGTGTAATCCTATAAATAATTCGAAACCCACAATTTTAGCAGTTCCCAAACAAGCAAACTTCCGTTTGTGCTTGATTCAAATATCAAAATACCCAACTTTGAGTTTCAACCGTCAAACACACTTGAAAGGTCAATTCCGATTGGGATTGTTAATTTGACCTTGAAATTCGGCTATTTCTACAGTACAGGCTTGAAAATCAGGGGGCAATGAAAGTAGGCCTCCTGTAGCGCGAGGCTGGTGATCCTCGACCCTTTTCCTTTGTTCGATCAGCTCCTCGATGTCACAGGCACCCGCTACGTGAGCAGGGGTTGATGGGATAAAGAGCTTTTCTTCGCGCTCCTCATCGCGATCGTCCGCGCTGTAGATTGACCCGTTCGAGTTAAACCTCAACACGGGCATCGCCATGGGCGGCGCCTGATCGAAGCCACACGCCGCATTCGACAGATCCGGTACGGACAGGGACTCGAACAGCTGCACCTTTTCGGGCACAGTCATCTCCGACGGCGAGCTTAGTCAGGGATCGAAAGATGGCGAAATATATCGAATATTTACAGTCAGAAGGGACAGGCCCCAAAACGAGTGCATTTAATTTGCATAATGCGATAATCAATGATTCTTTTTGGGAAGCTGCCTGTGTGGAGTAGTGAACTAGTGTATTAGTTGTACTAGTGTTGATCTGATATTAGTTGATCCGAGATGAGAAACACGGGTCTTAGTTATAAATCTCGATCCCTTTCACGAACTTGGAAGTGGCGAGGATTGTTAGTCGGTGTTGAATTACCGGAGTCAACGAGGAGATCCGACAGCGACGCCGTGACTTGTGACGATTCTGCCACCTGTTCGGCTTGAAACGTCTGTGTTTCTTGGCTCTCGCTTCTCATGCTCCCCGAGAGGGCAAGAGGAGTTTCTTCCTCCTCGACGACGGACTCTTCCAATTTAGCTTGGAGGGACTTGACGTAGGCTAGCAACGCTTCGAGGTCGGTTTGAGAGCCGACGGAAATCTTGGTGAAGGTATGCACGGAAGAACCACTGATTCCTAGTATTGTCCAAAGTTGAGCGCGGTTGAACTCGCAATTGAAAAGAGACAAATAGAGTTACATCAGTAGTCCGTCCAGTAGCGAGATAGGTGGGTTAGGTGGATTTTGATTGTGGACTGAGCGGACTGACCGGTTAAAAATTCAAACCAAACAAACTTCTTTCCTGGAAAGAGGGGTGCAACTTCAACCAACGACAGCTCGACATCAACATCAATTTCAACTTGGCAAAATCCATCAAATAGTATTTTATGCCTGACATAAGATATTCAATAGATGGAAGTGGGTGGAGGATTAAGTTGTGCAGTTCTTTGTCCGAAAAAGTAGGCGAATGCCAAATCACGCTCGATTATGAACACGATTTGCGTATTTGGCTTTAAAGTTTTTGGTAAAAAAACGGGCTTGATTGGAATACATTCATTGACAACACGGTAAATTCGTGCAATTTTCAGGCCGGTTTACCTGACTCCTCCGCGACCGGCGCCGATTCCACTACTGCTTGTACAGTCGTCGCCTGAAAATGTACAGTCAGATCAATATATGAATATATGCGCAAATAAGAGGCAAGTATGAAGATTTGAAGATTTGCTGATTGCGGAATAATCAGACTCAAACATACTTGCCCTGGTCTCTTTAAATATGTGCATATATAGACAGTTATTACTGTACATAGCGAATAACTGCCAGGTGAATGATAATTACCTCGCTCGGCGTCGTTTCCTCGGGAGTAGCTTGAGTTTCTTCGACCTTCTCTTCCTCAACTTTCTCCTCGCTCTTTTCTACAACTATTGAACTTTGAAACAAACATTTTTGCGTGTATCTTTACCTGGCTCACTGACGGTCTTAGCTGGCTTATCCTCGGCTTTGGTTTCGTCGGTGGCTGCGTCGGTCTTCTCTTCGCTAGTTTCCTTCGCTTCCTCCTTGGCCTCTTCTTTCTCGACGGGCTCGGCAGTCTCAGACTTCTTTTCTTCGACCTCAGCCGCCGGCGTTTCCTCGGATTTCTCCGTCACATCGTCGGTCTTTTCAGCTTCGTCAGAACTTGCTGGTTCTTTCTAAACAAGCAGGATGATGCGATGATCAAATATGATGCAGATTTCTTAGATGTTCTTTTTGATTGCGGGTTTTTCTTACCTTTTCTTTCTTGTCCTTAGATTGGAAGGGACCAGTGATGTTTCCAAAGATGCGTTTCAAAGTATTAGCTCGTTTTTTGCCCTCTGGTTTTGCTAAAAAATGATGAAGAGCAAGATAGAAAGAGTAGTCATTCACCTTCCGTGGATTCCGCTTCCTCCGATGGCTCAGCAGCGTTAGCATCGGTTGCACTGGCAACGGCATCGTCAGCGGTTTGGGCGGGTTGTTCGATCGCCTCGTCGTCAGTTTGGTCTCCGGTCTTTGCCTCAGCGGGGGTGTCAAGTGAATCGGTGGTCGTCGCCTCCTCCTAAATTTTGAATTCAGTTCAAACGCATCCTGCTGGCAGGGCTCTAATCACATTTCACAGTGAGTTACGCCACTCAAGGAAAAAAGGATAGTCCGAATACACAGCGGCGCGCTCGCCCGTGACAGATTCGCGCGGATTAGGGATGATATATTGACCTTTTGGGAGTTCGAAAAAATATCTTCACTTTTTCTTACCTTTTCATCTTCAGACTGAGCGCCGGCTTTCTTTTCTGCAGCACCCTTCTTGCCGCTCTTGCGTCGTTTCAGGCCGCTGACGAGCTTCGAAAGTGAACCTTCTTTTTTGCCCTCCTTTGCTTTCTTGGTCTGTTCCTTTTCCTAAAAAAGAAAGGTTAACAATCTCGAAAACTGAACAAGATGAAACATCGTCATTTAAATAATACATTGACTAATTGAATCAAGATTTCAAATATTCAAATCAGCTTTTCTAGTTCAAAAAGCAGATCAAGGGAAAGTTGATTTCCGTTGTTTTTCTTTGTTACCTCGAGCAACGAGTAGAGATACATGCTCGTGAGTGGAAACTGAACCTTATCAAGAATCAAAAAAGGCCTGTCTTATCGGATAAGTTTGTTTGTTTCTGTTACCTTTTCTTCCGTTGGCTTGTCCTTTGCCTCGCCCTCGGTCGTATCAGCAGTTGACTCGACTGTGGCTGGCTCAGCAGCAGGAGTTTCTTCCGTTTTAGCAGCGGCGGAGTCGGTAGTGGCTTCTTCAGTAGCTTCAGCAGCTTCTGGTTTCTGCGCATCGGTGTTTTCCGCGTCAGGAGCAGCAGCTGCCGAAGCATCTTCCTCAGCCTTCGCTTCGGTTTCCGACTTCTTGCCGTCCTCGGAAGCGGCCTTTTTGGTATCCTTCTTTTCGGGGCTGACGAAGTAGCCTTTGATGTTGTCGAACCAAGTGTTTCGCTTGCCCGCGTCATCCGGAGTCTTTTCCTTTTTCTTCTTTTTATCGGCCTTTTGCTCGTCCGCCTAATTTATGGTCAGCTAATCAATCAATAATTTATTTAATTTATTACCGCTGGTGCTTCTGAAGTGGTGCCTTCCTCCTCGGTAGCAGTTTCTTCAGTAGCAGCAGCAACGTCTGGCTTCACCTCCTCAGCATCTTCCTTAGTAGCTGGAGCATCGTCTTTCTTTTCGGCAACATCAGCTTCTGGAGTAGCTTCGGTGGTGCTTTCTTTCGCCTCGGCTTCGACTTCCGCTTTGGTCTTTTCTTCGTCAGCTTCAGTCTTTTCCGCAGCCTCTTCGGTCGCTTTTTCTTCCTCGGAGTTTTTAGGAGTGTCTTCAGTTTTCTTTTCGCCTTCTGCTTCCTTCTCCGCTGCTTTTTCGGAAGAAGCCTCCTCGGTTTTCTTCGCCTCGTTGGTTTTCTTTTCAGTCTTCTTTTGCTTGTTGAAAGAGAAGCTGGGCATCAGCTGTTTGAAGTTTTTCTTCTTGCCCTTGCCCTTCTTCGACGGAGACTTGTTCTCGTCGGTTTCTACGCTGTCGCTCGTAGTCGGTTCCTGATTTTGAATGTTACAAATTTGAAAAGAAAGACAGCCTTCTTCCCATAAGTCAACTGTAAAAAAGCAGCAGCATATGGCGGCACGGCCGCAACAAAAGGGCGCAAGCATTGATTTTTTGAATAATTAGCCGTCAACCGATGTCTAACATAGAAAAAACGCCGCCATTGTTGACAGCACGTACACAATTTAAAATATTCAGTATTCGCAGTTGATATAATTCAGTAACAAAAAAATCAAATTTGGAAAATTGAAAATTAGTCTTCCTTGATTTCAACGAAGAATTTTTCTTTTAGCTTTTCAAATGTTTCTAATTTCTTTTAAAACCCATCGATTCTCAACTTTGACAATCGCGGATCTTCGGGAAGATACTGATTGACCTCTTTGACATTAATTTATTAATCTGGATCGCCCGAAAAAGTACGAAGCTGGACAGGGATCAATCAACCCCTCCCCCGCTCTTTCTCTTTTGAAGTGATCAAGCTTACCTGGTTCTCTTTTCCGTTCTCCTCTGAAGTAGCAGGCTCGAGCGGCTTGGTCGGGGCCTCGGCCGCCTTGGGAGTGGTCCCGTTTGGTGCATTCTCTTTGTCTGCTTCGGCAGCCATGTCAGCCTTAGTTGCGTTGACGACTTCTGATTCTTCCTGTAATTGAAAATGTTATTCGGTGCAAATCTGTATGAGTATGAATGTGTAGGGCTTGTAGTACGGTCGGGGAAGATCACGCGCCGGAGGGCAGAACGCGCGCCGCCGCCAAAGGGATGAATCGCAGGAGAGCGAGCGCGCTGGCCCGCCCCCACGAGGACAATTCTTCGGAACGCGCCGCGGGGCAACTCGCCGATGACGTGGCCGGCGCCGACGACCGTCAAAATCTGAGAAGCCAGCGATCAGGTGACCTGGTGGTGGCTTGGGCGCGCGCCAACTATCGCTCGATGCGGCGCGCTGCTTATCACGGAAATCGCATCAAAAATTTAAATGCGAGCTTCCAACGGCTGAGAACTATTCCCTGGGGAGACGAGTTACTGGCTAGCGATTACGAGAATTACTGATTGACAAACCCTAACGCATGTAAAATCAAAATTATGCTCATCAAATCGTCAATTATGAAGAAAACCTTGATTAAATGTTTTGAAATCCATGAATTAAAAAGCTAAATTTGAAAAACTTACCAATGGGGTCACAGCGGGAACAGATTCAGAAACCATATTTGTGTAAAATTTTAAATCCGCTGTTTACTGTAATAGTATTTCTCTCTATTTATGATTCAATCAACCTCTCTTTGAAAAGGACTTATTTACTTCTTTAGTTCGAAAATGAAAATAATGAAAAATGCGCGTTTTGTCCGACAGGTTGCGTCCTGCGAGGAACAACGGGATTTTTCGCTGCAAAAAATTAAATCGCGGGGGCGCCCGATCGCGAAAAAATCTTGGGTGGCGCGAGAGCGAGCGAAAAAATAACGATACAGCGAAAATTTCAATATTTTTGATGCGCGCCAAGATTTTTGCTTTGAATTTGGCGCCTTGCTGATGATGCGAAATTTATGCTAATTTCACTGAGTCAGCAAGAATTTTCTTTTGAAAATCATCAAAGAAAAAGAAGGTCAGTCAATTTGAAATTGACGATTTTCAACGGGTTATGGAAAATGAATACGTCAATCCTCATTATTGACGGCTAATTAGTAATTACTACATACATTGTAATTACTGTATTCAAGGCTGAACTTCTATTCTCAATCTTGAATTCATTTTTAGCAAAAGAGCATTTTCAATTCCTAGTTGAGAATAGAAGTTCAATTTGGAATACAGTAATTAGCCGTCAGTAATGAAGTTCGTTGCCTATTGACGTATTCAGTTTCAATAAACGTTCAATAACCCGTCGAAAAAGACGTCAATTTCAACTGACTTCATTCAAACGAACTAAAGCGATAAAAGCCTGAGTATTTTTTACAACTGAAATTTCATCGCTAAGTCCTTTTCAAATTTTAATCTTGAATAAAGAATAAAGGAGTGGTAGGTGATTGGCAAAACCCCGCTGTGATCCGCATTCAGCAAATTAGTCCCCGAGATTAAATTTTCTTCTCAGGGGTCCTCCAAGCGAAAAAAATCCCCTGCGAAGATCTCTTTTTATGACACCCATTCCAAAAATAGGCTTAGATTACTCGCCTCTCCCAGAAATTAGTGGGAAACTAATTCCATGAAATCTTAGGGGTCAAAATTTTAATCCAAAAAAGGACAATTTTTTGCAATTAGAAATCCGCCATAATATTTGAATTAAAATCGAGAAGCCTCTTGCGGCTTCGAGGCAAAAGACGAAAAAGCCGCGCTAAGCGCGGCTAAAATTTTTCATCTGATCGAAGCCGCAGGCGGCTCCTCGATTTTTTAAAATCAAATATTAGGGTTGATTATTAATCGCTAAAATATTGTCCTTTTTGGAATTAAAATTTTGACCCGTAAATTTTCAAGGGAAGAGCCAGTTCTTTTGACAGTTCAATTCAGAATAAGGTTCAAAGAAAATAAGCTGGACTTACAGTTTTGCGACAAAGCTTCATTATAAATCTTTTATTCCGTGCTTAGTGGGCTCTGGTGTGTGTCTCTGTGGTTTGTGATCTGAGGAAGCAAAAGAAAAAGATCAGAAGCTCGAATTTATCGCTTATCGATACTGAACCACGGCGAGGGATCACACTGCCGCGGATGACGTTGGCGCGGAGGAATTTGTCTCTCTCCTCGAAAATAAAAATAACTCGACCTACTACTCGTCGTAGTAGTTGTTGAATAGTAGAAGATAGCAGAACAAATAGCCCAAGAATGGGGATAGATTACTACCCGAGTACTTGAATACTCAGAGCTCCCCTGTATTCTCATACAGACTCGTGCCTAAGAAAAACAAATATCACTAGCCAACACTATTGAAATTTATAAGGCGGAACTCATTATTGTGCCAAAAAGAGTGAAAAAGAAAGAAAGTAAGAAAAAAGTGGAAACCTAACCGAGCTTGAATGAGTTTTTGAATTGATCCAGAACTGAAAATAAACACCCAAATGTATTCAAAACAAAAAGGGCGTTAAATTAACCCTTCTGCGCGCTAAGGTCAATCTGAGCTCGGCAACCTGTGTAGAAGACCTGACTCAGGGTCTGAGAGATCTGTAATGAAAAGCCGCATATATTTCTAAATTCTGGCGAAGCCACTTTGCGGCTTCTTTTTAAAATATAGCCGCTTTGCGGCTTTTCATTAGAAATCTTTCAGACCCTGAGTCAGGCTCTCTTCACAGGTTGCGGAGCCCAGATTTTGCGAATAAATGTAGCTAGTTCAAAAATTCAGAATTGAAGACTGAAAATTTTGAGCTGCTTCTTATCAAAACTTATCATTACAAAGGTGGCTATTCCCAAAACAGGACGAGTCGAGATAATCGCCTTAGAAAAAATAGCAGCTCATCTGAAGCTTTCATCCCTTCGACGGATTATTATTATACCTGCGTTCCCCTTGATTAGCTTTTTTCCTTCTTCCTTTTTTTGATTAGACAACTTACCAGTTTTTTAATTTTTCCTTGGAGACCAGGCTCGCCGAGCTGCGCGTCCCCAGGGGTGTACCCCTAAAGTTCATTTAGCACAAGTTCAGTAGCAGTAGCACAGTTTCAGTAATCACACGCTACGTAGACGGCCTCCGAGGACAATAATCACGCCTGAGGCCAAAATCCAGATGGCCAGCGGCGCGATTTTAATTTTAATTTTGCTAGATGAAAATTGCCACACTTCCGAAATTAGCCGCCATTGATAGTATTTTTTATCGCCATATGTTCAATTTCGGGCCTACTTGAAATCAACAAGGACTTCTTTTTATCCAAAACGGGTCTCGAAATGGCTTTTCCACGCAAACAAGTTAATTTAAAACGAGTAAAACTTCAGTAAACCTATTTTTTCTGCTTGATTAGCTGGATAAATATCACAAAAGGCGGCCTTTACCGAGAAAATTCGGTGACCCGGATAAAGCCCTGATTTGATCCCTCTAGCTTAGCCCCTATTATGGCGGGTTAATAAGTTCTTCCCAGTCGTACCTTGGTTGTCGAAACGGCGTTTCCCATATTCGCACTAGGGTTGTTGGTTTCGCCTTGGCAAGTCTAAAAATAAAGAAATCGGTTAGTCGAGAAGAGGAGCGCAAGGTGCTTGAGACTATTTAAAAACGAGTCTCTTCTTGAGTGAGTGATAACAGCAAGAATAAGCAAGGAGAAAGAATAAGGGTGGGAGTAAGTTTCTTATCAAATCAATGTTTTACTATCAGAAGCCTGTGAGTAACAGACTTCCTTCTTTCGAATGAGAAAATTAGTTAAATTATTTTATCATTGAACTGAAAAAATGAGTCGAAAAATGAATCGGGTCAATCAGTCAAAAAAGAAAATCAATAATTTTCATCAGGAATTATTCTGTTACGGGCGAAAAAGGGATGACTCATGAGTTGACGGATTAGGCGGTAATTTCAAATTTATGCGCTCGGCGGAACATTCAAAAAGGCGGCTTTTTGATTGATTCTTTTAGAATTTTAATAAAAAAGCTGCCGAAAAATTCTGAAAAGGATAGAAGAATTGGGAGAAATTGGAAATGAATAATTTGAATTTCGTAAAATTATTTCCACAGTTCAGTTATTTTCTTTTGCAAATTGCAATTTTCAATTAGTGTGCCTTGTGATGCTGATTAAGAAAAATATGCGTGGGAGCGACACGACTGGTATGTCGATCGTTTTGCTTTAGCGATCGGTTGGTGGCGTCTCCTGATAAGTACGGCTCATCGTCTGCTCCTGTCTCTTTCTCTCTCTTTCGTTCTGCGATAACTGATAAACTGATAGGGGTATTCTCTGTCTCCAAGAATCGAAAAAATAATGAAAAAAGAAGCTAAAAGGAGCCGCCCGCGTTTGGAAAACATTGTCGACTCGAGGCCGGAAAAAATACCTCCAGCAGGGTTGCTCTTTTTGGATTGAAAAGACGCCCGCCCGATTCTCTTAATTCAATTTATCGTTCAATTTTTCAACCCTTTTTTTTATCGAAGCCAAATTCCGAATTCCACAATGAATGACATTGACGAATGAAATTCCATTTTTGAGGGTGATTTTTCAATAGCAGTTTTGTTTGATTTTAATAAATTTTGAGGCGGATTGAATTTGATGAATCACTATTGCCTTTTTCGCCTGAATTCCGATCCGAATACAAAAATTCGAATGAATTTATTTCCCAGTCTTTAATTTTGATTCAGAATCAGGCTCAAAATTAACTACTGGGAAGTATATTCATTCGAATTTTTGCATTCGGATCGGAATTCAGGCGAAAATAGGCAATAGTGATTTAATCACTATTAATACTAGTAATTTTCTATTTGATTCGTAAATTTAAAATAGAGGGGTGATCATTTTAATGGGAGGTCGCCATTTTAACGGATTGAATATTCCTCGAAAATGTTCCCATTATAACGGCTTCCCAAGCTTTTGGCTAGAAAATCCGTTAAACTAGGATCCTTTTGAGGAATACGAAATCCGTTAAAATGGCAGCGTCTCAGAGGTATTTGCCCGTTAAAATGCGGACCGCGTATTTTAATATATTTCTGTTAAAATAGAGTAAACCCAATTTGTCAAAATAAAAATCAGACAGAGTCCATTAAATCTGAACTTATTCGCTCCGCCGTGATTGAGAAAATGACCTTTTCTTTAATCGCCCATCACGACCTGAATGCATTCACGGCGCAATTTATCGGTCAGCAGAGTCGAAAAAAGTCCGAAAATATTTTTGGACAGAGGCCAGGAATGAACACTTCATCCCTTCACGAGCTCTTGAATTTTTTTAAAAATGAAGTTAACAAAGTTATCTCCCTTCAAAAACCGTTAAATATTCAATTTTAGGTAAAATAAAAAAATTAAAAGGAAAATTCTAGTGAAGAAATTTCTTTTGAAAATTATAAAAAATAACAAAAAAAAAAATAAATTTGATGAAAAAATTTTCGGTTTCTTCTCCTTTTCAATTCTCTCAAAGCCGTTTTTCTCTCTCTTTTTTCATTTCAATGTTAGAATTTGAATTTCCGTTTTCGATTTTCAGGTTCGTTTTGGCGGGGCTGGGCTGGGCGATTTTCTGCTTACTGTCTCCCGCTGACAAGATCAATGGTGTTTGAAAAAAAATTTCACGAGCCGCTGCCAGCTAAAAATACACCCGCCATCGATAGTTTTCAAAATGAAAAGCACTTTTTTCCTCTTGAAATTGAAATATTCGGATATCTAAAGCCAAATCGCTGATTCTCTCTGATTCATTCATTTTACTACAATCAGATTACTGGGGGGCCTGTCCTGCCACCCTGGTTTTTTCAGAATTGCTCTGTGTCTATCAGTAATGCTCAGCTAAAATAGATCTCTAATTTAGGTTTTGATTCTGAGACGAGAATTGGGAGGGAGGGCGTAGTAGTAATGAGTGGAGAATTTGCACTCGTCTGCATTGAACGGCAGACGTAGTAAAGATAAGGCTCCGGGTCAGAATAATATTAGCCAGGAATTTGAAGATTTGCGCAGATCAAATGGCAGATGGAAAGGGGGCGAACGCTGGTAAGTTATTTGGGGCAGGGGGTTACTGTTCTTGCTTAGTGTTTATGAGAGCGGGTTACAGTCGATTTACAGGATTATTTTCATGTTAAAAGGTCCTTTTTTATTTGTTCCGAGGAAAATTAAGGGGATAAAACATTGATAATTTTATTTATTATAAATGATACTGTTATCGACCTGACTGTACTACTGTATATTATTAGGGGTATTTAATATTCTATTTTATCATCAAAAAGATTTTCTTCTGTAAATTTTCATCAAAAGATCTCTTATTTTATTCTCTTCAGAAGGAGTTTTCAAGATACTCTCTCTTTGTGTGTTGTTTCATAACAAAAAAACCGGCTGGTCGAGCGCCGCTAGAAACGATTTTCGAAAAAACGGTCGCGCGCGTTGGTGGTGCTGCCTGGTGCCACTACCGCGGGCGGCGAATTTGGCGCATGAATTGTGAGCAAGCGTGATTAACGCATGCTACTACTCGAATCGGAGTAGAATTTATGCAGATGCGTAAATTGCTGGCTCCTAAAAATGTGTTATTTGAACTGATGAATAAAAAAAATGGATAAAAATAAGCACTTGATTCTGTAGAATGACTGTAATTCTCGTAGGGAAATACAAAAATACACACAATCAAAGACGGATAAGAGCTTGGATTTATGGCCCGTGAATGATTAGGATTTTTATGAATTGGATTCGATCAAATAAACGCAATTAGAAAATAATCATTCTCTGATTCTCTGAAAATATTTCTTAGATTTGAACTGACTGATGCAAAAACAATTCTTTTCATCTTCAAACACTTACTTCTAACTCTTGTTTTGTTAACTCTTGCTCCTCTACTTGCCGCTCTCTTTCTCAATTTTCTTTGTTGTCTTCAATTTGCTATGAGCGAGAAATGTGTTGAATTCTCGTTTTTCGTTTTTTTTCCGTGAACAATAAAAGCCTCGCAAGAAGAAATGCTCCATTTGTACGAACGAGGTCCTGATGGATTAATATTTAATTCTATAAAGGCAAATCAATACATTTATGCATTTCAGCTTATCCCCATTTCTGCCTTTGCCTTTGCTTTCTTTTGTCGTCATGGATTTGTTTTGCCATAATCTGCCGCAGATAATCTTCCTCACACCTTCCACGAAAAAAAAAGTGTCTTCCGATACCGCTAGAGACTCATCCGACGGCTCAAAAAGACCGCCTTGATGAGCTCTATCTAAATCTAAAAGAAAAACTTCTGAAAAATGGTACTAGAAAAAAGTTATCGAGAAAAAACCACTTTTCGGCTACTTTCAAGCCTCCAAAAATGGGTACCCAAAAATTTTTTTTCCAAATTTTTTGAAAAATATTATTTTATAGACCCAAATTTACAATCAAGGAAAGTTTTAAGGAAATCAAAGGACCATCCCTTTTTTTTGGCCAACCCTAAATCTGCGAGATAGATTCTATCAAGCTCCTGCTCTCTCTTTGTACATACAGACATAGATAGTAAATTATTGATTTGTTGATTTTATAATATGCAGGAGAGAACTCAGTTTGTTGCAAATGTACAATCAGCGCACGAATTTACAGGCAAAGTAACAGGTGAACATTCTTTTGGTGATATGAAAAGGATAGTTTATGAAAATTATTCTACTAGGTAAACGTAGGATTGCTTAGGGTCAGCTGAAGCAGCCCAATGGAATTTTACTCAGCAGCTTGCTCGACAGCAGCTTCTTCTTGGGCAACTTCCTCAGCAGCGGGAGCAGCTTCCTCGACAGGGGCAGCATCCTCAGCGGGAGCGGCCTCTTCAGCGGGGGAAGCTTCTTCAGCAGGGGCGGCTTCAGCTTCTTCAATGCCGGGGACCTCGCCAGATTCGCCTTCGGCCTCGGCATCAGCCTCAGTGTTGGCAGCATCGATTTCGGCTTGGAGGGCGGCCTGCTGTTCGGCGAGTTCTCGTTGCTATCAATTATTTTAGCTTCATGTGATTAGGCTTGATCTTACCCGGGCAGCATCGAGAAGAGCCTCTCGGTTCTCTTCTTCTTCCTTCAATTTCTGCGAAGCGTAGAAGATGGAATCGAATGCTAAAATTTATGACTATCATTTTGTCCCTGATAAAGAGTCTTACAAGAGCCAGTGAAGTCGTAGTGGACCTTGGTGTCAAACATTCCGAGTGGAGTGGTGAAGGAAGCGGTGTATCGGCCCATGTCCATTTCGGTGAGAGGGTTGATGGTAAGAGCGACGACACCAGTCGAGGGGCTGAATTTCATGCTTGTTTGATGTTTGTAAAATCAATTCTTACGTGATCTCGACTTCGTATTTGTCGGCCTGTTTGAGGGGCTTGGCGTTCTTGAGCCACGACACGCTGGTATCTTCCGAGAGGTTGGAGATGACACAGAAGAGTCGGCAGCCACCGACGAGCTGTTCGGGAATAACAGGCTGTCGGAAGTTGAGGACCATATCCTTTAAAAGAGTGTTAGGAGTGAGACAAGGAGGACTTTGATTACCTCCATTGGTGGCATTGGTGGTGGTGGAGGTGGTGGAGGAGGCTGGACTTCCAGTTTGGCAGTACATTGTCCACCAGGATTGTAGGCAGTGACCTGAAAATATGGATGAAAGAAACAAGGAGATTATTAATTGTACCTCTCCAGAATCTTGGTATCGTGGGCAGTAGAGTCGGAGGGATCGAACGCAGCCAACAGAGACGATTTCGACTCGTTCGTTGTCGGGGTCGAGTTCTTCGCCGTTGAGGAACCACTAAAAAAGGTTTAGTCTACTAGAACACATTTTCAAAAAGACCTGGAAGTGAGGCTGAGCCCACATATTGACGGGATTGAGCTTGACAACACATCGGAATTCGACGTATTCGGCGGTGTATGGAACATCGATCTCGTCTTCGATGTACTTGTCGAAGAAAATGGGGACCATGCCGTCAACGCAGACGTTAGCAGTGATTTCTCCACCGAAACCGCCGCAGTAGTACTACAAACCTGTAAGATTTAATTAAATTGAATGTTTTTACCTGAGCGATATCCTCGTACTGAATATCGTGGATGATGAGGGATCGAGCGCCACCTTGGCTGACAACTTCGTATTTGCCATCCTTGATGTCTTCCTCGGTGATTTCGATTTCACCTTGAGCAGTGATCTTCTTCCACTTGACAACAGCGCAGTGCTTGGACAAGTTGCAGTGGAGAACGACGGTATCGCCCTTGTTGGCAAAGGTGTCGCCGAAGTACTTGACGAAACGGACGGGAGCAATTCCATCAACGCAAAGATCGGCAGTCGAGCAGAATCCATTGTATCGGCAGACGCAGTGGACGATGCAAGGATCTTCGTTTGTGACCTTGTCGATGATGAGCATTCGAATTCGACCAGCAGAGATGATGTGGAACTTGCCAGTTGGCTCGATCTTAGTCTCCTTCCAGTTTCCGAGATACCAATCAACTTCGGTGGTCTGATCCTTGACTTCGCAGAGGAAGAAAGCTCGGTCGCCGGTGTTCATCCATTGGTCCTGGATTTCTCGAAGGAATGGCATCTGTCGCTCGAGCTCTTCAAGATCCCGAAGTCGCTGTCTTTCAAGCTCCTCAAGTCGTCGTCGCTCGGCGTACATGGCATTCTGTCGGTCGATCAGGTCCTGAAGAGTGTCAACACCGGGAGTAGCGTAGCAAGATGGGTTGCTTGGAACACCTTCGCCGACAGTAGAGACTCCTCGAACGCGGAAGAAGTAAGTTTGACCAGGCACAAGGCCATTGACCTTGTACTTGCAGTCAGCAGCCATTTCAGGAGAATTGACTGGAATCCAGAGATCAGTGCCTTCTTTGCATTTTTCAACAACGTATCCTTTGAAATCGCCGTCGCCGAGATCCTTGGAGGCTTCCCACTTGAGTTCAACCCAATCTTCACCGATGCCAGTGAATTCGAGCCAATCAGCGGGTCCAGGAGCAGCTGGATCATCAGTCCAAACTCGGCCTGGAAGGTTAATGTAAGCACCACAACCGACAATGTTGGCAGCCTTGACTCGGAACTGGTAGTATCGCTGAGGAGTAAGACCGTCAACGGTGAAGTGTCGCTGAGTAAATGCTTTGTTGTTGACTTGCTTCCACTTGCCACCGTATTCTCGAACTTCGAGATAGTATCCGATGATTGGCGCGCCGCCATCTCTCTGAGGCTCGTCCCAGGAAACTTTGACGGAGGTTTTGGTAACATCAGGTTTTCCATCAAATCGCGAGACACGGAAGAAAGACAAGGCGTTTCCGTACCAAGCTGGGGGACGAATTCCATCATAAGCAATCACTGGCTCAGATGGCTCGGAAAATCCAGACGAACCCTTGGAGTTCACAGCTCGGACTCGGAAAATGTATTTCTCGCCCATATCAAGCTCGTTCACGATGTAGTGGTTCATGGCGATCGCCTTCTCGTTGCAGAATTCCCAGACACCAGAACCGAGCTTTTGCTTCTCCAAGTAGTAGGCGACTTGTTCACCTCCAGATTTCCCTGGTGGAGCCCATGTGACTTCAACATACTCTCGAGTAGCTTTAGCCCAGTTGACGGATCTAGGAGGAGTAGGAGGACCTCGGTATCGACCTTCAAAGTCAGTACCATCTGTGCAAACGGAATAGCACTTTGGAGCATCGGCAGAGATAACCTGAGCCTCATCAGAACCAGAATCCTCTCGCTCTTCATCCTGTTCTTCGTCTTCCACTTCCTGTGGCTCACCGCACCAGACAATTTCCGTGGGCAAGGAGGACTCAGAAAATCCGTAGTGATTCTTTGCTCGAACTCGGAACTGGAATTGCTTTCCGAGTTCCAATCCGGAAATAGGGTAAGGCTCTCCAGCAACCTTGATTGGAGCAGAATTGAAGGTGCTCCATTCATTCTTCTTAGCAAGAGCATATTCGACAAAGTAGCCGTCAACATCGCCCTCGACAGCGTCAAAGGCAACGCAGATGGTTCCATCGAGAGTAGTGGAGTGAACCCGAACGTTTTCAGGAATTTCCGGTACAGCTGGCTCTTCTTCCTCATAAACTTGAATATCTCCAGCCTCTGGAGGCATCAAGGAAAATTTATCCTCAGCGATTTCAGCAGCGCATCTGGCAGCACCGGTGTCTCGACAGGCGACTGGCCCGATGGCTTTGCACCACTGAGACTTACCCCATCGGTTGACGGATCTTACTCGGAAAAAATATGCAGTTCCTTCTTCGAGGCCAGTGACTGGGTATCGCATAAGAGAGATGAGCTTGGTAGAGAGCTGAGTCCACAAAGCAGAACCAGCAGCTGCGTACTCAATGATGTAGCCATCGACTTCAGCACCGCCAAAGTGACCAATGTAGCCAGGTCGTTTCCAGGTAAGCATGATATGGTCTCGAGTAGTTTCGACAACATCGAGATTGGTTGGTGCAGATGGCGGACCATGTCGGCCTCTGACGTAGAGGAACATCTTGGAAACAGCAGCACCGCAGCTATTGTAAGCTCGGCAGCACCATTCACCCTCGTAGTCAGTGAAAGCTCGGAGAATCGAGACGGTGGCTTTGATGCCATCAAAAGAGACTCGGACACGCTCGGGTTCAGTTTCGATCGACTTCCCGTTCAAAGTCCAGAAGACATTTGGTGGGGGTTTTCCTTCGACATGGCAAGCAAAGGTAATCGCATCGCCTTCCCAGACAGATTGATTGTAAAGTTTGGTAGCAAATCGTGGGTATCCAGGAACATTGAGTTCTTGAACATCTGGGTAGTCTGTAGGCTTTTTGATGTTGTAACCAGACTTGATGTCGTAGTAGCCATATCGACCACCATCGTATCGTTTGACAACAAGAGTAGCATAGCTAGAAAGTTCACCCTTGAAGTTCTGAACAGAAACTCGATAAGTTCCAGCATCAGCAATCTGGCATCGAGAAACTTCAAGAGTATTGACGCCATTTCGCTCAGTGATCTTATACTTTCCAGCAGCATGAAGCTCTGGCTGAATTGGGATCATGTTGTGGTACCAGGTGACAGATGGGGTAGGTCTACCATCAACACGGCAAGTAAACTTCACAGTCATATTCTCCCAAATGGTGTGCGATCGAATACCGTGTTCGAACACTGGTGGTTTTGGAGCAAGATATTTGATTGTAACTGGCTCGTAAAGAGCATCTTCTTTCGGTTCCGCAGCTGGCTGATCCTTCGCAAGAGGGCCCTCAGAACCAGCGCCCTCAGCTTTTCGTCGTCGAGTTCGCATCTTGTACTGAGTAGGCTTGGTGTCTTCTTCATCGTAGCTTGGGTAAGCCTTTCGATTAGCAATGTAAGAAGCAACATCCTTGATATCTCCCTGGTGTTCAGCAAGATCTGGAATAACGTTTGAGTTGCCAGTTGGGATGTCGTATCGACCCAGTCGAGTCGGCTCAGGGGTCTTCCCTTTGCCGGCCCAGGTGTAGAATTTCTGTCCAGGCTCGGATGATTTGGGTCGGTTGTACTGTTGAGTGATGTTCAAGTAGTGTGGCACAACTGGCTCAAGAGCCTCAGCAGCGCGAGAAGCGGCTCGATCCTGGCTCTGGAAAGCTCCAAGAGATCCCTTGAGGCGGATGTCGACGACGCCATCGCTGCCGATATCGGCAGTGCCCTCGACGGGGACAGCCCTGAAAATTGCGATGAGGAATATTGGGAAGAAGTTTACCTAGCAGCGGAGCCTCGAAGATTCAGAGGAAGAGAAACAATGGACATTGGTGCTTTGGAATCGAATGCGCCGGCGCCTGCGATAGTTGTTTCCCCGAATCTCCTGTCCTGAGCTGCTGCTCGGGACGAGTGATCCCTCTTTTTATAGTCGATGACCCCTCCCTTAGCCGGGGTCAGAGAACTAATAATTTATTTTTTTATCAATGTCGGGCTATTTTTTGCTCTCAAATCAAATTCTAACGGAAAAAACTTACCCAAACTGTCGTGGCATGATCTCTGAGGGACTAACTTAACCCAACGTTATCATCCTACAGGTCGCTGCCTCCTACCTAGTCAACTGCTTGCCACCTTTTCTTGCTTGCCTGAGTCACAGCTGCGCTCGGTGAGAGACCATCGTGGCCAGCGACAGAAATAGCCGCGGCCACGATTATAAATGTTTTGGGTTTTCATACGTTTATTTTAGGTCAATTTATTTTTGGAGAAAACATGTTGAAAACAGGATGTTTTTTCTTCTTGATTGCAGAATTTTGATTTCGGGAATGAGAGAAGAAGGAGGGAAGAAATTAGAGCTTCATAGACGAGAATTTCGAAGCGAGGGCGTTGACATTCCACTGAATGATTTGGCCATCAGCGCCGCCAGTAGCGAAACCGTCGGCGGTTCGGGAGACGGAGAGAATGGTGTTCTTGTGCTTCGTCTTGATCGTTTCGGAGCTGGTAGAAGAGGCCATTCGGTCCATTGCTTGGAACATGGCGCGGCCTGAAAGAACTGAGCCGCCGCTTTTCTTGTCCGAGTCGTCGCACTTGTTGGAGAAGAAGAATCCAGGTCCTTGCAAGTTGAAAACCATCGGATTGCAGTCAAATCCAACGGCGACCACAGCATTTGGCGAGATCCAAGTGCAGTCGGTAAAGGGTAAGAACTGGGTCTTCGTGGCGATCGACGATTCCATCCCTCCTTGGACGAAGGACACGGTAGAATCGTGGCCAATAAATGCGAGTCGCTCACCATCGTCGCTGAAAGAACAGCCATGAATCCAGCCGCCGACGCCAGTGCCGAACTCGCCCATCAGATTCGCGAAGGACATTTTCTTTCCCCAGCTCGTTGCCGCTGGCTTTTCTTCGATCTCTTTGAGATAAGTTGAGAAGACGCGGCATTTGAAATCCGACGTTCCTGCGGCCAGGAGAATGTTGTTTGGATGCCAGGAGAGTGAGAGAACAGATGATCTGATGATTGTAGAAGAGGAGATATGTGAAATGACTTACCGGATCGGCTTTTTGATGTGTTTGCAGACCCACCAGTCGTTGCTCGCTTCGTAGTAGCAGATAGAAATGAGACGGGCGGCCGTTCCGATCGCGAACTTGTTTTCTTGGGGCGACCATTTTACGGTAATGGCGCCTCGCTGGACTCGGATCAGAACCATCACTTGTTTCCATACTCCTTCTGAATGTCACGAGTAAGGCTCTGATCAGCACGTGAACGTATTATTTACGTGTTTACGTAATAACGAGGAAGTTAAAGAAGGAACAAGGATGCTCAAGATGCTGCGGAAACAGCACGGCTTTCTTTCAATCTCTTTCCATCAAAGTGAATTACCGTTATTTTGCTTCCAAACATAAGCGTTTCGATCAGCGCCGCAAGAAACGATCTGGTTGGATTTGGGCGCCCAGCTGACTCCTGTAACTTTGCCAGTATGTTCTCGCAGCTCATCGGTCTAAAATTACAATAAGAAGCTATTATTTTTTGAGAAAAGAGTTTTACCTTCGCCCATTTTCCGGCACCAGTATGTTTGAAAATGTAGATGACAGGATCATTCAGCGACAGTGCAACTTTTGAACGATCGGCGTTGAAGGAAAAGCAGGAAATTGGGCGAGTGCCTAAAGAACGAAGAGAATAGAAAAATGAGATGAAGGGGAGAACTTACTGAATTGGGATTGAAGAGCAGTGGCAGCCATGGTTGTTGGTAACTACGGACTATGGTCAGTCGACGCAGTCTAAAAACGGAAGAAATTATTCACAACTTTTTCTCTATAAAACAAGAACTCCACTGTTGGCAGTGCAAAAACAAAACAAAACTGGGCTATTTTGGAATCAAGAAAGTCTTCTTCTTTTCTTCTATTTTTCACTCGTTGATAATTTCGTTGAGCGTCTCTGTAAGGCTCTCCAAACGATTCGCCTTTTCGAGCATTATTTCATTCTCTTCCTTTAGCGTGTCGTTTTCTTTCTCAAGACCGGAAACGTCGTCGTTGATTGTTTCCAGCAGCTCTTTCAGATCTTCGTTTTCTTCCAAAGTTTCGTTCAGCGCTTTTTCCCGCTCGCTTGCCAGTTCTTTCCAGTAGGCTTCATTTGCTTCAGTAGAAGTCAGATCGGGAGTGGAAGGCTTTGGCTTCTTTATCGCGAAATCTAAAAAGGGAAATGAGAATTTATCAAAATTCAAAAAAATAATGAAGAACGAAGATAAATCGTAATTTTCAATAAAGAAAATTTATCTCTCGAGTTTTCTTTGCGATTTTCGGTCGTATATGGCTTTTTGAGCCAAATAAAAGACCAAATTCAATCAATTTTGCCCAAATTTGATCAAAATTGGTTAAATTCGCGTTTTTTTTTGCTCAAAAAGCCAAATCAGGCCGAAAATCGAAAAGAAAATTCAAGAAAAATCGAAAATTTGGCTATTACTGAAACTTTCTTTGAAGAAAATGACGCTAAAATCTTTCTCTAGTTATTTTTCTCAAAAAAATAATTTTCCATTTTTCTTCTCACCTGTGATTCTCTTCTGCTTATTCATCTCCCCGCCCTCGAGTAAATATAATAAAACTTGGTGAATAATTCTTTCTTCGCGTTTTTCCAGTTTTGGGAATTTCTATTGGCTGCGTGGGTCCGTGGCCAATCTGGCTGGATCGATCCTTTTGGCGCTGCGCCCTCGCTCCAGTTCCACTTTTCTCCTCCGCCTCCAAAATCCCCTAAAATTATTCACTTTTCGCGCGCCAATCGATTTCATGCACTAAATTTCACCGCCAACCGCCAAATTTTAACTACAATTTTCTCAGTTCTAGTCCTGGATTTCTAAAAAAGAGAACTTCCTTGAGAGAATTTTAATAAGAAAATGATTTATTCGAAGAAAATCTTCAATTAATCTTCTTCATAATACAGAATAGGATTGTAGAAAAACATTCCTTTCACCATTATTTTCCTGTGATTTTGCTATTTTTAGCGATTTTTGGCCCTTATTTGATCGTTTTTGACGAAATTAGCCACATTGCCTGTTCATTATTTTCGTCAGTTCCTGCTAATTGCTCGTTATTGCATGTTTCTTATTAAAAAATGATCAAACTTAAACAACAGTAAATTTAAAACTCAAATATCTAATATTCTATTCAGTCTATCAATAATTAACTTTGCCTTCTCCTTTATCTCCCTTACATAATTCAGGTTAAATTCCGTCGGAATCTTATCCCTCTTGAAAATAACCCTAGAACGACCAACCCGTAAAAGCAGTATCTTTTTTGGAGATAAGATAAAGTCTCTCATTTACCCACGGAAATCCAACCGCTCTCATTCTCATTCAAAAGGTCATAGACAAATGGAATTGAAAAATTCTCCCTCTGGATAAATTTCTTCGCGAGTAAACAAATAGCAAGCAAATACTCGTTCAGATTAGTGACTGGGATCGGACCGCCAAATGACAAATTCAAGACCAGAGACGTAAACACAGAATTATTATGAAATGGGTAAGTCGAAAACCCCACTACAGGATAATAAATTCGATTAATCCTTCTCGAACTTGGAAGTTATCACTCGAAACATGCCTCAAGTCCGGTCATTTTCGATGTTAAAAACATGTTCATGAGACCAAGTTTATAATTGATTTTGCTGATTACATAGATTTCAATCTTTAACACGATATATTGGCAATTTCGATTTATTCAATTTCAGGTTTTTCTGTTTCAACTCAACATAAGCCTCCTTCACGGGAAGCTAACAAACTCGTTCGCCATCGAAATCAACCCGGAAAACGGAGCTGAAGCGGCTGAAGAAATCGCAAAGAACTTGGCCGAGAAACATGGATTCGATTATCTCGGACATGTCGTTGGAAATATTTTTCATCTGCGTAAGCGACGGTTAAAGCGATCCGCAACTGGCGAATTTTCTCAAGCTTCGGATTTCAAACTAAAAAAGGAGTTTTTCTTCTATGCTTTTAAAAATCCTATCGCAGTTGATTTATCCACATCCCCAATCGGCAAGGAGCCAAATGTGCTTGGAATCGATCAGCAACGAGTGAAAAAACGCGTGAAGCGGGACCTCCTCGACACTGACTTTTCTCCCAATGATCCGCTGTACGAATACATGTGGTACATGAACCCGGACTTTGAGGACAGAAACGAAAACGCAGTTACGAATGTAGACAGCGATATCCGACATATGAATGTCACCGGAGCGTGGGCCCTAGGAAACGGTTTAAAACGGTCATTTTTCAGTAAATGAAAGGAATCCGTTAATTCTTTCTTCCATCACGAGTTTGGCGACTAATCATTTAGATTCAAAACCGTCGGAAAAGGATACACTGGTCAAGGAGTAGTAGTCACTCTCCTGGATGATGGGATCGAACGGGACCATCCGGACTTGATCAAAAATTATGATGCAAAAGCCTCACGTGATATCAACGGCGGAGACGATGACCCAATGCCTCAGTACAACAGTGAAAACTCGCGTATCAACTTCACCGACGTAAATTCCTACCGAAATCCGACGGAAACTCGTTATCGTCTGACAGAGCAAGTTATTGGCTACAAGAAGGAAAGTAATCGTCACGGGACTCGATGCGCTGGAGAAGTTGCCGGTGAGTTTGGCAATGGAGTTTGCATCCCTGGAATTGCTTATAACGCGAAAATTGGGGGGATCAGAATGCTGGACGGAGATGTAACCGATTTGGTTGAAGGGCAGTCGATTGGTCATAATCCGCAGTACGTGGACATTTATTCCGCAAGCTGGGGGCCTGATGATGACGGCGAAACAGTAATCCGGGCGTTAAATGATATTTTATGATTCCCTTAGGTCGATGGACCAGATCGAGCAGCGCGCACAGCCTTTCACACAGGCGCAATGGACGGACGTAAAGGAAAAGGAAGCATCTTTGTCTGGGCATCTGGCAACGGAGGCCGATACCAGGTGTGTTACAATTTATATACAAAGATGATTGCCAGATGATTTTTTCCACAAACGTAGATATAGTTTGCCGCTCTTTCCAGCTAGCTGCGGGCTACCTGGGCTGCCCAGCCAAGTCCACATCTGTAAACGATGTTTATTTGACGTATTTTTCTTACCTAGGACAACTGCAACTGTGACGGATATACGAATTCAATCTACACCGTCAGCATTTCATCGACCTCGGAGAAAGAAAACGTGCCCTGGTACTCTGAAGCGTGCGCATCTACTCTCGCATCCACTTATTCTTCCGGAGGAATGGGGGAGCGACAAATCGTTACCACAGACTTGAGAAAGATCTGCACCAAAAAGTAAGCACTCATACCACTCTTAATTTGCAATATTTTCAGTCACACTGGTACGTCAGCATCCGCTCCGATCGCTGCAGCAATTCTAGCGCTTGTTTTGGAAGCTAACCCGAATCTAACTTGGCGAGATGTTCAACATCTCATCGTTCATACTTCCAAGAAACGCTTGCTGAAGACGACGGACTGGGCTGTCAACGGCGCTGGCAGGTAAATTCAGTAACTTTCGACTTCGAATCCAAGTCATTTTTTCAGAGATTACTCGCATCATTATGGGTACGGTCTGATGGACGCTGGGGCTCTAGTCTCGTTAGCCGCAAATTGGACCACTGTTCCTGAACAAAGAAAGTGTTCGACTCCAGTTATTACGAAAAGAAAGCAAATGCTCTTCAGCTCGAGCGTGTTCGAAGAAGAGTTTCAGATCAACTCGGAGTGTATCAAGGCGATCCACTACACCGAGCACGTCCTGGCTAAGATTTCGTTGTCTTACCCAAATCGTGGTAGTCTGCGAATCACGCTCGTCTCTCCTAGTGGCACAGTTTCCAACATTCTCGACAGGAGACCGCACGATAAGTCGATGAATGGCTTTACCGGATTTCACTTTCTCACCGTTCACATGTGGGATGAGCGGCCTTACCTAGCGCCGGAGAAACCTTGGCTGATTAGGATTGAAAATTTAGTCGGAGGAAACCTTGGTGGAACGATTGATAAATTTGAACTGATCGTCCATGGAACTGGAAAAGATCAGTACGAGCTTCTCTGCGAGGTATGGAGATTCTCTTCTTCGATTTTACGAATTTTTCAATTAATTTTTAGTCCGAAAAAGCGCAAGTCTTCGACCCAACCCAACAAGCCTGCTTCTCCGACTGTCCCCTCGGAACCTACCGCTCAGACACGAACCTAACCCAGGAGCAAGCCTCCCCCACCGCCGCGCTCAACATTTGCAAGCCATGCAACCCAAACTGCCTCATTTGCACTGGATCCGCCGAAGAAGAGTGCATCTCCAAAAGTTCCCGCTCCAGTTCACGCCCATTACGCAACCCAGGAGCGGTTTTCTTCGTTCTTTTCGTGTTATGTTTTGGTGTTGTTCGTTTTTAGTTGTTAACCGAGCTCCAAGTGCTGAAGTATTTGCTCGCTTTTGGTCGAAAACTAGCATCGCGAAAGCTTATTTCGTCCTCAGTTACGGTTCAATTTATGTCCAACTCTCAGTGTTGTAGAAAATTCTAATGAACCATTTTCCAGGCCTTGAGTTTGTCGAATCAACCTTGAATTCGAGCTCGTTCCGTAAAAGCTTTAGGAGCATGAGACTTTCCCGATTTCGCGATCACAGAGCCCATTGCATGCTTTTTAAACGACTATTTCCAGCACTTATTGATACTGAACTAATTTCGTGCATGTAAAGACTCTTAGAGAATCTCGATTGATCATAATGATCTTCCATTTTTTAAATGAAAAATGGACGATTTCTATTAAAAAATAGAAAACCTCTTCTCCAGCCGAGCCTTACGACATCGTACCCCTTCCTGGGTTCGACTTTGCAGAGCCCAAGCTTGACAAGCTGGTTGTTATCATTATTATTTCTTCATTCTTCACTTTCGCGTTATTTTACTTTATGAAAAAGTCGAAGCGTACTACACACCGTTATCGCCAACTGAGCTGCTCGGGCGCTCGGAATATTGCACGCTGAATCAACTTTCGGTTGAAAATTTGAGAAGGAGAATTTTCAACTGTGCATGTATCTCAATGAATGTCTTCTTGTTTACAGTAAAGTATAAAGTAGTAAATAGTTTTCGTGGAAAGAGCTAAAACTATGTCCACTTTTGTTGATTCAGTTTTGTGAATTCAAACTTTCAAGCTTGATTTTGTTTATAAATATAATTGAATACCTGCTCGTTCAAAATGCTGCTACACATACCAATATAATAAATGAAAAGTAAAAGACGACCAACTTTCCATTTTCTTGTGGAACTCCGGTGCTTCTATCTAAAGCCAAGCTAAGCCAGCTAGTCAAACTAAGTTTGCTTCGAACTATTTCCGTAGGACTGGGCATGTCTGAGGATCAACTCGTGATAGATCATATCCGGCTTTTATCGAGCTGCTCAAATGGAATAATTTTTCAATCATCCAAGCAGGGATGGATAATTTGATTTCAAAATGTTTTTCCATTTTTCGGAGGGATGGAATTCCAGTTTTTCCATTTTTTCCATTTTGGAATGAGAAATCATTCCATTTTCAACTTTTCCCAAAAAAAGTCAGCTCAATTTCGGAATATGGGATTTCCATTTTTTTGGGATTCCAGTTATTCCAAAGTGAGAAATATGTATTTTTGGAAAATGGGATTCCAGTTATTCCATTTTTTAATTCCAGTTATTTCATTTTAGAACTCTGATCTGGCCTCGGAATTCTGACCTGTCTAAAAACCTGAAACAGGTCCTGTTTCCTGTTTTTTGGACCCTGTCCTGTTTCCTGTCTTGCATTTCGAGACCAAAATAAACCTGTAAACAGGCCTGTTAACAGGAAATACAGGAAATACAGGAAAACACGCCTGTATACAGGAACAGCCCTGTAAAAGTGAAACAGGCCTGTTAAAAAATTGCAGGAAAACAGGCGAGAAATGGGGAAGATCAGGTATTTTTCGTAAAAATTTTCTTGGAATTTCTCTCAAATATGTTATAAAGAACCTTTTATAGTTGAAACTGTCTATAGACATGATAATAACGAGAAAAAAATTCTTAATTTTGATTCTTCAAGAAAAAATTAAAACCCTGAAATTTGAGTTTACAGGCCTGCAAAGCCTGCGAAACCTGTAAAACAGGACCTGTTCCTGTGTTTTTTATCCTGTCCTGTTTCCTGTCTTGCAAATGGGCCAAAAAATAAAATCCCTGTTCCTGTCCCTGTTCCTGTTTACAGGATTCCGAGGCCAGACTCTGATCTGCAAAATTGGCGAAACATGGGATTTTCAAGTACTGAAGGGCCGTTCCTCCCCCTTCTCCGTCTTTAAATTTTAAATGAGCTTGACGGCCCGAAGGGCCGTTTCCCCCCTTCCCTGGCTTTAAATTTTAAATTGGCTTGACGGCCCGAAGGGCCGTTTCCCCCCTTCCCTGGCTTTAAATTTTAAATGGGCTTGACGGCCCGAAGGGCCGTTTCCCCCCTTCCCTGGCTTTAAATTTTAAATGGGCTTGATAAAGGTAGCGAACGTTCACCTTATATGTTCGGAAAAATGGGTTCTTTCCCCAACCCCGCCCTCACCTCTTCTTTATAAAAATGAAATTAGTTCTTGTTGAACAATTCTTATGGTTTATTTTTTTAGATCCTTCTTATTTTTATTTATTTGAGTTCTGCCGAGGTAAGGGGTCCTCGAGCGCTAAGTATTCGCAATGAATAAGTTTCAAATGAAAAACGGAAAATGGAATCATTCCTTATTCCATTTTTCAAATCTTGATTTTTTCGTTGCCCTATCAAATTCGGAATTCGGAATGAAAAATTATTTCTTTTTTCCATTTGAAAAAATTGGATTCCAAAATGGGATTCGTCTTCATTCCGATTTCGGAAAAATGGAAAAACTGGAATCCCGCCTTTTAGAAAAATGGAAAAACTTTTTGAAATCAAAATATCCACCCCTGCATCCAAGTCCCAGACAAATTTTAATACTTGAAGATTAGCCGCCAATTCCAAATTAAGGCACTGCTAGTTTTTTAAACGACTGATCACGAGGATCAGTCACGAGGACTGGAAACAGAATATTTCCCGATCTTGAGCAAACGAATAAGAAATTATTAAAATGTGCGGATAATATATTTAGCTTTGAGCGAAAGAAAAAATACATTATTTATAAAATAATATGTACAGCAGGGTTTCTTCAGAAAAAAGTGATAATTCTTTGGCTTCAGTTTTTCAGGTTTTAAAAGAGTGAGTCGAGCTTTACTCGGTTAACCGTCATTGTGTGAGGAAAAAGTAGAAATAAGAATAAATTAAACGAGTGAAGTGTTGAATGAAAAAAGTCTAGTAGTCTACGCGCTGGAAGATTTTAACAGTGCGGACGTAGTTCTGCTCGGTCAGAATTAAAGTCAAATGGAGCTCGCCGTTGATCAGCTCCATCGTCGTGATTTGCGGTCCTTTTGTGCTACCCATGTTGGTAGACGTAACTTTCTTCCCGTCATCGTAGGCGACGGCGTTGACTGTGTCTTCGAAGAAGTTCTTGTACTGCATCATTTTGCCGTTCAAGTTCCACGGCCACTGTTCGTTGTAAACTTGAAAGCCGAAAGAGGTGACATAAATCCGTTGAGAATACTCCCTAGAAACAAAGAGTTAATCGGCAGAAAGGATGAGTTTAAACTTACCCTTCGCTCGTTTTGGTAATTTCCATGTTGGGATTGAACTTGTGCGCCATGTTGATATGCATTTGCGTGTTTCCTTCGAGCGTCATGTACTCTTCCATGTTTTCAGTCCGAACTTGTTTCCATTTTCCGACGAGGGAGTCCATCAATCGTTCATTCTTCGCCAGAGCAGGAGCTCGGAGATTCACGTCCTCATCATCGCTGAGAAGATACGATTCTTCGCCAGATCCTTCCGCGACGTTTTGACAGTGGTACAGTTCGTTTTCCAGTTGCGAAATTTTAGCCTCCGCGAGTTCCAACGCCGGTGGTCCTGAAAGATGTGTTAATTGGGATCCTATAATTAAGAAAAAGAGCGCGATTTAATAGTCGTCTGACAAATCGTAAAATAGACGATTTTGAAAAGACTATCTCATGATTCTCAGAATAGGCCGACTCAACCAATACATACCATTCATTTTAGTCATGAGTATCAAAATCGTAATGACGATGGTACACGTGACTGCAAGTCCAGCGGCGCAGAATGAACTCGTGCAGAATTTGAACTTCTTCTTGAGCGAAGAGGAGGCCATTTTCTGAAAGAACAGAGTTAGACGTTTTTCAACCCTCTTTCTTCCCAACCCTCTCATTTTCGAGAAGACTGGAGTTCTCCTCATTTTCCTCTCCTGCCATTTTTTGGTTCAGAAAAATTTTGAAGCTATTGAAGCTTTTTGCTGTCACGAGTTTTGATCAGGGGAGGTTTCAAATTTGAAAAGCACTGTGATCTCTGGAAAGAGAGCCACACAAAGGGGACCTCCTTCTGAGCATCTCGCACTCTCATCACGGTCAACGCCTTTGTTGTGCCTCTCACAGCTCTGCTAATTGATAAAATGCTCGACGAGCTTGATAAAAGCAAAACTGCTGAGTTGGGTTTATTTCTGACGTAAACTCTTATCTGTTCAGAAGTGAACCGGCACGTGACCGGGCCCCGGTGGGAGTGGTCCTGGTCAGAAGAAAGAGTGGGTTCGTGTGACGAACTCATACTAATTAAACTCAAACTATAAAAGAAGTAATTTGCAGATTTTGAAGGGCAGTAGTTATGGCCACGGAATCGCAAAGCTACCTTTTATAGACCGGATCTACAAGAGTAGACCTGCTAATTTTCCTTCGGAAAAACATTCCCAGGAAAAAAAACCCGAAAAAAGACGGCCAGACTTGGGCAATTTAGACTTCAATGAGTCTTAATTGTCATTACAATCAGTAATTTACCTTACGAGACGTCGTAAAACTCAACTCAAAGTCATTGACCTTGATGGATTCAAAATTGTCCTCCTTCATTTTTTGTTTTCTCTTTCTTAGAAACCCTGCTATGGATTCTGAGCTGACCCCATTCAGTTGTTCTTGAAAAAACTTTCTAGAAAATGAAAGCCATTCAATTGAAGGCAAGTTGAAGCTTCTCTTGAGATCTGGCGAGTCGAGTAAATTGAGTAGGCTTCACTTCGACAAGAGCTTCGTTTCGACAGAGCTTCACTTGGACAAAAGCTTCACTTTGACAACATTTTAAGAAGGTCCTTTTTATGAATTTGATAAACGATACCCAAAGCGAAAGTAACAGTTTTCATAAAATTGGCAAGTAACTTACATTAATATCCGATAAAATAAATTTATCGGTGAAAAAACTGTATTTGTTTATTTTTAAATCAAGAAAAACATCTGATAGTGTCTATTATCCTTAAAATTTCGCAATAATTAGTTATTATTTATTACGTTATTTATAAATAATCGTTTTTCATATTCGCCTAAAGGTTGTCCAAGTGAAGCTTTTGTCAAAGTGAAGCTCTGTCGAAATGAAGCTCTTGTCCAAGTGAAGCCTACTCAAGTAAATTCAGTCAGTAAATAGGCTAATTAGCACGAGGGATTAGACTCGATTGAGTCTACAAAAACGAACTCTACTGATGAAGGATTTTCAAAGGGAGCGTAGACTCAAAGTTGACGCATTTTTAATAAACGCGCGCTCCCAAGCGTAGGTAATTTAGGGGAGGCTTAATTAAATGCAAATTAGTAATGTTATTGTTTTTGATTTTACAAATAAAAATAGCCCCCAGTATCACCTTCAATTTTGCCAGCAGGTCACTGTAGATCAGCCTGTGTTGAATTAAAAGGTCAAGGAGAGGAAGGAACCTTACTTAGAAGCTACAGTAGTATTGTTACTTACGTTTTTCATGATGAAGTCGTATTTATTCCCAACCTCTATGTCTGCGTTTGTAAAGGACTGCGTCTCGTTGTCGTTTTCTGTTATTTTCAATTTCATATTTTTTGCTTTGTTTTGAAAATTTATTTATTCAGCGGTTCTCTCGCTTTTTGGACTTGGGTTTTGTCGTTTTTTTAAGCTGCCTCAAAAAATCTCTGATCTTGATTGTGCGCCTTTGAGTCTTTTTAACGGCGCTGGCGGGAGGGCGCAAAAAGCATGTTTCCTTGCTTTATGGAGGACGCTGCTCGTGGTGCACCTATTTGGTTTATGATTAGGCCACGCGGAAGTGTTATTCCTGATTGTCGTTTTTAGCCTTCTCTTTATTATTTTCCTTGTTGCTGATGTGAACTTGTCAGACTTTCTTTCTTTTCTTTCAAGTTCAACAAGCTATTGGATAAACAATGACGCTACCTTATTGAAAAAGAAAAAGACATCAAGGATCACAAATTAAAAACTAATTCAGACATCACAAGGGAAAATAAGGAAGAAAGCTACGTAAAATTGGTGATTAGTAAATGTCCCGAAAAAAAGGCAGACAAAACTCGAGACGGTTCGGTATTTTGCCCGGGGAAATTCTTAGAAAGCTTCTTTTCTAGGAAGTCTTATGATAGAAAATCTGTTCATCGTTATCCAGATTTTGATCAATTTATGTCATAAAAAATGGGCCAAGCCAAGCCCCATTTCTTTCATTTGAAAACACAGCAACCGGAAATAAATCATCCTCAAAAACAATCTTTTTCAAACTCAACCAGAAAGTTAATCATGGAAAATGATGTGCAAAAGAGTAGTAGGAATTTCTTGAGTAATAAATTTACGAATGGCTGTTTGAAAATCATAAATCGACAAATAAAAAGATTCTGATTAGAGCATCACAAGAGCCCATCAAATGACTAAAGCGCTGGGCCGTACTACAATGTAAATTTATTCAAAATTACTCAAGTTTGTCAAATGAGCACGGCCATATTCTCACCGCGCCATTAGCATACCAATTGATGAATCTGGTGAATCACAAAGCGCTCCCTGAAGCCCCTAAAAGGTCCTTACCCTGAGATAGGAAAAAGCCAAATAATGAAAATGTGCCCACATAAATTTCATAAAACGAAATAGCTTAGAATGCTCTCGAAATGACCATTTACTGATTCAGCTACCGCCTTGGGGGAAGGCCAATGCTCCTTCCGAGTAAATAATCCCTTTTTTTATGACACAATATATTTACAATTGGCCCATTCCTTTTTCCGTTACATGAAGTGTTTATTAAACCTTTTAATCTTCATTTTTATACATCCAACTCATGGCGGTTTTACAATTTATGGAGCAGGAGGACGCTCGAATTCCAGAGAAGTCGAAACGCGGCCATTTAAGCCTGTGAGAGCGGATGTAAAGAGGGAATTCGGAATCAAGAAACCACTCATTATCGAAAGGCCTCCAACAAAAGCACCGAACGCTGCTGCTCCGCCTCCAGCTCAGAGCTCTAGGTCGTTCCCTTCACGAAGTTTTAATTCGCAGAATCAGGCCCCTTCAAGCAGCGGACCGAGTTTTCAACGATCTTCAGGGCCCTCATCAAGTTCTCTCGTTTCAAAAGTATCGAAGCCATCATCAGGTGGTGGTTGGCAGCCTTCAAGTTGGTCTTCTGCAAGAAAACCGTCGAGTCCTCATCATGGACCGTCTTTCAAAGAGCTTGGAAAACTTGGAGGAGGAATCGATCCAGCCAGATCATCAGCTTCTAGACAAACTTCCAGTTTTTCCAGCCAAGAATCAAGTTCTTTCAGCTACACTTCCTCTGTATCAGAAGCAAACGGATGGAAAGGGGTATCTCAAACTCAACCAACTGCATCATCATTCGACCGACTAGATAGATTCATTCCGCAAGAGAATATTCGAAGCTCGAATACGGTCAATGCTCCCTCAGCTCGTGAACCGCAGGGTCTTCCAGAATGGAACGGAGCCAATCTCTGGGATCAAGGAGGAACACCAGCGCCCACAGGACCATCTTGGAGGACGACTCGGCCCACCATCCCGCCGACAACTCAAAGTACGAAGATTTACGCACCAACAACTAGAGCTCCTATCTTTTTTCAAACGCAGAAGTTTCAATTCGATTCTTCGTCGCGCTTGGAAAGTGCTAGAAGACAATTGCTCCAGCAAAGTCAGCAAAACGAACGAATGGCAGAGGCGCGAAACTCCGATACATTCCTTGAGCGATATTCTTCTGGCCCGCAGCAAACCGCTGGCTTTTCTTCGAATGGAAACGGAGAACGCAGCTTGCTAAACTATCAGGATCGTGGTTTCCTATAAAAAAAGCGTAATAATCAGCAGAGTTACCTTCAGAAGAAATGATTTTGACGTTATTTATTTAGGAAACCATGATTAAGAATTCCTACCGTTCGGATGATGTTCGAAGTGGAATGGTCTCACAGTCACGAGGAGAGGTCCGAATCGAAAAGCCGCCAGAAGTTCGAACGACAGGAAATCCGTTCAACGCTGAAGTTTCCGACCAGTGGGAAGGAGAGACAGAAGGAGCACTATTCCATGCCATGGGAGAAAAAGACAGACAGGAGTTCAAAAATAAAAATCCTGACAAATACGTAGACTTGGACGGCGACGGCGTGCTTGAATTTGACCCTGACATGCCAGACTATCCCAACTACAAATTTTTTACAGAGACGAGATGGGAGTCAGATACAGACGGCGGATACATTGGCATTCTTTACGTCCCTGTCACTCGAGATGTTGATGGCTGGTCAATGACGCTGAAGTTTTCAATGCCGATCTCGAAACTAGAAAATTGGGAATACGAGCCGACAGTCCAAAGCCCGTCCGATGGAGTAACAGCCATGCTGCACAACAACCACTGGAACGGCGTGCGACTTCAGGGAACAATGATGCGAATGCGAATCATGGTCGAGTTCGATCGAACTCCTGGGATGCCTCCTGGAATGATTCCTCAACCGGCCGTAGCTCTTTTGGGGACAATTTGGTATCCCGACGGATCAAACGCTAACTACGACGAGGGCATTTCCCGAAATATAGTCAGTTACAACGAGGGCTTCTCAAATTTGCCCAAGCCAGAAGGGGCCTCATCTGTAAAGTCGTATACAGATCCAGTCAATGACAGAAAGCAACAAGCTGATTCTCAAGCCGAAAGTATCAAATGGAACAATGCAGCTATGTTTAAAGATAATTACAGATCCCAATTATCCTGGCTCGACTCATCTTTATTTGGGCGTGACCCGACAGAGGCTCCACAGCCGAAAACAACTGCTGATCCGTACGCAAACTTGAGCTCAAACCTGATCAAGGGAATGTCTGAAGGAGGCAACAACATCAACTTCAGTGGAAATCTTGCCGGTGTATCTGGAGTTTTCAATTCACGAGCGCAACAAACGCTAAATGAAATCAATCAGCGACTGAAGCTACTCGAAGAAAGCACCCAGACAGAAATTATCATGAATTCCTTTGGTGAAGTAAGGAAAGGGGCCAATGGAGAATCTGAATATTTCAGCTTAGTCTCAACAGCAAAATTTTATTGATTTTTTTTCTCAATTCATGGAGAGAATGAAAAAGATATGGCCCCGTAAAAGAACAACGCGACCGACAACAACAACGACTACCGTGCCAACAACAAAGAGGACCTTTACAAAGTGCGAAAAACGCAGCATTGCGGAGAAAATGCGATGCAAAACGGTATTCAGTAACTTGATTCATCTCCGTAACTAAGAATGATTCAAGCCAAGCTGTTTTCGACACGCGTGCCTTGAAAATGGGGATTTCAGCCCGAGTCAGTGCTGGCCAAAGATGAACCTATGTTGGTGTGTGACAATAGACGGGCTGAAGTTATCGACGACTATCAGAAGGATGTTCAAATTCGACTCGTCTAGTTGTCAATTGACGTATGACCCCACTGGAATTGGCAGTTCCAGGGCGCAGTCAGTGCTTTCTTCAGAAGGCTATTACAAGAGTTATGATGCGCATGGCTCTCCAGAACATCCCACTCCTTCTCATGTCGTCTCGGAGACATCATCTGACACCCAAGTTCAAGGAAAGGTAGTTACATAGCAGAACCTACATTTTGCTGATCAAACATAATTTCTATCCAAAAAGAGTAACTGAAGCTCCTACGCCTCGTCCTACTGTCAAGTTTGAACGGTACTCTTGTCATGATTGGACGTCCATTATCAAACTTTCTTCACTCTTTTACTTTTCTCAAATGTCTGGAAAGGGAATCGGCTGTAAAAGCAAATGTTTTAAAAGAGTTTGATTAATATTAAAAACAAAACACTAATCTGAAGCCGCCGTCAAGTTGCCTATCGATCATCCTGTCCGTTGGCGGCTGAGCGCACACGAAAACGATGGTCGACCATGTGGGGTGGATCTTAGTGGAGGCTTTTACGACTGTAAAACCATTATCAATAGCCTTTCAATAACAATTTCTTAAGCTGGCGACTTTATGAAATACACCTTCCCGTTGGCGTGGACGATGACGATGCTCTCCTGGGGCGCAATTGAACATAGGAAAGGCTACAACTTACTGATTGAAAGCGACATTAATATCAATTCTAACAGCCTCTCAAAGATCAACACTTGAGAGTGTTGGGCGTTGGGCAGACCTGTCGAAAATCATAACGCATGGAGCAGAATATTTGCTCAAAACAAATCCGTCCCCTAGAGAGGTCTATGCCATCGTAGGAGATCCTGAAATTGATCATCAATACTGGGGACGGCCCCAGGAAAGGTTTTCTACTCAGTGCTTCGCCTATCATTTATAAGGAACTTCTATGATTTCCATTGCCTAATGATCATGGCCTAATGATGATTCTTTCTTTTTCTGTGCTGACCTGACATAACTTTTCCGTTTCAATTTATGACAGATCTGATAGGTTTCCCAGTCAGTGCTTCTTCAGAATATAATTTTCCGCGATCTACTTTTGTCAGTAAAGACGACACAAATCCCGGAAGCTGGAGCTTAAAATCATCATCTGCGTCATCTGAGGTTCTTACTTTATACTAGCGCAAGTTTTCCATGAGATAGAGCACTGAGAAAACCGCCGGACAGGACCAAAACAGTGTTCGCCCATGCCTGAAAGTGACGCAGTGGACTCACGGAACGGACCTTGCTGCTGAAGTAGCTGGTGCGCTGGCTGCAGCTTCCATGGTCGTGTCGGATGAGACCCTGGCTTCCAAGTGTTGGTTTAAGGCTAAAGAAATTTACGATTATGGCGATAAACACAGGGGCAAGTACTCCGATGTAGTTCGCGAGGTCAAAGATTAGAGTTTGATAATCTCTTTGTAAATTTCAAAATAACATTCTTGAACAATTTCATTTTCTTCAAACTTCATCAGATTACTACCCATCTAACGATTACACTGATGAGCTGGCTTGGGGAGCATTGTGGCTTTACAAGGCCTCAAAGGTATTTTGACTAATAAAGGCATTTGACGAGGTCGATTCTAAAATATTTCAAGACTGAAATCGACAAAATAAAGTACATGAACAGGAAAGGATAGAAAATGAAAAAAGAACCCTATTTCCATATTTGACTTTCTATCTCCTGAAAGAGCGAAATCCGCATACTCTGTATTCCAACTCGATAAAAGAGTCGACTCCTTTAACTGGGACCAAAAACATGCTGGAGTCCAACTTTTGATGGCAGAGCTGAATCCCGACAATGCAAAGTATAAAGCGGATATCAGTACATTCTGCGATTATAACATGCCAACTGGAGGTGCAAAGTACACTCCTGGAGGACTGTTGTTCATCGAAAAGTGGGGTGTTCTACGCCATGCGCTGAACATCGCATACATCTGTCTCCGAGCTGGGACGCTGATGGGAATGGACTCGATACGTCAGTCGAATTATAGAAAATTTGCCATGTCGCAGGTAAAGTGGAATCACTGAGACTATCCTCGCCAGCTGAGTCTGTCGGTCTGCCGGTCATCTGCAGACGAGTCATTCTCCGATAGGCTTGGAAATGCCGCAATATAACCGCTGATTCCGAGCGGCCGAGGGGAGTCCTAGACTCAGCTGTGAAGAAAGCGTCTATAAATAGTGTCTATATGTTCTAATTCAGCTTGACTACATATTGGGCGGACAAGGAAGAAGTTTCTTGGTCGGCTATGGAAAAAACTTTCCTGACCGTCCACACCATCGGGCTGCAAGCTGCTCTCTTATAGGACCATGCAGCTGGGAAGCATACAGGGTAGGAAAATATTCTTTCCAAAGTTCAAAATACATTTCTTTCAGAACGATCGACCTAATCCACAAGTTCTCCTCGGCGCGCTCGTCGGAGGTCCTGATGAGAACGATATCTTTGTCAATAACCGAACAGACTTCGTGAGGAACGAAGTTGCATTAGGTACATTCATCCCTTGAACTGCCCAATAATGCTTTTTTGAGATTACAACGCAGGAATAACGTCGATAGCAGCGCTGATGCTGGACCTTGAGCGCGGCAATGTCGGCTGAAATCCTGGAAGAGACTGTATTGAATATTCTTTGCTCGGGACTTAATTTAATAAAATTGCACTCTCCTGATCTATAATTAAATCCCGCCCTCGTTGCACGAGCTAATCAGGCTTAATGAAACAGCTCCTCTATCTGCAGACTGCACAGTCCTCCTCTTGAATGGTAAATTTGCCGATCATAATAAAAGGAAGCCCGTTTGAGCTTTTAATTGGAATGAAAAAAGCTCAGACTGGAAGCGTGTGTATTTAAAGAAAGCTCATCTAAATCCTACATAAAACTTTTCCGTCACTTTTTGAGCCACCCAGATTGGGCGAAAATTCGCTCTGGCTTTAGAAAAATCATTGCGGATTTGTCTAACCCGGGCGCCACTGATATAAGCTACCAACTGGTGCGCTTAGCCTGATCCCGCTGGATATGGCTCGAGCTCATACTGGCTCTGTTGAGATCATCGCCAAAGAATGGAGAAAGAAAGCAACTCACCTAGAAATATAGATAGTGAGTAGTAGGGGGCTCAAAGCGGCTCAAGAAAAGTGTACAGATATCTGCCAAAAATCGTCATGTTCAGCGCTAAGCAAGACGAGTTTTCGCATGAAGCAGCAAGTTGCCAAGAGCTCAGCTGGTTGTCGTAGCGGACCCTCTACACCTGGCGCGGACCAGGCGAGCGCCGAGTTCTACATTCAAAAGCATTCTATAGCTCGTTTCTTCATTTTCCTTCCGACTCATCGGAAATCCAAATCGAGCACATTTTCAAATGATATAAACAGGATATTTGGCTTTTATACCAACAACGCTCATCCTCATTAAAAAATCAGGAATCGGAAACCGGACAAGTTATCTTTTACTGCTCGTAAAACTAGGCCTTTAAAAAGACCAAGGACACGGATTAAATCCTGGTTATTTGATAAAAGAGCCTTTCAATCTTAATGAACCTGGGCTCGGCAACCTGTGTAGAAAGCCTGAGTCAGGGTCTGAAAGAACTGAAGTGAAAAGCCGCGCAGCGGCTTTTTTTTAAACGAAGCCGGAATTTTTGATTGATTGAAAAGGTAAGATTATCGAAGCCGCTCCGCGGCTTCGCTTCAAAATAAGCCGCTGCGCGGCTTTTCATTTCAGTTCATTCAGACCCTGACTCAGGCTTTCTACACAGGTTGCCGAGTCCAGTAATGAACAGAGAAGGAAGAAAAACGGTAGGAAGGTTGAACCTTTCTTATGAGCATTATTCTTAAGCATTATGTTTGCTGATCTCGGTTTTAGGCTGGTGAGTCTGCAGGGCTCACGCCGGCCTTCTTGGGCATTAATTTTTCAAGTCTGCTAAAAGTCTTGAGCTTTTAGAGTCGAGCGACGAATTAAAATCTAAAAACGGCATTTGGGCGACTTAGCGGTGATGTATCCGAAGCCGTCTGCGCCTTGTTTAGATCTCCTCAGAGCTCGCTGCTCACGGGTAACACAAGCTGCCCAGCATTTGCAGCGAGCTCGCTGCTGGGCATTATGGAAGGCGACTACTTGAAGCAACGGACAAGGTTGCGATGACACGGCGAAAATATCGTGTGGAACAGAGCTTGGCCTCGCGAAATTGATGGAATCAATTTTATATATATTATATATTTTTATATAATATAATATCTAATATATTTTATAAATTATGTTTATTTAATATCGAAATATAATAAAATAATATTTAATATTTTAATAAATTAATTAATAATATTAATATATAATATTAATAATATTCAATATTATTGTTTAATATTTAATATTATTATATTTAATAATTATTTAATATTATATAATATAATTTTTGGTTTCTTTGAAATAAAGTACTGAAGTTGAACATTTTATTTCTTCGAAAGTGCTTTTTATCCGGAAGTAATAGGAAAATCCTGTCATTTACACGAAATTTACGATTTATAAAGATTAAAATTGTGTCAGATTCTTTCCGAAAAGCGTAAATAACATAAACCACTATTTTAAAATTGTGAAATGGCGAGAGAAGAAACTTGGTATGGAATGAAAAACGGGCTTCTTTGGCAGTAAAAATGGGCCAACTTCCTTGGGACAGGTTTGATTTATACACTGTTCGTAAACATGTCCGCACATCTAACTAGGCGACCTTCAAGTTCCGCGGGATCTTAGAGCGTTTTAAGCCTCTCTATGAAGATTGACAAGATCCGGTGATATATGAAGGGAAGTTGCGACAAACAGGATTATCATCGTCTTGTTCGAGACACCCATTTTGTCGAAAATCGAAAAAAGAAGGCTCTATCTTTTTTTTCGCAATAAAAATACAATCGTCGATTCCTCGTTTTCCTCGTTGAAAGAAGATCCCGAGCGTGTGCCAAAGCCAGATGGAAGCATTAGGAACCCAATCCCGTCTTAATCGTGGGGATTATTTCTTACCGGATCTGGAAATAGCGCTTGGGCAAAGTAGAGTGTACTCTTGAGTTTCCAGCAAGCAAGTGGATTATTTTCGCAGTTCATAATTCAAGCCGTAATGAATTGAATCGGGGAGCGCGGAAATTGTAGATTCTTGCGAAGTTGCTTTGAAGACACTTTTGCCCGACTCAATCTGGCTCAAGTGGCAGGTCTGCTAAATCCTCACCGGTGGTTGTTGAGCGACAATTGAGAGAGAGAGAGAGAGAGTCGCCTCCTTCCTCCACGATTCGAACGGCGGGTGTGGTAAAAAAAAAGTTTCTTTCTCGTTCTCGTTCTTTGCTGTGACCGAATTTGTTTTATGGTGGTTAGGTGTGGCGGTGGTGCTTAGGCTGAAGCAGGTACTGCGCGCAAATCCGGCGCGGATGATTTCGATTTCGCTGGGCTTGATCCAGATAAGCCACGGCGTATTTCGGCAAAGTATCAGTTGACTAGAAGCCTTCGTCGAAAGCTGAGTGACCCTGGTATTAGCTGGGGCCCCTGCCACCCCTGAGCAAGGCCAGGACGCTAAGTAGGAAGATTATGTTACGTACTATTCAACCTCTCATCAGACTCAACAAAATTGCGCCTCTAAAAATTTCGCAAATGGATTTCGCATCTTCGATCGCTTGTCTGTCAACAATTGCTCGGTAAATTCTCCGCTGGGGCTTTCTAATTGCATTCAAAACATCCTTATCAGTGGTTTGCTTTTTGTCCCTGTGGGAAAGTTCTTCATCGCTTCATATCCGGGCAAACTTAGCTAAATACTTCAAGGTCAATCATTTGGGCCGCGAGCTTGGAGAAGCTCTTGGTAAAGCAACTTCTGAAAAAAAGAACTGAGACAGCTATTTCTTGCCTCAATCATCGATAAGCCCTAAGATAACAAAGCTCACAATGGCTCTCTCTTTTGTAGCGCTTTTATGAGAGTCTCTTGAATCTCATGAGGAAAAGACTACTGCAATCAGGGTGGGAACAAAGAGGAGAATTAAGTTCTAGTTCATTCAATACCCAGAGCCATCCAGGAAGTGCTTTACGTCATCGGAACGTCGGAGCAACGAAGATTGTTAAAAACTTTAGAAGCGAGAGCAGGTGTCTATTCGCAGAGGTGGTTAGGAGGCCGTGGCAACATATTTCACGCCCGTTGGTCGTTTCTTCTCTTTTGCGCCGCTCAGCGAGGAAAAAGATTAATTAGCGGATTAGCCAGGCAGCCAATCGCTGCCCAAAGTAATCCTCTTGTGAGAATTCTTCTCTAGTAGGGAGAAGGGATGCTACTAGTAGATTGTCTGCCGGACAATGATACGAAGTTTTATACGAAAATGAAATATGTTTGAACTCGTAAAAATGAAATCGCATAATATCATTAACAGCCCAGATGGAAACATTAACAGCTCAAGACGGTTAACTGCTGACCTTGGTACTTTCTCGGCCATCTGCGTTGTTGTGGTACACACGCGCCCGGGGGCACAACGCCCCATCATGTTCAACTGTCACTATTACATTGCGCCGTGTTTGGGTACTGTCAACAGTCTTATCGAGAGCTGAAAAACTTTTCGCTGCTCGTGGGATCGCGCAACTCGCGATTTTGTTTGGCTAGTTACGATACAACTAGCACGGGGATTGCTTTTTGCCTCGGCTTGGGCACGCCAGAATCTGCGCCTCAACTTTGGCACCTGTCTTGTTCGCCGTCAGGAAGAACGATCTTTATTTGTTGTTTGTGCATGTGCCCAAGTTCTGCGTTTTCTTCTGTGTGCCCACGACAGATATGTCCACTGATAGTTAGTTATTACGAATTCAGAGCTTTTGAGCTGGATGAAGAAAACGCTGGGAACTCGAGTGATCGACTCTGAGTGATACAAGACATGCGCAAACATCAAAACAGCGCAATGTTTGCCAAAACTGAGCTTTTGGAAAAACTTGGAGGATAACTTGCGCATCAAAATTCGCGCTAATCAAAAATTCCAAAATCAAAATCCAAAATTGAAAATTGAAAATCGTCGTTGTCTTTTGACTCCCACCGAGGTGGAATTAACAAACTCAAACGGAAGTTTTTCGCCACCTGATTTGTAGTACCTGCAGAGCGTCGCGTTTCATCCTTTTCTCCTCCACCGGCTCATTCCAAATTTAATGAATTGGGCCTGCCTTTGATTTTGCCGCCGTCGGCGCGCGTTCTTCCAGTTTGTGTTTTCTGAGCCTCGAATCGATCATTTCGCCTCGTTTGGGTACCGACCCACGGGATATACAACCAGCCAGACCGTAACTTGTTTGGTTCGTAATTGATCTCGTAATCTCCATATTAGCACACTTTTCAAAAGGAACAGGATCCAAAAATTTTCTTTGGCCGGAAAATGATTTTCGACGAGCATTATTTCTTTCAACCTTAATTCTTCCTAATTGACTGAATGGCTATTTCAACGATCGTAGAAAGAATCGATCATAAAGGAAAATAATCATAAAGTTATTACAGTCTGGGCTCCGAAAACTGTGTAGAAAACCGGTATCAGGGTCTGAAAAAGCTTAAATCTAAAGCCGCGGAGCGGCTTTTGTGAACGAAGCCGCAAAGCGGCTTCGCAAGAATGTTATCATAACTTGAAATGGTAATATTTGCGAAGCCGCTTCGCGGCTTCGTTTTTAAGAAGCCGCTACGCGGCTTTTGATTTATGCTCTTCTAGACCCTGACTCAGTTTTTTTACACAGGTTGCCGGCAAATTGACGGAAAGTCAAAGCAGTACTAAAACTAGAAGAGTTATTTGCTCAACTGCTTCTGTTTCGAGTTCATAGGAAAGCGGGATCATTGCAATTTACACTTGTTTTTCGGATTGATACGCTCCGGTTTGGCTCTTTTTTCGTTTAGTCAGACAACAGCAGTATCGGGCTATCTGAGATCTCATGCCCGTCGGTCTGCATACACGCTTCTTGTTAGACACTGCGACCCCGCAGAACTCCAAATTGCTTTCGATTGCTTCAATCATCGGAATTCGAATGATTGAATAAGAAGAAAAGGAAGTCGTAAGTTAAAGGATGACAGACGGAAGCAGCCCCGACATCTGCAGCGAGAAAAACAAAATATATGTGTTCGACGCTTCAGAGAAAAGTCAAAGGAGCTTTGCTACTTATGTCCAAAGCTGCTGGCATTTCGATTGATTTTTTCGCGTTTTTGGAGAAAAGACGACTTTCAGCACGTTTATTGCTTCGAAGAGTGACAGCTCTAGTAAATTTAAGTCAGGAGACCTTTGAAAAGCCAGGCATAAATAAAGTTTCATATCTGCCTTGTTAAATCGGTAATGACGTTGAGGAAAGAATGAAGTGGGCAGCAGACATCAAAGATGAGATTATCTCAATAAAGTTAAGTTTTTTTTAGATCGGTTATTTAAAGAAATAGGAAAGGACAAATCAGAACGTCATAATTTATTGAAAAGGCTTCAATGAAAAGCCGCGTGGCGGCTTTTTCTAAAAACGAAGCCGCAAAGCGGCTTCGCAAACGTTACCATTTCAACCAATTAAATATGCTAGCGTAGCCGCTATGCGGCTTTTATTTTTAAAAAGCCGCTACGCATTAAAAATCCTTCAGACCCTGACTCAGGTTTTCTACACAGGTTGGAAAGACCTGAGTCAGGGACGAAAAGACCTGAGTCAGGGTCGGAAAGACCTTGAATTTCAACCAATTAAATATGCTAGCGTAGCCGCTATGCGGCTTATATTTTTAAAAAGCCGCTACGTATAAAAGATCCTTCAGACCCTGACTCAGGTTTTCTACACAGGTTGCCGAGCCCAGGGAAGGATTGTTACTGGAAATCAACGAAAGCGTTAGTTCTAAGAAGGCGAAATCCCTTTTCTTTGTCGGGGCTTCCTTCCCTTTCAATTAGAGCTCGCTTTGACCGTGGATTTTGGTTCTTGCTTGTTCGAGCACTATCCGACACGCTTTGATGTGTTAAATCCGTTCTTCACGCCCTTGCGCGGTTTGAGCAAATCTGTTTGTGCGCTCTTGTTTTTCTCCTTCTAGGTTTGAATTGAAAGCGTTGTGCGCAGCCGACTTTGAAATATATATCTGCCTTTGGAGGAGCGATAACGATGCTGGCAATTAGGCTCAGCTTCGATTTCGAAGGGCGGGGTACTCCGTCCTCTTTCGTGTTAAACTGTGTTTACTTTTCACCCTTGACAAACTTTTGAACAATATTCTTATGAAAACAAAACGCAGAAGTGCCAGGCGAGCCGCTTTGAAAACGCCGCCGCAGCAAGAAAAAAGAAATTACTTTGTGGAAAGAAAATTAATTAGAGGTTGAGGCGAATTTTACGCCAGCTAGAATTTCGGGCGAATTTTTTTAACAGCTGTTTTCATGGATTTTGGGAGACAATACTGATTAGTGAATCTGCGCTCGGGAATCTGTGTAGAAAACCTGAGTCAGGAAAGACCTGAGTCAGGAAAGACCTGAGTCAGGGTTTGAAAAACCTGAGTCAGGGTCAGAAAAACCTGAGTCAGGGTCAGAAAAACCTGAGTCAGGGTCAGAAAAACCTGAGTCAGGGTAAGAAAAACCTGAGTCAGGGTTGAAACGACCTGAAATATAACCCTGACTCAGGTTTTGTACACAGATTTTCGAGCCTCGTATTGAATGTGTTTTACTTTGAAACTCCTTATCAATATATAAAGACTAATTTGGCAATCAAAAAATCATGATCGATAAAGTAAGATTCGCGAAGGCACGTTCCACGGAATCGAGGAACGAGCCGATCAAAGGAAAAAATCGTCTGGTGGAAAGAAAATGGCTTTAGACACCGATTCGCCGAAAATCCCCTGGTAACAATTAGGAGACTAATAAAGGCTTATCTGACCTACGGAGAAATTAATAAAGAACTATGGGACTGGTCTTCGCTCCTCGATTGACAAAAACAATCATGAAATGACCTCGCTCCTGGTAATGAAGGCTACAAGCAAGCCAGTACGAACAACAGCCGTCCAGACTACTGGAACATAGTCGTTGAAAAGAGCCTTTTTCAATTTTCAATTGTGACATAGAATTAGTTTCACCAAATAGTACCCTCGTAAGAGTGTTAATTTATACTTTCCTCGGCTTACAAAAATTTGTCCCGGGAAAGTGTTTAATCCGTCACGGGATTATGCGAATTTCCGGAAGTGTTGATTCTATCTGCGCCTTCGTAAATCGAGCACACCATCTTTGTATAATGCGGGACTCCTTGTTTGCAAGTTTGGCTGGCTAAATCTTGAGAAAGAAAAAAAGAAGGGTCAAGATTTGGAGCGGCGTGTTTGCTGAGACACTAGCGAAAATTGCTTCCGGAAAGTAGTTGTTTGAATCTACACCCAGATTTTGGTCATGAAAAAGACTGTTTATTTTTATAAAAGTGAGAAGCCTTGAAGCCGTAAAAACCACCTTTCTGCTAAAAAACGAGTTCTTCCTTTACGAAATCGATTTGGTGTCAATCAAATGAATGACTTCCTAGCGACGAAACGTTCTAGTTCACAAAGGGCTCTCGTAAAAGTACTCTCAAAAAAATGTTATCAAACGGGGGCGAGAGTCTTGTGGTCCTCCTTCCCGATCATCGTCTCGCTCCAGCCTCGCATCTTGCTGGCACCTTCCGTTTTTGATCTCACGCGTGTCCATCTGACCCTACGCCCTGTCCTCTTTTACCTCACGATGTGATCACGTGAGTTCGAGCGTGTCTCTCGCGGTCTCTATAAAAACTAATATGGAACTTGAAGGGATTAAAGTATTAGCCAGTTCACGTATCTTTCAATTATCAGTACTTTCATTACGCAACTCAGAACCCTTATCAGAAGACAGCATGTACCTTCTCTTTAGCAAAAGTCTTTCGTATAAATAAAATTTATTTATAGATAGGAAATCATACTTTGAAGAAATTTCGAAAATATTTTCATAGAGTAAAGAAGTTTTATTTCGACGGAAAAGTAAAATTGTCTATTATAAATAATTTGCTAAACTATTTTACTTTTCCATCTTTACCAGGGCTTCTAGTTTAATCGCGAAGTATAGCTAGCTCCTTCGGCCACTCCCACCTAGCCTAGCTAAGGAAACACTGTCTCCCCTCGCTTTTACAAAGCCCGAGAAGCGAGGCAGAGAGAGAGAGAGAGAGAGAGGGGCTGATCAATATTTTATTTTTTAACAAAGCCCGTCTCTAATCCTCAGGAGCCATAATGTCTCAACTATTGCTACAAGTTAACCCGTGGATTACGGAATTTTTCTTTGCAAAAAATACAAGATTCACTTTTTTTTTGTTAATTTTTTGCTTTAATTTTATTGTTCTTTTGAAGGTATGTACAAGAAGGAGCAGGTTTGTTTTCTTTGTGCAGTTTCTGCCGGGGTAGAAGTTGTAAAAGGATTGGAAAAGACCGAAATAAATACTGTTTTTTTGACTGTTTTGATGTGTGAGATTTGAGTCAGTGTTGCAGGTAAAGTCGTGGCTATTTTTCAATTTTCCCGGGTTTTTCGGATGGATTTTTTAAAGCAGATTTAACAGTCTTTCTTCATGAAAAAAGATAACGGAGGAATAATAATAAACAAAAAATGGGAATCACTGCTTATTCGCTATTCTGATAATGTTCTCGGATGAAATTTCGTTCGTGAGTTCTATCTTGTTCCGTTGGCTGCTGCACCGTTCAAGTTGTACTGTCCCAGCGTCGGGCTGGCGCTGAGGGTCGAAGCAGCTGAGTAAGGGGTGGCTAGAGAAGGGTAGTGAGGTGGGGTGGCCGCGCTGGCTGGCAGGGCTCCAGCGGCACCACCGACCGGCGCCGACGCGGACGCTGACGAGGTCGCGGACGGCACCAGCGTCGCGGACGGTGACGACGTGTTAGAAAGTGAACTAGGCGATTTGCGCAGCGATTGACCCAGCAGATGCTCGCTCGGTGACAGGCTCGGTCCATTTCTATGAACTAGTTACATGTTAGTTTAAGAAAGTCAAAGACACACACGCCAAACACGAAACGAAAAATACAAGCGAATTTCATCAAGGTCGACTCTGAAGAGGACCTTTCTTGTTAAATTAAAACTACTTTTTTAGTACTACTAGCTTCCTACTGCAACATCAGTTGTGCTTCGTACCTATATCCGAGTGCGGCGTAGGGACTTGCGGCGAGTCCTGTCGGGGAGGAGGTCGAGTAGCCGTTCGAAACAGCTGATCCGAGCGAGTTGAGCGACATTGAAGGATTCGTCAGGCCAGCTGCTTGGGAGGTGACGGCCATGTTGTGCTGGAAAAGCTGAGTCGGGCTCTGAGCAAGTGGGTTTGGGATGGAGGGCCAGGGAAAGGAAACGCCAGGTGTCAGCGACGTTTTCAAGCTTCCACTGAGGCTGCTGGGAGACATGCCGGGCCAGGCGTAGCCGGTTTTCGAGTAGTCGCCGACGCTGCCGTAGAGGGAGGGTTCGTAAGTAGTCATGCCTGGGAAGCCGGGAAATCGCTGCATGTCGTTCATCTGGTTTCGCTCTCGCTTTCGCCACTTGGCTCGTCTGTTCTTGAACCAAACCTGAAAGCAGAAATTAGAAAAGGTTATTCAAGAGAAAATTAATTAAGAAAATAACGAAAAGGGGGACAAAATAGCGCGGGAAGACAAGAACAGAAACAATTTTAATGAAACAGCGCCTTTGAATGAAAGAAAAGTGGCCCCAATTTTCTGCGCGAAGTTGCTCTTTATCTCTTTAATCCGATGATGGGCACGGGATCAAATCGCGTACGCTTTTTTCTCTCCCTCTCTCTCTGCCATTCGTACGAAAAAGAGAAAAGGCAGGATTTTATGCTGCTTTTCTGTTTTTTGGCTGATCCCCTATTTCCGCCTGTTGACTTATCAATGAGTTCATATTGGCCTTGCGCGACATTTCGTGCAATATACAAAATCACAGCTCAGTGTATGGGCCACTATGCATAATTTCACGATTCTGATTTCGAACAGAAAAAATGTAAAGCAAAGTACCCTAATTTTGCTCATTTTCGCTATTGACCCAGGTGAAAATGGCCAAACAAATAAGCAAAATATGCCAAGGCTGCTTCATCTAAGACATTTTCTAATTCAAATTTTGACATCGAAATTTGTTCACGGATTAGTTGGGCACGGGTGAGACGTCACTTATGGTCTCGAAATTTTGAAAAAAATCTTTTCTTATCAACTTTTGATTTTTGACTTTTACTTACTCGAACGCGGGCTTCAGTCAGGTTCGTCCACATAGCAATTTCTTCCCGAGTGCTCATGTCTGGATATCGATTTCTGAAGAAGAGATTTAGTGGAGTAGTCAGGGCGAAAAATAATCAGTTATCGCATATCGTAAAGACTCTATGCCCTGTTTTCTAGCGCCATAAAACGGCTACAAAACTCTACTTTACAAGATCTTTTTCTTACCTCGCGAATAGACTTTCGAGTTCCTGGAGTTGTTGAGAAGTGAAGTGGGTTCGCTGACGTCGCTGTTTCTTTGGCTTGTCGCTGTCGCCATCCTTGTCTACGTCTTTGTCTGCGTCATCTCCTGAAATCCGGGTTAGTTTTCTGGAAAAGAAAGGGCAGGGAATTAACCTTCGGGAGGAGATCCGGAAGGATCAGAGTTTACTTCTGGGTAAGGCTCTACTCCGAGCTCAACGCCGTGAATCTCGGTCTTGACGTCAGACACAAGGCTGTCTGGCGCATTTGGGATGATGCTGCTCATCTGGTGGAGGCCCTCGATGCTTGTGCCCTCCATCATTTCTGGCTCTATTTCTGATGCGGGGAAATTGGGCTCTCTTTTTGGAAGTTTCTGTTTTGTGCTCTAACAGTGGCGAGTTAAGTTGTTGCTTGTAGCTTGGATAAAGTTGGATTTGAGGGATTTTTATCTGCGATCCTCTATTTCAGGAGGTCGACAATTGGCCTGAGTGATTCTAATAAAGATTCTTTAGCGCCGAGACCGTGGCTCCAGCGCGCCCACTTTGGTGGCGGCGCTGTCGCCATTTTTTGTGCATTTCAAGCAAGCGCCACTGGCCGCCCTTCTCGGCGGCTTCAAAGGATCGTGGCGGGTTACAATGCTCACCGGAAGGCGTCTCCTGCTAGGCACTGCACTTGCACTGTAGTTATCTGTGGATGATCCTTGGGTGCACCTGCGAATTCAATTACTATCGAAGGGGATATAAAAATCGTGTGCAAATCGAATTAATTCGAGGTTTCCTAAATTAATTTCTCTCCCACCGAAGACACGCCACACGCCCGGGGCTAAATACCAGGCCTAATCACAGTGTTCCACGGGAGCTATCCCCTTCTCCAAATGATCGCTGAATTTATGACCTTCAGAACGCCCCGAGGAAGCGGAGAAGGACTGACCCATTATGAAACCTAATTAAGCCCATAAAATATCTCAATTATTGCAAAGCTTGGAACAAGTGGTGTAATTACTTGAACAATTCGAGTAAGTGTGCCTCACTACCATTGTCAGAAGAAGTTGACAATGTCAGAGTTCTACTTCTTTTCTCTTCCCAAAATTGGTAATTCGCGTTTTAGCGAAAAGAGACAAAAGAGTCATTTTCACAGGGAAAAAAAGTCTCTTCTGCAAGACTCTTTTCTCAGAGAAATCATCATTTTATCGGCAAAAATGAGGCTTATAAATGGTAAAAGGACCGATTTCTTTGGCTGAGGACGGATTCGATGAGTTAAAGTCTCAAGGCCACGGTGCACCGGAGACATCTGGATTAACTGTTCACCATTGTCAGCCTTACCATAAATCAGAGGGGTGTTGAAATAATAGTTTGCGGGCTTGAAATAGATCCTTCAGATTTAGCAGAATCCTGGCCGATATCAACGCATCAAATTTGATCCCGGACTGATCCCCGTCTTAATTATTTCGCCGTTTACTGCCAAACAACTAGATCCCTGCCAGTTTTGATTTTCACCCTTCTTCTTTTTCTTTGAAGGTACCTTTTTTGACCCCACTCACGAGTCAATCAGGAGAGGAGTAAGTTTGGCCAAAGGATAAGCCACAAATCATCAGAAACGAAAAAAGAGTGAATCAGTAGCGTTGTTTTTTCGGATTCGGAAAATCGAAAAAAGATCAAAAGTGCGTTTTCATGTCTTTCACTGGTAATCCTAACTATTGTGTTGACCTCCCAGCGGGACTCCGCTCCACATACGGCCCAGCAGGTCCTCCTCCTCTTTTACTATCTTCCTAGTTCAGGCTACTTTGCGTATAGATTATTCCTTCAGGATAAACAGGATAAAGGAAACGCTCATTAAGTATTTATATCAAAAGTCATACGTCTTTAGTCTGCCATTCAATTTAACTTTCATGAAAGGGCATTACCAGGTTTCAAAAAAGAATAGGAAGCGAATCCGACGGATTTCAGAGCAGATTTTCTGATTTACCAAAAGAATAGACACTTTTCTTAGCTACTAAAACTTTCTGGCGTCAAAGAACGCTTTTATCATAAATACGTTTTGTTATATAAGATTAAGGGGCTTCCGATGAACTCAAATTTTTACGGAATGAATATTGAAAACAACGAGGATTCTCAAGAGTTTTTCCGGAAGGTCAGTTTTTCGCCTGAATCATTATTAATCCGATTCAGCTTGGAGAAAAAGTTCTTTTTCGATTCCGAGAGATTCATACATTTCGTAAAATCCTGAATTTAATCGCTGGAAAAAGAAGCATTGCCCGGTTTTTTTTTCTACTTTCTGGCAAATGAATTACGTGAAAGAGCACCAAGAGAGGAACAGGCTGGTTCTCCTTTGCTATTGACTCTACCAGCCGCGACAATGAGGGTAAAAATCCGGGGGGCTTTGGAGTAATCCCCAATCTAAACTTGCTTTTTCAAAAAGCGCCAGTTTTTTTTATTTTTTGGTGCGCCCCCGAACGTGTCTAATTTTAGCACTCACTCAAACGTAAAATTTACCGATTTGTGAAAAAAATAATTTTGCCAGGCAAAAAATCTAGGGCGCAAAGCCCTCAGCTCAAAATAGAAAAAAATAATTTCAGAATCGATAATTTTCTTCCTAAATACCCCCAGCCAACAAAAGTAGTAAATCTCTTTCTGGCTTAAAACCGGCTCAGAAGGCGTGTTCCCTACCAACAGACAAGCTCAACAATAAGTAGCTCCGATTATTGTTCCTATTTTTCGCGTCTTGCAGTTAATCTCCTAGCACTTTGGTGGATACCACCAACTTGACCGAGGAGTAGAGTATCGAGAGAAAAGTAGAGTCATTTGAGCTTCGACTTGGCCATTTTGGGATTTCAGGATCAAGTCTGATATCCAATTTTTCAAGTGTAAATTTGATATGCATGTAATTACGAGCATTTTTCTCAAATTAAAAAGCTTCCTTGAACTTGAATTCGGTTCTTTTACATTCCATTCTGGGCGGATTCAATTCAGAATAACACGAAACAAAGCTGCTGGGGGGAGGGGATCAACTTCTGACCGGCAAATCTGTTAAAAAAATCTTGCTCTTGAACCGTGCGCTTACTCCGCCGACAGGTACTCTTAGCAGATCTGTAAAAAGCGAAAGTTTTACGATCGTTTTTTCCGTCTTTTCCCAGTTGGCGAGGAGGAGCTTGGCCTTTCTCAATATGCCAGAGGATTATGGCGGGATAGAAGCTGTCACCGTCACCCAGATGTGTTTTGACATTTTGTTAACGCCTAATGGGTACTTTCTATTGCTAGTTTGAAGAAGGGACCTTCGTTTTATCTCAAAGTAAATTTTGGCAAAGACGCTAATTCACTCGAGTTGCGACTTGCGAGCGTTATAATGATGGCTTTAAGGTGGATATCCCGACAATCCTTCACATGGTTTCAGCTAAGACCCTACGAGGTTATAAGTGCCCCCCTTTCCTTCATACTGCCTTGCCCAGAAGTAAAAAAATTGAGAAAAAAAGACAAAAAATTCGAAAATTTTAATATACCTTCATTGTCGATGGGAACAGTCTCGATCACGTGATGACTGGAAGGCGATGGCTCGCGAAGAGCATTGAGAGAACTGCTGGTCGAAGGCATCGTGTAAAGAATTTTTATCTGAAAAAAGAGAAAATAGAAAGAGGGAGAGGAGCTTGAAAAGGATCTTACCGGAATGGCTGCTTGACATTTTTCCTCTAAATCGTCGTAATCGCGCTCATCTTTAACATACACATTGCTGACATATTCTACGAACGACTGTGAAACCCTTTCTGACAACTAGAGAGTTAGAAAATGACAACTAACATACTCAAGAATTAAAATACAATCCATGTTTTCTTCCAGGAAAGAATGAATTTCAAGCCGCTTCCTTGGGGGTTGAGCTCGTGCTTGACGGTCATTTCCTGGCCCTGGTCGCCCGCGACGGCGGCGTGATCCAACGGAACATCAGCTGTTGTCAGCGGAGTCACGCTGTACACCGACGTTGGCACTGTGATCACGTCCCGGGTCGAAATATAAGTTGTGAACTCGCCGTCTTCGACACCTGATAAAATTCAAAATTATTCATCAATTCAAAAGACTAAAAAAACTCAAAGAAAGCAGGTGCTCAATTCTGTTCAATGATTGTATCATTTTGTCTAATTCACTAATTTTGCTACTGAGTTATTTATTAAAGCTGAATTCTCTGAATAAAAATTTACAAAAACTGGCGTCAAAGTGTCGTGAAAATTCGCCTCTGTACCTTGAATAAGGGCGGATTCTTCGTTGTCGGAGGATGTTTTGTCACTGTCCATTTTTTTCGAAGTTCTTTCTTTCTTTTCTGAATTTTCTTTGTTTCATAACAAATTTCTACGATTATTAATTGATGAGCATGAGCTCGAAATCGAATCGGTCGTTTAGGAACGACTGTAAGTTTGACTGTAATTAGGAGATTGTAATTGGCATTAGATGGGTTCATAAAGTGCAACTGGCTGGTCAGAATCTAATCCATCGGCTTTAGTTTTAATCTCGAGAGGGCTTTAACAGTAATCCAAGGCTGCGTTACAGTGATCTCTGTGCTTGGATCTCCGCATTTACACGCAGATCAAGTGCTTAAAATGCGCTTAATATTAGGCACTGCCCAGAGTTGTCTCCTCAAAGTTGGGAAGTAACAGCCCCGGCCGCGATGAGGTGTCATCGTCGCCTCGCATCCCAGACTCTCTTTTTTCTAGTGGAGAAAAAAAAATGTGAAAGAAGGATGTTTCTTGGAATGGAAATCCTCAAATCTCTAGAATGACATTTTATTTGTTATGTAACTCGGCTAGTTTCCTCTATCGATGTTGCGCGAACGGAGCCCACCGTCGATGGAAGAAGTTTGGTTGAATATTATGGTCGCATATTCATTTTAAGCCGATTAACCTTTAGTTTTTGACAAATATTCAACCAACTTGAGATGGTTCACCGGAAATAGAAGAATCGACTGGGTCAGCTGAGCAGGAGGAATCCTCAAATATAGACATGTAAGATCTTCCGTAGATATTTTTTCCCTTAGTGGATAATCAGATGAACTTACAGCATTAACTGCTGGAAATTCTAACTCTTTTCAGCCGAGAGGAAGCACCAACAGATTGGCTACGTTTACGTAAGTTTTAATTCCGTGCTACGTCCTTCCTCATTCTTCTCCAGTGAAATATGATGAGCTCGAAGAGTGGCAAAAAGACAACGAATTCATTCAAAAATGGTACCGAGCGCCGATGCATTCTTTCAAATATTCCTTGCTTTCGTGTTTCCGATGGCATAACGAAACGATCAACATTTGGGTAAGAAAATGAGCTGTTGGGTTAAATAAAGCTGATTTTCAGACGCACTTCTTGCCCTCGGTCTTCTTCGCTGTTTTCATCGTGACGCACTCTTCCTTGTCTTCAGAAAACTTCGTGAATCAAATCGAAGAAAAACAGATTATCGGACTTTTTGGTCAGGTCTGAAATGCAAGAGAAAATGACGAAAATATATATTTTGAATACTTTTTTCATTTCATCGACAGTTTTCTTCGCCTGGTTATGTTTATTTCTTTCGGCATTGTTTCATACTTTTCTTGCTCATTCAAGGAAGATTTCGTCGATTTTTGGAAGGCTCGATTTTTGTGGAATCACTCTTCTCATTATGGGTAAATCTGTCAAAGACGGCCAGTTATGTAAGCAGTTTTCAGGTAGCTTCATTCCCTGGATCTACTACAACTTCTACTGCATGCCTCAGTCCCAGCTCAGCTACATTTCGTGCCTCTCCGTCCTTGGACTATTCACGATGGTCTTTACCCAGTGGCAACGATTCAGTACACCAGAATACCGCGTTGTGCGCGCATGTCTTTTTATTGCTCTGGCCATGTCTAGCATGATTCCGATCTTCCACGCTTGTGCCAGGTAAACATATGTTCCAGAAGAAGAAACTTTCCAAATTTCGACTTTCAGAGTTGGTGTAGTAAACGCCTGGGAGGAATGTCAGCTGAAATGGATCGTGATCATGGCGGCCTCATACTTGTTCGGAACATATCTGTACGCAACTCAAAAGCCGGAAGCGGATTTCCCCGGAAAATTCGATCTTTTTGGTAAAGAAACTCACGAGTTTAGCTTTGAAATCACATTCTTCCACGGGTCACCTCGGTCTAACGATATTCTTTCAGGATGCTCTCACAACATTTTCCACATTTTCGTCGTCGGCGGGGTCGTTTCTCATTTGATCGGAGTTACCAACTTGCGAGATTTAAGACAAGCACTTGGTTCTAACTGTACAGATCTTCCTGATCAATAAATACAAAGAAAAAACAAGAAAATCAACCGGAAACCGCGTTTTTTAGCGATTTTAGAGGGTGATTTAGTAGGTTGTTTTTGAAAATCACGTGATCGAAAATTCAGTTTTTCTAGAACATGGGCTGTTGTCAGGGATGATTTTGAAAAAATCGTCAGTTTTAATTTTTCGTCTAGTCGATTGAATATGAGTGGATTGGCATCTGGGGCGCCCGAACCGGGCTGTAGAACCTACAACCCACAAGTTCGAGTCGGCAATTGGAATGAAGACATTTGCCTCGAAGAAGACCTGCTCAACGGTAAGTTTCAAGGGTTTAATTTTAGAAAAGAGCGAAATTGATGAATAAAAAATTCAGAATAATGCTCATAATTTTGACTTAAGTTATTAGATTGTCGGTGTTGACCTCTCATGAATGATGATTGAAATTTATTTTTGGGACGCGTTTCGGTCTCAGTGGACCTTCGTCAGCCCTAAGTACAGATTTTAAATGAAAGTTCAAAAACAGGAAAAAACAGTCTCTCACCTAGAGTGGACAATTTCGAATGAAGGCAGAGATTGAGTTATTAAGTTATTAGCTTCTTCTTTTTTGCCAATGCTTTTATTCAGATTTTTTGGAGAGAAAAGCTAACGGCCAGCTTCTCATCCAGACACGAGCGAAACTGGCGGACGTTTATCAAGCGCCAGTAGCGCTGAGCGAGAGCAAAGACGGACATATCCACTTCGGAGACACAGTAATGATTATGAACACAGGCGCTGCCCCGAACCAAGAAAAAGTCTTATCAGTGTATGCAGAGGATAAAGAATACGGAACCCTCTCCGCCAGCGATAAGTTGACGCCAGTAGCCAGGTAAACAAAATGCACAGCGGGTGTTCTAGAGACTCATCCCTTTTTTCCAGGAATACGTTCGTCATTCGACCTCAAGATGAATCTTTGAACGGTAAACCTCTACGATATGGTCAACGCTTCCGAATCGAGTCCGTCATCTCACCGAAACATTGTCTTAATTCAGGTTAGTTTTTAACCCGTTGGGTCTAAGATAGCTCAATTCATGCCTTTATTTCAGAACATATCCGTATTGTGGCATCAAGCAGAAGCTCAGCCAGTCAGATTGTGTTCCTCTCCACGGAGCAGTCATCTAAAAATCTCTGGGTAATAGAATCATTCGATCCCAGTCTACGACTCGAGCATGAAGACACTCCAGTACCCCATGGAACGTCACTCATTATCAAGCATTGTCTTACCGGTCAGGTACAGTCACTCACAGTTCTTCGCCTTCTGATGATATTTTAGGCCCTTTGTGCGGCAGAAAAAATCGTGCGCACGCCATTTGGAGTGGAAAAGGAAGTCAATGCAGCAACAATTAAACAATGGCACAGAAACCAGAAACATGAAAAATGGAATAACCACTGGCTACTTATCGCCGGCAAGCCACAGAACTAAGAAGGAACCTTCTGTGCAAAGTATAAGAGTCTACACTGTAACAAACTAAACACACAAATATACAACCAGCTTGACGAGCTTTTTTCTACATCTACGTTGTCGTTTTTGTTTGCTGTTTGAGTTCAGCGGTTGTTGTGAAGGAGAAGTTGCTCAGTGCGTAAAATGATTATTAGTGCGGTTGTTGTCTAGTTACCATCTCATTTCTTTTTACTCTGCTGCGGAAATGAGTGGCCCTATTTGGCTCTGTTTGCAATCCTATCAGGTCTCCGCGGCATAAAAATTTTATTTTAATAAGCGAGCAAATGTCCAGTCTCTCATAACGGCGGCGAGCCAATTATACTGGCTTCACACTCGACGGACTCTACTACTACTGCCTCTTTTTTACTAATATAAAAAACGGGCTCAGCGTGCGCAGAAACAATTATAGACAAAGGAGTTTCACTATCCAGAAACAAGTAAAAATGAATTCTACTAACGAGAGAGATTGCGCTGATCCTTTGGTTCCTGTTCTCGCAAAAGACCCGGAAATGGTGAAGGAGAAGATCGATTCTGGGAATCATTCAAAGGTAGATTGAAATTAACAAGGATATCCCTATTTTAACGGATTTAACATTCATCAAGACGGTCTTAATATCCGTTAAAATGAAGACTCCCTTGAAGAAAACGTTAAAATAAAATCTCTTCATCCTTGCTTCTTTACCCAAGATCTCCAATTTGCCATCATGGATGAGTGATTTCTTATATATATATTTTCAGACTCGTGGGACGATTAAAAAGCTTCTGAAAGTACTAGCTCTGATGGTGCTCATAACGATGGTCATTCTCGTAACGAACAGTAAGCAGTGAAAAATAGCTGAATTTGATTTTCTAATTCTGGACTTGTAGGAAATCCTAAGATAGAAGAGCAAATAAAAATGCTTGAATCACGAGTCGCCGAGCTGGAATCAAAGGAGGCCTATTTGCGCAGCGATATTAACATAAACGTCGACTATTACTACGATGAGGAGGGGTCAGGCGAAGTGGAAATAACAGACGATGAGGATTTTGACGAGTTCGAGTTGAAAAACTCGATCGTTCGAAAAATGATCGGAACATGGAAGCAAGTAAAGCTGGTTAACATGGAGGCTTACTTGGAAAAAGAAGGGGCTAACATCGTTTACCAGAAACTTGCAAAGTTCTTCCCGCCGACGATGATTTTTTTCGAAAATGAACCTGGGTATGTTTATTCATATTGGGCTCCGTATCCTGTGAAGAAAACCTGAGTCAGGGCCTGAAAGAACGAATTCAGACACTGACTCAGGTTTTCTACACTGTGTACGGAGCCGGGTAATCCTCCTTGATTCCAATTCTAAAATCTTGCTCTAGAAAGTTCGTCCAGGCGTTCCAAATGAAACTGGCAAGCTACTACCACGAGTTCCCCTTCAATCTGGACGGCACAAAGATCTCCTTCATCAATCACGAAGACACAAAATGCATAGCCAGGGCAAGAGACGAAGGCGACCAAATTTCCATCGTCGCCGAGGGAGGAAGGAATGGACCTCTCCTAACTTGGCTTTACTTCGATGAGCAGGGGAGAATCGTTATGAAAACGACGCTGCCGGATTTGGACAACATAACAGCGAAGAGAGTCTTCGAGTTTGTCAGTGATTCCACTGAACATTAAGCATGAGTCTGACTTTCAACCTTTCTTTCCAACTGTTGCTAAAAGTTTTAGCCTAAAACTGCTGATTCGCTAGTATGATATTGTTCAATAAAATGTATCCAATCAGAAAATAAAACGTGGTCTACAAATCGACTTTCTCTGCAAGTCTGATTTCGAGTCAAAAATTCTAGAAATGACAAAAATCTGAGCGGCTTTAGCTTCGTAGGCGCTCCAGCCAATCAGCGCTCCGCTTTCTTCTCAGGGTCAAAAAATAACCAAAAAAGAAGGGAAAGAGAAATCAGAATAGACAAAAGAAGATGCCGAACGACAGAATCTTCATTGCCCAGTGTGGACAAATGAACATGAAGTTTTTGAAATTCGACCGAAAAGACGAAGCGGAAGTTCATTTTTTCCGATTTGAAGGCGAAGTTTTTTCAGGTAAAGAAGCAGTTTCCCGGCTTTCCGCCAGATTTTGGAAAGTGTAAAGAAAATTAAAGGGCTTCTCCTGTGTAGTTGATCCTGTTAACCAACCGATGATGCTGAAGGTCTTCGAGAAGCTTCCAAACGCGGAGAAAATCACCGTCGACGAAATCATCGAGGAGCAGCAGAGTCTTCCGAAATTGATTCAAAAAGGAGAAATCGGAGAAATAGAAGCTCATTTCGAAGAAAATCCAAAAGGTACTCGGGTTTTTTCTTCTTAGAATTATCTTAAATCATCATTTCAGAAGTTGACTACGTCGCTCGTCTTGGCAAGTACCAGCAATGCTCGTTGCTCTATCTTGCCGTCAGTTCGAACCGCCAAGAAGTCGTCGAATATCTTTTGAAAAAGCGGCCGAAGACTCTGAACACAAAGAACGGAAAAGAACGGGAAACAGCTCTCCACCGCGCTGTGCGAAGTCTTCAACTCGCCACGGTTACCTCTCTTCTTGCCTCCGGCGCGAGCATGGTGACCAAAGACAAGCACGGACTGAAGCCGGTGGATATTGCGATGAGAATGTACAAGGAATCGAAGAGCGCGGAAGTAAAGAAAACGGCGGAAAAGATCGTCAAGGCACTGAAAGGAAATAGATTCAACCGAACTGCGAGGCCTTTTAACCCGGCTGCAGCAGCGTGGGAAGAAGCAGCGATGAAAGGAGCGGTGAACAGGATGATTGCGGATTTGAGGAAAGAAGTTCGAATAGAGAAAGAACTCGGGGAAAGTCGAAATGACGATAGTTTTGAAAATCCGGGCATGGCGATCGTCAAAAATAACCCGCTCATGCTCGACAGGTAAAGGTCATTCTACGAAGCAGGATTAATCCGATTACAGATATTTGGAAACTGGCGACCCCAATTTCGTCAACGACAGGGGCTTCTCCCTCCTTGAAATAGCCATGCAGTGCGCAAGAACTTCCGAACGAAATTACTACACAGAGCTTTTGCTTGAGAAAGGCGCCAATCCTAATTTAGTAAGTCAAAAAGTGTTATCTTGTTTATTCTATTATTGTTGCGTTATTTTTGGAAAATTGATGTTATTTTTTTATTTTTAGACTTTTCGATTTGGGCTGACTCCTCTGCACCGTGCGGTTCAAGAGCAATCGCTATTTTTAGTGAGGATCTTGCTGAACCACGGAGCCGACCCGACGCGAGAAGACAAACAGGGCCGTATTCCCATCGCCATGGTCGACAAGATCCCAAAGCGCATCAAGAACAACGAGACTATCGCCAGTCTTGAAATGGTAGATTCTCAGCCTTGCTCCTTCTTTTGAACCCCTTTTTAGATTCTCTGCGCCGCGCAGCAGAAAAAGAACCTCGAAAACATGCATCACAGCCTCGAAAATATCCAAATCAAAGAGCCAGAAGCAAACGCCGACGATCTATCGCTCAAGAATCTGAACTTAAAACTGCCCTGAACATCACACCCCCTATTATTGTCACGCTCACAGCTTCACATTGCCACTTCACTCTTCACTCACCCCCTTACTCGTCGTCTAATCGTTGATTTTCTTCAGAAATCGAAACTCGGAATCATCGAATGAGCGAGGAAGCCATTCAGGCGACGGCTGTGGACGCCATTTCGTGCAAAATTTACGCAGGTTCAAAAAGAGATCCTGGAAAAAACTGTTCTGACGCGTTGTTCCTTCAGTCAAACATGGCTACTACGAAGATGACGCACTTCTGAAGCTTCTCTCTCGAGGAACAGATACAGAAAGGAAGAGCCCAGAAATTGCGCGTGGAACATGGGCACGTGTTCAAGGAACGCGTCAGGAATTGCGTCGCTTTTACGAGAAAAATGCGTCAAGAAGAAAAGTTGTGATCAATTGCGGCGCTGGTTTTGATACGACCTTTTGGTGGGCCAAGAGCGAAGGGCTATTCAAGGATGGAGAGGATCTGTGGTTTGATCTGGACATGGAAGCGGTCGTTCGCCAGCGAATTCGACGACTAAGAATGCCAGCTGCTAAATCACTTGTCAGTTCGTTGCAAAATCTGAAGATAACTGACAGTAAACTCGCCTCGGACGCCTATCAAATACGAGTCCTCGACATGAAGCGTTCGGAAGAAAGTGCGAAATTGATTGAAGAAATCAAGGAAGAGTACCAAATCGACGACCAGACAGACGTCTGTCTCATATTCGAATGTGTGCTAGTTTATATGCCGACGGAAACGTCTGGGCGTTTCCTCAAAGCTGCAGCGGACGATTTCGAAAACTTGAAGGTCATTTCTTATGAACAGGTGTGGAGCCTTCCGTTTTCAAAATGAATCTAAAACGGTCTCTAGCTGAATTTAAATGATCGATTCGGAACAGTGATGCTTGAGAACTTGGTCCAAAGAGGATGTGGCTTGGACGGAATCGACGCTTGTTTGTCGAAAGCAACACAGATCCAGCGATTTGAAAGAGTTGGCTTCAGACATGTAGATTGTAAGGACATGTACGAAATCTATCTTGCCCTCGAAAATCGAGAAAACATTGAAAGAATCGAGTTTCTTGACGATGTCGACATTTTTCAACAGCTGCTCCAGCACTACGGCATCACAACAGCGGAGAAATAGAAAGGTAAGAAAGAAAAGAAGAGATTGTTGATAATTCTGATCACAGTGATGAATCAGTGAAGCGAAACCTGAATTCGAGTCCTCAGAAGTCGCATTTTGTAGAAAAATTATGCTTCTTTTGAGGTGATACTTGATGGCAATATACTGAGAAGATCTGAGTGATATCGCAATCATCTGAGAATCATCCCATGTTTCTAGATATCAATCTAATCCTTCTTTTTAGATAAATAACAACAATTGCTGCGTGAGCTTGCTACTGAAGACATCCTGCACATTTTCGTTCATATATTCTCGTGTAAAATTTAGTTTGTAAAAACTTTGTTTTGAAAGGTTTAAAAATCGGGGATGATTTAGAATGAACAAGGTCGAGGAAAAGCAAACCTTCGCTCCCAAGGAAGAAATCGAGGAGAAGGTTGTCGGTAAGAAACTCAGAATCACGCGATGTTTTATTTTGGGAGGAGAAAATTTTAGCAAAGATAGATTATTTTAAGCTCACGGAAAATGAAAGTCACACATCTGGGGGATCTTATTATAACTCTTGGCGTTAATGCTTTTTCCAATCAGTGCCTTAAATATCTCGTCTCGGAGACGTTCTTCCTTGACTTTCATAAAGAAACTTATATAAGATCACTTTCTTAGTCCCCGACATTGTCGCTGATGATGACGACGACGAGGAAGACGAAGAAGAACTCGTCGACCCCATCGATACCATCCGAGAACAGTGCTCTCGAGACGCCGAATCCAAGGGTAAATATTAAAATCCATGTTTGCCAGCACTCTTAACATCTCATTTTTAGCTCTTCTCGCTGAGCTCCAGGCCTGCACTGATCGAGTTGAGTCGCGAAACATGACCGAGGAAACCTGCCAACAGGTAGCTAATCAATGCTAACTCTCCTCCAACCTATTTTTAGGAGCAATTCGATTTCCTCGGCCACCGAGACCACTGCGTCGCCCACCATATTTTCAACCACCTCAAGTAACTTCTTCTCTTCCCTCTTTCTGTTAGAGTTAAAAAGAAAAGCTACTGTCAAATATATATTCTGGTTTATCTTTTTCTAAACCACTCTCTTGATCTCTCCCTCTGCATCCAAGTTTGCAAACTTATTTATTAAAAGTCTTTAGAATAAAAACGGGCTTTATCTTTCCAACCATAGCCTATGGTCCATAGGATTTAAATTCGAAAATCGTTAGTTTCTTTAATTATTTGTTTCGGGAAATAGAATGGTTCGAGTTGCTGTCGGTGTTAAGCGAGTCATTGACTACGCTGTCAAGATCCGAGTCAAGCCTGACGGCTCCGGCGTCGTCAAGGATTCAGTCAAGCACTCGATGAATCCTTTCTGCGAAATCGCCGTCGAGGAGGCCGTCCGACTCAAGGAGAAGAAGATCGCCAAGGAGATCGTCGCCTTCACCATCGGCCCAAAGCAGTCTGCCGAGACTCTTCGAACTGCGCTCGCCATGGGCTGCGATCGAGGCGTCCACGTCAATGTAATTTTATTCGATTCGTTGTTGCGTCCTCACAGATGCGTTTTCAGGTTGATCAAGCTCAGCTGGATGCTCTTACTCCTCTCCAGATCTCCAAAATGGCTGCCAAGATCGCTGAAACCGAAGCAGCGGACCTTCTTCTCATGGGCAAACTCGCCATCGACGGTGATTACGGTCAGACCGCCGCTATGACCGCTGCCATTCTCGACTGGCCCCAAGCTACCAACCTTTACTCTGTAAGACGTGAAATGATCATCCTCTCTTTCAATTCCCATTTCTAGCTCCAGCACAATGGCGATAGCGCTACAGTCGAGCGAGAGATCGACGGTGGCCTTGAAACCAATGAGATCAAGACACCAGCTGTTCTTTCCGTTGATCTCCGAATCAACCAACCCAGATATGCTACTCTTCCCAACATTATGAAGGCTAAGAAGAAGAAGGTCAAGGCCGTCAAGCCTGGTAAGCCAGAAGAATGTTTTAACTGTCTTTCTATAATTTTCTTTAGCTGACCTTGGCGTGGACGTTGCCCCAACTTTGAACGTGATCAAAGTCGCGGAGCCACCAGTCCGAGCTGCTGGAGAAATCGTCGAAGACGTCGACACGCTCATCTCCAAATTGAAGGACGCTGGACGTATCTAAATTGTACTATCCCCTCTTCATTCAAGTATTTATTCGCCCCGTGGTACAACTCGTTCAATTCGGTGCCTACGCGTGGCCCCCTGATTCCCAACTTTTCCCAGAATAAAAACTTTACGTCGCTAATTGCGCTCGAAAGCTCTCTGTTAATGAAAATAAATGAAATTCCATGTTTTTAAGATTGTGTTATTGAGTGTTTGATTGAGAGAGGGTTCTGAGCAGAAGATGGACATCAATCCGGTTCTGTTCGGTGTCCTCGACGTTGAAGTACAGCAGCAGCAGGGCGTTTATGACAATGTTTGCTTCGGGAAAACTATGTGGCTCGCTGAGTCGCCGAGCAAGGATCAGTTGAAGTGTAGAGAGTGTGGGGAGGTGTGTTCTCTTCTAGTGCAAAGTAAGAAATCAATTCACGATTCATGGCTTATCCAGGGCGTCAAAGGAAATCCGTTTCTCTCAGCGAGCTTTTCGTGAAAGCTTTTCTTACGCCCTGGAAAAAGACCAGTGTCTCTAGATTATGATTCACAGAAACACAGACTTATTTCAGTCTACTGCCCGTTTCCAGGCGCGCCGAGCAGTCAGCATCGAAAGATCTTCATCGCAGTTTGTCCTACTCACCACAAGTGTGCATCTGGTTGGAAAGTGATCAGACAGCTGAGGACTGAAGAACCGGCACAAGTAATCGCCCAAGATGCAGTTTTCGGCGATGACGGTGATGATGACTGGGGAGTAGAGGAAAACGAGGATGAAGCGGTATCCTGGGCGGCCACACAGATGCAGGTTCTATGCCGGCATTTATCTATGACTACTATGTTTATACAGATTTTATGCTAAAACATCATGTCGATTGTAATAGGGCCTTTCGATCGCAAATCAAAATTCGTCCGCAATGGAGAAGGAAGAAAAAAGAGAATCATCAAGCTTCAAGACGATAAAAGAAGGCCTCTTCATTGAAGTTTATGAAGCAGAATCGTCAGAGCAGAATTACGCACACGAAAATGAACTTTATCAAAAGTATATGCTGGAGGAAACGATGGGAGGGACGAATCAAGCTGCGATGGAGTCAAATACCACATCCGATGAGATGGAAACGGACGATGGTAAGCTCATGTTAATACTCATACTCTAGCTTAAACAATTAATATTTCCATCGAGGAAACGGACGATAACGGATTATAGTTATTTCCGTAATCGAATAAAAATAATCTTTCCGTAGAGGAAGACGAAGATGAAGTGGTACAGGAGTTTCTCGAGGGGCTGCGTCAGCAACCAAGCCAAATCTTACGATACCAGGTGATGGGAAAGCCGCTCAGTTTGGATCCGCAGCAATACAGTAACGGAGCGGCTGTGCCAAGATGTGATACGTGTGGAGCAAGCAGGGGATTCGAACTACAGCTCATGCCGAGGCTTGGAGACATTCTAGGAGCGAATTTTTCGATTGGCACTGTTCAGATCTTTACTTGTTCAAGGAACTGTTCGCTCGAGCAAAACTCGTTTGAGCATGTCGTGATTCAAGATGAGCCCGACTCGGCCAAGTTCAAATAATCCACTCTAACATCACTACTGTATCTACTATCAATCAATATCATATTGTATCGGTCTACATCGACTCTCTTCAAGATCATTTTCTTCAGAAAAAATAAATAATGAATGCGGAAACGCTCGAATTTTTCAAAGAAATCAGCGATTCAAGAGCCAAAAGAGCGAAGAAACGTCCTCGAGCTGAAGAAGTAGTGCCAGATGTTTTGGTGCACAATGTGGCGCGATATTTGGGAGTTGAAGATCTTGGAAGAATGATGCAAGTGTCGCAGCAGTTTAATAGAGTGATCAGGAACAGTTCCGACTTGTGGAATCGGCATTACGAAGAGATGTCGATAGAGGCAATTTTGCCGATTGGAAAAACGAGAGTGAGAGGGTACGAACGATTGAGACTGGCCCACGCTTGGGCGAAGAAAGGATTCTTGCGGCAGCGGAACAAGTTCAGATTAGTCATCGATAAAAAAGCAAAGGATCAGAACTCAGAATCTCACAATTCAAATTCCAGCGCGATCAGTTTAATCAACACCAAGCATCTGCTAATCATGGTGATGAACAACAAACTCTACGAGTACCCAAAAGCGCATCTCCGCGAGCACACAAGCTTCCAGCCAAAACTCATCGCGCAAATCGGCAAAGGATTCAGCAAGAAGTTCACCTCGCTCGACTATTGCAGCAAGTCGAAAGTGTTGCTGAGTGGATTTGACAACGGAGAAGTTGGCGTGGCAAGACTCTCTGGAAAAGCAAAGGACGGGCGGGGTTTTATGCAGAAAATCATTGGAGAGGAGATTAATTCTGTCTCCTGTGTGGAGCGGAATTTCTGCGTGACTTCGACAGACAAGTTGGAGATTTTGAGATTGAATGAAAAAGGCGACTGGCTAGACAGGTATCATCATGATTTGCTTGACCTTCAGCTAATCATCATATTTTAGATTACTTTCTTTGGATAATCAAATGAGAATCAAAAAGGGAAAGTTTTCTCCCGACGGAAAGAAACTGGCAGTAACGCTTGCTGAAGGCTATCTGGCATTTTATGACGTCGAGTCTGCAAACTCCAGCAAAGTCGACTTGCTCAAGCAAGTAAGAATGCTGACCAATGCTCATTCCTTTGGCGAAGTGGAATTCTTCTCTGACCATGAGATTCTCACTACTCGTCATAACACTGTCCGCCTTTACGATACGCGTTCAAAAGAGCTAGCGCAAAAATACGAAACACAGAATCCATATGAATCCAGAACCGCGGCGGGAAAAGTTTTTGAGCTCACCTCCATGTCTTCCACGAACTTTGGTCTAATGGCCGGCTCTACTACTGGTGACGTGTTTTTATGGGACCTCCGTAATCCTCGATCGCACATTCGAAAGTGGAATATTGCAAATGAGCTTTCAAACGAACGAAGACGGCTTCACACGCAATTCAGCAACTTGGTCATCACCAGCATTGAAATGGACGTCTTCGGCGCCTATTTTATCAGTCCTTATAGCCTCAACTGGATCGATATCTAACTACCTTTAACACTACTGCCTTTATCTTGGACTTAGCTTCATCGTTCTTTAAAGTTTAAGGCGCTGTTTTGATAGAATGTTGTCTCGGCAAGTCCTCAACCGCGTGGCGATCTCGCGGCTTTCCTCGGTCAAGGTCGACATGATGCCACACGGAGTCGCCTCTCTTGCTTTCAACGCGCCGCCAGTTAACACGCTGAACAAGCAGCTCCTCTCCGATATCAAAACATCTGTCGATCAAGTCGTGGCCGATGGCGCGTCTGCTATCGTCTTTAGCTCTGCCAAGCCAGGCGTTTTTAGCTCGGGCTTGGACATCTTCTCGATGTATGGCAAAACAGACGACGAGCTTCGTGAATTCTGGCAGCACGTCCAGGTTCCAATCTTTTCACAATAGAAGATCTTGAGTGTTTTCAGGATATGTGGCTGTCCGTCTACATGTGCCCCATTCCTACTATTGCTGCGATCAATGGCGCTTCTCCAGCTGGCGGCTGTCAAATCGCCATGTCATGCGATTACCGCATCATGGCCAAACACCCAAAAATCGTCATCGGCCTTAACGAGACCGCGCTCGGTATCGTGGCCCCCACATGGGTACGCTTGAAGCATTCATTATTCATCGCCGCTAGCTTCGTTATTAATCTGCAATTAGCTACTCTAGCATTAACAATTCACCCAAATACATTTATTCAATTATGCAAAATTTAGTTCGTGGATACGATGATCAACACTATCGGACAACGCGAAACGGAATGGGCTCTCCAACTTGGCCATCTTTATTCTGGAGAACACGCTCTGAAAATCGGCCTTGTGGATGAGCTCGTCGAGCCAGACGACATGATGGAGCGAGTGATTGAAAATCTCAAGCTCTGGCTAAAAGTGCCACCGAAAGCGCGAGCGATCACGAAGCAACTCCTGCGTCAGGAAACTGCCAATAAACTGATACGCAATAAGGAACAAGACATTGAAAGTGAGTTCTAATTCAATTCGATCCTGCAAAGCATGATTAAAAATTTAGCCTTTGTCAAATTGGTTTCTCAGCCGTCTGTCCAGAAAGATCTTGGTCGATATATCGAAATGATGAAAGCCAAATCTAAGAAGTAGTCAATTCTGCATTCATACCTGTTCAAATTCAGATTATTTATTCTCAGTTTCTTTTTTATACATTCTTTGAAAAAGGATGAAATAAAACATGTTCTTTGGGTTCAGAATTTCATGTTACGATGTAATGATCGAGTCTGCAGATTCCTCAGTTCAAAAATCAGAAAGTCTCGGTTTTTAAAATTGCAGAGGTTCAAGTCCTCAATATTGAATAGATGTTTTATTAAACCGTTGGAAAGCCAACAGCTAAAATATCAAAGACTATCAACAGAGAACTCAATAGAAAACAGACAAATGAGCGGGCAGAAAGATTCATTGAATTTCTCTACCGAACGGAATTCGAAATTCCGCGTCCATCTGGCAAGGGGACTTTGGCGAGTGGAAATTATGAACCTCTAAGTTTCAACTGGGGTGCGCCGAATCATGTTCTGGAAAACATTAACGAAGAAAGCAACTTCGGAAATTTCGCTGGAAAGGAGCATGAAGAAACGCGTCATCGGAAAGTCTTCATCTTCCAACCAGAAGAACTCGATCGTACCCGCTACCGGAATATCTACGAGCGGCTTGACGAAGCAAAGAAACTTGCCAGAACGATTCCAGGATTGAAAATAACCAGCTTTGGCATTTACCCTGTCAATATTTCCGAAGATTTCGACGAGTTTCTCCCGATCTTAGACGATAAAGACTGGCAAACGAGGTTAAAAAATGACGTGATTTGGGACGAAACTGACATTTTCTTCATCAACGTTCCTCGGTTGTCTCCGACCCACTATCTCAACTTGGCCTGGCTCTTGAACGAAGGCTACATTCCTGAATCTGAACAAGTTTTGACCTCCTTGGCCAGAGTTCGAAATCCCGCGTTTGCCCGGGGGAAGATACGGGCACGGGCAAGAAAGTGAAGATTCCCGAGGGCAAAAGCGGTCACGGGCAAAAAAACGAATTTTCCCGCGGGCCAAGCGGGCACGGGCACAATAAAAAATATTCCCGCGGGCAAATTCGGGCACGGGCAAGATTCCCGCGAGCTTTAACGGGCACGGGCAGATTCAATGCACCTTATGAAAAAGTGTTTAAACTATTTAAATAGCGTGGAAATAGACACCAAATACTTGAGGGAGTATATTGAAAACTAATCTGCATACAGAACTGTTATGACGTGCTATTTTTAAGGTTAACGAAGTTTTCCAGCCCATTTCCGCCTTGTAGACTCCCGAACATTATACCTTTACTAATCAACAGAAAATTTTATGGTCAGCTAGCTCAGTTTGCCCAAGATCTCCGTTTCTCCAAGTTGGGCAAACGGCGATTTGGGAAAACGGCGACTTGGATGCAGCATGCACAATGTGCATTGTACATCGTCCATGAGTTTATTTTTGCATATAGATGTGCTTTTTTAAGGTTAACGAAGTTTTCCAGCCCACTTCCGCCTTATAGACCCCCGAACACCATACTTTTTTAGAATCAGCAGAAAATTTCAAAAACTTTTTAAAATTCTAGAGAACTCTACTTCCGGTCGATTCTAGAGCCGGTCAGCTCAGCTCAGCTAGCTCAGTTTGAGAAATCGTCAGCTCAGCTCTAAAATTTTCAAATATGCCCCAGCTCAGCTCAATTTTTAAAAAAAAAACAGCTCACCTCAGCTCAGCTCAGTTTCAACCTCAGCTCAGCTAGCTCTGCTCAGAAAAAAATTTCTAAAATTTGCAACTCTGGAAAAAAGTTTATATTAATTGATCATTAGACATTATTTGGCTTTTTTAATGTCAATCCTGGCTTCTTCAACGCCAATCCTGGCTTCACCAACATCAATCATGTTTTCTCCAATATCATCGACACTATATCAATTATGGCTTCTCCATCGCCAATTCTCGATTCACCGACTTCAAATATGGCTTCATCCCGGGTTCTTCGACGTCAATCCCGATTTCTCCATCGTCGATCCCGACTTCATCCATCTCCATCTCGGCTTTTTCAACGCCAATTTTATCTTGAAGAAGCCATGATCGACATTCGAGAAGCGATGATTGACAACTGAGAAGCCGGGAGTGACGTTTGAGAAACTTGGATTGAAGTAAGTGACGCCCGGATCAGCATTGAAGAAGCCGGGATTGACGCTGGAGATGCCAGGATTCAAGTTTGAGCCACCAAGATTGACGTCTGAAAAGCTTGAATCGAAGTTGTTGAAGCCGGGACTGAAGTTGGTGAAGCCGGGATTGACTGTGGAGAAGCCAATACAACAAAGTTATATGATCAATCAATTTAAGTTTGCCCAAGTTTGCCCAAGTCGCCGTTTGCCCAACTTGGGGAAACGGAGACCATTCGGTCGTAGTTTCTAACTAGCTCCTAAAACTTGCGATTTAAAAATCCGAATTGATTCAGGGTCGTTTTTATTTTATTTTCTTATTTTGAAAAATAGGCTTGAGATTTAGCAGTAGAAAAAAATGTTCCCCCGGGCTGCCCTCGGGAATATTTCGTGCGGGAACGCGGGCAAACCGCCCGTGCCCGTTTATGCCCGCGGGAATCTTCTCATTCATGCCCGTGCCCGTATCTGCCCGCGGGAAAATTTGTTATAGTGCTCGTGCCCGCTTGGCTCGCGGGAAAATTCGTTTTTGTGCCCGTGACCGTTTTTGCCCCCGGGAATCTTAAAAATTCTGCCCGTGCCCGCCCGCCCGCCGCCCCCTTGCCCGGGAGCCGCAAAAATTTCGAACTCTGTCCTTGGCGTTCGAGAAACTGAAAGTGCAAATTTGGGATCGCGAGCGAGTGCTGCTGGAGTTGTTTCGCTACCGCTCCCTTGAAAATGCTTTTACCAGTGATGTCATCAGCGAAATGCATTTGAAGCGGTTAGATAGCGTCGATGTGCGCGTCACTGACGAGGAGGCAGATTGTCGCCGCGTCTATGCGAACCACTTCAAACATAAAGCTGAGCAGCGGGGTCAGAGTGAGCGGCGCGTCGCACACGAAATGCGCAAAAAACTCTTCCATGATATCAGGATTGGGTCTTGCAGAAGTATTATCTCTAATTCAAGGGCATTCTTCTAGAAAGACATTTAAAATTTAAACTACAGCCTCTCTACCCACGGAAAAGACGTTCCAATGCCAATCTCATTAGCAAATTAGAGGTTTAGTTATCAATTACTTACCTAACCACATATTATCAATTCACTAAAACTTGAACTTAAAACTTTCTTTCAGAAGTATAAAATCGAGCGAACTCCGATTATAACTTGTATCGGACCCGTCAATGCAGGAAAATCATCTGTCGTTAACTATTTTGCAAATGAAACTCTCCAGGGTCGGATGGAAATAATTTCGTTGGAGTTTTATTCAGTGTTCGATTTGTAGCAGATTGAGTCGTAAATTTATAAACACTATTTTTACAATGTCGCTCTCGTCTTCTTCCCCTTATTATCTTCAAGGCAGTAGTGGTATATACAGGAGAAACTCCCTGCTCAGGCTTCAATCTTGAATCAATATTAACTATCCAATAATAGTGTATGATATATCACTGCAAAAAGCTCATGACGAGCCTATTAAGTAATTAACTGAATGATGGAGTTAATTTCTTTCTCATTATTGAAGCCTTTGCTATTAATATTAAGCACATCATAACTGTACAGAGCACGCCTTTGCCGGACTTTATAAATCTTTGATTCCTATTTTGATGATTCCTTTATCTTGAGTTAAGGGGCCCCTTCGTTCTAATTTGGCCCTTACGAAAACAATCCGACTTTGAATATTTAAAATTAGCAATTCGAGTTCAATGGCTATCGCCACTGCCCCACTTTAGAATAATTATCAAGCCCAGTGCCCATAAGAAATAGGCGCTCAATTCGTCCGATTTTCTCCGCTGTTGATTCCGGCCCGCCTGACCGGTTTTGTATTGACAAGCGAACACTCGCCGACTTGTTCGGATTTGGAATACAGGGCGATCCTGCTGAGGACAGAATTTGCTGAACTATATCAGAGGGTCCCGAGGGCGAGTACGTGTGCCCTTGCTCGCGTCCATTTTTATTAAAAATGTAGTTTCGTGTGTATTCTTTTGACCCTCTTTCCTAAACACAGCGTTGACATGGTGAAAGCAATAAGGCAACATAAGCTTCCACATAGAGCGAGCATTCGCGTTGCTCCTTGCATGAAAGTGAGTACATCCTGAGATTGTTATTTTTAATTACGATTGAAACAATCTCTTCCTTGATTTCGAAAAAGTGCGCTCTAACCTGTGGCTGTTCTTCCGTTGTCAGAAGAGCCGTTTGCTCAACAGGCCTCGGCGTGACAGGAGAATTCTCTTTATTTGCAGCTGTTGAGTGTTCCACATTCGTGTTTTCAACATCGACTTGGACCGACACGGTCATTTTTCCTTCGCAGGAGTCATTTATTGTTTTTTTCTCTCTCTGTCTTGTAATCTGGATTGTTTCTGACTCCTCACTTGTTTCTCTGCTCTTCAATGGGTGTCATAAATGAAGAATTAGCGCTCGGAGTAATATAGAAGGTCGTCTAAGCGGCTTTTCAGAACAGGGCGAGCCACTTTCAACCGCCCATTGCAACCTGAAAAGGTACATAATAAAGTGAATGGCTCTCCGGAGCTCTCCGGAGCGCCATAGATATGCAAGAATCAGCTCGGATAAAATATTAATTTAGGCCTTCTCGAATGAGGTTGTGAGTACTCGTGGCAATTTTTTCATTACGTTTTCATAATAGATTCTTTCATAAATATTCATTTCCTACTGATAAAGTTCGACTGCAAAAAAAAAAAAGACTTATAACGAAGGTTATTAAACTTCAACGCCCATTATAAAGGAATCAGAATTATTTCCATCCAAGAAAACAGATCGACAACTACTTCTTTACCACTCTATCAGCTAAGGATTGGTTTCAACTGTTCCAAGAGTGCAAAATTACTTTTGCATATTTCTTTAAAGATACTTAAAATGCTTTAAGGATACTTAAGAATACTTTAAAAGAAAGATACTTAATGTTTAGTACCGTCTCTTGAATATTTGGCTAGCCGCCTTACTTTTTCAAAAACAGTTCTCTGTCAAAAGCATTTTCAACTTGAAAAACCAAGGAAAAGATTCACAAAGGCAGCATCGGCGATAATTTTGAAGTCATCTTTGTGGACACTGTTGGTTTCATCCCTTCATTGGCGCGTTTTATTCTGAGTCAAGGTCCTTTCGATGCTTATCATTTGAAAGCTCCCTTGACACGACAAAGTCTGCAGTGAAAATTGAAAGAGTCTGCAATTCAGTCGACCATTCAAAATGGTCTTTTCTGTATATTTTTACCCGGGCTCAGAATAAAGCGCGTCCTTGACTCCGATAACTGCCGAGATTTACCGTCAAACTGCGATTTCAATATGCATGGCAGATGTCGTCATCGCCTTAGGATTGGATTCTGACGAGCGCGGCTAAAAACATGCGCCGCTATATGTTCCCAAACATTAATTTCGATAGCAGCTCGGAACTCGCTCTGACTTCTAAACAGTTCCAGGGCGAGCTCTAATCGAACTTGTCCGTTACCGCAGCGGCGAACTGCCCAACAACTAATTTCAAGTGAATTATTAACGCGATCCGACCTCAAGATAATTTGAAGTTTTTCATATTGAGAGTGCTTCGTAGCTTGATGAATATAAGAAGCATGAATTATTAGTGATTGGTGGAACTAGATACTTGACAAACGAATTATATCTACAATGTAGATTCTACATCCTCTTTAAAAGGGTCTTTATTGTCTAATTAAAGGTGCATTATGAAATCATAGAAGACTTACTGTTTTCTATGTCAACTGGGAGGCAGTGCTCTTGGAAAAATTCCCCCACAAATTACCCTAGAAGCGACCCCGCAAGACACCCATATTCAATTTGGAATGTTGTATTGTGCTAATTACCAATTAGCTGAGAATCACCACGAACGCGTGTGTCTTCGTGTATTATTTAGAATTAGATTCTTAAATTTTAAAGCGCTCAGAATCCGAATGTCAGATGACGGGACTTCCTTTCAACATGAGTTCCTCGCTAGAATTATTGAAGGACTCGAGTGCTCTGCGACCAGGGTTTTATATTCGCCCGTAAATGCAAGTTCGGTGCAAAAAAGTCTTCGAGGTCGAGTTTTCAAATGGTCAAAAATACAAGTTTTTTCCAATTAAAAACTCATCAAATAGATTATGATATTGCAATATTGTCGGATAACGACTTCGAAAAGTTGGATAACTTTCTGGAAGAAGCCGTAATGGTAAGGCGCAGGATCTATTGATGCTCAAGTGTTCTTCAGAATTCAGCGCATGGATATTTCAAGATACACGTCGATGTAGGAAAGAGTTTAGACAGACTTTAGAGCGAGTGATCTATTTTTGATTCCCTTTCAATTTTCAAATGGCTTCAAGTTTTGTACTGGAGAATAATTCAGTGCTTTTTCGTGTTCCGAATTGCAAAAGACGTGTCTAATCTCAAGAAAAGATGACATTAATACTCTCAACTATAAAAACACCTATTCTATCCATGAGATTTCAACAGATGAGGATTTGGGAGCATTTGAAATAAAAGCATCGCTGGGGCGAAATCAGGAGAGGCGCTTGGCACAGAACCAACGACTTGTGCTGGAGAAGGTGACTTGATAATGGAGAAGTCAGAAGTTAAGAATTGCATAAGTCAAAGAAGACCAGGGGCCGTTGAGTCAACGTTAATGCTTTACTCACTCTGGCGACTTCCGCGTGACAGCGCCAAAAATTGAATTCTGAAAATTACTTTGTTTTTATTTTTTATTCTTCCTGCTAAAAACGAATATACAAAAATGGTACTTTTTCGCTACAAAAAACGGCATTTGGAGACATGGAAGATATCAAATTAGAAAATCACGAAAGATGTTTCAGAGTAATCGACATCGAGAATGGCGAGAAAACGACAGAGAAATTCGCGATCGAGCTCTACAAAAAAACCGAAATTGGAAGCAGAGGTCACCGTGATTCTCAGCAGCGAGGATGAGCAAAACCGTGTTCCTGTTGATGAAGAGTGCATGATCGTCGGCGATGACATTCCAGACGAGTGCATGATCATCGAAGACAAATGCATCCCTCCAGATCCTGAAATCCAAGACGCATTGAAATTTCACCAGGACAAGAAGGAGAAACGCACGCCGAAAAATGAGCAAAAACAGGCTCCGAAAAAAGAGAAAAAACGAACTCCCAAAGTCAAAAAGGAGCAAAAACGAGTAGATAGCGATTCCGATTCAGACAGCGACTGGGATCCAGAAAAACCCTCGACAAGCAAGCCATGCCAACCAAATCAGACGAGATTAAAATCGAGGCGTTCTTCTTCTGCTGCAACGATGAAGAAGGTCAATGCCATTTTTGATGATTCCAGCGATGAAGATGAGGAACCACCAATTCCTAAAGCTGCAAAGCCTGCATCGATCAAGCCAGTGAAAAATCGTGTACCGATTGAGTCTTCTGACGATTGTTCTGACATCGAAAACTTGACACTGAATGAGAACGACAAAGTTTCTCCATCAGAGCCTGCAAAAATCCCAGAAACACCAGTGAGAAAGCCTGAATCACCGAATCTGCCTGAAACAGAAACATTCCCCGAAACAACGCTGGAAGCAAACAGCGATTCCGATGCAGATGATATCAAGCCAGAGGCTGCAAAAAGGCTCGACACTCCGCGTCCTGAAATTGAAACGGAACCAAGCGACTCCGAAAGTGAAGATTATATCAACCCAAAAACACTGCCAAGCGACGTTTCAAATAAGAATAACAGTTCTTCGCCAGAGAAAATGCCGGTTCTGCAAGAGAAAAACTCGAGAAACTCACCTAAAGAGGACGACAAAAAAGAGCTCAAAATAAAAATAAAGAATGAGAAAAAGATCAAAGATGAGAAAAAGATCAAGGATGAGAATCGAATAAAAAAAGAGGGCGAAAAGCGAAGAGTAAAGGAAGAAAAAGAAAACGCACGAAAAAAAGAAGAAAAGAAAAGGGCGAAAGAAGCGAGAGCGCGCGCTCTTCTCGACTCCTCTGATGAGGAGGATGCAGACTCTGCAGAGCTTATTGAGACGCCTTTGATTGACACTCCACCAGAAGCGAGAGTTCAAATGTCAAATACTGATAGAGAAGGTGAGGACAAAGAGGATTCGCCAGCAGCTGTACCGGCGGAGAGCCATGTTCAAGAGGAAATGCCAGTTCCAAGCAGAAAACGAAATTTCATGGTATGTTTTTAAAAATCCTCGTTTTTCTTGAATTAGTTGTTCATAAAAGATATTAAGCCGGCGTATCGACCATCAAGCTCCGAGGAAGACGAAAGCACTTCTACGGATGAAGAAATTAAAAAAGTTGTAAAAGAAAAAGTAAAGGACGAAAAAGAAGAAGCAGACTACCTCAATAAGCTAATTTCGGGAGCTAAAGGCCGTCGAAAAACCGCGAAATTGGAGACATCACCGACTTCTGTCAAGCAAGAGAAGAAATCACCTGTGAAAAGCGAAAAGCCGAATCTGGATTTGCAATCTTCCGATGAAGAATCTTTCTTCAATAATTCCTCTAGCATCCCCAATCAAGAAGAGCAGAACAATGATCAACCCAGTCAAGAACCGCCAGAGTCAACAAATGTAATTTTTCGCAAGATAACCGTAAAGATGAACATTCATTTTAGAGCGATTTGGGGACCATCAAGGATCTGCGAAAGAGTCTTCGAGAAAAGTCGCCAGGAAAATCACAATCGCCACCAAAGTCGCCTGGAAATTCAAGCCTCAATGTTTCGGTAAAAATCAGTACGGAAGTTCTCTTCCTTGATTCTTTTTTTTTAGCTCAATGACTCAGTTATGGAGCAGATCTTCAACGAGGCGAGCAAGAAAAAGACACGTGGCAAAAATCGCTCTGGTGCTTCATCTCCTGGATCAGCTAAAAGCGGTCCCTCAGTTTCCAGGCAATCGTCCAACGATTCCATCGCCAATGAGGATGGCGAAGGCTCTTCTAGTCGTCCAAAAACAAGAGCTAGGCGGGGAAGAAAGAAGAAAGATCCTGCGCCAGAGGTTTCAAAGGATAGGAAGTCCATCATGGCTCAACTGAAGAAACTCACTGCCGCGTAAGTATTACTTACCTAGTCTTAGAAATATGAGAAAAGAGGCGCATCCTAGAATATTTCCCTGCTAGAATAACCACCCTCTATTTTAGCAAGAAGAAAAAGGCTACACCTAAAAGAAAGGGCAGGGGCAAAGCAGCAGCGAAAAAGCAACAGCCGGTTGGGAAGGACCAAATCAGCGTATTCATGCCTATGTTCGAAGAATGGGTCAATATTGATGTCACGAAAGAGACCTCTGCTAAGGCGATAATGCAATTCGTCGAAATGTCGAACCCGGATTTCAAAGGAAAAGAACTCCGAATGTATTTCTTCTCCACCGACGCCACTGATTATTTCGAAGAAAAACAAGTGGACAGAATTTGGCCGGAACACCAAATGTCCTACATTGACTTCCAAATAACTTCGAATAACAGGCAGGTCAAGATTCTAGTTTTCGACAAGAAGAATAGCGCGCAAACAAACGTCATTAAAGAAGTCCCTGTCGTCGAGAAACTCACCAAGCCAACGAAAAAGCCAAGAGTGGTGGAATCCTTCCATATTGGTAAGACTTCATTAGAGAAATAGTAATCAATGCTTCTAGTGTTCCAAAAAGGCGAAGGTCGAGACGATGTATTCAAAGCATATGGCGATGAAAACATGACGATTGCTGAGCTCTTCGAGAAGACAAAATGGCCAAAAGAAGGCGTCAATTTCGAGTTTGATGGCGAAGATTGCACCAGGCATCGGGTTTGGAATTCAAAGAAACATTCCGTGTTCTATTTTATTTCGTGTTTTTTCGCAAAAAAACGGTTGTCGATAAATCAAACATTCAAGCAAATATCTTTTTTTGAAATTCAAATTGTGAAAAAGAGCGCGACCCTCTTTGGAGGTCGGTTAGTTCGATTCGAGTTTGATGATGCTGTAGCTACTCACCTGACTTTTGCGGAGTGTCGAGTGCTAGTTAGATCGAACCATTTTTGTTAGAACTGATGGAAAAAATGCCAGAACGAACCATTTTTTATCGAGTTTACGATTTCTTTTCCAAGCTGGATTTCTTATTCCATCGACTATTGATTTCTCTCAAAGAAAATAATTAAAGAGATAGAGGTAGAATGTACATCTTCAACTATCAATCGATGGGAAATACAGTAGCCAGCAGTTTAGGGGGCTTTTGGCGGTAAATTCAGCGAACCAAGATGATTTTCAACTTTGAAATGAGCGGCGGCGCGCGTGGTGCGCCATTGGGCGCCGCCAAGAGCTTGGAGTAAACGGACGTTTCTCCCGGCGCTATTCTAACAGACGGGTAGCTTCAGTCCTCACGAGGTATCTCCCTTCACGGCCGACTAAGCAACAAGACGCTCAGAAGAAAGAGTCTATCGAAGAGAGCTCGATTGATATTTTCTGACAGCATTTTCTTTAAATTTATTTTTTCTTATTTCGCAGAAATTTACTAATTGACCCAATTAGTAGCTAAAAAAAGACACAACTTCCTGTGATAAAAAAAATCAAGTCCCAAACCCGAAATCAAAGCGATGATGTCGTAAAAGAGCTGGATATGGAATCTGGAGACATTATAGAGATTAGCTATCCTCAGGTTCAAGAAGAGGATGAGCCAGAAGCTGAAGAAGAAGCTGATGAAGAAGCCGAGGAAGAAGCCGAGGAAGAAGCCGCTGATGCTGCTGAGGAAGAGGGAAAGCCCGCTCGAGCAAACAGCACATGCTCAGCTTCATAAGTTCTAACACACTCCTTAGCTCACAATTCATCACTATTTCCCACATTTTTTTTGTTAATTTTCAAACTGCCAAACCCTGTTTCTATATTTTTTTTATCTTTTACGGACAGCGAACCCATTGAAAAACACGCTCAATCAATATTTATAACAGTAACTTTAGCTGACGTAGCTTTCATTTTACTTTGTTCAGATACGAAATCGATGGGCGAGAATGAGCCGGTTTTTCGACCAATTTTCGGAAATACCTCATTAGTGCGCGCCCAGAGAAATAGCGAAAGGAAGAAAGTGGAAAAGGTGCAGTGCCTCTTGTGCAATGCCTTTTTCCGATCGCATTTGGAAGTTGCTCAGCATCTCAACAAAACTCACAAAGATTGCCCGAAGGTAAGTTTTCATCCCTTTATTAACAATCAACACCAGTTCTAGTGCCATATAAAGCTGAAAACCGCGACAGAGCGCAAGAACCACCACAAATTCTGCTCCCGCCGCTTCGGCCTGCGAATCCATCGACCCCAACGGCCCGAGCAGCCAGCAAATGGCTCTCTCCACCCGCCAACGCCTGAAAAGAAAAAGTTCTACAATTGTGTTTTATGCAAGAAGTCGTGCGCTTCCCAAGACGGCCTTCGTCGCCACCAAAAGAAATGCTCAGCCCGCCGGGTCTCCAAGTCCTGGTGCCTCAAACTTTAATATTTCGCGTCTTCCATTAGTTCAATCTCAAAAGTCTCAATTTCAAAAATCTCTAAAATTCATTTTCAAAGAACAAATCGACAGCCGTTAAAACTTTCTTTTTTTCTTTCAAACGTACATTGTGAAAACGTTTCATTTTTTATCTATTCTATTATCGAATTTTATTGTCTTCCAGCTGTGGCTTTACCAAACAAAAATGCTGCAATTTTAAACTGCAGGCACTTTTTAAATTTATTAAGAGCCGTGATCATCCGGCCCTCGTTTTACAACTCTTTTCGACATGTTTTTTTTCAAATCTGTTCAACTGCTGCCCAATTTTAGTCGAATAAATATATTTATAAAAGACAAGATTCATCGTTTCTGCAAAGTAAATTGCATCCTTACATCGCAGATGGTTGATCAAATGCCTCGTAGATTCATTTCCTTCAGTTTTAACTTTGGGACTCATCCAGGAAGGGATATTTCCATTGTTCTAGATACTATTTATAAGAGTTAAAGTAAAATAGTCGACGTTTCAGAGAACAATGCCGCCTGTAAAGAAAAATCTCAAAAATGGGTTCAACTTCTACATGGACGACTTCATACCTCAACTGAGAGAACAGGGCATTCGAATCAATCACAAACAAGAGGCAGTTCCATATTTACTAGCTGATTGGAAGGCGCTCAGGCTCGTGTTCTTTCTTGAGATTTGTATTCAAATCGTCCCAAGTTAGGGACATATTGTTGGTAGTTTTAATTACAGTAGCTCAGACTGGGGCGGTAAGATTTCCTCATATTAAAGGCTAAGTGCATTTGCTAGACCAATCATCATCACTGATAATTTCTTTGAAAAATAAATAGAGTTAATTAAAAGCCAATTTTTACTTATGGTTCGTAACGCGAAAAAAGCAAAGCTGAAAAGAAGCCGTACGAGGACAGAGCAGAGGAGTGGAAGATCGCGACGCACGGAAGAAACGCCCGTCCTGACCACGAAAAACTCAATTGTTTCGGACTTCCAGGTGATGAAGAAAATGATGGAGGCCCTTACCATTTTTTTCAGTCGTGAACCACGTCGACTACGACGAAGAAACGAAGAAAAACGACGCAATATCGAGTCAGGTGACGAGCGAGTATGTGGATTCGTTTCTCTACGAAGGCAGTGAATTGCTCTTCATTCACTTCCAGAGTCAATTTGACGATCCCGACGAGCAGGGTTTCCGTCCAATGGAAATGTGCATCATGAGTTATTCCTTGCAGCACGGAATAGTCAACTTCTATCACGAAATAATCGACCCTGGTCCTCCACCTCTCGGCATGATGGTAACACAAAAAATGCTCTAGCCCTCTATCGTTGCTTTTCCAGGCGGAATGTCGGCAACACGCGACTCAAACGCATCACATCGACCCGTTCAATCCAGTCAACGGGGACGAAGTGGCTAAACTCATCAACGATTACGGCATCAGCGGAATTTGGTGCAAACTCGTCGATTTTCTCCACGAGAGTCAGATTAAATCTGACGACGATATTTTGTACCTCCAAGATGACCAGGAGAATCTTTTGATGAATACGTTCTGCGTCGAGGAGCAAAAAGGAAGATCGGAGTATTGTACTCAGTGGCTTCAGACGCACGGTAAACACAGCTTGTTTTCTTATTGATCGAATAATTTACTTGTTTCAGAATCGGTTTACACCGATCTCTCCCAAAACTCGCCCGAAAACGAAAAGTATTTCACAACGCGGCTTCCCATGCCGATCGACTTCTTCGAGATCATCAAGAATCTTTACCGGCGAAGAAATGAAGAGAACCCCGGAAATCCGCATGAAATACCGACTCGCGAAAAAATCCGAGAAATGTTCGACAAACCTCTTTTCTCGCGAAACCAAATTCGCTGCGATTTTCATCACGACATCGACTGCGATTACTGCAGCCAAATGGACTGTTACCGGACTGCGTATTTACTGACGGATCATCTGAAGCATCTTGGATATTTGGACGGAATCGAAGACCTGAGCAATCACGAACCAGAGTCGAAACTGAGCAAGGCGCGCTGTCAATTTACGACATTCAAGCATGAGCCAACACAGCAGGCAATCAACTACGAGAGGAGGCAACAGCAGCGCCAGACTGACATGCTGAACACGGGAGTGCCCAGTCGGCATCAGCAAAGAATTCAAGCTCTACCGGATGTTCAGCTACGAGGAGCGACGCCTACCAATAGGCAACCATCTCCGCTAGTTCAGAACTTAGCTGGAGAATCTGTAAACGATCAGAAAGCAAACTGGAGGAATCAGAATGAGCATGCTGCGGCGTACAACGCAAATGAATATGATGAGAGTAGTACTCAGTATTATGAAAATAGCGAAAGCAATCATCAGCATTATGATTACGATTATGATGGAAATTATGAAGAAGTTGAGGTTGATGATTTTCAATCAGGGAATCATCATGTTAATCATCATCAACAACAGCAAGGAGAGTATTATGAGAATGGAGAGGAGCGCTATCAAGAATATGATGATGCTGAAAATTACGGAGGACAAGAGGAGAGTCAGTACACTAATGGAAATCACGACTTTCAATCGAATCATCATCAGGAAGAGAATGAAGGAGAATATTACGAGAATGAGCATTATCAAAATTATGACCATGAAAATCCGAATTACGAAGAAAGTGAAAGCCAGTACTATCAGCCAGAGACTCAAGCGGAAAAGTACTACGAGGAAGAAGAAAACTACGAGAATGAAAACGAACACTTTGCTTATGAAGATCGAAATCGAGCTGGATTCGACCAGATTCCAGATTACGGCAGTTCAAAGTTCAATACGAGCTTTTCGTCGGACGAGATCTACAATGGCACTCAACATAGTATGATACCAAGCAGAAAGAATACCTCCAAAATAAAGCGTGAATCCGACGGCACTGATCACCAGTCTTATTCTCGACTTGAATCCTCTGTCACCAATTTGCAGTCGAATTTCAGCGAGCGATACGAAGATCCTACCGACGAACAGCTGGGTCCAAATGGCGACTACAATTCCAATCAAAGAAATTCAGAATTCCAAAATAGAGAAAGCGAAAAGGGCATAGAAAGAAAATCATATCGACCAAGGGGTCTGTCTACATCATCATCCTCATCGAGTAACTGGATAATAAGGCATCCATCTGGCGGTGGCCGAGGAACGAGTTATAACCCTTTATAACCTTTTATAACTAAAGAATAATTCTTTAACTAAAAGACCGGTTTTCAACTCCGAAAAAAGCAAGACTGCGACTAGAAGACACAGAAAGACTGATCCGAATCGAGGAAAACAAGGTGTCCTCCTCTAAAAGTATCCAAAAGCCCATTCCATTTCCAGACCTGCAAACCTCATCACGCATTTCAATTGGCCGTGGACGGGGTCGAAGAACTCGTTCTACCAACTATTGACCAAATTCTACACTCACACCTCTCCTTCACTTATATTTCACTGCTGCACTTACACAGACAAATACACTGTCAATTATCTACTCTTTTGCTCAATTTTAAAAAGGCAATTTTGAAGATGAAGCGAAATCGTCGCGACGTAAGAATCCTGGATGATTTCGCTCGGCAGAAACGAACGGATAAGTTCGTGGAAAGTCTCGATCGCGACAATTTTCAAGGCGACAGGGAAGGCGTTCTAGCGCAAATGTACGAGCAACTGGACAAGGAACGAGCGATGAGAGCTGCTGAACGAAAAGGTAGGAGCGTGAAAGATTCAGCCGCTTGAAAATGAAATTGTAGAGGCAGGGGGTCCAATGATAAAACGACCGAGGCTGGAGAGCAAGAAGAAGACGAAAACAATCAGAGGCGATCATTTCAAAACGAGATTCCGAAAGACTTTTGAAATTCTCATGGCCGAGGAAGAGCAGCGAATAAAGTTTGGTTCCCTCTTTTTTCTTCTTTATCACTGAAAACCTTTTGAACCAGAAAACAGCAATCAAATCCGAATCCCGAGGAGCCAGCCCCGTCATATTTTTCAATCGCCGCTCCTCCAGCTATTCGCCCTCCGATGAAACTTTGCGCCGTCTGCGGCGACTATGGGAAATATAAATGTGTTGTTTGCGGCGCTTCTTACTGCAAAATCAAGTGTAAAAGTACTCACGAAGAAACCAGATGTATAAAATGGAACTTATAAACCATCACTGTCCAGAATCTAATGCCCTATCTTGAATTTGAGTTGTTTCAGAATGGCAGAGGAGGAAAATAAGGAACAGGAAGTCGAGGAGAAGCCCGAAGAGGGAGCCGAAAATCCCGAAACTAAAAAGGTACATCATTTGTGACCGTTTCAGTCTTCACCAGATTGTTTTAGGAAGGTAAGAAGAAAAAGAAGAAGCCAAAGAAAGACGAAGGAACAGCGTGGTGGGAATGGGCGCTCATCTTCGCCGTCTTGAGCTACAAGTGCTACACTCCACTGCCAGAGAACATCGAAGACCGCTACCCTCGCAGTGCTGGCCTTTTCTTCGGAAAAGCGATCTACAAAGTCGGCCACTACATCCGAATCATTTCCCCGTCTACTGAAGTTGCGTACCTCAGATCGGCATTTTCCGGCATTGCCTCTCTTCATCAGGACGTCGAAGGCGTAACTAACGATTTCATCGAACGAAACAACTACAATCTCTACACTTTCACTCCACCAAACGCCAAGTCTTCAGGTAACCCTGCGATCTTCTACATCTACGGAAACGGTTGGAGTTTTGCTGACGTCGAGTACTACAGAACTTACCTCCAGAACTTGGCCAAAGAAACTGGATCAGTTGTTATCAGGTTGGCTCGAAAGACACTACCGTAAAAATAAGTCTTTTTTTACGGCTTTTTTCCAAGAATAATAATTTTGATCGTAAGCATTTATCGAGCCATTTTGATAAAGTCCAAACTACCGCCAAGCGCCAGAGAACGCGTTTCCTGCGCCCTTTGAAGATTGCCTTGACGCCGCGACTTACGTTTTTGCCAATGCCGATGCTTTGAAAATCAACCCGGTAAAGTACTTATTCTACTGATAAGCGACTTATCTTGCTATCGTAGAATAATGTCGTTCTTTCTGGAGATGGAACTGGCGCTGCCATGGCTTTGTCTGTTTCGCTGACTATGGAGAAGAAATTGTTCAAAAGTAAGTCAAAAATTTAATGAAAACACCGTTTTGAAAATGGTAGTTTCAATTTTCTTTGATAAATTTGAAGGTTTATTGACAGTTTTTCATTCTAAAAACTTGTATTCTTTTGCGAGTCGAATAATGCTTATAAAATTGACGAGAACCATGACGAATAGGGCGACTTTTATAGCTGTCCAGCTGTAGTAAGGGTCTTGCGCATTTTGGAACTGTGTCATTGAACTCATTTTGGTCTAAATTTTCGTCAACCAAGGAACATAAGAAAGTTTAGTTACTTACAACTAACTTGGAAAATAACAAACTAACACGATTCATAGTTTTTCAACAAGAAACTATTTTTGTTCTAGAAAGAATGACTTCAATGGTAATTTATACTTGTGCTTTCTTCGTTGAAATTCAGTTTATTACTGTCAGTAAGGAACTTCTTGCTTGCTAACCATAAAAGTCCGATAAAATATAACTTGCGGTGATGTTAATCCCGTTGTTTAATCACGATTTTACTACTTCTGACACCATTATGTAGTGAATTTTTGACGGATCTTGCTTGGACATCTCGCTAACAGCGAGATAGAGCATGTTCCCATAACTCTTGAAAACTCTCTGAAATTAACGCTGTTCTTTGTAGCCGTCTCGGTGCAAAACCCAGCCACTCAAACGCTTCTCTGGACGCTTCCCTCGCACTCTTTGAGCCGTTACTTTGGCCTTTCTGAAGTTCAAACAGCTTGGTACTGGTCCATGTACGTCAACGGCGAGAACAGTCAAAAGGTACTGTAAAAACTTTCCCCCGATTTTAATCATTGATTCCAGCACCGAGAATTCGTAAAGGGCGCGGCTTATCTTCAAGCCAAGAAAAAGCACAAGACCCAGTTCGCCTTGGCCGACCCCTTCAAATACTTCGACGAGGGATCCTTCAAAAACCCAGACGGTAAGAACTGGAATCCTCCAGCTGGCGACTTCATGGCACAAGAAATTCCCGATTGGATGCCAACGACTGCTTCAAAATTGGTCGACTACCGCGCCGCTCCTCTCTTCGCATCTGGTAAACAAAAGCTTATTCTAGGCGCTTATTAATTCCCTCCCAAAGATGCGCTTGTCCAGCAAGCTCAAGAAACACACTTCTTCTTCGCCGGATACGATCCCCTCAAGGACGAAGGTCTCATGTTCGCCGAGCGACTCAAAAGCGCCGGAGTGAAGGTTCACATCAACGAACAACAAAGTAAGTCCTCCATGATTCCAACAATCCTAAATCATCTTCTGTAGCTGCCTTCCACGCTGACTTTGTCTGGTCAAAATACTTCAGTGGATACGATCTGAAAATGCCCTCTGCAGATGCCCATGCTGAGGAGTATTTTAAGCATCTCAAATCACTTCTCAACTAAAAAATTGAAAAATTGAGAACCATCTTAGCGTCAATTTATCTTTCTTTTTCTCTACCTTAGGTCTCATTTATCGGTTATTGTGCAATTTAAGTTCTATTCCAAATGTAATTGAAAACGAAATTATTAAGTTCAACTGCTATTCAGTACTGTCATCATCTGTCTGTAAATCACGTTGGAAACTGTTGCTAATATATTATGTCTTGGATCGCTGGCTCTTCTTTGACTACTGGACAATGACCTGCTTTTCAATAAAAAAGGAAAAATTATCAAAAGCCATTTTTGAGAAGTATGAGATCGGTCCAAAGACTGAGAACGAGTACGCGTCAAGTCGGCATTGTGCCCTTGTACGTCCCTCAGCACAACTTTATTCTGAACTACATTCGCAAACAGGGAGCCAGGACGAAGATGGGCATCTTCAACTCAAAGGACAAATACAACGTTGAATCAAGACTCCAGCAAATGGGCTGGAAAGTGCCCGAGTTTGACTTGCCGACGATGAAAGGTTTCTTCGAAGAGATTTTTACGAGGATTAACCGGTCTTTCTAGAGGGTACTAAGTTTGCCTTTTCAATGCTGGTGGAGTCACTGAAAAGCTCGAATCGTCGGTCGAAAAAGGACTTGAATAACATGTTCTACTTCGGTGCTGACGATGATTCCCTCGCGCAGGTTCAGAAAGAGTGGAAAGAAATTTCTGAGAAAGATAGGCGCATTGGTAAGCCTTCGTTTCCTCCCTCTTCTTCAACTGATAAAATATAGTGTCGCTAATCAAGCCGGAAAACATGCACATTGTCTCAGCGCGACTGTTTCTCGAATCTGCCATTCCACGAGAAAACAACGCCCTTTGCGCGGAAATCTACATGAGAAGTATAATCCTCTGCGAACTCGAAGAAAAGCCCACCTATGTCGTTCTGCCTGAAGATGCCGATATCTACCTCTACGGATTTGCTGTTGATTTCGTAAGCATATTTTCTTCAATATGATCTGTAACCTCTTCTAGGTCTACGAGTATGCGAGAAATGAAGATGGAAAATTGACATTTGGAGAGCCTGAGTGGAAAATTCAAAATATCAGAAACTGGCCAAAAATTCTTCCTCCGAAAAAGTGATTCTTGCGTTTGAAGACTTCAAATAAAAACTCATTCGAAAAAAAAACTATCAACTCAATTCGCTTACAGTAGGCGAAATTGAAGGCCTCTCATCTCTTTTTATTGCAAAAATCTACATCTCCCAGAATAAAAATGATGACCCTTCGGTCAGGACTCCGTGTTTGTGGAAAAATTCGGGGCAGGCAGGCAGTTTTATCAAATTTGCAATTTTTCGTGTTGTAAGCCGCAACAAACATCAGCTTTGGAACGTGCGGGATGACCGCGCCCGTGGCATTTTCATGGACCGGACGGGGCTGGGCACCAAAAAAAGCACTATATTTTGATTTACAGTACAAAAAGAAGAAGAAGACAGCAAGTCACAGAATGTGGCTCTGTCGCATAGAGATATTCATTTCGATAGCAGCTTTCGCGCTGTGCTATTTGCTATTTCAGGTAAAATATTTTGAAGTGAAAGTTTTCAAGGAGAATTTTTAGGGCTACAATTTTAACCACAATGCCTTTGCTCATTTGTATACCCACAAGGAACGGCTAACTTTCATTGTTTTTTAAGAAAATATCGCAAAAAACAATTTTATCAAGTGTCAATATTTTCTTGAAAACGAAATTTCGTCTCATAAAATTAACCGCGGAAAAGACCTACGAGCCAACTTTATCAAGTCTGTCAACGCATGAAGCTCCAAACTGGTGGAAAGACTCCAAACTTGGAATTTTTATCCACTGGGGCCTCTATTCCGTGCCTGGATTTGCACCGACCGATTTCATGTTCAGCGAGCGGGAAAATGTCGACAACGTCACCTGGTTCAAACATCACCCTTATGCGGAGTGGTACATGAATACTTATCGAATCAAGGGCTCTCCATCGCGAGAGTTCCACAAGAAGCACTACGGCAAAGAAAGCTACATGGATGCTTTTGTGCCGCGATTCAATAAGGCGATTAGCGACTGGGAGCCGAAGGACATGGCGACTCTCTTCAAAAATGCAGGAGCCAAATACGCCGTTCTCACCACAAAAGTAATCATGACCGGTTTAATTTTGAAAATTAATCTATTTCAAGCATCACGATGGATTCACTTTATGGCCTTCGAACGTCCCCAATCCGTACAGAACTCCAGCGCACACAAGGCTCGACCGAGATCTTGTCGGAGAGCTTGGAAAAGCTCTGAAAAAATCCGGGCTGAAATACGGTCTTTACTACTCAGGAGGACTTGATTGGTCGTTTCCCGGTTCTCTTGATGGCGACTGCAAAAATTGCTGGTATCGACCGCGAAAACCACAAGCTTGGGTTCCGAATTTAGATTATCCTCGTTGATGTCAGTTTTCATCGAAATTACGGCTCTGAATTTCTTAATGAACCTTCCATCAGATCCTCAAGAGTACTCAAACTACGCAACGTCGCATTTGTACGAATTGATGGAACGCTACAAGCCCTGTATTTTATGGAATGATATCAATTACCCAGATTACGAAAAAGATGAACGACTTTACGAAGTATTCGCGCATTTTTATTCCAAAGGTTTTTCTTTCCAAACAACTCTTATTTTGACCGAGTTTTAGTCTGCCCTGGACATGGCGTCGTCAATAACAGATGGAAGATTCCAAATGGGTTCAACGGAGATTTCATGACGCCAGAATACAAAATCATGGGTAACTTTTGAAGTAAAAATAGTTCAAAATTTATATCTTCATTTGAAGATGTTGTGAATACAACGCAACCTTGGGAAACAAATCGCGGCATCGGCTTTAGCTTTGGCTACAACAGAAATGAAGGGGAGAAGGAAACCATGGCCAGTATTGATATCGTCAGAATGTTGATCGACATCGTGAGCAAGGGAGGAAATCTGCTTCTCGATGTTGGTCCGCTTCCTAATGGCTCTATCAGTGCCATTCAAGAAAAACGACTAAAAGTAAGAGCAAAATAAAGGCTTCAATTTACAATCTTTTGAAGGATCTCGGCTCCTGGATGTCAGTCAACAGCGAAGGAATCTATCACACCCGACCGTTCCTTCCAGACGGGGCGATTCCAACTGGTAATTTTCGATATGTTCGCTCAAAGGACTACATGGCTCTCTACGTCCACGTTCTCGACTGGGATCATCAAGCAGTCAACAATCGAGTCATCGAAGTTCCTATGAAACTCAAGGGATTTGTATGAAAGCCAAAATTTTCAGTCTCTATCAAATTATAAATTAGGTGATCGTCGAGCAATTCATCACACCGACGCACAAAAAAGAGCTGCATCAAATTCAAAACGGCGACAAAACGGAAGTCCACGGAGTTCACTTCCCTGAGAAAAAGATGCCGGTTTGCCTTTCAAAAAATTTCCTTCCGAAAAAAATGTTTTTAGATCGTCTTCCGAATTTCCACTCCGAAGTTGCTTCGAAAAGTCATCACCATTACTGGCTTCTGAAAAAGCCTTCAGTAGTGTTTCCAGAGTTCAGCCACGCCAGCCACCCATTTTACTTCAATGTGCTATATTATTCTTTTTAACCAACAGTTCCATTATGATATCAGTACGCAGATTTATACCATGTTTGTAGAAATAAATCATTTATTCAATCATACATCGTAAACCGTGTCAGGGCACTATAGTCGAGAATGCAATGTGAAGTTTTCAGTAGACATTTTATTTTACAATTTAATGTGTATAACACGCGGTATCTTAAACGACAGAATCGACGTCGAGTCGCATTTTATTTTTTCATAATATCATCACATCTCTCTTTAAATTTTCAAATTCATAAAAACTTTGCACGTCTCTCCAAAGCCCCTTTTTCATCCGTCTATGTTATTTTAGTCGTTTCCTGCTGCTTCCTTGGGAGCATCGAAAACCTATTTAGGCCAAAAAGCGAGAAAACAGAGAAAAAATAAGAAATGGCAGAGGATGAAAGCTCTCAAACGAAATCCGCAGTAGACCTGCTGGTTTCATCAAAAGAGACTGTGAAAAAAGATATCACTCAATTTCTCATGCCTCAGGTTTCTAACAGAGGAAACAGACGATTTTTTTACTGTACGTTTTCAGTATTATCTCGCTACTGTTCAACAACAACAGCAACTTCTCCTCCAGCAACAGCTTCTACTCCAACAGCAGCAACAACTCCAAGCTCAGCAACCGTACGGTACGTAGAGAAAGCACCGCCAGGGAAAATCACCTGTTCGGAAAACAAAAAGAGAAAGATAAACCAGACTTTTAAAAACCAGCTGAAGCGAGTGGCTCCGCTTACGGAACAGGCTCTCAACTCACCACTCAGTCACAGAGTCAGACTCAACCGATTTCTTTCAACTCATCGACTCTCACTGATTACCAAGCGAGTCATCCCTTTTATAACCAGGTCGTTCTCCATTGAATCTTCAAGCCTTACCTTCTTGTAGAATTATCTCTATATGCCAGTCCAGATTGATTCAAATTTAAACCAGAAGAGCTACGAAGTAACAACAACGATAAACGGAGAAAGCTACGACGATCTCATCAGAATCGTCTGGCAACGCGAATTCAATCAGTTTTTCTGTCAGTTGCCAGATTCGCCCATCGCTAAATGGAACTTCTACGAATCATCGACTCCAAAGGACGATTCCTACGGGATGGTTTTAAGGGACTGGGCAAAAGTGCGCTTCTGCTGCCCAGTTTGCGGAAATGGCTGGACCTCGATGAGAGGAATGATCACCTTCAACATTACGATTCATACTTCAATTGTTAATGTAATCCTTTTTCTTTGTCAATTGTTGAAGATGATTTTCAGGGGCAATATGTGAGAGTTGGAGTTATTGTAGCAACAATGTTCGGGCAAAAATGCCAGAAATGCATGGAAGACCGATTTGAGACGGCGATGTGGTACCCTGAGGAAGTCACAAAGGTCCGCTCTCATTTTTTTTTTCAGCAAAAAGAGTTATTAGGTGCTGCACAACCTTTACGTTCGCATCCGCCACCATTTCTACGGAGACATCGACCTGATTCCCCAACTACGCGTGGACCGCCGATCCGGCAATCCTAGAAACCGACATCGCCCCGAACTTTGCCAAGCCTGTAAAAATGGAAAATGCCGAATGAAATAAAATGTGATAGCTTTACTCAAGTGGTATGAGGATACATTTATATGTTATACAATATAAATTATACAAAGGCAAAAATTGATATGGGCAGATTTGGGATGCAGGCATCAGAATATAAGATTTTTGAACTTTTGTGGAACATTCTGTCATTTAGAGTGGGGCAACGGCGTTGTTGCCGATGCCGTTTTCTTGGAGGCGCTGGTGGAAGACCTGCTTCGCGAGGTTGTAGATGTCCATGTCGTATGAGAGCATCTAAAATCGCTAATTAGGGAAGGCGGCATTTTAGTAGCTTGTTACCTCTTCCAGCTTTTTGGCAGTTTCTTCTGTCATATTTCCATGCGACTTGGATTTGGTCAGCTTGACGAACTTCTGGACGTCTGAATTTTTTATGAATGGGAAGTTCAAACTGAAACTATATTTACAGGGTCCATGGTAAGCATCCAAAGCTCCTTTGTAAAACTCGGGCAGAGTCACTTCCAACAGCTTGAGAGTCGAGTCAAATTCTTCCAACACACCGATTTGCCTGTATTTGAGGATGTTTTGCTTGCTGAGCTCCGTTGCTTTCTTCAGTTTTTCATGGTCGGTGAATCGAACCCACTTGCCGTCGGGTTGTTGTTGATGAGTACGGTGCTTGATTAAAAATTTTAATAATTGAGCAATCTGCTAACCCGTGATTAAGACTCCATTAATCGATCAGGTAGTTAGAGAAACGGTAATTACTTACATCCATGCAAACAGGATCCGTGCCGCAGAAATACTTGTTGAAAACGCCGATAGAATCGACGCACTCATACTGGCCCTGGGCGACGCAATCGTCAATTGATCGTTTTCGGTCTTCGTGTGAGCCGCTTTCAATTAGGATTTTAATCTGCTTATATTCGCTTACCCCGAAATATCTCTCTGTAAAAATCTATTGAAAAGAAGATCCCGCCCTGAACGACTTTCTCTTTCCTTTTTGAAGTCCCCATCCGAAGCGTGAAAAGTAATAAGTGCTCTTGAATTGAGTCACTGGGTGGCGAACGACGTTGATAAACTTGAAAAATGGTTTGCAAAAATGAATTTCCGAGGAATTCAGACCTGTGGCTGGGGATAACCTCTGTGTGTAAAATTCACCCAAGTGTGGTGCTTCAGCAGAACAATCTTCTTGTCCGGATGCTGTCTTCGCAACTTGGCTGCGTGATGAACAAGTCGCTGGTTGTTGTCAATGTCGCACTGGCTCACCCGATAGTGGTCGAAGAAAAAGTCATTCTTGTCCGACAAGACTTTGAGGATGTATTTCATCGTTGACGAGCCGGATTTGGGGAGCTTGTTGTGAAGCAGGAACTTTTTGTCTTCAGCAGCGAAGTGGATCGGGTCTTTTTCTTCGATCTCTTCGGAGTCTTCGTGGTAGAAGTTGTCAATGTTCTCCAAGATGTCGACCCTGTCCTCGCCTGAACCTAAAAATACTGTCAATGCAATCAAATCTCCTTGCTACAGTAATCCAGGATTTAGCTACTATCTCTGCTAATCCTTATTTTTTCATCAGTAAATCTCGCTAACCTTCACCCTCTTGCAGCAGAGCCAATTCATCGCTCACTTCTTTCAGGGTTTCGCTGGCTACGTCTCTTGCCTTCCGGGAGCTGTACAAAACTAGAACAAGAATGACGACAAACGCAATGCGCAAGAGCGTCTTGCTCAAGATAACAGTCCGCATTCTTCAGCGCTGCGGTACTTTTCTCTCTTGCTTTATCGCTTCAAAAAGGGAGCGGCAATATCCTGCATCGCGAATGCGAAACAGCCCCCGGCAAGTTCCAAGGCTTTACGACAAACGTCGCAGAACACTGATAAGGTCACGAAGCACCACTTGGTTCATTGTTTGCAAACAACGAGCAAGCTGCTTATTCTGTGCTAAAAGTTTTTACATAAAAAAATCTGCCAATGATGATTTTCTAGCATGAATATTTAAACGAATGAAATTAATTATCAAACATAAATTATTCAAAAATGTACTCGCTCTTCGAGAGAGTTCAAATCTTGACTTTTTGTTGAACTCTTTGACTCTTGCTTGAGTTTGAACCAGCCATAAACTGTTTTTGAGAAACGTAACGTTGTAGTTTTAGTAATGAAAAGGTTATTTTCGACGAAGCCAGCGTTCAGAGAGTCTTTCAATGGCAAAACTGTGACGACAAACACGTGTTCAGACACGATCCTAAAGAATTTCTAAAGAAAAAAGATTCTATCAAAAGCCATTTCCAAGAAAAAAAATCAATAGACACTTTGATTTTTTCTTTCAAAACTAGACTTTTTCAAGACTTCGACAACTTTTTCAGCCATTTTTAGCAAGAGAAGATGGCTCTTGAAAAAAAAATACCAAGACCTTACTTGTAAGATCGATAATGTCTGTGTGCCAGTGCAGATGTCACTTGGGCTTAGTGGAAATATCATTTCCAGCATCGTAAAAAAACTATTGGCGAACTCGTTTGCCGATTCTTTCTCTCTCTCTTCGGTGCGACTGTAAAAAGAGGAGAGCCCTCAGGTGGTTGTGTTAAATTGTCCACTCGTCCTGCTCGAGTCCGACCGGAGCTTTTAATCAGCCTCAATCATTTCACACAGAGAGAACTGTAGTCGCGCAAAAAGCCGATTATCTTCCCCGGCATCCAGTTTATAGCTTTCCCAGCCCATATCGTTTCTTATGGAAGGATCAATACAAAAAAAGAAAGAAAGCGCTATTGTCTGTTTTCGACCAAGAAAAAAATAGTTGTTCCTTCCAAAATTACGCACGAGTCAGAGAAAGAAAGAGAGCTTAACAAATATTGAATATACCGTGGAATTCAATTATTTAATTGACGAAATGAAAACTGAACATTTGAACAAACTTTGAGCAATTTTTTTACATTTAGAGAAATTATGGGAGCGAAGAAAAGCAAGCTCAATCCCGTCGCCATTGCAGAACTAAGTGCTAAGACAAAATGTACGTCTTTTGAAAAAGTAAAATTCTCGACCTTTTAGTCGGCAAAGAAGAGCTGCAACAATGGCACAAAGGATTCCTAAAAGATTGCCCGACGGGAAAACTTTCCGCTGCTGAGTTTAGCAAGATTTACACGTAAATGCAATAATTATTTAAAAAAAGCTATAATTTTGCTAGGCAATTTTTTCCTCAGGGTGATCCACAAGCCTTTGCTCGCTTTGTTTTTGATGTTTTCGACGAGAACAAAGATGGAACAATTGAGTTTGAAGAGTTTATCATGGCCTTATCAGGTAAAATAGGCAAATTCGATGCAAGTAAAAGTCAGAATAAATTCATACGAAGTCGAAATTTTTATAATTTTTCAACCAATCAAAACGTCCAAGAAGAGCGCGCGCCCAATCAAAAGGCTTAAAAATGGCGCGCGCCCAATCAAAAGGCTTAAAAATGGTGCGCCCCCAATCAAAAGGCCTGAAAACGGCGCGCACCCAATCAAAAGGCTTAAAAATGGCGTTCAGCCAATAAGAATGCTTAAAATTGGTGCGTGTCCAATCAGAAAGCATAAAATGGAAATATTATATTTTGACAATCCTTGGCCCTATTTTTTAAAAGTTTTTATCAATAATCGTAACAATTTCTTTAGTAACTTCGAGAGGAACGTTGGACGACAAATTACGCTGGGCATTCAGACTGTACGACTTAGACGGAGATGGTTCAATTACGCGCGACGAAATGCTGGAAATTGTGAAAGGTATTTGCGCATTTCGGATTACCAAAACAAAGAAATCTACTAAAAGGTTTACTTGTCAGGTTTATCAAGAATTATTCACTTTTCTTGACAAGGAGCCAAATTGAAGAACTAATCCCTTCTACATATTTTTAATGCCGCTCGATAAATATTTAGCGATTTACTCGATGGTGGGAAGTACAGTTGCGCTGCCGGAGGAGGAAAATACGCCTGAGAAGAGGGTCGCTAGAATATTTGCCTTGATGGATAAGGTATTTTTTACCTGGGCTCGGCAACCTGTGTTGAAAACCTGAGTCAGGGTCTGGAAAATCTCTTACGAAAGGCCGCGATCTTTCGGACCCTGACTCAGGTTTGCCACACAGGTTGCCGAGCCCAAGTTTCGATACGAAAAAAGGACAGCTTTATATTCATCTCCTAGAATGACGATGGGTACCTGACGATGTCCGAGTTCATGGAAGGATCGAAAAAGGACCCGAGTATAATTCAAGCGCTGTCACTTTATGATGGGCACAGGTTCAACCTTTCCTGCCTTTGAGAGTTCTCAATTAATAATTCATCGATTCACTTGAACCTTGAGAGACTAATCTAAATCTAAAAGAAAAGAAAAAGAAGACGAAAAGTGATTGGAAAATACTGTTATACATTTATTGTACTAATTTTAAAATAAAAATTAAATTCCTTTCTTCTCATAGTCCAGCGAGAAGTGGCCAGGTCCAAGCGCGATTAAAATTTTCAGCCCTCCAATGACACTCAATGTCTAAAACAGTGTTACAGTGAGTTGCAGTGGTTCTTCTTACCTGGAAGAAATCGTAGCGCTTGAAGTCGTACATCATCGACGTGTCTGCATGACTCCAGAAGTCGTTGACGAAGAAGTTGAGGCAGCCAAGCCAAATGATCAGAATTAATGAACATAGTCTAGTTTTCCATCCAGCGACGATTAGCAGGATGAAGAAAAGCCCGAAGGTGTCGTTGAGGACTTCTTTCTTGATTCCTTTAATTCGGGTCTGCATAATATATTCGAAATTAGGCTCGGCAACCTGCCTTGAAAACCTGAGTCAGGGCCTGAAAGATCTTTAGCAAAAAGCCGCATAGCGGCTGCTTTAAAACGAAGCCGCAAAGCGGCTTCGCAAAGTTAACATTTCAATTTATTTTCAAATTCTTCGTTTCCAAAATGATCTTTCAGACCCTGACTCAGGTTTTTGCCGAGTTCAGTAGTCAAGACCCTTCCCTATTAAATCTTCAAAAGCATCTTCGTCATTCTTGAAGTTTTCAGCCGCCTGAGACCAGCCCCAGAAATGCAGGAGCGTGCAAAACAACAGAACAAGAAAAATTCTGCCAAAGAATTGAAGCCCACTGGACGGACTGTGCTCATCGAGGACCGGAAGGCCAACGGGCGTCTTTTGCTTCTGTTGTTGAGCGCGACGGTCTTTGTGCTCGGCGAGGAGGAGGAGGAGAGCGCCGATCATGGCGAGGTGGCGCATCAGGAATTTGATGTCGAAAATGATCGAATAAACAATCGTCTTGGAAAAAGTCGAAAAAAGAATAAAGAAAGGGAAATCAAACCTGGATGATGACGATGAGCGTGAGTAGCACAACTGAAGGAGTGACTAAAATTCGGAAGAGCACCAGGATCGCTCCTAAAACTTGCCCGGCGAGATTGATCCCCACAACGACTGTAGCTATTTCCGTCTGCCAGTCCCACGTGTTTCCAATGTATTCCGTGTGCTCTACAAAATAATAAACCTCCACCCTTTCTTTCTCAATTTACCTGTCCACTGATGCCACATTCTAAAGCCATCCTCGATAAAAGTCGAAATCAGCAGCAGTCTTCCGATAAAGATCAAAATGTCTCTCGTGTCTTTGAGAATATCGCCGGCGACCTTGTCTAATTCACTCAAAATCCCCATTTTCATACTTTTTGGTAAAAAGGCAAGCTAAGTATGGAACACAACTCTGACACAGGCCGTGGAACTTGCCCTCCGGGCAGGTCGCGGACCGACAGGAACAGAGTCATCCCTTTTTTCTGACCTGAATAAAGAGGCTCAAACATGGAATATTTGAAAAATGTTTTTGAAATCATTTTTGAAATCAACGATGATTATTTAGAATAAATCGATGATACTGTATGTCGCATACTGTAATTACGATCGCAAAAATTATCTCAAACATTGATTACAATCAATAATTAGGACTAATTTTCTAAATTTATTTTTAAAATTATCGCTCAGAAGAAATACCGTGCTTTTCCGGATAAAAGTGCGCCTAGAACTGAGAATAAACGACGATTCGTATCAAATTCCCCTTCATTCAAGAGTTCAGTGATCCGTATCGATCACGAAGTGGCGGGGCGGGAAATTACAAGCTTTTTAAATCTAACCGGTTTTCGCGCGCCCGCGAATAACTGCTCCTGCTTTCAAAAATGAATTCTAACGACAACTTCAGTAAAGTCACTCATCACTTTATTTGCAATGTAAATTTTACATAAAGATTTTCATTTCGTAATTAACTTTATAACTGGCCATATTTTCATAAAGAGTGCACAGTAGATTATCATTTCATAGAATAAGTTCAAAAGAATCAAATGTAAACAGTGGCAGTTTTGAGAATTTGTGGCCCTAAAAAGGGCCGGGTTTGTCGAAGTAAATCGAAATTTACTTGGAGGAGGTGTACTTGGTGACGGCCTTGGTACCTTCGGAGACGGCGTGCTTGGCCAATTCACCGGGGAGGAGAAGTCGGACGGCGGTCTGGACCTCTCGGGAAGAGATGGTGGACTTCTTGTTGTACTTGGCGAGTCGGGAGGCCTCGTTGGCGATTCGCTCGAAGATGTCGGACACGAACGAGTTCATGATGGACATGGCCTTCGAGGAGATACCGGTGTCGGGGTGGACCTGCTTGAGGACCTTGTAGATGTAGATCGAGTAAGACTCCTTTCGCTTAGCCTTTCGCTTCTTCTTGTCTCCGGCTGGGGGAGCCTTCTTGACGATAGCTTTCTTCGATCCCTTGGTAGCGGCCATTTTTGAAAATCAAAATTATTCGAGTTTGAATAAAATGGTGGCGGATGGCAGCTCGAGCGCTCTTTTATACGCTCGGGTGGGAAGCGCGCTGGGAAAGACAGCCAGGTGTCGCCAATGAGCCGTTTCTCAGCGCGCTTCTCACCCACGCTTCCCACCCAGGCCTATTTAAAGCGCTCCGGACTCGATTTGAGCACCACACTTTTTGTGAAGTCAAAAAAATCGAATTTTGAAACAATATGTCCGGAAAAGGTAAAGGAGCTAAGGCCAAGGCGAAGGCAAAGTCCCGATCCGTCCGAGCTGGTCTCCAGTTCCCCGTCGGTCGAGTCCACCGAATGCTCCGAAAGGGCAACTACGCTGAACGAGTCGGAGCCGGTGCCCCAGTCTACCTCGCCGCCGTCCTCGAATACCTCAGCGCTGAAGTCCTCGAATTGGCCGGAAACGCCGCCCGAGACAACAAGAAGACCAGAATCATCCCACGACATCTTCAGCTCGCCATCCGAAACGACGAAGAGTTGAACAAGCTTCTCGGCGGTGTCACCATCGCTCAGGGTGGTGTCCTTCCCAACATTCAAGCCATCCTCCTCCCCAAGAAGACTGGCGACAAATAAATTTCTCTTCACTGAGAAATTCACAAACCCGGCCCTTTTTAGGGCCACAAACTTACCAAAAAATACTTGTCTTTGACAACTTTTCACTGCCCAAAAGATTGACTAGGAATAAAATAAATCTTATTATAAAATTTGACTCATCAAAACTTGAATTTGAAAGAAACTTAGCCAAAGAATCAATTCGATATTCAAAGAGAGTATCATTTGACTAGGCAAATAGCTACTGTAGTTGAAAAGGTAGAATTGAGTTGATTGGTGGTGCTTGAATTGAAAGTTGTCTTCAATGATTTCATTATCGCTCGTTTTTCGAAGATTTTGAACAGGAAGCAAGCAGGGAGCCATTTCTAAAGCACGTTATCCGTCTACATCTTCAGTCGAGCGTGTCACACAGCGGCACGAAGTATCGATTTTGGCGTTTTCGTTGAAGCCCGCGGCCTGGCTAGCAACTCGATTTCGCGCGCAACGGGGCATCCCTTCGATTTCCAGCAACTTTCAAAAGCTGGTTTGGTTCAAATGAAAAGATATCATTTTGTTTTCAATGATAATGTAGTCGTTTATGATTTCATCTCATTCAGAAACCTTTAAGTCTTTTACCGTCACTTTTGCAAAAAAAACTTCCAAATAGAAAATCTACAATCCTCAAAAATGGTCAACGAAAACTCGTAAACTAAAACAAAAATTATTAATTTTTGTAAAACTTTACTGCTAAGACTTGATGCAAATTGCTAGTAAAGAGTCATGAAAAGCTGAAGTAAGAATTGAATACTTTATTCTTTATGTTTTAGTGAAGGCAGTGGAGAAAGAATATTTACAAAGAAGAGTTTTTTTGGAATTTGTGGCTCTGAAAAGAGCCGTTTTTTTTGTGGATTTTTTTGGTGGTTGGAGAAGTTACTTCTTGCCAGTCTTCTTGGCGGTCTTTTTGGCAGCTGGCTTCTTGGCAGCGACTTTCTTGACAACCTTTTTGGGGGAGGCGGCTTTCTTCGTCGCAGTTTTCTTGACGACCTTCTTTGCAGCGGGCTTTTTGGCGGCGACCTTCTTGGCTGCTGGCTTCTTGGCGGCAGTCTTTTTGGCAGCGGGTTTCTTGGCGGCAGCGGGCTTGGCTGGCTTCTCTTGCTTCTTGATCTTGAAGGAACCGCTGGCACCGACGCCCTTGGTCTGGACGAGGACGCCTTTCTCGACGCCGGTCTTGAGGGCCTTCTTGAAGTGGTGGGATCCCTTCTCGACGCCCTTGTAGTTGGCGACGATGTACTTCTCGATGGCCTGTCGGGAGGAGCCGGAGCGTTCCTTGAGGGCGGCGATGGCAGCGACGATCATGACGTTGAAGGTTGGGTGCTCGGCCTTCTTGGCTGGAGCCTTGGTTGCTTTCTTTGGTGAGGCGGGCATCTTCTTGCTGTTGACGGGTCTTCTGGTGACGGAAGAGGTGCTGTAGCTAAAAACGCTATTTGGTTATGATCAGGAATGAGCAGCCTCCGTAGTATAAATAGTCTCGAAGGTGCGGTGCGGGAGACAACTTTCGAGCCGTTTTGAGTTTGGCGCCCAGCCAGGGTGCCCGCGCGCGCTCTTTTTTTCCGTTGGCGCGCGAGAATTCCGTTGGCCCGCGCGCCGGCTCGAAAACGCGGTCACCTGATCAAACGATTATCGGTTTTTACGGTTGATTTCGCGCCATGGGGAGCTATGTTTGAAATTGCAACGGGAATAATAATCAGGGAGGGATAAGTGCTTCTTTGAGGAGAAGTGAAAGGGACTTCAAGTTACAGATTGAGGGCTGTTTTCTTATTGAAAGATCATTTTTATATAGTTTTAGTCTTTTAGAATGCTAATATTAATCGATATGAAAATCTATTATCACATGGTTGCATCATATTGTTAATTTACTGGCAAGCTGACTGTATAATTCTACCGATGTATCAGTGATACAGTATCACTGAAATTTGTATACCTTTCTTGTTGAAAAATTTGAAATGAAATCTGAAAAGTCTCTAATTTAGGGACCCTAAATAGCCAGAGTACAGATTTATTATTCAAATTTACCGTGAGCAATCATTCTCAAGGGTGAAAAATTACGATGGATTTCTTTGGAAACGCACAGATTTTCATTATTTCTTTATTAGGTCCTGAAATCAATGACAATCAACACTGATTTCAATATGCAATGAATCGACATCGACGTCCTGTTATTTTTTTCTAGAGGTAAAAAAGAAGCCCGTTTAGTTCGAAAAGTCTCTAGATTTTTTGTTGATGTCAGGGCTAAATTTTTACCCTCAATCAAGTCTTCGGCTTTCCGAAGTCCAAAGGCCGCGTATTTGAGGTAAAATTTTAGCGACGATTATTGATAAATAACATTATTTAAGGAGTTTGATCCGATATTCGGATCGAAGAAAACCGTGGTCGTTTTGATGTTTTATCAAAGCGATTACTTGCCAGAAATTGGCAGCTAAAGGATTCAATTCCTCGGGTTTCCCGAAGACTGAAATCGATTTACCCAGAAAAAACTGGAACGGAAAAGAATGGAAAAAGTAATAAAAACCTATCTTTCTGTGCAAATTCAAAATTTTTCTTACAATAAACTCGAAAATAATATCTAAATTGGTGTGTCTTCCCTGCAGAAAATATCAATAATTTCGAGATGAAACTCAAAAGTAATTTATTTATCACAATTTAATTAATGTATTAGCATGGCTGCTACTTTTGACAGAATTATAAACGAGTACATTTTATAATTAATGATCCAGTTGTCAGTGGTTCAGGTTCAGTTTGTTTGAGGTATTTGTGGCCCTAAAAAGGGCCTGTTTTTGAAGCTTGCTTGTAGGCGACTTATCCACCGAAACCGTAGAGGGTTCGGCCCTGTCGCTTGAGAGCGTAGACGACGTCGAGAGCGGTGACAGTCTTTCGCTTGGCGTGTTCGGTGTAGGTGACAGCATCACGGATGACGTTCTCGAGGAAGACCTTGAGGACACCTCGGGTCTCTTCGTAGATCAAGCCGGAGATTCGCTTGACACCACCTCGTCGAGCAAGTCGTCGAATGGCGGGCTTGGTGATTCCCTGGATGTTATCACGAAGGACCTTTCGGTGACGCTTGGCGCCTCCCTTTCCGAGTCCCTTGCCTCCTTTTCCTCGTCCGGACATTTTGTCTTTGGTTCACAAGTTTTACTTTGAGAATGACTCGCTGCGGCGCGGCGTCGCGTTTATATTTGGCCGGGTCGTTCGTGCGGGAGACAACCCCACGCGCCGTTCGCGATTGGTGAGAAGCGCGCTGAGAAAGAGGGCGGTAATGAGACCCGCCCCGCGCGCCTATAAAAACGAGCCCGAGCCGCTGCGCAACTCACCTCGATTCTATACTCAGGCAAAACCACCAGTTAGAAACATGGCCCGAACCAAGCAAACCGCCCGAAAGTCGACCGGAGGAAAGGCTCCACGAAAGCAGCTCGCCACCAAGGCCGCTCGAAAGTCCGCCCCAGCCACCGGCGGCGTTAAGAAGCCCCACCGATACCGACCTGGAACCGTCGCTCTCCGAGAGATCCGACGATACCAGAAATCGACCGAGCTTCTCATCCGAAAGCTTCCCTTCCAGCGACTCGTCCGAGAAATCGCCCAGGACTTCAAGACCGATCTTCGATTCCAGTCCTCCGCCGTCATGGCCCTCCAGGAAGCCTCTGAGGCTTACCTCGTCGGTCTCTTCGAAGACACCAACTTGTGCGCCATCCACGCCAAGCGAGTCACCATCATGCCCAAGGACATCCAGCTCGCTCGACGAATCCGAGGAGAACGTGCTTAATTTCTAAGTGCTTTCGCCTTACAAAACCGGCCCTTTTTAGGGCCACAAATCACCAAAAACCAAAGCCACTGGCTTTTTCTGCTACAGAACTCTGCCCGAATTCAAATAAAATCGACACATTCCTTTAGGTTTACGAAAGTTTTGGTTGTTTTTGGAAGGAAATTGATGTCAGGGTTTTGCGCCAAATTTACAAAATGGCGCGCAGTTTGAAAGATCGTTAGTTTTCGAGGTTCAAAATAGGGATGTTTCGGTTAGAAAGCGCAGGATCTGCGCCACAGACAAACCAGATCTTGGGTCGGGAACTATTGTTGAAAACCTGAGTCAGGGTCTGAAGACCTTAGATGAGGTCTTTTATAGGAACCAAGTTGCGAAGTTCAATCTTTTCACAAAAACTAGCGGAGGCGCTTCGCGCCTTCGTATTTAAAAAAAGCCGCTGTAGCTGCTTTTCATGCAGTATCTTCCAGGCCCTGACTCAGATTTCTACACAGGTTGCCACGCTCAGATGATGATAGACTAATTTGACAATTGAATAATCTGAGATTTCTTTAGCAACGTTTTAATTTTTGACAGGTCCTTCAAGACGAAATTTACTTGGAATCAAACGTATTCTAAATAGATAGACTGGCGTATTGGAGAGATCTGAGTCCGATAGATAATCAGTATTAATGACGAAGGCGCCGTCGGATAGGAACAATGGTCAATATCGCCTTCGATTTGTCGATGAATGGTCACCTGTACTTTCTTAATTTATGATTTATTGAGTATCGTTCTGAAGCTCGTCTTCGATCCTATTATTCACTGGAATATATTCATGCGCGAGGATGAATGACTCCGAGAAGATTACAGACCAGGCAGCTAATTCCTTTCTCTTTTTCATTCCCCAGGCTATGAATGGTTGCATTTGCTGCAACCTCAGGTCGGCGCCGATTTTTTTTATATAAAAATTGATAATTTTATAATTTTAATTTTCACAATTTTAATTTTCAATTTAATTTAGTGGAATCGGAGAGAGAATTGCGACGCTCTGGGCAGAGAGAAACGACTGGAATTGTATAGAGTTTGAGTGAGAAACAGTAAATCAGGGCTCAAGAACCTGAGTTGAAAACCTGAGTCAGGGTTCGAGAAAAGCTTTGAGAAAAGAAGCAGCTCCGCTAGAATTGATTTAGGCACTTTGCGGCTTCGTTTTTAACAATTCGCTGCGCGGCTTTTATGAAAGCTTTTCTCGAACCCTGACTCAGGTTTTCCCGTGAAAAAGAATTAATTAAGATAGTATCCCATTTAGTTATTTTTAATAGGAAACATAATTAAAAATTTTTGCGAACTCTTGAAGACTCGATACTTCTATTTTGCTTTGGCTGGGGAAATATGGACGGTAAAAGCAGTTTAGAAACACTTTGTAAAGGTGACAAATAAGTTCTTTTCTGCATGCTTAGTTTTTAAGTTTCAAGTATCGTGCCATTAGGGACCACAATTCAAAGCAATAATTTGGCGTTAGCGACAATCATTGCCAGAGAAAACATGGAGGACTCCAGCGAAGACGAGCGGTATATGATCGGTAAGTTTGGATTACTTCTGTCATCTGCGTCTTATCCGAAAATCAATTGCTATCCCGAAAAGAGGATGAGAGCATGTTGGAGTAAACTGTTAAGTCCAGATTTAAATAACTCGCATCTGTAGCAGACTTGGACGCGATGGACTGTATGATGGACAGGGGAATGGACGACGAAAACGGAGCGGTAGAAGACGACGAAGACGACGATGGCTCGGATACAGAAGCAGATGATGCGGATCTCGTGGATTGTTTCTTTGACGACAAGGGTATTAAGCATGCATGGGTTCTTAGTAAGAAAAGTAAGTTTTTGAAGAATCTCAAAAAATACTTTGTTCCAGAAAATCATGAACCAAAAATGGATTTGAGCATTTAAAATTGTAGATATACATATTGAAGTTATATCTATGTCTATATTGATTCTATGACATCTTGAGAGCTTTTAAAATGTCACTGAAACCCGTCTCTATTGACAGGAATGCATTTCGGTCTGAGTTCGGCAACTGTCGCCGGGCAAAATATGTAGAAAATGTGAGTCAGGTTAAGAACATCGTGACTGATTGAAATACTTATTTTGTCGAAGCCGCTCTGCGGCTTTGTTTTAATAAAATAGCCGCGACGCGGTTTTTCGTTTAGCCTCCTCCTTACCTGACTCAGGTTTTCTATACAGGTTGCCGAGCCCAGAGTCTTGGAGTACTCCGGTATTGAGAACCAATATTTCAGAGGGGGATCAAGTGCAGCATTCTGACGACGATGGCGGCGACGGAAGTCATGATAGCGACGACAATAGTGACTATTATGGAGGATACGACCCAGCTGTTATTTACTTGTAAAATTTCTGATTGTAATTTTTGCGAATAAATTCGACTCACGTTCAAACAAGCATCGCTCTTTTTTTCCTGATCTAATCGGATTGAAGATGCCTGATCTACCAGCTCAGTCAGGATGATCCGGCCGTCAGGGCCCCTGGCCAGGTTTTCGGTTTACTACGGATTGGGCTCAGTTAGTTGGTTACGCACTACACCACCAATTGTAACGGTACTTTAAAATTTACTGCACCGCCAGCGAGCAGCGTACGATGCGACTTATTTGACTACGCCCTTAGTCCCTTTGACCGGTCGTTGATTCGTGAGCTAGGGTGGTTTTTGAAATGCTAGATCCACTTAATCGCAAAGTTCAAATAGTTGTATTCACGGGTGACACTCGTCTACGCGCTAGAATTGGTCGAAATTTGCCCGTTAGAAAGAAAATTCTAGCGGCAGGTTAAATAAAGAAACCAGCGTTCTTCTGAAAAGAAAATATGCGCAGCGTAGATTCTAGTGCTTCAAGAAATGCCGAAATCGTTTGTTGAAATCAATGCAAATTTAATCGACTTACCATTCTCTTGCAGCGCGTCTTGGCGTAAATTGGTTTGATACGGTGGTGCCTGAGCGGGCAGTGGCGGCGTCTGGCGCACCCTAGAAGTGATGGGACGTGTATCTTACACCACCAGCAGTCTTGCGCGTTTTTTCACAATCACTCTCACAACGCCGCTATCTGTTGTTATTTCCAGCCCAAAAAACTAGGAAGCACCTCTTGATTCTAGCTCCAGCACCGAAAACACGCCCAACTCAATAACAACAACACTTGTATTTTTGCACTTGAAGAGAAAACACGAACAGAAAAAAGAGAGAGAGAGAGAAAGAGAGAGGAAGAAAATGGGAAATGGGTCCAGCTCAGATTTTGCGCTGGACAAGCCGATTTCGTCCAACAAAAGATCAGTCTCGACGATTGGGAAGATCACTTCTTTCAGGCCTTCAGGAAAATGATTGAAAAATTTTTTTTCGCAACTTGAAAATTCGAACAAGATATAAATCATTTCATAAGGACTGGATGATTTAAAAAGAACAACCTCTTTACGCTCGATTCCGATCGGCCACGAGCACGGAAAAAGGGATGACGATTACGCAAGCCAGTTTTTGCACAATCTTCGCCTGTTCCGCGCGCGGCAGGTGATGACCGACGTCACTTTCAAACTCGGCGACACGACTATCCGATGTCACCGGGTGGTACTTGGTGCCCTCAGGAACGGGGCTGAAAAGGGCTTATCCCGTTCTCGTTCTGGGTCAGAACACCTCTTTCAGCCTTTTTTGAGCCCGATTCTGCTCGATATCTTCTCGAAAAAGCAGCACAGCATGTCCGCGGAACGAGTAGACCCAGACACTTTGGCCGCTCTAGTCGAGTTTGCATGTCAAAAAAGACTTGTCAATTTTTAAACGACATTTTAGATTCGTGTACAATTCTGAAGCCCAGTTTAACAACGAGTCGCTAACAAAGCTGCGCGATGCAACGCAAAAACTCGGGATCAGTCAATTGTCGAAAATGTTCGACAAGCTGATGCACAAGTTAGACGCCAAGAATTCGCGGAATGACCAGGTTACTTATGCGTACCGCTCAGGAAGTATTCCTGGGCTGCTTTCCGGCCTCCGGCATTTGCGAGAAAGTGGAATTCTGACGGACATAACCCTCAGAGCAAAGGAACATTGTTTGAAAGATAAAGCTTACTTTATGCATTTACAGTAAGGGCAATTCGGGCTTTTTCCATCAAAAAACTTCAAAATTGCGGCTTTTTTGGTCATTTTTTTTCTTAAAAAACCCACCCTTATTGCAACCCTGACTGTAAATACCAAGAAACTTTTCTCAAACAGAATCAGGATGTCGACTTCTGCGCGCATCGAGTTGTCCTGGCCGCGGCTTCCTCCGAACTCCAAGAAATGATCAAGAAACTGGACGAAGACAATAACAACAACAACAATAACGAAAGCGGAGCCAAAGGTTCCCTCAACCGCCTTCTCATGATCCCAAACATCTCCTCCGCCTCCCTCAAGTGCCTTATCCGGTAATCACAATTTCCCACCAAATGCAAAGGCGCCAGTGCCGGTGCTGACCTTTCGAAATGTTCAGCTGAGTTTCGTTTTGCATTTTGATATTTCAAACTGTCACGAGGCGCTTTTGCAGGTGTCGAGCGGAATTTTAAGAATAACAATTTTATAATAATAATTTTGTTAATTTAGCTACATGTATGGAGGCGAGCTTTCAATCGACAGAATCACAGTTATTGATTTGCTCATCAATGGACAGAAATTTGGACTTACTTTTGTCGCCCAAAGTGCCGGTCGGTATATTGAAGAAAATTGCATCAGGTAAGACATGTTTTGTGAGCAGTAAGTTGAAATTTTCTAGCTTGAGCAACTTCGTGACCTTGAAAAACTGGACCACACTGTACACGCATTCGAAAAAGCTGCATCTTGGAAGACTTCGAGGAGAAATAAGAAGATTCTGTGGAATTCACCTTGCTGAAATTTCGAAGCAAGATTATTTCAAGGTACCAAATTATCAAATCAACAATGCTTATCCATCAATCCAGGAATTGACGTTAGAAGACGTCATTTGGCTAATGCCAACTTCCACAAATCGCCAAGAAATGGACCTTTTCGAAGCTCTGACCGGATGGCTACGGTACTCGGTCAACACTCGCCAGCGTCATCTTTCTAGCGTCATGGCGCTCATCAAGTTCAGAAAGGTCAAATTTCCCGAAAAAAAGGACCCAAACTGATATTTGTTTTAGATGAACACACGCGAGCTCGTGGAAGTCCAAAGCAGCGATTTCATCATCGCGAATCCAGAATTGAAGGCGAAAATCATCGCCGCCAGCCGCCGCAATAGCTCGGCGCAGGCAAACGAGCTGAAAAGCACGATCATCTGCGCAGGTGGCTGCGGAAAGGATGGTTTACAAAACCAAATCTATTACCGCGACGAGCGCGGTTGGCACTCACTCACCTCGCTGCCTGTGCGACGCAAGAATTTCGCTATATCCGTTATTGACAGGTAATTCTTGAATAATTTTGACCAACTGTAAACAGCAATTTTGTCGTGATTAGACACTTTATGGCAACAAATTTTCTACAAAAGTATTCACTGACCTAGATAGCTGAGTCAGTTGAAGCTTGTTTTCATCAAAATACTGTAATTTTTAGCGATGTATTCGTCGCTGGTGGACTGGGAATCGACTCATCAACGCTCGCAACAGCACATCGATACAATTCTAAAGAACACAGCTGGGAATCGCTTCCGGCAATGAGCAAGAGACGAAGTCATTTCTGTCTGCTCCCGCTGAATGGTAATCTTTACGCGATCGGTGGGATGACAGATCAGTGGTCAAGTACGGACACGACGGAGGTTTACGACATCAGGAGACAGCGCTGGAGAAAGGGCTCGGTTTTGCCCGCTGCGAGAAGTCAATATGGAGCCATAGGTTTGAAATCAACAAATGAGCAATTTGAATAGAAGTCTGTTTAGTTCTCAAACGAACTGGAGAAATAATGGTGACTGGTGGAGCTGGCAGTGAGTCCTCTGTGCTTCTTCTTTCCGGTGATATGTGGATCAAAAGAAACTCCCTTCCACAACGTGTTGCTCCGAACCACTCCCTGGCGCAAGTTCATAATTCTATTTATTTGGTCGATACAAAGGTAAGGATACAATAGATCACATTGGCTTATTAGTTCAATTCTAGTCCCCAACGCTTTTGCAATACCACTCAAGCGTTGACGAGTGGACGATTCTGAAGCCCCCACCACAACTTGGATTTTCGTTATGCGTGTCGTTGAGGAATAGTCTTTTCCTGGTCGGTTCCAGGGACAGCGGAAGGTAAACAAAGAGCGTGAAAAGGCTTGCTTATGAATTTTAGTGTTGCCCTGCTGACCTCGCTTGACAAGCCCTCGCATCCCGACGGCGCCTGGAAAGCTCCAGAGCCCGTTTCAGTCCTGCCCCGCGATAACTTCCAGCTCGCCATCGTGAATATTTTAACTACCAACTAGAGATTCTAGCGCCAATTCTTGCCCCTTCTTTCGACCCAGACCTGCTCTGAAACCTCAACCTTTTTCATTTTTCTTTCTTTTTTCTATTCTATTTTCAAACGTTCAATTTTCATCTTCCTGCCTTTTGAAACAAACAATTTTATGAACCATCGTATACCAAGAACACACTCGATAACAAAACAAAACATATTCAACATCTTTTTTTTTACGCGCAGAAAGTAACGCTTCAAGACGTTGAAAATGGCGGATTGAGTCGATATGAATCTGTTACTGTATTTTGTCAATATATGATAATTTATAATTTTTCATTCCCAATAATATAATTAATAAGCTGGGAGTCAAAACAACTACTGAATACAACAAGTATGCTACTATCAATCTTAAGATGATTTTAATAATAAATAAGTCCGATAGATCGGCTCTAATAAACGACAATTTTTCTTGGAAAACGTTTAAATACGCTTTGAACAAAGGAGAAAAAGAGTAGTAATTAATTCTGATTAATTAATAATTAATAAGGATTTCGGTGAATTAATACGTGAAACTGAACTCTACCTAACGTACGAGCTAAACATATATAAAATGTAGAAAACAGGAACGAAGGATAAAAATGATTAAAAATAGAAAAAGTTACTTTTTTCGTAAGAATACTTTAAGGAGACCCGGGTTGTCTCTGTGCGGGTTGAACTTGTAGTCGTGCTGGCTTAGGTAGGCCTCAACAGCTTTGCGCAGTTTCGCTAGAATGATAGTTATTACGAGTCCAAGCTCAAGTTCTTTTTCGAAAGGATAAATGAAGAAATGAGGTAAATGGTGATAATAAATGATTGTAACTTGGTTTTTTCTTACAGAGAGTTACACAAGTGCACTCAAAGGGGTTTGTTGGCTTCATTCTTTTGCGAGCTATGGAGATGAAGAATGAAAATAATGAAATTGATGAAGAAAAAAGGGATGAAATTATTACCTTTATTGCCTTTGGAGTGACGTCCCTGGCCAGTAATTATGAAAACGTGGCTGTAATGGCCTTGCGCGGTGACTTCAGCAAGGAGCTGCTTGAGTTTCTTGATCGCTTCGTCGCGGTGAAGACCGTGGAAGTCGAAATAGTTAGCTTCAGAAGTTCCAGCGAAGCGCTCGTTGTTCTTTTGGAAAAGTCTTTCCGCCGCAGTTTTTTGCGCTTCTTGCCAGAGATTGTAATAATGCTGCGCATCGTCGCGTAGTTTTGCCGCTTCTCCGCCTCCCGCGGCGTCTCTTCGTCTTGCTGCGTCCATCGCTCGTTTCTTCAATTCCTCCCACTTTTGACGATAAAATTCTGCTTCTTTACGATTCTCGTCGTATCGTCTAGTGTGATTGATAAATTGTGGCTCGTGTGGCTCAGCAGATCCCGGACGGCTACTTGAAGTAGATTTCGTCTTTTGACGGGAGCTTGTTGGGAACTGCTTGTCAAACAGGAGAGCAAGCGTTTTGACTGTAGTCGTGTAGTTGTAGTTGTTGTCGCGGAGATAGTCTTCTAGGCGATCTTTTGGCATGCTGGGGAAGAGTTTTTGGAGCTTTTCGAGGCTCAGCTTTGTCGAGAAATGTCCCTTCTTGCCGTCGCAGGTGCTCCAGTCGCCTTGAGGTTTTTGCCGAGGCTGCTGACCAGGAATTAAAGAAGGGAACTCTTCATTCCGTGCTTCCCGTTCTTCGAGCTCCTCTTGTTGTTCACGCATCTCTGCTTCTTGAAGCGCCAAGGCGAGCTGCTCATCACTCAGTTCCTGCTCTGTGCCCCTAGGAGAAGCGTCCCCAGAGGAAGACGGCCACCACTCCATGATTTCTCTCGCTAGCTTCATTGGAATGTGGAACTCGCCGCTCAAGTTGGTGGTGCTCTTTCCGAACCGCTTGGCCAGCTGCTCCATGAGATCTTCTCCACGGCGAATCACAAATGGCTCGTCGTTGTTGTCGTGAGAAGTTGGCGTCGACGTCTCCGATCGGTTCATCGAGTCGATGACGTCTTGGTTGAAATCGAAGTCGTCCTCTTCGACATCATCTTCCATGTAGAGGCTGGAAAGGATGCTGTCGATCGCGCGCTCTGAACATTTCGTAAGGTAAGATTACGAGAAAAACGTTGGATAATCTCAATCTGATTCCTAGATCAAAAACTCACTTCTATCCGGGGAACGAGCTTGGAACTCTTTTATGTATTCAGATCGGTCAAACATTTTCTCTCGAGGGTAAAAATTATTCAACATAATTGAAAATTTCAAACAAGCAAAGTTTCCTGTTTTCGACTTTTTGAGCTTTGAATCTTGAAATCTGTCACGCGCTCAGCAAAAGGGGGATCGGAGATCGACAGAGAGCGCTAATCCCGTCTATCGGAACTGATAGCCAATTCAATTGAATTCAACAAGAAAACGGTCAAAATTTCCGTGAGAATCAATGTGAACAAGACTCGTGATTGATAAGGCGACCCCTTCCTTAGTTGGACTGAACATTTTCATGTTTTCGACTTTTCTCGTAAAAATAGAGTAAATGGAAAGTGACCTTCAAGAAGGATAGAATCGATGCTCTGATAGACCGATGAACATTTCCCTTTTTATAACTGCAAATAGAACACGTGAATCACGTGCTTTTCCCTTCTCAGCCTTTGTCCCTTTTTTCATCACGCGACGGAAAATTTCATCAGAAGAAAATTCTAGATGATGCTGGAAAAATAGAGCGTACCTTCGTTAAAACAACATTCGGACAAGGTGTTCCTCAACTGTTCGACGGATAACTTGGGGAACATCTCGCGCAGCGTTTCAATCATGCCAGGCGAAGTCTCCTCGTGGATTTCGCCCTCTACAGCTTGGCCTGACCAGTCTTGCATGTTATTCCACGAGTTGCCTTGGAACAAAGCGCCTTGAGCTGGTTCGTAATCGCCAGTCGCGGTGATAACTCGCGACTTCGTTTTTGGCACTTCGCCGGTTTGAACTCCAACGTCGCTTTTATTCGAAGGTGGCTTTTGAAGCGGCTGGTCGGACCAAACTCCACTTTGGGAAGCGGATTTGGTTAGACCGCCGGAAATGTTCCAATCAGCCAAACTCGACGAATAGGGAAACTCCGTCTCATCGTCGTGCGTATGAGAAGAGCTGTTTCGGTTTCGATTTCGTCTTCCGAAACCAATTGGCTACAAAATCTGCGTTACTTTCCCTTCTGAATCACGTAACAATACCTGCTGACTGCTAGAATCCTCAGAATCATTGACTAAGGTCTCCTCTGATTCTTGTTCGATGAGCAAATCAGTCGGAATAAGTTTCTCTTCATTTCTTGACGCTGCGCGGGAGTTTAAATTCATCAACTCTTCGTTCGAGTTTGACTTGGACACTGTTCTCGATCTTCCAAGCGCTTCTTCTTGATCGGCGATGGGTGGACAGCGGAATCTTTCTGGGTCATCAGCGGGTGGAGGAGCCATGGACTCGCGGACGGTGTCAGGGACGTTTACCGCGTTGGCTTGCATTTGGAACTTGGGTTTATTCGAATTTGGAGCTGCTGGGTTGACAGGTGGCTGTACTTTACTTTGGGGCGGGGAGGGGATTGGCATTCGCGAATGGGGCATAGCGGGGTTCATTGACATTGTTTTTAAACGCTGGGGATTCAGAGGAGCCATGGGACGTAGGGGCATTCTTGGAGTTACGTGGCGAGGTAGACCGAGTGGAGGGCCCAGCAAGCGGGCGCCGGGGGAAAAGACGATAGGATGTTGAAGAGGCACTGCGAAAGGGGCACGGGGCTGCATTCCAGTCATAAGGGTGGTGCGCGCGATTTTGACAAGCTCGGTCGTCGTACACATCTCCCAGCTTTGCTTCATGATTGAAATTCGTTGCTGAGGAACACTAAACAGCATTAGGACGAAAGACAAAGTCGGAGAACTCCTACTTGTGTCGATTTCGCCGAGCGAGTTCGCGAACATTCAGTTTCCAAACAGTATTCGGTTCTTCAATTGAAATTCGGTATCGGAAACTGAGAGCCATTTTTGCGTAGGGAAGCATCTGCCAGATTTCGGTATTTGTATTGTCAATTATCACGGCTTCGAAGCACTGAGTATTGATGTAATTTTCTGATAAGAAGGAAGTGCGCTCACCTTTTTCATGAATTTATCCGCTTTCTGGCGGCAAAACTCGTGCGCTTCGGACAAACGGGTCGGGTCAAAGTTGTAGTTGCCCCGATTGTCCATGAAGAAATCGTCGGCCGAGCAGATGATGCCTTTTTTGCCAGCTTCGTTGTAAGATTTTACGATGCTTTGGGCCAGTGTTGATTTTCCGGAGCCTGGGAGACCGCGCATCACGTACAAGTTGTAGCCGTCTTTGATTTCGACTTGGGAGCGGAGTTGCGAGGCTGGAACTGGCTCATTGGAATTGCTGCTTGGGGCCGCTTGAAAGTTACCGCCAGTTTTGGCTTGTTGGGCGAAGGAGATTGTTGGGGCAGAGCTACTAGTTTGCAGAGGAGTTGGAGCTTGGAAAGGAGGCGAGTGATTCGGCGGTGAGTCTGGCGGCGGGTCAGCTTTTTTAAATGGATCTTCTTTGTTCGCACTCGGCTTTTCCAAGCTCTCAAGGATCGCTTGCTTCTCCCGCTCTTCCCGCTGACTCATCTCGAGAACACGCTTGAGCTCCTCGTCCTCATCGGAGTCCTGCATCATACTTTGCATTTGGGGCTTTTCGGGCTCGGCTGGCTCGACCATTGAGCTGAGAAAAGCAGATGCAACGTCGACATTGCCCTCGCAGTTTTCTAGCGTATCCCGGATGCAGCCCACGTCTAAAATGTGGAATTTCTTGGAGAGCGTTGTCAACTTTTCGTCAAAGTCCGTCGCCATCAAAGTTCCTTCGTCATGTCTGAAAGTGAATGTTTGAGATTTAAAGTAAATGAATCAGAAAAGGATAAAATTAGTAAGAGCAATGGGAAAAGGAAAGGTTTAAGAGGGTTTCTTCTGTCCAAATGGGTCTTGCATGGCGAATTGCGGCGCCGGCTTTGTTGTCTCTTTCATTAATTCATAGAGCTGCATCTGCTGGTCAGCTGATAGATCGTTTTCTAATAAATCTTCGGTGATTCCTTTTCCAATATGGCCTTTTTCGATGTCTTCGCAATACATGGTCCACTGGTTAATAAACTCTTCGACAAATTGGGGCTTCGCGTCTTTGTGCTGTCTATTCAAACAGAAGATAATTTATCACTCAAGTTCAGAAGAAATCTACCTAAACTCGACTTTTGTATAAACATCGCCAAGCTGTCTCATGTCGGGAACAAGCATCGCGTTGCATTTCAAAACCCGCTTATAAAGCGCTAAAACTCGGTGGCGTTGGATCATTCTAGGGTCAATATTTGAATGCAGCGTTTTTAAAATGTCAGAATTCAACATTGAATTTTGGAACAGGGAACTTTATATTTTGATGGAAAGAGCAGAAGAGGCGGCTTTGAGGCTCATGCTTGAACTTGAACTTTGAGCATGAGGCGTCTTCACAGTCTTGGCAGAGCAGAACATCAACTGCTGGAACACAAACAACGAGCAACAGGAAATCAACAAAGCATGGACGAAACCGCGCGTGTCGATCGTCATCCAAAAGCCGATGCCAACAGGGTTGAACATGCAGAGCAAGTTGCAGCCAACGTAGATTGTCCACATGTAACCATCGCATAGGTCGAAGATCGAGGAGGCGTAGACGATGCAGAGTGGGATCACGCCAGAGAGTAGGAAGCCGCAAACGTCTTCTAGTGCCATGAAGACGTAGGCGGACAGAGGGGCGAATTCCAGAAAGAGTTGAATAACAACAAGCACTAGAATTAACAAAATATAGTTGAGATTTCTGTTGAAAGTACTTACGGGAAGAAACGCATGTGAATATAGTCCTCACGTTGTAATTTTTCTGCAAAAGGTACATGACAAAGAAGCGGCCGAGCATATTGGCTAGCCAGTACCAAATCACATTCGTTGCACTTTCTTCAGAAGAAACCTGTAAAAAGTGGTCGCATCTCGTAAAAGGGTGGAGAAACGAAAACGTCACTTGATAGCTGGTTGCGGCGAAGAAAAGTGTAATGATGTAAAACGAGAGGAAAACGTTTGACGGCTTGATTGGCTCGTTAACTATGCTGCTGTTGCTCATTGATGTCTTCGGAATGTCGACCTTTTCGTAAGTATTCAGGCAGACTTGGAGCAGTTGCATCAGAACAGCGGCGAAAAGAGCGTACGCTGGGAGGATGAATGCGTATTGGAAGGAATTGAGGACATCCGGAAGAAGAATTAGCTTCTGATAGTGTCTCGGATCGTTTGGACAGGGCTGCTCTAGAGTCGGATCGAGGAAGATTCGGATGAGCAGAGCGCCGAGGATGGAGCCAAAGGTGAACAATGCGTGAAAGCCGAGAATGTAGCGGCCAGGGTTTAGTGCGTGATCTGAAATAACATTGAAGTAAAGATGGTGAAGATAAATGCTTACTCAAAATGATCATCTGTCCTATCGAGTCAATGAGTCCATGAATGACGCCGAATAAAAAGCTAACGATGAGTAGAACGGTGAGACTGGTGATGCTTGGCGTCCAGTAGAGTGCGACAGCAGCGACAAAAGTTGCTGCGGCGAAGAGCTTGTTGGGATTGGCTTTCTTGGCGAACGTGCTTCCGAGGACACCGCCGACGAAGGCGCCAAAGATGCGACACGTGAACATCCAACTCGTCGTGCCGAGACTAGAGTCCACATTGTGGGCGAGGACGGGGATGGAAATAGATGTTGTAGCGATAAACAGACCACACTTAGGATGAAAATTGAGCACTAGAATCTTGAAAAGCTGCTCTTACCAGAGTCCTAACCCAGGCTATCCCCAGGAAGAGGAGTGTACGATCGAAGCTGTTGCTCATCTAACCAAAACCAAGTCTGCAAAAGCCTCATTCTCTGCATTCTGAAAACAATATTCTAGAAGAAAGAGAAAAATACTTTTTTGAACGTTGAATTTTTATTACATGAGATAATAATAGAATTTCAATAGATTGGTTGACAGAAATTACGATAGGTATAATTGTGATTGGGGAGGATATTTATTTGCGATCGTTTCCGAGAATGCGGAGAATATGAAGGAAAAGGTTGAGAATGTCGAGATAGAGATTGATGGCGGCAAAGATATACTCTTCGGCGGAAAGTCTTCGCATGAGCAGGTGAGTGTCGTAGATGATGAACAGGGAGAAAAGAGCAGCGCCTAGAAATTTGCTCGAAATTTGTCAGTTAGATTGGATTTAGTACCTCCAAAAGAAATGACTGAATCGAGAATCTCCGTCGGGAAGAAAATGTGCATGAGGCTGACTCCCATAAGAATCCAGAGGAAGGAGAAGAGAGCAGCGCCCCATGAAGAGTAATCTTTCTTGCTCTGGAGGGTGAAACTGGTGAGGAGGCAAAAGACGGAAAGTGTAATGAGACAAGCGCGGATTACAACGGTAGCTTGGTAGTAAGTCACCACGGTGGCGATGGAGATGGCTTCGAGGAATGTAAAGGCGCCGAGGAGAATGAAATTCGTCTAAAAATGGGCTAGGAAAGGAAGCTTTGGAAAAGGATTACGGGAAAGTTTCGTCGATGAACCATGAGAGCAATGAGCAGGCCAAAACAGGCAAGACCGGAGATGCCGGGAATTGCCGGATTTGCTTGTAAGAACAGTTTGACAGGATCAAAGGCCATGCAGATCGCAGAGACTCCGATAGTCATCAGAATCTGAACATATAGATTAATTCGCTCCTGTTCAATTAGTGAGAAAAGTACCTGAACGGTGAGGATTCCATAGACTTTACGAAGGAAGCCCTTTTGGATCTCGGCGGAGGAGGAAAGAACATTGTTGCCATAATTGAAATCATCCTCTGAAATTTAATTCATTTTTCAAATTTTTATTTTTTCTCTCTTGAAAGTACCGATAGATAGGCTTACCGGACTAAATTTTGGCCCATTTTTCTAGCTTATTTGGGGGGTCATATGATACAGTATTAGAAAGCCCAGAAGCTGGGCTTTCATTTGGGCACCATATCAAGGGGTTTGGGTCATGCCCGGAAGGCAAATTTTGGGACTGGAAGTTCCAAATTCGGGACAAAAACTCTTCTACCGATTTTTACGATGGGTTTGGGATATCTAGAGCTTTGAAAAATAGGTGACATAGAAAGCTTAGACTCTGAGCTTTCTTAACCCCTGCCCGCATATCGACCTACGCGTAGGTAAATTTTCTTTTAATCGCAATTATACTTATGGAAAAACGACATTTGTTCACGTTTGACATTTGACATTTGATATTTGATCATGTCCAGAAGATAGCTCAGCCTTTTATCTTTCCATTCAAGTCCTTTCGAAAATTTTATCACGACTCAAAGACCCTTAAAGGGCCCGACCTACGCGTAGGTCGATATGCGGGCAGGGGTAACAAATTTTCCGTGCGGGCAGGGGTTAAGAGCCAATAAAATTTTGCCGCCCGTTGGTCTAGCGCCCTCTAATGGCCCTAGAAGTTGAAATGGACAGTGCTTTAGTCTGGAAACTTCAGGTTTCGACTCAAAATTTTCGAATTCTAAACCTACTTATTTCGTTTCTTGAACAACTATAAACAATAAATGAGTCTTAGAACATTGAACCACGGTTGATCTGGGAGGTTGTTTCTCATTTTTTCCCGAGTTTCTGTCGAAAAATACCCATATTCCCAAGTTCTCTGGCCACTAGAGTGCGTTAAACCCGAGGGCGGCAAGCTTTTATTGGCTCTAAAGAAAGCTCAGAGTCTACACTTTCTAATTCACCCACTCTCCATTGCCCTTGAGATCCCAAACCAATCGAAAATATCGATCAAAGAGTTCTAGTGCTTATTTGGGAACTTCCGGTCCCAAAATTTGCCTTTCGGGCATGACCCAGACCCCTTGATTTTGGGCTCAAATGAAAGCCCAGCTTTTAAGCATTCCAAATATGTGTCATAGGACCCCACAACTAAGCTAGAAAAATTGGCCGAATTTTAGTCCGGTAAGCCTACCGATAGAACTTCTATTCTTCTGGGGATTCTCTTTGTAATCAATCAGCGGTTCTTCCATTTCTCCTTTCGCCATTTTCTTTTCTTCAATTTTCAATTTCTCGGATTGCTTCGAAAATGGTTCGGTCTCGAAGGGAAAAAGAAAGTCGCGCTCGGCCAATCGGCGCTCAAATCTGCGTTCCCAGATTACTCACTTTCTCGCCCATCTTTCACTTCCTGGAATAAAGAGAAGGGAAAAAGAATACAGTAAGAGATATTTCTAAGAAGAAGAAATGACAGATACGAATGTGAAAGCCTGGCTTAATTCTTGGCTGCAGAGAAAACAAATCCACCCTAATTATGACATAAGACCTGGTAATACAAAGATAACTTTAGAAATAATGAAAATGTATTTTTTTATTAACTTTTGAGTCTATTTTTAGTCATATCAGTATATTTTAAACTAATTCGATCTATTTTTATTTAATAAAAATCGTTATTTTAGCTCCCGGTCGAGGAAAAGTTCGTTTCAAGTGTGAACTTCGAGCATCAAGCTTTGGCTACATCGGAGTTGGAAACGCTGGCTCAAAGAAAGATTCTCAAGCTCACGCTGCTTTCGATTTCTGCCAGTATCTCCTGCGAGAAGGACATGTTAACCAGTCTGAATTTCCGTTTACAAATGCTGGAGTTGTCCCCGAACCTAGTTTCACCGCCGATAATTCTCCTGGATTCAAAGGTAGGCTTTCTTATTTGCCATTATCTTCTTATTTTAAAAAGGAGGACCGGTGTCACTTCCAGGCGGAAAACAACTGCCTCACACGAAACTAGGAGCGACTCCTCAAAATCAAGAATCCGGGCATTTCGGTGGCTATGGCAAATTTGGCGCTGGGGCTTCCGCGAAAGGACAAATGCTCGCCGACTACCAGAATCGACAGCAAATGCTAGACCAGCGAACAGCAGATCAAACTGCAAATGCTGAAGGGGTCGATTTGACTGCGAAAATCCACGGTGGATGGACGCTCGAAAATGGGCGACAGCAACTGAACCAGTTCTGTGTGGATAATCGTATTCAAGCACCACAGGCGAGTTTTCGCGCTGTTGGGCCTGATAACATGCGTTCTTTTCTTGCGGAGATGACCTTCTACGTGCCCAAGCTTCGTAGAAGCCTCCAGGCGAGAGAGTCTGCTTCTACTAAAAAGGTACCACCTCTATCTTTGCCCAACCCTTTCTTCAGCAAATTTTAGTCTGCGGAAAGATCTGCTTCCCTCTCCATCGTCCGTCAGCTTTATCACCTCGGCGCGATTCCAGCTTATACTGGCGAAGCAAAGAAGAAACAGTCTGAAACAGAGTTCGACCCGATCGGCGGCGATTTCAATGACGACCTAGCAGCAGAACTGAAAAGTACAGTCAAGGAGCTGGGCATCCAAGTCGCAGATTTCACCAAAGATGGTTCGCTCAATGTCGAAAGCATGGTTAAATTCGAAGAGCAAGAGCCTGTTCCTGGCGGTTGTATTCCTTGGTGTCCTCCGATGCCCAGTTGGAATCCTTGGACTGGGTCGAACATCGAAGAAGGGCCTTATGTGTCTGCCTCGATGGAAGAGATCAACGCTGATATTGAGCAGCAGGAACAAATCCGACTCTCGCAAATAGACCCCGCCATCGCCGAAACACGAAACAATCTGCCAATTTTCAATGCTCGGCAACAATTGCTCGATACCATCAACAACAACACCGTCACAATCGTCAAGGGAGCAACCGGAAGTGGAAAGACAACACAACTACCTCAATACATTCTCGAGCAAGCCTTGGAGGCCAAATGCGGTGGCGAATGCAACGTTATTGTCACCCAGCCAAGAAAAATTTCAGCTGTTTCAATCGCTGACCGAATCGCAAAAGAACGAGGGGAGGAGCAAGGTCAATCTTGCGGCTATTCGGTGCGCTTCGAATCTGTCTTTCCGAGATCACACGGTTCGATCATGCTCTGCACGGTCGGAGTGCTTCTTCGAAAGCTAGAATCTGGCCTCCGAGGAGTCAGCCACGTCGTCGTTGATGAAATTCACGAGCGAGACTTGAACACAGACTTCTTGCTCGTCGTCCTTCGAGACATTTACGCAGAGTTCCCGAATGTCCGAATCATCCTCATGTCAGCAACAATCGACACTAGTGCCTTCTCAGAATACTTCGGCGGCGCACCTGTCGTTGAAGTCTCAGGAAGGACGTTTCCGGTGACACAGTACTTTTTGGAGGATATTGTGCAGATGCTCAACTACAGCCCGGAAGTTAAGATCATGAATTCAAAGCAGCGAAAGAGAAAGAAGCGCAACGATGAGCAAAACGAAGAAAATGCGGAAGATCAGGACGCGCTTATTCAACAAGACAAGACAAACTGCAACGAACTTGTTAGCGAAGATTACGCTCCAGAAACCCGACAGGCCGTTTCTCAAATGAGTGAGGCACTCATCGATTATGGCGTCATCGAACAACTGCTTTCGTACATCAAGAGTTTGAATGTCCCCGGCGCGATTCTAGTTTTTCTTCCTGGATGGGCCTCGATATCTGGACTGATGAGGCATCTGAACAATCATCACATTTTCGGCGGACCTGGTTATCGAATCCTTCCGCTTCATTCTCAAATTCCCAGGGAAGACCAGTACCAAGTTTTTGTTCACCCACCAGAAGGAGTCACAAAAGTCATCCTGTCAACTAATATTGCCGAAACTTCGATAACGATCGACGATGTTTCGTTCGTAATTGATTCGTGTAAAGTGAAAATGAAGATGTTTACTTCTCACAACAACATGACAAATTATGCTACCGTGTGGGCATCTCAATCAAATATTGAGCAGCGAAAGGGTCGAGCTGGTCGAGTTCGTGAGGGTTTCTGCTTCAATCTCATCACAAAAGAGCGCCACGATCGACTGGACGAGCAAGCTACTCCTGAAATCTTGCGAACTCCGCTTCACTCGGTCGCTCTCACGATCAAGCTCCTGCGTTTGGGAAGCATCGCTGATTTCTTGTCCAAAGCTCTTGAAGTCCCTTCTCTCGATGTCGTCATTGAGGCTGAACACACTTTGAAGGAGCTCAACGCTTTGGACAAAAATGGAGAGATGACACCACTCGGCCGGATCCTCGCCCGACTTCCGCTGGAGCCAAGACTCGGAAAAATGCTTATTCTCGGCGCCGCCTTCGGAATTGGCGACTGTATGACGACAATTGCCGCGGCTTCTTGCTTCAACGAGCCTTTTCAAATTGAAGGTAAACGAATGCCTGGCAAGCATCGTCAATACGCGGGTGATAGATTCTCTGATCATGTGGCTTTGCTCTGTCTGTTTGACGATTGGAATCGAATACGAGAGGGCGGCCCAGACCGAGAGCAGAGCTGGTGTGATGCCAAACAGATAAATATGTCGACAATGAGGTGCACTTGGGAAGCGAAACGGCAACTGATGGAAATTCTCTTCAATTTCGGCTTTCCCGAGGAATCGCTAGTACCCAAAGGAATCACGAACAGCCAAGAGGACGAACGACTTGATGCTGCGATCACTCTACTCGCTCTGGCTCTCGCACCAAATGTAGCAATTCATACCGATGGCCGAAAAGTGATTGTTGATGGGAAGCAAGCGCTGCTTCACAAACATTCGGCCAACTGCCCCTTCGGCAACAAAGGAGTCGTCTTTCCTCATCAAGCGTTCATGTTTTCGGAAAAAGTGCGAACCAAATGTGTCACTGCCAGGCAAACGACAAATGTAACGGCTGCTCAACTTGTTCTTTCGTCGAAATCTGTGGCGGTCTCCGATGGAATCGTTACCGTCGATGAGTGGATTCCAATCGCGGTAATTACGAGAGATTATTTTATTGAAATATCATCGATTCTTTCAGATGAAGCCAGAAAATGCTGCTTATCTTTGCTCGCTGAAATCGGAAATTGACGGAATCGTCATCACGAGCGTCAGTAATCCAGAAAATGTGATATCTTTTGGAAATGAAGACAAGATGCTCATCGATATCATCACGAAAGTATCCTCTCCTCTCGCGATTCCAAGGTTTTTGCTTCTTTTCAAAATAGTTTTTCACTTCAATTTAAATAGCTCTTCTTCACTGCAAGATTGTCATCAATCAATCCGAGGAATGGACCGATTTGAGAGTTTTGGCATGGGTGCTCCACCTCCGAAGCAATTTGCAAGAGGTGGTTTCCAAGGTGGTGCTTCTGGTGGCAGCCCTGGAGGAGGCGGACGGTCTTGGACTCCGCAGAGAGGTTCTCCAGGAGGCAGCTTTGGAGGAGCCCGTGGAGGTGGCAACTTTTCAAGTCCAAGGCCGATGGGAGGAGGAAGAGGTGGCATTCTTCCCGCTAACTTCGGCATGGAACGAAGAGGCGGTGGATTCGGCAACAGAGGCCGAGGATTTGGTGGTAATCGAGGCTCATTTGGAGGCAACAGAGGCTCGTTCGGTGGGAATAGAGGCGGAGGCTTTCGAGGTCGAGGAGGTTTCGGGGGCAACCGACAAGGATACTTCTAAAGGCTCCTTTCTGATGATCCACTTACAGTTATCTATCTTATCCCGTGCGGTTCTAGCTGCCCGATGGTAAATCACGAACTTGAAATGAATGAGTTGTTAGTAAAAAACAACAAAAAAAACGAGGGGAAATTGTGATTTGCCATCGGTTCGTTAGAACCAAAGTTTCGGATGATATTTTGACGGTCTAAAAATAATGTCCGAATCTTTACTTTCTTCATTTATCCTCTTTCTCAGTTAGTCACAATTTTCCTGCCACTTGAAGACATTCAATCAACGTCTGATTGATTGTTTTCCTTATCCAAAAATTGAAAACAAGATTCATGTTTTTCTTTACCGTGAAATTCTTGAATCGCCTTTTGGCTGACAGCAAAATTTCTTGTCAACCAAAGGGCGATTTGAAAATTTCAAAAACCTATTTTTTTTTCTTTGACAAACCAAGTCAAGACATCCAAAACCAGTCAATTTCGTTTTAGAATGAATAGGCGAGTTCTGTCGATCGCTTCTGCTGGAATTGCAACTTCATTTGTCACTTTCCGAAATCGTCAGAAGAAGAGACCAGTTGCAGCCAAGGAATACCTGCTTAGTCCGAAATTAGAGCACGATTTTGACCTCAAGTGGGATAAACTTAAACCTCGATCTGGATACAGGTGAAATTTTAATCAAAGAAGATTTTGTATTCATGCTTTTTAGAGATATTTATTTGGTTCGACACGGGCAGTACCACGTGAAAGAAAAGAAGCGCGAAGACAAGCTGCTAACTGAACTGGGCCACAAACAAGCTCATGCGACTGGCGAGTGGTTCAGAAATCGTCAAATCAAACCAACCGAGTTCATCATTTCTACAATGCCAAGAGCGAAACAAACTGCCGAAAACATTCTCGCAGAAATGGGCGATTTAGTCTCAGAAGATGTCATTCATCGAACAGAGATGGTCGAGGAAGGAGCTCCGCCGACTGCACCGATTCCCAAAAGGAAGCACTACGAAAGCGACGAATATAAAAGATATTTGCATGCTGATGGCGGCCGCATCGAAGGTTTGATTTAGGTGTAAGCTCAGAAAATGACATTTCGTATTCAGCTGGCTTCAGAAAATACATCCACCGTGGCTACGCCTCCGAAGAGAAGGGCGAGAATCAAGTAGCAATAATCGTCTGCCACGCAAATGTGATCCGCTATTTTATGATGCGCCTGATGCAAGTCGATGGCTCTGCCTGGCTCAGATTCGGACTCAACCACGGCTCAGTCACGCATGTTCGTATTTTCGGAAATGGAGACGTCAGAGTCTACTCGATGGGCGACAATGCTTTTATGGACCGATCGCTTTTCTCAATCTGAAAAAATATATCTTCCTTTCTGTTCAAAATCATCTAAAAATTCCTATCCGCAATAAAAAATTCTAGTTACATTTAGTTTCGTTTTTAAAATGTTTGCCAAGGCGCGTTTCTAAGGCAACTCATCCTAATTCACAAAACCACGATTTTATAAAGTTAAGAAAAAGCGCAGAAAACGGGAATATGGGGGAAGAAATGATCGACGATCTGTGCGCCATGTTCAAAAAAGACGTACGAGCTGATGTCCGTCTCACCGCTTCGAATCAAGTTCTAGCGCTGACGGGCAGTGCTGAGGGCCGCCTGTTTATTCGCCAGCATAGGAAACTGGTGAGACAACGGCTAGTGTTCTCTTTCCTAGAATTTGTAGGTAGAACTGATCTTGTCGAACATTGCCGAGAGCGGTAGAATACAGCTGGACGCGGTTCTAGAACTCGTCAATTTAACAACAGACGAGCCTTTCTGCGAAATTTTATTGAATCAATACGAAGTCGTTGACACGTGAGAGCCTTTTTAATCAACATTCCTTTATTTGATTCTAGTTTCGTAAAACAAATTACAAACGCAAAATCTATTCATGCCGATAAATTTTGTTCGATTCTCTCGAATTTAACACGGAACAGTCGGCACGCAACGCTGGTCTTTGAGAAAATTGGAAAAGAAGGATTAAACTTGCTGTTTGGCATCTATCTCAAGATCAGCTACAACTCAGTTGGGAATACGCTCGATTATCTTGGACAGGTGCTCGCCAATTTGACACAGGTATCCACTTTCTCATCCCCTTTTCTTCATTCAAAGGTGCCAAATGGACGTCTCTTCTTCCTCGACAAAGAAAAGCTCAACATTCAAAAGCTGCTTCCTTTTCTTACGCACGAAAACATCGTCAGAAGAGGCGCAGCAGCGATTCTTTTGAAGAACATCTGCTTCGTTTCCGACGACAACAACTGGCTCCTCGGCCCTTCCGTCGACATTTTACCCGCGTTGCTATTGCCCCTCGCTGGAGGACCGGAAATAGCGAATTTGGACATGGATGACATGGATAAACTACCAGATGATTTGCAGTTTTTAGAAGAGACGAAAGAAAGAGAGGTTTTTTGTTTCTCCTCGGCAAAAATAATCATCATTGTAGGTTGATCCTGATATCAGAAAAATGCTTGTAGAAGCTATTCATTTACTTTGTAACAAAAAAGAAGATCGTCAGTATATTCGAGGTAAAAGAAACGCCCTAAAATTGATGTGAAACAACCATATAATGACCTTCAATTATCATTAACAAACTTTCTTTTACCAGAAAAGAACACTTACGTGATCCTGCGCGAGCTGCACAAGTTTGAAATGTCCCTGGAAGCTGAAAGGTAGAACAGTTCATTCCACAGTTCACGATCAAATTAAAATTGCAGTGAGAATAATCGAGCTATCCAGCAGCTAATCGATTTATTGATCGGCGATGACCCCGACGTAAGCGAATTATCAAAAGTCGAAGGAAAAGGTCTCCAAAAATTCCAAAATACTGGAAATTTCAAAAATGAAAGTGGATTTTTCGCGATCTGAATTAGTTCCTGAGGAGTTAAAGGCGAAGCTAGAGCAGACGGACAAGGAGGAGCTGGAGAGGATAGAAAAGTACAAAAGAGGAGAGCTCGAGGAAGACGACGAAACCGCCGGAATCGTCATGATGAAGTGAAAAAGTTCAAGAAAAGAAAGAAAAGAAGATCTTTCTGTTCGAGCCTGTTTTTCCCATTTTAATCAAACAGAGTTCACAGAAAAAGAGAGACTGATTTGGAATTTTTGTTCAGTGGAAATCGTATATGTCAACTGCGCCAAATAAATCACCCTGTTGTAAATGTTTGCGCTGGTTTCCTCGGGATGAACTAACTGCCAAGAACTCTTTCTGCGTGCGATGTGCTAAGAGCCCTTCAGCCAGGGGCGCAAAGGTACAGTTCTAGAATTCATTATTGATCGGGTTTGTTGACGGGCGTTATTCTAGTGCCGCTGGTGTAGGGGCAACTTGCCGCTGCCTGAAAATGGAAAAGAACCGACCTCTGTGACGTGCGAAAACTGTACCAAGTTGCAGCTCAAATATGGCCCGGTGAGTCCCACTTTCTGGTAATTTTCGATCAATAGATAAACTGGTAACTTTTCTCTTAACTTTTTCTTCATTATAATTTATAAAGTTTCCTTGATCGTTCTTCCTTGATTTCAATAATGATCACTTGAATAGATTTTTGTTGTAGCCGGTCCATTGTACGCTTTGTAAACTTGAAGCGAGTTTCAAAACGAAGCGCGGTTCCAAAGTCTGCCGCCGCTGCGACTACTGCATTCAAAATTACGGCAAGCCCAAGTCCTGCGAAAAGTGCAAAGTCAAGGTAATGTATTTGTTGCTTCTTTTATTGAACAGCATGGAGCAGTTATTGAGCAATTTTATTAGGCCGCTTGGGAAGGTGGAAAAATCGAAAAAATCAATGGGCTGACACTGTGTTTTATTTGCACCTTCAGAGAAAAGAGAAAGACCAAATTAGGAGTCACATCTTCCAAAGAGCAGGAAAATACAAAGCCTAAATTACAAAATGGAGAGATCAAGCCACCAAAAAAGAGTTCCAGCGACAAGTCAAAAGAAAAGGCGAAGGAAAAATCGAAGAAAAAAGCGGTCAAACATGTTGATGATCCAACAGAAGTGAAGACGATCGCCGCTCCTATTACCTCAGAATCAATCATTGAAAACCTCAAAATCTCGGAAAAAGAAGTCGTCGAGACGATGCAAGTGGACGAGCACACCAGCGCAAGTATGCAGGTGAACGACTTGTTGTTGAAGATCAAGGAGATGAACGCGGAACTGGCGCGGCGCAAGAAGCTAATAGAAGAAAAGGATGTTTGCATCTCGAGTCTCAAGGGCACGCTGACATCGGCGACGAGCGAGCACGAGCGGCAGCGAAAGAACTGGGAGTCCAGGCTCAGCGAGCGGATTTCCGAGTTCAAGGGAAAAATTCTAAAGCTGGAAACAGAGTAAGTTCATGTTTCAGTGAATCAATCATTTGTTGAATCAACACATTTGCTGAAAGAACAAGCGATTTCTGATTATTTCCTTCGCCCTTTATTAATAATTCACAAAAGAGGCGAGAAAAGAAAGATCCCTCGAGAGGGGCATCGGATAAACGCTAACTCGGTTAAAACTAAAGCTGAAAAAGGGGAAAACTCAAAATCAAATGATGAATTTAGGAATGCCAAGCTGCGCAAAGAGAAGTCTGATCGCAAGAAGAAAAACAAGACGAAGAAGATGGCGAAGCAGACGACCATGATACGCAAAGATCCAAACGCAGTCAAGCTCGAACTTTTCAGCAACAGCCTCAAAATTCCCGAGCGATCTTCAAGCAGCAGGACAGGCACGCCAGAACCAAACATGAAGAGAAAAACTGACAGCGATTCCGAAATTGCAAAAATGACGATCAAAACGTCCAAAACATCGCCTCAGCTAGACTCAAGGTACTAACTTCAACCAATCCTCTTTTTTACCAATATTTTGTAGCGACGAGTCCGAAACTGAAAATAAAAACCCACCAAAACGCATCAAAACCATCGATTCAGACGATGACGACGACGAAGAGGAGCGAATTCCAAAAACTGAAAACAAGGTCAGAAATTTGTAAGAATTGACTTTTCCCAACTATTTATCAAAGAGTGACGATGACGAAAAATCAAAGCGGAAAATCAGCTCAGACTCCGACGATGATGATGTGGAAGCAACGCTGAAAGCTATCGACGAAGAGGAGAAAAAGTCACTTGAGGAGGCGAATAGAATAAAAAACGAATATGCAGCATCTCAAGCAGATGATAGTAATGTAAATGCTTCTTCTAAATCGCCTTCGCCCGAAGAAGCAAAGGATGATCCTCAGAATATCGATGAAGCTGCTGCTGAATCTCCAAGCGACAAGTAATAAAATCGATAATGTCCCCAAACCTAATATTTCTTTCTCTAAAGAGCGGATAGTGAGCAAGCCACTGGGCCCCAAACACCTCCTGACAACCCTCCTGCTGAAGACAAGGAGGAAGAGGAAGGAGTGAAAGACGAAACCGTGCCGATGTTATCCGACAGCTCGGAGGACGAAGATGATGACTTGATCGACACTAGGTTTCGATATTAGTGGGTGCACATACTATCTTTCATCATTTGGGTGTTCATTGGGTTGAATCGACAGAGAAAAAGACTGTTGATCGAAAAATTTCACACTCCGCAAAAACTACTCATTTGTATTTTTAATTTATTCTATTTTCAAAAGATGAGCCTTCAAAAAGCCTCCTACATGGACCAGTACGAAAAAAACACTTTCAGTTAAAGTACACCATCTATTTAAAACGTCAGTTACACTACAGTTATTCTCAAAAAATCAACTTCCAACGACGGTTCAAAAACTATCACTATGCTCTTAAAGATCTCTCTTTGCCTATAAATCCTAAAGATTCCAGATTCCACAAATTTCTATGTTTCGAAAGGTTCTTGTATTGTATTATTTTTCTCCTTAAGAGCTCCTTTTTTCATGACAACTTTCTTTTTACTATGTGAGCGTATCTTCTTTATTTTACAAAAGTATAGTTTTTCTGCTTTTTCTGTTTCCGTGGATTCAATTCAGTTTCCACAAGAAGTTCTTTCCTATTTTCAACTTTACCAAAAATTAATACCGTTTCCCCAAAATTCACTATTCAAAATTTTTTCTTGTTTGAATGTTTCTTCTTTTGTTCATTGCAGCTTAAAACTGCACCAATTTAAAACTACTTCGCGACCTTTTGAGTTTCTCTCTTTTCTTTTCAAAATTGCAAGTTTGCCACAGTTCAGAATTTAACATGGTTTTTGAACCCTTCACTTCTTTGACGCTTGAGTTCTTTAGAAAATGCCTTTGGAAGATACCATCTACTGTGCACAGCAAATCAACATTCCAGCTGAGCTGCCCGAGCTCCTAAAGCAGTACACCAAGGCTGCTATCAGAACACAGCCCAAGGACATTATTCAATGGTACGTCAATTAAAACAATAAAATCAAGGAAGACTAACAAGAAACGTATCTTTCCCATTAATCGTCTCTTTTAGGTCCGCCGCGTACTTCTCGGCGCTTTCTTCTGGCGATACTCTTCCCGTCAAGCGACGACTGGAGCCCTTCAGCTCGGACGGAATCACAATGGGCAACCTCGAAGTCCTCGTCCAACAGTACAAAGGCCAGGAGCAAGAAGTATCAAAGAAGGATCTCGAGCAGAAGTGGGGTAAGCAAACGTCTCTTTTGAATCCATTTCATTATTTTTATAGTTGATTTGGGACTCCCAAAAGAGCAGCTTGCCGAGTTCTGCATAACTGGCAGTTTTGGTGATGTTCTCAAATTCGACAACTTCACCGGCGTCGCCTGTCTTCACATTGGTCAAGTAAGAACTCTTCTCGACTTTCTCTTTAGTTATGGCTTCTTTTAGCAAATTTCGGAAGCCCTGAAGCTTATTTGCCAACTGTTGAGCAACGATCCTCCAGGATATGCCGAAAGAATCGAGTACCAAAGGTAAGCAGTTCCTTTTTACGGTAGAAACAGCTGTCGATTTGTAGATTTGCTGACATTTACACATTTTTGGCTGGCCTTAGTGGAATCCCAAGCGCTCAAGTAGAAATGGTGCTGCATTATCTCAACCAAGAAGCGTAAGCTCCCCTCTCTTCCACCTAAATTTTTATCATTCTGATTCTAGCGGTAAACAAGGCGGTATGGTGATGCCTCGAAACCTTGCTACGGCCGAGTGCCCCTCCCTAGGATAAGGCCCTTTCCTTCTGGCCCCAACCGAACTCGTAAAAAAGTGATGTTTCAACCTGTTTCTAGCTTTTTCTTTGAATGGCAATGCGAACAAAAAATCTATCTCAAAATAAAAATTCGATGAGTACAATTCGAAAAAATATATTTAAATAAACCAAACCAAGTATCTTCAATTTCAGTTACTGCTTTTGATATTTTTTCCTTTTTTTTATTCGTTACTGTTTTCATAATCCATCAACTTCAAAATCTCATCTAAGCAATGTTCCTTCATTCGTTCTTGAATTCCAAGTTTCTATTTTTCATTCAAAAGAAAGACAAAAATCCTGCATGGAAAATGTCGTCCATCTGTCATATTGTTTGTACTATCGTAAACATATATATTTTTGATACAAAAACACAAGTGCTCGGCTCTTTTTAAAAGACGGTAACTAAGAATGACGTGCGAGGGAGTAAATGAAAAGGGAGGAGAAAAGAACTGCTGTAAGAAAATAGTGAAAAAAGTTGCCGCGCCGCGGAGGCTCGGGGCAAATGCGATTCCAGAGGAGATTTTATTGAATAAGTCGTTGAACGATGCGATTGCAGCCACTTTGCCGAAGAATTACAATTTTGTTACGGATAAAAATTGTCAGAATAATAAATTTCATTCTCCAGCCTCTTTATTGTAAAAGAAATGATTGTCAATATCCTGGTAGAGATCCACAAAACCATATTCAAAATCCAGTCTTTGAAAACCGAGGATCAAAAGCGAGTTGCCCTTCAATTTCCTGAGGGCTTGTTGCTCTTTTCCACAACGATTGCTGAGTTGCTTGAAAAGTTCACCGGATGTATTTGCATTATCATGGGCAATGTGACGTACGGAGCCTGTTGTATTGACGATATTTCGCCGCGGTTGTTGGGCTGCTCTTTGCTTGTTCACTACGGGTAAGGAGGCTGCAGTGACAGAGTTTTTCATTACTTTTTAGTCACTCCTGTCTGGTGCCAATAAACAAAACGACGATCCAAACGCTCTACATCTTCGTCGACATCGAAATCGACAGGGCGCACTTTATCAGCTCGATTCGAGCAAACTTCAAGGCCGGTACAAAGATCGCGCTAATCAGTACGATTCAGTTCGTTGCGACGTTACAGACCAGTGCGCAGGAACTAGCTGAATATGAAATCGTTCTACAGCACAATCAGCCCCTCAGTCCCGGTGAGGTACTTGGGTAAGCAATTATATACTTTCTTCCCCAATAAATTGAATTCGAAGCTGTACCGCGCCGTCCGTGGGTGATTGCGAAGCTCTGATCTATCTTGGCGACGGTCGATTTCACCTGGAAGCTGGCATGATCGCCAACCCAACTGTTCAAGCGTACAGATACGACCCATACGATCAAAAATTCACCCGGGAGAATTATGACCACGAGCTAATGAAAAACAATCGGCGCGGGCAAATTGAGCTAGCGAAAAATGCCAAGAGTTTTGGAATAATTCTTTCGACGCTGGGACGACAAGGAAATCCGAAAATCCTAGAAAATGTCATTCGGCTTATTGAAAAGCAGGGGAAGGAGCACTTTACGATCCTGATGGCGGAAATATTCCCGGACAAACTGGCGTTGTTTGAGGACATCGACTGTTGGATTCAAATTGCTTGTCCAAGATTGTCGATTGATTGGGGACTTGGATTTGAGAAGCCGTTACTGACGCCGTTCGAAGCTGCAGTAGCGCTTCAGGAAGCTCAGTGGCAGCAAGATGTGTACCCGATGGATTATTATAGGTTTCGTCTCTTCGTGTTCTTGTCATTTGATGGTTTTTAGTTATAAATCGCTGGGAAACTGGACGAACAATCATAAAGACAACAATTTGAACCACCCTGATCATCGAGAAGAAAAAAGGCGGCAGAGAAGGGAGCATCGCAAGATCAAGTCTTGACTGTTTTAGTTTTAATAATTAATAAATGAAGTTCAAAAGGAAAATAAAAGATTGGTGGTTTGATTTTGGTGCTTTAGATTGAAGTCGTACGATGCAAGCCAGTGCGGAAATTTCGCACAAAGTTCGTCTTGCAATCAAGGTACCGTGCATCTTTCTTTTCAACAGTTTCAAATCGGTGGTTTAGACGAAGTTAACAGAGCTAGGCGCGTATGTAGACGATGAACTGCCAGACTATGTACTCGTGATGGTCGCGAACCGACGAGGCCGCGCAGACATGAAAAAGGAATTAGAGCTATTTCTCGGCGATGCGACGGACAGATTTTGTACCTGGCTTTTTGGCGTTTTAGATCGACTAAAAGATGCGAAGAAGGGCCGGGAGTTAATGTGAGCAATAAGCAAAGAGGGTTTATGTTAGAAAATGATTCAGGGACAAAAAGAAAAGCGAAAAATTGGAAGACAAGGAGCTCGACGACTTCAGCGAAGACGAAGAAGAAGAAAAAACGAGCAAAAGCAAATCAAAGCCGAAATCGCCCACTCCAGAGCCAAAAGAGTCGAAAAAATCTTCCAAGAAACGAAGCCCAACGCCAGAAAAGTCCGTCAAGTCGAAAAAGAAAGAAAGAGCAGCGTCGAAATCGCCAGCGCGAAATGGAATGCCATCTTGGTCGCCTCAGCGCAAGAAAAAAGAGAGCAGATCCAGAAGCAGATCGAGATCCAGGAGCAAGTCAAGAAGCAAGAAGACAAAAAGACGCTCTCGCTCAAGATCCGATTCTCGTTCGAGAAGAAGCCGAAGTCGTAGCCGCGATCGCAAGGAGAAAAAGAGCAAAGGTAAATTGTAAAGTGAAAAGTTTTAATGAAATTGTATTCTCAAGACAAAAAATCAAAAAAAGACCGGAGAAGATCGCGATCTCGTTCGCGGTCGCGCAGCAAAAAGGACAAAAAATCCGACCGACGAAAAGAACTCGAAGAAGAAGAAAAACGTTCCAAAGCTCGGGAGAGAGCGCGAGAAAAGGGCGTCAAGAGCTCGATTGTCGTGAAGAGAGAGGAAGTCAAAGAACGACCTTCGGAAGGCGACAAAACCGAAAAGTCGGCGAAGCCAACTAGTAATTTAATTATTCGTGCAATCAATGAATCTTCTGGCACCTCGAAGAAGAAGCTCAGGTACTTATTCAAAAAAGTCTAAATATTTGAACTACTGTAACTGTAGCGGTATCACACGCTCGATCACAGTATCAAAGCCTGGCGAAACTAAGGTCGTGACGAGAACGATCGAAAAAACTGGCGATAAGCGACGAAGCAAGACCAAGGATGAAGGGCGAGAGCCTATTAAAAGTACGGTTGTTTTCTTCATTTACATTTTGATTTTTCGTCTTTTAGTCGTGAAAAAAAGCTGATTCCCGTGTGTTTGTCACGAAGAACGGCGGCACGGACAAATCGAAGCGAGCTTCATCCCCTAAATTCGTCGTCACATTGGAGGGCAAAAAAGGTGCGGACTTGAAACATTCTAGAGCCGTCTTACGTAATCGCCCTCTTTTATTGATGATTGCTCTTCATTTTTGAGCTTCAGGTTCGACCGCTGCGCTGAAGACCAAAACGAAAAAGAAAGTCGAGGAAGAGAACGAAGAAGCTCTTGTTATTCACCCCGACGACTCCGACGATGAGTCGAGCAAGTTGCTCAAGACTTCGGAGCTCACCGACGAAGCCCAGAAAATCAAGCAACTTCAGAAGACCACGCTTCCTCAGGAAATGACACCCACGGTAATAATCAACAACAAAGACCATCTGTCTATTATTTTAAGCCAATCGTTCCGACGATGGAGATAAATGCCGCGCTTGACTCGTCTGATCAGGACAAGAGAACAATCTTCGTCTCCGGTCTCGACGTCGCCACAACAGAGCCAGAGTTGAAGGAGCATTTCCAAGTTTGTGGCACCATCCTAAGAGTGACTATTTTACGCGACCGATTCACCAGAGTTTCCAAGGGCTGCGCTTATATTCAGGTTCCTCTTCGATCAACCATGCATTTGATTACAGTTCTTTTCAGTTTGCTTCTGTGGAGCAACGAAAAACTGCCGACGTATTTGATATGACTGAAATCCACGGAAAAACGATAAAAGTAACGCAGAAAATAAACCGAGCAGAGTTGCACAGTGCTCCTCCAGCCACTGCACCGGCCCCTGCTTATCACAAACCCTACAAGCCTCATTTCAATGTAAGTTCTATTCCTTGCTATCAAATAAGCTAAAGCCTATTTTAGTCAATAAAGCCTGGCGGCCACAACCCGTATTCGTGGACGAGAAGCGGCTACATGCCCCCGCGCTGACAATTCTACTGCTCCAAATCAGGCGCTCCTTTGAAGCCTGACACAACCCGTTTTCTATGACTTGCCCACTATTTAGCACTATTATTATGTCGCCCCATGTTTTCCCGATTTCTATCCCGATTTGAAACTATCGATCCAGCTGTACCCAAAGTTACTGTATTTCCTTAATTCAAGGATCATTCGATTGTCCTGAATACTCCCGCGCTGCTTTTTTCTTTCATTCTTTTCAACTTATGTGTTCACTTAACTTTAATTTTTCCATTTTTGGAGGGCAATTTTCAATAATCTAGTGACCCTTGGGACTTTCTTGTTTGATAGTCGAGTAGTGAAATTTACTGGTAAACGGCATCGATACGATTCATTCGATTTGACTAATTTACGAAGGATTCTTTCAGATTTTGTGGTCAGAAAATGTCTACCACGTCGGATTTGGACCGTCAAATCGAACAGCTCCGAAGATGCGAAATAATCAAGGTACGAAATTTTCCATGATTCTCGTTTTCACCAATTCAAGGAGTCGGAAGTAAAGCAGCTTTGCGCCATGGCTCGGGAAATTCTTGTTGAAGAATCAAACGTCCAGCGAGTCGATGCCCCAGTTACTGTTTGCGGAGATATTCACGGACAGTTCTACGATTTAAAGGAACTCTTCAAGGTTCGAAAACACCCATTGCTCCAAACTAACGAATTCTAGGTGGGAGGAGATGTGCCAGAAACAAATTATTTATTCCTTGGCGATTTCGTCGACCGAGGCTTCTACTCTGTCGAAACTTTTCTGCTGCTTCTAGCTCTCAAGGTAAAAAGTTCTTTGTTTCTTCATTTTATATTTTCCAAGGTTCGATATCCCGATCGAATCACTCTCATCAGAGGAAACCACGAGTCCAGACAGATTACCCAGGTACAGCCAGCTTGATTCGAGTCCATTTTTATCGAGTAGGTCTATGGATTCTACGATGAATGTCTCAGAAAGTACGGATCCATCACCGTCTGGAGATATTGCACAGAAGTGTTTGACTACCTCAGTCTCTCTGCAGGTAGATGAAACATCTTGTTCCTCATTTTTCAATATTGCATGTTTTAGTAATTGACAACAAGATTCTCTGCGTCCACGGAGGCTTGAGTCCTTCGATTTCCAGTCTCGACCAGATCAGAACTATCGACAGAAAAGTAACTGCTTTCAAAACTCATTTGATGCTTATAAAATCGTTCAGCAAGAAGTTCCCCACGACGGCCCAATGTGCGACCTCCTCTGGTCCGATCCAGAAGACACCACTGGATGGGGCGTTAGTCCCAGAGGAGCTGGCTTCTTGTTCGGCTCTGATGTCGTTCGGTAAATTAAATGAGGATGAGGGGTTTCTTTTATCGCGGATTCTTTCAGTGAATTCAATCGCACAAATAATATTGATCTGATTTGCCGCGCGCATCAGCTTGTAATGGAGGGATACAAATGGCACTTCGATGAGACTGTTTTAACCGTTTGGTCGGCGCCGAACTATTGTTACAGGTACTATTGAGAAATCAGGAACTTGAAGATGGTAAACCGTTCATTTTAGATGTGGAAACGTAGCGGCAATTTTGGAACTGGACGAGACGCTTCAAAGAGGCTTCACAATCTTCGAGGCTGCTCCGCAAGAAGTGCGCGGCGTCCCGGCGAAGAAGCCAGTTCCAGACTACTTTTTGTAATTTTTCTAACAGTAGACTTTTTTCATTTTTGTCGATACTACCTTGTAGTAACTAGTTGTTTTCAAGTCCTCCATTTATGACACTTGTAATGCTTCATTTATACAAGCAATTATTTTACTTAAAATAGTATGAATGAAAAATTAACTCTAATTTTTGTTCAAAAAAACAGTTTTGTTTTGGGCTTCTCTTCTAGGCTAATTATTCGAGATTAACAATTGACATGATTAAACCCTTTCTTTCGCGCGTTTTTAAAAACCGTCTTCCATCATGGAAGAGCATCGTCTTTCGCTAAAAATGCTTTCTCATGTATTTCTTTCTCTCATGCAAGTTAATGTCAATTCAGTAAAAATAACATGTTCATTTTTTTACTCTCGGATCATCCGAGTCGGATGTGAGACAAAAAACACACACTTTCAACCCTCGAAATCCATCCAGAAAGAACACTGCCCGTGGTCCCTGTTTCAAAAAGTTTAAAAATCTTTGAAAAAACTAATAAAAAAAAACTTGAATCAAAAAGACGAATTTATACGTTGTGATAGTTGTTCAAGAATTTGGCAAGCTCTCGCACAGTAGAAGTATTCATGCGTTTGGTTATTTGCAGGTTAGCTGGGTTGTGATCGTTGAGATATTGCTGCAGAGTAGCGGTCGTTTTCCACTCCCATTTGCCGATTTTGCACTCGTCTCCCCAGAACTCGCCGGTAAAACGAACCTGAAAACTGTTTTTGCTGCTTATAATCAATTTTTACCTTTGCGCGGATTTTATGAAGCCACTTTCGAATGGCTTCTGTTGTTTCGTCTCCCCAGTTAGTTGTTGAAACCTCCAAAGTGCCAGCTCTGTGGTGGAGAAAATTATTAAGGCCGGTAACGAAGCTCCTGTCGATCGCATCAGTAATTGGCATGTTAAATCCCTAAATTAGATATGACGATTGGCGGGGATTTCGAATTAGTCTGACCTGGTCGCGAAGATACCGCTTGAAGGATTTCAAAGTTCCCGTCCCGAACATTCCACATGGCTTCATGTCGTAATATCCGAGCTTGAGCAAATAGTTTTGAAGAGTTCCGATCGCGAGTGAATCCCATTTATCATTTATCGGAAGCCGGCCATTTTCAAGGAGGAAATCTTGCAAAACTGCGATGCTCTGGCTCGTGAATCGTCCGTTTTCTGGCAAATCTGGCCCAGAAGTATTCTCGTTGAGGAACTGAGTCAAGCTTATTCTCGTTGCATCGTCGAACTTGCCCGTTGTTTCGGATAAACGATACTTGAAAGAAAACGCAGATCCTATTAGAAAAAAGAGAATAGTGCCTCTCATGCTCCTCTCAGCTTTTGAATCTATGCGAGGTCTGTTCTTTGCGCATCCTGATGTCTTGAAAAGTTTGTTTATTTTGGCGCTTGCATGTCTTGAAGATAACTCAAGGTCAATAATGTAATCGTTTTCCAAACAATCATAAGTACAGGGTTCACTTTTTATTGAAATCTTTATTACAGAAGCTTCTCCGAAAAATCTTTATCGAGAATAACTCACCGGAATCGAGCTAAAAAGAATTGTTGCTTTTGAAAGTAAGACGACCATTTACCTAACTGAGCTAAGTGTCGAATCAGAAGACTCGTCGGTGCTAGAACTCTCGGTCGAAGATTTCGCGTGATAATCGTAAATTCCGAGCCCCATGTTTGAAAGCATCTGCGCGTCGAAAGTGGACTCGTACGTCGACTACAAAATAGAAAGTCCTCTACTTTTGCTACTGGCGTTACTGTTTCCGTCGAGCTTATTCTCGAAGTCAGACTTTCCTTTTTCACTAAAAAGGAGACTGGGAATTTCGGCCTCAGAGCTTCCGTCAGTCCAAGATAGAGGCAAAGAAAAAGGCTCAGACCAGCTATTAATGAAAGAAGAAAAATGATAAAAAGTTCAAGTCCGCTGAGCTGTGTCATCTAATCTCTGAAAATGAAAGAACCTGCCACTCTTTCTGTCAAGTCAGTCGAAAATTTAAAATTGCGGAAATTATCTCCGGAAAATGATGATCTGCCTGGAGCAATTTTCCTCCCTCTTTCTGTTACCGAATTTCAGTAAGAAGAACTCTGGATCATTTTTATTGAAAAATTATTTATTTGTGTTATAAAAATAGAAGTGGTCTGTACAGTTTTCAGTGGGCAGAATTATTCGAATCGAACATGGTAAGAATGGTTCGACTCTTTTTTTAATGCATAAGGATCTTCAGTCATGCTCGTGGGCTTCTCTGGCTCTTCGACGTCTTCTTCGCCGATGTCATGGATTTTAAGAGAACGCCATGCATTCGAAGCTGGGTCCTTCTTCGTGTCTACCGGTTGCTAGAAACACACATGAAAATATGAAAGAGTGTTTGTTTCTCACTTGAGAGAGCTGTCGTTGCAAACTCAATCTTTTCCCGCTGGAAGAGCTCAACGTCGATCGGATTTCTTTGAACATGTCTTCGTTGGAGAGCTCGTATTTTACCCGATTTCGCCAAGGCTTCGCGTTGCCTGCTGATGGTGGTGCATCTCCGCCTTCCATTTTCTAAAATTTGTTGGTTCATCGTTTTAGCTATAAATTCCAACCTTGAGGCTAGGAAAAGTCGTTTCCATAAGAACATAAAAAGTTCAAGTCCGCTGAGCTGTGTCATCTAATCTCTGAAAATGAAAGAACCTGCCACTCTTTCTGTCAAGTCAGTCGAAAATTTAAAATTGCGGAAATTATCTCCGGAAAATGATGATCTGCCTGGAGCAATTTTCCTCCCTCTTTCTCTTACCGAATTTCAGTATCAAAAAATAATTTATTTGTGTTATAAAAATAGAAGTGGTCTGTACATTATAAAGTGGGCAGAATTATTCGAATCGAACATGATAAGAATGGTTCGACTCCTTTTTTAATGCATAAGGATCTTCAGTCATGCTCGTGGGCTTCTCTGGCTCTTCGACGTCTTCCTCGCCGATGTCATGGATTTTAAGAGAACGCCATGCATTCGAAGCTGGGTCCTTCTTCGTGTCTACCGGTTGCTAGAAAAAACGCATGAAAATATGAAAGAGTGTTTGTTCCTCACTTGAGAGAGCTGTCGTTGCAGACTCAATCTTTTCCCGCTGGAAGAGCTCAACGTCGATCGGATTTCTTTGAACATATCTTCATTCGAGAGCTCGTATTTTACCCGATTTCGCCAAGGCTTCGCGTTGCCTGCTGATGGTGGAGCATCTCCCCCTTCCATTTTCTTAAATCCGTTGTTTCATTGTTCTTTTTTTTAATTCAACCTTGAGACTTGGAAAAGTCGTTTCCATAAGAACATCATCAGGCGTGTACGGATGGCCCCAAGAAGTCTCCTCCATCAAGTCCCACTTTTCTTTCTGACCAAATGTTCCGACATATTCGCCATCAAAAGTCCACGCTCGGCAAGTCGCATCAAGAGACGAAGTCAAGATGATCTCTCGCTGATCAACGGGAGCAGTTAAAGTCACACAGTCGACATGTCCTCTCCAAGTAGCGCTGATGGGCGCGACCTGAGAGCTTGAGCTTTGAAGACATAGAAGAGAACCTACCTGAGTGTGCGAAAGCTCGAAGGAAAAGTCGTACAGATCGAGAATGAAAATGTTTCCATTAGTGTCGCCACAAAATAAAAGCTCTCCGTCTTCTGTCAGACTCAAATGAGAAATGGGATGATTGGCCACTTGTGTTGCAGCGATCAGCGTCGGTACTGGACCGAGAAGATTGTAGAATAAAATTGAACCGTTTTGGTGGCCAGCTACGAGTATCTTTTTCTTTTCTTGGTATCTGGCAAGGCAAGTGAAAAATGGACCGTTCTCTTCGTCTGAAGACTCTATTTCCGGATCTAAAGAAAAGGATAAATAGCTTTCTAAAAAGAGTTCTCCTACCCATTGACATGCGAATTTGTTCCTTTTGAATTCGATTCAAGACTTTTCCAGAGACCATGTTCCAAATGAGAATTTCACCGTCAAAACTCGCCGTCGCCAGTAAATTGGTGCCGACTAGAGCCGCCGATATTATGTCTTCTTTGTGCCCTCTTCGGACATCGTCGTCCCAAAGTCCAAGTGGTCTTACGTCGATCACGTGCTTTTTGTCAATTTCTGGGTACAGATTGATCCGCCTGTCCCACCCAACGCTCAGGAAGTATTCGGACTGACCAATGGTGACCATGTGAAGAGAGGCGACTTCTTTGCCATGTTTGCGAGCTTTGAGATTCTTGAGAAGTGAGCCGTTGTTGTGATTATAAATCCGTGCAGTTCCATCTCGGCAGCCTATGATCAGACGTCTGTGCGTATCGTCAAATGCGAGACAAGATATCGGCGTCTGAAATCAACGAAGAATAAATCTAACAAACACAGACGCTGTTACCTTTATATTGAACTCGAATGTCTTTATGCCTGTTTCTAGGTCCCAAACGCGCACCAATCCAGCTACGAGTAGAATTGTTGGAATTATGAAAATAAGATAGACAATACCTTCATCGGCGGTGACAACTTGAGCGAATGTTTGATTGTAAATGCAGCTCGTGACTGGAACTTGATGACTGAGTTGTACTTTTCCTAAGAAATCAGGGTGATAAATCGATTCAAAGAGTAACAAACCTTGTAAGTAATCGATATTTCTTGAAGTGACTGTAGGTCTTACGGGTAGAAGATTCACGACATCTGTCGCCACGACTAGTGTTTTGAGCACATTACTAGAATAAGTCAAAAATCTTGTCGGAAGTGCCGTTTTACCTGAAGCAAACTGAAGTGAAATCTCCATTAACCCCGTGCGCTTTAGGATTCAACGTCAGCAGCCTCGTCTGTTCTGCTACGTCCCACACCATGATGACTCGATCTTGAGAGGTGGAAACCAATCTGTTCAATTTTCCATCAATTTGAACGTAAGAAACTGGCGCGGCATGGCCTTATTCAGAGTTTTCAACTGCTTTCTAACGAGATTATTCTCTAATTGCAACTTTTAAACTCATTTCTTTCAAGAAGCTAGAGGGTTTTTGAATCGAAAAGGACTTGGAAGGCACGGACCAAAGGCGAATAACTCGATCAATGCCGCCAGTTGCTAGCAGATTGCCCCTAGCAGTGAAGGAAATCGCTTTTACTCCTTTTAGAATTTTAATGAAGTTGAGCGCTGGCTTCTCTTCTCGTTTAAATTTGCTGCTGGTCGGTCGCGAGTTTCGTAACGTAAAGTAATCGCCTAACATTTGGTATAATTCAATACGTAAAATGGCTTTACCAAAGTCCGGCATTGGCGAAATGCAAACAGCAGTCGACTGATCATTAGAAGCGGAGATAATGGCGTTGAGGTTCTCCGAGTAAATTACCTAAAAAGAAGAAAGAGTTAGTTACAGTCAATGTAATAAGGAGTAATGGAGCGGCATACTGGAAATGATCTCAATTTTCGCTAAAATTGATCCTCTGAGCGCCTTATCCATCACTGTCACTTTCTTCATTCCGCCTATTTGTCCGAGAATATCACCAAGTGCGAAGTAGAGAAAAGGCCCTTTAGAAATTTCTAGTGCAAATCGATTTCGACCGCGGTTTTTCTTCAAGATGCAACAATCACTGAAAGACTGAATTTTGAATGCATCTGGCCAGCGGAATTCAAAGCGCAGCTCATTAACAGGTTCACCGATTTCAAGACGTCAATTTCATCGCCTTTCTGCACAATCGTTGCTTTTTTTTAAAACAAGTCCGCCTTTACATAAACATTTTAAAAAGGAAAATATGGGTGATGGTTGAAAATATATTTTGAAGATAGACAGTCAGACTAGAGAAATAAAAAGAGAGTCGATGAAGAATAAAGTGAATTCGGCCAAGGCATTAAAAGCTAATCAAAGTGAGTCTAATTATCGCCATCGTTGTATAATGAATGTATAAATTAAATTGGCGCTGCGATGATATAATGAAATGGGCCCTTAGGGCAATCGCAGATCCGCCCTGCGGCTACATGCCTAAAACAAGAGAGAGAACGTTTTCAAGTTTCAACCATTCGTAGTTTCGTATTTTTGGAACCGCAGCGAGGCATGCATCAAAGTCAAATCGGACAGCGAGTTTGGCTTTGACGAAGAGTGGAAGAGACATAAAGCCAATTGTTCTCAGAAAGAACGCCTCTCGATATCGGAATTATATCAAAACGCCCCGTTTAAGGTAGGTTAGTAGCAAGAAAAAAAGATTGTGGAATCCCTTTTAGTTCGTACCAGCATTGCACAGTTCAAATTCAGAAGTTATGCCACTGCCGGGAGAGTTTTTCCAAAGCAAAAGTTCAGTGCAAAAGTCCGACTCTGTTTTTGGATTTGATCGAAGCTGGAGAGAAAGACATAATATCGCCGATTTGAGAAACTCGAGCATTTTCAGTAGAGCTTTTCATGGCATCGTTCTACCTCGTAAGTCAAAAAAAAACCTCCATTTCATCAAAAAATCTCAGCTCGATTCGATGACGAGTACAATTCGGTGGACCGCTCAATAATCCGCTACCCAATTTTCTTCCCTTTTCTCGTCACACTCTCTCTCGCTACAAACTTCTTCAAACACTACGACTACCTTGTCATGGAAAAGCACACGAAGCTGTATGAAATCTGGAGATTCTGGACCTACAGTCTCGTCTGCGAAAGTTGGACTGGTTTTTACATTTCTACTGCCTATCAATTATTTGTCTGCTGTCCCTACGAAATTGTTTTCGGATCTAAAAGCAGCATTATTACCTACAATCTTGGCATTCTCCTAGGTAAGCTGCTGACAGAGCGGAATGTTCTGATTGCTCTTTTAGCCAGTATATTCTTCATGCTACAGTCGAGCGATAAAATTCTAATTGGAACGCTTGGCGGCAACCTTTCCATCGCCATTCCGCTGATTTATCTCGCTCTACGAGGGTTAATTAAAGCCGACATTATGCAGAATATAATCCGCATTCTCTCACATATCCTCTGGATGGGTAAGATTCCTCTTCAAAGCTCTACTTTCTTTCATTTCTAGCTGGTTGGATTTTCGCTAAAGTTCGAAAAGATCAACTCTGCGAGCTCTACAAAACCAAGCGGTGCGATATGACTAGCTCTGGAGCCGTCGCTGGGATAATAATCGGCCTCACGGTCGGAGTCGGACTCGTACTACCGAAACCGTGGAAGCAAAATACGTATTTACAAAGCTCATTGATTTTTATACTGTCGCTCGTTGCCTGGTTCATTTTAATCATTTTCCTGCTCGACGATTAAAATTGTATAAATTATTACCTCTGTGACCCAGTCGTCGTGCGCCTTCCATCGAAAGAATTTAACCGTCGAGCTGCCGAGTGCCTCGCTCAGCGTGACGATCGGGATCTCATCGTTTGTTTTATTCTTCCACTCGCGGATCGTGTCTGCCAGACGCTTGATAGACAGCACAGAGATGCAGCCGAGACCGTCGCAGAGAATAATGATGATTTGACCTTCGACGGCGTAGCAATGCACTCTTTAATTCGGTTTAGTCAATAGGTTAGGGTTAGAGTTAGGGTTACCTGAGAGGGACAGATTCGAAATTGGTAATTCTGCAGTAGAGTTCGAGCGAAACAGAATCGTAGATGAGAATTTCGCGGTCGCCAGTGAAAGCAAAAATTCTGTTCATGGAAGAAACGAGAGAGCAATCCGTGACCCAGCATTTCGAGCGATCTTCAGTGATACCCAGGCGAATCGATTTATCTATCGTCAGGTCTTTCGCCTTCCAGCAGAACATCTGCCCGTCTTTGGAGACCGTCATGATGTTTCCATCGCCAATGACTCTGAGGCGAATGATTTCTTCTCTGTGCGCAGCATGGGATTGCTTCGCTGGAATGACGAATTTTATCGTAGCGCCTCGCTTGCCCACCGCTTCTTTTTCCGCGTACTCGAGCTGCATATAACTGCAAAACTCGTCCTAAAACAGCTGTAAGGAGCAGTTTTCTCTGAGTTGTGACTTGCCCAGTCAATGAAGCCATCTGCTGATGTGTCGATTTTCTTGAAAAGGCGCTCGATTTGGCTTTCAGCGTTGTTTATGCCCAAAATCTTCTCGAACATCCGTTTGAACTCGTCAATAGACAGACCCTTTTTGAAGCGGTAAATTTTCAAAATAAAGCTTTCAGAATAAGAAAATGCGAAATTTCTTCCAAGAATCTTTTCCTTGATATCAATTTTTACTTACATCTTCTCCACCTTGCTCGAAAGAATCGTGAATCTCTTGAAGTTGATCCAGTGAGATACTGTCTTCGATCTAAAAGCAATTACAGTCATTTTGAAGAACAAGCCCGAACCTTATGAAAATCGATTTTCTCCTCTTGAGCATTATCTTTGACCCTTTCGGGTTTTCTAAATTTTCTCGCCATTTTCAACCAGAATATCGGAGCTGTATCCGAATTCTGGGAACTTGGCAACTATTTGTACAATGACAAATGAATCAATTTAGTATACAAAAGAAGGCGCCAGGAGCGTGTTAAGACAATTAAACTGCACTTCAATCAAAACGAAGAGAGACTCACCTTTCCTCCAAGCCGGGACTCCTTGGTCTGAATGTTCAAGCGCTGAAGAATCGCCGCCACTTTTCCGGCATCTGTTGGATCTGTCACGGAGAGTCGACGCTCGCGATCGCGGTGCAGGGGATTTCCGACAACATGGTTGACGATCTGGTCTGTTTTGGCTTTTTGGGCTCTCTCTCGACGAGATACTGGACGATCTCGGAACTCGTTGACTGTTTGAGGTCGGTCAAGACTCGGAGCTAGTTTTCCTCCATCTGCTTGGGTTGGAAGTCGACCGGTAGCCGACCAGGATCGGGTTAACTTTTGTGGACTTTCAATTCTGTTGTTTTATTTATCATTTGTTTATTGATTAAAAAGTTTTCCTGGGGGATGAACTCTGTAAGATCGAAATCGTCATCCGATTCGAACTCGTCTTCTTCAATATCTCTCACTTCTTTTACCCCTGGTTTAAAAACGACCATTTTACTGATCTATTCTAGTTTTTCATTATTTTGGAAATCTATTATTATCGATTTAAGACCTGGGTCCCCATGGGAGTTTTACTTTCTTATTGAATCAGCAGCTTCAACGGGAGGAGCCTTTCATAATCCGCCTTTGTCTCGCTGAAATGGATTGTTTATGAAAGAAGCTTGCGGAAATATGCTCTTCAGATACCTGAATGACAAAGCTTGCAACTTGCCAAATAATAAAAAATCATCTAGAGATTCTTAGAGACACTTTAAAAACTCACTTTCACGGAATTAAAAACGTTTATTCCGTTTCGTATGCAGAAGAAGGTAAGGAAAAGAAAAAGTTTGAAAAAAATATACAGAAAAAATCCCTCTCTGAAAAAGTTCAGAGACAGAAGAAATGTCCATTATCCAAGAAATCGTGTGTCAGTTCCGCGCGTTTTATCCTCGTCCATGTTTTTGTTTGTTTAGAAAAGTAGATCCGTTGTGGTATCGTTGTCAATTGATACAGTCGTTGCTGTAGGAGCAGCTGGCTCAGTTGATTCGCCGAGAATGTCCAGACTGTCGTAGACGTTCTCTTGTTGAGCTGGTGCTGCTGGAGTTTCTACGGGGGAAGCATATGTGTCGTTGAAGCTTTCTGTAGTTGTGACAGTTGCTACTGGCTCGCTTGCACCGCCGGGGCTACCATTGTCGTCGTCTGCGTTATCCTGAAGGAGATTCTCAGCTGTAGATGAAAACGAGCGAATTTACCTGAAGAGGATTATCATGTCCATCCACAACTCCATCGACGTTTCCAGCATTGCCAGGATTTTGGAAGCTCTGCTGCTGATGACCAAGTGGGTTGCCCTGCTTAACGATGTAAAGACCAACTGCACCGACAACAACAATGGCGACGAAAACACCAGCGACGATGGCTCCTACATTTGCACCAGATCCTTCTGGTTTTGTTGTTTGAGTTGTTTTCACAGTCTCGTGTGTAGTTGTTGGCATTGGAGTTGGTGGGCTCTAAATCTCGAATGAACTCTAAAAATTCAACATTTGCTTACGTTAGGAGCACAGCATTGTCTATCACTAGGACCTCCGCAACCCAGTTCTGGCTTGATGAAGTTTCTACACTCATTTCCTTCGAAAATGCACTTTCCGCCAGCTAAAACGCATTCTGTATCTTGCTTGCTCCACTCATCTTCTTCCGCCTTGCATTCTTTGGGAGAATCAGTGCAAGATTTGCAGCAAACTGCTCCGGGTAATCGCATGACTTATCAAATAATAAAATAGATTGTTTTTTATATTTCATGCGAGTTAACCGAGCCTTGATCATTTCCGCCGTGGCCATCGTTGGAACAGATTCCTTCGACGACACCTCGATCGCAATTGTGAACCTTGCCACGTGGAATACATCGGCCTCCTTGTTCCAAGCATTCGACATTGTTGTTTGGATGGAAGCACCAGTAGCCGGGTCCATCCTCGACGGGGCTCCAGCAACAACCGTAGCCGATGCATTCGTCCTGCTGGATTCCATAGTATCCACAGTCATGACGCTGCTCAATTGGAACCGAGCAGAAAGACATCTGAGCTGGTTTCTTACAAACATACCCCTTCCAGTTATTACAGGTGACATCGTTCCAAAGCCCTTGGCTGTTCATAAATGCACAAGGTTCTGAAATGCCAGATGCACCGCCGTCGTTTGGCTCACCAGGCATCCAAGCTGTGTAGGCTAGTGCAGATCCGTCAGACCACTCAGAAAATGCATTTGATTCATCTCGTCGAAGTCCGATCCAAAGATCCTCGTTGCTCTTTGCTGCAAGTGCTCGTCTCTCCTCATCATCTCTGATCGAAGCAAGATGTGCTCCTTGACTGACGCACCATTCTTCGGAAGTTTCCCAGTACTCGGTAGCCTCCCAGCCAGTTCGGAAGATGTAGCAGTATCCGCCATATCCCCACCATTCTGGGTCACATCGTTCTTCGCCCGGGTTGTCGTGATTTTCTGGTTTATAGTTTTTCTCTAACTTACAGATCGATTTAGCAGCAGTGTTACAGTTGTCTTCTTGAACCCATCTTCCGCTACCCTGCATTTTGACACAAGATTTGTCTCCAGCTGGTTCGACGGGGGATCCATTTGCCCATTTTGTGAAAGAGACAGGTCGATTGTCCTCCCAGAGCCAGACAGTTCCATTAGTATTGACGACATTCTTGTCAGTGTAAAGACCAATCCAGTAGCTGTCAGATGTGTAAGATCCCTCGTTGATAAGAGCTGTAAGGTAGGCATTGTCATGAACGTCCAGAATAGTTGCAAGACCAGCATAGCCAAATCCACTTGCGGAATTCGCGCATGAAGCCTTTGCTGCTTCGTAGTCCATTTGATTATCAACGACTTTATAGCAGTGATCGCCAAGCGGCTTGTAATCTGCTGGGCAATTGTGGGGATTTGGTGGACTTGGCGCCGGAAGTGATGGATCCTTGAACATTGAGCAGACAAATGGTTTTTCATCGAGACAATTAGCATCGTTCCATCGACCGTTGTTTTCTGCAACCATCATTGACAAGCAGTACTCGTTGTTGTTAGCATTATTTGGTTCTCCATTGGCCCAATAGCTAAAAACCCAGGGAGTTTGATCAAGCCAAGACCATTCTCTTGCTTGATTAGCATCGCCTCCTAGCCAGACTGCCCCGTGAGAGTCATATAAATGGCCGAAGACGAAGTTGTCGTAAGTTGCATCCGGGACCGATGCCAGCTCAGCGTACTGCCCTTCTGGAGCTCCTTCTTGTTCTCTACATTTGAAACCAGCCATGTCAAAAGACAAGTGCTCCTCGGTAGCTCCTCGCTTTCCGGAAAACTTATAGCAGCGATTTTTAAAGTCGTACCAATCTTTCGGACATCCACCGTTTCTCTCGGGCTCTGGAGGCGCAGTTGGTGCTCCTTGTGGCCATCGCTGGCAAATAAAAGGGAACGAGGTTAGATAGTCTTCAGTGAACCATCGTCCGTCGTTGTGCATGACAGTTGCATCGTAAAGATATTGGTTGTCTTTTGGATTTCCTTCAGCGTAATTGTCGTAGTCGACGGGAGAACCATCAAGCCAACGCCATTTCGTCAAGTAATCAGAGTAATCGTATTTGTATCGCAAACCGATCCAATAAGCTGGTTGATCATAACTTGGGTCCTGACGTAAGATCTTTGTCAACTGCGACAGCTCTTCTTTATGATGAATTGAGATCAAAGTTCCTCCGTCGCCAAGATTTGCGCACTTGGTGTTAGCTGTGTCTTGATTTCCAGAATCATTTGGAACTACCATCACGCACTTGATGTTTCCGTCAGCTCTATGCTCAAGCTCGTACCAGGTCTCGCCTGGATTAGCAGTTCTCATGCACTCTTGACTTGGCTGGATGGTTGGTGGATGAGTTGGCAGTGGCTCTGGCTGTTTACCTCGAGTAATTCCGCAGATCAAACCAGCGTGTGAATTGCAATAATCAGAGTACCACTGACCTTGAACGTATCCCGAATAAGTCATCGCGCATTCTTCATCTGGTGCATTCTTCTCAGGTTGCCCAGCAAGCCAGTTAGTGTAGTCAACCGCTGTAGCATCTGTCCATTGATATCCCCGCTCACCTCTGTCGTTGAAGCCGATAAAATAAGAATCTCGAACATTGAGTCCTTTTCTTTCTTTGTCCTTGATGAGTTCGATCAATTTAGCATTTTCGTCGTAGTTATGAAGAGAAACAAGATTCGCACCCATTGATCGACAGAAAGCATCAGCTTCACCAAAGTTGACTCCATCATCGCGACCATCGATTGGTTCGTTCACGTACGAGTGGATGAAATAGCAATCGTGGGATTTAGCTTCACCGTCATCCCATCCGACCCAGTCAGCACCGCCCAGACATTCCGGACCAGCAATCGGCTCACGAGGAATACACGGAGGTCGTTCTTCTTCTTCAGCGGGTACTTCGCAGATGTAGTGTTGCTTATCATAACAACCTCGACCGCCGGAATTGTCTGTTGGATCCCAGAATTCGCCCCAATCGGAATACCACTGTCCGTTTTCGCGGCTCATGATCGCACATCCTTGGTAGAAAAAGTCCTCACTGCAGGGCAAGAATTCATGATCTCGGTTGAAATCATCTGTTCCAGAACACCATGGACCGCCAATGTTTTGATACCAAAGATCTTCAGGATCATCGACGCAATCATAGTATGTTTTGGTCAAAGCAGTACCAGGAGCCTTGTATTTGAATGGGAAAACACACTGAGTGCTGATTCCAGGTTCACCAGTTTTCCAGTTTGTGTAGCTTGGGCACTCTCCGGAAGCCCAGAGATATTCGATTGTAGTTCCATTTTGGCCAGAAGAGTAGCTTTGTCCGTGAAGACCGATCCAGAAGTTGGTGTGATCGTTAGCATGAACAAGTTCAACGACCTTTGCATGAAGCCAAGCGTTTGTAGCACTATCAGGAACAGTAACGAGCGATGACTGACCTGCAATCATGCCATTGCATTTGAGTTCAGCGTGGACGTAGATCTCTTGTTGCATCATGAATTTGTAGCATTTTGTTCCGAATCGAATCCATCCGTCAGGAGGACAGCCTTCTTCCTTGTCGACATGATTAGTAGGAGCAACTGGCCGCTGGCAAATATAGTTTGTGTTTCTGTTGCAGTCATCTGAGTGCCAAAGGAAACTTGCTCGGTAAGCAAGAACACATTCGTTGCCAGAATGAAAGCTTGGTCGATTTCTGTCCCAGTTGGTGAAAGTAACTGGAGTGTCGTCAACCCATTTTTCGTAGTAATTCGGATGCCCATTATCAGTCAATCCAAGCCACACATGATTCAAGTCATCATTGTTTCTGATCATGGCATAAATAAAGTCAGATGTTGCCTTATCTGGAATCACAGCCAGATCGCCTCCGAGTTCAGTGCAAATTGCTCTTGCTTCAGACCATCGCTTTTTGTTTCCATTTGCACGTGCTGGTTGGTAGTAACACATGTCTCTGTATTTGACCCAGCCTTCTTCGCAACCGAGGTGATCGCTTTGGAAGATCATTGCTTGGTCTTCTGCATCTCTGTCATTTGATTCGATTCCATGCGCTTCTGTTCCAATGAAATCCGCCGTGTTGTCGATGAATTTGAGCGATACGGTTCCACCGTTGTGAGCTTGAACACGACTGTCGTGAATTGCAGCTTGGCAGACGCTTGATTCCAGCGAGTACTTTGTCGTTCCATAAACATTGACCGGAGTGACCTGATCGCAATCGTGCGGGCATTCAACAGTGATGGCACTTCCATATTCTGCCAATGACTGTCCGTTATCTTGACATCCGATTTTACCAGACTGTGAGGTTTTGCATCCGATGATGTCGATTCTCATAGCAATTCTGTTCTTCCAGCTAAGCGGTTTGACTTTAACATAACGAGCAGTAACTGGTTGTCGGAGAATTCCTTCGCCGATTCCATGGCTGTCGTGGTTGCCACGGAAGCGGACGACAGCGGTTCCTTCGTGGTTTAGATAATCGTGCCAGTCATTGAGGTTCTTGTCGGAGAAAGCAAGACTGTATTCTGTGACCCAGTTTTCTCCAAGTGGATCTCCTTGAGTAAAGATACCAGTGATTCGCATAATAGATCCGAGATCAACCATCAGCCACTCGTTAACAGTAGCGGTCTCGGCAACCCAGACCTTTCCAGTTTCAGTTCGCTGGCAAACATATGGCATGACTTCTTTGCAATCGCGTGTTGTCCATTTGAACTGTTGATCAACAGACATGCAGACACATGCATTATTTCGACCATCATTTGCAACCCAATTCTCATAAGTAAGAGAACTGCCATCATCCCAAAGCCACTGGCCGGATTGTCGAGAAAGACCAATCCAGTAGCATTCACCTTGTCCGGGATTTGAAGAAGTTTGGACTTTGCTTTGGACACTTTGCTGATCATTATCGTTGAGAATTGCTCCAAGAACGCCAGCACCTCCTTGTTGATTTCCGCATTTGCCCTTCGCACTGTCATATGAAGATTTTTGTGTGTAAACTTGGTATGTTTTCTTGGTCGGCGTGTTACGTTCTTTGCAGTTGTTGTTGTCGTAGCATAGTCGAGCGTTTTTAGCCTCAGAGCCAGCTACTTCTGAACTTGCAGTGATGTCGGAATCGGAGATGATGTTGATTGGGCTCTCTCCGTTGACAATTCGATCTTGGCAAACACCAAGTGAGTGCATACAGCCACTTTTGCAGCCGATCAGTTCAACTCGCAGAGCAGCACCTGTTCGCCAGGTTTTTGGAATCACTCGGATCTTTCTAGTGAAAACTGGGTAAGGGAAGAAGTTGGTCACAATATTGTCCTTGTCATAGTTTCCATCGAAAGTGATGATTTCTCCTTTGCTGTCGTAGAAGTATTCCATGCCGCCATCGTGCGTTTCGTACTGAACTTGATACGTTTTCGTGTATCGCTTCCACTTCGGAATGGCTTTGAAACCAGCAAGACCCTGGGTCATGATTCCACGGACTTCGGCGATAAATGGCTTTGAAGCAGTATCAGAATCATAGAACGTCACAGCCCACCAGGGATTCTTCTCGCTCTCTGCAGAAACCCAACCTCCAGCAGCATCGTTGCCTGGTTTGAGGCCGTTGAGATCGATGAGCTTATTTGGCTGGTTTAGTCGCCCAAATTGTGCTCGAGTGTTCCATTCGTATCCTTCCAAAGTTGGAGAAGATGAAAAGCTCTTGGGAGCGATTTTGCCTCCGTATTCGACTCCGAGATGACCGTTGCAACAAGAATCGTCCTTGCAAGTTGGGAAGGAGTCCTCTGGCGGTTTGTAAGATTTTGAACGCTTTTCGCAAATTCCTTTGAGTCTAGCTGTGCAAGCAAAGTCCTCCCATTTTCCATCGATAGTTCTGAGCATGACGCAGTCATCTGAGCCTTGATTTTGTGGCTGTCCGTAATCCCAGTTCACGTAATTCCAAGGCATGTCGTTCGACCAGCCCCACTGACCTCCAAGATAACCATTGTCGGGTCGATCAGGGAGCAATTCGTTGTCGGGAATTGAGGGGAACCATTCTTCATGCTCATCGTAGCCACCGATCCAAAATCCTGGAATATATTGTAAGTTTTAGTTAGTCAGATTTATAAAAGTCTCTCACAGGGTCCAAACGACGGCAACTTTGGACCCTTTCCTTTTTTTCTTTATTGTCTATGGTAAGTTCATCTTTCTCTTTTGAAATGATAATCGCACCTAGCAAAAATGATCGGTAACTCGCAAAATCATGCGAAAAGCAAATCAAAGTAGTTTCGAGCATTTTTTGGCAAGTGAAAGATAACGTAAGCGTTAAACAACTTAAAAAATGAAATGAATGATTAATAAAAATCTTAATTTCTCAAATCAATAGCTTTCAAAATGTCGATAAATCTTTTAAAACTTTATTTAAACTGAAATTAATCTCTCTTCACTTCTTCATTTCCAGATTCTCCTTCAATTTCTTCATTTCCAGATTTCTTCTTCCATTTCTTCATTTCCAGATTTTGGATTTCCGCAAATTAAGAAACCGTAAAGCTCTGATCTTCTAAATCTACTGGAGTTTTTATAAAAATGGGTGTGGGTGGGGATGGGGACAGGCAGAGTCAAATACCTATTTAATCGGCGGGAGAGTCTGTCAGTCCGAAAATCGGGCCTTAAGCCGCTGTTTCTAAGCCATTTACTGTAAAATAGGCAGGCGGTACTCATGATTGCTCTGATGATGCTCTAAGCCATTTACTGTAAAATAGGCAGGCGGTACTCATGATTGCTCTGATGATGCTCTAAGCCATTTACTGTAAAATAGGCAGGCGGTACTCATGATTGCTCTGATGATGCTCTAAGCCATTTACTGTAAAATAGGCAGGCGGTACTCATGATTGCTCTGATGATGCTCTAAGCCATTTACTGTAAAATAGGCAGGCGGTACTCATGATTGCTCTGATGATGCTCTAAGCCATTTACTGTAAAATAGGCAGGCGGTACTCATGATTGCTCTGATGATGCTCTAAGCCATTTACTGTAAAATAGGCAGGCGGTACTCATGATTGCTCTGATGATGCTCTAAGCCATTTACTGTAAAATAGGCAGGCGGTACTCATGATTGCTCTGATGATGCTCTAAGCCATTTACTGTAAAATAGGCAGGCGGTACTCATGATTGCTCTGATGATGCTCTAAGCCATTTACTGTAAAATAGGCAGGCGGTACTCATGATTGCTCTGATGATGCTCTAAGCCATTTACTGTAAAATAGGCAGGCGGTACTCATGATTGCTCTGATGATGCTCTAAGCCATTTACTGTAAAATAGGCAGGCGGTACTCATGATTGCTCTGATGATGCTCTAAGCCATTTACTGTAAAATAGGCAGGCGGTACTCATGATTGCTCTGATGATGCTCTAAGCCATTTACTGTAAAATAGGCAGGCGGTACTCATGATTGCTCTGATGATGCTCTAAGCCATTTACTGTAAAATAGGCAGGCGGTACTCATGATTGCTCTGATGATGCTCTAAGCCATTTACTGTAAAATAGGCAGGCGGTACTCATGATTGCTCTGATGATGCTCTAAGCCATTTACTGTAAAATAGGCAGGCGGTACTCATGATTGCTCTGATGATGCTCTAAGCCATTTACTGTAAAATAGGCAGGCGGTACTCATGATTGCTCTGATGATGCTCTAAGCCATTTACTGTAAAATAGGCAGGCGGTACTCATGATTGCTCTGATGATGCTCTAAGCCATTTACTGTAAAATAGGCAGGCGGTACTCATGATTGCTCTGATGATGCTCTAAGCCATTTACTGTAAAATAGGCAGGCGGTACTCATGATTGCTCTGATGATGCTCTAAGCCATTTACTGTAAAATAGGCAGGCGGTACTCATGATTGCTCTGATGATGCTCTAAGCCATTTACTGTAAAATAGGCAGGCGGTACTCATGATTGCTCTGATGATGCTCTAAGCCATTTACTGTAAAATAGGCAGGCGGTACTCATGATTGCTCTGATGATGCTCTAAGCCATTTACTGTAAAATAGGCAGGCGGTACTCATGATTGCTCTGATGATGCTCTAAGCCATTTACTGTAAAATAGGCAGGCGGTACTCATGATTGCTCTGATGATGCTCTAAGCCATTTACTGTAAAATAGGCAGGCGGTACTCATGATTGCTCTGATGATGCTCTAAGCCATTTACTGTAAAATAGGCAGGCGGTACTCATGATTGCTCTGATGATGCTCTAAGCCATTTACTGTAAAATAGGCAGGCGGTACTCATGATTGCTCTGATGATGCTCTAAGCCATTTACTGTAAAATAGGCAGGCGGTACTCATGATTGCTCTGATGATGCTCTAAGCCATTTACTGTAAAATAGGCAGGCGGTACTCATGATTGCTCTGATGATGCTCTAAGCCATTTACTGTAAAATAGGCAGGCGGTACTCATGATTGCTCTGATGATGCTCTAAGCCATTTACTGTAAAATAGGCAGGCGGTACTCATGATTGCTCTGATGATGCTCTAAGCCATTTACTGTAAAATAGGCAGGCGGTACTCATGATTGCTCTGATGATGCTCTAAGCCATTTACTGTAAAATAGGCAGGCGGTACTCATGATTGCTCTGATGATGCTCTAAGCCATTTACTGTAAAATAGGCAGGCGGTACTCATGATTGCTCTGATGATGCTCTAAGCCATTTACTGTAAAATAGGCAGGCGGTACTCATGATTGCTCTGATGATGCTCTAAGCCATTTACTGTAAAATAGGCAGGCGGTACTCATGATTGCTCTGATGATGCTCTAAGCCATTTACTGTAAAATAGGCAGGCGGTACTCATGATTGCTCTGATGATGCTCTAAGCCATTTACTGTAAAATAGGCAGGCGGTACTCATGATTGCTCTGATGATGCTCTAAGCCATTTACTGTAAAATAGGCAGGCGGTACTCATGATTGCTCTGATGATGCTCTAAGCCATTTACTGTAAAATAGGCAGGCGGTACTCATGATTGCTCTGATGATGCTCTAAGCCATTTACTGTAAAATAGGCAGGCGGTACTCATGATTGCTCTGATGATGCTCTAAGCCATTTACTGTAAAATAGGCAGGCGGTACTCATGATTGCTCTGATGATGCTCTAAGCCATTTACTGTAAAATAGGCAGGCGGTACTCATGATTGCTCTGATGATGCTCTAAGCCATTTACTGTAAAATAGGCAGGCGGTACTCATGATTGCTCTGATGATGCTCTAAGCCATTTACTGTAAAATAGGCAGGCGGTACTCATGATTGCTCTGATGATGCTCTAAGCCATTTACTGTAAAATAGGCAGGCGGTACTCATGATTGCTCTGATGATGCTCTAAGCCATTTACTGTAAAATAGGCAGGCGGTACTCATGATTGCTCTGATGATGCTCTAAGCCATTTACTGTAAAATAGGCAGGCGGTACTCATGATTGCTCTGATGATGCTCTAAGCCATTTACTGTAAAATAGGCAGGCGGTACTCATGATTGCTCTGATGATGCTCTAAGCCATTTACTGTAAAATAGGCAGGCGGTACTCATGATTGCTCTGATGATGCTCTAAGCCATTTACTGTAAAATAGGCAGGCGGTACTCATGATTGCTCTGATGATGCTCTAAGCCATTTACTGTAAAATAGGCAGGCGGTACTCATGATTGCTCTGATGATGCTCTAAGCCATTTACTGTAAAATAGGCAGGCGGTACTCATGATTGCTCTGATGATGCTCTAAGCCATTTACTGTAAAATAGGCAGGCGGTACTCATGATTGCTCTGATGATGCTCTAAGCCATAGTACTGAAACAAGGTTTTCGAAAAAGCTCTGATGATGCTCTAAGCCATTTACTGTAAAATGATTGCTCTGATTTTGACTGTAAAATAGGCAGGCGGTACTCAATTGCTCTGATGATGCTCTAAGCCATTATTGAATTTTGAGGGTTGAAATAGTACTGAAACAAGGTTTTAAAAAGCAAATAATGTTTTAAAAAAACCTTATTTTTTCGAATTTTGATGACCTCTAGTGACCCGAAGATGAACTTTGTTCGAGTTTCTGACCTCGGAATAAAATTTTTAAGGGTTTAATTAGTACTTTCACGTGTAGTTAAACCGCAAATAATGTTCTGAAAAAAACGCACTTTTTCGATCTTTTTTCGAGAAGATGAACTTTTTTCGAACTTTTGACCTCGGAATCGAACTTCTAGGTACTAAATTACTATAGTCCCAAAGTTTCATCCAAAAAGGGCTACGTTATCGACCACTTATTTTTTTCAGCGGGTACCTACTCGACAATTGAAAAAGAGTGCATAGCAGAATACGTGGAATCAAGCGCTGCTCTAGGGATTAGATCTTGCAATGCTGGGTACCAATTGTTCTACTGCGAAACTAGAGCTAGAAAGGGAACAACCATTTATTCCGGTTTTCAGAACGAACAACCGTCTCTACGAACCGACCGGTTCGTCAATCAGCTTTCCTGGCACCCTGATGTATTCTTTGTTATTTTTACACAAAAACTTCAACAATTTAAAGTTAACAAATAAACCAATAAATCACAAGCCCCCTCATCACAATAAATCTCAGCCCCCTTCCCTTGCTTTCAATTAAAAATGGGCTTGACGGCCCGAAGGGCCGTCTCAGCCCCCTTCCTGGCTTTCAATTAAAAACAGAATAAATACGCTTCGAAAAAATGTCATCGTCGGGATTCGAACACCGGGGCTCGGCGAAAATTTTGAATTTTCAGGTTTTTGGCTCTAGAATTTTTCGGCCGCTTCTGACCGTTCGATGAATGGCATATTTGGAAAGCATTTTTTACGCTCTTTCGATCTGTACCTATTTCAAAGATGGGGTGGGATGGGGTAACAAATGGGAGCCAAAAAACATGATTTATTCCTAAAAAAACAGTCACGTGGGAAATTTTTCGAAAAAAAAATTATTTTTTCTTGGACTAAAAAGTTGTCCCTGGTGTACCTTATCAGATTTGGGCTGAAAGAACAACAAAAATTGATGACCAAAAATGACCATTCTGACTTCAGCGGGTACCTAATTGTCGAGGTTCTGCTTTTCTAACGGAAGATACAGTTCATCTCTTGACAAATCAATTTGCCAGAAAGCGCTTGGACAAGAATCTTACCTCTGCGCTCTCCATCTCCAAACATAGAAAATAACCACGCTGGCTAGAGTGAAGGCGAGAATGATCGCGCCAAAGTACTGAAGAGAGCTCAAATCTCCTGAATCGGGCGAGATGACATTTTTAAACTCGTCCGGCTCGTTGAAGGATGACTCCTTTGAATCTATTTCCTTCGAATAGGGGCTATTTGAAATTCTTTGAATCTTGAAACTTTTCTTCAAAAATGCCCTTTCCTGATCTTGTCGCTTCTCCTGTTTATAGTCCGCATAATCGCGATTCTGCGGTGCTTGAGGAACGCCTGGCATTATCGTCGGTTCATCATCATTGCCAGCTCCTGTGGTCAGTTCCTCCTGCGCCTGGTTTATAGAAGTTTGTTCTTCGGTTGATAATCGGTTGGCTGCCGTATAGAAGACTTCTTTCATCTTTCGCAGGACAAAAGCATTTAGAAATAAACAGTCTTTGCAGTTAGATTTTCTCACAAAGGTCTGGAACACTGATTTCAATTGCGCTGTCAGAAGTTGAAAGAGCAACCCGTTTCTTGACTTTGAACCACTCGTTGCTCGACACTTCAGTGCATTTCAGTTCAGTGCCCACGTCAAACACAACGGATATACCGTTACGTTTGTAATCCGTTTATAAAAGACAGTAAATTATGCAATAATGATCTAATAAGTTATCATTTTTGCATTTGTTCAGGTTTCCTTTGAACTGTTGTTTTCAAATCATTCGTACTTCCTTCACCCTGTCATAAGATAAGTTGATATACTTGAACCAGGAGACAGGAGCTTCACATGATTTCCGTCATCGAAAGTTCTACCTCTTCACAATCGTAAGACCACGATGTCCGTGAGAATTTTTTACGTAACTTTCAGGTAGAAATTCCCGTGGCATGAGAATCGACCATAAAGTTTTAAGTTCTTTCATAGGTCACAATAAACTTTCATGTCTTTTTGTGGCCAAAGGATTATTGTGATGGTTTTCGTTTATGATTTCTCGGTGAAAAAAGTCATTGATTTCTGAATTATGATGTTCCAAATTCCAGCTTAAAAAATAATCCTTGATTTTAATGCATTGAAAATTCTGGCGACATTTTTCTGAACATCATGATTTCAAGTTCAACGGATCATTTAAAATGGTATATAAAATCATATTACGGATGTCAGATACGGAACTCCACGATCGAGTTGTTTCAATAAAACTCAACAAAAATGCAAATTTAATCCCAGGAGTCACAGAAAATGACCTTTTATAGATATGATAACATTTCCCTTGAAGCAACAGTCGATTGCCCATGATAACTTCAAATTTGGAAAGCAAACGGCGTTCATTTTTATTTGCCAAAGTGCCGCGTTGATGTATAAAACCGTGGTCGACTGCCGCTCATCAGAAACAAACTCGAATTTCGCAATTTTTTAAACAAAAGCAAATCAACATGAAGTTGTCGAGCAGCCTCTTGGCTGTGACGGCATACGGATCGTTGAACCAGCTGCAGAATCGCGAGAATGATACACCGACGATAGCGGATAATGACCGATTCAATTGCATGCCGGATCATGGTTCGGATCAGCAAAAATGCGAGGCCAGAGGATGTCTTTGGGAACCGTCTTCAATCGAAGGAGCACCCTGGTGCGTGTTTCCGCAGGATTATGCTCACTACAAGTTGGATTCTGTAACAGGAAAGTTAGCCCTTTTCCATCTTGTTTTTTTGTATAAAATGGACAAGAGTCTAACCCAAAAAAGATGGTTTTACGGAATGGGGATCAAAGCAAGTCCAAACCAGAGAATACTCCCTTTCTCTTGAATCATCCGCGACGAAAGACAGCTACCCAAACCAGCAACAGAAACTCAAAATGGTAATCTACGATGTAGATCGCACTACAGTCCGAGTTCGCATCACCAACGAAGCTGATGATCGATTCAAAGTTCCCGTCCCTATCGCCGAGCCACTCAACCCAGGAACTGACATGGACAAGGACAACGAACAACCAGGGTTGGATTACATCGTTGAAACCGCTCAGCCGGGAAGCAGATTCTGGGTGAAGATCACTCGACGATCCACGGGCGAGGTTCTCTTTGATACCTCCGTAGCGCCTCTCCTCTTTTACGATCAATTCCTCGAGCTCTCCGTGAAACGCCCTTCGACCTACACTTATGGCTTCGGCGAGACCGAACAAGGCGCCTTGAAGTTCCAGGACAACTGGCATGCCCAAGGAATGTGGGCGCGAGACAACGGCGTTGGAACTGGCGACAATCTCTACGGCGTCCAGCCTTATCACATGACCTTCGAGGACGATGGAAATGCATCCGGCCTCCTGTTTTTTAACGCCAACGCTATGGAAGTCATTTCAACTCCCAAGCCGGCGATCACGTACAGAACTATCGGTGGCGAGCTTGATTTCATGCTCTTTACTGGTCCAGGACCTGAAGCCGTCACTCAGCAATACACTCACTACCTCGGAAGAAGCTATCTTTTCCCCTACTGGTCGCTCGGTTTCCAGCTCTGCCGATACGGTTATCAAAACACCTCGGAAATCATCACCGTCGTCGAAGAAAATCGCGATGCGGGAATTCCCTACGATACGCAATATGCCGATATTGATTACATGGAACGACAGTTGGACTTCACCCTGAGCGAGGAGCACTTTTCTGGGCTTCCTGACTACATTGACTACATCAAAAAGGAGTACAACATGCGATTCATTCTCATTTTCGACCCAGCGATTTCGGCAGGAGAACACGATCCAAACCAAAATCAGGCGGAATCGTGGCGCGATAAAGATGGAGTCATCTACCCGACTTATCAGAAAGGTCTTGACAAGGATGTTTACATTAGAGGAACAGACGGAGAGATCGAAATGGGCAAGGTAAACTTTTCGTTACCCCTTCTTACATAACATTTCACTGGTCATCAAACTTTTTCAAAGAGGCCAAGTTCGATGAACAAACAGTTAACACAGCACTTCAGGTCTGGCCCTACTGGCCCGGCATCTACCTTGAAGATCTCGTTCAAGATGGAAATGGCTGGGACGAAAACGTTGCCAAATTTCATTCAAACGTTGCTTTCCCTGACTTCTTCGCGCCACAAACTGCCGAATGGTGGGATGAAGAGATCCAAGTCTTCACAAAGAATTTCTTCAAGAACGGAACTGGACTTTCCTACGATGGCATCTGGATTGATATGAATGAGCCAGCGAGTTTTACTGCTGGTCGACCAGAGCTCAACGGCGGCACTCAGGTTGTTTTAAGAAAGAATCTAAAAAAAACTAACTTCAAAAAAGGGACTTGATGGCTGCCCAAATAACAATCTCAACCGACCGCCCTACATTCCAACTTCCTTGCGAGAGGGACGCGATCCGGAAAATGTCAGTCTTTTCGAAAAGTAAGATCGCTATTAAATTTTCTCTTTATAAAAACAACTCAGGACAATTTGCATGGATGGTCAACAATACAACCCGTTGACTGGTGAGATGGAAAATCACTACGACATGCATAGCCTTTACGGATACTCCGAAGGTCAGCCTACTCTTGATTCTTGTGAGAAAACCCTTGGAAAACGATGTTTGATCGTTTCTCGATCCACCTATCCCGGCTCACAGAAAACCATCGGCCATTGGCATGGGGATAACTCTTCGATCTGGCGCCATGTGAAGCAGAGTATGGTTGCTTCGATGCACTTTTCTTTATTCGGATTCAGGTGGATTTTCATGTCGAATTTCCAATAAACTTTGCCTAGCTACACTGGCCCAGATACTTGTGGGTTCTTCTCAGAAGCTGAACGAGAAATGTGCGCTCGATGGATGGAGCTTGGAGCTTTCTTCCCTTATTCGAGAAATCACAATGGCTTGACTAACAGACGACAGGATCCTGCTTCATGGGATGAAGACTTCGTCGAGCTTTCAAAGGAAATGGTCTTGATAAGATAACCAATAACTTGAAAATGTCAAATTTTGATCATGAAAAAGTCTGCTCTCACAAAACGATACCGAATGCTTCCATATTTGTACACCCTTCTCTACCGAGCTCACAAGCACGGTGATACTGTTGTTCGCCCGCTCATGAACAATTTCCCAAGTGACAAAACAACCTGGGACATCGACGAACAAATGCAGTGGGGATCCGGCGTTATGTTCTCGCCCGTCCTTGAGGAAGGTCAAACTGTCAAGCCAACATACTTCCCTGAAGCTCGATGGTACAATTACGATAACGGCTTTGAAATCGAACGATCTGCTGATGGATGGAATAATGTTGCTGCTCCTATTGACGTCATTCCCCTTTTCTTCCAAGGTGGCTCAGTTGTTCCCGTTCAAGTTCCTTCCCAAACGACAATGGACTCTCGAATCAATCCTCTCGGCCTCATCGTCAATCTCGACGAAGATGGTAAAGCTTCCGGCGATCTGTACTGGGATACAGGAAACTCCATCGATCCAATCAACAATGGCGAGTACACTCTCGTCGAATTCGAATTCCACCACAACCAGCTTCAATCATCAGTCAAGATGGGAGAAATCGACACTGAAATCCACGAGAATTACGGAACAGAAAATCCACTTGAATTTACACATTTCGAATTCAACGGTCTTGATGGCGCCGTCAGCGATGTCATCATCAACGGCGAAGCTTTGGAGAAAGCAGCATGGCAACAGGAAGAATCAAACAGACTTGTCATCAAAGACGGCTTCGTCAATTTGAGCATCATTCAACAGTTCGATATTAGCATTATCGTCGGAGATGTCAACGATCGAATCGACTGCACTCCAGGCCAAGAAAACATTGGTCCGAATGAATGCGCTGCAAAGGGTTGTACTTGGTCAGAATTGCCAACAACTTCTGATGCTCCTTGGTGCATTCATGATTCTTCAAAAGTCAATCATGGCTACACTGCCTCTAAATCTGGAACTTTGTCTGGTGCTAGCGAGACTTTTTCACTCTCCAGACCCGCTGAGCTCAATTCTGCCAGAAAATTCTCCGAGCCAGTTGCGAATCCAGAAGTGACAATGGTCAAGCTATCGAAAAACGCTTTCCGAATGAAGATTTTCGCCGAGGGTCGCTTCGAAATTCCAGATGAAGCAGACATCCATCAACTTCCATTTGAAGGCAGCACATCCGAATCAGACTACTCCGTCGAATACGGAAATCAAAATGACAGATTCTTCTTCAAGATAAAACGAGACGAACAGACTTTGATTGACTCTTCTCACGGACCCTTGATCTTTGAACATCAATATTTGGAAACTAGCTTTGCTCTTGGTTCATACAACTGCTACGGTCTCGGAGAGCATAATCACCGACGATTTAGACACACTCTCAACTGGCAACGATGGGCGATGTTCACCAGAGATGTAGCTCCAATCGACGAATGGAACTTCTACGGAGCTCAGCCATTTTTCATGTGCGGCGAAGGCAACTCCTTCTTTGGCGTCTACTTCCACAACGCAAATGCTCAGGAGGCCCAGTTCTCACCCAAGCCTGCAATTACCTGGCGATCAACTGGTGGTATCTTCGACATCTCTGTCGTCGTTGCGGATTCGGCCGAAGAACTCGTTCAAGCTTACACATCACAAATCATCGGAAAGCCATTTTTGCCTCCTCGATGGTCTCTTGGATATCAACTCAGTCGATGGGGATATGACTCGCTTGATAAAATGAAAGGAATTGTCGAAGACATGATCGCAGCCAAAATCCCCTTTGACGCGCAATATGGTGATATTGACTACATGGATGCCAAGAAAGACTTCACTATCGACCCTGTCAACTACAACGGCCTCGCTGACTTTGTCAAGGAACTCCATGACGTCCACAACATGCATTACATCGTCATCCTCGACCCCGCCATCGCTAACATCAACCCTGACACTGGCAAAGAGTACACAGAAGCAGAGTATCCCTCTTACGCAAGAGCGAAAGCGGCTGATGTCTGGATCAAGAATCCCGATGGGACCCCAGCTCAAGCCGAAGTTTGGCCAGGACCAACTCTCTTCCCTGATTTCACCGACATCAATAAAACCGAGCCTTGGTGGACCGATGAGTGCCGAAGATTCCTCGATGACGAGGGTGTTCAGTACGATGCTCTGTGGATCGACATGAATGAACCAGCGAGTTTTATGACTGACAACGGAAACCTTCAGTGCCCGGATCAGTGGAGCAACCCACCTTTCACTCCTAACGTTCTTGATGCAGACAAAGGTCTTTTCTGGAAAACCATCTGCATGGATGGAGTCCAAGCTTGGGGAAAACACTACGACGTCCACTCACTTTACGGCCATTCTATGGCTCTCGTTACCGACAAGACTTTGAAAGCCCTCTACCCAGATAAACGATCATTCATCTTGACAAGATCTCAATTCGCCGGTACCGGACGCGTAGCAGGACATTGGCTCGGAGATAACCAAAGTCAGTGGCGCCAGATGCAATGGAGTATCACTGGAATGCTTGAATACTCACTCTTTGGTTTCTCTTACACTGGAGCTGACATTTGCGGCTTTTGGTTCGCGGCTACTGCACCAATGTGCCAGAGATGGCAGCAACTCGGAGCGTTTTACCCTTACTCGAGAAATCATAATGGAATCGGTTGGGCCGATCAGCATCCAACAATGTTTGGAGACGATGTCATCGAATCGTCCCGAAATGCACTGCTCATCAGATATTCCCTCCTGCCGACTTTGTACACTCTCATGTACGAATCAAACCAATTCGGAACCACCACTGTTAGATCGTTGATGGCAGAGTTCCCTCTGGATAGAAATGCAGCTGATTGTTCTGATCAATTTCTTTGGGGAAGTGGCTTCATGATCGCTCCAGTAATGGAGGAACACGCCGTTAGTCGAGCAGTTTACTTTCCAGCTGATGCATCGTGGTACGACTACCACAGCTACGAAGAAATCGAAGGTTCTGGAAAGACTAAGTTGATCCAGGCAGATATGATGACGATTCCACTCTTCGCTCGAGGCGGTACCTTCCTTACTTCGCAATCTCCTGAAGTCACGACTGCTGCCCAGCGTTACAATCCAATTACAATCACTTACTTCATGGACAAGATCAACCCTACGCAGGCAAGAGAAGGAGGACTCTTCTGGGATGATGGAGAATCACTGCTCAAAGAAGATGGAGACAATTACATGAAATTCAACTTCAACCCCTTCAATGGCGAGTTCACTTCCTCTTGCACAGCTGCGCGATGCGTATCCGGCGGCGAAGACGACCTTGATATCGAAAAATTCGTCATCGTTGGTGTTGAGCGACGATTGACCACCGTCCTGGTCAACGGTCAAGCCGTGAGCTCCACCTTCTCCGGAAATACAGTCACGATCGATTTGAGCGGCATTAAGATCAGTTCCGAATGGTCCATTGTCAGCCCTGACTTGATTGAAGCAGCTGAAGAAGACGATGATGAAAACAGCGCTCAATCGATAGGCACTATTTGTTCTGCTGTTCTTGCAATTCTAGCTTATTTCCTTTTGTAAAACCCGTATTCTGATTTGTAAATTAGCATTGAAACTCACCGAATAAAGAAATCTTTGAAAAGTCTTCCTTGATTTCATGGCTTCGCTGGTAGAAAAGCATCATGAGGTTCAAGCCTTCAGCTTCCAATTTGCAGATTCTGTTTTCTTTTCTGACTCATTTTGACGAGCACACAATCCTCGTCACTCGTCGCTTTCATCATTTCAATTTACCATCGTTCTTGCTTCCACGAAATCTTTCATCATCCATCGCGTTGAAGCTCGATCGCTTTTTTCTCATCCCTTTTTCCTATAAAATGGCAGCACGGACAGAACACCACCAGGAATTGGAAAAAATCGATTTTTCCTTCAAAATTTCCAATTTTATCGATACTCGTCCAAAAGACTAACTCAGGCAAAGACGTTATTTTTTTGGTGAATCAGCAAAAAGTATATTTTTTAAATAACCAAAAATGGGCACAGGAAACATGCTTCTCTCATCGTACGAGTGGCAAAATGAGAAAGGAATTGAAGATTTTACCAGCGATCTTCAGTCAGAATTAGAGATAAATGGCGATGTTCTTTTTGCCGTCGGAAAAGACGAAGAATTGACAGAAATTGAGCTTGAAAGGACGCTTGAGAAAATAAAGAGCATTTGCGAGAACTCAAATGCTACTGCTAGTGTCTTGGCTAAAAAAGAAAAATCAGCAACTGTCTTTGTCAGGCTAAAGAAGACAGACGATTACTCATTCTTTGAAACAAGGTAAGAGTGAAAGCTAAGCGTCTAACCAAGTCCTCTCCAGAGTTTGCACAGTCGGAAATGTAGACGCCGGAAAGAGCACCCTCCTCGGAGTACTCACACACAACGTCCTCGATGACGGGCGTGGATCTGCCAGAACAAAGCTCCTCCGTCACCGACACGAGAAAGAAACCGGCCGAACAAGTTCTATCGGTCAGCAAATTCTTGGTTTCGATGATGAAGGAAAAGTCGTCAATCCGAGCGTTCATGGCCAGCTTAACTGGGGAAATCTCTGCCAAAACAGCGCCAAAATCGTCAATTTCTACGACCTGGCTGGCCATGAAAAGTATTTCAAGACCACCGTTTCTGGAATAATGGGCAGCGCTTCTGACTATTGCATGCTGATTGTTGGCTCTAATCATGGACTAACGGGAATGGCGAAGGAGCATCTCGGCGTTGCAGTTGCTCTTGGTCTTCCGACATTCGCTGTTGTTACGAAAATCGACTTTACTCCTCAAAACATCATCAAACAAACCATTTCCGGAATGGGAAAGGTCTTCAAATCAACTGGTGTCCGTCGCATCCCAATTTTGATCCAAAACGTGAATCACGTGATCCTCGCCGCCGAAAATTTCAATTCCGTCAAAGTCGTCCCAATTTTCAAAGTTTCTTCTGTCACCGGCGAAGGAATGGAAATGCTCAAGCTCTTTCTCAACCTCGTCCGACCTTCGCGAGAAAAATCAACTTCTCAAAGCTCAACATTCGCTGTCGACGAGATTTTCTACAAAGTCGGAATCGGCACCGTCGTCGCTGGAGCTCTCAGCGGCAAGCCGATCAAAGCTGGCAGCACAATGTCGCTCGGACCAGACGAAAATGGAAAATTCATCCCCGTCGGCGTCCGTTCAATCGAGCGCAAATATCTTCCTGTTTCTGTAAGTACTTCGAGTTCGGAATCCGTCTTGACAGTTCAATAGAGCTTGAATGATGGAGAATCAGCAGCTCTCGCGCTTCGAAAAATCAAGCGCAGTGAGATTCGTAAAGGAATGTTTCTAATACAAAATATTCCAAATCCAATGGCTTACCGTCATTTCCGAGGAAGCATAACTATTCTGCACCATGCTACAACCATCAAAAAGAACTATCAGGTAGAGCATAATGCTCACAAGTCCGTCCTCACTCAATTCATGTAGGCAGTCGTTCACATCGGCTCAATTCATCAGTCAGCAAAGATTATGTCGATGGATAAACCACTCTTGCGCTCCGGCGATGTTGCTACTGTCCACTTTTATTTCCTAAAGCGACCTGAGTTCATCCAAACCGGCCAGCTCTTCCTCTTCCGCGAAGGAAAGACCAAAGCGATCGGGCGAATAACCGAACTTCTTGAATAAATTTCAGCTTCTTTCAACTTACTTGTTTGTTTTTGAAAAAACCGCATCAAAATGTCTGGCGAAATAATTCAAAAATAATTCAGCATTAACAATTTACGCAGAATACTTAATAGATAATCGACTGCTTAGGAAGAAGTGGTTATATATTTATCCAAGGGCGCCCAAACAACTACATTTTAACTATTCATGCGGAGCAATAATCGCTGCTCAAGAGTCCTGACGGGAAACATACTCTCTAAAAAGAAGAAAAAGAGCGACTATGTTTTTCAGAAGCATCTTTCAATTAACTTTTTTGAGCATGGAAATTGCAGCAAATAAGCAAAACCAGAGGTCATTCAGGCAACAGGAACTGATACTGATGAAAACGCTGGCTGAAAAGCTAGCGAGCTGCGACTGCGAGAGTAAAGCTCAAAATCGACATAACTCTCATGAAAAATGCTCTTGCTGCTGGTCGACTGGTTGTCTCTGCCCGATGCCACCGAGGGTCGTGAAAATAAAAGATTCCTTCATAAAATTCGTCAAACAAAAACATGATTTAATGTATCGATTCATAGAATTGCCCAAAAAAGCAGAGGAGTACAAGCAAAACATACAAGAACTAAGGTGCTCTAAAATTTTAAATCATCGAAAATTTACTTCAATTGATAAAGATGGCGAAAACGTCTGATTCTTGAAAACGCTGCGAAAAACTTGAAAGAAAGAAACTGCGAAAAGTGCCATCCTTTTCTAAACACATGTGTGGCGGAAAGAAGACGGGGATTTGCAATTGCAAAGAGCTTTGGCAGTCATATGGATTTTTATGAGTACGCAACGAGTCCAAGAAAAATGGAAGAAAATCAAATTCCTGAGTGGGCGCTCGAGGTAAGTTTTCATTTCGGAAAAATGATTCATGAAAGTTTAGGAGCCAGAGAGCATCTCATCGACAAAAACAACTACTACCACTTCAACAACTTCAACGACTTCGACGACCACAACAACATCAACTACAACGACTTCAACAACTACAACGTCGACAACGACTTCCACCAAGACAACAACCACTACTACAACAACAAGTACACTGAAAAATATTTGTCAATCACAATCTTCATGTAATCCTAACTAACACAATCTTGATTCTTGTAACTAACACTGTTGCCGTTAGCAACTACCACAACAACTACAACGTCAACAACTACAACCACTAAAAGGAGACATTATACAAAATTCTCAGACCCTTATTTAAAAACAGCTTCAACGAAGAGATTCAAAGCCACGAAAAAGCCAAAGACAAGACCGACAACGACAACGACTACGACGAGAACTTCCACTTCTACCAAACCCGTTGTCCTAGTTCCAAAGGAGAGGATTAATAATAAATAGCGACATGATGTTTCTTTTCTGCTAATAGAGCTCTAAATGTTCAATCCAAACAGGCGCAACACGATTTTCCAAATTTGAACAAGTTTCCGACAAGCAACATTCATATTGAAGACTTCTCTGCTTTGAAAACAGTCTCGACAGAGACTTCAACAACCACTACGAAGCCTACCACTTCATCCACGACAACAACAACGACAACTTTGACAGTGACAGCGATGACGTTCAAGCCGTCTACGATGCAAGCAACATCAAGAAGACCGATTCAACTCAGTCTTCATCAACAACAGAAACAACTAAGTCTTCAGAAAAGCAATTATGTAGATCTAGACTATATTTTCAAACGCAGAGGAGATCAGGTCGGGCTTTGGCAAAAGTAATCCCTGATGATTTTCAAGCAAAGTACAAATCCCAATCAACAGGTTGTCAAAACTGCAACGAACTATCCCAGCTCGCCACGAACGATAAGCATTATTGATGCTCCGCCTCTGGTAAGAAATCCCTCAAAAACGCCTGCTTACTTTTAATCATAAAGATGTATCGATCCGCCAATATCATAAAGCAATCCCCGTCTTCAACTACAAGCATGCCAGAACCATCTGGTCTTATGGGCGACTCTCCTACATCCTCTGCAAATTCTGTCACTCTTCATATTCTTGCAATCATAGCTACTGTAGTAATTTTGTCCTAATTGTCAATATAAATAAAATGTACAGTCAGCATCGAAAACTTATTCTCCTCGTTGATTCCAAAGCGCATGACCATGATGATATCACTTGGTCAATATTTATACAAGTATCAAAAGTGGTATTCTCCTTCAATTTTTCTCATTAAAGAGATATGAAATTCGCTGCTCTCTTTATAACATTAGGAATTGTTTCTAGCTTCTCATAGCTTTTGATAAATAGACTGTTCAAGAGCAACAAAAAGTCATGCCGAAAACCGAAGCGCAAAACGTAGTGAATGTTCGAGGCTCTGGACAGAGACACAAGCGTAAGTTTTTTGAGAAAAAGAGTGTCCCTATTTTCAGTTCCTGAGCATTTCAAACAAGTCGAACGGCCAGAAGAGAAAACAGAGGGCTTGACTGGTGGCCAAGGCGAATTTGGCCAGGCATGGGCCGAAGAAGCTCCAGAAGAGTGAATCGAATTCGAAGCCCCATATTCAAAATATATTCAAAAAACTTTTTGACTCTTTAAAATTGCAGATTCTAGTCATTCTAGTCATGCACGCAAAAAATCGTAATCTATAAATGCTCGCTGCAAATAGCTGTCTATTTGGCCCCTCACGTTCAGATTACACAAACGAACATCAAACACACATTTCCACTTCAGCATAACATTTCATTTCATTTACTAATCTACAGATTGAAATTTCCAGGAACAGCGTCGCAGCTTATCTTCGCCAGTTTACTCCAACGACATCTAACAATGTTGAATCAGTTTAAACTTTTTTTGGGAAATGAGAGTCTGAGAGTCTGACGCTCAAGTTTGGAATGTCTGGCAATAGAAATAAATTACGAGCCGCGGAAAGCCGGTTGGTAAAAATTACTGAATTAACTTACCCCGAGTTCGTTTTGCACTTGCATTTTAAGCGTTTTCTAGGGCGCGTTTCCATGCCGTTTTCACAGCTGAATCGTTATTAAAATTTTCTTTCTGAAAAATGAAAAAATGAACCTGAGAAGCAGTCGCGTTCCTGGAGAGAAGGCCCCATTAGAAGCATCCAAGTTATTTTTAGCGCGCGTAAAAACGACTCCTCTGCTTTCAAGAATCGCCGGCACCGGACATCCCCCATCGTCTCCGTGTGCGTTCGTGTGCTTTTCCATCCATTCAATCGTCGCCAATTTTGACTTCTTCCTTTCTTTTTTCGCCTTTTTCCGATTTTTCTTCTCTAAAAAACAAGATTCAGGCAATCTCGGATGATTGGGTTTAATTACGTTTATTGATGGAAGGCGCGACACAATTGACCTTTCCGACTTCGAAAATAGATTTTCCATGGAACCAGGTTGGGTAAGGCGGATATAAGGGTGCAGAATTGATTTCGACATTTTCCAGGCATATATTTTCTCCCCAATCGAATCGGACAGTATTGACGCCTGTAAATTGCGACTGAATGTCCGTCGTTCCCAGGAGTTTTATCCAGACATTACTGTCCGCGTTCGAATTCCATCTCGTGGCGACATTGCTCCAGTATGATTTTGTCATGTTCCTCGGTATTCCCTCCTGAATCGGGTGGTGTAGAAATAGAGGAGACAGTGTTGGGAAAATACCTCGTAGGACATCCACCACGGAAGGCGCGCTCGACTTGAGAGGCTACTTTGGCAGAAGTCGAGCTTGAGTCGGATAAAGTGAAACTTCCGTCCTTCGGCAGCGCAAGTCTCATCAAACAGCTCCTGTACGAGAGAAAAATGATAAGATAGTGAACCAAGTTTAGAACAGTTAAAAAGCCAGCGCAGTAATAATATAATTTAATTACTACTAGTACTAATAGTACTCTTTTGAAGCATTTTCAATTCCGCGGATTACATAGATTTAGAAAGTGGTTGGCGTTTAACTGAGGATTAGCGCATACCCGTTTGCTTTTAGAGCGATCAAGTTTGTTGCCACATGCACGCGAGAACCATGCACGTCTTTCTATAAGGGTCACCGTTATGTTTCTTCAGAACTGGATTAATAATTCTGTCGGCGACCCCGTAACTGTTTCCAGCGCTATCACGAGGAAAGCTTTCCAGCAGTTGAATTTTGAAAGTTCTTGCTCTCAACGGACTCTTTTTTCGGATCAATTAAAACTGCTCAGTAATCTAATCAGTAATTTTGTACTAATACTTTTGAATCGCAATGAGAAACGCGAAGTTCTCTGCCGCGATAAGGCACGATAAGGAGTCTAGTGCTCGCGAAATCCGTGTGAGCCACTTGTCCTGTGATAATGAGATCGGTGAGGCATAGATTGGAGTTTTTTCCACTCCAGCGTAGGCTCAGGTACTCGAGATCGCTCATTTCAACTGGAACTCGCAATCTAGTGGACGTCTCATTACCGCGGCTCAGGTTGATCGTCTCGAACGATAACAAACCGCCACAGATGCCGAAAAATGATGCTTCCAGTTGTCCTTGAGGTGCTCTTTAAGAGAATGAGTGCTTATCAAAAATAAGTACCGGTCAAAGTTCAGTCAATTTTCAAGGACATCCAGAAACCCTTCGGTCCTCAGAATCATAACATAACTAAAATGACCGAAAAGTTCAAGTTAATTATTCTCTGTTAGAGCATTTTCCTTTGTAATCTTCAGCTGTTTCTTGGCAAGTTTTCAGCCTTATCTCTTCGAACAAAAATGCCAAGTTACCAACAACAACAGTCGCTACTAGAATTAAGCCTATCTGCATTATCTCTGATTTACCCGCTCTGGCTTCGAGTTCCAATCGCGGAAGACTTATATGTCCCTGCCTTGACGGGCTCAAGAGTTCTTGTCAGGACCGTTTCGCCAAAGGTTACCAATGAATTCCCGGAAGAATTCATTCTTTGATTCGAACGAGTTTTTGAAGGAGGCCTTTTTGAAGAAAGAGGCCTTGCGTTGAAATTCTAAGAAGCTGACAAAAAGCTCAAATTACAGCATTAGTGCTTGTTTAATCTTTTAGCGCTTATCTTAACGCCATTTTGGTGGTTAGAGTATTTTCATGGAAGATCGAAAATCGAATATTTGAACATTAGAAACGTTCAAATAGAACGGATTGCCACTTCGATGTTATTCGAAAATGTCCGATTCGGAGGAACAGCGTTTGACAAAAATCATTGAAGAAAGTAAACTTGCAATCAAGGATGCGTCTTCAAAGCTTGATCGAATCGCGAAAGAGAAAGGAGAAGCGGAAATAAAGGAGTTGCGGCAGAAAGTAGAAGATCTTGTTGGCTTCGAACTTGAACAATCTAACGAAGAATTGGAAGCAGGAAATATGAAACAAGAAGAAATCTACGCAAAAATAGTCAAGAATCTGGAAGAGATCAGTAAAATTGAGTGGAAAATAAGACAACGAATCCCCGATTACAAAAGTGAGCACGAAGATTTCAAGAGAGAGAAAAAGGAAGCTTTAGAAAAGATGTACAAAAATGGCTAGAGACGAGGAAAGAACACGAGAACGCCGTTCTAAAAATCTGTGGCCTTCAGCAGTAAGACTTTTATTAATATCGATATTATAAATATCTCGTTCTAGTTTCAATGTCTTCAACTCTCATCGTCCCAAAATAACAGCATCAAGAAGCCCTGAGAAAAATTCGGAGAGTGAATCGCCAAGTTTTTCTACAAAATCTGGTGGCTTTTCTTTTGGAGCATCAGCCTTTGGCTCATCTGGCACTAATATGTTTGCTAAGAGCAGTTCTTCGTCTGTCAAATCAAGAACTTTGTTTGGTGGAGCCAAATCTCCCTGAACCATTGCACAGTGAGTCTCAGCATTTAATAGAAATAAATTGAATATAGCAAAATGCCATTTTGGCCTAAACGTGTTTTCATTGAAGATCGAAAATATTTGAGCGTAAGAAACGTTCATATCGCACAGATTCGTGAAATCTAGCCAAAAAATGACGGCATTCTAAAGCAAATATCATTTTCTTTCAAAGAAAATCTCAGAATAAATCACAGTGAGCGCAATATGACAGACTCAGAAGAAGATTGCTTGTATAAAACCATCAAAAATAGCTCTCAAGAAATCCGTAATGCTATCGCAAGACTCGAAGAAATTCAAACAGAGAAAGATGAAGCTCGCATTAGAAATCTGAAAGAAACCACCGACGATTTAATGGCGAATGCGTTTAAGAAAAATTCTGAGAAGATGATCATCGCGCATCAAAAATATATAGAAACTCTAGCCGAAATTATCGAACATTTGGACAAGAGAAAAGAGTTATTTGAAAGATACTGCCTCCAAGATGATGATAATTTTGTTGAAAATACGAAGAAATCTCTGCAAGAAGCCACACTCAACTGGATTGAAACGAGAAAACAAGAAGATAAGACTTTGATTGATATATTCGGATCGCTTGAATTCGGGACTATCAAAAAATTCGAAAAAATCGTCACGCAACAAAGCGATGATCGCGGCAAATCAGTTGATGCCTTCAATATGTGTTACTCAAGAATGGAACATGTGCACGAAAATCCTTAGAAGAGCTCAGAATCGAGGACTATCTATTTGGCTTGAAATGAGTTTCTTTCGATAGATTTTTCAGAATAAATATCATTGAATGACTCCGTTTTTGTTTACTGATTTTATCTTGTAAGACGCGAATTCAAATTTGCAAATACTACTCGAGAGACGCTTGCATTTTCCTTCGGGTTAGAGACCATGTCAGACTCAGAAGAAGAGCGTTTATCAAAGCTTATTGAAGAAAGCAAGCTAACGATCAAAGATGCAACATCGAGACTTGAGCAAATCGCGAAAGAGAAAGGAGAGGCTGAGATCTTGGGAGTGCGCGAGAAAATAGAAAATCTTATGGACGTTGACCTGAAAGAAAGTCGCGATGAAATGAATTCCGCCCACAAGAACCAAGCTGAGTCTTGCAAGAAAATCGTGGAGTCTCTTGAACAAATAACAAAAATCGAAAAGAAGATCAAACAACGCTGCTCAGATTATGCAAGTGAACATGGAAAATTCAAACAGCAGAAAAAAGCGGCGATTGCAGAGGATGTTCGAAAGTGGATTGAGCTCAGAAGAAAGCAAGAAAACGAAATTTTGGAAATCTGCAAAATCGAGATGTAAGCATTACTTTTTCGATAGATTATTTTAACTTAATTTTAGAGTCAATGCCAATCAAAATAAACCGAATTCTGGAGGTGGACTTTTTGGATCTTCGAGCCAACGTCAAAATCAACCGGCGCCTAGAGGATTTTTTGGACCTTCAAGTCCAGCTGCTTCGAACAACGGTGGTAGCCTGTTTGGAAGTAATTCAACAACAGCCTCAAACAGTTATGGGTTTGGAAGTTCTACGTTTGGTAGCAACCAATCAACTCCAAAACCATTTTCTTTTGGTGGTGGACATTCATCTGGTGGAGGCCTTTTTGGATAAATTCGCAACCAATTCGATGTGATAAGAAAATATAGAGATTTATTACTGATTTGGCACTGAATAAAAAATACTTTTCAAAGCATCCTTCTTCTTATCGAATAGCTCCAACTCGTTCGAGAACTGGATCCGTAAATCGTGTATCGTCAGTTTGCTGGTCGTACTTGACGAACTTTCAAGAGGGCTCTTTATCTTCCCGCGTCAAGGGACAAGTCCGTTAGGATCTGATAAGGTGAGGAAATATGAACTTGAATAATGAGTCCGAAGTAAAGCGCCGCGGCTTAGCCCAAAATGAGCAAACCGCGGCGGTGCTCACCAGGCCGGAATCTCAAGAGCCCAGCCTCGCTCCCTCCCGGAGCAGTTGCATCCCGAAGCTCGTTCACTATCACCAGGTAGTATACCCAGTAAAAAGCTTGCGCAAGATTTTCATCTTTCTTATCAAACTTTCAAAGCCTTGAAAATTTAAAAATCTTGCCTGAAAGAGTTCCAAAACTCAGCTAAAAATATAAAACTGTTATTTTAAAATCAAAAAAAAAAACGCCTGAAAGATTGCTAATGAAAAGCCGCGTAGCGGCTTTTTTAAAAACGAAGCCGCGAAGCGGCTTCGCTAAATTACCTTTTTCATAAAATCTCAAAATACTCGCAAAGCCGCTTCGCGGCTTTGTTTCTGAAAAAGTCGCTACGCGGCTTTTCACTAACTATCTTTCAGGCCCTGAGTCAGTTTTTTTTTCACCAGGTTGATGCACGTCAAGATTTGTTTTACGCTTTTTTTATCTTTGTTTTTGACAATAAGTTTTGCTTCTAAACTACGTTTATATCGAATAAAGAGTGAGGGGACACGACCCTGCTTTAGGTTGTTTGGAGTAAAGAGGGATTATCTCCTGGATTTCAGTCTTAGGGAAGTTTAGGGCAAAAGGGTTTACCGGGAAGAGCACCCGAGAAGCGCGGTCCAGCCACTCCGCCAATTTGCGATAGTACTCCGCTCCTTCTAGCGCTTCCAGATCCAAAACTGCAAAAAAGTTGAAACTTCCAAAAACCGCAAACGGTATTTTTGTTTAGATGTAGCGAGTATCTTACGTGAGGCCTTTGTAGTTTGATGTTTGAGTTTATTTTTGATGTTGTGTTTTACGGCGTTGGTGAATTTCATCGCGGGCGAGAGCGCTAAAACTGGTTACACAAACGTTTGATATCTAAACCCTCGCATCGTGTTTAGAACTAAGCGCAGATTTTAGCTAATTCGCTTTAAGCGAATAGCAAACACAAATACTTACTTTCACGCAGGAACGGACCCAAGAGTTGGAGATATGTTTTATTTAATTAGAATCACTAGTTTTAGTAAACCAGACATTTTGAGGATGATTTTAAAGGAATTAACTGTTTGTCGGGCTCGCGAACCTGTGTAGAAAACCTGAGTCAGGTTCCGAAGTATCTAAAATGAAAAGCCGCGTAGCGGCTTTTTTCAAATTTGAAGCCGCGCAGCGGCTTCGTTAGAATTATATAATAGACTCGAGTAGTCCAATGGCGAAGCCGCTTTGCGGCTTCGTTTCTGAAAAAGCCGCTTCGCGGCTTTTCATTTTAGATACTTCAGAGCCTGACTCAGGTTTTCGACAGAAGTTGCTGAGCTCAGAATCCACTCTTTTAGAGAAAAATTCTCCCCGAAAATCGACGTTATCGATGTCTACCCCCTTAACTCTCTCTTGATAATTGTTTGATCATCGTCTGAAAAGATCCAGCATTGAAAATTTGGCAGTCTAAAAAATGCTTCTACCATGATTTTCTTGTCCATTTTCGTACATTGGCGGTTCCGGAATCTGCTCATTTTTAGCGCTCCTTTGGGTCAGCAGGTGACTTGTACCGGGCGAAAAGAAATGTGTCCCGCGGTTGACCTTCCTAGGATCAGAAGAGAAGAATGTGTGAAACTTGGTCAGCGGCTTTGCATCCGTTACAGGAAATTCTGAAAGCAAGCTGAATTCGAAGGGCTCGAAAACGTGTTCTCGCATGTTTTTTCCCTGGAAAACATACCGCTTATATTCGCTTATAACCTGAGGCTAGAAACCTGTGTAAAAACCTTAGGCAGGGTCTGAAAGATCATCAATGAAAAGCCGCATAGCGGCTTTTTTAAGAACGAAGCCTCAAAGCCGCTTCGCCAAAATGATCTTTCGGACCCTGACTCAGGGTTTCTACACAGGTTTTCAGTTTAGCTGACCAGTTAAAATTACAGTTAAGAATTTAGACTGGGTCGATGTTGGTATTTGTGTTCTTAGTTAGCGCGTACCCGTAATCATGTTCGTGAAGGATTTCGTCTTCTTGCTTTGGTGACGGGTCGCGAGAGATTCGTCGCTTTGCTATTTTGCTATTTTTAAAATTATTTCGCCGCGGTGATTAGTACAAAGTATTATGTAGTAGCGACCCCGTGGCTTAGGCTGATCGAGCTCGGCTCGCAGTAGCTCAGACTCTGCTCGGTTAAAGTTGCTCCAGCGGTGCCGAACAGCGCCCATTCCACTCTTTTCCGATGAATTTGCTAAAAATAATAATCAGGAAAGATAATTTGGCAAATTTTTATGCCAAAATATTATTCAAACAATGACTTTATTACGAATTCTAGCAGCCGGAATTTCGGAAAACGCAATTTCCGATTTTCAGACGGAAAAAGGGCCTTGTTTCGGTGCATTTTTCAGGAAGCCTGGCTCAACCGCGATCGATCTAAAGTGCCAGGCGATTGCGATCTGGCGGATTCCATTTAGTCTCCTGCTGAGCGAAATTACACCCTTCGATGGCACTTCGCGTATTCTAATCGCATCTGAGTCTCCTCGCTTTTTAACATGTCAGCTGTCGAAAAAATGGTTAACGCTTCTGTCAAAAGATCATCCAAAAACAGAAAGAAGAAAAATAGAAAGATGAAAATGTATTCAAGATAAGAAATCGGGCGCGCAATTGATTGGCAGGGGACATTTCTAATCTGAAGCAGGAAGAGGTCACATGCGAGAATGTCGCTTTATCGTAGACTGACGCCGAGGTTCGAACGTATCTCCAAATCAAAGGACGCATATCAGCTCGTCCGTTTGGGTCAAGGGGGTAGGAAATCGCGCCTTCAGGCTTTCCCTCCGTTTCTCATCAAATTCAATTTTGTACGCTGATTTACAAGTTTCTCCCTTGGTAACCCTATCTTCCCCAAACGGGGGCTCGACAACCTGTGTAGAAAACCTGAGTCAGGATTTGAAAGAGCTTCAATAAAAAATAGTTATGCTGGCGAAGCCGCTTCGCGGCTTCGTTTTTACAAAAGCCGCTACGCGGCTTTTCTTTAAAGAACTTTCAAATCCTGACTCAGGTTTTCTACACAGGTTGGCTAGCCCAAATTAGTCTAAAAGAGGCGCTCTGGAAGTAAAAATTTCAAAGAAGAGCCATTTTGAGGAAACTTTTTTGTTGTTACAAAGCTGATCGAATTCGTTCAAGGTTGCCAAAACAAGCGCTGTATGGGCAGTCTTAGAAGTCGATGGGGTTTGCCAAATCTGGTCAATTCTGACGCAGGATTTGTCACTGAGCGCGCGCTCAGCTCCGAATCTCCTCGCCTGACAAAACCATCTTTTTGCCATCTTGCAAGAAAATTTCCGTCATTTCTGGAATTTTAGAATGACTACTGCTAGTACTTAACTGTGCACGTTTTCATACTAATAATGACTTTACTGGTGAATTGACTTGGGCGGCGTTTTACGTAGGAAATACGGTGAGCGGCTTACCTCAAGAATCCCCTTATGTTGCCGAGAAATGAAGTTCGCGCAGGCGTATTCTAGCACAGCGGCGAATACATACGCTACAAGATTGGATAAGCAAGATGCTTAGCAGTCCATTATATTACCAATACAAATGACCATCCAAATATCCAGCGCTTTAATGTACGAGACTTTTTCAGGGATCATGTCAATTGTCTGACCCAATGATGAGGGCGATTATTTTTTGAAAAATAAACACTACGTTTTCATCCTGCTCTATTTTGGTTAAAAAGAGCCGCTTTCCTCCGTTTAGGCTGATCATTTGACTGAACGGGGAATTACTGTAAAGCCGGGTTCAGCCGAAAATGGTACCGTTTGACGCGCTGGGTTAAATTAAATACGTCTTTCTTGCTCATTTTTCGCAAGTTAGATAGATTTTTCTTCTGTAATCTATTTTAGAAGAACTTTCAAATTAACCATGAGAAAGTTCTTTTTAATTTTATCTGATTCGCGAATTTTAAATTGCCCTCTGCTGGCGTCTAAATTGAACCGTGATAAAATTAACTTCTGATAGCCATCTGGGCTTTTTAGACTGAACATGATTTTTTCTGCGTTTTTTTTTATTCTATAAGCGGCTCTGGGACGGAGCCACGTCAAGTCACAACAATCTTTTAGGCTGGACTTTGGCTGAGGTAAAATAAATTGAATCACCCTCATCCGTCCCGATTTAGAAAATACAAAAATCCGAACTTGTCTACATCACTCCGGCTAACGTCATAATAAATGTTCCAAAATACTTTTGCATAAATTGAGCTACGTCTCTTTCTTCCCCGTGTTATATTTGTTTTTACTTGTATTTGTTCTTCTAGTACTACTGCTAGCTTACTAAACCGCTTTATTATTGGTCAAAAAGGTAGAAAATTGGGCTCGGCAACCTGTGTAGAAACCTGAGTCAGAGTTTAAAGAGCTTCAATAAAGAGCCGCGTAGCGGCTTTTGCAAAAACAAAGCTGCAAAACGGCTTCGCCAGAATAGAATGGTAATTTTGGCGAAGCCGCATAGCGGCTTCGTTTTTGTAAAAGCCGCTACGCGGCTTTTTATTAAAGCTCAACTCACGTTTTCTGCACAGGTTGTGGAGCCGTGTTATTACTAGTTTTTATGCAAAATATATTTTTCTATCCCTTATCTCTCATTTTGAATTGATACGGAGAGGTTTTTGATTGAATTGTGAAAGAAATTTAAAGAATGCTCGCCAAGGAAAACTGCGGCTTCCGGAGCGAGGCTCAACCACGTTTTTAGCTTGATCCGGCAATAATGCTCAATGTTAACCTATGCTAGCCAGAGAAAAGCCCCGGAAAGCCGGCGCTGCGCTGATTGAGATCCCGTTGCCTTTTGGGAGCGACGATGAAATTGATGCACGTTGGCTCGTGATTGTTAAGACCGTTGTTATCCCCAGACTAAAAATCCGGGTTAAATCAAATAGTTCCTTCTAGCTTTTTACCTGACTCTTGCTGGCACAGCGTCGATGGAGATCCAAAACGAAACCCAGCTGATAACTGGGCTCGGCAACCTGTGTAGAAAACCTGAGTCAGGGTCTGAAAGATCTCTAATTAAAAGCCGCGTAGCGCCTTTTGAAAAACGAAGCCGCTTTTTAAATTTAAAAATCATTTTGAAGGGTAAATTGCGAAGCCGCTTTGCGGCTTCGTTTTTAAAAGCCGCTACGCGGCTTTTCATTTAAGCTCACTCAGGTTTCCTGAACAGGTTGTCGAGCCCAAGCTGAGGATGACGATCAGGGCAGAAGGGATGAAGCACTTGGAAGTTGCAAAAAGTTGTAAGGAACAATAAGTAAGATAAGATAAAAAATAGAGTCTGGCTCAGCCGCCTTCAGAGGTAGATTGGACCCTCTATTGGTCTGAGTGGATAAGCATCAATTTCCGCATTAGAGAAAATGATCCTTGCTAGTACCTCTATCATGTAGTAGCCCATTTGACGAGCGAGGATGAAACGCGCCTCGATGCAGGTAAAGTTGCCAGTGTCGTAAATCTTCATGCAGTTTGCGGTGCGATACCCCTAAGAAGCGCCCGTAACGAAGGGTAAATGAGGCCTCAAATGTGAGCGTAATTTTTTAACACATACCTTCAACACAAATTGGGGCAGCTCGATTCGCTTTGATAGTTCTAAAATCGACCAATGGTCATCATAAACAATATTACATACGCTCATCGCATGTTACTTACCCACTGCCGCCAACTTCGACCATGTAAAGTACAGATCACTCATGTCGTACCCAAAAGATTCGATTTGAATATTGCACACCTGAAAAATTCAAAAATATTCAAAGCCGCCAAGTAATATTTTTACGATTTCACATGATTTGATCAATTTCACCCTACCTGGACGTCCATCGGGAATCGCTCTAGTCGCATGTGACAGGCTAACCAGAGTTCAGCAACCTGTGTAGGAAACCTGAGTCAGGGCCTGAAAAATCTTTCATGAAAAGCCGCGTAGCGGCTTTTTTCAAAACGAAGCCGCATAGCGGCTTCGCCAAGATTCTATTTTGATCTCATTTCTAGTTTTGATAAAGCCGCTTCGCGGCTTCGATTTTAAAAAGCCGGCTTTTCATTTTAGATCTTTCAGACCCTGACTCAGGTTTTCTACTCAGGTTGGCGAGCCCAGAAGCTAGCGTTGCTGATAGCCGCATTGAGACATAAACATCTCCTAAGATGTCGTTTTAAGGGTGTTGACGATTGAATTATGTTTGAGTTTTTTAGAGATTTAGATTCCGCCCTGTTTGAAAATAACATGGATTGGATAACCCTAGGTAGACGGAACTGCTTTGGAAATAAATCTTTACTACCTTCGTGGTCGATTCGTAAAAGTTTGTTTTCCGCCGTTATTGAGTGAAAATTCGCTTGCTTTTCGTTTGAAAAGAAAATGTCTGGCTTCCAGATGTTATGGAGCACTTCTGGCGACACTAAAGGGATGAGAAAGAAGAGGAGGTGTGGGTTTTACCGGTGAGCATTGTGAGTGGACTTCCCATTTCTTTGAACCGCAATCGCTCGTCATTCCATTTCATTCGCAGGAAGAATGTGATCCGATAGTCCATACTGGTCTCTTGCTATCTTTCAGGGTCAGATTGAGCAAAATATCTCGGGGTAGAAAAATGATCAGCAATTTTTCATGCGACACGAGTTATTTTCGACTTTCAAGTACGAATTTTTTCGACTGTGGCTATCAACTTGTCATGTCATTTGACGGGTCAATTACTAGGTCCGAAACATGTCATGGCTGCAGCTTTTCCGCATTTCATGATGTTGCTACAGTACTTTAGAGCTAATTATGACAGTAGAAACGTGTACTAAGGGAGCAATTAGTGAAAAACGAGCTCGAATTTGAAGTTGACTTCGGCTATAAAATCAAGTTTCCTGGTCAAAGTCGAGCACTGTACGATTACGTGCGATTACGCGCGCCATTTCCGGGAGTCTCGACTGGCTAATGAGCTCTCCACGTGTTTGGCCGTGAACGGAACTGGGTCCACCGCAGTGCCACTCTGACTCCAGGAAACTTTTCCGGCATGATTTTCCTTTTGCGGCCGTAAACGAGCCTGCTCAACCTTCAATCATTTCTTCTCCCATTAAAATTATCGGCTCGTTGACTGTACAGTCTGACCCTGTTACAGTGAGTCAAATGAAGAGACGTAGATATTGAGGGATACATTCAATCGCGCGTGCTTGTCGTAAGGTCGTATCCGCTTGTCGTAACCCTCTGAAAAGTTCAACTGCTTATCGCCCCTCTTTTTATGCCTCTGGTTACTATCTTGAGTAACAAGAGCCAAAAACCACGGCAAGCATATTCCACCTGCCAAAAGAAAGCACTCCTAATTCAGGTTCGGAAAGGATCAAATATCGTGAAATTTGCTCGATTTCGCGCACGTAGCTTAAAAACTACCAATGTCTCTGTGGTTGGCAACATCGAATTGTACCATTTAAGATACTGTCCAGTTAATTTTGCGCTAGAAATCGACATCGGTGTTCCAAAAATTTTGGAGGCTCGACATTTTGTGGTTCCATAATTGATGGAAACTCGAAAGATCGTTCAGTAGTAGAAGGGCTAGGCTCTGCATCTTTTGCAAAAATTCTGAGTCAGAGTCTTAGAAATCTCTAGTGAAAAGCCGCGTAGCGGCTTTTTTAACGAAGCCGCAAAGATTATAATCACAGATTTAAGCTTCGCGGCTTCTTTTTAAAAAAAAGCCGCTACGCGGCCTTTCACTAGAGATCTATAAGACCCTGACTCAGGTTTTACACAGGATGCCTGAGTCTATCTTCGGGTCAGACGATAACCCCTCGCTTCGCAAAGTTCAAGGAGTTTATCTTCTTTAGAAATTTCTCCTTCTTACGACTAGACGGGATGGAAAAGTGGGGATGCCGGTAGTACCCCCAATTTCCGTTCTTGGGGTGCTGTTATGTTTCATCGCGTCATAATAAAAGTTACGCTGGCTTCCTCCCCGTCCTCCTCCGAGCCCTCTCACGCGGAAGGCTTTCGTTCCGGACGATTTTTCGAAAAGCCGGAAGCTTCTTTGATTGACTGAGTTTCTAACAGCAACAGAGTACTAGTATAAGACGGATGTGCTTTGAGGTCATAATCGCGTTTGTCGAGATGTCTCCGTGGACAAGAGTTTATGTATCGCGAAAATTTAGTGTGCCTTGAATAACTTGAAAAGCGGTACTTACTCATCAGTCGATTGAGAAATTCAGAAGGACTTTCGTCATCGTCGAATCCATCTCCCGTTGTTTCCTCTCCATAATTCACCAGACCTGAACAAGAACAACGTGAAACAAAGTCTCTAAGAAACACTTCTGGGAAACAAAATTTGCCAAAGCAAAAATTCAACAAGGGCAGATTACTTTTGAGAAGCACGCATTTGGCATAATAAAAATTCACCTCGCTCGCTTGGCGAGTTTCAGAGCATCTGCTTTTTGACAAGGTTCTTTTTTATTAAAAAATCTAAAAGTCTAAAATAATGAGCTTTCACGAAAATGTAGACGTCCGTATAAATGAGATAATTTCGCTCAACAAAATATATTTTTATTTAATAAAACCCTTATTATATTATATTATATTATGTTATATTATATATGATATATAATATTATATATATATATATATATATATATTAATTATATATATTATATAATATTATATATATATATTATATATATATTAGTATAGAAACGAATCTGAGAAAAATTTCTAAATTAAAGAATCTCCGTGAAGTACTAATGACTAGTAGAAAGAAACGTCTGCTGGTAGAAAGTAGCAGCTTCTGGGAACCTGTCTCCGCTTCGTGCCAAGGTTTAATTAAAGTGAAAAGTGTTTACGTCAGAAGAGAGGCACGTTAGAGCAAGCCCTTGTGAGTTGTGTGCACAATTTTCTGGGAATAATAACTTTTGTGCAATTAGCACTCTAACTCGCGCCGCCGTACTCATACGCGGCGGGTAGATGATCCGGGGCTTTTAGCGTGAAAGCGACGACCACAACGAGCACTTTTCACGAAAATCGTGCGAAAAGCTACCTCAGACGCTGCTTTCTAGAGCAGCGTGAAATTTCAATAACTCTTCGAAAATTTCTAAAATCTTAACTTTCGTCGATTGCGAAAATTTCTTTCTTACCACAATTAAGCTCTTTTTATTCGAGCTTTAAAACGATAATCAAAATATGAGCTCGGTTTTGGAAGAGCACGCAGTAAGAGTCGCCTTCCGCTCAGTGTGGAAACTCTCAAAAAGCAGCAGCGACGGAATTGACTTAGGCAATTGAGTACCATTGAGTCAGCGGTCGACCAGTTTCTAAACTAAGTGAGCGAAAATCAGCACACGAAGCTGCCCAGATTCCGGAACTCACTTTCTTCTTTCCTTTGGTGATGGAAAATTCATTGGTTTTTGGAAAACGAACATGTCACATGTCAAATGTCTATTTTGAAAGAATAAAAGACATCATCGACATCATTAGGTGACGACACGTTATTTTTATAAACGAGATAAACTAGAATTCTTCCCATTTTATTGTTCCTTGGATAAAGCTGATTCAAAAATACAAAAATATAATTTTTTAGGTCACGTGGTCAGCAAAAATACAACAAAAACACATTTAAGGGCAGTTTTTTGAAAAAATTGCATTACTTGTAAGCTGATCAGCCTGAACGAATAGCTTCACTGGAAAGAGCGTGCTTTGTTACCCTAGAATCCACCTTCAAAACTATTGCCATCGGTCAGGATGACTCGTGATCGACCAAAACTTTTAAAATCTGGAATTCATATGGCGGAGGACCTTTTGCTGGAAGACCAGTACTCGTGGAAGAAATCTTTGGATATCAAGCAAGATGAATAAGCCTTATTTCTTCGATATAATCATTCAAAATTTTCCCGGATTTTTCACACCTCCCGGACACGCCTTGGAGGACTCTTCAAGTGTAAGACCAACTACTGGAAGAACAATTAAAATTCGTCTCGGGCCGTCTCAGCCCCGTCCCTTGATTTTTGAATTAAAGGGGCTTGACGGCCCTTCGGGCCGTCTCAGCCCCGTCCCTTGATTTTTGAATTTAAGGGGCTTGATTTTGATGTCACATCATCGAAAAAGCCAGCAAAACTACGTATTAAAATAACCACAGATCATGTAAGCCGGTAAACCAAGGCATTAGCGTTTTGTTATCATATTTGTGGCGATCGAACAGTAATTATAATGTTAGCATGTGGTTCTAAGCCAGTTGTCAGCTCAATTTGACAAAGAATTTCGAGTTCATCCTCACCTTTTGGTCGAGGCGAAGAGTTGATTAGCTCCAAATCTTCATCGACCGACGAGACGGTTCTGAAAGAAATTGTTACTTAGGGAAATTTCTGTTTCTGTAAAAGGAAGAAAAAGGAGGAACCAAGTCCGGAAAACCAAAAGGCGAATATTTCGGGCAGCGCGATATTGGACCCGTGGTAGCACGGCTTTTCGAATACCGCTTGGTCTACCACTGGGAACCGCGGAAATGCTTCAGAAAGATGCTCTAATAAAAATTGCTGATTTTCTTTTGTCGGAACATGGTGGTTTTCAAGAGGCATGAAAGAGGAGAGTGGCTTCTATACTTTTGTTTATCAAAAAATGTTCATTTTCGGTAGCGGGTGGCAATTTTTTCAAGATGATCACGCTGCAAAGTGACACTTTTTCCATAACTTTATCGAAAATCGAAATTATCAGAAAGAAAAGTTTACCTTTCAGGTCAAATGGCAGGGGGCCCGAGAGACCGCGTGATGTAAAATATTTTAAAAGGGGGTGATGTTATCTGCTAGATAAAAGCTTTGAGGGAGATAACTTAATTTTTCGCAGTCTTCACGTTTCAAGCAAGGATTTTTCGGAGACGATGTGACACTGTGGTTCGATCGAGATTCTGATAGCAATCTTTCAAGTCCTTCTGGACTAGTTTCTCTGAAGCAGATGGGAATGGACACTTGTGGAGCCCTCTGTACGTAGCGCCCTCTTTTGGATCGAGCTGTAAATTTAAGGACTTTCTGTCAGCCTCGATGTCATAATTTATGACTCAAAAATTTACTAATAAAATGAAACAAGAATATCAATTACCGCTTGAAGATTTGGATCAACGATGAAATGAATCAAGAACGTATTTTTTTGGATGTGTGAAATAAAAATTAGTAAATAAATGCGAAAAAAAATCGTCATTTTTCGCTCTCCCAATATTACTAATAGGCTATTAGTGATAGCATCAGCATGAGAAGCATCATCGCGGTAGATACTTATCAAGGATTGGATAAGACTAGTAGCTCTTCGCGATTTGAAGACGTACTTGCTGGCTGTACTCAAAATGGAACTGCTGATAAGTGCCCTTTTGAATGATAAGAACACGCCCTGAATTCATTAATTCATTATGACTTCAAACGCGGTTTTATTTTGATGTTACTTTTTATCGAAAAACGTAGCCAGAAATCACTAGTTTTCTTATTTTGAAGCTCTTTTTCTCCGGAAAAGTGAGTATACTCATGCTTATTAGTAATAATGTGTCTGGTGAATACAAAGTGCTCGCCACATCTCTGCGTATCCAGCGTCACTTCC